CTAGAATGTAATTTGTTAATTCTGTTTAATATCTTAATTAGAAAAGCATAATCATATATGCAAATAATTTGCTAGAATACTTACGAAAGATTATTAGAGATAATAATCGATAGAAGAAAGATAATATTATAATCTATCCAACATGCAGATTACTAGCTAGAATACTCGGAACAATTGTTTAGAAAGATAGGAAAGAATTCAACATTTTAAGAACTAAGGCTTATATAAGTAAGAATTAGAGTTATAGAATTAGAATGGATCAGTAGCTGATCTATAGTAATCCGGATCAGTTGAATTACTCAGATAATCCAAGGAATTCAACAATCAATACTACCAACAGAACTGAAGAGCTGGATATATAAGAACACGTTTATTCCCATTAGATAGATCTCGTATATAGCTCTTCAGTTGTTAATCTAAGTATTCAGTTTCATATACTGAGTAGCTTCAAAGGCAGTGAATACTTGCATTGCTTATTAGGACTTGTACGGTTCCGTATTCAAGGACTTGATACTTTGATACCGCTCTTGTTAGCATAAACTCCCTTTGTGTACTTAGGAATCTTCGGATTGCTGCAGTGCTCATTACACAGTATTATATATACTGATTTCATAGAACTTAATACAGCTAATAAGCAGTATAGCAAAAGAAATAGTATTACTTGCTATAACTGCAATAAATAAGAATATATATTATACAACTGCTATTAATTCCGAAAGAACAAATAGCAACTAGTTCAGAAAGAATGCTAAGTAAATATTGCTTAGCAACAGAAATCCAATTAATTAAGCAAAAACATTCTCTTGAAGCAAATATTGAACTCTATTAATTATAGAAATCTTAGCTAGATATTCTGCTATAATAATAACTGCTTAATACATCTCTCGAATAAGAAAAGCTTAGAATAGTTTCCTTAGAAACCTAAGCGCTACAGGTAGATAGCAATAGAAAGATAAGAATATATGCCTAGCACAACTATGAGCAGCAGCAACTCGAATTGTTTCAATATTACTGAATAAATCATTTAAGCGCTGAAAGAAGAACTTAGTAATAATACTTTTTATCATTCTTTATTATCTATGCTAAGCATTATAATTAGAGATATGAATAAGAGATGATATTCTCTTAGCTATTAATGCAAATACTTAGATAATACCGAAGATATTTCTCAGATAATAAAAGAATTAAGCTAAAATAAATAATCTAGCAATTTACTAGAGCTTTGCATAAATAATGAACTCAACAGCTTTATAGAAGTTCGGAAAGGAAGATTTCTCTTCAGTATTGAATAGAACAAGGAAACAATATGAATTGAATATCTCATTTATGAAATAGAACTAAAAGAGCTTTTTATTTACATTTCCTTGCAAAATATTAAAGCATAACAAGATGAGAACTCTTGAATTAATTCACTTTATAATCTATATTATAAGCTGGTATAGATCTTCTGTGCTTATTATAGCTGCAGAATGCATTTCTCAGAAAAGATATAGCATAAATAGTTTTCTATCAGAGAACTGAAATAAATTCTTCAAGCTATTAAGAAATAGAAACTTTGCTTCAGAAAAGTTCTCAACAAGTAATATAACAATGCATACATTGAGCTATCAGATAACTGCCTCAGATAGTATGTAAACAAGAAAATAGAGTAGTAGCAATATAGAATAATGCTTTATACAATTCATATTAATAACAAGATCTGCAACTAGTATTAATAGAAGAAAGATTAAGAATAATAATGATATGAGCAAAAGCAAGCTAAAAAGCTTGCTCAAGAAGCAGCAAAGCAAGCTTAGACGAAGAATAAGCAGCTCTTAATAACTTCAAAAGGCTAGGATTGCTTGTAAAGGAACTGCAGATAATCAAACTAAAATAATTCTTATATAAAGCTTTTAAAGCAAACTATGCTTATATCAAGCTCAACATATATATTCAAGAATACAAATATAGCGTACTATTGAATAGCAGCGCTTAGAGAAACTTTATATTCCTATATATTATTAATTAGGTATAACTATAATGGAAATGAAAGAAGCAATCATATACTCTCAGTACTATAAAAGAATAATCTGTTGCATACAATCAAGGAGTAATCGATAAGAAAACTAATCATCTATCTATCTTAATCCAAGAATATATAATCAGAGTTTTCTTTGATATCATGAATATAGTGAATCAGAACTAGGGCGCCGTCGCCTTCGAAAGAAAAAGGAACAAACAGTGTTGTGGTGGCCAGGGTGGTAGTCCGTGGGACATGGAGTACAGTGGGTTAAGGGTCCTCATACATATAAAGGATACCACTCACTTTTCAAATTCTTTAGCTATAGAAAACAAAAAAGCATCCTTTCTCTTCTTTTCAATTTTGAACCCTTTGGACAAATCTAAGACAGGTTTTTCACCCTGTTCTTGCACCCGTATAGCCTTAGTTTGCTGTTCTCATCTGTACAGATATGCTTGGGTTGCATAAGCCCTTGCCCATTGCTTCGGCAGCTGTTTATCCCTTTTTCTTTCGAGAGCAACGGCGCCCTAGTTCTGGTTCAACAGCTGCTGAAGCAATGGGCAAGAGCTTGTGCAACCCAAGCGTGCCTGTACAGATGAGAATAGCAAACTAAGGCTATACAGACGCAAGAACAGAATGAAAAATCTGTCTTAAACCTATTCAAAGAGTTCAAAATTGAAAAGAAGAGAAAGAATATCTTCTTGTTTTTTATAGCTAAAGAATTTGAAAAGTAAGTAGTATTCTTTATATGTATAAGGATTCTTAACTTACTATACTCCATGTTTCACGAACTACTACTCTAGCTACTATAACAGTTCTTCCTCAGCAACTTTCTTTCAAAGTTACAACAAGTTCAATAATATACTAAATCTGATCAGAGAGAAATAAAGTAAAGAAATAAAGAATTCATTGCAAATTGCTAAAGAAAATACTGCAAACCAAATTATTCTTTCAATTCAACTCTTATATTTTTTTCTATTACTTAAGCTATTATTTAAATTAATATAGAAGTATTAGTATTTATTTTTAGTTTATTTATAATATAAGTATAATCTGAATAGATTCTAATGCTAATCTCTTCTTTATTTCCATCTGCTTTCAAACTCTGCTTGAGCAGTAGTAGCAGCAGCAGTTCTCTCCTGATTCTGCATTCTTACTCAATAAATCCTTTTGCAGTCTGCTTTATATATATTTATCTTAATAGCATAATCGAATCCTATTCAGTTTAGAGAACTTATTGAGAGCTTAATAGAGTTAAAGCTATGAAGCTTATTTTATAAAGATATACGAAGTTTCTAAGATCTATTAGAAAAATTGAAAAGCATAATATTGCTACTTCTCAGTTTCTAATACAATAAAGCTTTAGTAGTATATTCAGGCTTAGCTATTTGCTGCATTAACAGATTGATTATTAGTTCTAAATTAATAAGCATTTCTTGAAATGAAGAAAAGTAAGAATTAATAAAAGTTCTGAATAGAAATCAACTTAACTCTAAGCTAATACTATATTCTCTTAATAAATGCAAGATTGAGCTAGCTAAAGCTATACTCTTTCGGAACTATTATCTTAATAGAACTAAGCTGAATGCTCTACTTGCTTTGAAATTCTTTAGAGCAAAAGCTGATATATTTCTTTTCATTCTATCGAGATTGCTTTCAATAAATAGTTTAAGCAAGTTTGCAACTCTTCTTATAAAGAAGATAATATTTAACTTATAGATTATATTCAGTATTCTATTAGCTTTTATTTATATAGCTTTGTATTCTTGAAATAAGATACTTCTTCTTAATAATTAATTAGAATATTGTATATAATTATTATATTTCAGCTTATAAAAGAAAGCTTAGCAGTGCAAGCTTATTATAGCTATTTCTATACTTCATTTTTTCACATTTTATATAATTTCTCTATAATTAAGATAGAAAGCTTGCTTCTAATCTGAATAGCTACTAGATGATTAGTAGAAATTAGTAGATTTTAGAATTTAAAAGCGAAATAGTTCGATTGTATAGAGCAGAGCTGTATTCGAATTATTATCTAGCAGTATAATTGGAATATTCTTGAAATTCCAATCCTAATTAGCTCTAATACTTCTGAGCTAATTATTCAGATAATGCTTGCTTATATAAGCTAGTGTTGTGGTGGCCAGGGTGGTAGTCCGTGAGACATGGAGTACAGTGGGTCAAGGGTCCTCATACATATAAAGGATACCACCCACTTTTCAAATTCTTTAGCTATAAGCAACAAAAAAAAAAAGCATCCTTTCTCTTTCTTTCAATTTTGAACCCTTTGGATAGGTCTAAAACAGGTTTTTCACCCTGTTCTTGCGCCCGTGTAGCCTTAGTTTGCTGTCCTCATCTATACAGGCACGCTTGGGTTGCATGAGCCCTTGCTCATTGCTTCGGCAGCTGTTTGTTCCTTTTTCTTTCGAGGGCGACGGCGCCCTAGTTCTGATTCAATACTAGCAGATAATATAGCAGAAGTAGAGAATAATAAATTAGAATATGAAGTAGAAAAGATTCTTAAATATAAAAGCATAAATAGTATAAGGAAATATCTTATCAAGTGAAATGATTATCTAGCAAGCGAAAATTTATAGGAATTATAGAAAAATATTGAAAATGCTTAGAAAAGAGTAGCTGAATATTGAAAAAGAAAGGAAACTAGTATCTAGAATAATCGCTCCATCCCAAACTAAAACCTAGGGATTTCAGAAATCTTACTCTTCAGAAAATCTGATTAATTTATTACTAAATTCTCTATATCTACAGAATTCCAATTGAAACTCTCAAAGAAAGAATCTTCAGCAATCACAGCTAACTTCTCAAGTATAGCTTTCTGCATAGCAATAGCAGCATAGCAATATTCCTCTTTAGCTTTCTTAGCTTCAATATAATCCAGCTTCTTTATATTATTGATGCTGCAGCAAACAGCGTATATTATCTTTTTGAATTATATCCTTTTCTGCTTGTACAGCTGAAGAACCTTTTCCTTAGCAGTCTACAGCTCATTCTCCAGCTCTTGATACTGAATAGCGATCTTGCGCAGCTCCAAAGAACTAACGCTCTGTACATTGCATCAGGAACGGTTGAGTTGAATTGTTATAACTCATCCAACATGCACTTTATAAAACAAGTCACGAGTAACAAGGACCAGATATCATGATTCAACATCGAACAACCAACAAGGATTACGTAATCTAGAGTTAGAGTTACAGGTTACAACCAATCAGAAAGAGACTGAAGCAGTTGATAATCAGTCTTCACAGTCCAAGCAATAAACTATAACAATCAACCACCAACTCTTACAGTTCATACTAAGGAGTTGAATATATAAGAACACATTCATTATCATTAGATAGATTCAGTATATAGCTCTTCAGTTATTAATCTAAGTATTCAGTCTTCTATACTGAGTAGCTTCAAAAGCAATGAATACTTGCATTGCTTATTAGAACTTGTATAGTTTCATATTCAAGAACTTAATACTTTAATACTGCTCTTATTAGCATAAACCTCTCGTATACTTAGGAATCTTCGGATTACTGCAGTGCTTATTACATTTTGATAACTCTTGTTCAAGAACAGTTCAGTATTACCTCTTGAGCAATACGGAATACGATAGCTCCTTCAGGAATCTCTTCGTTCTCGCATGCCCCTACTTAGGAAGAACTGGTTAACTAGGTATACCAGCTTATCCAGCGAATTCAGAATCTGCATGAACAACAGCAGGCTTAAAGCGCTACTATTGCTAATTAATAGATCTAGCTAGCTTAATAAGCTTAGCAGATGCAATCTATTTCTGCAATTATTAGTAGCGCTGGAAAAGCATATAAGATGAATAAGCTTGCTATATATAATAGCAATCAAAAGATACTGCATAAGTTCCTTATTTACTATAGAGCATACTTTTTGTACTATGCAACTCAGTTTATTATAGAATTCGAGAAGATTATTCTTGTAGAGACTTATCTTGAAAAAGATGCTTTTATCTAATACAAACCTTTTCTATACAATTACTTGGAGTATTAGAGCAACTCTAATACGCATATCTAGAGTATTAAGAATATATTCGATTTCTTTGAAAGCTTTAAGAAAGCTTTCAAAGAAATCTTCAGTAATTCTAACGAAGAATATACTACAGCTTAATAACTTATAGATCTCAAACAAACCAAGTTAGCTTCTGCTTATACAATTAAATTCAAACAATTCTTAGCAAAGCTTTTATAAAAAGATAAGAATCTTATGAAATACTACTATAAGAAACTTAAGAATGATATTAAGAATGAAATCTTCAAATAAGATTAGCTAGAGAACTTTGCAATATTCTTCAATCAAGCAATCTGCATTAATAACTGTTTATACGAACAATAAGTAGAGAAATCTAAGAAAGAAAGAAGCTAGACTTGAAGATTTCCAGCTAATATAAGCAAGAAGCTTCAAAACAAGAATAACAATTAATATAGCAGCATAGCACAGAGCAGCACTATACATGCTAGTCTCATAGAGCTTAATGCTGCTAGCAGATAATATAACAAGAAGAGCAGTATTACTTGCTACAACTACAATAAATAAGAATATATAGCATATAATTGCTATCAATCTCGGAAAAACAAATAGCAATCAGTTTAAAAAGAATGCTAGATAAACATTGCTTAGCAATAGAAGCTTAATCAACTAAGCAAAAACATTTCTCTAGAGCAAGTATCGAACTCTATTAATTATGAAAGTCTTAGCTAAATATTCTGCTATAATAATAATTGCTTAATATACTTCTTAAGTAAGAAAAGCTTAGAATAGTTCTCTCAGAAATCTAAGCATTATAAGCAGATAGTAATAGCTGAGCAAGGAAATATGCTCAGCACAACTATGAGCAGCAGCAACTCGGACTGCTCTAGCATCAGAGAATAAAGCATTCAGGCATTAAAGGAAAGCTTTAGCAACAGCACTTTTCAGCACTCCTTATTACTCATAACAGTTACTATAACTAGAGAGATGAATAAGGGATAATACTCTCTTGATTACTGATATAAACACAAGAATGCCTCTCAGGCAGCAAAAGAATTAAATCAGAATAAGCAATTCAATAGTTCACTAGAATTTCTCGTAAACAATAAACTTAAGAAGCTTACAGAAAGATTTCCTTTCAGCATTAAATAGAATAAGAAAATAACATAAATTAAATATCTTATCTATAGAATAAAGCTAAAGAAGCTCTTCATCTGCATTTCCTTGCAAAACATTAAAGCATAAGAAGATAAGAATTCTTAAATCAGCTTACTTTACAACCTATACTACGAACTAGCTTGGATCTCCTGCATCTATTATAGCTGCAGAATGCATTTCTCGAACAAGATGCAATACGAATAATTCTCTATTAGAGAATCAGAACAAATTCTTTAAGCTGTTGAAGAACAGGAACTTCGCTTTAGAGAGATTCTTAATAAATAGCATTATAATGTATATATCGAACTACTAGATAACTGCTTTATGTAATATATAAACAAGAAAATAAAATAGTAGCAATGCAAAACAATACTCTGTACGATTTATATTAATAATAAGGTTTGCAACTAGTATTAATAGAAGAAAGATTAGAAATAATAATAATATAAGCAAAAGCAAGCTAAGAAGCTTGCTTAAGAAGCAGTGAAGCAAGCTTAGAAGAATAAGCAGTTCTTAATAAACTTAAAAGAATAGAATTGCTTATAAAGAGATTGCAGATGATTAGACTGAAATAGTTCCTATATAGAGCTTTCAAAGCAGACTATGCTTATATTAAGCTTAATATATACATTCAAGGATGCAAGTACAGCATATTATTGAATAGTAATACTTAGAGAAATTTCATATTCTTATATATTATTAATCAAACATAACTACAATAAAAATAGAAGAAGTAATCATATATTCTCAGTATTATGAAAGAATAATCTGTTGCATACAACTAAGGAATAATTAATAAGAAGACTAATTATCTATCTATCTTAATCCAAGAATATGTAATCAGAGTTTCCTTTGATATTACGAATACAGCATAGCATAAGCTAATTATGAAACTTCCATAGCTCAAAGAGCACAATCCTCGAATCAATTAGACTATTAGCTAGATCTTATAAGAACAAGCTGTATTCAGAGAGATAGTTATAATCAACAGCACAGGATTAAAGCTAGTGATTGAAGAATATTCAGAAAAAGAAGCTTTATATAACTTCCTATATATTTCCAAATCAGCAGAGCTGGCAGTTCAAGAGGAAGAATCTAGTAATAAGCGAATTCAAATAGTATTAGAATGCTAATAGGTTAGTAAAATAACGAAAGCAAAGCTCTTAGCAAGTTGGTTCGCTTCAGAGCAACAAGAAAAAGCTTCAGAAAGTGAATAGTAGATCTATACAGAAAAAACCTCGAAACTAAGCTCTTGAGCGCTCAGTTCAGCTCGGAGCGAATGCTTAAAGCTCTCAAAAACATCACCAAAAACAGCGAACGAAAAGAAGCACGCTCAACAGTACCTACTGTTTCTCCAGATAGCAGAAACAGCATATAAATCAGAACTAATACTTGCAAGCATACTATGAGAATATTATAAGTTTAAGAAACTATTTCAGGAAAAATTGAATACAGAATTGCTAGAATACAGCTTATACAATCATGAAATCCTGCTATAAAAAGAAAAGCAGCTCAAATTCTTCCCTATTTATAAACTAAACAAGATATAGTTAGAAGTACTTAAGAAATATCTTAATAAGAATCTCAAGAAAGAATATATATAACTATTGCAATTATCAGCAGAATATTCTATTCTGTTCATATTTAAGAAGAATAGCAAGCTTAGATTATGCATTGATTATAAGCAACTTAATGATATTACAATCAAAAACCAATATCTGTTATTACTTATTAAGAAACTATAAGATAGATTGCAAGAAGTATAGTAATTTACAGTACTAGATCTGAAAGAAGCTTATAACCTGATTAGAGTAAAGAAAGAAGAAGAATAGAAAACCGCTTTCAGAATGCGCTATAAATATTACAAATATCTAATCATGCTTTTCAGTTTAACGAATGCCCCAGCTTTATTCCAGGAAATAATCAATCATATTCTATATAAGCATCTGAACTAGTTCATTATTGCATATCTCAATAATATTCTTATTTACTCTCGAATACTGGAAGAATATAAGAAATATGTGAAAACAGTATTGCAAATGCTTCAGAATGCGAAGCTTCTTGTAGAACTTGCAAAGAATTACTTTCATATACAAAAAGTTAACTATTTCGGATTTACAATCAAGCTAGAATGTATTAAGCTATAGAAAGATAAGATAAAAGCTATTAGAAATTAGCTAATTTTCAGAAATATTAGAAATATTAAATCTTTCCTCGAATATATTAACTTCTATAAATAGTTCATCAAGAATTATAGCTAAATCGCGCATTTTCTTATAAATCTTATCAAAAGGAATCAATTCTTCGAATAAACCTTCAAAGTACAAGAAGTTTTTGATAAGATTATCAAGTATATTATCTTAAAGCTAGTTCTGTATAAAGCAGATTCCTACAAATTCTTTAAAATTAAGATCAATGCATTAGAATATGCATTCGAAGAATAACTTGATTAGCAAGACAACTAAGAACATCTAAGGATTGTAAGCAACTTCTTAAAGAAATTAAATAGCTTAGAAATCAACTATGGAATCCCTGACTAGAAACTTATAGCAGTAGTAAAAGCTTTCAAAGAATAGCAATACTATCTTATTAATATATAGCATTTAATTATAATTCATTCAAATTATAAGAATCTAATTATATTCATAACAATTAAGATCTTAAACAAGCAATAAATCAGATAAGCAGAGTTTCTCTTACAATTCAATTTCAGAATTATATACTGCAAGAGCTCAGAAAACAAACAAGCAAACGCTCTCAGCAGAAAATCAGATTATCGAAATGCAGATTCCTCAGATATATAGAACATCTTCGTTCAAAACGAATCAGGAAATCTTATTAATGCATATAGAGAACTGAATGCTATCTTCAGAATTGAACTCTTAGAGAAGAATCCAGAATTGATAATTCCAGATGAATAAGATAATTATATCAAGAATATATATAATATACTAGTATATAAATATTAGAGAATTAGAGCAACTTATAAATATATCAAAAAATACTGAAATTTATTAAGCTTTAGAAAAAGAATTGAAAATATCTTATAATAATGCAATAGCTATAAGAAGAATAAAGCAGAAAGATACAAACCTTATAAACTACTGTATCTCTTACTAATACTTACAACTATTTAGCAATTCATTAGTTTAAACTTTATTATTAAGCTACTTCTCTTATAAGAACTCTTAATTAAAATATAATATAATAGTATTCTAATAATAGTTTGCAAACTAAGCAAGTATGCTTACTTTCTTCTTTATAAGAAAAGCAGTATAGCAGAGAAACTTGTATATACATTTCTCAGAATAATTATTGCTAATTACAGCATATTAGAAGAAGTAATCTCTAATAGAAATAGAAAGTTCAATTCAAAGTTTTAAACTTTGCTTATAAAATAGCTTAAAATATATTATAGAATATCTATAATATTTCATCTGCAGATAAATAAATAAATAGAAAGAATAAATCAGATTATTAAATAGTATTTTCAATACTATATCAATTAGAAACAGAATAACTAGATTAATTTATTACTTCTTATATAGTTTGCTTATAATAATGCAGATATAAGCATAATAAAGAAATTACTATTCTTTATATTCTATAAATACAATCCAATAGCTTATTACAAAATACTGCTAGAAGCAGATGCAGAAGCTATAAATAAAAGAATTAAGAAGATTAAAAAAGTTTAGAAAGAATTTCAATCAGAACTACAATTTATTCAGAAATGAATAGCACAATATGCAAACTCCAAAAGAATTGAGGGATTAATCCTATAGAAGAGAGATAAGATCTACTTACTCCGAAAAAATATTAAAACAACTAGATCTAGCAACAAACTTAATTACAAAAAATTAGAATTATTTAAGATCTTATAATAGATTTTCCTAATTAATTACAAACTAATATTATTTTATAGAATAAGAATATATCTGGTTTTCTATATCTTATTGCTAGAATCAGCAGTATAGAAAATATTAGAGAATGATACAGCAGAAGTAGAAAACAATGAATTAGAATATAAGATGAAGAAAATTCTTAAGCACAGAAGCACAGATAATACAAGAGAATATCTTATCAAATGGAAAGATTACTTAGCAAGCGAAAATTCATAAGAACTACAGAAAAATGTTAAAAATGCTCAGAAAAAGATAGCTGAATATTGGAAAAAAAGAGAAACCAGCACTTAGAACAATTGCTCCGCTCCAGACTGAGACTCGGAACAAGCCTCTTGAACACCAGAAGGATCTTCATTATCTTCAATACTATCCACATCGCTTAAAAAGAAATAATCCAACATACTACCAGGAGACTAGGAGAGCTCTTCTGAAACCAAAGCAGAAAACTTCTCAGGAAGGGGACTAACAGGAACACAGGCCTGCTGCTCCCTCGCCAGCTCCTCTGCTTTCATACGATCAAGCTCCTCAATCGTATCCAGATCACAACGAACAGCGCGTGCTATTTTCTCAGCTTACAGCTTGCGCTGTTTCCGCAGCCAGCGCACCTTGACTATAGCACGCTCTAGCTCCTCCTCTGCATTATCAAGAGCAGCTTCAGCAGCGGAATGCTAAGCTACAATCTTTTCTACCTGTAACAGCAACAATCTGTACATATTACAATTCCCATGCTTGTACTTAATATACTCCGTACAGCGTAATGAATCTTCCTCAGAAGCAAGGCAGCAAGCTTTGCGATCGCTGCAGAAGAAATACATCAGTATTTCAATACAACGAGAAAGAGCAATAAGCCAGAGAGAGGTAAACTATTCCATCTTTTTGTAGCGAGTTTTATCGATTCTGCTCATTATCCGAATTAGAAAGATAAGATCATGCACAGAAGATTTGCTAAAATACTTACAAAAGATTATTGGGAACAACAACTGATAGAAGAGAGATGATGTTATAATCCATTCAATATGCACTTCACAAAACAGATCACGAGTAACAAGAATCAGATATTATAATTCAACATCGGATAACCAACAAGAATTACATAATCTAGGATTAGGATTACAGATTACAACCAATCAGAAAGAAACTGGAGCAATCAACAATCAGTCCTCACAGTCCAAGCAGTAGACTGTAACAATCAACCACCAACCCTTACAGTCCATACTAAGGAGTTGGATATATAAGAATATATTCATTACCATTAGATAGATCCAGTATATAGCTCTTCAGTTATCAATCTAAGTATTCAATCTTCTATACTGAATAGCCCCAAAGGCAGTGAATACTTGCATCGCTTATCAGAACTTGTATGGTTCCGTATTCAAGAACTTAATACTTTGATACCGCTCTTGTTAGCATAAACCTCTCGTGTACTTAGGAATCTTCGGATTACTGCAGTGCTCATTACATGAATACATTCAGCGCAACGAGAAGAAACAAGAGAAGAAACTTAACAGAAAGGAATGCTCTAATCCTTACAAAACGAATAGGAAGGCATAGTAAAAGAATTTTAAAGAATGGCGGAAAGAAGACTTTTACATTCCTCAGTTTTTCGAGAACGAGACTTGGAAGTACAAGATTTGTTGATTCTGTTCGATATCTCAATTAGGAAGGCAAGATTATGCATACAAAAGATTTGCCAGAATACTTACAGAAGATCGTTGAGGATAACAACTGATAGAAGAAAGATGATATTATAATCCATCCAACATGCAGATCACGAAAACAGATCACAAGCAAGCAAGGATCAGATATTATGACTCAACATCAGATAACTAATAAGGATTATATAACTCAGGGTTAGGGATATAGTAGGGATGGATTACTGGATTATTAGGTGATTCAGTGAGCTCAGATTACCTGGATCAGTAGTGAGCCAAGGTAAGCCACACTGAAGAGCTGAATATATAATCACACATTCATTACCATTAGATAGATTCAGTATATAGCTCTTCAGTTATCAATCTAAGTATCAGTCTAAGTATCAGATTACTCTCCAACTCTGATAGCCCCAAAAGCAGTGAATACTTGCATAGTTACTACAGTTGTGTTTCCGTATTCAAGGCCTGTACTTAGCACCGCTCTTGTTAGCATAAACCCCTTTGTGTACTTTGGAATCTTCGGATTGCTGCAGTGCTCATTACACAGGGCAAGCTTACAAAGACTCAGGTTAGGCCAGATGGCGAAATGGGGAACAGCCTTACTGTTTGCGATATACAGCATTAGAATATCCAGATCGAGGAGAAAGATTATTAAGCTGAAATACAGAGGATTGCTTGTATCAGAAAGCATGAAGAAGCTAAGGCAAGAAAGAATAAGGCAAAGAGAAAAGCGATAATATGAAAAGAGCAGCAAATAGCATGGAAGAAAGCTCATCAGAGATATTAAGGCCAGCCAATCCTCTTCAGAAGCTAGCTGATGATCTATTGCTCTGAAGCTCAGCTAGCAACTCAAGAGGAACGTCGAACGCCACTACAGCAACTATTACCTGTGGATATACAACAGCTTAACGATATCAAGATCCTTGACGATGTTAAGATTCTTAACGAGGTTGAGATTGATGATAAGAACTTTATATCCGTTTCAAGCGATGCAGAGATATCTGGTCTAGGGCAAGGCTTCGAGCATCCTCTTCAAGATATAGATATAGCCTCATTGCAAGCTACGAGGGACCTTCATATAGCATTGCACGATGCTGAAGCCTGGTAAAGTGATGAGGATATAAGTTTCTTACTACCTATTCCTCGAGATCTGTGAATAGAAATACTAAGTTTTTGTTAACTTGCGACATTGTGGTGTTGCAAGTATTCAATTCAACTATCAGTCATAGCTTAAGCACCGGATTTTGGTAGCATTCCCATAGTAAAAAAATACGTTGAAAATGAACACCTTTTTAGCCAGCAACCAATTACGGCACCCACTACGGGAGGAAGTGGGCCAGGTGGCTAGGCTAGGGCCCACGGGTAAGTGGGTCATGTGAGCCGGTGTAGGAGTCGGCAGCCCGCTTTTGCTGACTACGGACGCCATGGTTGTGTGAGTACGAGCTCCCCCAAGACTTTCATATGTTAAGGGAAGCGACCAGACTTTAAATTGAAATGAGACAGAAAGCTTAAAAATTGAGTTGAGGACAGTTTACAGAAGAAAAAAACGATCCTCTTACCACTGTTTTTGCTAGCGCGAAAAAATTTCCTATCCAAAAAAACTGTCCTCTACCTTGAGGACACTTTGACTTTAGGATAGGATCTTCGGATACTGCAGTGCATCATTACACATAGTAACAGAATGCTGAAGAATAGCAGATAAAAGATTTTTACATTCTTCGGTTTTCCGAGAACGAGACTTAGGAATGCAAGATTTGTTGATTCTGTTTGATATTTCGATTAGAAAGACATAACTCAGCACGCAGACAACTTGCTAGGAAACTTACGGAAGATCGTTGAGAATAACAACTGATAGAAGGAAGATGATGTTATAATCTATCCAACTTGCAGATTACGAAACAGACTCCAATAACAGGAATCGTATTATAATCCCGTACTAGATGATTAGCTAGGATTATATAAGCAAGAGTTAGGATTATAATAGGGATGAATTATTGAATCACTAGATAATCCAATAAGCTGAATCATCTGGATTATTAGTAAGCTAGATAAGCTATACTGAAGAGCAGGATATATAAGAACATATTCATTATCATTAGATAGACTACTAAACATAGCTCTTCAGTCATTAATCTAAGTATTCATTTGTTACATACTTGAATAGCTCCAAAGGCGAATGATACACTTGCACAGAGGTTACTTGTTTATATTTCCGTACTCAGGGATTGACACTTCAATACCGCTCTTGTTAGCATAAACTCTTGGTGTACTCAGGATCTTCGAACATTCCAGTGCATTCATTACACGATGGGTATTCAGTAATGGAAGTAACTATGCTTAAGTTCTGGTCTACAATGGCTTTGATTTGAGAGGGGTGGATTTGTTATCACAAGGTCTGCTAGATGGGCTAGAGCTAAGCTTAGGAGGATTCTCTCCCCACGCTTACTTATTCTGCTATCTGAAGACGCCATATGCACTGATCTCACGACATTCCGCACAACAAATGAGAAAGACTTGCCACTATACATTATTCCGAAATCGCCTGAGAATTTACACAGTAATACGTAAGACTAACCGGGAATGTGAATGTAATGCTCAAGCTTATCACAATTATGGCATTTTAAGCTGCGCAAACGCCATCGGATGTTTACTAGTGCGCATTTTCGAAGATTTGTAATTGAGCTCCAAAGTCTTAAGATGATGTTCTCTCGGTCTAGATGCGACTATTGACCAGTGTGCCAGCTTTGCCTGACGTCCTATAAAGATTTGACACACGCTCGGTTAAGCCTGTAGCAGTGGTCGTACAGTCGTGGTCCTAGATGTTCAGGTTCGTTCCTCGATCTAACACGAAACTTCAAAATGGGGACCGACAGCGAGGTTTACACAGCCGCCAGCGAGCGAAACGACTCTCAAGAGACGCTGGTCGTAAAGCCCGTCAAGTCATGGAAGGGCTACCTATGGGACACCTGGGACTATCCCACCGACCAGCGCCGCCTGCTCTTCAAGGTTGACGCCTTCATCTTGACCTTTGCGTCAATCGGGTATTTTCTCAAGAATATTGACCAAACCAACATTAACAATGCCTACCTCAGCGGCATGGAAGAGGATTTGAGCATGTACGGGAATCAGCTAGTGACGAGTACTTCGATTTGGACGGCCGGCTACGTTATCGGACAAATCCCGTCGAACCTGGTGCTTACGCGCGTGTCTCCGCGATGGGTCATCCCGGCCCTTGAAGTTGGTTGGGCTGTCTGCACATTCTGCACAGCAAACGTGCAGTCATATACGTCGCTATATGCCTTGCGCTTCTTTGTGGGATTGTTCGAGTTAGTCCTGGTGTCCTGATCTCATGGGTTTTACCTATTGTATACTGATTTCTTGACCCTTTGATACAGGTCCGGCTTTTACCCAGGTATTCACTACATGCTCGGCTCATGGTACACACCGCAGGAAATTGGCAAGAGAGCTATGATCTTCTGGCTGGCTGGTTCTGTGGGAACACTCTTCAGCGGTTTCCTTCAGGCTGCTGCCTATACCAACCTCGATGGAGTGAATGGCTTCGCGGGCTGGCGGTGGTTGTTCCTCATCGACGGCATCATAACCTTGCCTCTTGCAGTGGCCGGCTTTGTCTTCTTCCCGAACAGCCCACAAGACCACAGGAAAACTTGGTGGCTCAGTCATGATGAGAGTGCTCTTGCGGCCAAGCGCATGTAAGTTCAAGAAGCAACACTTCCCTTCCAAAGTACCGTAGCCTGTGCAACCTAAGCTCAAGCTTTGTGGGATACTATATTCAGCGCTTTGAAGCACTCTTTGTTTCGAAGGCTGGAGAGCATGACGAGAAAAAAACTGCTAATTAACACTATGTAGGCAAGCAATCGGTCGCGCCGGTAAACAACCGTGGACCAGAGCCAAAGTCAAGAAGATACTCCTGAGCTGGCATACATACGTTCTTCGTAAGCATTCAGCCTATTGCATTGCTAACATTCCGCTAACCATAAGCTACCATTAGCTCTTATCTATGTCGTGTGGAACAATGGCTATTTCCAAGCTGCTATGGGATACTGGCTCAAGAGTTTCAACACAACTCCAGCTCCGGTTCCAGGGGTTCACTACTCAGTAGCGCAAATCAATGATCGCAAGTAATTTCCTCCTATACGATATAGTCATTCTAGCAACAATGCTAACTGCTTTGTAGTGCCGCTTCCTACAATCGGCATATTCGTTCCAATAGCGCTCAGTTGGGCATTCCTTGCAGATGGCCCTTTCAAAGGCAGTCGAGCTCCCTTTATTCACATAGGCGCCGTTATTACTGTAAGGACATTTTCAAACACAGAATCGGAAGAGAGTAAGGGACTCACAAAATCTTGGCAGCTCCTATTCGCTATTCTTTTGCTCAAGATGCCCCTTTATTCAAACATACACGGCCGTACTGTTGTGTACTGGCTTAGCAATGTCGGTGTAAGTTTATTGGGATATTCTAAGCTGGATTTGAAGAGTGTACTGATACTAGTCGTTATAGTGTGGCGCAGGTCCATTAATTCTAAGCTGGATTAATGAGATATGTTCTGATGATACTGAGAAGCGGGCCCTTCTTGTAGCTATGGCAAATGACCTTGCCTATGTTGTACAAGCGATTGTGAGTCTATAAGCTGAGTACGAATCGCAGAGAGCACTATGATATTAACAAGCGACTTGTAAAAGGCACCCAACTTCGTATGGAAGACTACGGACTTTCCCAGAGCGACGAAAGGCTATACCTGGAGCATTGTCCTTCAAATTCTGTTGAGTAAGTCAAACCCGCCATATAGTTATTAGAGAGTATTATAGAACGTTCTAACAAGGTTTGTCTAGTTCTTGTAACGGCCCTTGCTCAGCTTCTCCTGTGGCGGGATCGGAAGCGAGCCGCCACTATCCAGACAATCACCACATCTGAGTCACTAGCCGATGAAGCACAGAAAACGGGGAATTTGGCCGAGAAGAAGGTTACTATTTAGGTCAGCACATGTCGCTCATAAGAGATCGATCGCTAAATGCGATATATTTGTTATCAGCTGAGCAATGGATATTAGTTATTACAAGAAATCAAGCTCGGGCTATCAAACACAAAATGTAAAATTCAGCCCATCCAAAGACCAGGAATATTACCAGGTCTGGATCCATATACCGACTTCTGATGCAGCAGAGTGGTAGCTCATGTAACATTCGTCGAACTGATCGAGTAGCCACAGCGGCCTAGCACTTTTGAGCGGACCGGTTCTGAATAGGACGTGCTGCATCTGGTGCTAGCCCCCTTCCTCTTCGGCTTCCCCAGAAGCTGTATCCTCCTTGCTGATCAACGGGGAGCCCTGCCAGCTGAAACCTGTGGCCACCCAGCCGGCGAGCCCCTGTGTCGCAGTATCATCAGCACCATGCTATAAGGTCTTCTTCCCTGCCTCTGGCATCCTCTCCTGCATAGCTGCCGGCTCCGGCTTGAGCTCTCCATATCCGATGGGAGGGCTGAGAGCAGTGATAGAGCACAGCGGGATGCGCGGCCTTCCCTACTTATCAGGTGAGAGCAGCTGGTTCTTGACCACTACGTTGTTCGATGACGATCCCAGGCTGCTGTCTGCTTGCTTTTGGAACACACCCTCCGATATGGACCGTGCCGCGTTGAAGGCTGGGAGGGTGCCTTTGGCGTCTGGAAGCCTTGACGGAGGCGGTACGAGGAGGTGGCTGACCAGGTGCAGGATGGTGCTGTCTTTTGCCTTGTTATTGCTGAGCACCGCCTCAAGGTTGTTGTCCTCTTGGCCGGATGATGGCGGATCCTGGCTCTTTTCGTCTGTAGACGTACGTGAACATCAGCCAGTTGTCCTAGTGAACTATATTGAACTTGTACATTCACTCACATAGACCCCAAATGCCCTTGGGCAAACGCTTTCCTATAGGCAAGGCTTGCTACTCGTATCCCTGCTGTTTCCCGGGGCCGGTGATCTTGATGCGGTGGGTGGATGTGATGACCGACTTGTTCTGCATCAGGCGGGCATAGATAGGAGCCCTCCCTCCGTTTTTGTCCTGCACGGGTCCGTGCTCCAGGTCGCTGCCGATGATGGACCTGCTCACGGCAAACTTGGATTCGATGCGGAATTTGACCTGGGCGGCACGCATCCGCCATGGCTCACCCTTGGGCCTGTCAAAGTTGCTCGCACCCCTAGCCACGGCACCGTCGGCTACACCGAGAACGACAAGATCCTCGCTCGTGTCCTGGCCGGCGCCCGAGAGGCCGGGCTTCAGCACGGCATCCAGGAACTCGCAAAAGTTCAAGAGCAGGGGCCTGCTGTTCACCTCGCCGAACCAGATCTTGATGGACACCAACTTAGAGTCGACATCGACGTAGCCGTCAAAGGGCGGACCCTGCAGGTGGAGCTCCGCGTGCACAGAGCCGCTGATGTCGATGTGAACGAACTGAATACGGACGCTGGCGATGTTGGTGATGTTGAGGCCAATGTCAGCCATAAAGAAGAGTGGGTTGTAATTGATGAGGAACGACGCCTAGGCCTCAAAGTCGGCGTGGATGGGCCCTGCGACGAAGCTGGCGGCCAGGCGACCCCCGGCCATGATAGCCTTCGGCGTGATGGCGAAGAAGGCCGTGCCCGAAACTCGCAGCTCCGACGAGACGTCCCAGGCGATGCCGATTGGGGGGCCAGTGCGGTGGTGGCTTGAAGGCCGGGTGATACCCGCCCAGGGAAAACATCCAATCCCCAGCGAACTCTGAGGAGCCGAACCAGTAGCACAGAGCGATCCCGATGAGCCTCATATCATAGATTGCTAGACTCGCTAATAATCCAAGCGATCTATACTAGAGAGCTGGATATATAATCTTATATTCATTACTAGCAGATACATTATTATATATAGCTCTTCAATTATCAATCTAAGTATCAGATTACATTCGTACTTTGATAGCTCTAAAAGCAGTAAATACTTGCATTCAGATTTTAGTTATGTTTCCGTATTCAAAGCCTGTACTTAGTACCGCTCTTATTAGCATAAATCCCTCATATACTTAGATATCTTCGGATCACTGCAGTGCTTATTATATCCAGCTTCATCTATATTCCATCTATTAGCTAGTTTGCCGGCTTGGACTTCAGGAAGATTGAAAAGATGAAAGTAAGGCTATATTTATCTCTATTATAGCTCTATTAATTCATGCAGAAGCAATCTGTTGATGCTTCCATACTCTTATCTCTGGATTTCTCTTCAAAAAGCTCTTAGTCTATCTCTTCCTTAGCTCTTGAGAGTCTTTCTGGCTTCGAAAATCCTCTGAGCAAAGTGCCTGAGCTCCGAGTAGCTTGGTGAAAGCTCCAGGCTTTCCTGAATAAGGATCCATTCAGCTAACTTCTTTTCCCGAGGAAAGAAAAGCCTTTTCTGATATTAATAAGCTATTTAATGCAATTCTCTTCCTACTAGGCAATAAAGAATATTTCTCGGAATTGCATAAAGCTTTTTTCTGAGATCTGTTATTTTTAATAGCTTTAATAGCCTGGGCTAGCTCAGACTCTGGATAGTACTTTATTCTAGTTGTATAAAGGCTCTGTGAAAAGACGAAGTTATTCGGGTAAGGATTGGTTGAGAAAAGGTTATAAAAGTAGAGATGGTGGAAATAGCAGTGTGGCTGGCCAGAGGTGTTCACAAGGGGGTGCTTTGACTTATCTTCCTATTCTAAGGAGATAGGATGATATAAGTTACTCTTTATAGTAAGTGCTATCTTACTACTAAAGCTAGAACTTGACTTAGCATTCCTGTGCAGAAAAGAGAGCAGCATGTATTTCACTACTATGAAAAGTGCTTTAAAGCAGCATTCGGTTCTGCTAAGTTTGGTTTCCGCTATAGCGTCTGGACAAATAGTAAGGCGGGCTGGATATCCCATTAGCAAAGTGATATCAATAGCTAAAAGAGACTTTCCGCACCGCTATTGATTGCGCTGGGTTTTGTCTATGCTGCCTTGTTGATGACAGCCTCCTCGCTGACAAGCGGCTACACCAGCATATAGATCGATCGAATTAGCTTCGACATGTCTATGATTGCATCCTGAAATTACCTCATAATCCAACGCGGCCCAGGCTTGATATCATGTTCGCATATGCGATGCCCTGTTGCGTGTTTTGAAATAATCAACAGACTATATGTTTCCCTCGTTTCCCTCGCTTCCTTCGTTACCCTCGTTTCCCACGTCGCCCACGTCTCCCACGTCTGCCTCGACCGCCTTGACTGCCTCGTTTGCGTTGTTTCCTTCGTTCTCCTCATTTACCTCGTTGGTCTTATTTGTCTCATTTGCTTCATGCACTTCATTCACTTCATCTCGTGGCATGCCCATCCCGTCCACCGCATTTCTCTGCTTGCCCTGAAACCGAAAACACAAAAGTCCAGCCGCGCGGGTGCCGATCACGAGAGTCGTGCCGTCGTGCACCGCGCAGGTGTAGCTCCAAAAGGGATAGCGCTTGTACGGCGCGAACACGTCGGGGAGCTGGGCGACCAGCTGGTTCTGCCAGAGAATGGCCACGTGGGCGCCGGTGTAGACGACGCTGCAGGGATACTGCGGCGAGGGCTGGAGGCCGACTTTGACGACTTTGTCGTCTGCGTTCCTGGGCAGCTGAGTCGACGGCAGTTCCCAGACTCCATTCTCCGAGTGCAGCAGACGCTGTCCGTCGATGCCCACCGAGACGGACAGTCGGCTGGGCCAGTGGACCCAGAGCGTTTCGCGGCCCGGGACCGCGAAGCCGTGGGCGAGTACAGCGGGCAAGGGTTGCCAGTGGTTATCACAGTCGGCACGGTCGTCTCTATCGTCACTCGCGCCGGCCGTGCGCGTCCAGACGAGGAGCTGGCCGTCTTCGTGAAAGCCAAAGAGCGAGCGGCTGTCTGGAGAGAAGGCGAAGCTATAGCAGAGTAGGCTGTTAGCATCGTCATCGCTATCGTTGTCATCGCTGTCGTCATCATCGCTATCGCCATCATCGTCATGATCATCTGAGCGGTCTTTCCGCTCTTTGCCTTCGTCTCGTTTATGCGAGGTCATGTGCCGCCAGGACAGAGTGGTGCAGGGCTCCATCAGTCCGGGGGGAAGGACGGTATCGGAGTCGGGTGCGGGCGATATGTCCCAGATGTGGCCGAGGTTGCCGGACGTGGCAAGGAAGCGGCCGTCGGGCGAAAAGGCGACCGTGCCGATCGAACAAAGGGCCGCGTCCTTGAGGGTAATGAAGATTCGTTTGGTTGTGGGAGACGTTTTCTCGTCGTCGCCGTTGTCGTTGTCGTTGGTATTGTCCTTGTCCTTGTCTTCATCCTTGCCCTCGTCCTTGTTCTCGTCCTTGTTCTCGTCCTTGTTCTCGTCCTTGTTCTCGTCCTTGTTCTCGTCCTTGTTCTCGTCCTTGTTCTCGTCCTTGTTCTCGTCCTTGTTCTCGTCCTTGTTCTCGTCCTTGTTCTCATCCTCGTTCTCGCCTTGGTTCTCTTCCTTGTTGTCGGACTTGCTGTCGTCAGACTTGCTTTCGTCCTCCCGGAAAAGACTGTCCATGTGCCCGTTTGTTTCCAGGTACATGGCCCGGCATGCGGCCAGATCCCAGAGGCGGACCAACCCATCGTACGATGCGGTGGCCACGAGCTTATCATCCGGCGCAAAGGCGGCAAAGTGAACCCACGAGCTGTGGCCGCCCAGGACGGCGACACGCTTACCCGTATCCGTGTCCCAGACGTCGGTCTGGCCATTGTCCAGGCACGCCAGGAGCAGTGCGTCGTCGCTGGAAAAGCTGAGCCAGTTGACCTCAGAGCGTAGGCCCCTCATGGTGCGCCACAACGTGGCATCTGTGCCATGCGAGGCTATATTCCAGAGTTGGACTTCACCGTCTTCATTGGCCGTGGCCGCCCGCAAGCCGTCGTGGGAGAGAACGGTGGCCATCAGCAGGTGGACCTTCCGTCCCGTTGTGTTGGCAGTGCTGCTAGAGTCGCTGGCACTGTTATAACGATCTTCACGGTCGTCGAGGTTATCGCGGTCGGCATGGTCGACACGGTCCACGCCCGTCTCGGTGACTTTGTACATCGTGGTGGGGCTGTATTGAAAGGTCAAACCAATTTCGTCCCGGTCGCGCGAGAACGCATAGGACAGCGGTATCGAGTGGCCCGGGGCCCGAAACGATCGAATGAGCGGCTCTGTGGTCCCTTGTTTTCCTTGTTCTTCTCGTTCTTTTCGGTCGCGGAGGACGTGGAACGTCAAACACCCGCTCTCGTCATGGGTGACAAACACGCGCCAGAGCATATTGTACTCTAAGGTGGTGAACTTGCTCTGCGTGCCGCGCAGCGTCTGGAGCCGCGCCCCCGAGTCCGTGTCGTAGATACTCAGACGGCCGTCGTCGCGGAGGAGGGCCGCCAGTCTCGACGCGGGGGCCACGGCGGTCTCCACGCACTCGGACGCAGACTCCTTGTTCTTCAGGGTCTCGGGTAGGCTTTTGTTGTCACGCTCCATACGCTTCGCCTGCTTCCGACGCAGCCCAGGCATGGCCAGGACCACTTGGAGCTGTGGGCTACCGAAGTCTTCACAGGTGATAATGACGTCGCCTGAGCCATCCTCAGCGAAGTGAATGCCGACAAACCAATCCCTGGCATCCCTGGCATCGCTGGCATCGCTGGCATCGCTGGCATCGCTGGCATCATTGACATCGTCCTCGTTCCGTTGCGCCTGTTGCGCCTGTTGCGCCGGCCGTTGCCGTGGTGGCTGCTCTCTTATCTCTCCCACAATTTCGTCATGGGTCTTTCTCGCGGCGACTACGACACCCGCGGCAAGATCGAGGTGCACAATGTTCAGGTTGTCAATGGCGATCAGCATGCAGGGATCTGTGGGGGACACGGCCAGTCTTTCAGGGTATCCCGGCAGCGTGTGGCTCGTGACGTGCTGCACGCGCAGCGACGCGCGGTCATAGCACCGCAGCGTGTCGTCGTCCGAGATGGACACGATGAGGCGGCCGTCGTAGGCCCAGTGCACGTCGCGGACCCAGTCGCTGTGGCCTGTGAGCGTGGCTATAGCCGCGGCCGTCTCGGCCATCTCTGGGCTGGTCAAGGACTGGATCTCCGGCAGCGGTACTGGTGGATCTTGTGGGCGGACGGGCATGTCGTCAAGCTCGTTGTCGTCGTTGTCGGCTTTGTGGCCCGCCATGCGCAGAAAGCGGTCGGTCTCGGCAAGGGACAAATGCACCACCTGCTGGCGCACGATGCTCGTGAACAACCTCTGCAGTGCGTCCTGCATCGGCGACAGCGGCTCGGGGGCCGATGCGAGCAGGTCTTGCAGCAGACCGCGGGCGACAACGAGGACGCCGAGCGCCTCTAGATCGCGGAGCCATGGGCTAGCATATTGCTCGACGAAGCGGCGCACCTCGTCCGTGACCGGGTCGTCTGTTTGCTCTGCGCGGCCAATGTCCACACGGTCCAGATGACGCAGCCATGCGAATTTCATGTACAGTGAAAGCCGGTCACCGCTGACCTCCTTGCCGCCATCCTTGCCGGTCGGAGCGGCGCGGGCCGCGTCGTAGTGTCGCATGAGACAGCGCAGGTGGCGGCGGGCCATGTCGGCGTGTAGGTTTACGTGCCGCTTGGGCGCGGCCGTGTCCTTGGCCAGCCGTGCACGCTGGGCCGCCAACACGGCCGGGCTCGAAAAGTACGCGTACTTCTGCGGTCCGTCGCCGACATCTCTCTCCCGGAGCTCGAGCAGCAGCCGTGCGAGGACGTCGACGAGGATAGCAGCGTCCACGGTGGCTGGCAGCTCGGCGAGCGCGGCCAGCTCGGTGGCCGACAGGGGCCGGAATGCGAGCGCGGCCGCGTACATCAGGGCATCCACATGGGCCCAGTCGCTGGCATTGTCGCTGGCACTGTCGCTGACACTGTCCCGGACGATCCAGTCCAGAAGTGGTCCCAAGCCCGTGCTGCTGTCGGGCAGGCGCTGTAGGACGTGGATCGCATTCCACGGTAGGCAGACGGCGGCGAGTAGGTCCGAGGCCAACTCGTTCAACGCGCTGGCGGAGAGCACCGAGGTCCAGCTAAAGGCGCGCATCGAGGAGAGTCGCGAGGGCGACGCGCGCACCACAAAGGTGCAGACGATTGCAGACGACGGGCCGGTGTTGTTTTCGACCGAGGTCTTCTCCATGACCCGACTGCTGTGGGCCGACGGGGTCATGGTGAACAAGACCAAAACCAAGACGACGGACACCAAGGCGACGTTTGCCGTGTTCAAGGTGAACCTGCAGTCGCAAACCAGGGCCAGCGGCGCGGGCTCGGACAGGCCGGTGCGTTCAGCGCGCATCCAGGTCGAGTTCCATGGCACCGGCCCGGATGCGGACAAGGTCGGGGCGAAGCGGCCCTGCCTCGTCGGCTGGGCGCCGTTTGCCACGATGGAGCGGCCCAACAAGACAACGGCCCAGCACACTGCACAGACGGAACCGAATGCTACGCTGAGCGTGGCAGTGCAAGGGTGTTCAGCTGAGACGACGCCGGCATTGGTCGATAAGGCCGCGTTGGACGCCCTGCTTGGCCTGTCTGAAGGCAAGGGCAGGCACAACGATGACGAAGAGGAGGAGGACCTGCTCATTCGCATGGCGATGCTGGAGAGTCGCATGGAGCTGATGGAGTATCGGATGGCGCGGCAGGCACTAGTAATTCGGGCGCTGCTGAAGCACAAGGAACGCTAGCGGTTTTCCATATCTGTGCAAGTCACTTGCAAGTCTTTTGCAAATCACTTGCTTTTTGTCTATCGTACACGGGCACGGAGCAAGACCCTATTTTCTCTGGGGGAGGGGTAGATAAATTTGAATAAGCCGCAAGAGAAACTAAACAATCAATGTGTGGACTGTTTCTTTGCTCATTCCACGTCCTTTGTATGTGAACCCCAAAATATTCAAAACCCCAAAAACCAGAAGCCAGCAAGCACGAAAAAATTCAAGAAGACAAAACAGGCCCCGCCAGACAACGGGAAACACATCAACACGCAATAGCCTCAGTCATGGACTCAAAATTTTCCGCGGCCACTAAAAGATGGGCCAAAGCATCCTACACAGACAACAACACGTTTCAAAAGGAGCTTGAACCCCTCTACAAGAGCCTCGTCGAAGCGACACAGGATGCGCCCGGCCAGACCGACGTGCCAGGGCGGCAGACGAAGGAGATCAAAGACTTCTTGTCCAAGGATGACGTGCATGTGGACAGTTGCGTGCGATGGCATTTGCTCAAACTGGCAATCGACAACGCGCGAAGCGGGACGGGGACGGGGACGGGGACGAGCAACGCGCACCTACAGCTGGCCAAGACGATCATGGCATGCGAAAAGGAGGGATGGAAACTGCTGATTTTATCCCCGACTAGACAGAGGATAAAGAATTCGTGCAAGCGGGAACAAGATAAGGAAAGGACGGAGCAACCAGAACAGAAGCTTAGTCCCACCAAGCAGAAAGGCAACCCGCACATGTATATAAAGCCAAACGACGAGACGACAACGACCTCGACGCTGTTTGTAACGGCCCTGTGCAAGGGTTACCCGCACATGAAGTCACTGCTGGCGGAGGCGAAGAAGCTGTGCCACGACGAGCAGCCGGAGAAGGATGAGATGAACACCTTGGCCGGTCTAATTCGAGGCAAGAACAAGGGCCTGCACGATGACATTGTCAAGAACCACAAAAAGGCCCACCTAGCCTTGGGCCACGTGCTGCGCGAAATACCAGGGGTTTTGCGGGATCCAGACCAAGTGCAGGAGAAAGACAAGCAGAAGAAAGAAAGTGAGATGCTAGACAACGTCATCAACGGACCCCTCCTGAGCCTGGCTCGTGTCATTCTCGCATCAGAACACCACTGCAAGCTGCTGACAACACGCGAGCGCATCGTGAAAGCGCTCGGGAATTGGATGGACAAAAAGCGCCAGCAGTCGCAAGGTGCGGTGCCGTCGGGAAATCACCATGACCAAGACGACAACGCCAACAACAAAAACGACGACAGCGACAACGATGACGACGACGACGATGACAACGACGAACACGATGACGGCGGCGGCGGCGGCGACGACGAGAAAGGCTGCCGGGATCTGGCCGTTGCTGTCCTGTCCCACGCGCCCGAGGATGTGCTCCAGTCGCCCGAGGTGCTCAGCGTGGTCATGAAGCACAGCCTGTTTGCCGACGCCGACATCCTCCGCGCCTTTGCCAAAGATGCCAAACCCCTCGCCCAGGGCGATAGCAGCACGCTCCCGACGCCCTTTGAGTACTTTAAGCCCGTTGCGTCTTTCCTCAAAGACGTCCCCGGCATTCTCCACATGGCCATCCTCTTCCAGCAGCGGCCGCTGATAGAGACGCTTTTGCGCCACGCGCCCTTGCTCGCCGTCACGCGTGCCTATGTCCACACCACTGCCAACGACACGTTTCCCAAAAGAAAAGAAACAGAAGCGTCCGCAGAGACGGCCGCGGCTACTGTCGACGGTGCTAACGCGGCCAACGGTGTCGACAGCGTCAACAGCGTCAACAGCGTCAACAGCGTCAACGATGGGCCGCGTGAGCAAGAAGCGCAAAAGGAGGACAGCGGGTACTATCCGCTCTGGTACAACAACGAGAGCATTCGCCCTGGGAGCTCGCATGTCCAAGATCAGAATATCGTCGCGTATAAGCAGATCCGATCGGCGCTCATCTACTGCACCATGAAGCACGCCGAAAATGTGCAGACGCTTCTCACCATTCTCCGCGAATCAAGAGGTGTGTTGGTTCCCAAAGACTTTTCTTCCCTTCTGATTTTTTCTTGTTCTTGTTCTTTCTCTTTCCGTCTCTTTTTTGGGGGTTTTTTTTTTTTTTTTTTTTTTTTTTTTTTTTTTTTTTTTTTTTTGGCCTCCTTCTGACAAAATGTCAAAAACACAACAGAGCCCGGTACGACGATTTTTGATTCAATGCCCCTCTTCCCCAGCCAGTTACACTTCTAATCCGAGGAACAGAATACGAAATCAACTTTGACATGTCCCGTCTCCTGATCGAGGGCACCAGCGTGGCCGATTTTGTCAGGTCGATGCCGCGGCAAGGGCGCAGCTACAGCCTGATCCGCTACGAAGAGACGATCCGGTACGCCGAATTTCCCGTGCTCGACCTGAGCACACAGCCGCAGACGCCCGCCGCGCAGAACCTGCAGCGCTCTCATCTGCAGCGCACGCACACGGAGATCCTGGACATGCTCGACTGGCTTTACGATCACGGCGTGCGCCGCATCATCACGCTGCGCGTGCCGGACCGCATGGCGCACCCGCATGACGAGCTCGAGATTGCCAGCGTGGTCAAGCGCTTCCGCGTCGAAGAGCTCGACTGGCGCATTCTCGACCTCTCGCTCAACATCTTCCAGCCGCACAGCGGGCCCGAAGACATTCCGTTTGTTTGCAGCGTCGACAACGACAAGAACGACAGGACGTCCAAGGTTGACAAGGCCAAGGACGATAAGAACAAGACGTCTAAGGACAACAAGAACAACAAGACGTCTAAGGACAACAAGAACAACAAGACGTCTGAGGATGAGAGCGTGCAAAAGACGTACCTTACGCGGCTGCACCTCTACACGGGCGGCCGGCGATCGGCGCTGGACCACTGGTTCAGCACGGAGGGCCTCGCATCGATGAATGTTTGTTTTTCTTTTTTCTTTCTTGTTTCCCCGTCTCGATCTCACAGCGTGCTGACTTCACAGCTGGAACATGTCTACATACATGTCATCAAGGTAAGTGGAAGAAAAGGAGAAAACAAAAGGCAGAATCTCACTGTGCATAGGAACTCGCGACCAAAAAACAAAGCGATGCGACCCTCAAGTATATTAACACAAAAGTTGAAGAGTTAAAGAAACGAAAGACATCAATGCAAATCGACGTGCAGTCGCAGCTCTGGACGACCCAGACCGAGACGCCACGCCTGCAAGAGATGTGCGTTCTTGTTGTTGTTCTTGTTCTCGTTGTTTCTGTTGTTTCTCATATTCTGCCCTACTGACCTCACCAGCATCCACCACCTGTCGCCGCGGCTCGCCCAGTTCATTGCGTACTACCGCCAAATGGCCTCCGAATGCCACGTCGAACGCCAGAAGTTCCGGCCGGTGAAAGTAGCCATCATCGACAATGGCATCCTCGGCATAGACCCGCCAAATGCGCCCCGTGTGCCCGACCGTGACCAGGCCGAGGACGTGCCGAATGTGCATGGCAGCAGCAGCAACAGCAGCAGCGAGCGGCATCTGAATAGCCAGGACTTTCTCACGGCCGACAGCCTGTGGGCGCGCGTCTGTGATGGCAAGTCGTTTGTGCATGAGCGGGACCGCGTGAGCCCGTGGTACTTTGCGTCTAACCCGCACGGGACGCAAATGGCGAATCTGGTGTGCGCCATCGACCCGCTGTGCCAGCTGTTTGTGGCCAAGATTGCCGACGGCCACTACGGCTACTCGGCTGTGCGCGCGGCCGCGGCGGTGAACTGGGCCATCAACAAGGGCGTGGACATCATCTCGATGAGCTTCACGACGACCGAGAACGACGGCGCGTTCAATGAGGCCGTGCGGCAGGCCATGAAGAGTGGCATCCTCGTCGTCTGCAGCCACCACGACGAGGGCGCGCGCATCAGCACCGAGGTCTTCCCCGCCTGCCTTGGCGGCGACGGCCCCGGCCGCGAGAACACGATGCTGCGCATGGCCAGCTGCAACATGTACGGTAAGCTGCAGCACGACTGGGACGACAACACTGCCGACGACGCCAACAAAAAGAACAACCAGTACGACTTTTGCATCAACAGCCAGGACGTCGCCGTCGGCCCCATCCCCTTCCTCGCCACCTCCACCGAGCACATCAGCGGCAGCTCCGTCGCCACCGCCATCGCCGCCGGCGTCTGCAGCCTACTCATCGCCTGCCTTCGCACCCTCGACGTCATGCCCAAAGCCGAGCGGGCCAGACCAGATCCCGTCCGCGACCGTGCCATCGATGAGATGTGCAAAAATGTCACCAACGCCCTCGCCCGCGACGAGAACAAACGGCCTGCCTACGCCGATATCAAGAAGTACCTGGCCAGCATGGCCCCGTCCACAATCAATCCGAGCTTCATCTCCCTCGACCGCTTCGCCCACCTCGACGAGCTACGCGACGTTAACATGCACAGCCTCTCGGAAGCGTTTTTTAAGTTGGGCGCCAAGTTCCCCGTATCAAAGTGAGGGCGTACACAGGATCTGAAAAGGACTTTGGATGATTGGTGTTCGTATCTTATTGGGCTCGGATAGTAGAGCATGTGAGGGCATAATGGGGCATTACAGCGGTCGCGGTCGACGTCAGACGCGACAGAGAGACGGGGTCACGAAAACGAAAACGAAGCATCACCCTAACCTAGGAAAACAAGCGACGAAAAGAACAAGGAAACGAGAGGCAAGCGTCAGCAGCATCACCAAAGTGGTCCCCGACTAAATGCAGCCATATGGCCGCAGAGATGTCTCTTACCCTGCCCGCCACCCCCTCCCCCCCCCCCCCCGCTCCGCGCCAAGCCACAGGTTGTAGATGGCCGGGGGCGGGGGGGGAGGGGGGGGCGGTAGAAAAGAGTTGGCTGACCATATACCAGGCATATGTACCGCATATGCCTTAGAAATGTGACTCAAAGAGTATATATAGAGTGCTTTCACCGACTCTCACCGTTTCACGCATCAGTTTGGACCGAAGATGGTAAAACTTCAGGTTGTGCAACGCAGCGGTACACAGACTACGGCGTCAGGATGCCCGTACCACCCCCAAGCACCCTGTATACACCGTAAGTTGCTTCTTCGTCTGCCGCGAGACAAGGAGCCGTTCTTAGCGAGGCTTCTAGAGGATGGTCTTTACTGACTGGTGACGACCACTACAGGCCCCCACTACGAAATCATGGGTGTTCAAGCGCAACTACACCTTCGCCATCATCGATGGCGGGAACGGCAACTTCCACTGGTGAGACAGCCCTGGCCCTGTCAACTTCTCCGAGTCGGGCAACACTTTCCCACACAGCCATATATGGGACAACATCGTCTGCGCTGTGAACATCTTTGACCAGGATGAATACCACAAGTATCCCATCGGTGGCAATGGCAAGACGTACAACGCGTGGTGTCTGAAGAACCCTCCGCAAGCATGTAAGTTTCGCCCCTACGACTGAAATGTAAGGCGCATTCGCTGACTTGCCATGCCCAAGACTATTATTGGCCGGGTGCATACACAATGGCTCACTGCATGGTCGAGTTTGGTCCGGATAGTGGAATGAACGACAAGCGGTCTGTAGATAATTGGGTGGTCAAGAGTAAGTTGCAGTCTGTCCCTACTGAATTGAGTAGTCTTGCCTTGTATTTTTCCTTGTAAACTGTTGCTAATATGAACTTCTCGGCAGATATTACCTAGTGAGACGATGGGGAGGATGTGGCTATTTTGGACGAGCCTCCAGACGCATCTAAATTCCCTTCCTTACATGACACAAAGTTAATTTCATAGGACAGGCTCGAAACATTATCGAGTGACTCACTTCATGTTTCGCACGTTGCCCTTGCATCACAATATGCTGTTGGTTTTGCGTGGCGCAGCCACTCACTCGCCGTTATTACTTATTAAAAAAAAGCCAAACCCCCCCCCCCCCCCCAAAAAAAAAAGCCAATGTTTGTTAGGGCTAGGGTTAGGGCGGAACAGGCTATTCAACGAACAGAGGGTTGGATCGGGGTAACGCCTGCGGCGTACGCAAACCGCGTGCGACGATATAGCATTCTTAGCATAATGTCGGCCTGAATGCATTAAGTCGAAGGGGGGGGTTCTGGGCCGGGGTATTTTTGGGCCACCCTGGCCACCCTCACCGCCTCTTCAACCCCCTTTAGTTTGATAGCTATTACTCAACCAATTTTGATCCAAACAACTTCATCTTTCTAGCAAACCTTTATCTGACTGTTATGAAGCTCTATTCCGAGTTTGAGCTAGCCCAGGCTGTTGAGGCTGTCAGAAAAGGCAAGTCTCAGCGGCAAGCCTCGAGAGAATGGGGTATTCCAAGGAGTACTCTTCAGGCTCGCCTAGAAGGAGGGGAATCGCATAAAACAGCCTACGAAAACCAGCAAAGGGTCTCTATTGATCAGGAAAGAAGACTGGCTGAATGGATCCTGATTCAAGAAAGCCTAGGCGTTCCACCAAGCTATTCCGAACTCAAATACTTTGCTCAGCAGATTCTCGAGGTCCAGGGAGACTCTCAGGCCCTCGGGGTGCAATGGACTCAGGCTTTTTTTGAAGAGAAATCCAGAGATAAAGATCAGGAAGACTCGCTGTATTGCCTCTGAGCGAACGAATGGGGCTACAACAGAGGTAATACGGCCTTGGTTTCGTCTTTTCAACCTTCCTCACATCCAAGCTATCAAGCCAGCTAATAGATGGAACTAGGATGAAGCTGGCCTGATGGAGGGCCAAGGAACGAATGGATTAGTTCTCGGAGGCTCCTCTTCTTGTTCAATTCAAAAAAAGGACCCTGGTTCAAAGGCCTGGATCTCTTTTCTCGAGTGTATCTCTGCTACAGGTGCCTACCTCTTCCCTCTGGTAATTTTCAAGGGCCAAACGGTACAATAATAGTAGTTTCCTCTTGATTTGAAGCCTTTTGAGAGCTAGCAGTTCACAGCTACTCAAACTGGATGGACAAACAATAAAATAGCACTTGAATAGCTGAAAAAGATCTTCATCCCTCATAGCCAGCCAGCAGACCCCTCAGAAGCTAAACTGTTGGTTCTGGATAGCCATGGCAGCCATAAAACCGACGAATTTATGTGGCTTTGCTTCCAAAACAACATACTGCTTATTTACTTGCCTCTTCATACCTCTCACATTCTTCAACCCCTCGATCTAGAAGTCTTTTCATCTCTCAAACGAGCATATAGAAAGAAAGTTAGCAATATAGGCTAATGAGGGGACTCAACTATTGCAGGCAAGCGGTTATTCCTCAGGAACTATCGTCTGGCTCGACTGGAAGGCTTTTCAAGCCAGAATATCAGATCTGGATGGAAAGCAACTGGTCTGTAGCCTCTCAGACCCTCAAAAGCCCTCCTGAGCCCTCTTCTCCTCGAGAACAGTCAACCAAGCTGTCAGACCCAGTCCAATTCAGGCTCAGCACAATCAACAGCACCTTGTCTTCTCCCAAAAGCCTTCTCAAGCCAGCTAGTCCTCTTTTCAACTCCTCGAAAGGCTAAACAGCTGTACTATCAGCTGCTAGAGAATCAGCAACAACTTCGAACAGAACCAGGCTGCCGTATGCTATTCAAGAAGATAAAAAAGGCTTATGGGAAGAGGAACCTCGAGTTGGCCAAGGCATTGGAGGAAAATAAAGCGTTGAAAAGGCAGATTGAGGCTCTGAGGCCTAGTAAAAGAAGAAAGGTTGATATGGACCCGAATTCGAAGTTTGCAGGGATTGAGGATATACAGAGAGCTCAAAACGCAGTCAATCGCCACGAGGATAGTCTGAATGAAGAGAGCGATGTCGAATTACCTACTGATGAGGAGGATTGCATCGTGGTGGGTGAATAGAATAGATAAACAGTATATATATATATGGGTGTGTGTATTTGACGAGGGTGGCCAGGGTGGCCCAAAACTACCCCAGCCCAAAACCCCCCCCTTCGACTTAGTACAAGCTCAATGTGGAAGACATTGGGCCTTCACGACTAGGAGTTCCGTGAGTTATACCTCTAAGCCTTCCGTAGTGAATTATTGCCCTTTTCTCGATTTCACTTCATCAAGAGATAAGAGGGGGTGTCTAATATTGGCGTGTTCGAGAGGAATAAGTTACACTATTGACGTATTATTTCTCTTACAGAGTCAGCCAAGACTCAACATTTGATGAGCTTGACCAAATACATCGCTTACATGATAATGCACGAACACTAGCAGAGAATCACTCAAATATCAGCCGATTGGCAGATTTAAATGAAGCTATTAGAACTATAGAACAGGCACTGGATACAGAAGGAAGTCATATCCAATCTGGTACGCTAAATAAGCTTGGGATGGTACAGCAGATAGCATTAATAGATAATCTCGATTACACTATGAAGATTACATTAACTATAGAGACTGTCCTGAACTTACAAACATGTATAACAGCCTTATTGTAACTTGTTAGAACAAATATGTCTATGAATTAAGCACCCGATATAACGCATCAATAATCTCAGCTTGTCGTTTGAGTGGAGTCCGGGCTTCAAATGCCAGAGACGAAGAAAGAGTACCTACGTGCTTGTACATAGTAGTACCGTAGGCAGATATAACCTCCCTGTCAAAGATCTTTTTGTAAACATGCTACTGGGCTGTTTTCTCCCAATTTCTTATCACAGATCTCCGCTACTTCACGCGTGCTGGAGTTCTGTTATACTGCCAAGTTCCGCTTCATGTCTTATTTACTGCTTCCCAATAGCCTAGACTCTTCAATCGTCCTTGCTTTTGATTAGTTTACATGATTCTATTATGGAGGTACTGCTAACAGAATATCGCTCGATTGCCCAGCTTTCCGGAGAGCATGTGTAGGGTCCGCTATAGCTCTCCCAACCAGACTCAACTCTGCTCTTGAAACAAGATCCAGATCATAAAGCTGTTCGTCTACTTACGGAATGCTAGTGCTGCTGCAGCTTAAGCAAAAGCATTGTATGAATGCTAGATTGCTTGCAGCTTGATTAAGAGGGAGTTCGAGCTCTTTCATCCAGATGTGCTCGAACCTATTAACAAAGGAGCTGGACTTGTAGTTTGCAAGATCTCATAGAGAGACAAGTTACTATGGAAAATTCACTCTATTATTGTTTAAAGCTTGCACATTATGCAGATTCTGAAAACAATATTAGCAGATTATTCCGCTTCGGTCTTCCCATCTACCCCCCCCCCCTTTCCCCAGCGGCCCCCAAAGAAAGAGGGAAACCCCTCACACTGCTCCAGAAGAATCCACAAAAGAGAAACCCAATGCTTGACACCATTCACTGGAGCTGCGATCGTGCATGGCTTGCTTTACTGTCTGACCCCCCCTTGCCGGACACCCGTACCCGCCGGACACTAAAATGCGAAATGGCCCACACAATTGCCACCTTTTCAAGTATATAGAAATAATTCACTTCAAATCGTATAATAATAATAAATATATCATCGAAATGATCTAAATTTCCTCATTCCAAATATCTAGTTGGCATACGGCTAGTCCGCCCAGAAGATCGACGAATTGGTGGTGAATCCTTACGTGGAATGTCTGCATTATCGTCCTCAGAGTCCTCCTCGTCAACCTCGTCTTGAACCTCCACAATATCCTCAGCAGGCAAACCATCCTCTTCCTGGGCTGTGTTGGCCTCTTCTCCAGCCGAAAGTGCCTCTGAAATAGTCATAAAGCGTTTGTTAGGATTGGGGATCTTCTTGCGCTTTCGGGTCTTCGAAATGGCCTCGTTCTGAGCCTTAAGGGAGGCATTTCGCTGTCGGAGCAAGATAACCTCAGCTTGGAGGTCTTCAAGGTGATTTGCGATCCTCCTCAACTTGCTGCGTTCGTTGTAGCTTCGGTCTCGGCCTATAGCAGTAATAAACTCATGGGAAATGGGCTCATTCTCCTCGTCCTCCTCCAACTCATCTGCTCCTCGTTTTTGCTTATCCTCCTGGATTTCCTCATGAGATAGGGCTTTATGGCGATTAATTGGATAGTTGCCACTATATCTCCATCCTCCTTTTACTACTTTAGGAGTGATTGCTGCCCTGGCTGTGATGAGACACCGTAGAAAGTTGATCTTGTTAACAGGGGCTGAGTCTGTGAGATCTTGCAACTTTTGAAGTTCTTTCCGATAGGCTGCTTTCAGTACAGCAAATATGCCGTTATCTAGTGGCTGGAGGCTGTGGGAGGTGTGTGCGGGGAGAAAGCAAAGGAAAATGTTATTCAAGTAGCAAGAAGCTATGAACTCCAGCTGTTTTATATCAGCACATTATCCTCGAGAAATACCACCTTGAGCTTCAAAAGATCTTAACTTACTGATGTATGGCTATTATGGCCATCTAGGATGAGGAGGATAGCCCGAGATATATCATTCTCACGGAGATTATTCATCTGAAGAAGGAAAACATCCTCAAGCCACGCTACTGCGATTTCATTGCTTGTCCAGCCGTTTTGACTGGTAATCACGCGCCAGGTTGGCACAGACTGCTCCATGTCTTCAGAAAACCACTGTTTTTGAAGATCTTTGCCCTTGAAGATGATGCCTAGGTCGAGAAGCTGGCCTGTGGCTGTACAGCTTTCAATGAGAGTAACCCAGCTTCTGTCCTGGCTGCTTTTGAGGAATGCCTTCTTTTTTTCAGAGGATCCAAGGACCAGCGAGTTCAGGCCTATCAAAAGTATCAGTTCAGGAGCTCTGAGATGAGGATTCCATAGAAATTTACCATATCCAGTCATAATGCCACCCTCATCCACATTCACTGTAAGCTGTGGCTCGATCCACCCATATTCCTTCTCGCGAATGTCGAAATACTAGTTAACAGCTTTCGGGGTGAAGGCATCGTATCTGGTGGCTTCCTGGCGAGTGCCTATTTTATGGCGAATTTGAGGATTTCTCTTCTTGAAGCCCTCTATCCATTTGCGGCCAAGGGCATTGAGATCTCCCTTCTGCTTGAGGAGGGCTCCTACAACACCACGCACAGCAGAAGCTGATGGAGCATATCCTAGGCTCTCCTGCTTGATGATTCATCTCGATATCTTCTTTTCCTCAGTAGTAGAAAGGCGTTGTTGAGGTTGCTTTGCTTCTTGAACTGAGGACCCTGCATGCAGCCGATCTGACAGCGTTTGGGGGGCGATTCCGTGTTTCTTGGCTGATTTTCGTAAAGATAAATGGTTATCTATAATATCGAAGAGGGCATCAGCCATATTCTCCTCATTCCAGGCGTGGGAAGGCATTGTGGCTTGCTTGAGGTAGAAGATTGTTGAAGGAAAAGGATCATGGATATGAAGACAGGAAGGAACAGATATTAGCTTCCGGCATTGCCAGAATTGCGTCATAAGGCGTCCAGGCATAGATATAAGTATATCAATAGATTCGTCAATTAAAGGGCTATCTATCTATCAAAACAGTTTCTGAATAGCTTCAATATTGAGGAAATAATATGTAAGTGAGGATGTTGGTATTTGTATGGCGCTGTCGGAAATTAGCTGTCCGGCGGGTACGGGTGTCTGGCAAGGGGGGGTCAGACAGTACATATCTTCCCTGAGGTGCAGAGTGTTTGACTCCAATATTTACACGCGGACATCTTTCCACATAGCTTCGTACCCTTCGAAGACACATGTTCTGTTCATTCTTCCTTCTGATCCAATTCCTCATCTCATACACATACTGAATTCAGACTTCATTCTACAGGTACGGCCCCTCCGTGTTGGACTTGAACGGCTCGCTGCACGGCTGGACGGGCATACCGCGCTTGCCGCAGATTGCCGCCCCCACTCTGGTCTACAATGGGGAGTTCGACACATCGCGCGACATTTCGCAGGAGCCTTTCTTTGAGCTCATCCCACGCGTACGCTGGATCACATTTCAAAATGGAAGCCACATGTGTCATCTCGATGATGGCGGGCTTAGAAAACGGGTTCTCAAGGTGGTGGGGGCCTTCCTGGTGCAGCACCAGGCAATCGATGAGGCGGTTGAATGATCAATACTACTTTGTATTAATTTCAATGAAATTGGGGGCTAATTATCAATTTGGGACTTATTACATCACTCAATTGACAATACAGGTGACATTTCCTGCGTCTAGCAGATGGGATGGCACGATGGCAGGGTTGTTTATAGTGCTCGTTGAGCTCAATCCGGGTCAGGCTGAGTCGCTTTCTTTAGCAATAGCATCCCTTTGCCACTCTCGGCACTCCAAACTCCGCTCCTCATGCTAGCACACGTGGCGCATTTAAAAATTGTTGTAAACTCACTTGGGGCCATAAATCACAGCGAGAGACTGAGCTTTTGGGGGCTATCAATGGTGATTCAGGACCTGATCAGCGGTTTAGATACTATGTCAATCGGGAGCATAGGTGGGAATTGTGTGAGGAGATGAAAACTCCAGACCTGGCTAAGATCTGCAGTCAATTATATCACCAGTTACCTTGAATAGATTCTAAGTATCTTGTGTTCAACGACAATATATGAATCTCGTATATGCATATCAGTGGCACTGCTGTGTATCCAGGTCGAATGACTTTTGGTTCTCAGTGGCTACGTACACATTATTAGATACTCAACAGCCTCAATTATTTGTGTAATGCATCACTACCTACCTAGAGAAGTAATGATCGACACACGGTACTTTTTCATGCACTAGACTCCAATCACCTAGGTGGGACCATGGCACAGCACGTGGACGGCTGAAGGCTATCTTGTACCCGGGTAATGCTTATGTTGTCTGTATGCCGATCATATGAATGTTGGGGCCGAGACGACCTGCTCGGCTCGCAAGATTGGGAACTCTGCTTCGAGCATCGTCACGTCACTGCTGCAGGCATTGTACAAGTACTCCGGAGCGTGCCACCCGGTCTGCCTAATCATATTCATAGTCCATTTTCTTCCGGTGTATTATGGTATGATCTGTGATATTGCTTATCCTAGTCAGAAAACCCCCATCTAACTCCACACACTCCTGTAGACTCCTTTGCTACCCAAATTTCAGTACCAGTTGTATCTACCTGGAAACCAACACGACCAGTGTGGTCTAATGAACACTGCCGCCGATTCGAAGCCGGAACAATCGTAGCGGTTGATATGAGTCCATGCTTAGCCTACCACCACTTTGGATATAAGGCGAAACGAGCAGTGCCGAGCGTATAAAAGTGGCATAAACAGCATTGGGAATAAATTAATCTGTGTGAGAGAGAAACCTATGTAGAGATGAATGAGATGAATGAGTATAGCAGTAGCTTATATTTAAGCCACTTTAAGAGTTAAGGCTGACGATAGTTCACTTTTTCACACGATAATGCAGTGCTGTCGCGTGAGATGAAGCAAAGGTTTTGGGTATCTCCAGCAACAAATGTCTTCAGACAATATAGTTTACCGAGAGAAGTCATCTCTTGACAGTCAATACAGACGCTAACGAAACATGAATGGCCGATTTACATTTAGTTGTATTCTTTAATACTCTCCAATTTTACGTCCTGGATTTCGAAAAGACGGAATTACTAGGCGCTAAAATAAGAAGAAACATGCCCAAGCACTCTCAGATCTTCGTTCGTTAATGTCTTAGATCATCAGAATCTTTTCTTCTTCACCACTACGCTTCAATAAAACCGGATTCAGAGGCAGGTGTCTCTCCATTACCCAATCTTGAATTGCCTCCCACCGGACACACTTCCTCTCCTGGTTCGACTACGGCCTTGGCCGCCACAGACCCGGACGGATTAGGATATGTACCAGGCCTTGAGTTCCATGCTCTTCGGTTTTGCTCGGGAAGTGCGATCATGTTCTGAAGAGTAACCATTAAATAGAACATGGGGCAGAGCGAAGAGCAGCCTGTATTGACGATCAATCTATTAGAACAACTCACAGAATCTGCGCCACAGGATGAGATACGCGGCCATGAATTTTTCTACAATTGACAAAGCAGGAGTACAACTAGGAGAGCTGCATCATTTTGAGAACTCGGGGCAATTCTTCACTCTTGAGTCCTATCAGAGCACGGATCTCCTAACAATTTTGTGACTGATGTTGAGACGTGGATGTCTATTATAGAGTATCAGTCCTATCACGATGTAAAGGCGACTTGCATATAGCGTATAGCATAGAGACTGTAGTGAAACACGATGTATTCTCTGCCGCTACGTGTTCTTCAATATGCTTATCGACAATGGTTCTCGACCATATACAAGCCAGGAAGCTGCTTGGAAAAGAAAAGCATTGATGTAAGCATCTGGTAACTATTTATCTACATATATATACCCCCAAGCTCCAAACATGCCTCAAAATATGCCTGTATACCAGTGAAGTCCTCAAGTCTCCCAACCCAGGCCACATACTGGTCTGGTCGGACAACTACCACGCAGCCACGCTCTTTGTCTACACCATAGTTTCTGTAAGCATCCCCAAAACCTTCGTGGTAGCTTTCATCATCGACGAAAACCTTATCGTAGTCCCAACCAATGTGCTCGTCGAAGGGATGTAAAATTTCGGGGAAGTCTTTCAGCAGTTCTGTCTCAATCCGCTTTGAGGCGTGGATAGTCAGTATCTCGATGACACTATCGATTGGAGCACCCGGAGGAGTAGCCTTTCGAAGGAAGCTACCAGACCCATCAAGATCCGTGCAGAACCTGCGGACCCGCTCCTTCTGCACTGGATTAAGAACATTCCCGGCGAACAACACAACGCGGAAGCGACCGTCTGCTCTCAACCTCTCTTGGAAGTGCCAAGGGCGGCCGTCAGCCTGGTTGAGAACCTTGAAGCTGTTGAAACGCATCCCAACTGGCAGGCCCTTGGCTAACAACTCATCAGACTCTTTCTTTATAACAAGATCACTTGCGCCATAGTTGACGGAGAGGCCACTCGCGAACAAGTTGCCTTTCAAAAAGGCATCCTTGAACACTTCCATCGAGACGCCTTCTGCGTCCATAACATCCTTGGCTGGTCGCCCAGAAAAGAGCCTGCTGAAGCGGTGGTCAAACTCAATGAGGTCTTGAGCTACCTGGCGCCGCTCAGTCTCGTAGGTGGAGAGGATGGTCCTCTTGGCGATGCCCTTGGCAACCAAGGCAACTTTCCATCCGAGATTGAAGGTGTCTTGCATGGAGACGTTCATTCCCTGACCGGCCTTCGGAGAATGTGTATGGACGGCGTCACCGGCCAGGAAGACGCGGTTGTGGGAAGAGAAGTCGTTACCAACACGTTGACCGATTTGATATGCGGTCCACCAGTCGCAATACTCGTAGTCTAGCTTGTACGGATGTAGAATCTTCCTTGAGGCTCTGAAGATCATATCAGGGGTGATCTTGGATCGGTCTGCTCTGCCAGACGCATCCGGTGTGACTTCTTTCAGCTGAATATACAGTCGAACCAACTTATTCTCTCGCGGAATAACCATCAAGCTGCCATTGTCAGCCGAATGGATAGCGCATCGCATACGAATGTCGGCTTCTCAGGAGTCAGCTTTGAATTCCAGCTCATGAGTCTGGCATCATGTACTAACGAAAATCAGTGATAGGTATGATATCCATCACGCCCCAGATGAAGTCCGTGGCTTCGCCCTCCAGTTCAAACCCGAGTTGTTTCCGCGTCCAGCTCCGAGCACCGTCACAGCCAAGTACATACTTGGCATGAACTATCTCAACATTTCCGGATCCAGGTTTGCGTTCGCTGAGGAGATCTGCTTCATCATCCTGAGCAAGGTTACTTCTGAAGAGCCCGTCTGGCACCTTGCTCCCGCTCACTTGCTGTTTCGGAGTAGAGTCTTCTTCAGTGAGGTGCTGAAGGGAGACCGTCACAGGATAACCATCGTTGGTTTCTACTTTGGTCTCATCAATCACCAATGAGGTAGGTAGGACGCCACGCTCGACTTGAATCGTATCTTTGGAAAACTTTTTGATGTTATCGAGGAAGAACCGCTCGATCCTACCTTGGTGAAGGACGATCTGCTGGAATCGCGAGAGGCCCACGATGGTGTCTGGAATTCTATCCGACCGTCGAATCACACCATCCTGGCCGGGGTTCTGTGAATGTCAGGGATATAGGCAATACTCAAATTGGATAGGCTGGGCCTTGCTGTGGTGAAGACTAACCCACATGCAGATCTATGTTGGATGTCAGTAGCTTTACACATTTGTGGACATCCCAAGACGTACCTCGATCATATGATTAGCCTCCTTCCAAGCCCTGTCAGCGAACCCAAGGCTATCGAAGATCTCTAAGCTACGGCACTGTAGTCCGTCTGCCTGGCCGGAGAAAATCTTTGTATTCCTCTTGTCGACAATGCGCGTCTTGATACCGCAGTGAGCCATCCACGCAGCTGCCATCAGCCTTTAGCAACATCACCGTCAGTATAGTCCTTGCCTTGGCTGCGTTGAGGGACTCAGGAACTCTCTTACCCTGCTGGACCGGCACCAATGATGAGTCTGCTCACACGATTAGCTTTACAGTCAATAGCGAGTTTGAAAACTGCTTCAACTGACACATCGACATTTGATTCGAGAATGTCACCACCCGTCTGGCGTTGGGAAGGTCCGCCGGAATCCGCGCCATTAGCGATGTCGTCGTCAGACTTGCGCAAGACAGGAGCCGCAGAAGATTCTCCCATGATATTCTTTGCTGCGCTCGGCCCTTGCTAGAACCGAAATACTTCGAAAGTCGCGGTATAGTCGCGATGAGCGTCATTCACACCAAGCAAGATCCACGGACAAGATCTGTTTGACCTTAGCAAATACTTATATCAGCTCACCGCCGAAGTCCTCTTTATCGCCCTAGCATCATCACGCCTGGTCGCTATGACATGCCGTGCGCCCCGCTCAACCCTGATCTTGGCTTCAAAGTATCAGCAACGTCGGGTGTAGGTCCTATTGGCTGCGTCGGGTGCGGGGTTACAGCGGCAGATTGACACGCCTCGGATGATCTACAATCAGCCGTCACGTTCGGTGGGCTAGCTCAAGCCCCTGAGCCAGCTTTAGATCTCCAGTACATCCTAATCTGGGATGATGACCTTGCACAGGCAACCGTAGTATGTACCGAATTCGTGCCGTGTCTATGCAGTTTACTGGGCGTCTCGTTGTTTCAAGACCAGACCAATGGCCGACTATCACAAGAGACTAAGAGCCGCCCCCTTGCTATAACGCAATATCACCCATGTTGCTACTATAAGCACTAGGTGGACAAACGTAAGATTTTGGCTTTTTTTTCACCAAGCTTACTGAGGACAGCACGATGTGACGAAAACGATCGGATGTGGCCTTGAGTGATCGATCGAATCAACCCGGTTGGTCACAGCGTCTGTTGGCTCGCTCGTTATGATGGGTAGTTGGTTCATCGTGCACGAGGAACATTCAGACTGATGCCTTTGCCGGTCTTCTGCCGCGAAGCGGATAATCAACCTAGTTGTAGGTCCCTCCCAACGCTGCCGTCGATCGAAATGGTATTCCACCCCGCATGTCGCCGCCCGATCCCAGCGCGTGCTAAATTAGTAATATAAGTCGGAGCTCCATATTTAAAGCGCTTTCCAATATGGTACATTCTCTATCACAATTTTCTTATTGACTTTATGTTATGGGAAGAGCGGGAAGACATACTTCTTCATAAAACAACTAGCTGATATGAACTATTTTGTCCTTCATGCCTCGCGTCAAGATGTCTTTCTCCACATCTCTATCCCTCATTATCGAAAAGCTTCGCATCACATCCTCTGTAAGCGAAGAATTCGCCTGTGCTAGGTTCAGCCACGCATTATCTCCGACTCGCGAAACCCGAGATTTCATTAGAAAAGTGATTGTGATCGCACTGACCAGGACAATGTGCACACAGACCGCCGTGACGGCCACAGACAGACCCTTTCTAGACTGAGGAAACTGATAATCTTGAAACCTTGCGATAGCTGGTGTGTCCCCGATGTCGTAATAGGGCAGGTTCTGGTAATACGCCAGACGGCCGAGGATAGTATAGTACGACTGCCAGGCTTTGGCACTGTCACCCGTGTTCTTTACCACGTCTTGGAATAACTGTTCCTGGACTGCAGTGTTGTCGACATAGGAGATGTTCATGTCCGACTTAATTGCGAATTCCATCCCGCAGCCCCTGCACATCCACGTACCCCACGAGTACGTGTCCTTGCTGACCATTGCGACAAAGGCTTGAGAAGGGAATGATATGTTGCTTGCGCCTTGATTTTTAGCGTCATCATACCAGAGTTGTGTTTGCTCTCGTAGCTGCTGTGGGCTAGTCTCAAAGCTCATGATACCTCGTTCCGGAGCGGATTGGTTCTGACCTGGCAGCGTACCGAGCTGACGGCGCACGTCTGTTGTGTCCAGAAACCCGGCCGAGGCGTTCCATGCACCCAGTTATGGCTCACTGTTGGGTTGGGTGCTTGTAAAGTTGACATGGGCGTTGATTGAGGCGAATGAGTCAAAACAGAGAGATACTGACAGGCCAAAGTCCGGAATGCTCGGGATTTTAAAAACCAGCCATTCGTTCTTCGTATCTATAATGAGTTTGTTTTCATCTTGGTCTGAACTGAAGAACATATTGGTATTCCTTTCTGGCTCGCTGGGCTCGGAGACTGTCAAGTTCAGGAGCTCATAGCTTCGACCCGTCATCAAGGACACATTATTACCATCTTGATAATACGTCAAGTTCCAAGCAAGATATTCTGGGTTCGTCATGGTGAAGTTCATAGAACCTTCAGCTGAGGTTATTTCGGAATACCGTGGATCCAAAGATGAGACTAGGGCGGGACCAAGATACATCAAGTTCTGAGCAATACCCCAACGTCCACCATCCCCGTGAGCGAAAGGTATCTGCTGGCTCCAGTTCAAGGTCACTTGGGACCCGCTGGACTGGTTCGTGGCAAGACTGTAAGTCACTGGCAGCAGACCGGAAGTCATGGCTGGCTCCTCAGCAAGTATAAGGCCAGGGGGCACAGTCTCAGGGGTAAGTGAGCCGTTGAGAAGGTAGCCAAAACTCCCTGTTACATACCCGATACTGAAGTATGGATGTAGCTTGGGCCTAATACAGACGACTCTGGAGTCCTCGATAGTAACCATGCCGGAGAAGGATTGAATTGTTGTTCGCTTAGACTGATTTGAGATTGGTATGAAAGCTCTTAGTGTCACCCCAGCATCACGGATGGTGTTTTGTGAGAGAGATAATGCCGCCGGAGGGTCCTCGCGATATTCTGCGAAGATGGGAAAGTCAGGAGGAGATTCTGACCAGTACGAGATCTGTCCTGTCAGTCTCGTGTCGTTAATTTGGCCAATTCCTGCGTGCCAGGACAATGCTGCAAGGGTCGCCTCGTTTCTGGTATGACCTATCAATGGCCCAATAGCGAGGTCGCTCACGAGAACAGTCGATACGAACTGGAGAGCAAATGTGGTGAGGTACACAAGCAATGTGACGAACACCCATAGTCCGGCATAAGAGTATGTGTCTCTCAACGCGAGTGCGAGGCTCTGCGGTCCGTTGTTGACGTACCTCAGGGCAGACACAGCTACGGACCGATGAAGGGCAACGCCTTTGCATTCCATGATAATGCAAGACAGCATTGATGTTATGATTCTGCTCTTGTTAGGATACCAAGCAGGACAGGTAGCTACTGTGGCTAAAACATCACTTACACTGCTTGCGTTGCAATAGCAGTACGTAAGACCATCGTACTTATTGTGATTGACTTAAGAGTCCAGTCGCTCTGGACAATGTTAAGCCAAGTCTTATTCGTCTGTGTACCCCCCGGATTCGACCAGAGAAAGCAGATGAAGGCGACGCAGCAGGGGAGTGCAATGCTCGCGAGGACGAAGGACGATGTGGCCAACACGGACAGCTTGTGAAATGCTGAGAACCCCTTCTTTTCGAGGTTTTCGGGTTCTGATTCCAATATCTGGCTTGAGCTGCTGTCGCCTTCCTGAGCGATATCTTCGGATGGTTGACATACGTTGCCTGATTCATTGCTGTCTTCGCTCATGTCTGATTCGTATATTTGAGGTGGACTTTCATCCTCTTTCGACTTTGAGCTTCCCTCTCCGTCAAGTCGCTCACCCCTGCAGACGCTGCTGTTGCCAAAAGCTTGTCCAGATAAATCTGGCCCAGCCGGGGGCGTACCGTCGTGATCTTTGGAAACCATTCTTTGAAAAAAGTAAGAAGTGAGGAATGGGATGGTTCACTAAGTGTTGTGCTTGCTAATTCATACTTTCCAAATATATAGATATGTTTCGCGTAAGCTACTAATTAAGAGCTGGACTAAGGCTCTGCTTTATCTTTGCACGCATGCACCCCGCCCACCCCATACATGTGATATTATCCCGTCAAATATTATAATACTTCAGCTTTAATTATGTAGGGTCTCTGTTTGCAAGCAAGCTGAAATCTTGAATTTGGTCTCCTGCTGACCGTACCTCACATACTGCTGTGCATGGCCCCCACTCTGCTTCCTATGACCTACAATGATCACAGCCTTGTACCGTACAAGCTGTGAGAAGGGGCAACTGATGGTAAAGACCTGATGTTGAGAACAGAGCTGAAAACATTTGGAGTACAAAAGAAGGGATAACGTTCATCCCGTTTCCGTAATCATGATCCCCAGATCAACATTCAGGTCCCGCTCATGGTCTAGCTCCGCTCTCGCCGCCTTCAGCCTATCTTTTTCGCACAGCCATCAGGAAGCAGAGATATTGAGGCTCAGGGATTTCCTCTTTTCTTCTCTTTGTCTTTCCTCTTTCTTCAGCTAATCCTTCGACTGACACCTCTTTTTTGTGCCTGGCATTTTGATACCGCTCTTGTTAGCTTAAACTTATGTTGTCTACAGTGAATATTATGACTACCAGAGCCGATTGTACCAGGATTGGCGGGGTGTGCTTGAGCGTCCGCGAAAGTTTAAGTATTGTTTTGTAGAAAGTTTTAGGCAAGTAGTACAGCATTGTTAGTCACTAGATGTCAATGTTCCGCCAAGGATAGGTTGTCGGATTACATCAAGTCTTTTTTGGGAGCCATGCGTGATCAAGTAATCAATCACATTGATTGCGATTACATCCTTCGTGCTGATGAACAAGCTCATGCTCTAGCCTCTGCTCAGGAACTTCTTCGAAGTTGGCAGCAGCATCACACTCACAAATACCAACGGCGCCACGGGGCGGGCCGCAATTAACACACAAACGCCACAGCAAGGCAAGGAATAATGACCCGAACCCTCTGCCTGATGTCATACGGTTCGGTTCGTACGAGCACATCATTATCGCGTGTGTGGAGAGTAGCGAGGCTGTTTCAAGCGGCTGCAAGACCCCGGGAGTTGAAGTAGACGCAGACGAGCGTCACGTTCGGGGTCCGCTTCGGCAGGGGCGCAGCCATGCGCAAGTCTTCCTCGGCTCAAACGACAAGGAGCACCGCGCGGTATTCATTGAATGGTCCAGCCACTGTTGGGATGTTGGTCACCACGATACTTCGTCGTGCTCAAAGACTATCGGGTTCATGACGCCGATCGAGGCAGCGAGGCGTACTCAAATATTTGACTCAGTTTCCACAAGGAACTGGCAATACTACTACTTAAAGACTTGGTCGGCGGCTGAGACTCATACGGCAGCCTCGCGATGTAAACTTTAGATTTTGCTGTGTGGTTACGTTTGGCTGGCATGTGTTTCATTGGTCCTATGGTAGGGGAGCTTGTTTTCCTTCACGATGTCTTCGTCTCCCCTGTAGAAGACCCGTTCGAGAATTAGAGTCCACAATTTAGGCAGAGAATCTTGCCACTTTCCATGCTATGCGGTAATTATTGGGGGAAAATGACGATCGCCAGGTCTCTCAGAACTAGCTGCACCTATCTTTTTTCCCACACACCCCCTCAGTTTCCAAAGACACGGCTTTGTGAAATAAACTTAAGAGCAAATACTATATACTTTATCACAGCAGATCCCTCTGCCTCTGCTTCAATCCTGATTTGAACTCACAACCTCTCGGGACTATGAGTAGATGGTAGAGAATCTCTAATTATAACTAAATTCAGTTAGAGTGGCATCCTCTTGTATCTTAGAAGGTGGCGCCTTGCTACTGAGCGAACTGGGCTTATAACTAGGGGAAAATAATCGCTTTAGTGAGTATTGAAAGAATGGATTAGATTGCTAATTATCTAGAAAACTAGATAAAAGAAAACGCTTAAAAGGGGTGTTTTTATATGTGTAAGTGATTAGGGTTAGGGTTTCCTTCCTCACAGTAATGCTACTGAGTCTATCCAGAGCAGCTTTATTGTTGCTTAATAAGCTTTTCACTCTTTAGTTAGCTCTGCTTGCGCGTTGCATGTGCTTGCCATAGTAACTCGCTATACCTCCACGAGATTGATGTTCATCATGTCTCAGCTGGGATCATTCTCTTGTACTAGTAATATCCTGTTCACGATAGTAGATCTCGAAGAGCTAGGTTCTTCTCTTGTTTGTACTATGTATATCCACAAGTGACAAAGGTCATGCCCGGGCAGTGCCATTGAAATGGCACAACCTTGGTGTTCAAACTCTCGTCGTTCAGACCATGCGTTGCAGAGTCTTCAGCAGTTGCCTTGCCTCTTCAAGGGTAAAACCAGCTAACCTGGCGCCAGAGCCAAAAACTCCAATTTCAGTGTCTTAGATGCTTGCTCCCCGGCTCATCATCTCATTTCGTATTCAGGGTGTGCCTTGTCGAAGAAGTACATGATAGCCTTCCGATTCTCCTCAAGCGGAAACCGAGACACATGCCCAGTGCCGCGTGTACAACCAAAGCGTGACCTCTACATATTGTGGAGAGTGGACTAGCCAGCACGATGACCTATGGGCTGCTTCTCAGTATCGTAGCTCTTGAGTGTCCTGGACCTGTCTTGAGAGCCTGCACTACCTTCACCAGGTTTCTTTTTTTCTTCTTTTTTTCTTTTTTTTTTCTTTTTTTACGAAAGGCTTGGCCACACCCTTCTGCATATAGAAGCGCTAAGACGTTATGACAGTGATTGCATTTAGAAGGTTGCGGTGTCCCTCTAGGAGGAGGTGGATTGTTGTTTTCTCCCTCCCCTCCTCCCACCCTCCCCCCTGCCCCCTGTTTTTTTCCTTCTTTTTTGTTGAAGTTGCATAATCAGCTGATGCATAGTTGTCATGCACCAAAGCCACTGCCCCTCTCTTTGCCCGCAAATGAAACAAAGGGATTAAACACGCTCAACATCATCTCTTATCTCGTAACCACATTCAAAAAGCCCGGTGCTGCCTCGCAGCCCACTCAGGTTGCACCTTCTGCGCCTCGCCCTTCTCACAACATCATTCGTACGCATGCGCGCCAGCGAATCCGTTATGCCGTCTCAATCGATATGGCCTAGGCTAACCTTGTGCGGCCCGCTGCTCTGTGTCCGAAATGAGGCTCCTAGTTCGTTGCGTTTTTATGGTACAGAGCGACGCCCGACGGGAGGAACTCCCACCACTCCCACCACGCGAGCAGTGAGCCAAATTGCGTTAGCGTGTCCGGCATTACTTGCCAGCACACTTTGGCAGGTGTTTTCGGCTTCACGTGTTCAGCAGTCTTGCTATCTGGTGCACAGACTGCTTAGCCTTCAAGATGCTTGTTGTTAATTTGCTTCGATATAGAAATTAGCGGGTATGGTAGGGGATAACATGCTGGTCGAGATTGAGACATGGTCAAAGTGGGCTCTGTTGGTCAGGCACGTTAGAGTCTGTCGAGGCTGGCCAAGTAGTGAGAGGACTAGGGAAACTACGCGGACTACATATGTCTGGTTTACTGAAGACCGGCCGATCATACTGAGTCAATCGTTATTGTTATAGAACTGTGAGGCTCAGTAGCTGACTGATCACCCTTTTCAGGTATATGAGTTGTAAGTTATTCATTCTCTCAATTACTAACAGAGTCCTCTCGAGCCAAAAGGACGCCCCAACTCGCAATCCTGGTGTGCCGCTCCTAAGCCTATTCCTTATCCCTAGTCCTATAGTACCCGTCGTTGGCACTTTGTAATCCTTGACATCCGGGTCCCCCTCGCCTCTCGCTCCGAGCCAACGTGCGGGATTCGACCAAATTCAGCTTGATCTGCGCCGCGAAAGCTCCACGTGTCGCTCCATCTAATCAAAGGAATCAAAGGAATCAACGGTCCTCCGGTCGATCCGCAATGCGACATTCCGTTAAATAAATAAATAAATAAAAAGAAAGTTCGGTCTTCTTATATGGCTGGCCTGCGCTTCTTTCGCATCTCTTCAACAATGTCTTCCCCTTCAACCAACTTTTACCGATCTCAAGATGCAGAAAGCAGTTATCGCAGCGTCCGCGCTGCTCATCAGCTCCGCTACAGCTACTGTCGAGACCTTAAGCAATGTTCTCACCAATGGGACTGTAACTGCTGAGTGGACGTCAAGCCCCAGCACATATTTGGACGGTCCGAAGATCTCTGGCCCTGCAAATGACACTACTTACGACTGGTAAGCCGGATTTCTACTTACTGCCTTCGTATGATTCTCAGCTAAAACGCCCACAGGTGGTATTTCGACGTAGTGTCTGCAGCAACCAACGCATCTACGGTCGTTGTTATCTACAATGCAGGCCCTGATGGCTTTATCAATACCTATTACGACGGGCCCCTATCAGCCTCGCTTACAGGGACGTTTGCTAACGGGACCGCATACAACTTGGACCTGCCTGCGACCGGTGGCGTTATTGATTACGACCAGGACGGCATCTCATTAGTATGGGAAGGTGCCGGCTTCAGCTTCGTCGGCTCTAGTCTTTCCGAGTCAGAAGCAACTTATGTCATGACTATCAACTCGTCTGACATCGGCGTCCAAGGGACCATAACCTGGAAGTCGGTACGTGCTACTAAAGGCCACCTTTTCGCGGCCTGCCAGATGACCTACTAGTGTCATGAAGACTAATTGAACAATCAACAGCTCGCCCCCGCTCACTACCCTTGCAGCCTCAATGAAGATGGTGCGAGCGAGGTGATTATGCCACACATCGGCTGGGCCAACGCCGTGCCTGACGCAACAGCAACCGTCGATCTCCTTTTCAGCGACGGCACCTCCCTGAGCTTCGACGATGGCATTGGGTACCACGACAAGAACTGGGGCGACCAGGCTTTTGTGGACAGCGCCTCGCAATGGTACTGGGGACACGCACACCTCGGCCCCTACTCCATTGTCTGGTATGACGCCCTCGACCTCGCTGGCCAGGAGTACTTCGCTGGCTACGTTGCCGAGAATGGCACGGTCATCAGCGCAAGCTGCGCCACGAACGCAGTTGTAGTCCGCCCATGGGGTGCAAGTAGTACCTATCCGCCGACTTTGACAACAGGTATCATGCAGGGCCTGGGAATGCAGTTCGATCTGGGCAACGGAACTACATTTGTTGCCAATGTTACGACCGGTACAATCATCATCGATATAACAGGATACAACCGGGCTCGTGGAACAATTGAAGGCGGACTTGATGGCGGAGAGTTATACACAGGAACGGCATTGTTCGAGGAGTTCGCTTTGATTGCATAACAGATGTACCTTTGACATAGCGAAACGGTCCTTCTTGTATATTTGGATGCCTACTAGTGGTAAAACTTTCAATTTTTGAACCGACTTAGCGGGGGCGGCATAGACAAATTATGCACGACGCTCTCAAGCAGACTATTTTCCCGACACCCGTTACTGCAATGGGATGTTCTATATCAGTGCGCTTTATACGCTCCACCCATGCATTAATATGCAGCCATATATACCAGATATGTACTAAATTTAGTACATCACTATACTTTTGCGGGAAGCCCAAGGACAGTGCCCCTGGTTAAGTATACAAGCATCAATGACTATTGGGTACATAGTAAGGAGATTGTGCAAATTAAAACACGACCCTAGTCTGTATCGTATACTATACGACAATGAGAAAGAGTGGGGCTAAATAGTGGGTTCTCAAATGAGCAGTGATCTATAATTATCCCTTAGGTACTCTAGCAAGAACAGGATTCTCTCACATATATTCAAAAGGACTTGTGTTATTTTTGGAGCCCTGATGCCTCCTGAACACTATCTATTTCTTTGCACATACAGAACAGGTGGTGCATTGAGCATGAAAAAGAAGTAAAAAAGTGTTATCTAACACTAGCTTGTTTCAAACACGGTACAGAACAGGGAGAGCAAAGAATTATTCCCATTCTTCAAAATTCTGACAGCAAATAAGTGCTCTAAGTTAATGTTAAAGCAAAATCTATCCGTAATCAAAAAGATGTGATCAAGAGATGTTTCAATGAAGAGATGTTTTTAGTGGTATGATTTCACAATCTCATCAAGTAATGGATTTCGACTGCTTGTCCTGTTTGCTTCAAGATTATAGCTTGGGGACAATAATGAACCCAGATAATTCTTAATTTGTTACATACCGAAGTGCTAGAGGCTGAATTCGTGAAATTATGCTTCTTAATAACTATACAAATGTTAGAACTTTAAATTAGGACCTGAAGTTTTGTAACCATGCAATTTTGCAGTTCAGGGTGGACTCAATGCCAAGATTGAACAAAAATAATTATTCAAGGTTATGAAGTTGTCTTTGTGAGGAAATAAATCAAAGTTTGCAACCATCTGCTAGCTTTCTTTCCATTAAAAGTCGCTGCTCTCGAGATCAGACTTAAGGAGTATTTGTGGTAGCCTACCTTGCTGAGACAAGCACCAGCCTTTCTTCTAACTAATCATGCTCAACTCCCCATTGATAAGATTTATTTGAATAATTCACTTTTCCAATTATTAGTGAGATCAAACTCCCAGAAGTTTACCTATCCTCGAATGACGTCGAGCATAAACTTTTGGCCACAAAGAGGTATAACATAGAGGTATAACAAACACAGGGATCCAAGGTAAGCAGTTCAATGTCAGCAGTTGTAAAATGGCCTGGAAAGAAATTCCATGAACAAAAGAACAGCGAGAGCAAGAATAGTCCCACAGAACTGATCTAAGGGAGGTCAGTGACTCCCAGCACATTGCATACCTTGCAGAAGCAGAGAAAGACAATGGCAACACTTCCAGCTGATGAAGGCAAACTCGTTGAAGACGAGAGCATCAAACGCTGTCCCACTCTTGTTACTGAGTTGTTGTCTGAATTGCAGTAGTCTTATTAGCTTGTGCTTTGAGGGCCAAGCATCGTTAGTGCTAGACAGATGTTCCTATTCAAAATCGCGTAAAAGAAATACGTGCCTTGAGAGCTTTTGTTTTCTTTCTTCAGTCTAAGCCCTTCGGGTCTGCATCCACGTTGCAACACATCTCCGTAGATCTCGTTGACAAAGGGGATCATCAAAAATTTTGGCTCATCTCATGCCCTGGTAGTAGCAACGTCTCTGCGCTGTACCAAGAAGGCATTCGAGAAGGACTTGACAGTACCACCTTGGACGAAAATTACAAACCACGTTCAGCTCGACGCACGGGTCCTTCAGCTTTACATATTGGCCGAGTGTTATTGCGTGAATTCAATAACATGTGAAAGGGCTGTCAGGAGCTGCCTCAAAATAATTCTGTGGGTGCAGCAGATTTGCAGCCAAGGGCTAAATCTTTCACAGAGTATGAATTGAGAGCAACGCATGCAAATCATTTTCAACACCAACATATCAGCTGTGTCCTGTGAGAATTACAGCGTGGAAGTCCGCGACGTGGGCGTAGGTATTCTAGCCTGTTGACACCAAGTATATGCCCCTTGTCGCCGATCGAATCTATGTGTTGATGGACCAATGCGTGCAGTCTCTTATCTCTGTGATAATTCGGTCCAGATATATTGACAACAAGGAACACTTATAAAGAGCGCAGTCCGCAGTGGTATCACACAGGTCCGTACAGACTTTCAGCCAAGGCAAGGGCTCTGCCTCAGCATCTCAATGCCTCATAATCGGACGGCAGGTCTTCGGGCGAACCCCGCACAAGACGACGGAGACACGAGGTTCTGCATCAAGTTATTTAGAGCATAAACTGGTTATTTAGTGTGGAATTCTCGGCATGGGCTAGCTCATTGGAAGTGTTGGAGCGATATTTGCATCAGGAGAGGATCTGCTTCCGAAATTGAGACAGTTCCGGAATCTGCTACAACATCAAGTACTGCATAATTTCCAAAATGAACCGCCGTACACTCTACTACTTGCGACTTTGGGGATCGCAGCACTTGGGTCAGTGCTCTTCCCCCATGCTCCGATCCCGTCACACAACAGCTTACTCTGGATCCAGGCCTGAGCCTGACAGCTGCCTCCGAAGTGCATCTACTGAAACCCGGCTGGAATCCTATAATAGAAAGGCAAGGCTTTTAAATGATGTCCAGTGTCTGGTTCAACGGGAGGAACTCGAAATAATTCAATACATCGTTCCAGGACGAGACATCGATTGAGGAGGTGAGCCCCCAGGCCCCCCAACCCCCCCGGGGGGGGTACTTTGTCCCAGCTATATGAGGGCCATTGGCATTGGGCTCTGTACAACTCCGAGAACTGGAACTGGACCGCAGAGCATGCAATAACGAAACATGGCATCAATACAGTCTGAACATAGGCTGAATTTGCCTCATAATCAACATGGCGACTGTTGCGCTGAACCTGCCCGCAAAGGCAACACCACATAGGCATAGATACACCATATCATAATGTAGTCTCTTATCCGTGGATTTGTTTTCACGAAGGCACTCTACATTCGGTGTAATTTATCTAATGCATCCTAGTACTCCACACACCCGACCAAGATAATGAATGCTGAGAGGGTCATCGTTTACCCTTAAAACTATTATCCATGCGTATATGAAGGGGTGTTCCCTGGTTTCCCCGTTCTTGAACCAGGATGTGACGCATTTCCCCAGATTCCGGTGGAGCAGAATCCGGGGCAAGACTGGGTTTCCCCGCAACTGAGGCTGGTTTGACCTTGGAACCTAACCGCCAAACAAGCTACGGCCAATTTTTCCCGCGGAAAACTGGAGACTCGGAGAGCATATTCCAGCTAATGGATGTCATCCCCCTCAATCACCCAGATTCACGGCGGTATAAAAAGCCTCTCAAAGTGTTCTAGAAGAGAGACCATCTCAGCCTCGTCTTGTGCCTCCTTTCTGAGTGAATTCTCCAAGAAACTTCAGCCTGGCATCGCCATTCGATATCTCGTCTCTTCACAATGTCCGTTGATAAAATAAACAATGCTTTGGGCGATGGTCCTAAAGGACTATCCCACGAGCACATGGAGGATTCCAGTCTTCCCCGCGGCTCCAAGGAGCTGGCCCAATCCAACGTCTTCGCTGAAGATATTGTTTACGGGCCAAACGGCCTTCGCGGGCTGATCGGCAACTCATACGTCTTTGGCGCTGCTTTCCTCGCCTCACTAGGTGGGTTTTCGTTTGGCTACGACCAGGGTGTTATCTCAATCATCAACGTTATGGCCCAGTTCCACAATGCCTTCCCACAAACCGAAAGTGCTTTTGGCACTAGTTTCATGACTGCTATGTTGCTGCTCGGCGCTTTTATTGGTTGTATCTTTATGCCTTACCTGGCCGACAAGATCTCACGGAAACACGCCCTCACCGTTGTGGTGGTTATCTTCACCATCGGTGCCGCAATTCAGACATCAGCCCCGAGTTATGCTGCCCTGGTCACTGGCAGAGCTATTGGGGGCATTGGCGTTGGAACTCTAGCAATGGGAAGTAATCTTTTGACTTCCAAGGTTTCATGCGCTCTGCAAATTGCAGGGTGTCCTCTTGCAAAGGGGATGAGAGAAGGGGGGAATTCCCTCAAAACAATAAACAAGATGAGAATCGGAGAGCTAACAATGAATGAAAACAGGGTGCCCCATTGTATATCTCCGAAATCTCTCCGCCGAATCTCAGAGGAACCCTTCTCGTACTCGAGTCCATTTCCATTGTATCCGGCGTCGTTATTTCCTTCTGGATTACATATGGTACGAGAAACATCAACAGTGAGGTCTCATTCCGGCTACCTCTGGGACTGCAAATGGTCTGCACTACAATTCTCGGCATCGGCCTTCAATTTTTCCCCTACTCACCCCGGTGGCTCAGCCTCGTTGGCCGCCACGAAGAGACCCTGATCAGTCTGTCCAAGTTGCGCAGACTGCCTATCTCTGATGCACGCGTGCAACAAGAGGCAAGGGGAATCTTCGCCGAGGTTGAGTTCAAGAGGCTTTCCATTCAACAAAGACACCCAGGTGCCACCGACTTCAAGCTGGAGGTCTACTCATGGCTGGATCTGTTTGATCGCAAGACGATCCGAAGAACCATTGTCGGCTGCGGAGTCTGCTTCTTCCAGCAATTTTCTGGCATAAACGCCTTCATTTACTATGCACCGACTTTGTTCGAATCCATTGGACAAACCTCCGAAATGGCACTCATTTTGTCTGGAGTGTTCAACATCCTGCAGCTGGTTGCTGTCGCTATCTGCTTTGTCGTTATCGACAAGGTGGGACGCAGACCTCTCGCCATTTTGGGAGGTTTCGGGTCTTGCTTCTGCTATGTGATCATTGCTGCTCTCGCTGGCGTCTACGAGGCGGACTGGTCGGCAAACACGTCTGCTGGTTGGGCATGCGTCGCCATGGCCTTCTGTTTTATCATGGTTTTCGGCGTTTCCTTCTCGCCCCTCGGCTGGGCCCTGCCTGCCGAGGTGTATCCCAACTCTCAGCGTGCAAAAGGTGTGGCCCTGGCTACCTGTGTCAACTGGCTTGCCAACTTCACCGTTGGCATCGCCACGCCACCTATGCTCCAGGATATCAGGTTTGGGACTTATATCTTTTTCGCCTTCTTCTGTGGACTTGCTGGGATATGGGCGTTGCTCTTCGTCCCGGAAACCAAGGGTAAGACCCTGGAAGAGATCGACGCACTGTTCGGTGATGGTTCTGGTGGTGATGTTGAGATCCTGAGGTTGGCTGCTGCTGAGGCTGACCGGATTATGGCTGCCCAATGCGTATAAAAGCGACAATGTAAATGAGTGCATAAAGCTAGCTGCTCGAGATCAGCTGCTCGAGATGGATAACGAAAGGAATGATGAGGACGGTTATAACCTCTACTCAATGAACATTTGAAACTTAATGCCTCCCAGCCCCTTCTCAGCTACCTATGATTCTCGAGGCCTTCTAATAATTATCCTTTTCTCTTCTGTTATATCGACGTCTGGCCAGGCAATAATTTGTATTCAAGCTAGTAAAGATACATATTGCTTGGTATTCTACTTAAACTTCTGAGTAGTGGCCTGGCTAGTCATTGAGAAAATAAATTCTATTCGATCGTAGCAGCTACAATCGGTTTTGTTATTGGTCGCTGCTGTCTGAAATAAGGGTAAGACGTTGCAGATATGGATAAAGTCACTTGGTGTCCACATTGCAGATTAATTACTTAAGTATGCAGTATCGATACTGGAAGAATCATGTTATGATGTGATCTTGAAGATAGAGAAGACTCCATTTCTCTCAATATTTCCCATCCAGCAGCTTAGAGACCAGCATCTTGATTGCCGATTGTGACGCTCTTAATAACCTGGTATTCCTCAAGCCCATAGAGGCTACCCTCTTTTCCGTACCCACTTTCCTTGATGCCTCCAAACGGCGCTTCAGCAGCGCTGATCTTTCCAGTATTGACACCGACCATACCAACCTGAAGCTTGTGAGCCACCCGCATGGCCCGAGCAATATCCTGTGAGAATAAGTACCCGGCCAATCCAAACTCAGTGTCGTTCGCAAGTCGCAAAGCGTCCGCTTCAGTCTTGAAGACGAAGACGGGAGCGAGTGGCCCGAATGTCTCCTCTCTGCTGACCAGCATCTCCGGGTTTACTCCAGAGAGCACAGTCGGTTCGTAAAAGAAACCTGCCGAGGCAGGCGGCTTGCCACCAACCTCAACTTTGGCACCCTTGGAGGTGGCATCGTCCACGTGCTCCTGGACCTTTTCCACAGCAGACTTGTTTACCAGCGGACCCTGCGTTGTGGAAGCATCCAGCCCTGGACCTGTCTTGAGAGCCTGCACTGCCTTCACTAGTTTTTCGATGAAAGGCTTGGCCACACCCTTCTGCACGTAGAGGCGATTTGCACTGTGGCTCAAAGTTAGCCATTTCTTTCTGCTTTTCATTGCAGCAGCCTGCGGGTTCAAGTGGTCGGGTAACTTACCAAACGCATGTCTGTCCGGAGCAGCGGAACTTGCAAAACATGGCACCTTCTACAGCCAGATCAAGATTTGCGTCGTCAAAGACGATGAATGGCGCATTACCACCGAGCTCGAGGCTAACCTTCTTTAGTGTTCCCGTTGCCAGCTCAGCCAGCTTCTTGCCCACGCCGGTTGAGCCGGTGAAGCTGAGCTTCTTAACGAGCGGGTGCTTAGCAAGCTCAGTAGCAGCTTGTCGGTCCTTAGTGGGGCACACCTGAATTACGGCAGGAGGAATACCGGCTTTGACGGCCAGCTTGGTAAGTGCAATGCACGAGTAGGGAGTCTCACTGGGTGGCTTGATCACGACGGAGCAGCCAGCTGCAAGTGCTGGGCCGACTTTCCTTGTGATCATAGCGGCAGGGAAGTTCCAAGGCGTGATGATACCGCACACACCAATGGGCTCACGAAGGGTCATCAGAGTCGTGTGAGGTGTAGATGACGGGATCGTGACGCCATAAGCTCGGGTGGCTTCCTCGGCAAACCATGCTATAAAGCTGGCAGCATATGCAACTTCTCCTCTTGCCTCAGCCCGCGTCTTGCCATTCTCGAGGGAGAGGATTGTCGTAACTATTGTACGGTATGTTAGCAAACGAGGTGACCGCGAAAGTTTCAACTGAATATGTACTTACGATCATCAATGTTTTCCAGAATGAGGTCATACCATTTTCGTAGAAGTGCGCCCCTTGCTGTCCCGGTTGTGCTTTTAAAGAACTTGCATTGTGCTTCGTCCGCACTCACGATGGCTGCCTGAAAATCTTCGAGCAAACAGTCTGAAACCTTGCCCAAGACGGAAATGGATGACGGTTCTATCATTTGACATCAGTACGAACCAAGTGAAAAGAGGAAGAAAAGAAACAAACGAGGAGTTGGTTCATGAAAACGGACCATAAACGTCGAACTGTTTCTCTTTCGAGATCCACTTCCCACCGATGAAGGCTTCGCCGGAGAACAAACTGCTGTCCTTCAGCTGCAGTGAGGCCGATTTTGCATTAGTATTGTGTTATACCAATATGACTGAGGAGCACTACTAACACTCTCCAGATGTTGTGCGTGGTAAGACATTTCAATAGCAAGATCCAAGGGCTGTAATTAGATCATGGCAAGGGGCGGGGCGGATTACAAGACAGCGATCAAGTCAGTACTAATTTACCTGCTTACATGGACCAGAGAAAGTATTTTAATGTGTAGTTCTTGTTCTATCCCAATATTTCGGATGCAAGACTTTGTACTCATTATGGATTCCTCATCTTTGCCGGCCCAATGACATCCGAGTTCTGCAGCGGATTTCGAGCCCCGAATACTTCTGCTGCGCCCAAAGTGGGTCGGGATTCAGCTCCGAACAGATCCGTCGACCCGGGGTGGTGCCACCCCCAGGAAGGCGAAGCCGTGCTAACCATACTGCGTGACAATGTAGTTTCAATGATGCCGAGGCCAGCCAGGCTACCTTCGGCTGGTTTTAAGCTTCAATCGAGTCAGCTTTCTATGCACTTCCGGGGACTGGCTCTCCCCAGAGCGACAGGGATGATCACCCCCTTCGTCTTTCACAGTAAGACGGCCTGTTGTGGCGAAGTGATCTTGGATTCTCACAGAAGAGGTGCCGGGCAAACGCGGTTCGCATCCTTCACCTGAGGGCTGCGAAAGAAGTTACCTTCTATAGAGCAGTCAAAGAGTCAGCTCTCGCTCATCAGCTGTATTCCAGAGCAGCACGCCGCCTCATGGTAGCAAAGCGAGGAGCACGTCTTCCTAAAGTAAGGCTGCAGTCTAGATGCAGCTACTAGGTGCATTATCGCAGTTGGTTCAACTCAAGAATTCAATTCACACACTTTGCCTCTCTAGCAATGGGTGCCATTCAAGTTGCTAACCTAAAGTTGGATAGACTTTAGTGAATACGTATTAAAATTCAGTCGAGACTTGACTGCAGCAAGTTTGATGTGTGATATTGTGCAAACCCCTGAAGGAAAATCACAAATTCACTGATGAATATGTTCAGCTACGATGGCGAAGTGTTCAAATGAAACTGCTTGAAATTTGCAGTATCTGTACGCACGTATACTTGGCTTGGATTTTATACTATCAAGGGCAATGGATTCCTCTTTAAAATTCACATCAGTATGATGTAATAATTTGGAAATCCTTTATCATCATGAGTAGAAGACGTACGTACTGTAAAAAGAGAAACAGCAGTTTGATGTGAACATGCAAAGGAATCAGCACCAAGCCTTTAGGGAGCAGAATTTGTTCCCACGAAAAACCCAATGGTATCCAAGTCAGCCTGACTAAAGGTTTACACCAACGCCACCCTTGTAATTTATGCGTTCCAGAACACACCAACCATCTTTTCCTTGCTAAAAGAACTTCGGCGCGAGACCCCTTTATGAAACCTGGGCGATCCAAGCCCGAAGACCGCTGGCCACATCGGGAATCCTGCCCTTCGAGGGCCCAGAACGAGATGCTGCTGCCACAACACTAAGGACGACGATGGCCTTCATGAGCCAGTTCGAGGTGTACACCTGCCGGCGAAGAGCATAGAGTGGCCACAACCTGCTGCCACCGATAAGATTGAAGGCAGACCAGTTTGGGAAGTACGTGCTAGCCCAGAAGGAAGCCGCCTTGCCAGGCCAGGAGGCAGCATTCCGGCCAAAGCTGCCAATATACCAGTTGGAACAGTCTCCAGCGAAGACGGTGTTGGAAAGCTCCTTGTGTATAGCGTTTGTCGTGTAGTCCTCAACCGCCTGCTTGACCTCGATGACCTCGGCCCTGTGGTCGATCAGGGGCACAAAGAGTGACTTGATAGCATAGTCGACCTGCGTCTCGCACGCAAACAGCGCAGAGTTATTGGCAGGGAATGTGTTGGGGCCAAAGAGGATGGCCAGGTTGGGGAAGTTGTGGACGTGGGTGCCCAGGTAGGCCTGGGCGCCACGGCATTCCTTCCACTGCTGGTGCAGCGATCGGCCATCTGCGCCCACGATCTCCATGGGCACAAGGAACTCCGAGACCTGGAACCCAGTGGCGAGGACAATGATGTCGTAGTCATCCCGTATTCCAGAGGTGCTCACGATGCCTGTCTCGGTGATCTCCTGGATGCCCTCGGGAAGGAGGTCAACGTTGGGAAGGTAGAGGGAGTCGAGGTAGCCGGGGTCAAAGATGCGGCGCTTGCACCCCAGCGGGAACCTTGGTATCAGGTGGTCCCAGTACTTTTCTGGCGTCTTGGACTTCATGTACTGCTTGGACTCGGCCTCGACCTGGGTCCGCACCTTGAGACCCCTGGGCGTCGGGAAGTAGGTGGTAGTCTCCTCGTCAGCCTCGAGGAAGATGCGCAGACGGAGAAGCTTCTCCCAGAGGGGCACCCAGCGGAACATGAACTTCTCGAGCTCTGTGTAGTTGCGGTTGGGCCGAGCATGGAACCACTGACCGCTGCGGGCGTACTGCTTCACAGAGGCGGCCTTCTTGGCCACGGCTGGTACGACCTGCGCAGCGCTGCAGCCATTTCCGATGACGGCAACGCGCTTGTTGGAGTACGAGACAGAGTGATCCCATCGTGCTGTGTGGAACATGTGGCCCTGAAAGTTTTCCATGCCTGGGAACTTAGTGTCCCTCGGGAAGGAGATGGCCCCGACTGCAGACACGAAGACAGACGCATAGCGGGAGAACTCGACGCTGGTCTTGAGGTCCTTAAAGTTCACCTCCCACTTGGACTTCTCAGTGCACCATCTCGCTCCGGTGCATTCGACAGAGGGATGAATGTGCTTGCGGATGTCGAACTTATCCACGGTGTCTTCCAGGTCTATTCAAATGGCAGAAATTTATTAGCTCTCTAGTTTGTGGTGGGTGATCGGAAGCGCACATGATGGCAGCTCAAAACAGCTTACATTGGAGAATCTCAGGTTGCTCGCACAGCTGTTTAGACCAGTTGGGGTTCGGGTTGAAACTAAAGGAGTATAGGTGTGACTGGAGATCGCAGCCACTGTCGTTGGAGAAAATTGAAGGTCAGCGCTTATCTCCCACCAACACTGTCGGATGACCACAATCTCAGAGAAAACATGCCAGCCAGGATAAGTGTTCGCCCTCCATGTGCCTCCAACACCATCCAGCTTTTCGTAAATGGTGAAGTCATGAAAATCGAGCTCATGCTTCAAGCGATAGGCCATGGCAATGCCCGCAGGGCCTGCTCCAATGATGATGGTATTGAGCTCCTTTGCGTAAGTCGACATCTTGAGCGTGTGAAAGTGTCTATGAGAGCCGACGTAGAAGCAAAGGAGAAGGTAAAGATGACTTTGGACTCGTTGCTGTGCGAGACCCGAGATAAAAAAAGGTTCCTTGGGGAGGAGTTATTGCAAAACGAATGCTCGGCCTAGCTGGAGACGTGCTCCGAATTCTAGCAAAAGGGCGATCCGGAGAAAGGACCGCCGAAATCTAGCGGCAATGGCGATCCCTGAATTGGATATGGTGGAGCTAGAATGGCATTCCCCACGAGGGACTGCCTCCTCTCCCCTCACGCGCAGTGAAGGCTGGCCTGACTTCTCGGAAACCGGATCCCGAGTGACCTGTTGGCCACTCTCGGCCACCCATCGGAATTGACCAGAACCATAGAAATCGCCAAGGCTTCTATCACAGAGCAGATGGGTGGTCAAGCGTTGCCAGCTGTGCAGAAGATGATCATTCGCCGCTTTCAGGGGCTTGATCGTGTGCAGGAAGCCCTTGAGATGGCTGGAAAGACACGGGATGCGGACGGGAAATTGGTCGTGAAGACCGTTGTAGATTTTGAAGCAGTAGCCTAAAATCAAACATGTGAAGATTCTCATCTGCCAATGTCCACTTAAGCAACTTCAACACAGTACAACACGGCATTCTGAGAACTAGAGTCATTCAAACAAAACTTGATTTGGCGAAGAAATTCTGTGGTCAAGCAAGACTTGTGTGCCATGACTACTTTAAGTAGTATTAATAATGATAACAATAATTGTGTGAGGGGAAATGGGTTGCATTGCTGTGCGCTGAAGAGAAAAGAGAAAGGAAGAGAAACGCCAGGAGGGCAGCTAACTGAGGCTATCAACAGGTCTGGCTGTTGGCTGGCTGGAGGGGCCGTGCACGGCCCTGGGCCAGTGACTCACTGGCCTCGCACAATAATCCTATTCACACTTGCTAAGGACTTATATTCCATACAGCTCATAACGCCGAACTAGGCATGCCGACCCTCTGCGAACACTTGAGAAGGAAAATATGACTGGAAGGTGGACGAAAACCTCTCGCGTCAATCTCTCTACAACCTCTTTAGTGGTTCACATCGCTGCGGTCTAGGGTAAAACGGCACCCGCTAAGTAGTCACTAGGAAAAGGGGCCTTTGAGGAGCAGCAGATAATTACAAATTGCTGGAACCGGCAGATGATATAAATCACACCTGATCAGGAGTGCTTGATCACATGTGTTGGCAACTAAGTAGGTAGCGAAGTGTGAATATTAAATCTTAACAGTCATACAAGAGACCGTGTAAAATAGAGACGCCTGCCTGGCTCGGTACCATACAATATCAACGTCCATCGAGACCACTGGCTTGGGACTTCGGATGCTTGCATACCTCCATTCCACAGTCTGCATCACGAGCCATCTAGGTTTCTATTGTCGTTTTCATTTCTTTGAGTCATCTTCCGAGAATTAATTACATCGCATCTAATTTTGCTTGTTCACTTCTGCCGTGACTATTGAAATCTTGCACGGGGGGGGGGGGGGGAGGCAAAAAGAGGAAGAAAAACCACACTGCGCTCACTCAGATGGCCCTCCAGCCAGCTTTCCTGGCATCCTGTCCAGAGAGCTCGCCGAGGTAACTCCTCACCCTCCTCTCAATCCCCTTCGCATCTAGACCGAATCTATCGTAATTGCTCTTGTTGGAAGCTGAGTAGCCATATCCGGTCATGCCAATGCTTGCCGTCACGTATCGTGCCCATGTCGACGCAATGTACTCTTCTACGCTGACGATGGGGGTACCGTCCAGCGGAAATACGGACTCCTGGTATGACCTGTCCTGAACGTCAAAGTGCTCGAAGCTAGGGGCGCTGACGACGCGGGTGGCAACACCCGAGGCGGACAGGCTCTCAGCTGCGGCGACGGCATAGTGGAGGTTTGTGCCACAGCTGGCGAGGATAATAGCAGCCTTCTCTACATCTTTGACGATGTAGGCACCCTTGGTGACCTTGAGACGGCTGGTGTTGGGCACTGGTGCCACTGCGTCACGGCCAAGAGACAGCATGGAGGGCCCCGTGGTCTTGCCGAGCGCCAGCAGCCAGGCGCCAATGACCTCCTCTGCGTCACATGGCCGCATGTAAGTTAGGTTCGGCATGGCGCGGTAGAGAGAATCTAGCTCGACAGGCTGGTGTGTCGGACCATTCTGGCCCTCGGCAAACGAGTCGTGCGTGGCAAAGTGAATCACAGGAAGACGGCTCTGGGCACCCATTCGGACGCCTGGAGCAGCGTAGATGTAGAACATGAAGAATGTGGCCGTGAAGGGAAGGAAAGTGCCTGGGTTGTAGGCCGCAATACCATTGGAGATGGATGCCATGGCGTGTTCACGGATGCCATATCGCAGGTACCGGCCAGAGTAGCCCGTGGATGGGTGGAACACCTCGGATGCCTCATATGAGACCTTGTTGGAGTTGACCAGATCAGCACCGCCGCCGAAGAGCGCCGGGTGGTCTTTCCACATCTTTTCCATGATAGTGCCGTTCACTTCACGGGTGGCGAACCCCTTGAACTGGCCAATGTCGAGGCTCTCAAGCGTCTTCTGCCATACAGTCCCGTTCTCGCCAGCCTGTCGGCCCTTGAGATCCTTGGCCAGGTCAGGGTGTGCCTTTTGGTACTTCTCGAGAAGATCGTCCCATGCGCCCTGGAGCTTTTGACCGTGTGCTTTCCTCTCTCTGAAGTACTCCAAAGCAGCTGGCGGAACCTCGTGTGTTGTGGACGGGTCCTGTCCTGCTAGGCGCTTGGAGAGGGCCACGCTGTCCGGGTCAAAAACACCGTGGTGTGCCTTATATGTCCCCGCCGAGGAGGTTCCGAGGCCGATGACGGTGCGGACATTGATAAAAACGGGCTTCTTAACGAGAGTCTTGGCGAACTGAAATACTGCGACGAGGGCGCTGACGTCGTAGGAACCATCGGCGACCTCGAGGACATGCCACCCGCACGCTCGCAGCTTGGCGTTGACATCCTCGACGTTGATCCAGTCGAGAGGTCCGTCGCACGTCACCTGGTTGTTGTCGTATATGACGACGAGATTGTCGAGCCCCAGGTTGCCGGCCAGGGACATGGCCTCCAGTGCAACGCCCTCCATCAGGCAGCCGTCACCCGTCATGCAATATACACGCGAGCTGACGACGTCGAAGCCAGGGCGATTATACCGCGCGGCAAGATTCTTGGAGGCGATGGCCAGGCCGACAGCATTCGCGATGCCCTGTCCCAGTGGGCCTGTGGTGACTTCTATTGCTGGGTCCTCCGATTCTGGGTGGGCATGGCAAAGTGTAGAGAATCCGTTTTCCTTGGCACTACCGTATCCCTTGATCTCGTCCATTGTCCAGGCATCATAGCCTACGAGGTGGTTCAGAGCGTACAGGAACATTGCAGCGTGGCCTGTAATGGTGTGAGAGAGCCTAGTATCAGCGACGATTTCGGTCATGAAGAGAGCGAGAGAAAGGATGGGGGGGGGGGAGGAGAAGAGAGCAAAATTGAGAGGAATGAGACAAAGAGAGGTTTTTGTGCGCTCGTAGGTACTCGACAATCCACTCACCATTGGAAAGGACGAAGCGATCTCTATCGAACCACGAAGGGTTTGACGGGTTGTAACGCATCGTGTGTTTGTACAGGGCAACACCGATGGCTGCCATACCAATGGCTGAGCCGCCATGACCGCCGCCATTCTGATTGCAGATGTCGAAGATCAGATTTCGCAAGGCGAGGACGGCGCGGTCATCATCGTCAAGATGCTCTCTCCAGCCGCCTCCTCTTGCCAGGCGGGCCTCGTGCTTCTCAGCCGAAGTCAAAGGAACAAGTGCCTGCAAAGATTCGTCCTTCATTTTGGCGCTGAGATAATGCAATATCCTGCGTTATGCCAAATGATTTATGTAATGAGAAACAGCGGCCGTCTGAGCATGATGTCCTCGTGGTAAACCTGGAAAACTGGCATAGTTGTATGCCTTAACCTAGGGAATCGATCCGGCCTGTGACTTTTTCGTAAAACAGGATCCGCAATCAAGCCTGAACCATGAGCCTTCGGTACCGTAGGTCTCGCCTTCCGACATGATCCGGGTTGATATTTCCGCTCGGCGCGGTACCCCGCGTCCGGACCTGAGGCTCGGGATTCATCCTCCGACCCCATGGGACAAGCCCGCCGGGGAGCCACCGGGACCACTTGGCGGGGATAGCTTCCGACTAAGTTGGTCTCAGCAGAGCACGCGCCCCGCTGTCTCGCTTTTTCTCTCTTGTGGAAACACCTCTTCCCCTTTCGGAAGCTCTTCCACGACATCATAAATATATACAGCAGGTCATACACAACAAGTCTGGGAAGGCTCTCTCCCTAGGCCAATAACTTCTGCGAATCCCACCTCTAGGTTCGGAAGATATTAGTAGATAAGACAATATAAAACCTAGATTCTTACCTTTCTAACAATGGCTTCCCCGGAAGCCCTCGTCACAGGCAACGCCGTCCTCGATCGAAACCCAGACGAGTTCCTTACACGCTCGGTACAAGACCTGCTCAGCCTTAAGGGACGCACCATTGTCATCACTGGTGGGGGCCGTGGGCTGGGACTAGCCTTTGCCTTTGCGATCGCCGAGGTTGGAGGCAATGTCGCTATCCTCGACGTGCTTGACAAGCCGCACAATCACTTCAAGAAACTAGAGTCCAAGTCTGATATCAAGGTCAAGCTTTACAAGTGCGTCGTCTTCTACCTCTCGCTACATCACTCTACGAGCCAACTATCTAACGCCAGGCTTTTTTTTTTTTTTTTTTTTTTTGGGTGCACAGGAGCGATGTGACAAACTTTGCGACCCTCCAGACCACATTCGATGAGATCGTCAAGGACTTCGGGCGTATTGACGGGCTGTAAGTTGCTCTTCTATGTTTTCATGTCCTTTGGAAAGAAACTTTTTCAATACGCTGCCATATCTCCCCTGTTACTGACACAAAAACCTTTCCTTCAGTGTAACCGCCGCTGGCATCTGCCCTGATGAGCCCTTTATCAAACGATCCCCCGAGTCCGTGGCACGGTGCCTAAACATCAACGTCCTGGGAACGTACTACGCCGCACAGCTGGCCGCAGCACAGATGGCAAAGCAGGAGCCGACCGACTTCAACCCGCGTGGCGGCTCGATCGTGTTCATCGCCTCTATCGCCGCCCACGTCGCCAGCAAGGGCCAGACGACAAGCGACTACTGCGCCAGCAAGGGCGCCGTCGTCTCGCTGGCCAAGGCGCTGGGTGTGGAACTGGCAGGCATGGGCATCCGCGTCAACTCCATCTCGCCTGGGTAAATTTTGACTTCTCTTTTGCCGCCCGTAGTTCGATCGTGATCGATGAGTATGTCTTTGCATGTGTACAATCAGAATGACTGACATAGGCGGTTGGTGATATACAGGTATATGTTGACGGACATGACGATCGAGCTCTGTGATCGTTATCCTTGGCTGGCAGAGATTATGACCACTGAGCCGCCGATGCGCCGGATAGGGGACCGGACAGACCTCAAGGTGCCCGTGGTGTACCTCTTGTCGGATGCAAGCGCATACCACACTTCGGATGATATATTGATAACGGGTGGCATTCACGCGGGCAGATTGCTGTGAGGGAGGAATGAATTTATCTAGACCAAACGAATGTCTGACATGATCCATTCATATTAATGATTAAAAAGAAATCATCGAAAAAATGCATATGGGGATTCTTTTTCTCGACATGTCCTAACCAGGTTGGAAAGCCCCTGACGGCACGGTAAAGATATTGCCCCAGTTTCCTGGCATATCTGCCATACTTGTCCTCAGCATCCAGTCGAAGTCAAGGTCCAACCCAAAGTCACTTGCCACACCTCCACTACTCCTTGTTGAGTATTCACTACCTATGGCAGAATAGGACGACTCGTCGCCGCGGAGAGACGTAGGCGGGCTTCGATCCTCTGACAGGAAAGAGGGGCGCGACCGTTTCCTCGGCTTTGTAGAAGGGGCCTTGGTGTCAGCTAGGGAGTTCGACCTGGCCTGTCGCTCCCAATGACGTTGTAGTCGGGTGAGAAAGTCACGAGCTCGCTTAGCGGTGTCCCAGGCCGGGGCGAGCTCATCCAGCGCCCGAAAACACACGCTGAGGTCGGCGAGGATCTCGTCCGCCCTGTCCCGCTGATAGCGAGACACGGTTGCAAAGACCAGGAGCAGGGCGGCAGAGAAAGTAATCGCGACGGCCTGGATGTTGATCCTGCGAAGGGTGTAGCGGTCCTCGTACATACGAAGTAGCTTTGCGATGGCTTTGGCCGAGTCCATGCACATCTTGCGGGCCAAGCCTGCACCAGGACCCTGCGTCGTCTGTGGCTGGTGGACGGAATGAGTTTTTGACATCCAAGGCCTGTAAGCATGAATAAGACTCTGATAATATTGCATCCTAGAAACACTCAGATTTAGTAAGAACATATATATCGAACAATAAAGATGGAGGGAATATTCCCCCCCCCCCCCCCTCCCAAAAAAAAAAAAAGAAACAAGGACAGCTCTTACTGCAGAAGAATGACGTGTGGAAGGTAGATGCCGTCGCGATCCTCTAGATCCACTCGTAACGCAAGGGGTAGCTGTTCCTGCCAGTCTGATAATTTCTTCACGGCCTGGGCATTTAATTCCTGCAATGATGTCTGAGAAATGAATATGCCACCGTGCCTGGAGCGCGGGCCGACAGGCTGGTTAGCCATCATATAATCGATACCTGGTTCCTTTTTCCACGTTCTCTCTTTGGAGCGGCGTGTGCTAGACTCACGAGGCATCACTGAGGGGGGCCGTGGCCTCAAACAATAGGATCTGGTATTTACAGACGCATTCTGCGCAGTCTACTACAGGAACAGGAGCCTGTGTAGCGGTGGGCCGCACGTAAGGAGTCCATTGACCCGCTGGCTTGGGGCGGCTATTCAATTCGGGCTTGTCCAGGCTGACGCCTTTCATGGACAGGCGGAACGGTTGACCCAGGTAGAAGCTCCAGACACTATATGACGAGATGAGCAACTACAACGAAAGCAACAACGGAGGAAAAGAAGGACGGGGGCGGGGGGCAGTCACGTACTGATCTACCACAAAGGCGGCCCAAAAGACAGTCCGCCGAAGATCAGCCTCGGCTTCGCTCACTACGCCTTTGACCACGTAGGGTTTCAGGTCCTGATGCAATGCCAGAGTAAAAGCCAAGCGAGTCGCCATACCTAGCGAGGAGGAAATGGTCGTTCGTCAGCAGAGTTTACAGAACTATCGATACTTTTATATTTTTTGTGCCAACATACCGCTGAACAGCCATCCCTTAGCATCCCTAGCACATCCTATATCGTGGGCGCTCAACAGGATCAAGGCCTGGATAGTCGCAACACAGGGAGAGTCCAGCTCTATGTCTAACAGAGCCTTGGCTCTATCTGCAAAGAAATCCGCCAGGGACCTAGGGAATGTGACAAATGCCGGGTGGTGCCGCGCATCGAATGCAGCTCCCAGAGCGCAGCTCCGAACGTGAGTTAGCTTACAGACTGGCGATAGGGTGTATTTGGTTGTAGTTCTCCCTTTCTTTCTCTTTGTTTCTTTTATCGTCGTTGGCTTACATGGCATTCCTCAGTGCTTCCGAGTAGTAGGCTGTATCTTCAATCTGCTCCCCCCATACCCGTATTGCCTCGTCAAACATGTTGCGGTCCACGACGTGGAACGACGGGTCCTGCCACGTAAAGTAGAGTTCCATCAGGTGCTGCTCGATCTCAGGTGGGACCTTCTTGTCAAGGCCAAGGCGTCTGAGGTGCTCGATCCCGTCGTTGCGTACCGTCCAGTGGACATTCATGCCGACGTCTGCAGCCGTAGTTTCTAACAAGCTGAAGTTAGATGTAGCGCCGTAGAACCGTATATGGCCGCCCGGCCTGACGTGGAGGGTCCCCAGCAGATCAGACAGCCGGTCTGCCAGCTCGTCGACGCCCTCGGTCGAGCTGGTGGCCCCGTCGTCTACCTCGAGCGAGGGACAGCTCGGGATTCCGCCAGAAGAATTTGCTTGTGGTTGTGGCTGTGCCGGGCTTGAGAGGTCGCCCACCGAGGACACGTAGTTGGGCTGGATTATGGCCACCTGTGGCAGAGGGTCCTGGGGGGTTGGTATAGCCCCTGCTGTCGTTACTCTCCAGGACCAGTTGTCTCGGTCACGCATTGTGCCATCCATGTTTTCTACCGCGTTCGCCAGTTCGAGCAGGCCTTGCATTGCCTGGAGCGGATTACCTGTTATATCTCCCGAGGGGTGCGCACCGTACGTCGCATTGGGCACCGGGGCGCTCGTGTTCGGCAAGGATTCGGTCCTCGGGTCGAGCTGCTGTGCGGCTGGACCCCTCTGGGTGCTGGTCTCCCTGTCTGTGGTTTTCCTTGCGAGGCTGGGTGGCATGGAGGAGAGTCCTGTCATCTGCAAGATATTTGACAATGTATTTTCATATTCCTGGTCGGCTGGGGGAACTTCCAGGCCCTGTTCGACTATGAATTGCGAGAGCTTGCGTACCCTGTCGGATAGCAGCTCGATGGCCAGGCGGAGGGAGAGCCTGCGAGAGGTCGGTCAGTCCGCATCTGCGTCACAGGTGTAACAAAACAACCCTCGGGATGAAGCGATAGAGGGAGACGCAGAGAGAGAGAGAGAGAGAGAGAGAGAGAGAGAGAGAGAGAGAGAGAGAGAGAGGGAAGAGGGAGGAGGTATGACGTACTTTCGTCTGTCATCTCTAGCTTGGTACTTGCATTCTTTGCGCTTGTTGAGACAATTGGAGCAAGCCGGCATCGCTCCATTGCACTGAGATGTAGTCATTATTGTCAGTCCTGCCTCTCTATCTAGTGGAGGCGGGATACCGGCGCCCCCGAGGGTGGTAGTAGCAATGGTACTGGGTTACCTTCACCTTGCTCTCCCGGCAGGAGAGACATGCTGTAGTCACATGCTTTCTTTTGGTCTCTTGTTTCGAGGTTATCGAGGCGGATGAGTCCATCTTCGCGCCAGATGGTCGCATGGAGCACGTCGCCGGCTGGAGGAATGGCTCTCGGGTCTCGTTCGTGGAGGTGGACAGCTGCTGCTGCGGTAGAGACGCGAGCGATCTGTACCAGTCTTTTATGGCCTATGGATTCATCTGATATCTGTTGGCCTCATCTCGTGTGTCTACATGTCGCAAGTCGCATGTTGTCGAGCTGGAAATGTTAGCCGCAGAGGCGCACACTACCCCGTAACTATCCCGAATCAGGGGCCCCATATGGAGCCCCGCGTTCCCCTGACCTCCTCCCCACGTTGACTAGGCTGGGGAAGGGGAATTCCGGAAGAAATGTCTCCTCTTCCACGTCATGTTATCTTTGTCCTGCTCGAAGGTCACCCTCGTCCGCCCGACTTCGGTCCAGTGGCGATGCTTTTACGCTTGCCCACTATTACTGGAAGATGAGAGAAGGAGGACAAGAGAATGAACGTTTGGCTGATACACCCTTTCTACGATACGTACTTACTCCATCAGAATTCTTCTTGTTAAGCCCAAAAAAAGAGCTGGCACTGCTTGCGAGGACAGATATTCCTGTCCGAGCTCATGAGCGCTAAGCAAAGAGGCCCGACTCGGTCACAGAACTGTAGGTCAGATCCTCGACACCAGGTAGTGGAGACTCCACGCGCATCCCCAGTATTCGGAAATCGAATTCCGCGAAAAATACTAACGCCATCAGGCTAGCGAGCACAGGTCCAATCAGCCCCCCCCCCCCTTGCCCCCCTCTCGAGCATATGTTGCAGACTACCATAGTAGAGGTGTAGTTCCGCTTAAGAGGTTGAGTCATTAGGTTCGTCTAAGGGAGGGGGGATGGCAAGGTTAATATACAAATATGAGAACTACTTCATATCCTTTTAGTCAAGATTTCGGGTCAACTGCATCAGAGTAAGACCTCGACGGAATTGAGAACCGTGGCTGGGAATAGAGAGAGCCGTTGGCCGAAGATCTGGTCGGCAAATAGCTGTTCTCTGAACACGGGTCGGCTTGAGCGGTGCATGTGTTCTTCTCCCAAGCGCCGGGATTGCAGCGGATCAAAAATTGCGGTAATCCAAAGGGTTTTGAGCGTTTGTAAACGCTCAGAAATCCAGTGCTGTAATAGCCAGTACGATGGACTCCAGAACAAGAATATATACTTCTGAGGGGCAATCAGGATGTACCTGGTTGGCCATGTATACTAGGCCACGCATCCAATTTGAACGACTGATCATCTCAGTACAAACTCCCATTGGGGGAGAGGCAGGGGGCAATGATTTGGCCTTGAGCAGTTATTCAGTACGTGATGTTCCAAGTGGACATGATACGATAAAGTCAAATGCTCATTAGGTTGCGAGAAGAGTGAGTAGGCATACGAAGGTACTCGTAGCAGGGCATAGCCTCAAAGCATTGTATTAAATGTGGAAAAATATAGAAGGGAGAAGAAAAAAATCTGATTTCTCTCGCCCCCCCCCCCCCCCACCTTTACCCCCTATTGTTTCCTTATCTTCCCTCTATCTATAACACCCATGGAGCCGACAGCGTGTTTTCCGGCACGAGGCAGCGACTTTAGCGGAGGAGCTGTGCCTCTGTAACTACCATAGCACGGTGTGTGGGTCCGTACATTGAGGCATGAACGCCTTAAAAGAGTACATCCTCTTATAGCAGTGCTAGGACTTGGCTACTCAAACATAATTGCTGATATCTGAGCCTTTCCTCATCCTTCTGTCCTTGCTGTATGCCTGCTGCTAATGCTTCTCGGAATCTTTAGTTGGTCTGCACCCGTAGTTTGAAAAACAGCGCACTATAACCCTAATACTACTCTAGTCGCCTTCAACCGCGCTATCTCGTAAGCAGTACCGATCGACTTCGGAAAATTTGGTTCACATTTTGAGCCGTCTCTGTGCTTTGAGAACATTGTGATCTTTATCAACTTGCCTTGCTCGAGATGGGGCTTTTTTAGAAGTCAACAGCATGGAGCCATCTTCTTTATCATATGCAGAACCTTCCATCGTAACCCTGACTATCCTATCCGGTTTTCTGTTACTCCTCAATGTAGTCAATTATGGACTCGATAAGCTTTTGTACTGCGGTCTCATCGGCCAGGTTTTTCTCGGCATCGCCTGGGGCGCACCTGGAGCAAATTGGCTACCATTCTCCGTTCAAGAAGCAATAATGCAGATAGGCTACATCGGTTTAATCTTGATCGTCTATGAAGGTGAGCACCAAACCTATTCAAACAAACCACCCATTTGGCTAATGACCGCTGTTAACAGGCGGCCTATCAATATCCTTCAAAACTCTCAAGGCGAACCTCGTCCTCTCCGCAGCCGTTGCTGCGGCAGGCGTCGCTGTACCCATGGCTCTTTCCTTCACCTTGTGCTCCATCGCAAGCGCTTCGCAAGTGCAGGCTTTTGCAGCTGGGGCGGCCCTGTGTTCCACCAGTCTCGGCACCACCTTCACGATCCTGAGCACCAGTGGCATGTCCTCAACGCGCCTGGGTGTGGTCCTCACCAGCGCTGCGATGATGGATGATGTCGTCGGACTGATCATGGTACAAATTGTGTCTAATCTTGGCGATGGTGACCTCCGCCCTATCACAATCGTGCGGCCGATCATGGTGTCGATAGGATTCGCGGTGCTGGCGCCGGCAGTCTCCCGTTTCGTTGTCATTCCTACTACATTATACCTGAATAAAGCGCGAGAGGAGCATCCAGACACAAAACTGGACCGCTTGATGAGGAAGCCAGAAACGGCTCTCACGATTCATACTGTTTTGCTCCTAGGACTTGTTACTGGGGGCACATTCGCTGGGACCTCAAGCCTCTTTGCAGCGTATATCGCTGGCGCTACTGTGTCGTGGTGGGACTCGGAGGTCCCACATATCACACTTCGGAATGCAAGTGAGGACCAGAGTCTCTCAGATTCTCCTGCTTGTGCAGACGCAATTTCTTCTACGTCAGGCCTAAATATATATGGCCGTTATTACAGCGTAGCTGTGGAGAGACTTCTCAAGCCATTCTTCTTTGTGAGGTGCCTACTTTGCAACAGAACATATAACATGACTAACACCATAGCAGGCTTCTATCGGCTTCTCGGTGCCCGTCACCAAGATGTTTGCCAAGCCTGTCGTCTGGAGGGGTATGGTGTACACGATACTAATGGCGGCGGGCAAGATGACCTGTGGCATTTGGTTTCTGTTCTTTCGTAATCCTTTATACATCCACAGGCAGCTGTGGCACCGAAACAGCCCATCCAAGGGTGGGAAACGGACCAAGTCGGCTACCAGCTCCCAGTCTCACCCCCAGATGGCCTCCGTAGCTCGTAACAAGGGCATGGATAGGGGACACGAGCCACATAACAGCGGCAGTTCAGTTCAACAGCTATGCCACGGCTCTTCATCTCCTCCCGCAGATTCAATACCTCAAAACACTAGCAACCACTCCCTAGACTCCGCCGCGGGCGTGTCTCTATATCCAGCCTACATTGTGGCCCTCGCAATGATCGCACGGGGCGAGATCGGGTACCTTATCTCGGCGCTGGCCGAGAGCAGCGGGACTTTTGGTCGCGGTGTTGATGCCGACGAACCTTCGGAGCTGTTCTTGATTGTGACGTGGGCGATCACATTATGCACAATACTGGGCCCCATCGGTGTGGGCCTGCTCGTCAGCAGAGTGAGACGGCTCGAGGAGAATGGAAAGAAGGGACAGCAACCCGCGAGGATGGAAATTCTTGGGGCTTGGGGAGTGAGCTGATGAGTACTTGGTCTTTATGTGAAATCATATTTCCTTCTTTAGAAGTTGCCCAGAATTACCTGCAGCGATATCTAATCTATTGAGAGAAAGACTCCAGAGATTCAAGGATGAGGGAATTAGACAATGGAAGATGATGAACGAATCGATGAAGAAATTGAAGATTGGAGATTTGCAAAATGTTATATATTTCCCTCGCTCTGAACGAATAACTCCATTCTAGTTAAATAGGCTAAACTGAGACAATCTCGTGATGATGATATCACACTAGAGGGAACAGAGTAGCTATCAGAGCTAATGAGGAGTTGCAAATGTCATGGTGTCCCAAAGCTATTGCTTGAAGAATGCACCACCTCCCCAAGCCCGGGGGATGGAGCTGGTGTGATGAATTTTGTTACAATATGTTCGTGTAATTCGAGCTGTGCATTTTACATATACATAGAGCATAAAGCAAGCTGTTGCTCCAATATTCTCCAATTTCTATCACTAGCAAGATGAGAATATCGCCATTTAGTAATCAGTAGGGAATAACTCACCCATGAAACAGTGTATATGTCAAGCATATTACAGGTTAAGAGTTTTGTTTAAAAAAAATACATAGGCTTATGCAATGAACTAGTTTACAGCAGTCAACTTATCAATCCTCATCTCATCAGTCAACGCTCCCACTTTATGGTGATGTGGTGGCGCTGAAGCTGGAACAAATCCCTTCGTTGTTGAAGCTTGATATCAGCTTGACTGCTGGCCTGGGGATAGCTTGAACAATGCTTCTGTGACAAGTTCTGCAGGCTCCGTCCTTTCACATTCTGAGCTTGTCAGGTATTCTGCTCTCGTGGGTTTTGAACAAGATACGAAGATTAGTTAGCAGCTTACATTGTTGAAAGTCGAAGCTACCACTCACTAGACAAGGTGGCAACAGATCCTCCGTAAAAGAAATTCGGTGAAATTAAGAATACCTGATGCCATACAAATCATCTCGCCCAGAAATCCAGATTAGCAGGGGTAGTAAGGTTCCTCTGCAGGTGAATGACTGAGCTTAGCATTCAGAGAATAAGAACGGAAGGTACATTCCCTATAACATGAAGCAGTTAATTAATTAGCTTATCGGAATGCTGTTGCTCTCACTTCTATGAGAGCTATCCTGCTCTTTGTTTCAGGAATAGCAAATGTGAAAGTTATGTTTGATATTTTTATTTTTTTTACTAGCTTAAATTTCCATGACTCTTGACGCTCTCAGTCCACTGCTGCATTTATTACATTGGGTTTTCAAAGCTTGAAGCTTGGGCTTTTGCTCGATTCTCTCATACCAGTTACATTTTAAAGAATCAACAACACTATTCTTCTGCAAAAATTAATGCTGGAATGCTCAAGGTGAAATGTAAAAGGGAAAAAATTATCATACAAGATGAACTATCTCCTTCTTGGCTTCAAAGTCAGCCATAGCCTCACCATCCATTACACCAGGTACATAGCAGTCTCCCAAGAAAGAGAATGCCTTGTTGCCTGCATATTTTCATCTTTTATTGCGTTACAAGACCGAATGATGAAAGGCGTATGGCCCCCAGCAAAGATGTACGCTATGTCTCCTTCGGCCATACTCGGGGGCCCAAGGCCGATATACCCCATTCTTGGTGAAGAACAGCCGCCTCTTCATCGTCGCTGACGCAATAGCGAAATCGACCGCGATGTAGTTGAGGCTTTCCATGCCAGGGGCCTCCGTCCCGGCAGATGAGCTTGATGCAGAGGCCGTCCGTGACAGCTGCTCTCGCCTGCGTTTCTCATCACTTCGTCCCTTTCTCGCTTGTCGCATGTCCGTTTGAACCAATGATCTGTCAGTCACACTTTGGTGAGGCATTCCAGAATCATCCATCCAAAGATTTAAAGACTCACGGACGTATGTCGTGGAGCATCGCCTATAACGCTGGCCTTTATGGAGCATAGCCTCTTCCTTGCCGATACTACGGACGGTATCTAGACAGAGTGTACGCCAGAACGCCTCGAGTCGTGTCCCCCCAGCAATGCAGGTAGACGTAGGCGGCTGCCTAGAAAAAACTAGGTCATACCACGAGTTGAACATGGCTAAGCCCTCGGCCTCATCTGTATATTCTGGCATTATGGGGGATACTACCGTGACTTCGTCTACTTGATATCCCGTCACTTCTATGCGAGCATCATCCGGAAAACGCACGCTAAACGTGGCGCCCCTGGAGGCATCGAACAGTGGCGTGCGCTCCAGGCGCTCAAGCTCGTGGAGGGCTGGCTTGAAGTTCCAGTCCGGGAGCCAGGATGGCAGGCCGACCATGGTTTTCTCAGTGCTTCCCATCAGAATCAACAGGGAACGGTCCTGGGCTATGGATTTTTGCACAGTCAGCCGGTACACCGCCGTAATGTCCAAATTGTAGTCTGGACGCATAGGATCCCGCCCACCCCAGTCCTGGACGAGAGTGAGGAGGCTGAAAACCTTGTCGCGCGGGTCCGAGACCTCGCGCGGGCGGAACTGCCAGAGCAGGCGGCGCAGTGAAATAAGAGCTGGACGGGCACCAGACCACCAAGCTCGCCGGCCCAGGATCGTCTGCCACTCCCTCCTCAGCTCGTCGAGCTCGGTTATGGTCCTGGAGAAATGTTCTATGTGGCGTATATCGTGGTAGTGCAGGGACGCGTAGTGGCCTTCGCAGCATGTCTTGGAGTGGCGCTCGTAGTTGCGAGCTGCATGTGCGAACAAGTCCCAGGACGCGACGAACTGGCCATAGTGGAGGGTTGCCTTGGGAGGCAGTACAATCTCTTGGACCACCCACAGGCGAGTCCACCATGCAGAGGCCATGAGCCCATGTAGTTCCTCGACGATTCTGTGGAAAGCATCTGTATTGTCGAGGAACATGATATCCGTGCTATTGATGTGGCTATTCCCTGCGAGCAGGCCGATGAGGCAGTAGGCGCCCAAGACGTTGTCGATCTTAACGCTGTGGCGGAGGGCGAACGGTAGCCTGTAGTACATCTTCAGGCTGCTCTCAAAAGACGTGATCCTGTGGATGTCGTCCTCGTAGACCGAGACCGTCCATGATTCGTCGATAGGAGTGCAGCCAGTGATCCAGCGGCAAGGGGTGGTGTGGTCATGCTCTCTGGGCTGAGCCCCCTGAACGCCGCCGAGCCAGACGAGGACGCCGGTGCAGTGTGCGTATATGTCTCTCATGAGCTCCACCTGTTCACTGCGCTCGCGGGTGTCCTTCTGGTTGATGCAGACGGCATCAGCCCACAAGGCTCGAGGAGCCGTGCTGCTGCGGAGATGGCGAAAGGCGCTCTCGAGGTTGGCGCTGATGCGTAGAGCGTGGCCGTCAACGTAAACTGTGCGCTCGTCGCTGCGGTCGCCCCAGGTATATGACACGGCCTCGTAGCTCGGACTGTGGGACAGCGACACAACTTGCAAACGGCCAGTAATAGCCTCGCCCCACTCGCCTTCCTGGATTAGCAGCAGCCTCGTCTCGCGCAGCCTGGACCGCACGGGATGCGAGTCGTAAATGACAGTACCTGGCGCAGTAGTCATCGTGGTGTTGAGTCAGGCACTTGGACGGCGGCAATCAGGATCCCAACTGCGCATTTCTGCGGGGCCGAATCCACAGCCTGGTGGACGGACGATGAGGGGTTCGAGTTCTTGTATCTTCTCTTCTCCTCTTATATGTTTTATTTTTGGTTTTCAGCTCGGCGCTAGTATATGACATGTTATTTAGCTCTCAACGCTCAAGTCCAACGCGCTATGTAGAAACGTACCGTCCATTACTTTGTCTGTTTTTGGTTGTGGGAGAGGGGAGGTTTCTTCTTCTGTTTTTTCCCCAGCTAGTATGCGTGCTTGGGTGCTACCAGACAAGGTTTGTGCTGCAGAGGATACCGCACACTGTGCACTTAATTGCTACTTACATCAAAGATGTGTGTCGAAGTATTGCGATGAAGTACCTCCCGCAATGCATGTTGGTAGGAGAAGTCGCAGCCAGGGTTAGTATACAGTACTATATACTGGGGGGGAGGGCGGACCGGGGTTTGGGCTGGCCCTGGCGCACTGGAGCTCAAGGCAACTGTAATGGGGCTGTGCCCTAAGCCCTCCAAGCCTTTTAAGGTCCAAAGTCCTAGGAAGCGTATCAGCATGATCTGCCCTTCCCAACGCAATCAATTCGATCTCACCATCGCCTTCTTCCCCAGCTTGACCTTCGTGTGGTACCTGCGCACCATTGTCGTGTCTACTCAAGTACAGAAAACAACCGAGTGTGTGTGAGAGTGAAAGAGGAGATGCGCGTCCATCACATTCTTGGTCTGCTCACGGGCGTCACACACGCCCTTGCTGCTCGTAAACGCTTGATTGTTGACACCGATCTCTACAGCGATGTTGAGTGAGACCACACACTTCTCCTTTCCTCGGACGGACTCGTTGCTATTGAGCGTCCGCATATGAGCAGTACTAATCTGCTTAATAGCGACGCAGGTGCCCTGTTGCTAGCAGCTACCTCACCAGACGCGGAGCTTCTCGCTGTCAACCTGAACTACCCCTCCTCGTTCTCAGCTGTTGCTGCGTCTGCAATCCTAGCGCACTACGGCCTTGAGAGCCTTCCGATTGGAATACCTCGTCCGCTGAACAACAACACCTTCTTCGACTCCTGGTATTATGAGCTTGGCGAGTACGCAAGCAAGGTCGCTCGCCACTGGTCTGCTGGAAGCCTTCCCTGGGGTCGTGCCGATGAGGCGTGGGATCCTGTCTCACTGTATCGAAAAATTCTGTCCGAGGCTGACGACGGCAGCATCACCATCGCCTCTATTGGCTTCCTCGATAATCTTTCTGGCCTGCTGAACACAACGAGCGACTCCTATTCGTATCTCAGCGGACCCGAACTCATCAGGCAGAAGGTCTCGGAGCTCGTGGTAATGGGCGGGGCTTACCCCTCAGGCCACAGCTGGAATTTCTACGGCTCCAACGCTTCCCTCACGCGCCATGCCATCAACTCGTGGGAGGGGAAGATCATCTTCATCGGGGACGACGTCAGCAAATATATCCTTACTGGTGGGCCTCTCATGGACAAAGGCCCCGCGAATGACCCTGTCAGGATGGCTTATATTTATTACTCGTACTTTAACCCGCGGTCGTCCTGGGATCCCCTCGCGGTCTTGTATGCCATCCATGGTCTTACTGACATGTTCGAATATGGCAATAAGAATGGGTACAACTATATCGAACCCAATGGAACCAACCGATGGGTTTGGGATAAGTCGAGGGATCGTCAGCACTTCTTGAGGCTCAAGTCCTCTAACGAGACGGCTGCTGCGAAAGTAGACAAGCTTTTTCTTCAGGGCGCATCGTCAGCTGCCCACCGTCCTCCTACCAAACCCTTATCACCGCATCGCAAACTTTGTAACTGTTTCGTTCCTAGTCTATTTGAAAATGCCGTTATGCTAGCGTATGACTGGGTCAAGTGGGCTGGAGAAGCACCGACTACAATATTATGAAAGCATCACATGAATATTTCATCAGGCTTTCCTCTCTCTTCACCCACACAAGAACAAGGACTTATCACGAGAAAGGACTAGCAATTGATACAATTCATTAGACACAGCCGGTCTGGTGATTATAGCAAGTTTTGATGGGTCTTTTCTCTCCCTTATTGTTTTTTTTATTATTTTGTTTTGAAGAAAGAAAGAATAAAAAGGATGGATATAAGAGTGAAGCAAAAGCTGAAAAAGTAGTGGGTTCTATGCAACACAAGAAATATATAACATTGAACCTATCAAAATGATTCGTAATAACCCAAGCACCATGAATATCCTTTCGCCGTGTTCCAAACATAATGAATGACAGTAAGAATGTGAGGCTCACAAGAGACTTTAGCATGGTGATTTATGGTACCTAAAAAAGAACTAGCTAGACTTACGAAATGATGACGGTATAATCGAAAAGAAGGTCATATAGAGAGTAACACTTGGTGCTTTATCTTGATCTACGAGATGTTGAAGACCGATATTTGAGATGAGTAACTAGGCTTGAGCAAGGGAATCAAGAGTGTTAATTGCGTACTTGAATGATTCTCTGTTTCCTTGTCTTCCTCGTTCGAGTCTACCATATATTATATATTTCTCTGGACAAGGTGTTTGCCTTCAGCCTCATCTACTAAGCCGTTTCCAGACGCCTTTAGAACATCAGCTGGGCAGGGCTAAGTCTCTTTGACTCCATTGTGACCACTGGGTCGTCTCATTCACTCCGAATATAATAGTATAAGCCATGTTATTCAGGGTATTCAGGGTTGATGTTGGTGAAAGTTGACCAGATGGTGTTCAATTACGTGTTGAGCTCAAGTTGTCAAATCCTAGAAATACTCCCCTACTTTATAGTACGTAATCTGGCTGATTTGTAGGCCACCTTTTGTGATCAAAGCAGGCGAGAGAGGGTTTATGTAAGAGGTGCCTCGCCGCTCAATTGTGGATCCCTGCATGTGATCCTGCTCTCAGAGCCAAGGCAACAACCACGCAACTTCAAGCCACAAACTTGACGTGTCAAGATTGTATCAGAAACAACGACAGCTCACAGGACGATACTTCACATCCAAATCCTAGCTTCACCGCCGCCCCCTCGACGCGACAAGACCAGCATGGCTCATCAAAGTTCTCAACCCCAGGAACCTCCTCAGCTACACAGCCAGCCTGGCATTCTACGTTTGACACAACCACTTCGCATCCGCATCTACTATTTCCTTGGCCTTCACGGCCCCACAGAGCGATCGGTCGATCTAAACGGCCACAAACACGTCGGACCTCATCCATCTGGAGTTCATGGTCTGCTTCTTTCATGTCGTATTCTATATGAGGAAGCCTCGAACCTCCTGTACAGAACGCATCGATTTCACATTCGATACAGCGACCAGCAGTCACTCCAACCTCTGAGAAACCTGAGGACATCATCGCTTGCCGCGCTGTCTCACCTCCAAGTTATACTTTCTGGGACCTCATGTCACGAAAGCGAGGGCTGGGAATGTTACCGTCATTGTTGCAACAGAGATCCCCAATTCTGCGGAATGGACGCTCAGCATGACACGCCTGCTGCCGGTGATCCTGATCCGAGACTTGCCGATTGGGATCTAATAGCTTCACATCTGGCTTCGGGCATTCGTCCAGGCATCCTCGAGCTAGCCATAATCTGCGACTTCGTCCCCACCGACGCTGGAATACAAGCAGCCACGGAGATGACAAGATCCCTTCTACGTCTGCCGAGGCTCCGACATTGCTCGGTTCGACTAGCACGTTATCCACACGGTCAACTTCAACAATTAGCCAACGACGCCGTACTGCGGGCTTGCCACGGCATCCCACCGTCTTTGACTTCCTTGCCATCGTCCGTTAATCCGGTGCAGGGTCCTGCATCCGGGTCGCCTTCGCTATTCCTCAGCCTGCCGCGAGAACTGCGTTTCCGCATCCTGGAGTATTCGGACTTGATCACCCCTTGGGCCCAGGTTACCTGGAGCCCACAGCACGGAGGCTTTTTATCGAGCCAAACGTATTGTGACAACTTGGAAGGCATGGGGCTAATTTGCCCACCATCCCGGCATCATGGTTGCCAATTCTCCAAGTGCTGGACGCGATATTACGGGCCTTCTCCTGGCTGCTTTTGTCGTCTCCAGCATAGCGCCAAATCCTCAACGGTGGCTTGCCAATGCTGGGCGCCACCGAAAGCCCTCTTTCTTGTCTGCCGGACACTTTACAAGGAAGCTCAGGCTGTATTTTACTCGGGGAATCGCTTCGTCGTACACGACTGGACGTCCGATCCTCCGTGGAAGCGCGAGATCGACTGGGACCTTGTAGATGGGCCCAAAGATGAGTACCCGCATGCTTGCTTCGGAGCCAGCAGGTTCCTGAAGGAGGTTGTCCCTGAGGACTGCCTGCATCATCTGCGTTTCCTAGAATTTGTCTTCCCTCCATATGACTATAATGTTTGGCCGGGGAAAGACCACTCCGCGCTGCAAGACTGGAAGGATACAATCGCCTGGGCCAAGGATAAGATCAATGTAGAGGGACTCACAATTCGTTTCATCACAAACGAGCCGAGCGACTGGGAGCAACCTCGTTCCTGGATCGAAATGTCAAAGCCTCAAGCCTTACAAATCATGAAGGCTTCCAGCAGTATCCTGCTGACATTGCCCGCCCTCGGTGAGCTTCGCAGGTTCTATGCTCGGTTGGTCTCCCCTTGGATAATGACCGGAGGTTTTCACGATACCCGTGTGGCCATATCGTATGTGGAAAAAAGGTTGAAGGAACGCGCTGAGAGGTCTATCATGGGGGAACGTTATGACGCCATGTATGCAAGTGGAAAAGAGCCTGAAGAGAGTGTGTGGCATCATCGATACAAAAGAAATCTTTGAATTGCACTAAAATCTTTTGAAGCGGGCCATACAAGCCATAGAGCTTGTCATACTGTTCGTTAATAGCGCGTTGTTGCAAACTCCCTAGGACCACGCCGAAGAGGCCCCGTATTATGATGCTCATACGAGCTTGTCTTCTGTGCCTATGTTCGCAATGCTCCTTTGACAGCCCACTGGGTAAATTAGATATTTCAGATCCTGGTGAAGGAGCTTTGGTAGATTGTCAACGGTTTCCAGGTACCCCAGTCGATTTTGACAACAGAAAGATATTCAGCAGCAAAGGCATGTAGGGGTGATAGAGATTCGTGTGAGAGACTGGAGAAACGAATCTCTCTCTCGTTTGCGTTAACTTCTCTCGATAGATAGCCACTCTAATATCTGTTGATGACTTTCAGCATCGATTTCACTGAGCGACAGTTGTATGTTGATGGGATTTCTTAGAGTCCGCGATGCAAATGGCTTCGCCCACGATACAGCTTCTAGACAGTGGCATAATACTATCTTTGAGTATAAGCATAATCCATAAACCTGGCGATTAGATCTCGTACTCCAACATTCTATAGAACTACACAATCAGGCCATACTAATGGCTACAAGAATCAAGACCTGCTAACCAGTCCTTTCTTTCGATGCACGACGGAAGGCCAGACAGAGCACTGCTTGGAAGGAGTCTCCAGTTTTGCGAGCATCAAGAACTAATTCCGACAATAAAACATCCAAAAAGAATTCTTTGCTCGTGTGACATAGTTTAGAAGTCCAACATTTCGCACTTCTCCTTACATAAGTCCCGATTGAAACTTTCCCTTCCGGCCATGGGCAACCATTCCTCCCTTCTTGTCTATTCATTGTATGACCCCTCACTCACCCTTCAGACTTGCACAATCAGAACCCACCACCCACCTGGTTGTGGTGGCGCCTGATCCCTACCTTCTTCCCATCGACACCTTTCGTGCCAGCAATGCTTCTTCAGGTGTCCAGGGTTTTGAGTCCGGCTGAAAGAGCATCAAGGTATTCTCGTGTTTCCAGATGTGCTCTGTTAGTCGCACTCCCCCTTAACCACGTGTCACTATGAACACATGCGAGGGCACTCGCGCCGATATTCCGAGCGCTTGAGGAATCGCGAGAACCGTGGAAAACGTCTGTAGTAATTATGGCAAGTACCGCTTTCACACCAGTGGACCCCGTACGTTTCCTGATCTTCGCGTATATTGTATGAATCCGAATTCAAAGAGTGATACCAGTTCGGACCCATCATATCGCAGGCATCCCATCTGCATTGGTAATGGAGCACAAGACAGTGTCCTCCCAAATGACATGGCCGAACCTCCACATCGAAGAGCCCGCGCTCGTCTGTGAGCTCTTTGCCGCCATAATTTATGCGCCTTCGGTGGGATTGTAAGTCGGCCTGGCAGTCACCGCGCTGCCCAGCTGTCTCTTGTAATATGCGCTTTGGTGTTGATTTCTGTGGCGCCTCTTGCTATGCCTCGAGTTTCTATTGATATTCGTACTCTTTCCGGGTGTCCTCAGAAAGCCAACTGATTTGTCTTGCAGGATTCCACCGGCACGACCTGCTTTTATCCAATGGAGGACAAGGCCACCAGTTACCCATCGGTCGGTGTTGCATCCCGACACATCCACAGTCATTCGGGTCGAAACAAAGAAGTTGAGGTATGTGGCCGTAAAACAGGATTGGACAAATTCCCCAGCCCCCCATTTTATAAGCTTCTCCTAATCTACACCAGAGGGTCGGCAGGATGACTGGGCGCTCCTGGGGCGTAAAATCAATGTGCGCAGTCCATGAGGTGACTAAAGATTTATACGAGCGAATTTCGATCGTTGGATGGAGGCTGCGCGATTCGACGCATCCGCAGTCACGGCCACGTCCGACGTCAGCGTCTGCTCCCATCGCAAGTTTCTGCTCGGGGCACAACATAAGATGACCCTGTTCCTTGCACACAAAAACCACATTCTCGGAAGTTTCAGGTTGAAATAACTGCATGAGACGCCAGTATTCGATATTTTTCCAACGGATCTGGCTGTGCTCACAGATGCGGAAGTAGCCCTCGTGACCGATGCACACTTGATCAGACGATGTCTCTTTTCGACGTTGACGGATGGAGAACAAACATGCTGGGTGATCAACGCCACACGCAGAGCAGTGCAGGTATCGACATAACCTCTTGACCCTGCTGTCCCAGTCAGGTGCCTCACGTGCTGTCAAGCAGACTTGACAGTACCTATCCTTGTCAAGGAGTCGGCAAAGCTCCGTCTTGAACCCATCGATGGTGCTCGGCCGCGGCCATAAGAAAGGCCCGGCCAAACAGTCGTGCCACATGTAAAAAGGAGAATTGAGGTCGGTAGGCAGCTGCAAGTGCTTGAGTGCGGTCTTGCTGCATAGGCTCGCAAACTTTCGTGAAACGCGGCGAAGGCATTCGACACTGCAGTCATCCAGGTTCTGAAACACCTTCATGATAATCAGATCTGGAAGTATAGATATGGCTTTTTGTTTCGTTACTGCATGCCCTTCTGATCAAAATCGATGTAATCCCCGTTGCGTCCACCTTCTTTCCCAAATAGTGTGGCCATCGTGTATCGTCGATGAGAGGCGTGTAATCGGCTCTGCGATGACAGAATCTTCGCAAATAGCTCATCTGTAACCCCATCTTGTGGAACTGTCAGAGGAGGTTTAGTATCAGGAAAGTCGTCAATGTTGAGCAAGTTGTGGTTATCGAAGAGCAGAAGGAAACCGGCAGCTGATTCTCTCCTTTAAATGCATGGCCACGTAGCTTCTGCGTACCGTCTGACGCGCAGTCGTCTATGCTCATGAACACATGACTTGGCGTAGAGAATCTTAGTGTCTAGTCTAGTGAGATTGGGTCAGCCTGCAGTTCGACCACCATTCGCCGGATGGAGGCCGAAAGCTGATCAACGGAGTCTAGCAACCTACTAAGTACATCCCCGCCCGAAATTGCATCTGATTGGGAACATCGCGTGCATAATGAAGACTGACTTGTGAGTAGATTACAGACGAAATGAACTAAGCATGTGACGAAGACACAAGCGCTGTCTTTAGGCTCTTGCCGTGGCGAGAGGAAACTCGAGCTTCATGAGAATTGGCTCGGCTATCATGGTGTTTCCCGGCGGGACCACGTGCTATTAAGTTGAGACAGGGTTGTTTCAAGATCGTAACAGCACTTGGATAGTCTTTAATAAATACGGACTGGATTCTGTGCTCCAATGACTCTAAGTGACAGCGGATGGGACAGTAAGCGCGAGGTGTGGTCGAGGGTCGAGGATAGCGCTGAGCGCTTTCGCCAGCTCTTGACTTCAGTCTGTGTAGAGACGTCAGTAAAAAGGGGTAATAGAAGCCAGAATAGATGGCTAAGGAGGTAGGATGGCCTTCTGCATACATCATGCATGCAGACTTACCCAATAGAACTGACAGCCTGTCAGACCAGTGACACCATCCCAGAATCGGTGATTCGTAGTACCAGGGTGATTGGCGAAAAGTATTGGACAAATCTGCCATAGTCTGTCCGTAAGCAAGTGACCATTGGACTCGAGGCGAAGATTCGGCTTGGGTGATGGAGCTGAAAGGAGGGCAGTACTTGCGTCAAGATCTTGGGGGCCACCGACTGCTAATGCTTTCAACGCAAAGGAAAACGAGGAAGCGGTGTTGAACGGCATGAAGCATCTGACGTACATGGTTGTTCTGGAATCTATAAGGAGGGAAGGTTCATGCTGCTCAGCTTGTTGGAAAAAGTCGTCAAATCACAGGTTTGGCATGGATGTGTGGATCAGGCTCGTGTACTGCTGAAGACATGGTGGGAGGACGATGGTATTCTTGCTAGAAATGTGTAGGAACATTGAGATCTGTGGCCATGGCTCAAGTTTCGAGAACTGATGGAGATGTTGATGTCAAAGTTGTCTGGAACAACAAAGAGATCGCTGTTGCTGTCGAAATATTTATTCGTGGCATATGAAATGATACAATTATAACTCTTGAGAATTGTTAAGAGCAGTCGCGAGGTTCGTATTCTAGAAAGTTTGGCGGGTACAGAAGAGTTAAGTAGCAGTCAAGCAGGAGAATGACAGTCTGCTTTGCTTTCCGGGAAACATAAAGCTTATATGAAAAGGCACGAAGGTCTTCTAACCGATGTTTACATGGAAGGCGTACCCTCAGTGGTTTCCCCCCATTTCCCTTAGATTGTATTCTTAGTATATAAATAACAGCGAAAGCGGTTCTTTGCGCCTAAGTTTTCCTTCCTTAATTTTGCCCTCTGAATGCTTCCTTCGAGACTTTTGATGACCTCGGGACCCCTTCGTTGTCAACAACGGTTGCTGACATAAATATAAGAGGTTTCTTTCTAATCGCTCTAAGCAATTCGTCAAGCTCAACGTGCCCACTAGACCATCCACTAAGGGCCAAATCATCGTAATTAGGAGCATTATTGAGCTGTGTCCGGCTCTCACATAACTTCAGCCTGTGCCAACCGGATATGGGGCAACTCAACTCCTGTCTCTGTGGACCCCTTTAAGAAGACAGCGACCGCATCGCCTGACTCGGTAAAGAGTATAGTCGGCTCTATGGTTTGGTAGAGATGTCGGAGTTGTCTCTGGGCAGGAAGCTCTCGAAACAGACGATAAGTGAGGCCGCCACTTGAAATGAGAGCCAATACAAGTATAAACCTACAGGTGATAATCCCCCACACCCATTCGATTAGTGACTAAAATTCAGTGCAAGAGTCTTATTTCAAATTTGCTTACCACATGGCTCCTGTGGAGGCTGTGCTGTAGAAGGTGATGCCTGCCGCAATACCGGATCCAATTGTGAGGACACCGAGCATCAAGTCGACAGCTATGATCAGGCCTGGCGGCGTCCACGGAGACTCGTCCCCAACCCATGCAGTAACAAGTCTAGCTATGTCAAATGTGATCAAAATAGATGACTAATGCATTGTTTATTAGTTTTATGAAAGCAGTGTATCTCTCTTGGGCTTTCGGCCATGTCTTTGGACATACAAAAATAACATGCAGGAGAAGCACGGTACTCCCCACATAAGCTTTCATAGCAACCAAGGTATTGATAGAAACGCTAAGTTTGATACTTATAATTACCAAACGAATGATTCTCATGACCCATACTCGGCAGCCCCATCTTTTCAATACGGAAGGAATTGTACTTGAAATTCGCTGTTTGAAACTTTCAGTGGATATCATATAATATTTCGTGGGCATGGCTGCTGTAATTCATCAAAAGAATTGATGATATATGGCGAATGGGTTTGAGTCTAGAAGATCAATATAAGCAGAAACAAGAGTAGGACGAGAGTTTATATTGTGATATGTAGCAAGTACCAGAGGCCTCAGCTGCATGCAACCCCAGCCCCTCCCCCCCACTCTGGTCACATTCCTGTCAGCTTAGCCCCCGTATATTTTAGTCTCAAACCGGATTCCGGGCTGGTCGCACTCAAGGCTGACTTTTGAACTTCAGATAAGCATCGCTTCATGATCCCGGACATTATAACCTCGACAAAACTTCAACAGGCATAATTACCGGTTGACAGCATTCAGAACTTTGAACGTGAAGTCTTGGTTGAAATTCGATACAGTTCCTTAAAAAGTAGTTAAGTCATATCATGAAATTAATTGGGATACCAAAGGGATATGCTATACACTGCCAGCAGACAAGCAGCACGTGTTCTCCACGATATCCGCTTCGTCATGTGGCAATAATTGCAGCTTACGCCGTGCAGGGTCGTGATGCAGCTTACGCGCTAAGGTCGCTTTTCCTGGATTGCAAGTACGTGCCAACCGATCATCACCTTTGCAGCTGCAAGGATGAGGGCTAGCTGTTTCAATAAGTACTTAGTTTTCCAAAGATACTTTACACATACCAGGGCTCTAAAGTGTTTTCTCTCACCAACATTCAATCTGCGGTAGCCACATCGATCTCCTAGCACAACCAATCTTCTTGAAAGATATGAGAGCTTCTAATGTCGATTCCACTTGGTTTCTAGGCGACGTACCGCCATCCGAATTATCCTTACAGCACCTAATCTTCTACATTTTACCATGTCCATTCAGGACAGATTTCCTAAGAGTGGTTGGCGCCGCATCGGCGCCGTCAACCTGCTCTTGATCTTTTTCTCTGCGCTCGTGCTGCTGGGGTGCGTCTTGGCCAATGTTTTCGCATCCCCACCGCGACCCATTTCGACAGCGAGAATCTTATATCAGGGCGACTGTACTGCTGCCAGCCGTATCAACTTGGTATTGCACCTTTTTATCAACGTTCTTTCGACCTGTGTCCTTGCATCATCCAACTTCTTTATGCAAATTTTGAGTGCGCCATCTCGCAAAGAAATCGACAAGGCCCACCAGGTTCTATGTGGCTTGGAAATCGGAGTGCCGTCGTTAAAGAACATCTTCTTTCTCTCTAATTTTAAACGGATCGTATGGTTTGGGCTGTTTCTTAGTTCTGTACCCGTCCACCTACTTTTCAATAGCGTCGTTTACGAAACGAATTTCGAGGGCTCCAGCTGGCATCTCGGCATCGCGACCGAAGCATTCGTGGAGGGAACGGGGCATTATTTTGGTCCAGGGGCATCTTTGTCCCCATCTGGCTTTCCTGGGCCTACTTTCAATAACAATATGACTAACATATGGTACGGCCTCGGCGAGCAGATTAACTTGGCTCAATACTGGGACGATTCGTCACCCGCCAATCAGACAATGAAGGTGGTTGAGAGTGCAGTTGCAGGGTGGAAAAACCTTACACCCAGCGAGTGTTTCTCCGAATACAGATTCTGCAAGCCGAGAAAAGAATATCGCAACATGACAGTCGTTGTTGATGGCGTGGGTCCTGGATGGGTTCGGTCAGAAATTTTCGATTTCGACACAAACAGCAATCTCAGCCAGCTTTGGGATGCACACATTCCTCCCCGTGTCGCCAACTCCCTGTGGCGTTCACTTTCCTGTTTCAACCAAAGAGTACCTGATGAACGGTCCTCAGACGACGGATGTAACCAGTACGGTCAATGCGCAGGAGTGCTTGGGGATCCCACAGCACATGCCTGGGTGAATACTACAACCCTATCAGGTTCGATCTGGACCATCCCTGTGGAGAGCTTTCAGTCTTCGTATCCAACGATATACGGGTTCAATCAATCTTTCAGCCACTTGAATGTGGCGTATTGCCTTGCAGAGCCGAACCCGGACTACAAGTGCAAGGTCGGTGCCTCTACCTCTCTGCTTCTGGTCGTGGCCCTGTGTGTGTTTGCCAAGGTCTTCCTGGGTGCTTTGACCCTCTGGAAGATCCCACACACTTCACTTGTCACGCTTGGCGATGCGATGGAATCGTTCATCTCATGTCCTGATGCAAAGACGGTTGGGTTAGGTACAATCAACATCAGGGACAGCCGGCGAATTGAATTTCAAAAACAAACACTGGGATCAACCCAGTATCTGATCCATGGACCCAGACCACGCCGATGGCATGGTATCACTCGCCGATATGTCAAGTCGGTCATATCTAAAGGCGTGTGGATACGCACCTACAGCCTCCTCACAGCCGGCGTAATTCTGCTCGTGGTTGCTTTGACAATCTTTGCTACCACCTACGGGCCCAGCTCGGTGTATGTTACATGGCTTCTGGTTGTCGTTTACGAGATGCTGACATGTACTGCGCAACAGAATCCAGGCGTTTGGTTCCTCAGACAATAACACAGCCGTCAACATATTCTACGAACCACCGTCATACGTGACTTTGCTTCTCGCTGCGAATAGCCCCCAAATCATCCTATCATTTTGCTATTTCTCTTTCAATGCTTTCTTTACTCGTACTCAGACTGAGCAGGAGTGGAACTCGTACAGTCTCGAATACAAGCCGCTGCGTGTTTCCCACCCTACAGGATCTCAGACATCCAGTTATCGTCTTCAACTACCGTATAGATACAGCTTGCCGTTGCTTGGTGTTAGCATTGGCCTTCACTGGATCTTATCGAACGCAATATTTATCTACATCGTTGAAGGGAGTAAGTGGATTAGAAGTATTAAACATTATTGTCGCAGGCTGCTGACTTCAATGTTATAATCAGATTTCTGGGACTCTTCTTATATAAGCTATTCATTTGACCTGCAAGAGTTGGGAGTCTCAGAAGACGCCTTGGTTGCTATGGGGGTTTCAGGGTTGGCTTTGCTGATTATGACTCTCGTCTCCGCCCTCTTATGTTGCATACCAATAGCTTTCAGCTACAGAAAGGTCCCGGGGACCATGGTAGCTGGTGGATCGAATTCTTTGGTTTTGTCTGCCGCATGCCACGCCTCTGTGATGGCAAGAAGACACTGGGAACTTACGAATACCTCCGATAGTGCCGTTAGGGAAGGATCTGCATATGAAGAATCTAATGACGGCAATGGTCAGGTTCAAATGCCTGCGCCATCTATGAACTTCACTAGGGGTCAACAGACAGCCGCAGTTCAGGGATACAATGCCGCCATAGATGCCACGAACGCCGACACGCTGCGCCAGTCCTACCAATCCTCAATAACAATGTCAGAAGAAAATTATCAGCCACTGAGGTCAAACAATCAAAGAGGAACGAGGCCGCCATTACCCGAACGTGTGTCCCAGACAAGGGCCCAGTTAGACGTTGCCAGTGGCAGTGTTTATCCGCAGCCTTCTCCCCACTTGCGGGATAACAACACAGGACCCCTTCTGGGAGCATATTACGAACCAAGACCTGGGAATACTCGATTCTCAGCTCTGACAACGGGATATGCAGAACGATACGAACGCTCTGTCCAGATTGACCTCGACAGCATGCACAAATATACACGCTCAGAAACGCAACCTTCTTTGCAGACTGGTCCCTTTATCAGAACCTACAATAACGGAGACGGAAATCATTCTTCCAGCGTTGACCGCTTTCAAGAAACGCATGGCGCTCCCCAGGATTGGCAGGGCCAGAGTATTCTCATAGGCAGTGGTGCTTTGGATGAAAATGAAGTTGAGCGCTTATTGGGCGGCATGAGCTTGAGCGCACGAGATGAGAAAGAGTCGTTATTATTGAGAAAGCTGACCTTGGGCAAGATCAAATGGGGCTCTATGGCCTTGGACTCGCATCTCCAGGACAGTGTGAACATGCTGGGTATTGATGAACCTGTCAGGCATCTTGGCATGGGGACTGAGGAAGATGATGTACAGCCTCCACGCCAAGGTCACTGGTATATTTGATAGATTAACCATATATACTGATGGCTACATACGATGGTTCATCTGGCTGAACCCCTTTTCATTAGCTCGCAAGGGTATCAAGATTATCTAATACTTAGGCCAATGAGGGGGTTTCAATTAAGCATTCCCACAGCTTGTCGTTCTCTTCCTTGGTCATTCTGAGGGGGGCCGCGTCTTCTTAAGGGAGGGGAAGGGTAGAGTATTGAATCATTTTGTAATTGGCAAGGGTCGCCACTCAGTTGAAGGACAATGAAGAGATGAAATGGTGTTTATTACAAGATTGAATGAATGAGAGCAATAGAATATATTCCCTCATAAGAGGAGGAAGAATAGAAGGGATGGTCTCCAAATGGAATAACACTTGATCTATTCGGAACAATCTACTTTATGCATCTTTAGAATTGTGACATCTTCGCTTAAATGAACTCCAGCAATTAACTCGCAACGCCTCTTGTTGTGGATCCATTTTCAGTGTTTAAATTCTCTTGTTTAAGAATCATGACATCTCACTGCCTATGTCAACCTCGTATTCTTGTGTATATCAGGCCGCTAGCCTTTGAAATACTAGCTTGCCCTCTCTAGTAGAGTTCTCGAGTAGGGCCACGATAGTAGGATGCTTTTCAAGCTCGCCGGTTCTCCTCACCCAGACCGTCATTTCCATCTCCACTGTAGCCTTGGGTCGCAATCACTGCTCTCACTTCCTTCCATCAGGGTGTGGAGCTCACTTAGCACCAGCCAATCGTTGCCCGGATGGGTGTGAAAAGCGAAGAGATTGTCATTTGTTGTCTCTGTCCCGCCAAGTCAAGACAGCGGTGACGTTACGGCGCGCAACGATATGTAGCAGAACAAACTCGACCGTGCCCGCCATCTGCCCGTCTGCCAGAACAAGCACGGCATGAAGCCTCCTCGCGTAATGATGGATATTGCTCGGTAGTCGCAGCCCTTGGACCTAATCTATACCTAACCCGGGAAAGAACTGTCCTAGGCAATATATCCGTACAAACCAGGATGGATCGTCGTATGTTCATGTAGTCGCTCCAGGAACCGCTCACTGGCCCACTTGGACGAGACGATGCCATGTCATGCCCCAGCTGTTGATGAGCTATTGTCTGTACCAAGGGACAGATCTGTATATCGAAAGCGAAAACGGGTTCGAAAACGAAGTTTTCACTCTGCACATTCTGAAACCTGTCTCTATGTGACACTAGAATGCACAACACTCTTCCCGACCACGACGATCCGGCCGACGCCGAGACTCGAAATGCAGTGGAAAAGCAATCGCCGTGGCGTACTCATCAGGGTGAGTTCCTTAGTCGCCTCAATACTGCAATGTGTCACGGGGAGATTGCATTTTAAAGCTTCTTTGCAATCATCAGCATTGGTATTAGCATGAAATATTACAAGAAGCAACACGCATATTAAAATACACCCCTTGGCCATAACATGTAGGTATCAGCCTGTAAACAAACGAGGACACTGGCACTTTCTTCGGTTGCACAGCCAAGAACTTTGAAGTTCTGAGAGAAGGAGACATCAGTGTTTGTATAGTGTAGTAAAGTAGCAGTCTGTTGTGATTGCTTACCCATTTATTCACAATGTGATTACAATCTTCTTTGCCGAGACACCCTTTTTGCCCACCTCAAATGCCTCTTGTACCTTCTCCAGCCCTTGTCCTATGACCTGAGGCTCTGGCATTGGCACGAATCTCCCAGAAGCCAGGGCAGCAGGCAAGAAGTCACTGTACACCACCTTTGCAACATCACTGTCAACAAGCTCCGTGCCCCAGACAAACTGCACCGTGACACCCTTCATGGTCTTCTTCACCAGCGTAGTGATTTGCGCCCACACCATCTTGGCCAGGAAGGATACCATTCCGAAAGCCCCGGGCGCCATCTTTGCCGGGCCGTCCATGGACATGGATGCCACAAATTTTCTCTCTGAGCCTTTGCAGCACGTGGCCAGTATCTCGATGCACGGTTTGATCGATGCCTCGCCGATGGCCATCGCCCCGCCACATTTAGTCCGGCCATCGGAGGTGAGGCGTCCGACAGCGTCCACGATTTCCTTGACGCAGGTCTTGCTTCTATAACTGAAAACCTCCGTGGCGCCGAGCCCCCGGATAGTGTCGAAATTATGGACTCCAGCTGTCGCAACAACCCTGTAGCCCGCAGCGACAAGCAGCTGGACGGCATTCATGCCCACGGCTGTGCTGGCACCCCACACGACAACCACATCACCAGCGCCAGCCTTGTGGATGTAATTCTCAACCGAAGGGTGATTGAGGGCGAGATATTTGTCACAGAAGAGTCCGGAAGCAGCTGTGCTCAGACACAGAGGCAATACACATGCCTTCTCGTACGCCATATCGTCCGGAATTGCTGACACCGAGTTGCTCCTCAGGACGACGTACTCCTGGAATCCACCTTCGGCGGCCTTTGCAGAGCGCGAGTCCATGCCTAGGGCGAGCCCTGTGACACGTTGACCAGGTCGGAACTGTCCCGATTTCTGCACCTTCGTGCCGACCTCGACAATCTCTCCAGCCACGTCATTTCCCAGGATGAAGGGGTACTTGATCCATCCGTACATCATGTCGCCCACCTCTTGCTTCATCCAGTCGATGAGATTCATGGCGATTGCATGAACTCGAACCACAACCTGATCTGGCCCGGGTGGCGTGTACGGAGCTGGCGAGATGGAGAGAGGCCCTTTGGCCTTTGAAATCCAGGCCGCATGATTCTCAGGTGTTTTTGCGGCCATGCTGTTGTTTGATAGCCAAGAAGCTCTAGAGACCTTAAGTATTTCCAACTTGGATGTCGCGATGAGGTCAACCTTGTCTTCTTGAGTGTTTTCTTATAAAGGAAATGTGGCGAGTTTCTCAGTTCAAGGTTAAGAGGCTCAATTCAATTCCGTTGAGATTGTGCAGTTGAAAAATACAGAGCAACCAAGCAGCCATTTTCTTATGTCCTGGGCGGATAAAAGTCGTCAGTTTTATATTAACTGTCAAGTTGTGCTCGGGGGAAATCTGCCAAGTATCAATACGAAATTAGGATTAGTGCTTCTCTTGGTCTACCAACGATGAGAGGGTCTGAAATCTTACCCAACACAACACTCTGGAAGTATGACGCTTGGTATGAAGACGACCTATAAGATGTCGGTTGTCCAAGTGCGAGTTCGAAATAAGCTTAGTTTCGGACAATCTAATGCGCCATCCCTAGCCAGGCGCGGTAGGATACGCAACGGACATAGCGGGGTAAACACTGAAAACAAGCACAGGCATCGGACTTTAGAGGCCTGCGGCTACGCCACCTGCACAACACAAGGCTGGGATACGAATCTAGGTTAGACTCATTCCACCGCCAGCCGCTCGTCTCGATTGGCTTCTCAATTTTAGATGGGACTAACAGCGTTGGGGACGGGGCCGTTTGTAGCTGTGGTTTCACCTTCATTATCGCTAAGCCTCGGTTTCAAGGGATTGTGTTCTGCTTCATCGGGCTGTAACTTTGGCCTATTGACAATCTTGTTCAACAGAGGCCCGCGCCATTCTTGGAAACATGCTTGTCAATTTGAATATTAAGCTGAGCAGCAGTGCCGAGTTAATACATAGTCTGGATATATTCTCGAGCACATGGGCACCTGACTCTGGTTGCCAATCACATCATCTTCACAGGTTGTACTGAATGCGGGCCTATTTAATTAATTAGACTCTGTCCGCATGTCCTCATCATGTAGAATAAAGCTTTATTATAGTCCATTCAACAGGAAAGTACAAAACAGTTTGATGATGACAAGATATAATACTGCAAACAATCTTCGGAAGCTGTTCCTTAGTATAGCAGTGAGCACTGGCTGCTGTTGTCGCTCCTACAGGTTGGCACCTTGAATCTAGTACTGAGATCAGTAAGCTATATTTAGATCACCACTTCTATTCGGAATGGTTCCTATTTGGAAACACAAATGCCTATGCGACGTTTCAGTACAAGCAAAAGAGACGTTGATCTCGGCTGCAGCACTCTGATTAAGTAATAATGACTCCTCACGCCCTCTTAATGTCGATGAGGATTCAAACCCCAAACACATTCCCAATGATTCGCTCAGACACTACCTCTGCTTTGTTTGTTTGCTCTTATTCGTCTAGAAGGGTTGCATTTACTGCAGAATAGCCATTATTCCGGGCTTCGTGTTGCCGAAGTGTCCCATACTGGTGCTTCCTACTGCCAAGATCGGGCAGATAAGATTTGTCCTCTTTATTCTTTTAGATCGAGTACTCTTCCAGTAATTCTTTCTAGATTACCTCCTACAAACTTAGATAAAGTATTCCAGTCCAGGAGCAGATCACGGAAATTCCCAGGTTGGGTTGCTCTTACCAGACAGGTTTCCACTGACCACCGATCAGCTTGAGCCGGACATCCAAAGGTAGAAGCTTTGGAAACGATAACAGCATATGCTTTGGTAATTGTTAGTAAGCTAAAGTATGAATTATCAGAAGACAAGCGCCCACGAAAGCAAAGAACTGAAACTTCTCCAATGATCCACCGTAGGAACAGGCAGAGCAGTTCCACTCCATCCCCATGTTCAACATATCGTAAGGCTCATTCGTACGCCAGCGCACGCCAAAGACAGCTGTATCTGGCTTTCCCTCCCTTAGAAACGACTTCCCCGCCTCGATAATGTTGACCTTATTAAGCCAAGACGACCGCAGAGGCCTCAAGCAGCTGCAGGCTTGCTGTCGCCGTTGGTCTCCGCGCCCCCATGCAAGTAACACATCATTTATGATTTATGGATAATTAAACTTGCTTCTCAGGAGAATACATGTAGTAATTTGCAAATTCCTGGGCTTCTTTTTTGAAACCCAAGATTATATAGCCCTCTAACAATATTCAGAATTTCGTGCAGTCCTTAGATACTGAAGCTATCTAGGTACTAATGGCACGTGGGTTGTGCTCGAGGTCATGGAGCTGACGAGCAGCCTGCGAAAGCTCGCCTTTGTATAAGCCTGGCCACCTAGAATGGGCACCCCTTTAACAAAAGCGAGCCCATCCTGTGTCTCGTTGTATACTTGACATGTATTTCTTCCTTTGATCCTCCATGGCTGTACCGCGGCAAAACGGAGGCATACTCATCGGGATCACTAATTCTGTGACACATGACGGAAGATTTGCGTCTGATTGTATTCTTTGGCAACCAATAGAGGACCTCGGGTGAGTAGACCATATCGAAAGACGTCCGCTATTCGCCGAATATAGTTCACTAAAGTATACAGAGAATCAGACGAAATACCGCGTCCTTCGTTCATGTAGCCTCGAGGATCGTAACACATTCTACCTTGAAGAGGAAACGGCGATAATTTGGTGCCAAGTGCGCGTTGCCAGTGGCTTTCGAAACTCTTATATGACATGTTATCGTCCCTCAAGATCTTGAGCCTGCTGGAGTCAAGTTTCCTAGCGACGGATCTTGCCTCCGCTGACATCGCAGTACATGGATTTCGATATCATTTAACAAGACTCAAAGCGGGGCCGTCATAGTGAGCCTGCGAAGGATAAGTGTTGTACAGCGGAACAAATGTGATGGTGCGTCCGGCGAACACTTTCCACACTGAATTAATTGCCCGGGAGGGGAGGACACATTTTCGGACTACCCAAAGGCGATGAAACTAGCTTAGGTCGAAAAGTTTGTCGAATGATGCCGCATCATGTTCCCAGGTTTGAGCCCAAAATCCACCATGTAGCCTTCCCGAGGCCAGGTCGTCCACAGCTCCTCTCCAATCGTCGTTGTCTGGTTTCGCCATTGCTTGAATCAACTCAAATACACCAGCCGTATTACAGTCCTCTGATCCGAGTCATATGATAACCCGTCGCAGTTATCATAAATCCTGCTCATCAGCCGAGCTCATAATGCTCGCTCCGCTAAGTTTTGCTGGTTAATACACAGGGCATCGACCCAGGTGTGAGTTACGAAGCAGACCCCACAAAATGATTGCTCGCATCATTGAGGATGTGGGTCGCGGTTTCGAGCCATCTTGTCGGGTTCCCAGGATCGTTCCTGTTCAGGAATATGGTGAAGCCCATGCGTATGTTAGCTGCTGGAATCGGCAGTGATGACGATTTCATGTAGTGTGTTGATCTTCAGCAGCTGAATGCAGGTTGCAGTTGATAGTGAAGTGTAGATGAAGGACTGATTCATTGTATCGGTGAAATTTTCATGTTCATTTGGGTTGGGACTAGCAACTAAGGGGCTTTGAGGGGAAGAGACAAGTGAAAATCCGTGATTGAATGGTGGAAAGATTTGGGAGGGGGCTAAGACGTGTAGACATGTGTGCGAGGCTTGATGGTTCACTAATCCTGTGCGTGCCTGGTAGCCATAGCCCCGTCAAAACCCTCTTCTATGTCGCATCCTCGACACAGTCAGCCTTTCATGATATATACACTGAACAAAGAAAAGGTGGAAGAAGCTGCGTGTCAGACTGTGTTCATCAATACTACGTAACAATCTTGGAAGCTTGGGCCTCAAGTGGGTGCAAGCCGCAGGCGGTGTTGTCCTGACCAGTCCAAACGTGCGCTGACCATGGTTGTAAGCAGCGGAGGTTCGGGTAGATTTGTTATCTGGCTGTGGCCGTGTGGAGATTGTCTTGAGAAGTAGCTTGGATTATCACTTGATTGTTGAGTTGCTCTCATGTATTACCACCCCTGAGCCGTTGCGCTACAAGATGCAAGCTTGAGCTTCAGGTTCAATTGGCAAGCTGTGCAATTTGTTGCTGCCTAGCCACTCTCCATCATGGATGCTGTCTGGTCAATGTGTATCGCAGAGGCACTTGCCTAGCAGATTAGTGACGCAGGGGCAATCTATGCATAATTGTAGTACTCCGCACCTGTAAGCGCCTCAATGTAGTAGTTTGTCCCTTTGTGAATGGTCTGTTGTCAGCGCTATTCGAAAACAGGCAGCTCGTGACCAGTCTCCATGCCGACATACCCGAGCAGCTTGCGATGTTGCAGTTTTCCAAAAGACTACTTAGATCCTCTTATGCCAGATATTAATCAGGGAAACGCACGCACCACAGTACTGTCCACAGTACTCCTTTGTTCATAGTCGAAAAAGCGCTGACAAGTGAGAATGCAATCAGAAGATGAGAAGGGAGTGTCGACCTCCCCGCCTTCGGGCGGGCCACCACAGGCCGGGGATGTGGTCTTATCCAGCGATACTGGATACATCAGACCCCAGGCGCGGAAGCTACACGACCCGGACGTCACTTTCGAGGAGTATCACTACTATGCGCTTCAGACACGGGAGCTGGAGAGAAACGAACCCAGACCCAAGACCAACTGGCGAGAGATCATCCTGCGCGCGAAGCCCAAGACAGAGGGGCAGGAGGCAGAGACCGGCGACATAACGTCCAGCAATCTGAATTTTGCCAATCGCGCCAACCGCCTGGAGATCACCGATGAGGAGTGGTCAAATGCCTCGCGAGCGTTTCGTACAGCGTCCGCCGGCGCCTGTTTCTATCTCATCACAACTGACATCCTGGGGCCGTATGGTGTTGGTTTCGCCATGGGCGCTCTTGGCTGGATGCCGGGCATCATTCTGTACAGCGTCTTTGGCTTCATGGCTGGCTACGGTGGCTACCTGCTCTGGCACATCTTCCTGGGCCTCGACTCCTATCAATTCCCGTTAAGAAACTTTGGTGATCTTGGTTTCCGCCTTTACGGCGGGTGGGCACGACACATCCTCAACGTCCTTCAAGCATTGGCCTTGCTTCTTATCCTCGGGCAGGTAACCATACAAAACGGCCAGGCGTTGTCTCAAGTGTCCAAGTTCCGCATCTGCTATGCGGTCTGTCCCATCATCTTTGTTGCCGCTGGCTTTGCCCTGGGTCAGGTTCGCACGCTCCGCCGATTTGGACTCATTGCTAATCTGGCAATCTGGCTGAACCTCCTGGTCATCTTCATCACCATGGGCATCATGGCTCACAGCCCGCCTAACTTTGCCATCTCTGTTCTGGGCTCAGCAGGGGCTCTCGTCGACCCAGACTCCATCACACCCGATGCAAACGGCATTTATCCTCCTGTCAAACACTACAACTACCTGCCAGATCCCAGCAGCCTGACTGGGTCTCTAAACGGCCTCATGTCCGGTGTTCTTGCGTACGGTGGTGCTCAGCTGTTCATCGAATTCATGGCTGAGATGCGTCGACCCTATGACTTTTTGAAGGCCATGTGGGGAGCTCAATTCTTCATTTACAGTGTCTATAGTGAGTATTGCATGTCCTGCTCCGCCCTTGCTTTTTCTTTTCTTTCTTCAAATTGGCAACTGGTATTACTATTACTGGTTCAAGCACAGAATGAAAGACTCCTGACCACCCGACAGTGATATACGGTTGCTATGTCTACTACTTCCAGGGACAGTATGCATATCAGATCTCCTATCAAGGCGTATCTGCGTACGGCTTTCAGACTGCCGGCAATATGCTTGCATTCATCAGCGGCCTTATTGCCGCCGCGCTGTATGGAAACATCGGCATAAAGGTCTTTTATAATAATGTCTTGATGGACTTGTTCTCGGCTCCTCCTCTCACGACCAAATCCGGCAAGATCCTTTGGGCCATCATTGTTCCTATCTGGTGGTCCATCGCGTACATCATTGCGGCAGCCATCCCGGACTACTTTGGCTTCGTATCCGTGATCTCGTCGGCTACACTGTTGGAGTTCACGTACTGCTTTCCGCCCATGCTAGCTTTGGCTTACGATATCCAATTGAATGCCATCGTCGAAGGCGAGGGCTTTGATCCTGTGACAGGAGCAGTCATCCGCAAGGACAAGGGCCTGAAACGCTGGGTACGAGGATTTTTTCGTGGGAGGTGGTGGCTCAACATTCTGCATCTTCTCTATGCGTGTGGGGCTTGGGCCACAGCTGGTCTTGGTCTCTACGCTGCGATTGAAGGTAGGTCTATATTCCCCGTTGCACAATGAATACATCTGCTGACCGCTCTGAACAGGCATGATCGAGGCGTTTGAAAATCCTCAGCTAAACTCTTTCACATGCACCTCACCGTTGAATCTTAATGCCTAATGTGCAGTAGCTAGATATGATTAAGTGTCTGGTTTCTGTCTGCAATTACAATGTTGTAATTGCTAGATGACATCTCTGTGTCACCTTGATATAGTCCGCTATAGCCTAAAATAAATACATGGCTTGCGCACTAGGCCTCAAAGGAAACTCAGCGACCATATCACTCTAGGATCTTTGGATATACCATGCGTCTTGTGCTGACCTGGAAAATTGAGCAGCGCACCTGAGCAAATTCTCATTCATCGAGAGAACTTTCACAGGGCTCTGCTCCAGTATGATAGTTCCAATTATGCGGAAAATATGTGCCACATAATAATTTCGCCATCTGGGGTTTCCTTCATCTGACTCGGTTGAAAATGTAGATGATGAGTCTGAAATATATCGAATTCTCCTCAGTTTGCTTTGTACGTGTAACCAAGGTCTCTATAGTATGCACACGCCCCCAGGGGTGTGGGCCAGACGCGTCAGGAGGTTAGCGTGAATTAATCCCTGTCGGCATTCCGCCAAAATTACGTCGTTGCAGGGCAACTAAGGGAAAGCTCTCTCAACCCACACATCTTCTCACTGCTCTGGCAATTTTGTTGGCTGATTTTCTGCCATGCAATTACATCGCCAACAACAACACAGTGTAAAGCCACCACTTGGACTGACACCTTGACCTCTGCTCCTGCATTTACGACCGCTCATTGGACACCATTTACCAGAAATCACCCCACAAAATAAATCCATTGAGAATAGACCCAGGATACCCCGCCAAACCCCACCGGCCCAGCCTGCCTGCCCCCGACACCAGCCCGGAATCAAGACTTGCTGCCCTGCTCTCTCCATCGCATCGAATCCTTATTCCTTCGTATTACCTACGAAGTACTTGTATACAGCTTCTTGACGAACGCCAAGCACTCTCATCGACGAAGAGCGACCGGCTCCTTGTGGCTGTTGAGCATTGAGAGGGTTCCAATATTCTTTTTGACCTACAACAGCGACGATCCGCCCTTTGTATCCTCCTAGCACTTCCACCACCCTGCTCGCTACCATCAAACAATACCCACACCCTACTTCAAACCGTGTCTCTCGAGATGGCAGGCGAGGAGACCAACGTCAATGATGGCAGCCGTCTGCTCATCATATCCAACCGCCTCCCTTTGACCATCAAGCGCACTGACGATGGCCAGTACAACTTCTCAATGTCCTCGGGTGGTCTGGTCACAGGCCTGAGTGGCCTGTCCAAGACGATGACCTACGAGTGGTACGGATGGCCTGGGTTGCAGGTTCCAGAAGCAGAGGTTGACCTTATGAGGGAGAGGCTCAAGAAGGAGTGCGATGCCCATCCGGTCTTTGTCGACGATGACCTCGCAGACAAGCACTACAATGGCTTCTCCAGTACGTCTAACTATTTCTATTCTCTCCTTCATTCCTTGGGCTCTCCCCGCCCTTTTCCCCTGGTATTCTCGCAGCCACGTTAAGAGACGCCCTTTCCTCAATCTAACCGCTGTTTTCCTCCAGATGAGATCCTTTGGCCTCTCTTCCACTATCACCCCGGCGAGATCACCTTCGACGAGTCTGCATGGGCTGCCTACCACGAGGTCAACCAGCTCTTCGCCAAGACTGTTGCTGCAGATGTGCAGGACGGCGACATGATCTGGGTCCATGATTACCACCTCATGCTACTCCCCCAGATGCTGCGCGAGCTGATCGGCGAGTCCAAGAAGAATGTCAAGATCGGTTTCTTCCTACACACTCCCTTTCCCTCCTCCGAGGTTTACAGGATTGTCCCCATCCGCGAGGCCCTCCTCTATGGTGTTCTCCACTGCGACCTGATCGGCTTTCACACCTACGATTATGCCCGACACTTCCTCTCCTCCTGCAGCCGCATCCTCTCCACGCCCACCACCCCCAACGGCGTCGAGTTCAACGGCAAGTTCGTCACCGTGGGCGCGTTCCCCATCGGCATCGACCCCGAGAAGTTTGTTGAGGGCCTCAAGCAGCCCAAGGTGCAGGAGCGCATCGCCGCCCTGTCCCGCAAGTTTGAAGGCGTTAAGCTTATTGTTGGCGTTGACCGGCTTGACTACATCAAAGGCGTGCCGCAGAAGTTGCACGCGCTCGAGGTCTTCCTGACCGAGCATCCCGAGTGGATCGGCAAGATCGTGTTGGTCCAGGTGGCCGTGCCCTCTAGGCAGGATGTCGAGGAGTACCAGAACCTCCGAGCTGTGGTCAACGAGCTGGTCGGCCGGATCAACGGTCGTTTCGGCACCATCGAGTTCATGCCCATTCACTTCCTGCACCAGTCCGTCAGCTTCGATGAGCTGACTGCACTCTACGCCGTCAGCGACGTGTGCTTCGTCACCTCCACACGCGATGGCATGAACCTCGTCTCGTACGAATACATTGCCACGCAGCGCGAGCGCCACGGCTCACTAGTCCTGTCTGAGTTCACCGGTGCTGCCCAGTCGCTTTCGGGCAGTCTGATTGTTAACCCGTGGAACACGGAGGACATGGCCAATGCCATCCACGAGGCCGTCACCATGAGCGCAGAGCAGCGTGAGGCAAACTACAAAAAGCTCGAGAAGTATGTATTCAAGTACACGAGCGCATGGTGGGGCAAGCAGTTCGTCACTGAAATGAAGAGGCTCGATGCCAACGCGGGTGCCGGGAACGGGATCGGCAACGGCCCTCCAAAGATTCCACTCAAGGATAAGGTCGGCGGTGCTATCAAGAGCGCTGTAGATGCTGTGACGGGGCAAGAGACCAAGCTGGATGACGAGGCCGGAAAGGCTGAGGGGAGCGCTGCCACATAAATAGAGGGGCGTTCTTTGGGTGGACGGGGATAGAGCGGATTGTGCATGGCCGCGAATAGACTTATGGCGAAGTTGTTTAGCGGAGGCATCTGACAGCCGAGGCCGTGGCTGTGTGGATGGTCGGTCAATCCTGAAGAAGGCGACCTGGGTATCGGACGGGTTGGCATGAAGGGTATGGTATAGACAAGCATTTCTTACGTCTTAGGGTTTCTGTAGCATTGGAGTTGGACAAGTAAACATCTTTTTTCTCCCTCTTCCTCCCCCAGAATGTATATACGTCCGTAGTCCTAGTTTTGGGAACAGGGTATCTCCCCACTTACTCCTTGAATCGCAACTCCATTCTTGTTTGCGCAATGCTGCACTCTATACATGATTTTCCCCATTGAAGCGTGAAGGGACAGTTCCCCTGCTGGACTCACGCCATTCCATCCTCCAAACTAACTATCGCCTTTGAAGCAGAGTCATGATCACCTCCGTGCAGTCAACTCCTCCCATTGCACGCCTACCCACTCCTCCACATATCCAGCCTCGCCCTCCTCGACGTGTCTCGGGATGCAGTCCTTCTCACAGACAGCAACAATCACCGTACCCCAGTCCATCCCGTCCAGAACGCCGGCCTCCTCTTCGCTCTCCAGCTCAGCAATAGCCTGCGGCGTCATCTGCACTTCAAACACCCGCTCTGCCCCACACTGTCCACATCGCGGGAGGACGCGACCGGTGCCAGAGGCGGGGACGTCGTGGAGCTTCTTGCCCACTGCGTCGTTCTTGGAGTAGAGCAGCGGGGCGCCACCGAACTCGTATCGGATGCACTGGTCGGGGTTCTGGGCAAGGCGGTCGGCGAACTTCTGGAACGTGCTGTCTATGGATGACTCGAAGACGTCTTTATCCTCCTTGCCGCCGCCGCCGCCACCGGAGCCCGAGCCAGCGGTGCCGTCGTCGATGTCCATGCTGGTCGTGGAGATGTTCTGTGCCGGTAGCGGGAGCGGGTCGAGGGTTTCATAATCCGCTTCAGCCAGGTAGCTGACTGCATAGGGAGCCGGGAGGTCGGACTCTGGTGGCCATGGCTCGGGAGGGGGAGGGGGCCCAGCTGGTTTTGCTTGTGGATTGTTCAGGGAAACAGCCTTTGCAAACGTGTGAGGGAGGTCCGCTGCTGCATCTTCGGCCGGCTTTGGCTGCCTCTCTTTTTCTGACGGGGCTGATGAGCTGCCTGCGCTAAATGGGTTCGTTACAGCGCCCACAGCCGGCTTTGCAAAGGGGTTCGCCGCTGCGCCGCCCCCTCCCGGGGTGCTGCCGCCTGTCGCAAAAGGGTTCGCCTGTCCAGCAGAGCCACCAAAGGCGCCTTTCTGCACACCAAACAGAGCTTCGCCTAAACCTTTCTCCTTCTCTTTTCTCTCCGCCTCCTTCCTCTCCTTCTCAGCCCTGTCTCTCTCCTCACGCTCCCGCCTCTCTCTCGTCTTAGCAGCCGCATCTGCGGAGATGCGCGTTGCCCTCAGCACGCGGACACTGCCCTCCTTGCGCCTACATGTCTTTTTGCGGCAACTGAAGACATAGAGCCGCCTCTCGTGGCCTGGGAAACGGTCGGGTAGCTCGCCGTTGAGCTGAAGCAGCTGGACAAGGGGAGAAGAGCAGATCTTGCACTTGGCGTGCGTGTAGGATGGGGCTTGGGAGGTGAGCCATTCCTGTGTGAGAGAGACAAAAGAACTCGTCAGTCAATCTATACGTGTAGATGCATTGGCTAAGGAAAGAACAAGAGACATCATACTGGTCGTCCGCCAAGTCGACTTATCGTCTCGCCATTGGCGTCTTTGGATGCGTAGCCCAACAGGACATCCGTCTCGGTGTAATCTTGATCGTCGTCCAGCGAGTCGTCACTATCGTAGGGCGCCATCTTGTTTCAGGAAGCCCAACAGTGTGTGCGGGGAATATTTGGCCCTGTCAGAGATACGCTGAAGCTGTGATGTTGGGGAGGGGGGGGGAGGTGGGCGAAATTTAAGTTGTCTTGGTTGGAGTTTTGACGCACTGCGAGGTTCAACTTTTAAGTGGGGCATATATCCTTACATATCACTGATAAGCATCTGGTCATGGGCATGGCACGAGCCAAGTCGATCTTCTCTGTACTCTGTAAAACGTTGGTTCTCTAGACAATATACCACCCCGACCCATTTTTTTTCTTCATGTTATGGACATTTGATATGAACGCCATGCCTCTACAGTGGTATCTTGTCTCTTTGATGTACACACATGCCTATCGTGAATCCATGCCTTTACATCCCATCATCCGGCCCGTCCATGCCCGGCCCAGGGCCGCCTTGCCGTCCCATCTGTCTGGCCTTGAGCAGCTCATCGCACAACAGCAGGTTGGATGCGATCCCTGAGCTGGATGCGATACAGTTCCGCAGGACACGGAAGGAATCGTAGACACCCTCCAGAGTAGGATCCATGGGCTCGCCAGTAGACAGGTCCAAACCGACGACGGCACCCTCAGCGTGCTCGTCTTGAAGGGCAGCCACTGTGGAACACGGATCAGTAAGTGTGAGGTTGATGTTAGGCAGCCCTGTATGAAAAGGAATGGTGGAGGTATACTTACGTGCATCTTGAATGTCATGCCCGGCATTTGCTGCCAACGTCTTGGGAATGACCAGCAGGGCATCGGCAAATGCCTCCACACCCCACTTCGCCTTGCCCTTGACTGTCTTCGCAAATGCATCGCTCTTCAGGTGGGCGGCACACGCGACCTGGAATGCGCCACCACCGGGCACCACGCTCTTGTCCACAATCATGTTGTACACGCTTCGAAGACCATCCCTCACGGCGTCTGTAACCTGCGTGATGGTGTGTGCATTGGGGCCCTTGATCAGCAAGGTGACCGACTTGGGCTCCTTGACTTCCTCGATGAAGGTGTACTTCTCCTCGCCCAGGGTCTGTTCGTACACCAGCCCTGCCCATCCCAGCACGTCCGGTGACAGGTCATCGACACTGTTCTGTGCGATGCCGCCGCAGATAAGCTGTAGTCGCTCCATGTTTCTCCGCTTTGCCCGGCGCAGCGCGAGGATGCCGTTCTTGGCCAAGACGTCGAGCGACAGCGGGTCGATGCCCTTCTGGTTGATGATGACAAAGTTCTTTTTGGGGTCATTACCGCAGACCTCCTTTTTGAGCTCGACAATCTTCTTCAGCTTGGAGTCCACGAAGCGGCGCTCGCTCTCGACCAGCTTCTCGCGCTGGTCGGCAGAGGAGTAGAAGAAGCCCGAGTTGATCTCGCTCTTCTCGTACTCCAGGCTGACGTTCAGTGTGAGGATGTAGGCATTCTCCACCCTCTTGGGCATGTCAGGGTGCCTCGCACCGTGGTCCAGCGCCAGGCCCTTGATCAGCTGTGTGTCGGAGGCAGTGCGGTGCTGCATCTTCATGATCTCCACCATGTGCAGGTCGGGTTTCGCAGGTGCCTGATAAATGGCCAGCACGGCGTCGACGATATCGGGGGTCAGCATGTTCGCCAGGGTGGCGTTCAGCTTGGTCGCGAGGGACGTCCGAGCAACATTCAGCAACAGCTCGCGGTCCACCTCTTTCGACAGCTTGAACGAGTCGAGGAACTTGAGGGCCTCGTTCTTGGCAATCTCGAAGCCGTCGGTGACGATGCGGGGGTGAAGACCCTCGCTGATGTAACGGTCGGCCTGCTTCAGGAGCTCTCCGACGAGAAGCACGACGGAGGTGGTGCCGTCGCCGCAGATATCGTCCTGGGCTGTGGCGGCGCGGGCGATCATGACGGCGGTGGGGTTCTGTATCTGCATCTCGCGGAGGAGAACGTTGCCATCCTTGGTGAGCTTGATCTGGCCTGCGCCATCGACGAGCCTGTCAAACAAGACAAGGCAAGAGACGTCAGCCTTTGCTCTAATAGCTTCAAAAAGGTGGGGGAATGGGAACCGTACATCTTTATCGTGCCCAAAGGTCCCAGGTTGGACTTCAGGACATCCTGAAGACCCTCACCAGCGCTGATATTAACCTTGAGAGCCTCGCCCCGCCGCTATCATCACATTACCAGTCAGCTCGTGTACAACTTTCAGGCCTGGTTTTGAGGAGGGGCAAGCCGCAGCACGGTGGTGAGGTCGTACCCTTGACTCGGCCTTGGGGTTGAGAAGCTGTGCCGCAGACATCTTATCTCAGTACTGTCAGGGTTATTCAAAAGAGAGGACGAAATGACCTTGCGAGTGTCGGATGAGGTCAAGGGGTGGTGTAAGGTGTCCTCGTATGGCTGTGTGGGAGGTGAGGTGGACGTGTCTATGGAGGGACGTGCCTGAAGCTTGTTCCCTCCTCGCGATATCCTTAGAAATTTTGGGATGCTCTGCCGGCAGGCTAACCCAGCTGGCTGCTAATCGTGTCGCGACCAGGGGGGGCAGTATCCGTGGGGTGGAGGGAGGGGCCCATGGAGGGGCACAAGTTCCACTAGCTTTGCAAGCCAAAGGGTTAAGTTTATCAGAGGTGTCAGGGTTACGGATGTTCTGCACAGGGGGCAGCACAGGGGGAAGCTTAGACCCCTTTTAGGCGGTTCGGGGCCCTGGAGCAAACAGCCAAAGACGGCAACAGGGCAACGGGCGGTGGACTGCCTGATAACATATACTCTTGGACACGCTGTCCTAGACACACATCAATAAGTACTTGTCATCCTGAATGCCTGCATATCCCAGATCCAGGGTCCCACGCATGCGACGCGCACCCTTGGTTGCGACATCGTCAGGCCAGCTTGAACAGCCCAGTCTGTCTGCAATTTCAGGAGATTCTTCTCTCATTCCCTCTTTCTTCTCACACCGAACAAATCAGCACCAGACTTCGTGTCATGCCACCTTGCATCTTCACTCGTCCTGAGGACTTCTCTGCATCGTTTTAGGGGAGGGTCTGCCGTTGTTGTAGTAGTATTATATCCGAGTGTCTTTCGGGGGATCGTTGATATTGTGTCTCGGATTCATTGTTGTTCTTATTCTTTTGCTGCACCACAAGTCCTGCGTCTATATAGCAGGACTATCTCACCGCCAAACATCGTCCCCATTCCTGTCTTTCCAATCGCATCCCAGAACACTGTGTCCGAACGATGAGGTGGCTTGACAGCATCAAGGCCGCCATCCCAGGCCTGCTGGCCTCTCCAGGCGCTCAAGATGGTGCTTCATCTCAGACAGTGCTGGAAGATGCTCCCAGCAGTATTCGACAGGTGGCTATTATAGGTGAGCACTCTCGTCTTTCTTCATCAGATCATGCTTTCATACATATGTATATGCTGTGGGCAGACCCTGTAGGGTCAGCTCGGCCAGGTTCTAGAGGATGATGCGCTGGCTCCTTTTTGTTATAAGCCACTCCTATGCTTGGGTTTCTCTCGTCTACTTGTATCTATCATATTGTCACCATTTTCCAGGGTCCTGTAGCTCATGTCCTCTTGCCCGTCTGTTTCTTTCATTCTTTTCCGTCTTATCCGGCCGCCGCTGACGTTAAAGAATAGGCGCCGGCGCAGCTGGCTCATCTGCGGCTTTCCACCTATCCAGGTATGCTGCCGCAGAGGGTGTCGACGTGAATATCACTCTATTCGAAAAGACAGGCCACATTGGCGGCCGCTCACTCACCGTCGATGCCTATGGCAACGCCTCCGAGCCCGTCGAACTCGGCGCCTCCATTTTTGTTGAGGCAAACCAGATCCTCTGGAACGCGTCGCAGCTGTTTGGACTCGAGCTCAGAGATCCTTACACCAGCGCAGACCGCCTCACCGCCATCTGGGATGGCGACGAATTTGTCTTCGAGACGTCCGCCGCCTCCTCGTGGTGGTGGGATATGGCTAAGCTTGTCTGGAAGTATCGCCTCGCGCCGTACTACGCCCAGAAGCTGATGCAGAACACCGTCGCTACTTTTCTCAAGCTCTACGAAGAGCCCTACTTCCCCTTCAGGTCTCTTAGCACACGCGCATTCGAGCTCGACCTGGCCAAGGTGACGGGTGTCACGGGCCAGCAGTTCCTGGAGGACAACGGCATCTCGTCCGCATTTGCAAAAGACATCGTTCAGGCTGCAACAAGAGTCAACTATGCTTCGAACCTAGATGCCATTCACGGCCTTGACACGATGGTCTCGATGGCTCCTGAGGGCGCAAAGGCCGTGCTGGGCGGGAACTGGCGGATTTTTGACCACATGGTCGCCGCGAGTGGTGCGCAGATTGCTCTCAACACATCAGTGTCTTCTATCGCTCTGGGCACGAAGACCGGTGCTGCCCATCCGAAATACCTCATCAACACCAAATCTGTCGGCAACACGGCCGAGGTCCCAGCGGGCGTAGCCTTTGACAATGTTATCATCGCCGCCCCTTATCAGTTCACCAACATCGATGCTCCTTCCGAGGTCTTGCAGACCACTATCGACAAGGTTCCCTACGTGAAGCTGCACGTCACGCTTTTTGCCTCGCCGTTCGCCATCAGTCCGGCATTCCTGGGCTTGCAACCCGGTGCCAAAGTGCCAACCACCGTGCTGACCACCTATGCCCCAACCGCAGATGGCTCGTCCGGGCTAGAAGGTGCTGGCAAGACAGGTTTCTTCTCCGTGAGCACCCTGCGCACCATCACCAACCCGAAGAGCGGCAAGGAGGAGGTGTTGTACAAGATCTTTTCGCCCATGGAGGTCACACCCGAGTTCCTCTCCTCCCTCCTCGGTGTCGATGTTCCCAGGACTTTTGCCGGCACCATACCAGCCCAAGAAGGGGATGAAGAGACGATTGTTGAGCCGGTCTCGTGGTACTATCCTCACGTGTTTTATTCCTATCCCAAGGCCCTTCCCCGAGTGACATTCCAGGACCCCATCCTAGGCAATGGTGTTTACTACACCTCAGGCATGGACAGCTTCATCTCCACCATGGAGACGAATGCGCTGATGGGCAAGAATGTCGCGCGCTTGATTGTCGATGATATACTCGGCCTTAGCACGGGAAACCCCCTGGATACCGGAGAGGTGGAGGAGAGCATGATGAACGATGAGGAAGTTGTCAAGGACGAAGAACCTGCCGGCTCACAGGCCAAGATCGATGAGCTTTAAGCAGCACCAGCAACGTGGGCCAGGCAGGTGTTGCCCTTATGTGCGAGTCCGCAGCATCGAAAGACTGCGAAGATGGTATTACCATTCTTCGAAAACTCATATGTCGGCGGTGATGTGACTCCAGTCAGTGCATGTCGAGCTTGACCAGCTCGCAAGCAAACCTCAAATAATGTGCATTACAAGCCGCAGGCGATGAAACACGGGAATACGACTTTGGTTTACTGTTGTATATTTTGTGCATCGTATCATCAGTCATCAGTCATCGAATTCAGCTCAAGGTCATAGTTTTACATCTTGATATGGTTAGAAACAAAAATAACACATATTCGCTCTCTTTAATCCCCATTAAAGATGGATTGTATCTCTCGGCGAGACCAGTTTCACCCTGGAGCAAACCAAAACAGGAAAAAAACTCAGCCCACCACCCCATGTGGGCGGGCGCCCTCTGCCTCATGGACGGCTCTCACTGCATCCTGCACCTCCCATCTTCGGTGCCCGGCCAAGCTGTATGGCAAACTCCTCTGGATCAGGTGGGCCCTGCCAGGCGAGAACATGTGTCTCGTGACCAGGTGACCTGGGCAACGTGGCCTCAGAGGGATGCTCGACCGTGATCAAAATGTTGCTGTCGAACCGTTTCCTATTCCCCTGCTTCTTCGTTGTACTTCGGAGAGGAACAGCGATTTGTTGCTTGCGCTTCTGGGTGGACTGGAAGCAACCCATCTTATCCACATCAAAGTGTAGCCGAGTGATAAAGTAAGTGTGTTTCCTGCTCAGTTAGTAGCGTTGATGTAAGCGTTCAGTCTAAGGGAACGATAGAAAACTGAGCAATATCGCGGACGGTCGGCGAGGGCTACGTTTTCAAATAACAAGAAGAAATTCGGTGCATCCCGTCCTCACAACCAAACAATGTTTATCATGGAAGTGATTACCTGCAATGGACTGTTTCAATATAATACAAGCAGCCAAACAGCACGACAATCTCTAAAGGAGACTTAAAGACGACAGTGCTTTCAGATCCTATACACCATAATGGTGATACAGTCGGAAGTGTTGCAGCAGCGTTACGTTGCGCAAATCAGAACCTCAACCCACAGACCTATGTCAGGCTAAGAATTTCACTCTTACAATTGAGTTGTGTAAGAATGGGAATGGCGAACCATGCAGTATGACAAACTCTTAGTATTGGGGTTCAAACAGTCAGACAGAGACTTGACTAATAAAAGATTGTTTGTCATTGTTAATAGAGATACACAAAGAATTCTCTTCGCTTCGAATATCGAGCTTTTATTAGTCAAGTATGCTGGACCAAGATTATCCATGTAGTTGTATAAATCAGGCCACCCAGACACAGAAATACCCGTGAACCATTTGCAGGAGCAAACATTGCTTGCGCTGCTGCACCGTATGCCTGCATCCAGCGAGTTGCAACACTTGCGGTATGAACATGTGACCAGGAACTTGGTCTCTGTATTTCCAAAGAAGTGCTGTAGCAGGTCTCTAATGTAACAACTTAACCCTTCCTGAGTACACCTGATCAGCTGTCATGCCTGTGTGCTTTCTTCTATTGAGGCTGAAGCTGTTCCGAGTGATCCGCAGGCTGTTTTGCTCATAAGGGCCTAGAAGTCCTCAGAAGAAGATTTGGGCTAGGATGTATTGAGGAGGATAAATGACAATATTGTGAAGAGGAAAAGTTGAAAGTTGAGGGAAAGGTGAAAAGAAAAATAACAAAAAGTGCTTTGGGGAGGCGAGGTAATTAAGACGTGACAATGAACAAGTCTGTCTTGGTCACGCTTCGTTTGATTGTTCAGTTGAGGAAGCTGCATGGTAGAGGAAAGTCCCTGACACAGAAATTCACAAAGGACTACTTCATGTGCGTAAAGGGCCATACAGAGACAATTTCTGCGAAGCAAACAAGAGGGAAAATCACTGAATACTTACTGAGGCTTACTGTCTGGAGCGCTTGGTGATAATGCCATGACCTGGGCTGATCCCTGGCGGTTCTTTCTGTTACTAAGCCACAACAAGCTTAGGGGGAGGCCTGCAGCCTGGCCCATGCGTCATGTGGGGGTTTGTGGCAAGCACAGATTGCGGCGTGTCCCACCCCAAAACCAGAAAGCCTAAGAGATGATCTGATGACGCCAGTCGACAGTCACTTTCCCTTTCACGAGACAGTACAGGGCTACAACTGTCCCTCATCACCATTTCTTCCCTTTCCCATCTCCTCGACCCAGGACGGAGCAACCAGGTTTCCATACCCTGTCTCCCCATCTCTCCTCCTCATCCTTTCAGATCTTGACGCATTTTATTTTGTTCTCCTGTCTCTGGTCCATGCTAATAGCTCAAAATGTTTGTTCTTCGAAACGGTAAGCCAAAACTCCAAATGCCTTTCGTTGCCCCGCCAACTTCAGGTGCAACCCGCACTCTCCCCCAGCTTTCCCCTCTGGGCAGGACCTCTCTTTTTTGGGTCGGCCGTCAGTCAAGTCGAGTTTTCACCTGGGGGCCAGTCTGTTCCTTCTCTGTCCTCGCCCAATTTTACTGATCTCTAATTGTTTCACAGTCAGCAAGCTCATCTTCGGTGCGGCTGGCGCTGAGTCCATGATCGAACTGCCCCAAGGCCAACTTTACCTCGTCCGCCCCCTCTCCCCCAAGGGTTACTCTGAACTTATTTTCAAAGACGCCGCCGCTCGCATTCGCAGAACTGCTCAGGATTTTCAGTACCAGCTTGTCGTCCAGCGCGTTTACGAGGAGGGCGAGGCTGATCTACTTGCCGAGGAGGAGGGGGAAGACGCTGCGATCGACGCCCTTGCCTCGGATCGTGATGAGAAGACCTTTCTACTCGACGAGGCCCTACACTTCCGCGTCAAGAACAGGGAGGGATCATCCGACAAGGTCCTGTGCTGGAAGGACTTGAGCGGTGATGCTGGCGACGTCTTCGAGTACGTTTGCGACGCGTCCGTTTCTGCGGCCCAGATCGAGCAGTTCGAGCTTGTCGCCAAGCAGTGCCAGTACGAGCGGAAGTACCGCAAGCCTTTTACCACCGCATCCAACGAGGACCTCGAGCAATTCGAATTCGACGAGCAGCCCATCCCTCAGGCTAGCCCCATTCACAGCCCCACGCTCGCACGATCTATCGACTCGATCGACCAGATGCATCTGAATAAGCCCGCCGCCGCTACAGCCAACACTAGTACCAAGAGGGGGAAGCTGCCTGAGGAGGATGAGCAATTCGATACACCCTCTGGAGTCCGAAATGTTGGCCCTCCCAAGTCAATTGCCGCACCCGAGGCCAGAGAGCTGCTAGCTGCCGAGAATGCAGAGCTACACTTTTTCGACTTTCCCTCTGGGGCGTTCGTGTTGCAGGACGAGTCTGTCACCGCGATCGTGACCGAGGTCGGTGACTGGCAGTATTGGCTTTCGGTCCAGGGAAAAAATAATCGAGACTGGCTGGGCATTCCAGTCATTGCCGATATCAATCCCGTCTTCAACTTTGAGTACCTGTCTTTCATCTTCAACCAATTTTCCGACGATGGGTCCGCCTACTCGTGGCTTCTTCGATTCAAGGACCACCAGACTTTGGAGCGCTTCCAGGAAGGTCTGCTGCGCTCCCTCTGGGAGCAGTTGAACGAGGTCAAGTGGACCAAGGTGAAGGAGGTTGAGCGCGACTATGTCGCGGAGGCCTTCAACGACATCACCATGGAAGATGCGCCACCTCTCGAGGAGGAAGAGTCAGAGGAGCATACCGCCGACGAGGAAGAGGAAGAAGAAGAAGAGGACGACGACAGCCCCCGGAGTGAGCACTATGATACCGACGAGGACGAGGAGGATGTCGAAACGCAACCCAAGGACAAGGAGACCAACAGCGCGATTGCTGTGGGCTACAAACACGATCGATCCTTTGTTGTCCGCGGCTCGAAGATCGGTGTTTTCAGGCACACTCCAAACAACAAGCTGGAGTTCAGCACCAACATCTCTAAGGTCGAAACTCCAACAGGCACGTTGTTCTCTCCCAAGAAGGTCATGCTCCACAACGAGGACAACAACATGATCCTGCAGAACGATGCGGACCCCAACAAGCTCTATCGTATGGATCTCGAGTACGGCAAGGTTGTGGACGAGTGGCAGGTACACGAGGATATTCCCGCCATCACCTTCGCCCCGGAAAACAAGTTTGCGCAAATGACCTCGGAGCCTACCTTCCTGGGCATCAGCCGCAATGCCCTCTACCGCGTTGACCCTCGCCTCTCCGGCAACAAGCTTGTGGACAGCCAGCTGAAGCAGTACGTTTCCAAGAACGATTTCTCCTCTGTCGCGACCACCGAGAAGGGCCACATCGCTGTAGCCTCCAACAAGGGTGACATTCGTCTGTTCGACCGATTGGGCATTAATGCCAAGACGCACATTCCGGCGCTGGGTGAGCCCATCATCGGTTTGGATGTGTCTGCCGACGGCCGCTGGGTGCTCGCAACCTGCCGCACCTACCTACTTCTCATTGATGCTCTGCAGAAATCGGGCAAGAACGAGGGCAAGCTCGGCTTTGAGAAGCCGTTCGCTGCTGACTCCAAGCCCCAGCCGCGCCGGCTGGCCCTCACTCCCGAGCACGTTGCACAATTTGCCTACGAGACCGGCAAGGGTGTGTCGTTTACCCCAGCTAAATTCAACGCGGGCGAGGGTCAAGAAGAGACATCTATCATCTCTGCCACGGGCCCATACGTCATCGAGTGGAACCTGAAGAGGGTTGTTCAGGGACACAAGGCGCCCTACATGATCAAGCGCTACTCCGATGTGGTCAAGGCTGATGATTTCCGCTTTGGTTCCGACAAGAATGTCATCTACGCCCTACCAAACGAGGTCAACATGATTCCCAAGGAAAAACTAAAGAGACCGACGCGGCAATCAATCATGGGTCCGGGGGGTAGGAGGAGCGGTGCGACAGGTGGAGCATACAGCACGCCGCGGAAAGGTGCTGCCGGCCGGCTGAGACGAGAAGACGTCGTCAACTCGCCTTACTAAAAGCTTTGTGGACTTGGAAGACATTCTCCCCATATCCAGAGCATCTGGCTCATTCTACTTGAAGTGGCGTGAGGTGTTAGATGAGAGACAAGCACTCACCAAAGTGCTGATGCGACTATGGTTTGACCTTTCTGCTTCGCTGTGCGATTTTGATGGCCTTTATTTTCTGCCCTAGATACCTCCCCCTCGCGAGTGCGCGCGATTATTTCTGTTTTTGGCCTGAGATTAAGCCTCTTTCTTTGTTTCTTTCCGTTTCCATACGAGCTGCCTAGGGAAGCATGGAGCTTACCCAATTAGCTAGGGATGGGAAATCGGCAATGTTGGCGGCCTGTGTTACATGTACGTAGGTAGATACCACAATGCACTTCACATAGCCTTTTGTGAATGCACAAACAACCGGTACCGATTCACGTGAGATCTTTGGTTAATTCCTTTCACGGCGCAATGCGACTCTCCATGAGAGTCATCGGGAGTCTAGTAGCCTCTTCCCTGGCGCATGTCCCAGCAGCAACAGCCTTGGAGTAACACGACGTTCGCGCCTCCGTGAGTGATGCAAGACTTGATCGTTGACAGAGCCTGGATGGAGGTGGACTTGTATTTCCTGCTTTTATTTTTATCTTTCCAGATCGGCATTGAACGCCCTGCTCTGAAAAAGAGACGTGGTCACGCAGCTTCGGACCACGTCTGGTCCGGGAGAAAAACCCAATCAACCCCGAACGCCAATTACCGCCAAATGCAGTCCCTCAAGCGCGGTTGTGTGGACACAAACCCTCCCCATTGCCTCCACTGCCTAAGCATAGCTTCGTTGCTTCTGCTCCTGTTTTCTCACACTCTCTGTCCTGCTTGCACCCGGACCTGTTTCTCGTCCTCCAGCGACGGTCATAGCGGAAATCCGACAGAAACCCTATGCAGCTTCCTCCCAGGACCGGCGGATGACCCGCGCGAACATCTCCACGTTGACATCCTCGCGGATCTCGGCCTTCTTGGCCTCGTTGTCTGCATTCTTGGGCACCACTACCTTGTCTCCGTCCACCTTCCAGCCGCAGGTCTCAACCACGAACTTCTCAACAGCCTCCTTGCCCTCCAGTCCAAGCCAATCACCCAGCACGGGAACGGTCTGCACCTCCCTAAAGGCTTCCGACACGAGTTGTGCGATGCGCACCCGGATGGTTTCCTCGAAGCCGTCGATGTCGGTGGTCAGGTCGGCATAGAGATCGTCGGAGTCCAGAGTAGCCCAGAACCGGGCGAATGAAGCGCCCTCAAGATGAGCGTTGAGGGCACGGAGCTTTGAGACGGCCTCAGCAAGCTCGGAGCCGCTGGCGAGGGAGGAGGGTGAAAGGAGGTGGAGAGCAAGGTCGAACTGCGGGGAGGGGAAGGTAGTCATGGCCTTGACGAGGATGTTGGTGATGACCTCGTCCTTGATGCGGTCGGGGTTGAGCTGGTAGCTATTCGTCGAGGACGAGAGAAGTCAAGTCAGCAACGTGCGCTAGCTTCGCAGTCAAAGATGTGACAGCGATAGGCAGTAATGAACAAGAGAATTTGTGTGTGTCAGATAGAGCTAATATTTCCACTTCAAGCGCCAGAGGCATCAGGTAATAGGAAACGTGGTTGAGTTCGATCATCCTGATACACGACACCATCCAAGCGACGCGATGGGCGACAAGGAGGCTGGGAACATGGGCAGAAAGAGGACTTAGGTAGGCTTACAGCTTCAGGAGGACCCTGTTTGCGTTGCCATCGCAGTACCTCTGCTCGCATTGCTGCTGGAGGTATGCCTCGAGAGGGCCGACTGCCTCTGGGTTGTATCGCTCGAGGCCATTTATTATCTGGTGTATCTCGGCTGGGCGCTCTTGTGGATCTTCGTTGTTGGACATGGTGGGCAACGTTTAGGTGTTGATGCCCTGTATGATGTGATGTTGGGTATCGCCCAGGAACAAGGCCAGGGGACAGGAGAAGAGGAGAGAAGGAGAAGAAGCAAAGGAGAAAAGACAAGTCAGGCGCTTAGTCTCTGAGGGGTGGATGTCGCCAGGCCAAGTCGGTTTGTCCTTCTTTGATGAGTTCGACTGCTCGATAGTGGGGCACCTTCCCGCAGAAACTTTGCCTGGTCGCACTTTCCAAGGCCTTTGTGAGCCTGTTAGCTTGAGGGGTACTAGCGCCACGGAGGACGGCCAAAATTTGATGCCGAACTGGCCAATCGACACTCTCTATGGCTCTGAGCAGGGTTCAGGGGTACGCAGGTACTTGGTGACATCAACCACTTGAGACGATTACTGAACGATGCATCTGCTTATTCTAGCCAAAAAGAAATGAAACCAATTCACCGAGACACCTAAAGATGAAGTGACCAGAGTCTTGTGAATGATGCCGCAGACTTGCGCCTCGCAAAGTAGCCCGCAAACGGGCCTCACCACCTGAGCGCAGCCATGTCGAGCCCGGCAAAGAAGCGCAAGCTGAACAACGATGTCAAGCAGCCCTCCAAGGGCCTCGAATATTTCTTCGCCAGGCAGAAGCAGAATGCCGGCGCGGCGGTTCCAAACCTGGGAGGCGGTGAGGTGACGCCACCAGGAGTTGAATCTGCGAGGAGTACCTCTCCTCATGAGCTTACAGACGAGGAGCTAGCTAGAAAGTTGCAGGCTGAGTGGGATCGAGAGGACGTTCAGGGTGGGCAGTCGGATGAAGCCAAACATGCTTCTGAGAAGGAGCAAGCTACGCCGTTCGAGTCTCCATGCCCAGCATCCGAGAGGACTGGGTTGTTGGAGACACAGAAAGGAGAACCTGCCAACCCCTTCGGGCTCAAGGGGAACAGCACTTTGTCCCTCCAGTCGATGGCCGACGCGGAGGAGACAGCTTCGGCTTCCATCCCCTTGGACGAGAGCCCCTTGACCTTTGATCCGTCCAAGTACATCCCGGAATTAAAGAAGGCCTGGGCGGCAGAAGGCAGCAATGCCTCGTATGCTTTGCTCACACGGTGCTTCGTGATCGTGGGGGGTACCACCAAAAGAATCGCGACTGTGGATGCGCTGGTCAACTGTGTCCGGCTTCTGATCGAGGCTGACCCTTCCAGCTTGCTTCCGGCAGTGTGGCTAGCCACCAATTCCATCTCACCCCCATACATCTCGCTTGAGCTTGGTCTCGGCGGCTCGGCAATTTCCAAGGCGCTGAAGCAGGTCTGTGGTCTGGATGGGCGGGCATTGAAGACCATCTACGACAAGTACGGCGACCCGGGCGATGTAGCTTTCGAAGCAAAGAAGAAGCAGAGCTTCACGTTGCGGAAGCCAAAGCCACTGACCATCAAGGGCGTCTATCAGTCCTTGGTTAAGATTGCCAATAGCTCTGGGCAGGGCAGTGTCGAACAGAAGCAGCGGATTGTCGATCGCCTGCTGCAGGATGCTCGAGGTGGCGAGGAGAGCAGATATATTGTCCGGACCTTGTGCCAGCACCTCAGGATCGGTGCGGTCAAGACGACGATGCTCATTGCTCTCGCGCGAGCTTTCTTACTCTCTCGCCCACCAGATGCTGACTTTCCTCTTCAAGATCGAAACGGACTGGCGGCCAGGAAGAAGGAGGAGGTGGCAGAGATCTACGCCAAGGCGGAAGAGCTGGTCAAGGCGTGTTTTGCCAGGAGACCGAACTATAACGATCTTGTGCCAGTGCTGCTCGAGATTGGAATCTCAGACGAGCTGTTGATACGCTGTGGTCTCACCCTACACGTCCCGCTACGGCCCATGCTCGGAAGCATCACTAGAGACCTTGCCGAAATGCTTACCAAGCTAGACGGCCGAGAGTTCGCCTGCGAGTTCAAGTATGATGGTCAGCGTGCGCAGATACACTGTGATGAGAACGGAAAGGTGACCATCTTCTCTCGGCACCTAGAAGTCATGACAGACAAGTATCCCGACCTGGTCGCCCTGATGCCCAAGATTCGAGGGGAGGGCGTAGACAGCTTCATCATGGAAGGCGAAGTCGTGGCTATCAACAGGGAGACCGGAGAGCTGAAGACGTTCCAGACGCTTTCCAACCGAGCCAGAAAGGATGTGCAGATCGGCAGTGTGACCATCGACGTCTGCATGTTCGCATTCGACCTGATGTATCTCAACGGACAACCGCTGCTGGACAGACCTTTCCGCGAGCGTCGCAACCTGCTGCGGTCCCTGTTTGTCGAGGTGCCGCACAACTTTACCTGGGTCAAGAGCCTGGATGCTACTTCGCAAGACCCCGAGACGATACAGGAATTCTTCAAGTCAGCCACAGAGATCAAGTGCGAGGGCATCATGGTCAAGATTCTAGATCACCTTCCCGAGCTTGCCTACACAGGTAACAGCGGCGCTGGCGGGACCTCTGGGGAAGTTGAGAAACCCCAGTCCACGGCCAAGGGCCAAAAAACCAAGAAGGCCAAGGGCGGCGGCACCGACCTCGAGGTTGATGATAAGGAAAAGAAAAAGGGACGACGGAAACCTCTCCTTGCGACATATGAGCCAGACAAGCGCCTCGACTCCTGGCTCAAAGTCAAAAAGGACTACGGCACAACCTTTGACACGCTTGATCTTATTCCCGTAGCGGGTTGGCACGGACAAGGGCGCAAGAACAAGTGGTGGTCACCTATCCTCCTTGCCTGCCGCAACGACGAGACGGCCAGTCTCGAGGTTGTGACCAAGTGCATCTCAGGCTTCACAGATGCCTTCTACAAGGCCAATCGGGCGCACTATGACGACGGCGAGGAGGGGGCTGGGGAGCCCAAGAACACAAGTAAAACACAGCCAGGCTTCATCGAGTACAGTGGCCCCCAGCCAGATGTGTGGTTCGAGCCGCAGGAGGTGTGGGAGATGGCGTTTGCGGATATCACGCTCAGCCCCACATACACAGCGGCCATCGGCCTGGTGAGCGAGGATAGGGGGCTCAGCTTGCGGTTCCCGAGGTTCCTGCGGAAACGAGAGGATAAGAGCATCGAAGAGGCGAGCACGAGCGACTTTTTAGCAGGGTTGTATCGGAAGCAGGAGGCAAAGGGCCCCACCACTGGTTCTGCATCAAAGGAAGATGAAGGGGAGGTGGAGGTTGAGGATGATTGAGATAGGGATGCTGTAATTGACTTTGCAATAGATGTGGCATGCGCCTGGCTCTTTTCGAGACAGCCAGCTCTCTAATCTCTCTCCAAGCACGTCAAATATCTATCCCAACTTCAGCACGTATTTTCTTCAATCCTTCCAGGCCTTGTACACGATTGTGGCACCATAAGTCTCGCCCTTCTTCAGCACCATCTGGCTCTTCCACTCGGGCTCGTTGATGGCGTTGACCCACCGACTCGGCTCGACACAGAACCCCGCCCTCGACCCGCGTGCCGGGACACCACCCACGGCTGGGATGTCGATGTACTTGCCCGTGTAGAACTGGAAGGCGGGCTCGGTGCTGTAGACCTCGAGGTGGATCTTGCTCTCGGGGTGGTACGCAGCCACCAGCTTGTTGAGGGGCTGGCCGCGTGTGTCCAGCGGCACCGAGCCGGGGTCTGCATTCACGATGAAGCAGTCGTCGACATCTGGTTCTGTGGCGCCGAGCGTAAAGGGATTGTCGTGGCCGCCCTGGAATTTCGGGAACGGTGCTGGACCAGAGGTTGGGATGCCGCCAGAGTCGAGAGGGAGGTGGGAGTTGGTGAGGATGCGGATCTCGGTGCCCTCGATCGTTGGGCCACCGGTGAGATTAAAGTAACTGAGCATGTCATCATCCTAACTGTCAGTCTCTATGCCTTTCCTACCACCGCACCTGAAAGGGAAAAGGGCATGGGGGGGAGGGCTGAGCACAACTAATGACAGGGGGGAAAACATCTCTCTACAACGTACGAGTGATTTGTCATATTAATGGCAGTCTCGTCTGCGCCGCCGACGAGCTGCGCCTCATACTCCATGCCCAGCACGGTGACTTCTTTGCCGCCCTCGTCCGTCTTGCCAGCCGTATACACGACGCTCGCCTCCACAGTGCCAGGGAACCCCTCATCGCCGTCCTCGCTGGTCAGGCTGAACCTGACGCTCTCGCCTCCCTCCTTCAGTGTGGCGGCGCCCACGCTCTTCTTGGCGCCTACGGGCTCCGGGCCCTGCCAGATCCGCTTCCCCCAGCCCTTGGGGCCTCCATGTAGGTTGTTGGGTCCATTGTTGGCGGCGAGCTTGTAGGACTGCCCGTTGAGGGACTGGATGGTAGCGCCGGAGATGCGGTTGGCCACACGACCGATGGTGGCGCCGAAGTGTGCGGTGTTGTGGGACTCATAGTCGGCCTGGGAGGAGAAGCCTTGCACGATGTTGGTGCCTGCGATGGGGAGGGTTTGCAGGATCGCGCCCAGGGGTAGAAAGGTGATCTCGTCAGTGGTAGACATGGTGGGAGGAATATCTCAAGTAGAAGGCACAAAGCAGAAGTAGTTGTCCACCAAAGGAGCAGCGCGAGTAGGGACAGAGGACGGAGAGGAAACGTTCAAGAGGATGAGAGCTGTATTTAAGTATGATCCCATGCCAGCCTCGGTCCCACAATACTAACGGCGACCTTCGCAAAGTAGCAAAATTATCGTGATTGGAGCGCAAAGAGCGACAAAACCGCAAACAATGGAGACGGACGGTGACGCCAGAATTCAGGCTATTTACGCTGCTCCGTTCTAGTTCTGGATATGGTGCTGGGTGTGCTTGGGTGGCAGTAGCTGTGTGGGACTGTGTTATTTCCTTATTTCCTCCGCCAAAAGTGGCTTCATGGCGGGGGTTTGTCTTTACTACTGAAGGTGGGATGTTTGCTGCGGGGTAGAGCTATGGAGGGGTGGGGTGATCCTTGCTCAGCCAAGCTTACCCCTGACAGCATGGCCCAAACACCTCTAGCACAGTGCAGGAGATGAGACTTTCCTTCAGAAGCAAAGAAGTACAGTGATGATTTTCTGTTTATTCAGGTCCTCACAATTCATACTATAGAATGCAAAATTGTGCGAAAGTATTTGCTGTCCCTTGTCTTCTTATACATTCCGCAATTTCTATGTATTTCTCATTGATTTCTATCTATGCTCTGATGCTGCTGGTCGCCCTCAAAACTGTGTCATATCATCCATACTTCCGTTGTACTACACCAAAGCCTTTATTATGCAGACCTGCACTAAGATTATGTTGTTCAGAAAGGCTCTACGGAATAGAGATGCTGAGCTAAGTAAGCATCATAACGTAGTGCCAAACTACAAGGCTGTGTCATTCAAAACTATATCAACTTGATTCCATATTCATTTATTGATTACCTGCAGAGATCTGCCTTATAGTTAATAGGGAGTATCCTCACCCACCCATGCCTCCCATATACATTAACCAGAAAAACTCATGTGACACCACTCCCCAATAGATGCTAACAATCCATTGATATGCCAGAACAATCAGACAAAGTATACATGACCAAAGAAGGGCGTCATATGGAAGTTGGTCTCATTGGGAGGATTCCAGGCACCATAATACTGGGTGGGGAAGAGCTCGGCCGAGGTGACGGTGCGGAAAAAGTTCATTCGCCAGCGCGTGCCCTTGGCCTTGCCCGTGTCAACATTGAAGAAACCCAGGGGGATCTGCACGTGGGAGTACCACAGGTCCTCAGACCTGACGATAGTGGTGTTGGCGGAAAGCTGATCCGCTACGAGCGAGGTGATGTAGGCGCCCGTGAAGGCTGCACCGGTGGCGCGGACCTTGGATGGATTATAGATCCATGCGGAGAACGTGACGTTGTTGGGGGCCACTTCGAACTCGAGATAGGTCTGGGGGTCATTCACTCCCCTGTACTGTATGTCATAGTGGGTGGCGTCAGCGGCTTGAGAATCCATCGCTGCTCGGAGGGGGGAAGGAGGAGGGAGGCAACATGACTGTGCCCCATCTCGAAATTAGAGAGAGCGAGACAGAACTCACGATGAATGCCTCCATCACCTCGTAGTCATAGATGTCCCCATTGGTGGGGACACTATTGTTGTCTAAGTGATTATGGTAAGTAGCCTTGATCAGTCGACGTTTGCTGACGGGCGGGGTTGTTCTACTATTATGCTAGGAGCTGAACACATACAGTAAAAGTACTCCTCCTGGAGAGCAGTGAAGGTGATGCGGATGAAGCTGTCGTCATAGCAAAGAGAAGCTTTCGTCTCGGGAAAGGCGGCGGTGTCATTGTTGGGAACGGATGTGTTGTAAGCGACTGTGCCAACAGCAGGGCATTCAGGCACGTCCAGAGAGGGGACGTCGAGACCGCGTGCCATCTTTTGGGATAGGGCAGAGGCAGCTACCGCTGCGGCCAGGTTCAAGACGACAAAGACATGCATTGTGGACGAAAGCGTTAAAATGATGAAGGATAATATGATTTGACCAAGTTGCGCGTCCTATCTTTCTCTCTACTCGAATGGAATTGTTGCCGTGCAAAAACCAAGTCAGAACGGGCGAGCCGGAAGCTGATGGGGTCATCGGCAATGATATACAACTTGAATCCGACAGCAAAAGCCCGTTACTACCTTGTCTTAGATTCTTCACCGCATCCTGTGATTTACATTGAACGTGGAAGGATCACTTGGCATGGTTCTAGTGTGCTTATTGTGCCCTCTTTGGTATGAAGCCATGCAGGTGGTCGCTAGGCTGCGACGTTACGAGCCAGCGATGCACATTCCCAGATCTTGTTTGACTTATAGTGTGGCAGTCTTTATGATTCGTTCGCTTAGTTTTTGATTGTCAACTGCTCCCTTCTATGCTTCATTCTGTTGTCTTTTCCCTTTTCTTTCCGTCTCGGGTCCGGTCGAGACCCTTTCCGGTCTTGTCGAGAGAAAAATTCATGAGGCAGACACTAATTAGCTGGTCTTAGAACAGTAGATGTTCTACAAAGGTTTGTTAACGAAAGAACCAGGAGACTATATTATTATTGATTGCCAGATTTCCAACATCATTATTTGTAGTGATAATTTTTGTTTTTTTCGCTCGAAGAGCGCGAAGATAACAGCGCTGCAACAAGTACAAGATTGCCTGTGGGCGTAATCAGCACGCCTGACTCAATAGTGCAAGCTCCTTGATACAAACGGAGACCAATAGAAGAATTCAACACTACCGCAGCAGACTAGCATTGTCTCACACTGCATTATAATGGCGGACTCGCGTCTTATCTCCGATGCCCTGTATGGATTGTGTAGTCTAAAATGTGGACGTGATTCTAAAAGGTGCATGTAAACGTCGATTAATTATATTAATACTAGCATAAAGTAAGGAGCCAGGTCAAGGCGGTGGTGAACCACAGTTCATCATCACAGCGACGGCAACGGCAGCGCAGCGGGTGTGGATCCAACGCAAGACAAGTCGCGTTGCAGAGCCTTTGTCTGGGCAGCTTGCGTCACTCCAGGTTCTGCCAACCAGAGTCAAGAAAGCAAACGCACTAGAGTCAAGACCCGGTCTCTCCGAGGATCGAGAAGTCTAAGGAAAATCAACATACTGATTTACACGGCTGAAGAAAAGCTTCGCTGTGTCTCTCAATGGAGAAATAGGCCTTGGCACTCGCAATCATGTACCCTGCCAAATCAATCAGTCAATGTTATAGTTCTTAGTTTATGAAATACTCGATACGTTGGGTTTCATCAACATCGGGAACACTTTTACACGTGCACCTCAAGCCCGGATAAATGTCTCGTATCCCTAAATGAAGATATCTAACCAGTCGTTAGTAGTGTGTCCGGTTCGTTGACCCGACGCAATCATTTCCCAGTTGTAAACCAAGAAAGAAAGAGACAAATGAAATTTTCGCGCGGCTAACAACAAGAAGTTGCGTGTCTACTTAAATGTCGGTCCCTGAAAGGATGACGTCGAGAGATAACGGCCCGGGGGCTATGCATAACCCCGAGTAAAGAAAGTATGACGTCGACAAATTGAGAGGACCCCCTAAATTACCTAGTCATGCACCCCAGATGATGCTAACAACCTGGGAAAAAAGAGCCGCAAAAATTTGCTTATGATATCTGCTATGCGTCGTCCTCCTCCTTCCTCGACCAAGGCGGCGCCAGCGGTTTGTAGCGTCTGCCTTTGACAGGAACCAGGTGCAGTGCCGTTATGGGGAGACCCTGTCGTGCCTGACCCTGCCAGAATGGCACCTGGGAACGGATCAACCGGCCTCTTTTCGGCTTAGAATTGATGTGATGTCATTGCTCAGCGAAGGGCCGAATATTTCGTTGATCCGAGGGCCCATATGGATCACGAATAAAGAAGGAAAGGGAAGGGAAAAACTCTAGCTCTTGTTTGAAGTCCAATACGTACTCCACATATTTTCCACAATATCCCCGCGAGAAAACCCCGTGGAGGACATGTGGTCTATGTGAGAATCTTGGTCCACGAACTCCACACACTCCGTATTAACAATCATCGATCGCCCCCACCCAAAGAGAAAGCGTGTATTTTCTTTGTCCAGTACAAATAGTCTCGACAGAACCTAACAGAGAGGATTCGAACCTGCCAAACTGCCTTTGACCCTCTAACTGCCATCGACGAGGAGCATATCATCGTTTCTTCTTCGGGTCTGTGTGTATGCCGTCGTCACAATGTTGAGTCTCAACAGCAAAGTCAACTTTGACTATGCGAACCCCAATTCTGAGGTGAGCACCGATGCTCGTAAAGAGCTTGCTCACCTCGACTACTCTCCCCTCCCCAGGATCACTGGGCGGTCCTTCTGCATGGGCGTTTTGGTGTCGATGGGCGGGTTCATCTTTGGGTATGTGCCGTATTCCTTATTCGCGTGTTACCATGACGATTTTGCGTTCAGCGAACTAATCCAATCATTGGCACAGATACGACACTGGTCAGATCTCAGGTTTCCAAGAAATGCCCGACTTCCAAAAGAGATTCGCAGAAATGCAGCCAGATGGGTCCTATGCCTTCAGCAACGTCAGGTCGGGTCTGATTGTCGGCCTCTTGTCGATAGGCACCCTTGTGGGCGCTCTTGTGGCGGCACCTCTCGCCGACTGGATCGGCCGCCGTCCATCTATCTCCATTTGGAGTGCCATCGTCGCCGTCGGCTTCGTCATCCAGGTCGCGGCCTCGACCTCATGGCAGCAGTTCATGGTTGGCCGCCTGGTGGCCGGCTTCGGCGTGGGTGCTCTGAGCCTGCTTGTCCCAATGTTCCAGGCAGAGTGTAGTCCACCATGGATCCGTGGTGCTCTAGTGTGTACATACCAGCTTTTCATCACGCTTGGGATTTTCCTTGCTGCATGTTTCAACTACGGCACCTACACACATCAGATGGACAACTCTGGTTCCTGGCGCATTGTTATCAGCATCGGCTGGATCTGGACTCTCATCCTTGGCGCCGGCGTCTGGTTCTTCAAAGAGACGCCGCGCTTTGTGTACAGGAAAGGCGGTGTGGAACAGGCCAAGCAGACGTTGATGCGTGTATACGGAGCTCCAGAGAACCACTTTGCCATCTTCACCCAGATGGAGGAGCTGGAGAGCAAGTGGCGTATCGAAATGCGGACACAGAAGCAAGGGCCCGTCAGAGAGATGGCGAATATGTTCAAGGCACCGCGCATGACCTACAGAATTTTGCTGGGAATCATGCTGCAGATGTTCCAGCAGCTGACTGGAGCAAATTACTTCTTTTATTATGGAACGGTATGTATATTCCTTTCCAGGCGCTGCCCCCCGCCCCCCCTTCCGGTCCCCGGGGGGACAAATTTCCGATATAATAATAATAACCTTACTAATAATCTCTTGCAGACCATCTTTAGCTCGGTCTCCATCAGCTCCTTCATCACGCAGATGATCCTGAATGGCATCAACTTCGGCGTCACCTTCATTGGCTTGTACCTCGTGGAGCATTATGGCCGCCGCAGGTCCCTAATCGCGGGCAGCATCTGGATGTTTATCTGCTTCATGATCTTCGCCTCCGTAGGCCATTTCGCCCTCGACGTGAACACACCGTCCAACACACCCGAGGCTGGAATCGCCCTCATCGTTATGGCCGCCCTGTTCATCCTTGGCTATGCCACGACCTGGGGCCCAATGGTCTGGACGCTCATCGCAGAGATCTACCCATCCAAGTACCGTGCCAAGGGCATGGCCATCGCCACCGCCAGCAACTGGACCTGGAACTTTCTCATCGCCTTCTTCACGCCGTTCATTACCGCAGACATTGACTTCGCCCTGGGCTATGTCTTTGCCGCATGTAACCTGATAGGCGGTGTGCTGGTCTACCTGTTTGTGATCGAGGGACAGGGCAGGACACTGGAGGAGATCGATACCATGTACCTGGAGCACGTCAATCCTCGCACGTCGGCCAAGTGGACACCGCCTCCTGCTGAGGAGATGGCAAGGATCCGGGCCGAGGCTGGCACGGATGTGCCGACAACATCTTCGAGTACTCCTAGCGGTGAGAAGGATGTAGGTGCAGGTGCGCTGAGCAAAGACAACCGTGACATCACACAGGCACAGCACACAGAGGCTGTGTAATAGGAAGTAGCGTGTATGGAATATGAGTGACAAATCAAACATCTGGAGAGTCAACGTTATCGAGCCTCAATCCGCCACCTAGGCATTAAATCCAATATTAATCTGGACATATTCAAGTTCGGTCCGGCTGTGTGTTCTTGTCAAACATGACGTGGAGTCTGCGTTTCATCGGAGTCGAGGCTGTTGCATCTTGATGCCAGTGTAGTCAACTGTCTTTCGAATCCGCTCCAGGATGTTGTAGATGTTAGTGAAATCCATAGTATTCGGTTATGGGTCCATTAATATGTTGAAGGGAAATCTTTTCATGTGGTCCAGCCTGCTTCGTTCCTAGAATCTTTGGTCGCGCAGCCAAAAGTAGAAACTTTCACACATTTGAACGCGAGGGACAGAATTTGGCTCGCGAAAAGCCTTGAAATTCGCCATGCCAGGAATAATAACATTCTTCCCGTATGCTGTTCAACCCTTGCCAGCAAAGAATCCTGTAGGGGTGGGGAGCAAGCTGGGTGAGGGCCGGATATCGGGGAGATAATGAAAGAGGAAGTTAGAGACAGAGAGAGCGACCCATCGAAAGACACAGAGAGAGAGAGTGTGTGTGGATTTCTTGTAAACAGCAATACCACCTCTCTGCGTACATGCAAGACTGAACTCAGCCCTAAACATTGGTACGGTAAAGAAGGTTGAATGTAATATGTGCGCACAACAAGATTAAATAAACCACGAGAGGGCATGCGATAACGAGGTGGTCTAAATGGCAACCCGTGAGGCAGTGTCCTGGATCACGGAGCTTGCAGGCGCCGTGTAAGTGCCGGCACCGATGATCGACACGGCCATTTGGTAAAAAACGGCTGTGGCTGACAAGCAAGGACGAGGTATGATAACACTCGCCAAGGCATTCTGAGAAGCAATGATGGTTATTCTCAGGCATTTATAGATGGAAAGAGGAAGCTTTTAGTGTTTCTGAGGAACTATTAAACTTGAAATCTCGCGTTAACCTTGGCATTGTCTGGAACTTGAGCAAAGCATCAGAGGGAGAGGCAATGTGTGTGTGTGTGTGTAATGTGTGTGTGTGTGTGTGACAAAGTGGGTTTCAACTTTCTGGCGTCCACACGTAGTGGTATTTCGGTATGCGAGGGTCCAGCCACAAGACGCCAACAACCCATCTACATCAGCGCACACACGCTGCAGCTGCATGACCAGCATGCTTAAAAATATGGAGTCAAGATACGACAATGCATGGAGAAGAGAAGCCAAGTCTGGTACAAAAGGTACTGTGGTGTGTACGCGTGAGTCGTCACCCACGCCGCAAGTCGGCATTTTTACACCTCAAGTTCCGACGTATGGGGCAGGTGATTATGGTCTATCCAATAGCCTGTCAGCCTGCTGCCCAGGGGCCCTCTTGCAATGCAACACCCTTGCTGCAGGAGTGATTTCATCTTTCTTCAATTCCGTCTCTTCGCCGCCAGATCTGACCTGGCTCGAACCAATCGTAAAGACCTCTTGGCCAATGGAGAGGGGAACTATGACGATGTACTGCGACAGATATCAAAGTCTCCGGCAATGCTACGCCCCAAGGAGAGATGGACCCGGGGTAGGAGGCTGCAGGTTTCTGCGTGGTAACGGAGACGACCCTGAGAGCGTCAGATGTCAGCGCTTTGACAAGAGTGCCGACTGGGAACCCGCAGGTCGAAAGTGTAGAGCGCGTAGGAGCGCACAATGATACAGTATCAAACTAGGCTCTACTGAGCATACTGTCCTTGCGCAGCCCTTGTGGCTTGCGTGGATGCGCAGGTTTATAAAGCAGAATCTCCGTTGCACTGCCCGTCAATCACAAGTCGAGAACGACCAACACCCCCATGCTTGCAAACACCGGTAGATCGGAGGTATATACGTGCAGATTCGTCCGTGTCTTGTTAGGTCTAAGCTCATCCTTCTCCCTTTACCATTCTTCCTCACTTTCTGGTCGCAAACCTGGGGCTCCCTGGATTCATAACCTTTTTAACTTCATCATCCACCTCGATCGACTCCTTTCCTGCGTTCTGACCAACATCTACAACCCCTCACGCTTCCCAAGTGCTTCCATCTGCAAGGCCACGGGTGTGCGTTCCTCATCCGGCCAATCGGCCGCCCTATCCTCCGACTGTTTCATCAATAGATCGAGAGCGATAAGAACACAAAAGAGTCACAGTTAAAAAAGGGGGAAAAACAGGCTATTCTTAGGCGCAAGGCTTTCTCCTCTTTGCTCTGAGGGACATCGTGCCTCAACTTGAATACTTGACGGGTTGACACCAGCGGGAAGGGCAAAAACAACACGGAATTTTGCAAAACGGCGCCCTCAGCCATGGCTTCAACGTTGCAGGATCTCTTATCCCGGGGACTGTTCAGTCATAAGAGCAGCAGTTCATCGAGCTCGTCATCAAATCACACATGCTCGCTACCAAACCCCCTCCTAGAAAGTAAGTCTTTGACCCCCCCCCCGGGGGGGCCAAAGAAAACAGCTTCCCACGGGTGCGCATCGTCAGAGATCGCGCCTTTGTCATCGTCCAAGTCGCCACAGCGTGAAGGGTCTGGTATAATGCTAATACAGTACTCTAAACAGCGCCGACCGACCCTATTGCCGGAGGTTTTACGTGGCACCAGCTGGGGACGATCATCTCTGCCGCTGCAGCCGGCTTCTCGATTCTTTCGATCCTCATCTTGATGTTCCGCCATGCAACGCATCTCTCAAAACCCAATGAGCAGCTCAAAATCCTGCGCATCTGCCTCCTTATACCCATCAATGCTTTGCTCAACCTGATCGGCCAGCTCATTCCGGCTGCTTACTTCTACATCACCGTCTGGGCCGACATGATGCAATCGATGGCCCTGGCCAACTTTTTTCTGCTGCTGCTGGAATTCATCAGCCCGCACGAGAACCAGCGGGATTTCTTCTTCAGCGGCCTGCAGGTGCCATCTAAAAGAGGCAAGGCTCCGAAAAATGGTCTGAAATGGTACAAGAGGAAATGGTTCTGTGTGTTTCAGTATCCAGTGGTTCAGCTCCTGGTCACGATCGCGACAGATGTCACCAACTCTCCAAAGATCAACATTTATTGTGCGAATAGCAACAAGCCGTATTTTGGACACTTATGGGTGAGTCTTGGACCCCCTCCCCCCCCCTCAAAACCCAACAGTCAAAAGCAGAAGAGACGGAAAAGACAGTATTGTCGTTGAGGTCTGGTTGTTACCGCTTGCCTATCAGACAATCTGGAGAATTGATATGGGGTAACTGGTTGACGGCGGCAATTTGTGTATTTGAAGATCGAGAAACTGACTGCAGCTGAAAACATACTAGCTCAACTTGGTACACATCTTGTCCCTTATCACAGCCGTCATATCATGCCTCAGGTTCTACAAGCTTCTTAAGGCCGAGTTATCTGGCCACAAGCCGCTGTCCAAACTGTTTGCGTTCAAGTTGATGGTTGGCTTGAATTTCCTCATGAACGTGAGTCTACCTTGAAAAGAAAAAGAAGAAAAAGAGATGAACAAAAGTCTGGGACGGGATTATGTGTGCTGACAGAGGTTTCAGATCATCTTCTGGGTCCTGAATGATATCAACCCGTCACCTCTGTCGCCGACCAACACCATGAGCGAAGCCGACGCTGTCGCAGGCATCCCTGCCATCGTCAACTGCTGCCTCATGGTTCCGTTCTCCATTTTCTTCCACTACGCCTACGACGTTGGCCCATACATCATCGGTCGGCATCACGTGGAAGCTGGGCGGGGCGACTCTCGATATCTGCACTACCAGGGCGGCTTCCTGGGCATCCGTGCCTTTACGGGCATGCTCAACCCAAGCGAGCTGCTGGGCGCCATCGCATTCGCGTTCAAGATGGGGCGCGGATCGAACAGCAGCAGTAGCATGAATGGCAACTCGAGGGGCTTCGACACGGTGACGAGCTCCGAGAGCCGTGACCGTGGATATTCGCATGAGATGGGCAGACGGGATCAGAGGCGGATGAACAAGTACGGGCGTGGTGATCACTCTGGTAGATATGACCACCGAAGATAGGTTATGATGGAGAAAATGAGTGGGGATACTGGGAATCCCCAGCAAAGGAGACTGTATTGACATACAGTAATTATTATTAGTCATTTCACGTATCAAGGCGCGCCGTGGATGGCATCAAAAAGCACCAACTCCTTGAGTTCCAAAGACAAAAGAGATAGAGTGGGAAAGACCGAAGCTAGGATGTGGAGAAAACCCATCAAACAATGACAAAAATAAAACAAAACAAAAATAGGAACTGAAAAAGGGATGCCGACACAAAGTACGTAGATTGAGCCTTCGAGTTTCGTCTCATAGTTGGTTACCAAATTCTGTTAGATCGCAAGAGGACGCCGACGGCTCAATCAATGATTCAAACGCGGCAGGGAATCCTGTCAGGATTTCCAATTGCGTAAGTACTGAGCCTCTCGAAACCTTACCGTACATTAGATATTATTAGAAAATACACACACTCCCTTATCGTCGTCCCAACGGAAAGTTGGGCTTGAGAACGAATAGTGCAAGCACATTGCTTCTCATAGGAATGTGGGCGGTCGTTGGCACCCAACAACTGTCTTCTATCGCCATTGCATCATCCTATGCATCTTGTTCATTTGCTCAACATGTCATATGTTAGTATTGTGTTGGATGAATTGTACCATAATATGATCTCAAGCACTGACTCGACAGCCCGATCAGCAGGTCAGGGCGGTGGGCACGTGAATGCTGGACCATCGACTCGGGTAATAGGCCGTGGCTGCAACCAAAGATCAACAGCAGATGTGCCGGTCCTCTTTTCTCCACGGAGATCACTGCGGATTATCAGGCGGCACGAGCCGAGGATAAGGGCTCATCAGGTCCAGGCACGCCAGGCAGCGTGGCAGCCTGCCTGGAACCAGAACCAGAACCCACCCACCCCAAAGGCAAATCATGTTGATGTAGGGCCGATCAAAGGGCCCCACTTTCGCGTCTGAAGATCAGGCGTCCATAACAGCCTAAACCCTGCTGCTTACACCGTCCGGGGGGGGGGGGTTCTTTGGGAGAAGAGGAGGAGTGATTGAGGGAAGAAGTCGACAAGGGGGAGTTCGTGGCCTGTGGAGGCCGTGATTTAATTCTTTGGGTCGCACACGGGCTTATTTCCGTCGCACCATTTCGAATCAAGAAGGCATATGCAAAGCTGTGCTGCACCACCTCGCTCGTGTGAGTAAGTAAAGGCAAAGCCCGTGAGAAGGGCCGTTTTTTTTGTCATTTACTTTGTCTTCTAATTTACCATGTGGACAAGAAACGACGACGACGTGTTGTTCAATCCACCAGTCACGTTTCTAAACGCAGTTTTTCCTGACCCTCTGGCGGCGGCAGCAACCACCAAACAAGTCAGTTTTTTTCCGGCTGATGTAGTATTACCCCTGGCTGTCACACGCCATTGGACAAGGCACAAGAAACCATGAGCCTGTCGTCGGCCAGACCCAAGGGTCCCTGGCGCATGCTCTTAGATCTCCAGGCATCCCAGGGCACCGGATGAGTTGCCTTCGTCTACAGCCTAACACTTGACATGTTCGATTCAACCCGTCATTGGCGCGCGAGCCCTGCAGGTACAGCTGATGACTACCGGACTGATGCCAACTCTGGTCCTCCACGCGACCCACTTCAAACCAAATGCCACCAAACACCCCCCCCCCCCTTTTTGCCCCAGAGATCCTATATCCTTTGACAGTCGTCCCTTGGGCTTCAGGTGTCTGCGCTGCTGCCCCTTGCAAATTTCCCCCAAGAAGCTACAATCGGGCCTTTCCCCAGGCGCGAACGCATCTGTTCTTGAGTTAAGTATGGCTCGAACTATCATGTGCCGGCTCTCCCATCCGGGTATTTCTTCCGTCTGGTGTCTTTTTCTTTTAGAAATGAGAAGGGTTTAAAGGACCCTCAGTCCCAAAAATGTGGCTCGCCGGCGCCGGCTGCTCGGTAAGAGGTTTTGGCATCGCAACTAGGCGACGACGATGATTAAGGGGGGTTACACCACCAGAGTTGCGCGCCTATAGCTCGAGGATGGCATCCCAAGGCACCGAAAGACCATCCATGTTTGTTTGCCTCCACTTCCTCCGCCTCCTCCTTCTCCTCTTCCTCCTCGTAGTCGTCCTCTTGCCCCCCCACCCCCCTCTGCCCAAATTTGATACCTCTGGCAGTAGGCAACAAAGAAAAAAACCGGGTGGCCACGTCGGAATAATTTGCCTCTTTGCCATGTCTCGATCTCGCCGCCCAGGCTAGAATCCTCGGCTTCCTCCTATCTTGTCCAACAGCCGAGGAAACCGCCCCCTTCCTCTCCCAGGGCTGCAAGGCCAGATGGGTTCGTCCAATGATCTCTCGATCCTCTTGTTTCAAAAATGACACTTGCATATGATTCGGCATGCATCACGCACCTAGACCACGGCGAAGCCCCACGTGTATCCGCCCCCACAGCTTCCCCCTTCGGTCGACAAGGTAGACCATTTTGAGACAAAAGAAAGAGAGAGAGAAGGGATACCCATGGCTAGCACAAGAAAACAGGACCAAATTCAAGATCTATAAAACGTCGCGATGCCCTCTTCTCCAGTGCTCCATATCTTCCCTTGACTCTCCACGGCTCTTCCAAGTCCTCATCCAAGGCATTTCCTGCCACTTACACTCCTTGAGTCCTCCAAGTGCTCTCCATTCCTTCTTGTGTGTTCGCTTCCAGGTCGAACCGCGACAGTCCTTCCCTCTTTTGATATTATTCTTGGTTGTAGATACAATAGAGAGCAAGGCTCTTGTACACAGTCATTATTGTGCTGGCCTTCACTACAGCAACTCCATCATCGTCAATATTGTATATCGCTTCTTCTTCTTCTTCCTCTTTGGAAGTATTGTTACATCTACACAACCATGAGCCCCTCGATTAGGAACACCCTTGCGGCTTTGTCCCTTGTAGGGACCCTGCGCACCGTCGTAGCACAATACGACGCCCCAACCTACTCCGGCTACACTCTTCTCTGGACTGCCGACTTCTCTGGGGACGCCGGCACGTCGCCCTCCACCTCCAACTGGAACATCATCACGGGCTACCTGGGCGTTAACGACGAGCTGGAGGTGTACAGCTCCTCCAACGAGAACCTTCAGCTCTCAGGCGGCAGCACCCTCCAGATTGTCCCGTGGGAATCAGACGGGTCGTGGACTTCGGGCCGGATCGAGTCCGTCGACTCGTGGACGCCCGCCTCGGGTGTCATCACGCGTGTCGAGGCCGAGATCGACTTTGGCACCAATGCCGAGTCCACCAAGCAGGGCTACTGGCCCGCCTTCTGGATGCTGCCTGAGAGCTTCCGCACGGGAGCAGAGACGTGGCCCGACTGCGGCGAGCTCGACATCCTCGAGATGATCGACGGTGTTCTGACGGGCTACGGCACGGCGCACTGCGGTGATGAGTGCAACGATGACGACGACGACGAGGGCCTCCAGAGCAGCATCGACGTCGGCAATGACGACTGGCACACCTGGCGCCTTGAGTGGGACCGTACCAGCGGCAACTGGGAGACCGAGACAATCTCCTGGTCCATGGACGGCACAGTCTTCCAGACCCTCACTGGCGGCAGCTTTGACGAGAGTGTGTGGGACAACCTGGCACACCAGCCGTACTACATCATCCTCAACATGGCTGTTGGTGGATCTTGGGTGAGTTTTATCCATTATGGTCTTCTATCATGTTTCACGCTATGCCGTCCACCATACTAATACTTGTTTGTCTCTTCCTTTTTAGCCTGGTGACCCAAACTCTGCGACCGTTGATGGATACGGAGCCATGATGGAAGTAGGCTACGTCGCTGTCTACCAGACATAAGTCAGGGGTTCGAGGAATCCCGGAACCTTCCTGTTGGCTGGTATCAATATTAGCCACGAACCCAGAGACAATCTGGCTTTCTTCATATTCTTCTCTTCTTCGAAGTCTCTCGCTCTACATATTTATCAAATACCCCAATCTTCGCTTCTTCAAGATCTGTCGAACGACATGATTCGGGTCTGCCTATCATGTATATATAACTGGGTGGACTCGATATTTTATTTTATTTTGTTTTCGGAAGGTTGGTAGCGGCCAGTCCTCCTTAACCAGAACCCTGCAAGGTCTGCAGGTTGTACATACAAATTCAAAGACTTTTGAATCCTTGTCTATGCTTGACCTATTGACGTCTGTGACTGTTGAATTACAAGAGTGAAGCCATCCACATCTTGGCTGGCTTGCAATCACGAAGATGCAACACGAAGTCGGCCTAGTACATATGATCACGATTCTGGAATGAATAGGCTATGTTGCCATCATTATGAATGGAGGGCCAAAACAACTGCGAGCTAGCCTGTTGCGGGCTCACACGAAATGCACGGGTGATTGTCGCTCAAAAAGTTCGCTTTCGAGTCTTGACGGCCATTGTCAAGACAAATAAAGAATGACCGCACGGCATATAATCTCTGAGCTAATTATCGGCCTTTTCATGGACTTTGTTTGCAGTAATCTCTCGAATCTCAAGAAACAATTTGTCTTTGACGAAACTCTACCCGCTGTACGAACATTCACTCTCCGTGGTCTCGCGCACAGTAAGATCAGTGCATTCGTCAAGCAATGGCCTCAATTTCCCAAGACGAGCCCCCACGAGCCTCATTACAAGACAAGCATGATGACCAGCAACGTGAAAACATAACTACAGCACATGCATCTGCTGGCCGCGACTTTACCCAAACAGACCTGAAGGCCTTGCAGGGACTGGGAGGTTGGACACCCTTGAATACATCGACGCCCTTCTCCTATGTTCCATCTTGGACACACCCGCTATGGCGCGAGGATGTCGAGATCGCCTTCGATGGGACGTGGTATAAAGTGCGACAAAAACTAGGAGATCCTGCAGCGTCTATGAGGCCAGCCCTACGCCCTGAAGACGAGGCTCGGCATCCTACCGAATACGCGCGGCGATTCGGTGTCCACACGGACAGGCAGAGAGACAATTGGGGCCATTCCAGAATGACACCTACAGATCCATCATTTCAGCCATCCGTACAGAGTTTTGAGGGCGATGAGTATGACAGGAGCTTGCAGAATATTGTATTTGACTACGACACGGCCGAGCTAGCTAAGATAGGGGCCTTGAACCCGAGACTCGACATTGCCTGGCCCCCAGATTTGGACGATCCTGTTGACACACTTTTCGACCCTATGAGGTGGACCCAGATGTCGATGCCGGGGTGGAAAGACTGGTCTGGCCTTTGGGATGTACGTTATGGTCCCAGCCTCGACGGTGTGGGGGGAGTATACAACTACCAGACAAATGAGAAGGTCCGCGAGGCTCTCCGCCCAGCGTTACAGTTGGTGTCGAAAATTATGAGATCGGGCCATCCATACTGGCAGGCCATGACGAGCCTCCACCACCTTCGGCCTGTCGACAATGCGAAAGACGGTCGTACGAGTGAAGAGCGATCCAGGCAAGGAGGCGTCCCTTACACCTCTGTGTGGATACATGTCGATGGTACCGACGCAAGAATGCCCACCCCATACCCAGAAATGCAAAGACTCAACGACCTTGGTTTCGACTCGAGGCTAGCCAGAAACGCATGCATGTCCCTCTTGTATAGATTCCTACAATTCAGTATATACCTCGGCGAAAACAACAGCGGAATGGTTCGAGTGTATCAGGACCAAAATGTGTGGGCGCCCCGGCTTTGCATCAGTGCAACGCTCATCTGGCCGCTACTTGTCCCCAAGAACCTGTCAGACAGTGAAAGGGCATCTCATACTTTTGCAATTGCATCAACGATCTTGCACGAGCTGGCTCACGCATGTGCTCACGCGCATCGATGTCTGATGACTCGAACCCTCATCTTGAAAAAGACGCCAATAGGGGCAGCTCTTGGAGAGGAGATACTCAACAGCCTGCTCAGGCTTGGTAACCAAGTATTTGGTCCGATGTTGAAAGATTCCCAAGGATTTCAAACACGGCCTAGTCGAAATGACTTCTTTGCAGAGGACGCAGCGCAAGGGGAGGAAGGGCTGAACTTTGAGAAATACCTCTGGGGGAACCGTATTATCAGGTTACCGAGAGGAGGATCCAGTGCATTCATGTTGATGCCTATCATCGCAACATCCGACTGGCCAGTCGCCCACCCACAACCGTACCAACAAGGGAAAACAAAAGCAGACCAACGTGACACTGCATATATGCGCTGGCTTGTCGAGCCTCGTGTCCAGAGCTGGAACGAGATCACAGCTGTGCCCGTGGCATGGTATGCTCGACTCTTCCAAAAGACGTGGTGGCAGTCTAACTACCGGAAGTACGGCCACCAAGGACTATTACTGGCCTGCAATGATGGGCAGGCCTTGTCAGACCAGCGAGCAAGATCTGTGCCACTTTTCCCCATCGAGAATGATCCTGACGATATGGTCGCTGTGCTGGGTTCGGAGGCATACACTTGGCTCCGTGACACCATGGCACGACAACTTGCGGACAAAGGACTTCGAGTGCTCAGAAGCTACATCACGGCTATGATGTGTTTGGTGGCTGAGTCGGCTATACTTGCGACGAGACTCGCAAATGAAGAGGCGGGATGGGCGCACAAGTGCCGGGAGATGCAGAGGCTGGCTCTGAGAGTTGCCAGATGCTATACCGCCATGGTCAACGCCATTCACGGAGATATGGCGACACCTAGTACTACAGCATCCTTTACAGTCGAAAATGCCAAGGAGCGGATCCGCGCCTTGCAGAACAGCGTGCGGCCAGCCTTGCAGAATATGATGCAGCTCCGCAGAGTGATCGACCAAGAGATCGCTTACCAACAGAACATTCTAAACATGTATCTGCTGCAGGGACAAAATTTCCGAAAGGCATTCAGGTCATACATAGTTGCTCTGCGAAAGAGAATGACAATTACACGGGATCTTTTAAATGGCCAACGCATCAGCGTCTCCCTGGCAGATCTGGGCGATGATGCATACAAAGTCGGCGGAGGCTGGCAGGAGATTTTTGAACAAAAGTTAGAAACAGACCTAGCATGCGGCACAAATGGCATGATTCCTAAGGATCTGGCGACGGAATCTCATCTGCTTCTAGAGATGCTGAATGAGGTCAGGACTTTGCACACTGGGTTTCAACTGCAGGTGGATATGCTGGAAGAGAACAACAACCTGGCACAGAGCATTGGTCCAGATGGCTCTGTCGACCTGTCACTCTATGGGCAATCCAGGCTGCGATCGGTGACGCGTGCAAGGCGCACCGGTTTTCTTCGGGCGTACAGGACTGCAGCAATGAGAGAGATGAGACGACTGGCGGATGGCCCTATGAAGAGATTAGTTCGAGAGGCCGTGGGTATTTTGTCTTCGTATATGGACATAAGGCAGATCGAAGGAGATCTCCGTGTCCTGAGGTCCGAGACAGAGCGAAGGAACGACTTGATGAGGGACGTCTATGTGATGCTCACGAATGAAAGGCAGTTCATGGCGGACAGACAAGTAGCGAGGGACGCAGGCCAACAAAGAGTAACTGAAGATCCAACTGTGCAGGATCTGAGAGTGCAGGTGTTGCAGAAGGCTGGGGGGCATACTGGTGACCGGGCCTATCTTGCGAGTATCTGGACGAATGCCACCATACAAAAGTTTCTTGATGGCATGGATCAAGAGCCCCTGCTATGACAAAGTGTTGCATGCAAGGGCACGCTTCAAGAGGAAAGTTCAATATATAAAGTAAGGAATCATTGGTGTTAGGAGAAATATTTGGTTGTTCCTCCCCACAAGTTTCCGCAATTTTGCAACAATAGTAATCTCAACAAGTCTGTAGCCCTAGAATAATGGTAAAATATTGTTTGATAATATAGTTTGAGTATTCCGACAATCGTAATTCAAAAGATTATCTGAAAAACTTACTCTAGGAGATGTTGGACAGCTGTGGAACATATGAAAACAAGCTACCTAAGTAGGGCTATATTTACAAGCTGACGACCCTCATGGTAATGTTCAAATAGAACGAATAGCGGTACAGCCGACTGCTAATCACGCTAAAGAATGACCAAGGCGGTAGCGCCTGCGCCTCTTGGTAAATTTCTTCTTGCTAAGCTTAATACTATGGCAAATCATGCTGCTGTGCAGTATCCACCGTATCCATCTTTCACAGCTCGCTAGACATAATTGGCCGTCGATCGAACAGACGCTATGCTATTTTGAAAATCATCGTCCTGCAAAATTGACTGGTTAAACTCTCTCGGCGCCAGCACAACATATGTTGGCATGGGGATACATGGTTCATGTCGAGGATCCCTAAACAAGCAAAACCTAGCAAGGGCTCATGGAGGTAGACCACGACCCCATGTAGTGCGATTGATCTCAAATCGGTAGAGACTCTACGGTGGTCGGTGCACTCTAGTTGACAATGGTCCATATCGGCGCTTTGCCAGGCGTCGCGCTATTTCACCGCCTAGCACCTGTCAAATTGATAAACACGGCGTTGACAAGTCCAGCTGGCAGGGTTCGATAGACGTGTCGCTGATGAAGAGGCTCCTGGTTTGAGTCAGCTGTGGTTTTATTGGCCTTTCCGACAGGACCCTCAATTTCGGCTCTGCAACCTAGAATGTGAAACATGGGGCCTGACCCACTCCAGGTAGACAAGGGGACCTCGATCCATTCGAAAACTCGCCTTCAACAAGATGGATAATTAGGAGGAGTGAACATCCCTCCGACATCTTTTAGGACCACGGAGAGCAGAAATCAAATCACCACCGGAGAGAGCCTACGCCTACAGTTACAAGCGGCAAGTAGGAGAGAGACCAGTTAGGCTGTCCGTTTACGACAACCCTCTCTTAAGAGGCAGCGGGTTCTCTGTCTCTCTCTGTCTCTCTGTTCTCTCTCTCTCCGAACACCAAGCGTGTGGCCCCTTTTTTTTTTTTTTTTTTTTTTTTTTTGGGCCTCCTGGCCTGACCGCTTGCCCTCGACACAGCAGCACGCACAAGAGCGGCAGGTCACGATGTTGACTTCGACAGTTGCCTTTCTGGCAACTACGGCCACTCTGGTCAGCGGCCTGGATAAGCTGTATCACGACAAGCAGTCCTACAATGACGGTGTCTATGGCACATTCCCCACAAACGAGTATCACTCGGCAAAAAACTTTAGTCCTGCGATACAAGTCAACACCTGGAACAAACAGGCCATGTCTAAATCTGGCTCACACATTCTGATCCGTCACGATGCCTTTTCTGATTCCAAGAACAGCCTGGATGCGTCGCCGCTCATACTGAGCACAGAGGACCTCAGCGCCGTGTACCTGAACCGCAGTTTCCCAGGCGTGGCGAATGTCAACGTACAGATGTACGAAGGCAAGCCGATCCTCTCATTCTTCGGCGGACCTATTCAGGAGGATGTAGGCTTCGGCAACGGCTTCGTTTTTGGGTACGACCAGTCGTACCGGGAAGTCGGTCTCTTGGCAGCAGAGGATCTCAAAGTCGGAGCGGACTTTCATGAGTTTGTCATGACGGGAGACAAGACGGCAATAATTACCGCGTACGAGATGATCGACTGGGATCTAAGCCCATACCTCTCCGACGACGATGACGAAGATGCGCAAGAGGGCAAGCTGCTGGATTGTGTCTTCCAGGAGATCAACCTCGACACCTTCGAGGTGCTCTTCCAGTGGCGCGCGTCCGAGCACATCCCCATGGACCTATCGTACGAGCCTGCCGACGAATCAGAGTACGGGTGGGATTTCTTCCACGTCACCAGCGTACAGAAGTCTCAGACGGGCGACTATCTTGTGTCGGCGGCCTCCATGCACTCGATATACATGATCGACGGGACGACGGGCGCCGTCAAGTGGACGCTGGGCGGGAAGGGCAACGACTTCGAGGAGCTGCCTTACCCTGCAGGGCGGTCCTTTAGCAATCCTCTGTTGACCATGGGCTGGCAGCACCATGCACAGTTCTACCCAGGACGAAACGAGAAGGAGTTTACCGTTTTCGACAACCACGGCGTCGATATAAATGGCTGGGGCTGCACGGAGAACTGCTCGCGGGGCTTGCACTTCTCTCTCGATCCAGACGCCAAGAGGGTCCAGCTCCTCAACGAATACCTTCACCCGGTAGGGCTGTGGAGTATCTCCCAAGGAAGCGTGCAAGTCCTCGACAACGGCAACGTGTTCATCGGCTGGGGTCGCAACCCTGCCATTACAGAGCATCTTCCCGGCGGAGATTGCGTTTTCGACATCCAATTCTCGCCCTGGCGCTCTCCCAAGACGGACTGGAAGAGTTTGGATAATTATCGCGCCTACAAGGTCGATTGGACGGGGCGTCCGCACTGGAAACCCGACATAATGGGCGAAAGAGGCCGCTCGGGAGGCATCAGAATCTGGACAAGCTGGAACGGCGCCACTGAAGTGAAGGAATGGGTTCTTCTCGGGAGCAAGAAAAGCTTCGATATCAACGGAGCCCAGAAATTCGTGACGAGGGCACAGCGGGATGGATTCGAGACGTCAATGTGGGTTGAGATGTCGCAGCAGGCGAGGTATTTCCGTGCCGTTGCCCTGGACGCTCGTGGACATATACTCAGCGCCTCGGATATTTTCGACATCAAGACCAGGACGGTGACGCCGGCTACGTACCCAGTGACAGAGGTTGGGGGACTGCAACAACAGAGCAGTATGACGAATAACAACAATGAAGGCACGACCGCACACAAAGCTGGGGGAAGCAAAGGTGGTAGTGGCAAAGGCCATGGCAAGGAACCTGGACTGCCAGTGACTAAATATCATGACCTCTTCCCAGAATGGAGCTGGGGTGGTATTTTCTGGAGAGTGGTTGGTATAGGCTTGGGTATTTGGGCTTTTTCAAGACTTCTATGATAGCATATGTCAAATGGAAAAAAGTATTTATTATAGTACATACCTGTGAGTAATTACCAGTCAGAATGTTCGACGTGTGTGTTTGCCTTCTCGTCACTTGGTCATAGCATCGCTTCTCAAGAGCAGCAACTGGCTTTCTATGCTCACAAGCTTCTCAGCTATCAAGTCAAGGCCCTTTCAAGTGAATATGAAGGGGAAGACCATATGGGCTTAGTATATTCCTCGATTACTGCATTGCGAGTGTGAGAGGGTAGCCAGCCAATTCTTATAATACATGCAACCACTGCTTGGATTCTACCAATCATCATGGACCAGGCAGTTTTTGGGCACCTACTCCCAGGGAAATGGGGCTTAGCAAATGCTTCCAGCACTTCTCGCTTCTTGGGAAGCAGACCCAACGGGGCTGGCAGAAATCAGAGAAGCCGAGTCGCGATAGGCTTCCATTCCGCAATATCTTTGTCAGTGGGAACAAGCCACACTATGCCTCCATCCCACCCATCAAACCTTTCAGATTTACCTTTGTCCTGGCTCAAGGTGATGCCTGCTTCTTGCACAGCCTGCTCAATTTCTTTGAGCTTGGCCTCATCAATGGGCATGTCGCCACTGTTCTCCAGCATCAGTCATGGGCACCACCCAAACACACAAGCGGGGCTGTCTCTAATGCGAGAAGCCGGAGCAAACACTCACTAAAGCAGACTGACATGTGGCCCGAAGGCCTCCCTCCATTCGGCCAGCCACTTTGTGGTCTCCTGCTGCACTGTTTCCTCCCCTATGACGCCCCTCGCCCTTGCGATGCCCGCTGTGTCTCGAACCCCATCCCAGCCGCAGCTGATGTAGCACCGACGAAAGAAGACATCCTCAGTCTTGACGCGTTCGAATATGACCTGGACATCTGCACTAGATGGGAAGGGAATGCTGTTTAGCCATCCCTGTGGATCGTCGCCATACTTGGCTGGGTCGATGTTGGAGGTGAGCGTCAGATGCGGGCTAAAGAGTGGTGGAGGTGGGGATGCAGAGGGGAGATGCAAAGGCAATTCGGAAGAGATGAGTTTGGCGAGGATGGCGTGGATGGGATGAGAAGATGGTGGCACCAGCCAGAGAGAGGAGCCAGGCATGTTGGTTGGCTGTATTGTCACTGTGGAGGTGGGTTGGAAAGGGAGAGTCACGCGGAGAGGGGAAAGCACGTCTCGCAGCTTGCACTTGCAGTTCTGACTGAGACGAGGAAATGCGGCCTTGAGACAAGAAAGGGTTAGGGTTCAGTCTGAACTCTGTTTCACACTGGAGGAATCAGTCCAGAGAGAATATTCTGGAACATCTAAAGACGCAAATTAGAAGGTTATGATAAGTCCCTCATTTCACTATTTGGGAAAGAGCAGCTGACATCTGGAGAAAGAACCAGGTTGGTCCGAGACCTGAGCAAAAGAACTTAAGCTCAACAGTACGAGTTTGGCAGTCCAACAAATTACAATATATGTTCTGGATTTGTGTCAAATCTGTGAGCAATCCTTAGAATGCTATGTAATCGGCAATGCAGTTGACATTCATTGGCTCTAAAGCTGAAATGGGACGAGAAGCAACAGGATTGCATAACTGAGGTCTTTATGGGCCCAGGTAGTGCTCAAGGCATAGCAAGTCTCACAAAGTGCCTGTTTTATTCAGTAATTACTTAAGCATAAGTCAAATATCTTTACCTCACCAGCTCACTCATGGTTTAGTTAAGATGGAATTCATTGCGACCAGTTCCACCTTCGTTCCCTGCCAAAGTTTTGGATGAACAAGTCAATATTCTGTGGACGTATTTTAGTGATATATTCGTGACGATACCTTAACTACAAGTCACTGTTTTTAATCAAAGGGATTTTTCTCGCCTCACTATTGAACAGACATTAAGAAGTTGATTCACTCTGTTTCCATCCAATACTGCAGAAAATCAAAGGATCATTGGGTTGTATTGTTGCTGTTGATGACTCTTACCAAATTACTGAGGATGGTAATAGTAGACCCAATGAACGCAGAAACTATATCGTACTTTTTTTTGAACTAATCATTGTAGATATACTTCTGCTGTAATAGGTAGATTGTTTTCCGGTATGCACGTATTAGCTGGACTTCTATGATGACGTACGGATGATTGAATAAAAAGTAAAAAGTGCTTCGCTAGCTGGTTCGTTTTGTCGCAAAAGAAATTATAAAACTAGATGAACTAATCGGCACGGAGCAATGCTCATAAGTAGATAAGAATCAGAAGAAGAGCAGAGGGGTTGGTAAGAGAAACCCTGAAGAAAATAAAGTTGCTGGGCCACTTATGTCTCAGGCGAAACTAAATTGAGGGGGGGGGGTGGCAGCGCAGCAGGGACAGGGCGGAATCTTGCTTGCCAATTTAGTTGGAAGAAGACTTTTGATTCGATAGATGAGATAACAATTTTTTTTTCTCCCAACCCTCCCCAATTATTTCCCCGAGCACTCAACGCAACAACGTCTGACTTTTTTTTTTTTCTCTCTTCCTTTCGTATTTTTCTTTTCAATGCACCCCTCCCCTCCCCTTTACCCACCACCTCAATTCATCGTCAATCAATCATCGCGCAACGCGTCAACCTCATCGCGATCATCTCAATCCACACATTAACATATCTCTTGCGCTCGACTTGAAGACGTGTTATTATTCTTTTCCTTCGAACCGAGTGCCCGCGGCTCAAGGTCAGTGACAATTGCAGTAAGGGTAGTGGATGATATCAAATTATCAAGTATGTCCCTGCATCATTTCTTTCCCCCTCTTTTTTATGCGAATACCTACATTTGGAAGATACCATCGAGGTTCTCCTTCTTTGTGGAAAATTTGCGCTCGTCATCCATTCATATTTATTTGCTTTCATCCTTCTCCAGATTGATATCGTGTCATTACCTCGCTGATCATTGCCAACAGCTTGTGGGTCTCTGCTTCACTGTCTGAGAGCAGAAGCATGCAAAATCTGGAGTGAAAGGTCACGACCTACCGATTCGCATTGGGAGGAACGACACTGGCGGTGGAGGAGCTCGAGAATTTGGGCGTTCGGGCAAGAAAAGAGGAGAGTTGTTGTGTCATCATCGCAGGCACAAAAAGGGGAGAACCGAATGCGAAAAAGGCGGGTAACTACGACTGACGACCGGACCCTACGGCAACTCACTTATTAATTATCAGCCCTCATCTCGGCCGTTTTCTTCCTCCAGGACTGCCATCTGGGCAGAGACATGATCTGGTGAGCAACCAAGGGTTGAACAACCGCTCACACTCTCATGCACCTCACCTTTGTTTGAATTGTCCCAAATGGCCAACATCCGGTGACACTGCTTGCACACATTATCCGTACACCAAATAACTTCAAGCACTGTCGACCTTGCCCCCCCCCCCCCAGTTTGTACACTCGTTCTTGTCTTTATTAAAGCACTCCAGTCTTTTCCTTTTCCTTTCCCGCTTCTTTTTTCTTTCTTAAATCCAAACCCCTGCGTATGACCGACCACGAATGACCTTCTGCAGCGGCCCAATTTTAGCGCGCATATTCTATTTCCTAGATGCTCATTCTTTGTGTCGCAGGCCCCACTTTTGCTAAAAGGTCTCTTTCTTCTCTTGCTTGTTCTTTTCTCTTCTTTTCCTTTTGGGCCCTTCAAAGTCCTTTGAGACTCTCTTCAGACCTGTTCCAACCGTTCAGTCCAAAACAGGCTGTGGATCTCAAGACCATGCCGCGCCGACAAACTGAGCGATCATCTCTTGCAACGCAAGGCGATTCGCAACCCCAGAGCAACGGCAACCGCTCTCAGACACAGCAAGAGAAGACTTTGGATCGAAATATTGACAAAATCTTGGGAGGAGATCCTGAGTTTGCGGATATATTCTTTGGCGAGGTAAGCACTGCGCAGTACTACTGCCTGCCCTCTTTGATTTCTTTCCCTGGGAGGGAGGGGAGGGGGGAGGGAAGGTGGATATGGCACAGTAACCCAGTTCGAGGCTGTATTACGATCTCGATGGTGGTGATGCAACAAGTTGCTTGGACTCCAAGTGGGGTGTCCCTCTAGAGTGCTGTTGATGAGACAGAGATTGGATAATCTGCTGGAATAGGTGGCCACTGGATGGCGACCACTGTCCAGTTGCTGACCTTTTGGCGAGAAGCTGGTTGTTTGTCAAGAACTGCCATGTCTCATCGACCTACCATGTCAACACCCCAGGCCATCCATTCCCCCTTGTCTCTTCACCTTACCCTGCTCTCATCTTGTCCTCATCGCGTTGTCTCAGAACCTCCAGCTATACCTTGGCTGTGCCCTTACTCGATACCCCTATCTTCCAAACGTTGCCGTCCTCCTGCACCGAACCATTATTGGGACTGCAGCAGTTTATGCAGACCTCTTTCCCCGACCCTTGTTTCTTTTTCTGGCAAGATTCTTCCTCCCTCCTCCGCACTGGCCACTTATCACAACCTGCTGTGTTTGGTACACATATTCATAACCTCTTACCACTGCACAGCAGTTTCTGTAATATATTCTCCACGCTCCTCTGCTACCAACCTTCCTCCCCGCCCTTCTCCCACCCTCTGTCACCAGTCTCTCCCCTACCAATCCCCTGCCAATGAATCAAAAGCATTAATCGTATCGCATACTCACACTTTTGTTTTCCCTTTAGGCTACTAACATGCCGCGCAAGCTCCTTCCAGCCCCCTCAGCCCAAGAGGCAGATGCTGATGGTGACATGGAGATGGGCTACTCTGACCCCACGCGTCAAGATGCACGAGATACCAGCATTGGCCCCACCAACCATGATGGCGACAAAAATCGAGTTGTGCCCAGGCCCACTGGCCATAGCCTTATCAACATTGTTGAGAACACGCCGCAGGACATCGATCAGCTTGTCATTCGCCAACTGACAGAGGACTTGAGCGCGTACCGTTACGACTTGGACTTCTGCCGTGCCCAGCTGGACCCTGATATGGTCGGAGGCATCACCCCTCACGAGGTCCGCACATTTCAGCTGCGTATCCTCGACCTTGGTCACCAGATGCGCATGCTTCAGCACCGCATCCAGCTAATGCAGGCTGGCATGAACAATGCGCGTCATGTCGCTAGTATGACCGGTAAGGCCGGTACTATGACGGCCAGCGCATATTACGGCGCCTGGCCTCCTGGCACAAACTCTCAGCCCGATGTCTACAATGGTGGTGGTGCAGCCGCCGCTCGAGGCCAGTACGGTGGTGGCACTCCCATTTCGTCAATTCAGTCTTCAACTGCAGGCTACGGTGGTTATCCAGATGGCCCTCAGGAGCGACGTGGCCCTGGCCGTCCTCCTGGTTCCAAGAATCGGCCCCGACCTTTTGGCGAGTTCACGCCCTCGTCTTCACTTACTGCAAATGGTTCTGCCAAGGCTGCTGCGCTGGCCAGCGCTGGTGCCAAGCGCATGCTGCCTGATGAGATACGTGTCGCGACTCGTAGGTTCCTCCAGCACATGTTCTTGCCTCCCCCAATCAAACCCCTCTATCCTCCTCCTGTGTCTCAAGATTATCCAGCTATGCACGGGCAAAGACCTTGCCGCGCGCAGCGCACACGGTATCTTTTTTTACTAATGCCGCCTCGCGACTGCAGCTGATCGTGATGCCTCTACTCCTGGCGTGGATGGCCGCGCTACCAGCGAGATACCTGCTGCCAAGCGACCCCGCCACGATGTTCGGGTCGGCTCTCCGTTGAGCCACACCACCGAGGATGACAATGCTGCTCCTACCATCAGCAAGCTCTACAAAACCAGCTCGGCTGCTGGCAAATCCACTTTAAAGAATACTGCTGAGGACGAACGTGAGGACTCGAGTGCCTCCGCCGGCCCATCCATCGCCGTTGGCAGCAACACTAAGAAGACGAACACCTTTCTTGCCGCCAACTCGACTGCAACCCCCTCGACGCCTGTTGAGAAACCCAGTGCTGCCCACCCGCGTGTCACGTCCCCACCCTCTTCTAGTCCTGCGGTTGCAGGCTCTGGCCCACGTGGCGATACCTTTCAACGCCTCGGCCACTGGATGTGCACGCTCTGCACATCCCAAAAGTATTTACAGCAACCTGCACCCAAGCAGCCATCGGAACCCTCGTCGTGGCCGCTGCGGGATATTAGCAAGATGGTAACGCACCTGACGCGTATGCACACTGAGCACAGCAATACCGAGCGTTGTATGGAGCTGGGCAGCGCGCTGGACCAGAACCGTGGTCCCTTCAAGTACTGGATCAGGATCACAAAGAAGGAGCGCTTGACAGACGAGGAATTGGATGCAATCATAACCGAGCTGATTGGTGGTAACCTCCCTGACACACTGCGCCGCCTGAGCAGCGCTGCTGCCGCCTTTCCCAAGTAGCACTAGAGAGGGCTATACAAGTCTTTTCGACACAGCTGATCATCAGCCAAGTCTGTTGCGGAGGGAGGAGGACGGAGTCAGACTTTGGTCGTTAAGACGGACGGCTGTCAAAATCAATAAGAATACTGATGAATACCAACCCATAATTGAAGTGTGGGAAGGGCTATGGACATACTGAGACTCAAAGATAGTATTTGGTAGCCATGACATGAAATTCGAGTCTTCTGATCAGGCTCTATGCGCTTTGCCGAGACTTATACTCTTCCGTTCCTATATTTCGGAGCGGGCCGTCCTCATTCCAATCCTCAGATCTCAAGCTCGAAACACGTGGGTTATGAGACGGATTATGCTCTTGCTGACCATGGTTTGCTCAACGCAATCTGACACCGACAACCAACGCGTTCACGGGTGATGATGGAATTATCGATCGTCAGCCTTGGCAGCACAGTCAGATGCTTGAGACGTGGGTTCAACCGGCGTAACCAAAAGAACACTTTTTCAAGAAACGGAACAAGGCATTACGCGTATACGATCATTTACCGTACTCGTGCTATCAAATTCGAATATATCAGTTAAATTATCAAGCTGTTATAACGAATCTACCCTCAGATCCAAGCAAATTTTTCGAATATGAGATCAATTCAACTTCCTTCCTTTCTAGACATGAACCTGTTTTTCAAGTCTCTGCACTTTCTGAAAGATTTCCCACAGCTGCGCGTTGACCAGCAATGTTCGAGCTTCGGAAAAGCATAGCTGGTACATCAGATTTTGAGCGTTCTTACATCAAGTTTTGGCCGTGTTTGAGTTGGACTTCGAGACATGAATACCTATTGCCATAGTAAGCGTGGTGTGTGGGAGAACGAATGTTCTTGTGCAGTTGGTCATCATCTTAAGCAGCAGGTCTTTGGCTCACGAAACAAATGTGAATCGGGACAGAGATGATGCAAGACAGTACTTCCCTCTGTTTGGGAGCTCGACGGGCCGTCGGGGAGGGCCGAGCAACCCTGAGGAGTGCCACGAGGACTTTTGTTCGCGCGTAAGACTTCTTTGACCTTTCGGAAGCGGCCGGATCAGCAGGGTTTTGGGGTAGGAGATGCTTGTGTATCTTGCAGCGATGCAAATAAAACCTAAAAGCTGACCAACTTGCACACCATTCTTATAGCTTGTTATAGAAAATGATCACGTCAGATACTTCAGATCTCGGCCCGCAACAAGGCCATAGCGGCCACTTCAATCCAGAAGAACACTGAAATAATAAAGATTTGACCTAAGGTATGTCGTGCATGGCATTTCGGGCCCTTTCTGAGGGTCTGCAGGCCTGCTGGACAGAATTAGCGCAGAGCAGACTCAGCCCACTAAGATGTCCGACGCGAGCCACCGCTCTCGATTAACGGATGCAGTTGTGAGGGCAACGACTTTTGGCATCTAGTCTGCGTGCTGACGGCCATGTCGTGCATCATGTACTGTTTCCCAAATGATACCCTGTAAACGGGCCTGTTATCTCAGCTCAACGACCTGCTTTTCCTCTTTCCAGCACAGACATGCTCGGAATCGCGCCCCCCCCCCCCCCCTTTCCCCCAAAACGCCTCCAAAAGGTCTTGGACCGGAGGCTGGACCTCGGGGGCTACCACCTTGTGCGGTCAAGCCGCATGGGCCTTTGCATTTCGTATCTATCTATATAAGACCAGTCCCAAGAAGCAAGACTTGAGATGTTCTCGATCTCCATTGACCAGTCTAAGCGCAGTCTAACGGTTTGTTGTTGCCTTTCTTTATATCTTTTCTTTTCTTCCGTCTCTTGATGAGACTGTAGCTCCCGGCGAGTTATTCTCCATTCTTCTTCACACTCACTCATTCTGGGATTACGAGCAGGTCTGTAATTAGTCTGTCGCTTGATTCTTCTTTTCCATCTTTCTTTCCCTTTCCTTACGCCTTGTTTTCTCTCGACGTTGTTGATCACGTTGAAGGCACTCCTTACCACATTATTTTATCATAATGAGAACACACGCATTCGCAGCGGTGGCCGCCCTAGTGGCTGGCGCAGTGCAAGCCGCTCCGTATGCCTCTTATGCCGGCGAGCGGATCACCAAGCGGGACGACTTGATGACTGGAAGCCAGGTAGCTGTTTTCTGGGGCCAGAGCACCGAGGAGCTCTCAGACGTGTGCGGGAGCGGCGACTACGATGTTGTCATCATGGCCTTCCTGACCAGCCTGATCCCGCCCAAGTTGAACCTGGGCAAAGATACCGGCAGTGCAAGCACAGCGCAATCGCAGCAAGATGGCTGGGGATTGTTTGATGCCACTGTCCCTGGGGCCAGCGGGACGAGTGTTGCCAGCCAGATTAGTGACTGCCAGAGCAAAGGCATCAAGGTCCTGATCTCTTTTGGCGGTACGACTGGCATCTCAGACGCGACATTGTCTAGCTCTGACGACGCAAAGACGGCTGCTGATAACCTGTGGTGAGTTCTCCCCCCTTTCCTATGTTGGTTGTGTAGATGCCTCTTCTTGGAAACCCGTTCCGTGTCCACATGGACTGCCATGACCCCAATGCTGAATGTTTTCTACTCTAGGAACCTATTTCTTGGCGGCACCAGCATGCAAGATCTCCGACCCTTTGGTACAGATGTCGTCCTCGACGGTGTAGATCTGGACAATGAGACTGGAGACGGCAGCAATTATGATACTTTCCTTTCTACCCTGACTGGGTACTTCGGCTCCGACACCTCAAAGAGCTACTATATCAGCGCCGACCCCATGTGCAGCCAGGTCGACGCGGGAGACAGCACGTCCATTCCCAAGTCCGTGATGAAGTACATCAACTTCATGAACGTCCAGTTCTACAACGACGACTCAAATGAGCTCGGCGCTTCCAACTTCGAGAGCAACATCCAGGCCTGGGATGCCCTCTTCAGCAGCGTCAGCCCCAGCCCCAAGCTGGTTGTCGCCATCCCCGGCGGGAAAGGTGCCGCTGACACCACAAACTCGAACCCTGTCGACATTCAGGATGCGGACCAGATCAAGAGCAGCATCTCGACTATCAAGGGCATGGGCCTCAAGAACCTCGGCGGTGTGGCTATCTGGGATGCCGGGTACGCCGCTAACAACACTGGATTCTCAGCGGCTGTGAAGGGTGCACTATAAGCGCTCGCCCTCTCATGCTGCTGCATCGTGGATCCTCAGTGTTCTGGGGAATGATGTGGCATCAGACGTGACCTGCATCATGTTTGACTATGTTTCATTTCCATTGTTGTATATTGTGTTTTAGCACGTGTTCCATGCCTCGAAGAGGTTTAAGATGATGGTCTAGTGATATCCCCCTCGCGGTCTGGTGGTTTCCTCTTTTTTTTTTTCTTCTTTTTTTTTTGGTGGATTTTCCTAAGGTGCATTTGATGCTGGGCTTGCATGTGGTTGGCAGTTAGATCTGGGGATTGGAGTTCTGGAGTTGAGAAGAGCTACGGGATTGATTTTGAAATTGACTTGCTAGTGTATTCTTTCATGGCAAATCTGAATTTGGATTTACTCTCCCAGTCTGCTGAACATGTCCACACCGCCCATTAGCCACCTGTATTCTGATATTCGCAAGCTCCACTGCGCCATCTTTGCACGTCCATTACCCCGCCGACCTTACCCTTTTCTTTCCCTAATTGTTGCCTTGAAAGGGACGTAATGACATCATTTCACAGCAGACAACTGATTTTTTTCAAAAGACATGCGTCAATACTGAGGGGTGTGTTGAAGAAGTAATTTGCGTTGTGGTACCGTCTTGTATTGCTTGGAAGTCATACTTTATAAACTACCCATTTTACAAAATGAATACGTAATGGGGGGCTGGCGCAACGGTAGCGTGTGAGATTCCAGTTATTTCTCTGGAGACTCCTCAAGGTTGTCGGTTCAAATCCGGCGTCCCTCAGAAGTATTTGGGTGCAAAGCCCAAAATTCCCTTTTTCCGTGTGGATTATGAATTTTGATTTTTTGATTGAATTATAAAGGAGCTAATCTCGTCGATGCCAGTGAATGTGCAGGGGTGAAACACTTTGAGACTCTTAAGTTTCTGCCAAAGAGCAATGCTGTCTTGTCCCCCTAACCCTGGATTCATCCTATGATAGATATCAATCACCTCATCAAGAAGCTTGGAAGAAACCGACAAGCGCTTTCACCCTTTGTCTCAGTTAAAAATACTTACTCGCTTTACAACTATCTTCATTTAACCATTTTCTGCTTCAAAGGTCCAATTCTAAAAATCCCACCCCCCCCCCCCTCCTCCCCAATATCATCCCAATTTTGGTCCCGGCACGTCCGGTTTGAAGTGCTTCATAAGCACCTGATTACCCATTCCTTCCATCCGACCTGTTCCCAACACACAGCGTACAAACGCTCGTTAGCCCCTCTTTTACGTCTTTAGCCCGCCTTGGGCCTTGTTTGGTCGCAGTTCAACCTTACTCCAGTACTTCCTTTCCACCGTCCGCAGCCGTTCCTGCTGCTTGAACTGTCCGATGATGGTCGACCGTCTCTCGGCAGGCGTGAGGTGTGCCAGCGCGGTTCGGTCGCGGACGGACATTTTGGTAAGTGCCACGGTGAGAGCAGACTTGCTGTTCGTGAGGATGCGGCGCTCGGCTCGAGTGAGGACTTGCACTTGCGGCGCAGATGATTGTGGCGACGAAGGAGCATGCTGTCCGGGTGGTGAGTGTTCGGCTGTGGCGGTGTCGGACGGCTGGGGTTGAGCTTCAGACTCGGGGGCTAGATCGCCCAGAAGATATTCGATGCCGCGCTGGCCAGACCTTCTTGAGCCGCCAAGGGACAGCGGTCTGTGGTGGGTATTCTTCGGAGCCGGGGCGGAGCGATGGACGAGGACCTTGCCAGATGCGAGGCGGAGGTTGCCTTTATCTATGCTGGCTGTCGATGCCCCTGACCTTTGAGCTTTCTTGCTGCTTATCGTCCAGTCCTCCCTTTCTCCCTCGACGTTCCTGTCAAGATCATCACCGCCGCCGTCACTGTCACCGTCCTCACCGCTGCCAAACATCCCCTCAGCATCCTCATAGAAATCACGAAACTCGCTCGTCTCTCCCTCAAGGTCAACATGACAGTGTCCCTTCCCCATCATGTGCTGCTGCACCGCGTGTGGGGACTGCCGTTGCGTATGGCAAGACAGGCATTCTTGGTAGCCAAAGACCACGAGGTGCATGTACCGGACGATGGTCTCGACGTCGACGACGAGCACTTTTGTACCATCGTCGATGTTAGTGGGGATGAAGAGGCCGTGCTTCTTGTGCATATGAGTGAGATTTGTGGAAAATGACGTGGAGAGGATGTTGCAGAAGAGGCACTGGGCGGGGGTGAAGATGACTTCTGGAACAATGTCCTTGTCGTCGTTGTCATCATTATCATCATAATGATCATTGTCGTCATCCTCACCGTCGTGCTCCTCGTTACTGATCTCCGTACCCGTTCCTTCGTCATTGTCTCGAGCTTCAGGTCTGGCTGACCTGTCTGATCTGCGGTGATGGGTAAATACTCGAGCAACAAGGACACGCATGGTGGAAGTTTAATGCTACTAATCGAAGATGAGAAAAGGGCTTGAGAAAAATGGCAATACCTTTTTGTTGACGCTGCAGCACCATCGTTTGGTGCGCTGCTGGCACCTTGACCTGCAGCGGATGTTTCGCTCGCTGCGGGTGCCTGGAGGGCTGTGATTGTTACCATGGCTGCACTGGTCGTGGTTGTGTTTGTGCTACAAATGACGAGCATGAGAACCAGGTGGTTGAACTGTGAACTTGCCACTACCAGGTGATTCGAATAATTACACCGAAATGTATATCCTTTTTCTACTGGTCTCTTGAACTCAGTTCCCAGCGGCGCCCAGGTGTTTATATATCTTATGTTACCTGCCCCTGCTAGCCATGCTCTCTCCTCCCCCTTTATACGTTGGCGTACTTCTCATTCAATCTGTCAGGAGCACCCTTGATGAATCCCAGCGGAAAAGACAGGCCTGTGTGGGGAGAATTACAGCCAAGTCAACCCCGATCGTGATGAATTTATCCCTTTTGGGAGACTGTTGGAATTCACTAACATCCGGCTGCATAGCTTGGCTGGTCTCCTGTTAGTGCCAATTCCACTTAGACACAGAATGACTCACTGCTGATGCAAGTTGCACCACTCTGCAGACGCAGCAATTCGGCGTGCCTGATGAGGAAGCTCCCCGAGGAGGAAGAACAGAAAAGGCGAAAAAGAGAGATAGAGGCGAAGGAATCAACATACCACAACACCAGATTTGAGGTTCCAGACGATATCGAAATAACCCAAGGCCTTGTAGAGAACAAGGGTAAAGAGTAGGGATTCGACGGTGCGGGTCTGTTGGGCGAGATATCCGCGCTTTTGGTATGTATGACCGTCGTGGGTGGTTTCGTTATACGAATTCTTTATCTCCTCCTAGTCCTTTTGTACAGATGACTGGTCTACCAGTCATTGTCTTGTTGATGGATCGAGTTGGTGCTCCTGGCCTTCAAACCTGCCTTTTTGTAGACATGTGCACCATCCATTGGACCCTCACATGTACTTCTCTTCTTCTAAATATGGCTCGCAGTGGTCACCGATACCGAATACGTGACACCGACAAGACTCGAGACTCGGACACCTGTAGACACACAAACGAAGGGCTGTTAGCAGAACTGAATATCCAACCCCGGCTAAAAACCCCCCACATTGGGAAAGGATAGAAAAGGGAAGACCACTTACAATTCAGCAGGCATCCCAAACCAAACGTGCCAGAGATGCTCCATCAGCCGCCCACTGTTCAGGCTCTGCAGTGGTGTGTTGATCAACCAGTTCCTCAGGTCAACCCACCAGTCCAGGCTCCTCATCCTGATCCTCTCCCCGCTCACAGCGAACTGGGCACAGCACGGCGCGGCCAGTCTGCTGGGAACCTCTTCCCCCTTCTCGGGTTCCAGAAAGGCATGCAGGAGTGTGGCAAGATGAGTCTTCCTGTCCAGTTTGGGAAAGCGGGCCCAGTCGCCCGGCTTTGCCCCTTCGAGCGGCACGATGTTCTCGCATCCAGAGAGGCAGCGTGTGCTCGCATAGCCTGCCTTTAGGATGTACTGGGGCCTCAGCCGGGCGAGCTCTTGCAGAGAATCGAGTTTCTGGTGCCAGGCCTGGAGGTGGGCGTGGTGGAAGAAGACAATGTCCGGGAGGGCGTTGTAGTTGTCGATGATGTAGGTGAGGTAGACCATAGCCTCGTTGCCCGCTGCAGAGGGGACGGAGAGCGCTGGGGAGAGTGGCTTGTCGACACGGTAGTGAGCGATGGTCCAGTTGAGAGATGGAGGGATCTCGGAGAGCCAGGCTCTGTCGTCTTTGGTCGTTGAGGCCACGACGAGAGTTTTGCTCAGGCTGGACGGAGTATTTTTGTGGCCCGCCGTGAAAGGTCGAGACTCGATGTTTTTTGGTGCGCGGCTGAACAACATTTTTGTAACGATAATGAAGAAGACGGTAGCGAGCATAGGATAGAGGAGGAGGGAAACGGCAGCCCGGAGCTGCCTCTTCCTGTAGACGCCCATCACGAATTGTTGACGTCGATGTCGTGTATGTATGTAGTTTGCATGGTCAGTAACGGAAGAAAAGCAGGAAGCACCTTATCGAGGCTGAGCAGGACGACGAGAGAGGCAGAAGAAGAAGAAAAAAAAAGTAACGAGAGTGACGACAGTATAAGCGTGTGGACAGGGTTGTTTTGTCAAGAGGCTTGAGTTGAGACGATGGCCGTATCAGACATGCCACCCTCAGGTCGATCTCTGCTGCAGAAGTCTGCAGACGCCCAGGGGCTCAGATTTTGATACTGCATAAGGAGTACGGCGAGTTCTCTTACGAAGCCAAGTGTAGCGAGGCACTTTGAACCCTGTGGTTAAAGAGATATGAGGTTGGAAATGATTCATGAACCTATCCTGTCTGACCTCAACCCCGTTCTTGCTAGGTGGTATCAAAAGAATTCTGGTGGTCATCGTAAAGAGTACAACCTGGCATTTTTTGACTGTGAAGACATTGCAGGTCTTTGCTGGACTTGTGTGTCTTGTATTGAGTAGCTGCTGAGATACATACTGTTCTTAACTGCAGTATTTTGGCTGCATGCTTGAATTTCTTCTTTGAATACTCGAGTAAGTACTTGAGGATGAACCAGCATCGTGAGAGAGGGGTTCGTCCACCCCGCTAATATCGGGCGATTGCCGCTAGGGCTTCAGGGGGTCCTGATCCCCTCTACTACAGCACAGTGGGGCCGGAACCCAGAGCTGGGGAGAGCTCGGTAACGCGAGGCCGTGGTCAGCCGAGGATCCTCGCCAGATTCCGGGAGAATCATCACGCGACAAGCTTGCAGCCGCTATGTGACCTCTCGTCCCCTCTCCCGATCAACCAGCCAAGCAACCACAAACAACTCCCACTACCCAAGTACTTTCCCTACCACTACAGCGCTACCACGACTCAGCCCGCCCTGCAGACAGCTCCCAACCAAAAATGGGCATCATCAAGCGCACCTTCTACACAACCGTCCTGACGGGGACGGCCTTCGTGGGCTACATTGCGGGCACGACCTCGATTATTTGCCCGTTGCCTCGTGACGACCCTATCTGGTCCAGCAAGACCTATGCCCGCTACAACATTTATAACAACCCCACGACCCAGGACGTCTGCATCAAGCGGGTACCCCTTGACAAGATCAGGCCGGAGCTGCTGCAGAAGGAGGGCGACCTGGCGGTTGAGTTCTGTCGGGGTGTATGGGCAGGGTGGGGTGAGTCTGAGCTCTGCTTCCCTTTGGTTCCATGCGTGATCGTAAATATGTGTTGAGCCAAGAGAGAGAGAAAAAATAAGCAATGCTAACGAGAAGGGCGGGGGATCGTGTTCCCTGTGGAATCAAATAGCATACCGTCTCCAGCGCCGCTACCTAGCCCAGAAATACGAACCCCAAACCCCATCCCAGCTCTGGGCTCCCCGCGACCTCGCCACGTCGACCTACGAGAAGGGAACCTACATCACAGACCACTTCGAGGTCGTAGAAAAGACGCCAACCTCCATCACGGTGCGCTGTGGCGACTCTCCGCGCAGCCAGGGCGGGCGCGAGAGCGACGGCCTGTTTGTCATTTACGCCGAGGTAGACAAGGAGCGAAACGAGGTCGAGCTGGGGCTCAAGAGCTGCTTCTTCAACAGCGCCGCGCGACAGGATGGTATCCTGGGGCCGATGCCCAAGTACATGGAGATTGCGCACCAGTACTACTCCAGGCTGTGGATGGTCAGCGCGAGCCGGTGGGTCTCCAAGGGCCTGTTCGGCTAGAGGTAAACAGAGCAAAGAACGGAATTGTTGTCTCGCGAGCCAACTTTGACTCGTGGGTTATTGCGGTCAGTGCAGGTCTTTTTCCATGGTATGGATAACGAGGGTTTAGAGAGAAGCAAGGAAGGTATTTAGCAGGGACGAGCATGGCAAAACTTTGGTTGTTGGACTGTGGACGCGTTTCAATCTCTTCTGCCCTGGACGGGCATCATTTTCATGTCGATATCGGTTGGAATTGGTGTATAATACCCATCTCTCAGCATCAATGCCACATGTAGGATAAATACATTGGTACTGGAGCCGTCTTCAGAAGGATGATAGCAGATGACCAGGGGGCGGTAGAGGTGGCTATAGCGGCAGCTGTGCTGTAAGCTGGAAAGGTGTGGGGAGAAGAAGGTGGGCCTAGGGCGGTATCTTGCCGGACTTCGCTCTAGTACTATTAGGGGCTACAGGCAGCACGCCTTGCATAAGGGCACGATGCTAGAGAGTGTGCTTAGGCACCAGAGATACTAATGGACCTACTATGGTACCACCCGAAATCTCACAGCGCCCATGGCAGGCCAACTATAGTGCCTCCTCCGCCAACCAACCAGATCGTCACATTTCACAGCCCTGGACCCTGAATCTCACGGGTCGAAACCTCGTCCGGCAGGTCCACCCGTCACGTACTACGAGGATGAGATACTAGCTACCAATTCAGTTAAACCCTTGTTGCCCGTTTCTCACTTTTGTTGCCAAAGAGGGGAGGGGCGATGTTGGTACATTCTATTATCACTATCAGTGCCTTCCATGCATTATCACAACTCTCATCATCATCATCATCATCATCATCCCATTTTCTCCTCTTCTTTTCTTACCTTCACTACTACTACTATTACAACAAATAACTCGATAAGAAAACGGTATAAATAGACTCTTCTCGACCATTATTCATCTCGCACCCTTCTTCACGCGGTAATAAACCGTCGCTTGTTCCACCCTCTTCTCCTCAGAGCTGTACAAAAAGCTTATCACCAATTATCAAACGGCTCATCCTCCTCAGCAAACTCAACATGACAGCAGACGATACCAAGGCCGCCACGAGCACGTCTGTGCAGGCAGACGGTGTGGAAGGGACCAAGACTGCCAATGCCACCCGCAGTTCGGACATCAAGACTGGCCCCTCGCATCCCCTCGGCCCTCTGACAAAAGACGAGATATCTCGGTCGTCTTCTCTGATCAGGGCACAGTGGCCCGAAGGGACCAAGTTCCAGTTCAAGATTATCACCCTGCTGGAGCCGCCAAAAGCTGAGCTGGCTCCATATCTCGAGTCGGAGAAAGCGGGTCAGGCACCTAAGCCGATCGAGAGAAAGAGTCAGGTCGTTTATTATCTGAGAAACACTGTAAGAATGATCATATAATCAAGTACAGGGGCAAGGAAAGAAAAAAAGAAGCAAGAAGAAGGAAAAATAGGGAAAAAAGCAAGATGCGTCGTGTTCATTATTGACATCTTCCCAGGACAAACTCCACGAGGCTACCGTCAACCTCACGGCCAACAAGGTCGAGAGCAATGTCCGCCTCGGCCCCTTCATCCACGCCCCTGGTGATGGAGAGGAGCTCATCGCCATCGAGAAAGTCTTGACGGAGGATGAGGGCGTCAAGGCCGAGATTGCCAAGTTGAAGCTCCCCGAGGGCACTGTGGTGGTCTCGGATCCGTGGATCTATGGTAAGTAGAAGACAAAGCGGGCAAGCGCCCGCCTTTCATACGCCAACCTTACATGCTGACGTACTTCAGGTTCCGATGGCGTTCATGAGGGGCTCTTTTCCGACCACAAGCGTGTCAAGCAGTGCTTCCTCTACATGCGTGACCCGGCCAACTCCTCAGAGCCAGACAGCTGCCACTACGCATTCCCACTTCCCATTTCTCCAGTCGTCGATACGGTCGACCACAAGGTGATCCGCATCGACATCTTGCCTACGGGCCACGACAGCACAATCAAGCCCCTGGAGCCCTGGAAAGGCCCTGTCCCTCCCAACGAGTATATTCCCGAAGCCCAACCCAACGGTCTCCGCAAGGATCTCAAGCCTCTGCAGGTCGTCCAGCCTGAGGGCGCCTCGTTCACCGTCTCCTCGTTCAGCGAGCTGGGCAAGACCATCAATTGGCAGAAGTGGGACTTCAAGGTCGGCTTCAACCAGCGAGAGGGCATGGTCCTCTACGATGTCTACTATGACGGTCGGCCTCTCTTTCACCGGCTATCGCTGTCAGACATGGCCATTCCCTACGCCGACCCGCGCCACCCCTTCCACAAGAAACAGGCCTTCGACCTGGGCGATGTCGGCGCGGGAATCATGGCAAACAACCTCTCCCTCGGGTGTGACTGTCTCGGCTCCATCTACTACATCTCTGGCGTCTTGCCCGACAGCGAGGGCCGACCTGTGGACTATCCGAATGTGGTATGCATCCACGAGCAAGATTCAGGTCTACTGTGGAAGCACACAAACTACCGCACCAACCGTGCCGTCGTCGTGCGCAACCGCGAGCTGGTCCTGCAGACCATCCTGACTGTGTCTAACTACGAGTACATCCTCGCGTGGAACTTCAACCTGGCCGGCGACCTCACGTATGAGGTGCGCGCTACGGGCATCCTGTCCACACAGCCAGTCGATCTGGACCTGTCCACCACACCGCACCCATATGGCACCGTTGTGCACCCCGGCGTGCTGGGTGGGTACCACCAGCACTTTTTCTCCCTGCGTGTTGACCCCATGGTCGGCGGGAGGGGCAACCAAGCCGTGGTGTATGAGGAGGCGCACGCTATTCCGCGGGACAGCAAGGAGAACCTCCATGGCGTCGGCTACACTGTCAAGCGCACACCTATCACCACGTCTGGTGGGTATGACCTCGACGTAGCGAAGAACAGGACTTTCAAGATCATCAACACAGGCATCAAGAACCCCGTCAACGGCTCGAACGTCGGGTACAAGATCCACGTTCCCCCGATGCAGCCCATGCTTGCTGACAGCGAGTCTTACCACTTCAAGCGTGCCGAGTTTGCTGATCACAACATCTACGTGACCAAATACGCCGAGAACGAGCTCTTTGCGGGCGGCTACTACACCAACCAGTCGCGGGGCGGGACAGGCGTGCGCTCATGGGCCGACCGCAAGGACAAGCTGGGAGAGGGCGGCGAGGAGCCCGTCGTGTGGGTGCAGTTCGGCATCAACCACATCCCCCGCATAGAAGACTTCCCTGTGATGCCCATGGAGATGCTCAAGGTGACGCTACGACCAGTCAACTTCTTTGATCGCAACCCAGCGCTGGACGTCCCGCCGAGCAGGCAGGAGGTGAACCGCAGCACGGCCCTGAATGGCATTGTGGATGGCGCCGCAGTGATGAAGATTGGCGAGGACGGCGCGCCTGAAGCTTGCTGTAGTAAGTGATTAGACAAGATTTTAGACGAAGGCAATCTAGAGGCTACCTCTGTAGATAGATGCATCGTTGATAGAAGAAGCTGGTGAAACGCAGAATCTGGTGTTCAGGGCACATGCCATTTTTTTATTTTACCTTTTTTGCGTTCGTAGTTCTAATGATTCGTGTTCTTTCTATGCACAGGCAGCAGCAGTCTCGCGCATGCCAGTGAGACATTGTCAATTCCATTTTGGCTCTAGATATCATGAACATCGTCATTTCACACACAATTCGAGAGCGATGTGATTCCATTATTCACAATCCGGCAGTCTTTGCCCTCGTATCAATGAGGCGTTTTTGCCCGTTGCGTGCGTAATTACGGCAACAATCACGTCCAGATGCAGGTGATGAGCTGTGCGCGACACGCATCGCACAATGTCGGGATTCCCACGGAGAACTGTCGGTATTTAAGATAGTAGATTCGGGGCGGAACCCATCGTCATGTCATGGTCACAAGCCAAGCCAACGGGTCACAGTGCCACAGGATGGGGTCTTGCCTACTATTTGTTTTGGCTTTGAGGCCGCAGCCATAGCATGCCGATAGATCGCCATCGCCGTTCTCGGAAGACGGACACTTTTGGGGCTGGGCAAAAATCCAGCCGACCCGTGGCACCGCTTTTCCCCACATGGGCAGGGCTTGGATGGATTGGCTCCCCCTCTCCAGCGCTAGATAATGGATGGGATTGGGCCTGGGCCGCTGCCTGACCGGTCGGTCGTCTAGATAAGCAGGGAAATGTTCGATTGGGAGACCAAGGACACCCGTAGAGCCTAAGGAGGAAAGCATGGGAGGAGGGAGAACCCAGACTTTTCCTTGACCACTTTCGGGCCTGAGGTACTGTGGTACACACCATCACCAGCGACAACGGCGATTGTCAGCCCTGGGCTTGGCGCTTTTTTCGTGTTTGAGATGTGGCCTAGTATTAGCTGCTCAGTCGATCATCAGTGAGGAGAGGAGGGGGCTATCTGATAGTGTTGGAGGGGATGAAAGTTTATATATATTGCTGCCCATTCGCTCCTACGAAATTGAGACTCGTTCTCGACATTCCTCATTTATTCAAACTCATTCGCAAATCTAATTCCAAATACTGATTCAAGATCGCTACTATCTCGAGTCCTTAATACCCGCAATAAAATCTTTTGTCCTTCAATCAAGGAAACGAAGAACATATATCAAAAGAGGTTCAACATGGCGACAGAGTCCAAGCCCGTCACCTTCCAGCACTACGCCGGCCTGCCGGCCTCCTTCTCCCCCCAGCTCTTGGCCAACGAGAATGCCTACCTTGAGGACCTCTTCTCCTCAGAAGCCACCAACGCAGAGAGCCCCCTGTCGTCAGGCATCTTCCGCCTCGAGCCCGGCACCCCTCTCAAGTACACATACACATATGATGAGATGAAGATCATTCTGGACGGCGACTTCACCATCGTCGATGAGACAGGCCAGACGGTCCACGCCAAGAAGGGGGACCACTTCTTCTTCCCCAAGGGCGTGACGATTACCTTCACGAGCGAGAAGGGTGGAGTGGCCTTTTACGTTGGGCAGAGGAAGAAGGGTGCGGCATAAGAAGTTGGATTTTAGGGAGTTTTAGGGGCCTTTCATGAAAACAAGCCTGCTTCGGGGGGATGGGTTGGATATCTAGTTTGAGGTCTAACCTGGTGGTTCCAAGAGGACAAGACTTGTGGACCAATTTGGAAATGGAACTTCTTGCATTTTTGAATCAATCTTTTTTCTCAATCTTTCCCTAGGCAGGTGACATGTGAGAAAGTGACGTGGGACAATTGTTACTTTGATCAAGGTTTGGTTCTTTTTTCACACTGACAAGCGAGTGAACACAGCACATATTTCTTTGGTGAACACCTCACCTATGGACATTGAATGATCACATATGAGACTGCTGCCTCGACTATGTTTGAACAAAGTTCTCTACGTTGGTAATTGCCAAATAGCGTCGCATTCAGCAATCAAGTAACTCTGAAACCCCAATTTCCGTCTTCTAACATGCATCACTCATCATATCAGTCATTTACAATAACATAAAACCGTTGTTACTCCTAGATGAATAAAGACACATATCCTTACATAGTCAGTAATATGTCTTATGGTAGTGAGGGGCTGTAGAGGAGGATATGGCAGTAAAGAGTGAAGTCTTCCGAAGCTATAGCATGTCAGCTTTTTCGTTTACAAATCTCTACAAGTACTTATTGCAGGATGTGACAAGATCGAATTATTAGTCATCTGACCTACTTGTAACATGGCCTTTTCGTACACTACTCATCTCATAGACACGATGGCAAGTATGATAATTGTTCTGTTCATCATATGTTTGTGATGTACTGCTTCTTTCTGCTTGACAATCTCCAACAATATGGAAACTTTTCAAAAAACATAAATACCTCCAAGCTTCGAGGGTGAGAAAGCTGAGAAAGACCTCAACACACCATTATGTAGACAAACAACATGACAACTAAGGGATCAGAACCAAGAAAAGAAAAATTGCAGCACCAACATACTATCCAATGCCTCCGCTTTACAAGAATGGAGATTTGGTTCTGGCCCAGCGCCTAGATGAGCGTAAGTACTTGCTCAAGACCTTTGTGAGTGATTTGCAACCCATAAAGACTGCATAACTTGCTGACCACGAAACGCCGTTCGCTAGATGCGATCTGGGGCCGCATCAGAGGTGTGAACTTGCAGAGAAAGCGGGGGCATGAACACAAGTATCTCGTCGTGGAGAAAGCCTGGATGGAATATACAGTACTGTAAGCTGCCTCCTGTCCCCCTCATTCCACATCTCCTCTGGTCTTTCTACCCGTGGTAGCGAGGCTTTTTTTCTTCTTTCTTTTTCATATGAGCGTTGGAAAAGTAACCAGTTGTCTTCATAGAAACCAAGATGGTGTGCAAACTGTGCTTGGATTCTGGAACGATAATGCGTTGGAGGAGCATGAGGTTGCGTCTGAGGTCTATGAGGAGAGCGAATTGAGGCTTTGCCCGGAGCATCCAGCTCTTGGCCAGGGTGCGTCGACAGCGACTACATTAGCAGCAAATGCATCAACAGCAAGTGAATCAGCAGCAAATTCCTGATACATTTGCTGTTGAAGATGCCGGGCAGATTATCTACCCTGCCTAAAAACTTGCAACTTCAGCACTCCGTGGACCTCATAAGTGGAGTGGGTGGATAGCGATCACTTGATAACACGGTCAATGTCGCTGGGCGCCAGGCTATGTTCCTCTGTTGGTATCCATCCATACCTTGTTATTAAAGCTGTTTCATTCCCATTCCCTGTAACCTCGACAGCTCAAGATGGTCCCCGTGCTGACAAGCGCTTAGCCTTGACAGGTGAGGTTGATCATAAGCACTAGCAACTCGTGATGAAATGCCGAGTGCGACATTGCAGACAGCCGTGGCTACCGCTCACGTGCCGCTGTATACAACCGAGTTGCAACGCGAGGGTCCAAAGAAATGCTCGCTCCTTGCATCTAGCTCTCACTTTAGTGATTGTTTTCATAGCACAACTGACAGTGGAACACGCTGATTGGATAGGGTTGATACCGCGTGTCCAGAGGTGACATATGGCTAATTTGCCCGTAGTCACCGCGTGCCAGCAATGTTTGTCTGTCACTGTACAGTTCCTTCCTCAAACAATTGAGCCAGGATAGTTTACTATAATTACCTAGTCAGAGGCGTGGTCTTTGGTCCCAATGAACTCCCAAACCGCCCCCAACTGTCAGCGCCTTATACTGGGCCATTTTTAAATCGAACAGAGGCTTTTCCTATCCAGGATATTCCGATACACTTCAACCTTCAACATGGCTGTACTCAAGTTCGACTCAGGCGACAAAGTCATAGCTGACGTGACTCGCGAGTCCGGAGCCAGTAAGTTCAGGGAGAAGATTCATCCCAGAGTGGCTTCATGATCATGACGCCGGCTGAAGAAGCCCAAAACTAACGCGGTTCTTGATCGTAGAACTGAAAATCTGGGGCGAAGTTATCGAGAAGCAGCAGTCCTCTTCTCATGACACGAATACGTACAAAATCCATGTACTGAAGAAGATGGACATCCCTCAGACAATGTACGCTGCGTCGCCATAAAATGAATAAGATCACTTGAGATTTACATTTCTGACCATTCCGGAACAGGTCTGACAAAGGGGATGCTTGGAAGGACTCAAATGAGCAAAGCGAATGGGTTGCAGAAGCCTGGGTTGAGGCGATACCAGACACGTTTGAGCTCGCAAATTATGATGATATGCTGCTCTGCGACACAGACCCATCCACAGCTGGCCGGTCTGTGTCTCAACCCGCTGGGTGGTCAACTGGGGCCGCGCCTAAGTAAGCGACCGAGGGTGAGAGTTCGTTGTCGACCGGCATAGCTAGTAAGAACACTACCCCGTGTTCAACATAGATGATCAGATACGTACTTGGGAGAATATGCCTGTAGTTGGAAACAGTCGCCTCATGCTTATGAAAAGCGAAGGCCAATCGCAGTGAAGACCCTGGATACAAGTCATTAGACCAGTGAATAATTGAGCTGCTTCTTTTGGTATACTTACAGCCCGTGAGGAATACAGACACTTCCAGACCAATGCCCATCATGACTACACCTCGACTTAATCAGCCCCAATGTTGGTCATTCCCAAAGAAGATCTGAACTCATTCCTTGTCCCTTTCCTTCCTTCCTGCAGGTGGTCCTGCACAGCAACGGCGGGATACGACTTTGCAAACCCGATGAACCGACTCACATCAGCCCGTAGGATATCGCTGCGTATATCTTGGTCATGAAATGAGACTTGTGCATAGTAATCATAGTACAAAGCCACGGAATTCCGTGTATGTGTCTTGCTCGGGAGAATCTTTAGACCAATGCCTTCGGAGCGGTTTTCAAATCCTCCGTTAATTACCAGCTAACAATATCCAAGAGTTACCCCGCAATGTATCCTTATTCTCCGGTGATGAAAGACTCGGCCTTTAAGTCAAAGGGGGGGGTTTTGGGCCGGGGTAGTTTTGGGCCACCCTGGCCACCCTCGTCAAATACACACACCCATATATATATATACTATTTATCTATTCTATTCACCCACCACGATGCAATCCTCCTCATCAGTAGGTAATTCGACATCGCTCTCTTCATTCAGACTATCCTCGTGGCGATTAGCCGCGTTTTGAGCTCTCTGTATATCCTCAATCCCTGCAAACTTCGAATTCGGATCCATATCAACCTTTCTTCTTTTACTAGGCCTCAGAGCCTCAATCTGCCTTTTCAACGCTTTATTTTCCTCCAATGCCTTGGCAAACTCGAGGTCCCTCTCCCCATAAGCCTTTTTTATCTTCTTGAATAGCATACGGCGGCCTGGTTCCGTTCGAAGTTGTTGCTGATTCTCTAGCAGCTGATAGTATAGCTGTTTAGCCTTTCGAGGAGTTGAAAAGAGGACTAGCTGGCTTGAGGAGGCTTTTGGGGAAAGATGAGGTGCTGTTGATTGTGCTGAGCCTGAATTGGACTGGGTCTGACGGCTTGGTTGACTGTTCTCGAGAAGAAGAGGGCTCAAGAGGGCTTTTGAGAGTCTGAGAGGCCACAGACCAGTTGCTTTCCATCTAGATCTAATATTCTGGCTTGAAAGGCCTTCCAGTCGAGCTAGATAATAGTTGCTGAGGAATAAACGCTTGCCTGCGATAGTTGAATCGCCCCATTAGCCCATATTGCTGACTTTCTTTCTGTATGCTCGTTTGAGAGATGAAAAGATCTCTAGATCGAGGGGTTGAAGAATGTGAGAGGTATGAGGAGGCAAGTAAATAAGCAGGATATTGTTTTGGAAGCAAAGCCATATAAACTCGTCCGTTTTATGGCTGCTATGGCTATCCAGGACTAACAGCCTGGCTTCTGAGGGATCTGCTGGCTGGCTATGAGGAATGAAGATCTCTTTCAGCTATTCAACTGCCATTTTATCGTTTGTCCATCCGTTTTGCATAGCTGTAAACTTCCAACCATCAAAAGGCTCCAAATCAAGAGGAAACTACTGTTGTTGTACCGTTTAGCCCTTGAAAATCACTAGAGGGAAGAGGTAGGCACCTGTAGCTGAGATACACTCGAGGAAAGAAGTCCAGGCTTTTGATCCAGGGTCTTTCCTTTGAATTGAATGCGAAGAGGAGCTTCCGAGAACTAATCCATTTGTTCCTTGGCTCTCCATCAGGCCAGCTTCATCCATATTCCATCTATTAGCTGGCTTAATAGCTTGGATATGAGGAAGATTGAAAAGACGAAACCAAAGCCGTATTACCTCTGTTGTAGCCCCATTCGTTCGTTCAGAGGCAATGCAGCGAGTCTTCCTGACCTTTATCTCTGGATTTCTCTTCAAAAAAGCCTGAGTCTATTGCACCCCGAGGGCCTGAGAGTCTCCCTGGACCTCGAGGATCTGCTGAGCAAAGTATTTGAGTTCTGAATAGCTTGGTGGAACGCCTAGGCTTTCTTGAATCAGGATCCATTCGGCTAGTCTTCTTTCCTGATCAATAGAGAGCCTTTGCTGGTTTTCGTGGGCTGTTTTATGCGATTCCCCTCCTTCTAGGCGAGCCTGAAGAGTACTCCTTGGAATACCCCATTCCCTCGAGGCTTGCCGCTGAGACTTGCCTTTTCTGACAGCCTCAACGGCCTGGGCTAGCTCAAACTCGGAATAGGGCTTCATAACAGTCAGATAAAGGTTTGCTGGAAAGATGAAGTTGTTTGGATCAAAATTGGTTGAGTAATAGCTATCAAACTAAAGGGGGTTGAAGAGGCGGTGAGGGTGGCCAGGGTGGCCCAAAACTACCCCGGCCCAAAACCCCCCCCTTTGACTTACAGTGTCAATCTGCGGCAGCTCGCAGGACCCCCAGGTGAAACGTCCTGGTAGTTATGTCCGGTGGACCTTTTTGCACTGTCGAAGCACGGGCGGGATTACTCAGTTTTGTAGAAGAACAGCCAATGGCGCGAGTGTCCGAGTTGTGCAGTAAACAGTATGATTTATTTTTCAATCATAAAGAGAGCACATGCAAGTCTTGTCATAATTAATTCACATCTGCAAAAGGACCCTGCTCTAATTTGTGGATGGCTGAGGCTGATCTAAGCAAGCAGGACGGGGGGACCAGGGCAGGGGGACCATCTCCATTACAAATCAAAGTCGGGCAATCGAGCCGAGCACCAGATCCGCCAGATCAACCATTTGTAATAACATACTCTGAATGTTGCCGACATGACCAAGATGCCGTCCAGTAACTTAATGTAGGCAGCAGAAACATGAGGTGTCGTCGCTGAGGAATCCACGTGCGTCGCAGTTATAAAAGTAGATAGAAGCTCGCTTGTATTTCGAAATTGTAGTCCATTATCATCACATCAACCTCCAATCACCAAATCCTCTGAATAAATCCCCTCGATTCGAAATAATCCAAGGCCGGACCAAACATCATCATGACGTCCCAACTGAAGCCAATCAAGCTCTGGGGTCACGCTGGGCCCAACCCCATCAAGGTCGCCAGTAAGGACTCGTGACCCGATCCCCAACATATGTAGCACTTCTTTTCCCCTAACTAATGCATGAAATAAGTTGTGCTCGAGGAGCTTGGTATCCCCTACGAGACGGAGAATATCCCATTCTCGGAAGTCAAAAAGCTACCGTACGTGGCGATCAATCCGAACGGCCGCGTGCCAGCCATTGAGGACCCCAACTCTGGTCTCACTCTGTGGGAATCTGGAGCCATCATCGAGTACCTCATCGAGAAATACGACACCGACAACAAGCTCAGCTTCCCTCGCGGCAGCAAGGAGGACTACCTGGCGAGGCAGTGGCTGTACTTCCAGGTCTCCGGGCAGGGGCCGTACTACGGTCAGGCGGTCTGGTTCAACAAGTTCCACCAAGAAAAGCTGCCCAGCGCGGTGGAACGATACGTCAACGAGATAGGCAGGGTGACCCACGTCCTAGAAGGCTACCTCGCAGCGCAGAAGGCCAAGGGCGGGAGCGATGGGCCTTGGCTGGTGGGCAACAAGCTCTCATTCGCTGATCTCGCCTTCATTCCGTGGCAGAATTACACCTTGACAGGTTTTATTGAGGGATTTGATGCGACAAAGTATCCGGTCGTCAAGGAGTGGCTCGAGAAGATGCTTGCGCTTCCCTCGGTGCAGGCAGCCCTCCCCAAGGAGGGATGATCCATCATCTCGGAGGGGCAAATACACAGGGGTCGCATTCGAAGCCAGCATAGCGGTGTGATAATGCCTTTGAGATTGATCAAGATATCATCTAGACAATGATAATCAAGACACATGACGCAGACCCTTCGATTATTTGTTCAGAGTACTTGATATTTTTGGGTGCAAGGCGTTTTTCTTTCTTAGTCATATGCAGTGTTGCCCCTCTCCTATGAAGCACAATGCTGGTAACAGGTTGAGTGAGTTTAAGAATAAGTTTACCCTTAATTCTACACGGGGGTGAGCGTTTGCCTGCCACGTCACAACTAACAGTAGAAAGATCTATGTCGTGGCAAACATGACCCAGGACAATTCACACGGGTCGCTGAGTGTTGGTGCAGGGAATACCGCTCGAACAGCGCCTCTCTTAGGACGCCCAGAACAAGACCCCCTTCCCCTCCCCTAGACTTGTTTACGGCGATGCGGCCGAGTCTCAAGACCTTCCCGAATTGGCAGTTTATCAATCATATGCGGGATGAGAGATAAAAATAAGAATCTGTGAGTTTGACAACAAGTGTCAATCCAAAGGCTCAGATGGAGGACAGGTTTGGAACTGGAACTCTCTGAAAACAACCCGATTTGGTAGTTGGATGACAGTACAAAACTGATCAAGGCCAATATAATACAGCCTAAAAGATCAGATGGTGCAGCAAGCTATCTCACCCCAATCTTTGCGAAGACAAAAAGGTATAACATGCCAGGTGCGCCTCTGCTCATACTTTTCTCATGGATTGCCTATTGCGACAAGAAACAGGGAGAAGGACACTCCCTTGCCCCCTCAGTTCGTCGTATAACTTCGAGGGGTGTCGGATGACAACGACACAAGTGATCAAGACATGGCTTGGCGCAAGAAACGCGCGACGGATCCGTCAAGCCATGCGACCAACAAGACGTTTGAAGGGCGAGAGGCGTGGGGTCTACCATAAATCATACGGTTTCGCCAATAGGGGAACCTGAAGACACTGGACGAAACAGATGGACCAATCGCGATTCAGCCCCTGCAGGCCTGTCTGAACTTTCTACCAAGGTTCGCGCCATGGTGCGTTGCCGTGAAATCAGGATTATAACCGCCTTGGCCCCCCGTGCTCAGGTCGACTTCTGTTTCAACCCATCTTCCCACACACCATAGACTGCCAAAACAACTCTAATCCTCAACTTTGAAATGTCATAAGGTGTTTGCTCCAGGTCCACTTTTCATTCTCCCTTGAATGGCACCTCCTCGGTGCTCTGTTGTTTTGTGTCAAATCTTGCGAGCTTGTCGCATCGGTTCCTGTTGTGTCAGTGCCTAACAAGGAAACGGATGAGAGGCCGAGATAGTTAACTGGTTCAGGAAAGTGGATGAGGCAAAAAGAGGCCATAGAATCAAGATAAATAAATCACCAAGTCTGCCGTCTGTGTCATTTTCGATTCTCACAGACACGACAGATCCAACTGCATACCTCTCAATCTACTTTTATTCTAATTCATCTTCTATTCAGGCACTGGATGCCCTTTATTTCTCTCGCAAACTTTTGAATCATTCTAATATATCGTCGACAAGATGAAGTTCAGCCTCCTTGCCCAACCACTGCTGGCGGTGACCGTGCTCGCAGCACCATCTCTCCTGAAGCGAGACCTGCAGACAATCCAGTCTGGTATCACTTCTGTCCAGAACGCCCTCGATTCGCTCGGGACTGCTGTCAATGTAGGCCATCATCCACTCCAATTACAAATAATTCGCCAAGCCCCCCTCCCCCCTCCCCCTGGCCGGGGGGGGAAAAAAAAAAGAAGAGAGCCTTTTCAATCAACTCATACTAATATTTGAATCAACAATAATAGTCCGTCAGTGGCACGGATCCCAATTCCCTCAACAATGTCCTCAGCGCCAGCACGGCGGCGCAGAACGCCATCTCGAACGCGACAAGCTCCATTTCGGCAACCTCGACGCTGTCCCTGACGGACGCCCTCACCCTGCAGCAATCCGCGACAGGCCTCACTACCTCGGCCAATAACACCGTCTCGGCGCTGATCGCCAAGAAGCCCACCTTTGACCAGCTGGGCGTCACCAGCGTGGTCGCGCAGCAGCTGCAGACGCAACAGTCAGGCGCCACCGCTCTGGGCAACGCCATCGTGTCCAAGGTGCCGTCCATCGGCCAGAGCATCGCGCAGAAATCCATCGGCCAGATCAGCACCGTCCTCAGCCAGGCCATCACTGCGTACGGCGGGGCCTCGAACTCAACGTCGGCGGCTGTGGCTGGCACGGGCTCCGCGACCACGGGAGCCAGCACTGGGACTTCGGCGAGCACTGCGCCTGCGGCAGCGAGCGGAGATAGTGCCGCTGGAACAACCGCTGCAGGGTCGACTACCTCAGCCGCGACGGCTGCTGGTGCGGATGATGCAGCCGCTGCAGGTGGTGCTGGCGGTCTCGGGGCGCTGCTTGGAGCGCTGACCGGAGGAGCTGGTGCTACTGGTGCAACTGGCGCAACTGGCGGAGCGGGTGGTGGCCTCGCAGCGCTCCTGGGTGCTCTCTAGAGGATCTCAGATATCGACCTGATCTGGTTGTTTTCTGGGCTAGGTATATTTGTGTGTTTCAGTCTTAGTCCTCAAGTCCCAATGTCGCATTTTCTTTTTGCCTGCCTGTAGCTAAACACGACGTGGAGCTGGTGCTTCACCTACTGATGAGATAACGAACGACTCTCCTTACGAATATAGTCTTGATCAAACCGGCAAATCGATGATACATTCTTTGGCGAGCTGTATTGAACCTTGGTGCGAAATTGTGGACAGACGAACATGAGATATCCTCAAGAGTTGATGACGCTCGTTGAAAGTTTGATATAGGGAAACACGAAAGAGTTCACAAATTTGTTTAAAGACTGCAATTTGAATTTTTCCGAACGATGTTGATAAACAGCAGAAAGAGGGTATCATGAAGTGCCGTATGGAAAAGCCCGTGAATAGCAAGAAACCAAAAACGCCAACGCTCTAAAATGCATCCCACGACAATATGTGACACTATTGGTCACCCTCGCGCACAGACACACGCAACACAAGATGACACGCGTCGAAAATTCTTGCCACAAAATTCAGTGACTTTGAATGACACCTGTGTACCTTCTTAGGCGCCCCCCATGTATTTGAGTCCTCCGAGCCTGGTGCATGGCAGACTCAGCGCCGACATGCCTCCTGTACATTTGTCGGGTATAACCTCGGCTACTGTTTCGACTCGAGGCATGGAGTGTGGTTGACAGAGAAGGTGGTTTCCAAACCGACCAGTCTGGTGCAGTGTATGAAAACATCATCGGCCTGACGTTCAAGGCGAGAGCGGTCGGCTCTTGAAGACCATGGCCACCACCTTTCCGTAATACTTGGCTCGGCGGAGTTGACCTGGTTGTGGTCAGACTCGAGATGATGCCATCTCAAAAAAAAGTGTGGCCGGTCCTCTCGTCCAGGGGTTGAATCCGATCCAACCGGGTAAGGTTCATCCGTTAACCCTGTTGCTTCATCAAAAGATGCGCGCAGCAGCCCACAGTCCCAGAAGCATAGCCAAACCAAGCAGACTATGCCACCCAACAGGGACCCCCAAGAAAGTACCCCCCTGGCCCGGAAACTCGGTGTGGTCTGTAAGGCTAACTGAATACCCGTTATCAGAGACCATGATGTCTCCGAACTGCTTGACAGCAGTGATGGGCCGCATATCGCCAAACACGCGCTCGTTGCGGATGTCGACGATGCCAGAAGACCCGAGAATGTTCCACTCGGCGTCGAGGGCGGCGACGCGGGCGAAGCGGGCTGGGTACTCGAGGGCGAAGGAGGTCTCGAAGCCGTCGCGAGGGACGATGGCAAGGACCTGTCCTGGGCCGTAGAGGTCGCTGCTCTCGTTGCTGGCGAGCTGTTTCTCGTGTGAAGACACCATTCGTCAGTTGGTTTGATTTCCTGTTCGTTTCGACATGGTGCACGATGTTGCGAGCAAGGAAAAGGGTGCTGCTTACAAAAGCCCAAGCCTTCACCTCAGTGGCGCCGTTCCAGCTGGCGTACACGCTCGTCACGCCGTCCTTCTCCTGGGTCATGACATCTGGGTCCGTCTCAGGCTGGCCAGTCCAGTCCATACGGTAAGCGCGGTAGTTATCGAGGGCAATCGAGTTTTTCTTGGTGTGCCAGGGAGAGAATTGAACATCCATGACTGCCTCGCCGTCGGCAGTGTGCTCAGTAAAGGAAGGACACCGGCCCCAGCCCACAAAGACGTTGCCGCTGCCATCCTCGAGAGGCTGCACGCTGCCTTGGCTCTGGGCCTGGAGAGACTGTGGGTGGCGGTACTCGTGCAGGATACGCACGGCGGGATCCTCTGGGTTCGAGTCAAGATCGATGCTGATGTGCAGGCCGCGGCTGCAGTCTTTGGTGCATTGCTGCTGGGTGGTCAGGGCGTGGTTGTCGAAGAAGGTGATCTCGTTCTCGTTGTTGTGGAAGAAGCGGGCGTGGTGCTGCCAGGCAAAGGAGAGCAGGTTGTCTCCTGACGGGTTGGCGCCCTTGTCTGCATCTAACTCTCTGAACTGGTTCTTTTTCCCGCCGAGGGTCCACATGATCTCGCCTGTCTGCCCATTGATTAAGTAGATGGAGTGCATGTGGCGGGCGGAAACGAGATAATTCCCCTCTCGAGACTGTATAACGGAATCGTGTGCGTCTGGTCAGCCTGGGTGTCTTCTTATACATCAAAGTCAAGCCTGCTGCCTTATTTTTTCCATCTTTTCTCTTCATCTCCTATTCCATTTACCTTTTGTACGCTGTTGATATGAAAAAAATCCCATTTCAACTCCATCTTGTAGAACGAGTCGGCCAGGTCGACATGGTCAGAGGCCCTCCACTGGAAAATGACCTCGTTGGTAGCGAGATCAATCTCCTGAAAGACGCCGTCAAAGATTCCTCCCTTTCGTGAGCCCCGATACTTGCGCAGGTCCATCCTAACCAAGTCATAGGCCGTAACCAGGGCCGTTCCCTGGTCCGTAAACTGAAACTCGTGCAGGTCATTCTTGACAGATAGATTTTGCACATTGACCTTGTACACCTCGTTGTAGTGCTCATCGAGAACCAATCCGTCGCCCGACCCGTGCCCATCCACAATAGGGCCGGCGTAGAAGGTAAGATAGGACTCGTTGCCGCTCTTCTGGACGCGGATATCGCTGGTGCGGTCGTATGCACGGTCCATATACACCAGGCTTAGATCGCTGGCGTCGAGGATTAAAGGACTGGACTGCTCAAAGTCGTGGCGGATGAAGATGTGCGAGCCGCCTGTGGGAGAGATCTTCTCCTCGTCCCAGATGTTGACCTGGAGGAGAGGCGCCACAATGTCCGGGTTTGAGACGAAGGTCTGGGTGGGCCGCTTGCCATACTTTGCATTGTTGTATGCCTCATAGTCATTAGAGAACTCGTCGGCGCACACGAGGCTGCCCAGAAGGATGAAGGCAACCAGCAGACGGCACCATAATGGCGCATTCAGACAGGCCATCATCTTTTCTTCTCTCTTTCTTTCTCTGACGTGGGCAGGCCTGTCACCAGCTAAGGGGAGAAGAATGAAAAAGGGAGGAGGAAGGGGAGGGCGGCACAGGTTGACAGACAAGGCTCTCAATTCAGGACGTGAAGCTCTTTCAAGAAAACATTCTCATCGAGAAATGAAAACAAGAAACAAAACGTGGACAAAAAGAGAACAGCAATGATAGTACTAATAACGGAGCAGCTACGGGTACGAGCAGTAGCCTGGGTAGTATACATACTATGTAAGGAACAATTGGGATCAACAACCACGACTTTCAAACCATGTGGACCACTTGATGATGCCTCTGGTCGGGTCGTCCCCGAATCTCCCTCCACGCCTCCTACAAATCTGGCAAGGATGGATCCTTTCTTTCTTCCTCCAGCCTCCCCTGCTCTCCATGTGTTGACGTAGTACTCACCACTCATTGTGCTCCCCTCCCCCTGCTCGCCGTTTGGTCTCCCTCCTACTTTAAAAATAAAAGGTCGGGAAGGCAGGGGAGGAGGACCATGAGAGAGAAGGGGAGACGGTCAGAGATCTCGAAAGACATATGCATGCTTGCGAAGTGCGTAAGCCCGGGTAAGAATCCACAAAAAAGTGGTGTGTGGGGGAGAAGAGATGCGATGGAGCTGGCCAATACATCTGGATCACGCCCACACACGATCTGGGGCGAGAAAACTGCGATAGGATGGGGAACAAAAATTAATTGATATGAGAGAGAGTTTCGCCCGCACGTAGTCAAGAGCATTGTTAGATATGGTGGGGCGACTGTCAAGGTATAACCCCCTCCCTTGTTTGCCCTTTGTGACGCTGTCCCGTCGAGGCATAGCCCAACGCGTGCATAGGCTTACGTGTTGGGTCCACCCGACACCCGTCAAACTATTCTCGAGCCCCTTCTCAGGGATGGCAGCGCAGGGGGAAAATGTCTGCAAAGGGGCACTCGGCAGAAGATCTCGGGCGTCGGTGCATTCATTGGCAGAGATTGCCATAATGAGATGCCACACCGAGAACCGAGTGTCGGATGTAGAGAAAGGATTAAAGCAAAGGGGGGTTGTATGGAATCGTACTGTATGTAGTTTGAAAGATGTTCAATGATATCTTTCCTGTCTGTTGCCTAGTCTCATTTTTTTCTTCCTTGCCGTTTGAACATTGGTAGAAGATAAGAGGGTTTTGCCTGTGAACCATTTACTCCTTGGTTATCGTCCATAGAACAAAATGCCCAAAAGAGGATACCATGATATCTAGATTCTTTGCCAAGAACACGGACGGGCTGAAGGGCTCCTCAGTGGCGTCGTAGGCCCAGCGCCAAAGCGCCCCGAGTCAAGGTCAAGGTTTGATCCCCCTGGGAGTGGACTTGAGACACGCACGCATATGGACATGACGCCTCCAGCCTCACAGCGGTAAAAAGAGGCTGAGGGGGCGGGGTAGAAAGAATAAGAGGAAAAAGGTGGCGCAGAAAGGGTCCAAAGGGTCTATACTAATCTTATCTAAGCCACTCAACTTCGCAAGCCTCGCTCGCAGTCCACAACGAGGTCATAACATACTCATGTATATATGCCCTGGACAAGGCAGAAAAAGGAAAGGGGAGAAAATAACAACTGTTTATTTTTTAGCGTTTCAGGAAAGGAAAATCCAACGATGACAGTCCGTCGCATCCGGATCAGCATCTGCTGTCTCTCTTCGTCTCTTCTGCACTGCATTTAGCCTACATGCAACAAATGACAGGAGAATCAAACACCAAGGTCACCGTTGGACCACTAGGACTGTCGACAGCCCAAGTTGTTGCTATGTAATCACGGTGTAGGTGAGGGAAACGGCACGGGAGAAAAACGCTGAGCGGGATGTGTGGGAGGTTTCTAGCGATCCAGGCCCCGGCGAAAACAGCAAATCACTATATTAGAATTCATGGCTCCAATCAGCTCGGCATCAGCCCCTGAGACCCCTCCGGCCGGATGCCAAGGATATCCAACGTTGATTTGTTGTTGCTGAAGAGCCACTGGTCTAGTGTGCCTTAGGGTACATACTGGTTTGCTTGCTAATGAATACTCTCCTACAGCAAAAGTCCCTTTCGAAAAGAAGGATTATGAGGAGATGAGGATATTATGCCTGCATTGTTTGCTGCAGGATCCCGGAAAGCCCACGTGGACGCCAGAGCTTGGAGCTGAGTCACACGTCTTTCCAAGCAAGGCGAGACCACAACTATCAATTATTCCCGAGTTCGCCGACGGGCATTGTCTCACCTCCCCCTTGAGAACTGTACACCTGGATACAAAGTACACACACATACTTCTTCACGTTCAATAAAGAAACATATAAAGAGGAATGGAACGGTCAAGGCCCAACCAAGATATGGCATCATCTCAAGGCTTGGTCGAGGTCGACAGCATCGAGATCAAGGTGATCGTCGACAATGAGGTCGATCCCATCTCACCCAGCAATAACCCTGCCGTGCAGTACGCGGGCCTGATGCAAGGTCTACCACTGGACTCTCTACCAGCTGGCGACAGCAGAGGCGGTGCCAAGGGGGAGGTCAGGATGGGAAGTATCTGTTGCGGCGCCCACGGGCTCTCCCTCATGATCGTGCGCCCTAACTCTCTGTCTCTCTCCGCTTTTCTTCTTCTTCCTCTTCTTCATTCTTCGTCCTCCTCTGCCTGTTGTCCCCTTATTTCCACATCTGCTAAGCCACTGACGAACTGGGTAATCTGTAACATCCTCAGACAGCCAAAAGAGGAGACCAGAAACACACTCTCCTCTTCGACACGGGTCCAGAAGGGTCCACCTGGACCCGCAACGCGTCCCGCCTCCGCGTCGACCTCGCCGCCATCGAGCACATCCACCTCTCGCACTGGCACCGCGACCACTCGGGCGGCATGCTTGAGGCCATCAGGGCCATCAGCACAGCCAGTGACAAGAGTAACCTCCTCACTGTCAATGTGCACCCAGACAGGCCGGCGTACAGAGGCCTGCTGACGCCATCTGGCGCAGTGGTCAGCCTGGAAGCGGATCCAACCATCCAGGAGATAGAGAGCGCGGGGTTGGAAGGATCCGCTTCTGTCGTCATCAAGCAGAAAGCTTCGGCACACAGCTTGTTCGATGGATTTTTCTTGTCGTCGGGGGCCATCCCGCGACGTACTGCCTACGAGAAGGGCATTCGCGGTGGGCTGCGCTTCGTACCTTCGGCGGCGGCGTCGTCGTCGTCGTCGTCGTCGTCGGCATCACCATCCAGTGGTGGCGATGGCGCCTGGGAGCCAGACGAGGCGATCGCCGATGAGCGGCTTGTCATGTGTCGTCTCAAGGGGAAAGGCCTCGTCGTATTCACGGGTTGCAGTCACGCAGGTATCATCAACGTGTGCAGGCACGCCATCGAGCTAGACCGAGGAGATGAAGGAGGACGAGGAAGAAATCCCCTTCATGCAGTGGTGGGCGGGTTTCACCTGGCGGATAACCAGCCAGAGAAGCTGGCCTCATCACTGGAGGACCTGAAGGCTTTGGAGCCCAAGGTGTTAATGCCAGGGCACTGCACGGGCTGGAAATTCAAGTCTATGTGTGAGCAGGCGATGCCGGGTGTGATTGTGCCGTCGTTTTGTGGGACGACTTACACGCTGGAGTGATCTAGAAAGAGATGAAAAAAGGAAGAAAAAAGGAGCACTTGAAGAAGGCAGGGAAGATGGTACAACCTTCTGTCTGATTCAAGGCGGGAAACAAGCTACAGCATATATACAACCACATAATCATTGTCGTCGTCGTCATCGTCATCAACTATCGCAATCAGGCCACAGAAGTGAGACTGAACCCCTTCAAACTGCCTATCCAACCACTCCCAGCACCTCCGACCGTCTTCAGAGGTGCCTCAAACGCTATCTCGGCCCAGTGAAAATACTCCCCATTGATGCCCATCTCCGCCAGAAACTCGGCCTCGTCCACCAGCAGCACGCCCCCCTCGCTGACAGAAGCAAACGTCCTATTCCCACGCGCGATGATAGCCAGGTCGACAGTCTCGCCGAGCGGCACCGTCTCGTTGAGGCGGAAGTAGTTCCCACCTGCGAAGAAAGTGATGTTGGGGGTGAGCATGAGGGTCGAGTCGCCGCCTGTGAGGAGGGTTGCGTTTGTTGGCGTGGTGAGGTTGGTGACTGTCAGCCCGGCGAGGGTGAGGGTGTAATTGCGGCCTTTGGACGAGTGAGGCGTCACGATGGAGCAGGATGGGGTGAGCTCGAGCGCGTCTTCGCCTGTGGGAACGGCGCAGTCTGTCTCGACGCTGAAGCTGTTCGGAGAAATGTCCTTGAGGGTGCCGTTGCTCGACAAGGTGTAGTTGAAGATGACATCTGACACAGAGGGAATGGTTCGATCGAGGTTCTGTCCTGGGACGACAGCGTGCAGAGTCTCGAAGATAGCGTCAAAGTCGGCTGTCGACAAGTTTCCTCCCCACTGCTTGTCTGCCAGTGCAGGAACACCAGGCCTCCAGGCGTAATAGGCCTCGGAGTACACGGAGGCATTGGCACCATAGTCGTTCCAGAGGGGCACAATGGAGCCAAGCACGTAGGGGCTGGACTCGGGAGGGTTGTCCGTGGCATTGCTCTGGTCAAACACGTAGGGCCGCCAGTACGTGGCATTTGGTGGCGTGCCGTCAAACGTCTTGGTAAGGTTGATATGGTTCAGATAGCCTCCAGGAGGCGCCCACTTGTTGACGACATAGAAATCATCGTTGGAGTTGACAACTGAATAATTGTTCAGGATGTAGTCGTAGTAAGGATTGTCCTCAAAGTATTCCCAGTGCTGCACCGAGACGTTCTGATAGACGTTTTCGTACGTGCCGTTGTAGATGGGAGGGAATGTGCCCCAGATCCGAATCGCCTTGCCAACTGTGGTGCCAATATAACTCGCCATGGCGTTGACAAAGGTCACGTAATCCGTCGAGGGACCCGTGTACTCGTCTGCACCGATGGAGACGACCTTGGTATGGAACCAAGGGAGGAATTCACTCCAGATAGTCTCCATCGTGGGGATCGTCTCAGGATGGCTGATGTTCAGCAGGCTGAGGTCGGTTGAGTAGCCCAGCTCCGGCTTCCACTGCACAATCACCAGCGCGTGGCCTGGCGCCTCAATCTCCGGGATCACCGTCACTCCACGAGCAGCGCAGGACGACTGGATCTCATCAAAGTCCTCACGAGTGTACGACTCGTTCTTGTACTTGTTGAGACCAACCAGGGCCTCGGCGTCTGACCAGAGCCGAAAGCGCGCATACAGACTAAGGGAGCGCTCTTGCGAGTAGATATCGACATTATTGTACAGGTTGTCGCTAAGGTGCAGGTGGAAGGTGTTTTGCTTGAAGAAGGACATGTACGCGCACATTTCCTGCATGAACTCCTTGGGGTAAAAGTGCCGTCCTGCGTCGAGCATCATTCCTCGCGTGGCCCAGCCCGGCACGTCGTCTCCTGTGCCAGAAGGGACCGCGCCATCGTTCAGGGTAGCCTGCTGCAGCACGGTTCTCGTCCCCCACCACGCGCCAAGGGGGCTTGCTCCTGTGATGGTGATCTGGGTAGGGGTCACAGTGAGAGTATAGCCCTCTGACGACGGATCGCCTGATGCGTTGAGATACCTGCTGGAATCGCCAAGGGTCAAGAAGACACCCCCAGCAGCAGCGGTCCCATTGGTGACGGTGGCGCTGATGTTGAAGATGCTGCTCAGATCCTCGGCAAATGTGGTTGCGAATGCAAACAGCGTGGGCGGGATCAGAGTATCCATAGAGTCGTCCACAGCGGAGGCATATTGGGAATCAACCACGATGGTCTGGATGCTCGACAGAGCAAATGAACCGTTAGACACCTCGAAAGGCAGAGTTGGTATGCCGGCAAGGATGTCGGCGGCAACCAGAGCTGCAGGACAAGTAAGAATCGTCAGCTGTCATTTATCAAAGGCACAAATTAATCAGTTAATCAGTCACTTACAAGTTGCCGACAGCCCAAGAAGGGCCGTCTTGACGCCGAGGAGGAACTTCATCGTGTGTTCCGTCTTGTCTGACAACCACGACAATACCACCTGACCATGCGATACGAGATCGTCTGCAAGAAGAGCTGCTGCTGCTGCCATAGTATGCAGGAGGAGGAGGAGGAGGGGGTAGGGCTGCAATTTATCCGGACCGACGTCGACGTAGTAATTACATATTGACTTCCGAATGATACTCTGAACTTGATCGGCGTCACATTGCAGATTGAAGGCATCATGATCCCGGCCAAGAGACTCCGCACTGCGATGCAATCATACGGCCAAAGTAACGTTGCTGATAATCTTGGGGAAAACTCGCCGGTTCCCGCTACGGTCCACTGTCCAGATGTGGAGACAAGCAGACGACGGGTCCCCTGAATGTCCCAAAGTTTGTTTTTGTTGCCCGACAGTGTGGTACATGCAAATGGCACCGACAAGAAAACGACGAGACCACTCTTCCCTATCATGTTTTCACTCCTCCATCCACCTTTGAAATGGGTCGTGTCATCCAGGACGCCATTCTTATCATCAAGTCCCATGAGGGCGGATCCCCGTCGTTAACGAACCCGACTTACCGACCGGGCCAACATGCCGGATGAGGTTGCGGTGCCGTTGCGATCGCCATAGCCATGACCGCACTGGTGCGGGGGACTGCTGCTGTTGCTGTCTGTACAGCGATAATTGCAGTATTGTGTGTGAACCGACTTGCTATGTTACACACGTTTTCTTCCTTTCCTCTCTCTCTCTTTCTTTCTTTTTGAGCCAAAATGATGCAACGTTTCTGAAGGGGAATTTCCCTCGTCGCCTCAATGGCGCATCATGCCTCAACAGGCTCTGATTGTGGTGTGACCAGTAAAAAAAGAAAGGGAAAATTGATAAGAAAAGAAGAGGAAATGATCTAAAGGGGCAATGAAAGAAGAAGAAAAATAAAGGGAGAGCGAGGGAAAAGTCAGAATATCAGAGACAACATACCGTCGTTTGCCTTCCCACCCTCCGGGGTCCACACGTTCGCCGCCTGGACACATCGGACCTGACCGCGGATTTCTTTGATCAAAGAGGATGGTCCTCTAGAATAATGTTGTCACTGAGAGGATGGCAGGTGCTAATAAAGGCCAGAGCAGGATCTTGTCAGCCGTACTGCTGACGCCAAGGCTGATGCGTCTCAACAGCCTCAGATGGGAGGCCAAGAAGCCAGCGCGGTGCAGAATCAAGATGAGAGATTAGGAACTGGGATGAGGTTGTTACGAATGGTCAGCATCCATAAGGAGGTGCTAGTGAGGTTGTCTGCGCCTTACAGCTGATCATGCGTGTGCTGGCATGTACCAGTGAGCTGTCTTCGTACGCTGGCGGCTACAACAATCCTGCATGTCTCACCTTCTCAGTAGATTGCTGCCAGGCTGGATGATCTGCTTTCCTGCTTTGAACGGTTGTTCATATTGGCGAGCTAAACCACGATTACGAGTCCGAAGAGATACAACTCAATATGCCCAAGAGAATAAGAAGCTGCATTTTCAGGTTATGCATACCTTTCGCAAAACTTTGAAGAATGTAACTCGTCTAGCTGTTGAATGGTTAACCCCCCTGAATCAGCCATCGAATGACTCTGATCGAGGATATGGTACGGCTGGCAGCAAGCGGGCCGAGTTTCTATTAACGAAGGCCAATGTTTGAATTGTCGAGGTCTGTGCCAAGACATCTGTGTCTTTGGCATCGACGAGAAAAATACCTTTCAGCCATGGGGGACAGTGGATCAGGTGAACAGCACTATTTTCAAAAGGGGAGTAAGCAGCCGCTTTGTGTTAATATTATCTCCTGAGACCCTGAGCAGACTGAAACCGCTAACAGTAAAAGATGCATGAATGGGAGGACTCAGTGAGCAGATGACTATGCCACCAGCTCTTCAAACTCCGCCACAACGTTTCCCGTGAAAGGTGTATAAAATTTGTAAATTCGACGGGCGATGACAAAAGTAGAATCAAGAAGGTTTACACATACCTTGCCATTCTTGCAGATTAGAGCCTCCAAATGCTGGTATCGACAACAAGAATTAGGACAATTCTGAGCGCCAGTTAAGCTAACAAGATTCAAGTGGAAACCTAACGATGCCAAGTCGCCCTTCAGACTTATAAGCTTAGTGCTGGCCATCCTTCGCGTTTCGTTCTATTCGATGTCATACTAACCCCGGCATCGCGAGGCTCGTTGCAATACCTATTGATTGATGCCAAGCACTGAGTCAGATTATACCGCTTTCACTACTTAATTATTAGCTGACAGTTTATTTTGGATGAGTCCGTGTAACATGTCGATAAAGCTATCGGTTGTTTCGTTTTGGCACGTGCGTATAGGCCTGACGGCTTCAGCGTACGGCCATGGTCTACCAGTATTCCTATCTACCGTTGATTATGGTTCTTCTTGTTCACTGCCACTCATGGTCCAATACTCAGTTGGAGTCTCAGCTGATGTGAGTGTCGCGGGCCTGTCTCCTTTAGGGTCATATCTCGCATATTCTCTTCCTCACCTCGGACTGTCACGATGCGCAGTCCTGCCTTCAGAAGTTAGTGACCATGCTTGCATGGTGCTCAAGTCTCATCCGAAGGGTATATATACATCCTCAAATCGAAAAACAGACACACACACACTCTCTCATCCAGCATCATTCTCCTCATCATTCATAGCATCCAAAGACACACTTGTTTCCGGAAAACAATAGATTCAAATCAACAACATTATCTCGACCATATCAGTTCAGTCTTCAGCAATCGTTACTCAGTCATCAACATGCACTCCAGCTTCATCCTCAACGCTATGCTCGCCCTCGGCGCTGCTGTGGGAGTTTCCGCCTCGGCCATCACTCCTCGGGCCAACCGCAAGGCTAACGAGTTCTCCAGTGATAACTGGTAAGTTTTCCTCCATCAGAGTCAATCTACTGGTGTCTTGTTTTCTCGATTGCCTCCTATGACTTGAATACCAAACAAACCATTGCTAACTTGCTTTTTTTTTTCCCCGCACCAGTGCTCAAGGAACCGCCTCCTACGAGCACGAAAGCAACTACAACGTTGATGTCACGATGGATGATAGCAGCCACTCCGTCTACTTTGCCTCTGGCCCCTGGTTCTACTACAGCGAGAAGACTGGCGATGGCGCCTCGTGCGCGGGCGATCTGCTGGGGAACTGGGCCAACGACAATGACCACCCGTGCGTGAATTTGGATCAGCGGGATGGTGACAGCCGCCGCATCAAGTGCGTCAAGTGGAACAATGGCAATTAAACTGGAGTCTCTGGAGATTTCACTTTGTCGGACTTATAGGGGTAGCAAGTGCAGCAAGTCAATATTGAAGAGCGTAGAACGCCATCAATACTACATTCATTTATGCTTCATATTACGTTGTGATGAATATCCATCGGGTCTGCCTTATACTATCTCGTGTTTGTAGTGACTCAACTACTACCCTGCAATGATTTGTGGTCTTCTTAAAAACAAGATGCTACCATAAAGTCAGTTAGATGGCTGTATACGACCGGTTCCAGGATCTCTCCATGTCAGGGGTTTCCGTGCAGTCAATTAAAACGAGAAAAAATACATTTCTATTCTGCAATAAATCGGAGGATTTAGCCCAGAGTCGGGACGATTTAGGCAATGCATTGACTCCACCAATATGTCTAGGATCGGAATGTTCAAGTGAGAAGTCTGAGAAGGGTCTGCAGCTGGACACTTTGCATTGCCCGCCCTTTCTCGCTACGTGGGACAGGTCCAGGTGACGGGTTTGGTATACAGCGTCATGATACAAGATTTTCGACTTTACAATTCGCGATCTCTTAATGGTCAAGAGATTTAATGAAGGACTTGCCTATCAGTATTTGAAATGCATCAGCACGCTGGCTGGGACAGACTGACATTCTTGTCCCCCCCCCCCCTCTTTTCCTCTCCAAAAGTGAAACTAGTCTCCTTCAGTAGCCACAACCCAAGTTCTATAATAAAAAATGACATTCTGGCATCGATAATAAATACACACTGAGTCAGGGCGTTATGTCATTATCATAAAGTGAACTAGTCTGGGTATATTCTTTTCTCATCTCTCATGTATCCGATTTTGTACTCCTTGAACTCACACCCAAGCTGAACTCCGAAAACACCATGCTCCAATTCCAAATAGAAAACCATTATCCAAACGCAATGCTTGCTCTTGTAAAAGCCATCCAATGTCAACATGAGAGAGGGAAAAAGGCTGAACAAAATTAGCCGATGTCCTAGAGCTTCAGGCAGGAATACAACCTGTGCAAGAAAAGACACTTCGCAATCTGTACTGGAAGAAGATTCAAGATCAACGTCTGCCGTCGCCCGCCAAGAGACACCTTCACACCGCCCGTGATCTTGAGAGGTGGTTTCGCATCGCCTCCACGGAGAGTTGAAGGCCCATGATGGTGTGGACCGTTGCTCCGCCTGGACACCGAACCAGGGCATCTTCGACGAGCACTCTGTATCCGATGGACGCTGAAGAGTATACCATTCTCAACGTGTCGGCGACCTGCCTCTCCAGGACGTCCATGGCTTTGCTTCCACTGGGCTTGCCTTGACCTCTGAACCAGATCGCGGCAATGTCATCATCTTGGGGCAGTGCCGGCTCAAGAATGAACACCAAATGTGCCTTGGGCCGGTACTTCTCCGAGATGCGCCAATCAGCAATGCACGCGTAGTAAAGACTGAACGCGTGCTTGAGAAGCTTGTTGCCAGCGAACTATAACAAGAACACGTTAGCAATGATCGGCTAATGATGGGGGCGGGAAAATGTTTCGCTGACAACATACCTTGATCCCGGTGGCTTCATTCTTCTCATCGATATGAATCATTTCAATGAAGACAATATCGTCTTCATGGCTGGGACCCGGGACCTCAAGCTTCTGAGGCTGTCCTTGCTTCCCATACAGCGATCGCAAGGCTTGCGCCATGTCCTTATCCTCGTCTTTGTACTTGGACATGGAGCCCTGCAACCACTCGGCGACCCAGAGGGGAGAGCTCCGGCCTTGCTGGGATGGCGCGGATTTCCTCAGCAGCCAGCCATTGATATGGCCGATCTGGAACTCTCCCTGAGGCAGCGTGAGATATAGGTCTCCGCGGTAATTCAAGCGGCTCCCATATCCCAACGGGTCTTCCGAGACCGTAAGGCTCATCCTCAGAGGAGCGAGAGGACCATCGACCGGAAACGAGACGTCCCTGGACCGGCTCGTTTCGAACAGGCACCCAGAGTCGCTGGAAGCAGCTTCTGGGTGGAGCGACAGAGCTGGCGAGTGGCGGTCAGATGCCTCTGGGAAGTCGAGACATTCTGACTCCGGGGTGGGCATCATATCGGGCCCAGAGGTCTTTTGCCGCTTCTTGGGCGGCTCAGAGCCTTCTCGGCTTCGCTTGAGGGACATCTCGACAAGTATGTGAACAGAAAATGGTAATGCAGTGTATACACTACGCAAAAGACCGTGTGGAATCCAATTCCCAAGAGAATGTACGGATGACAGTCAAAGTGACAATCAGGTGTACGTAGAGTGGAGGGATAGGAGAATAAGCAATTCAGAGTATCCCTCAAGAAGCATTTGGGAACACTGCTGAGTCAAGTAGTAGTTCTTCATTGCAAGTTACTCATGATGTGTATCTAGAACACTTGATAAGCCAGCTCTAAGATGGGGTTATTGCAGTCCAAGCGATCCTAGGTTTAATCTAGGACATGACGGAATCATGCTGTAGGTAATAGTTTCCCTGTACACCAGTGTACTATTTCCTAGCTCTCTCGTTACTGGGCATATGGCGAAGAATTAGTAAGTAAAGGTGAGTCTGGGAGATCTGCTTTTTGAGACGGTCTTGTTCTTTTTCAGCTACTGTCTCTATCAAAAAGGCTATTGTACAATATGCAACAGCATTCAAACTGATGTATCTACAAAGGTACGGCATACAGTCTTGTCGTCGAAGTATTAATTATCGACGATTAAGAGATTGGCAGTTCACATAACTGAATCTCCATTCGCCTGTACCTAGTTTTTAAGGAGGACAGCTTTCCGTGCGCAACGAGCTGTGATGTAGGCATCATGTTTGCTACTTTATGATTAGGGTATTCGACTACTAATCTAGCACTGGTGATTTTTTTTAATCTTTACGCTCTATTCCTTGCTCAAGCACTCCAAGCTCCACCGTCATGATCATTCAGTGAAGTGAGGCTACTAGTGCAATGATCACGATAGTAGTAGTATGTGTTATATTTAAAGCAGGCTCTAAAAGTATGGCTAGGAATATTAGTTGTATGCTGGAGACCGAGCTTGGGCTCAGCCTCATCTCTACTAGCGGCTTGTATTGGTTGGTGTGCCAGGTCATCGCCCTAGTCTGGCCTCATGCACTTCCCTAGACGACTTAGTATCCCTAATCTTCCAGAGTTCACATCGACGCTTACGATGGTTAGAAAATGAGTCATTAAGCCTGAATAGCTACTGTAATGGCTGAAGAGCACTATCGAAAAGCCTCAGCATCTCACATAGTCTTCTGGTATAATCTCGGTACGACCTTTCCACGCCCCTTGTGAAAAAAATTCCATCCTACTTGCAGAGGGCGACCCTATTTACTCTTACGTCTCTCCAACAAAAACAACGGAATTCGAATGGGGTAGGTTACGCTTTGGAGGTTGGTAAATCTTGCAATCTCACTCTTCCTCCTCGCCATGGCCTTAACCGTAGATTTCTACGCAGAAGTCTTTGCAGTATCCGGCTTGAACCATGCCCTTGGTCCATACCAAGTCCCCTTCACGAAGCTGTTCCAGTACACGCTGGGGAAAAAGTCCTTCTTCAAGTGGTAGAAGACCCGTCGTGGCACATCCTGGCTGCCGATACCGGGCACCTTAGCGAATGTCTCGTCAGGCACACCTCCATACTTGAACTCGCAGAGCATCAGCTCGTTGTGGCCGGTCAGCAGGGGGCAGGAAGCGTAGCCGGTGTAGCCAGCGCTGAGCTCTTTGCCACGGATGGCGGCGAGCAGGTTATCTACGAGAACAGGAGCCTGAGAAGAGATGGCAGCGGCAGTCTTGGAGTTGGGGAGGGAAGAGGCGTCGCCTATCGAGAAGACGTTGGTGAACTTGTTATGCTGAGTGGTGGTTTTGTCCACATCCACCCAGCCGGCAGAGTCGGCTGCAATAATGACAAACAGTCAGCATTGGGCCTTTATTCCAAGAAAACAATTCGGCCTTTCAGATGCGAGGCTAGAAGTTCTTACCGAGAGGGGACTTGGCAACCCAGTTCCAGGGCTTCTGAGGAGGAACCACGTGCAAAAAACCAAACTCTTTCTGGACCTCCTTGCCGTTGTCTGCCAGATTCTTGAAAGTGGCAGTCTTGCTCTTCACATCGACACCGACCAAGTTGTGCTGGAACAGCCCCTCCACCTGGCGCTGCACACGCAGCTCTTCAAGTGCCTTGGAGTACTTTGGCACGGCGAACATGGCTGCATCATCGCGGTCAGTGTGCTTCCTTTTTCTCTCAATATTCCGAGAGACAGAAGGCCGGGGAGCATACCTGGAGCACCAGTAGCAAAGTACGGCAGGATCTCCTTCCTCACACCGTCCTTCTCCCACTGGGACAGGGCCATCCACATGATCTTCTGCGGGGCACCAGCACACTTGATAACGCCCGCTGGCTGCGTGAAGATAGCCGTCCCCTTCTTAAACCCTTGGATGTTTTTCCAGACCTGCTCAACCGTGTTGTTGGAATAGATGGAGCTCACATTGCTGCTCGAGTCCTGCAGGGCCTCAGGCAACCCCTTAACACCGCCAAAGTTGACCTCCAGACCGGGGGCCACCACCAGATACTCGTACGAAACCTCCACGCCGTCCGTTGTCTTGAGCTCGTTATTCTCGGGATCAAACTTGGAAACCTGCAGAGGATAATGCGTGACATTCTCAGGGATGATGCTGGACAGAGGACGGCTCATGTCACTCAGAGGCTTGAGGCCTGAGCCGACGAGGGTCCATCCAGGCTGGTAGTGGTGGTCCTTGGCCGGATCCAAGATGGCTATCTCGTCCTTTTGGAACTCCTTGGTCTTCAGCAGCTGCGCAGCAACTGTGACACCTGCCGTGCCTCCTCCAACAATGACCACGCGATGGTGAGGCTTTGGCGGTATCGCGTTGACGGTGGCGTATGATCTAAGGGAGGAAGTTGTTAGGGGCAATCTTGTCTGAAGAGCCCTTGCAGAGGCCCGGGAGGCCACTGCTCCAAATAAAGCTGCCATCGTGACGCCCAGATAAGGTAAGAGAGTAGGGAGATTGGTGTAAGGAGTGAATGTTATGAACGAGCCATTTTTTTTGGGGTGTAGAGGAGACTCAACATCAAAGATTTGTAAGGCCCAAAATATGGCTACAAACAGAGATCATCCGTTTGGTAAGCTACAACTGGCCTGGGGGTCGATGGCGTGATCAATTTGCGGTGGGTCCAGATGACTAAGAGAACCGTAGAAGGTCTACCAATGAAATCTCGGTAACCCTAACCCCGATCATGAACTGGTTTTGAGGAGTCGTTCCCTTCTTTCTTCATGCCAACACAGCAACGGACTCTAGATTCTAGGAGTTTAGTATAAAGACTTGAGGAACTTGGCTGAGAAGTATAGTCTTTTTCTTCATTTTTTCTCATTCGTACCACTGGACTGGCCACGTTTGTCACAAACAATTGCATATTCTCTCAGGGCTGTATGGTAGGACCGGGTGACATGTGAATTTGAGAAAAATATAAGTCTGCTCAAGAACAAGAATTTCTATAAGTCTAGGTCCAGGTTAGTGATCCTTCATTTCATTTGTCCATGTGTCTTTAGAATTTCCACTTTCTCATCAGCTCGGCTGCTTCTTTCGCAGTTGGACCTTGTACAGCTAAGCAGTAATCAACCTGATTTTGATGAGAGCATCCCAGTCCTGCTAGACGTGTCAAGAATGTAGTGTGAGCTCGCCTCAAACATACATGCAAATAATAATATGCTAAAACAAGAAATTACGAATTTGGGCAGGTTATAGTTGCACACTGCTAAGTTGACTTGTTTTAACTCATGTCTTTTTCCAATAGTCATACTCTTTCATCAATCCTTCAGCGCCATGTGGTGACCTCGATTGCTTATATGACTGCCTCGAAGATCTGCATCCCGCTCTCCGTCTCCCATTTGACGTCGACGCCCGGTGCCACATAGTAAATATAACCCTCCTTCAGCTCGAAATCGTCACCGTCTGCAGTCATCTTCCCTGTACCCTGCGTAACAATCACCACTCCAGGCCCATCCCCGGCCTTGATCTCGTCACTCTCGCCCGCCCGCAGTCCAGCCAAGAGCATATCGAACTCACTCATCGGCGGCTTATAGACAACCGTCTTGCCTGTCTTGCTCCTCTCGCTCTTCTGACTTGGCAGGATCACATCCTCTCTGCTGTGCGCCTTGAACGTCAACGTATCCGCAAACATATCGATGTTATTCCTGTCCGCCGCGGGACAGAAGCCCACGTTGAGCACGTTGTTTGACCGCGCCATGCATTCGACAATGTTGCCGGATAAGTACGCATGGATGCCGTCGGCAGGAATGTAGATGGCGTCCAGGGGCTCGAGTGTCATGAAGTTCATGCACGTTAGCGCAACGATGCTGCCTGCATCGCCGGGGCCGTACTGGCCCTGCAGCCGGGCCAGGAGGTCGGGGAAATACTCGGCGCCAACCTTCTGCAGGTTCTCGTGCGGGGTTGCGAGAAGGTCTTTCTCGATGGTTTTGACGGTGGCGTCGTCGGCCTTGAGGAGGTTTCTTGTCACCTCGCGCAAGGTGTCGTTTGTCCAGTACTCAGTGGGTGTGCTGGGGAGATAAGGCGTGAGCGCCGAGAGGGTGAAGATCGGTTGGACCTTGTCGAGAGGCTTGAAACCGGCAAACACCTCGAACTTGGAGAGAGCGACGGCGATCTCGGGCTTGTGGTTGGGGTCGGAGAACTGGTCTGGGTCTTTCTGGTGTAGCTTCGTTGCGAGGTCTTTGTTCGGGTGCAGTTGTAAGGGAAGCGCCTTTGCTATCGAAAGGATCTTTACGTGGTGACATGTTAGCATTATCCATTACAGACCATTAATTTGTAATTAGATGAACCGGATTTTTTTACCTTTGGAAGGAAAGGTAGCTGGGCATCGAAGTTGTCGACGACCTTCTTCCCGAGCAGCGTTTCTTGATTCTTCTTCAAGACATCCGCAAGGAGCTCTCCAGTTTCGAGTACTCTAGCCGGAAAATCAGGGTAATCGCCAAACCACATCTCAGAGTAGAAGGTATCATCTTCAATCTTGAAGTCTGTCCCTGGCGTCCTGGCACATAGTTGGGCAGCCAGAGATTGCTGGCCCTTCTTCCCCCATGGGTAATTATTGCATGTGCCACTAAGCTGGAACACGCGCTGTGGTGCCATTCTCGTGTGATGAGGGTAGTCAAACAGATGGGTCTCTAGAGAAAATAGACTGGTGTGGACGAGGTCGAGTGGTGAAAGAGCAAGAGGATGAAGGGTATGGATTGATTGAGTCAACCGAGTAATTCGCTTTCTATTAAGGTATGTACAACATTGAACACTCATATACCGCAGTTTTCTCGATTTGAGATCAGCGAACCTATGTCATAAGTGATTTCAGCAGCACTGATGCGCTGGATCAGAGTGTCGTCATAATAGACCAGCTCAAATGCATGACCTCATCCACGAATTAATAAGTCCTCGGGGCCAACCAAGCGGCTAATAGAGTGGGTCGCCGGACCCCCGAGTTCTCGAAGCACCGGCCCCGGAACAAACTCGGATCTGACCTACAACTCTTCCTAACCCGTTCCTCGAAGAACACTCAGTGAATCCAGCACTGTTGTTATGATATCGCAGTGCCGGAGTAGTTACAGTAGGTTACTCGGCCAGGTATGCGCCTAACGGAGTTACAGTACTGTTGTAGGTCTTGCGACAAGAACGGAGTGCGGTTTTGTCCCAAGGGTTGAGAGTCCCGACCATTACTCGGCTGCCGTGGCACGGTTCGGAGCTCGAAAACTCGACGAGCCAGACACGGCGACACAAATACAGACTCTCAAGGATCCCTCCGAAATAAAGGTTTATTAATGATCCATCTTTTGTTTGATGTCACTTGTCTGCCGCTCGATCCCAACCGTTGACCCGTCGCTTTGTCCACTCCTCGGTTCCTGTGGAGTTTATATGCTCGGTCGAAACCATGACGTGCGTCTCTTTGAGGATGTGAGTCTGGCTCTCTCCATCGCTGTCCCCGTCCTTCGAGATCCTTACTTTGTTGTTGGTTGGGTGGTTGCTGCTGCTGCCCGACACAAAGGTCTGCATCTTCATGCTGTCTGTGAGGTCATCTGCCACGTCCCTTTTGTCGCCCGCCCCCCATGTCTGCAAGTCCGTCTCGGGATTCGAGATCCCTTTGCTGGCGTCTCTGGTGCCTCCAAACATAGGCAGGCTAAGCAGGGGGCGGAGGGCGGGCAGAGAGCCGGCAACGATGCTGATTCCTTCTTCGACGACGGACCATAGCCCGATGGGGCCTGCGCTGTACATAAACTCAGCTTGGTTGTCGTACAAGGTCAAGTAACGAAGTCGGATGATGGTGGCACAACTCGCACTGGAGGAAGAAGAGTCAGTTGGTCAGTCGTCGACAGCAGGTAGAAGAGAAGACGAATGTTGTTGGGGTTGTTTTGCTTATTCTTGTTTTTGAAAAAAAAACAAAACAAAAGGGGGGGGGGGTGAGGAAGGACAAGTTAAAAAAGTTCATGAATGCAGTCACTCACAAGGCAGCCATTCCGAGGATGATAGCCACAGAGACCTTGAGGCGACGTTTCATCTGGATAGGCCAAATCAAGATGGCAGGCAGGATGGCCAAGGTCACATCCGTCAATATGGAGACGGCAGAGAAGAGGAAGCTAACGCTGCTGTTGAGCTTCGAATCACAGGTACCGTAGGTGGTCTCGCCCCAGAGAGTCGTAATCGGGTGGCAGATGTTGGAGATGCCTGCGAAGAAGATGATGGCCGCCATGAACTGCAGCGCAACGAGACCCCATAGAGTCCACGAGAATCGACGACGTCCATCGGCCACGCGTATCAGACAGACACAGATGCTGCTCTTGATCGGGACGGTACAGCCGGCGTAGAAGAATTCGGCGATGAAAAATACCTAGAGGCAGCATCGTCAACATCGTTGCTGCCTGATGAATGATTCTCGCCTGGTGGTGCGCACCTTTGTTCCCTGCATAATGTCTATCGCCGTAAGGTGTTCCGACAGCTGCCCTGCGCCGTGATAACAACATACGATAACCAAAGAGCATGTGACTGTGTAGAGGACCTGAAATTTCCGGCATTAGGGGTTAGAGCGCTGTCGTGTCTGTTTATTCCAAATTTCCTCGAAAACAGTGCATAGTTGAATGTAGACATTACGCCCTAGAGATCATCAGAAAGAGGACTTACGAGACCGATGCACATCATCAGATCATCCAACCCCTTGGCCTCGGGCCGAAGCCATCTTCTCACTGACACACGTACGATGACAGTTACCCATGTCAAGACGAGGAATAGGATCGTGACCCGGAGCAGAGGCACTCCCACACCGGCTGGCTCAACCATGGCGTATCGAAGAGCACCGAGCGGCACTGCTCATGACAGAGGAAGGAAGAAGAGGGAAGGGGAGGGTGGCTTCTGGACAGGAAGAATCATGAACCCCAAACAAGGACCAACAACATAACACTTTGATGTAGCGGACGGGATCCCCATATAAACAAGAAAAAGAGCTTTCCCTCAAATGTACGCTCTCAAGTACCGGCTCGAAGGCTAAGGGAAGAAACAAGCGCGACGGATCGGGCCCCTAGTCCCCAATATAAGAGGACCCTGGCATAACCTGAGGATCAACAGGGCGAGAAACTCAAAATACTGGAAATTTGATCCTGGGTGCCATCTCCATAATAACGGGTTCCAAACCAAGCAAAACGGGTCCAAGTCCTTGGACTGAGGTCTAAAGTAAACATATGATCTTACGATAGGTTCATACTAATGAACGGTGGTACTAGAAAACGCCCTCCAATGGAAAGAAAATTTCACCGACCCGATCTCGAAATCAAGAGATGCAAGTCGATTCCTGAAGGGAACATAAATAGGAGAAACCTCATGCGAGCTGCATACCATGCATATAGTAGTGTAGCCCTCGAGCCGAGGCTTGGTCACGTCCTTGTAACGTTGACGACATCCTCGGGGAACCAGGGCATCCAAGCAACTCGCCACACGAAGGTTGGCCAGTTGTGTTCTGTCTTTCGAGTGTGTTTCTCCACTACCATAGTACATACAGACACTGTACCCTGACACCTGAGTCGTCCAGCAAGGGTTGCACCGTTGAACGATCTGCGCACCCGTCTCAGTGGTGGATCTGTGTCCCAGTTATGGAGACAGAAGAAAGGAGGAAAAGGAAAGAAAAGAGAGAGAGAAAAAATTACAACATGGGCACATTGCCTGGATGGCCCAGGTTCGAGAGCCACGACCCACTTGGCGTCCATGCTACCGATGCTACTTTGGCAATGGTGAATATGTACTATGCTCTGAATCTGGCCTGTCGTGCCCCGTCCCATAGTACATAGCGCAAGTAGCCGGATTATCCGGTTTTGCCCTGCGCATCCACCCAGGCCACTCCGAGCCAACAAGAGAGGCCATCAAGTCGTCCTCTCATCGTCGGCTTTTACCGCAGCAGTGCTTTGGTTATGAATAGCCGCACATGCGAGGTAGGGTATTGGTTCATTGTTCTACTATAGTAGATTGAAATGAACGTAGGGCTGACATTTGGGTAGTATTTTAGGTTCACACATCATCAATCAGGTCCCGACTACCAAACCTATGGTACCATAGTACGATCCCAAACATACTTTGAGCATCCTAAGCACGTGCTAAGGTAAGGTCACAGTCGCCTGCAGAATGTTTATGAAGATGGTGGTAGCCCTACTGCGCAACCGATTCATGTGCATACATAACATGTGTATGAACATGGGTCGAAAGTAGTAACGGACAGGGGCTATCAGGTAAAATCTCCATGCTCCATGTCCAGCTCCAGGTGTCTGCTGCTGGACCGCCCCGTTCTGCCACACAAGCAACAGCGATATTAAGGGGTTACCTGCAGCGGACGTTCCATTGAAACTGTTCCTGTGGTTGCCCTTTATCCTTTTGTTGTTTTTCTTATTTACGTAGCAATTTTCGAAACCTATCCCAGCAAGTTAACCCCCAAAATGGCCGAACTCTATATCAACGATGGTGATCTGAGCGCCCTGAAGGGCAAGGTTGTCATTGTGACAGGTATGAATCGTTTTCCTGAATCAGTTCATTCTCTTTCCTTTTCCCCGTCTTTTGTTTCCTATTCCTGTTTGCCCCCTCTTCCATTCCTCCTCGTGTAACGAAAAGGGGAATATGAATCCTGACATGATATGACCTGTCACTCTCGTCTATTCAGGAGGCTCGTCCGGAATTGGTCTCGCGACCGTGCAACTGCTGCTGTCTCTAGGTGCATCTGTCGTCAATGGCGATGTGGCCCCACCGACTGAGTCGCCCTCTGGAAGCTTCACCTTCGTCCAAACCGATGTCGCCAACTGGGCCCAGCTTAATGCCCTGTTCAAGAAGACCAAGGAGACATATGGCAAGATCGACCACGTCTTTGCCAACGCCGGACTGGGTCCCCGGGCTGACTACCTGGCCACTGCGGTGGACGAGAATGGCGACCTCAAGGAGCCCTCGTACGACCTCTTGGACGTGAGCTTGAAGGGTGTCATTAACACCGGCACCCTGGCCATCTACTACTTGCGCCAGCAGCCCGAGGGTGGCAGCATTGTTGTCAATGCTTCCACCATGGGGATCCAGCGGTGCCGTGCCGTAGACTATGGTACGTTTGTTTTCTCTTACTATTATTCTTTCATATATTCATTTTATTTTTACAATAGCCTTCACCCAAACCCCTGCTTCCGCGAGGATTATATTCTCCTGTCGTAGTGTAACGGCCCGATCAATGCTTGTGCCTGCAACTAATACGCACGGTCTTCTTCCCCAGCAACGGCCAAGCATGCTGTGCTTGGGTTCGCCCGCGGCCTGCACCCGCTGCTGGGCGCGGCCAACCTGCCCATCCGCATCAACACCATCTGCCCGACATGGACCGAGAGCAGCGTCCTTCCGGGCCTGAAGGAGATCATGGCCAAGATCAACGTCGAGATCCAGCCTGCCTCTGCCGTCGGTCGTGCTGCGGCCCTGCTGATGGCCGATACCGCGCGCAATGGCCAGGCCATCCAGGTGCAGACGGGCAAGTACAAGGAGATTGACGAGAGCACCCTGCTGCCCGCCGCTGAGGCCATCAGGGGGCCCGACTACCCTGCCGAGGATGACGTCCTGCGGCGTGCCCTGGAAGTTCTGGCGGCTGGTGCACAGGCTTAAATCATAGTACTACCATGTTTCCGCAAAGGGAAATGGATTTGCTACTCATAGTAAGGAGGATGGAGTCACGTTTACTTTCTACATGGCGACCTGCAAAGGCAGACGAGGTAGAGATTTGCATCAAGTTACCCATTTCCCGTATGATCTGGTTTTACTATACATACCGAGCGTGTGCGCATGGTTAAGAGACTCCTCCCCCTGAGCTCGTAATGTGACGTGGAGAGGCTCTGTCAGGGCGCCTAATCATCCTGTCACCGCCTCATGCCTCTTGCAAAATGTCAGGTTCAGGTGGAAACCAACGCTCCACCGTCAACTGGATCAACATACGAAACGGCCCCCTTGGATTGTCCAGAGCCTGGTCTGCAGAGGGGGAGAGGGGCAAGGAGGTTCCCCATATGAAGTCATCTTTTCTCCTTATCAAGACTGAATGTCCTTTACAGCAGGTCGATGCGAATGCACGGCAACAACCTTAAACCGCCCTCGTCCCATCCCGGACGGCACATTTTGTGCCAATCTCAATTCCGTTAGTAGGACTCCAGTGGTTTTCCTCAAATTGGCTTCTCATAACTGCAACGGCTCCTACTTTGGTACTGTATTGTGCATAATTCTTTTGGTTGGCTCATTCCAACCGGTGTCCCACTCCTCTTGGTCCTACGTAGTACTATGTACTATGTATGTAGTATAGATGTGCAATGACCCCTACTCGTGGAGGTCTCAAATCAGGCTGACATACTCGCCAACTCCGTGGCAAAAGTTTTAGGGCAAGCGAGATTATCTTGCGCGTCCACCGTACCGAACTTCATGAGGGTCAATGATGAGATTTTTCGTCGCAGCAGCCGGTAAGCTCCGCCCGTTAAATGTAGGCGTAACCCTCATGACACCACCCACTTGACCACAAAAAAGCGGACTACAGGGACCAACAAATTGGGCCTTTCGTTTTGGGAATAGAGGCCTCTGCTGACCGCTGCGGGGTCTACAGGTCAGAAACAGCGGGTCCCATTGACCAAGGGGTTGGACTCGCTTGCCCTGGAAGTCCATATGCAGATGCTTATCACTTCGATTGCCGGATCGTGATAATAGCTCTTAGCAGCCAGTTGTCGTTGAACACTTGCGACAATGCATTGTTCTAACCATGTCTGACACGTGCTTGACATGTCCGAGACTACGGACATAAAAAACAGATTAGATATGAAATGGAACCGCTTGATCTGATAAGATGTTCAATGCTGTGACAGGAGAGCTACTTCAAAGCCCGGTACTTGACTGTCCACTGTGAGCAGATGCTAGAATGAATGACAAGATAAGATTATATCTAAAGTCCTGAGAAGCAAACTCAATAACATGCAAGACCTGTGCACGGTAGCATGTTAATGTTAAAAATCAGACAATGGTCCATCGATGTCTCTTGAACTCTTGGTGGTACAACAGTCAAGCCATGGTCTTGAACCATCAACGGGATTCCTTGCCACTGCAGCAGTCAGTTGCTCAGAGTTTGCAGTGACAACAGAGCTCACAAGACCAGCATTCTGTGCTATTATTTGGGAAGGGTTGTGCTACTGTAACGCAATTGCTGTCAAGACAAAAGTACTCTGGCAATTCTCTGCCATAAATCAAATGCACAAACATGACATGAGTTCTACATAGTATAGTGGTGAGCAGCAGGGCTAGTACTTGAGCTAGTAGTGCTGGACAACTTCCATTGCTCCGAGTCCAGGTTCGAGTCATGATCTGAGGCTGAAAGTCTGCATGACTTTAGTCCTCTATTTTCCTAATGAGGAGGCCCTTGTCCTGTTCAGAAATGCAATGCGAAGCACTGACTGACAATGAAGGGTACAAGGCTGCGAGAATTAGAGTGCCCAGACAGTGCACTGGATTATAGCAGTTCTCAGCCATGAATCAGAAATCACATACCAGCTCCCAGCCTTGTCAATGCGAACGATGTAGACACAGTTGAAGAATCAGACAGCTGGAATATGTCCAGAAACAGCCAATGGACGTTGAAGGTTACTTAGGTAATCTGATTCTTTGCTCATCACCACCTGCTGTATTCAGAATGCAGCAACGCGGGGTTGCTTCTCCAAACCTCAGAGGGGCCCTGCCACGCATGCTGTAGAACATCATGCCCCTCAATCAAGCTGTCCAACACCACCACCACCTCAATCTCTGGCCATCAACATCAATTGGTCTCCTGGCCTGCGACATCACCAACAACAGCCACAAGTCTTGGTGTCTTCATAAATATTGCTTTTGCTATGCACAAGGATTCTGTCCTTCTTTCTGTCATTACCATGGCCCGACTACCCAGCTTGCCCCTCCGCTCGCGTGGGCTGATACGCGTGCCCCCCCCCTCATCCCGCCAATTCCACACCACCCCGCCCTCCCGCAACATCCTCTTCAACCTGGGCGGCCTCGCCGGCTCCCGTGAGTCCCAGTACCTCTCTCGAGAGCGAGGCATCCCACGAACCGAGTACTCATCCCACATCCACCTCATCCGCTCCAGCGAGGTCAACCCTTTTGCCCCCGCCCCAGGCGCGTCCAGCGATGCAGCACGTGAGGCCCAGGAGGCTGAGCGCGAGGCCGCCGAGGCCGCCTCGGACTTCCAGGAGTCCTTGGACCACGCAGACCCTTACGGACAGGCGAAGAGGTTCAGGGCGATGGCTGCCAAGCTGGAGGCCGCGGAGGACGAGATCGCACTGCTGAAGCGGTCTATCAGAGATATGGAGGAGAGTTACGAGTCGATTCGCAACTCTGCTATGGTCTGGCCGGCCGTAATTGTGGCGGCACTTACAATGGCGTACATCTTTGGCGATGTGTGGCGGGATCGCTCGGGCAGAGGCGGAGAGATCGCCGTGGCTGAGCAGCCCGCTGTGCGGGTCGAAGACAAGGCACAGGATCAAGAGTCGATGATGGCAGCGGAGGATCTGAAGCGCTCTTCGGACCGAGTGGCTTCGCATAGTCAGGTCCACGAACGAGGACGGGGCAGCCTGCTTGGTTGGCTGATGTGGGCACCTGGTTCGGTCGCAAAGTGAGGTGGTGCGCAACATCCTCTTCGAGTTCTAACAATCATGCATGATGACAGAAACGACATGGTATGCATTGGATTCTAGAATAAGTGGTTATATAGAATCTAGTGTCAGACGTATTCTCACGAGGGTCGAGATTGCAATTTGAGCCTGACAGGCGTGTAGATGACCGGCTGATAGGCTGGCCGCTATGGTACACTCTGTACTTTCTGTCGAATGTTGGGCTGTGGCATTTCATACACTCCAGTGGACGGGAGCAGAGGCTGGCGTCCAGACTAGAAGGTTATAGTCCACACGAACTGCGAATGGAACAGGCGGTGAGGATACACCGTGCCAGGTGCAATCAAACTTGAGCTCAATCTTTCTTCTTCCACTAAAAAGAGACTATCACTCATGTTAGTCTGAAAGATCTATACTTGAGCATACAAGGAGCCCATGTTCTCTGTCTCAAATTATAGGGCAAAGCTGCCTCAAGTTGCGACTGGTTATGGCTCGGACACCTCACTTTGCACGAGTGGATTGGTGATGAGCAGAGCTTAGCTATCTTCATGTCTAACTTTCCGAGTACACAGGCGAGACGCCTCTACTTCTCCACCCCTTGCACAAAAATACATAAAGTAATGACCGTTCGTTGTCCCGCACAGGTTCCACTGGTAATTACCTACTTGTCTCCAGGCTGCGACGATTGCAGGCCGTGCGCATTGCCAAGTCTGCAAGACGCGCAGATGATGAGCTGAAATACTTGAGACTCATCCGTGGTTTGATCTTGGCTGCGCCCTTGTGAACTTGTGAAACTCGAGCAATAGCTCTGCTGTAGCCCTGAGCGGTGCTTGTCCTCTAGAGTAGTCTCTCACTTGTGCTGCTCTTTCTTTATCGCAGCACGCTCGTCCTCCCCATGAGTTCAAGGCAGTTTCTACAGACGTCAGGCAAGGTGGTGACCTCGAAATTACACTGTATCACAAAGAGGAGAAGCTTTTCGTCCTCAGAATTCAAGCTTAAGATCTCCGATTCCTGTGAGGCTGACCAGTGGGACACCTGCTCGAAAACGATAGACACTGCGGTGGCTTTCGAAGGTCCAATGGCAGATCTACATGCATCATGTCCAGATATCAAGAGATATGCATTATATGCTATATCTAGGAGAGATTCAATAGCTACTTACATAGTCTTTGCCGAGCTATGGATATCTATAACTTTGGAGAATAGGATCAAAGAAAGGCCTAAGAAATAAGCATTATAGTACATGAGAAGATGTGTAATTAATCAGATGAGAAGGCAGACAGAGGGTCCTACTTTCTTGCATATGAGAGTCTAAAGGGAGAAGAGCGAAACTGATGACAAGCAAGATATAGTGGCGGCTTTGCTAGAGAACAGCCAACTGAGCATATTTTACACTTCATATCATAAGCCTTGTCATATGCCCGGCATGGTCGTGGAGACAAGCTGGGGTGGTATGTTTTGTTGAACCATAGCAGAGAAAAGAAGATAAGGTAGGGCATACCGGGCTAAATGCATCCTTCATCCTCAGCCACATATGAGGCATCCATTATTATCTTGTAATATCTGTCTAAGTGTCTTGTCTGGGTACCGAGTGTGGTGTTATAACATGGATGGCGTTATCTCAAATGCATGGCTCTCCAAATTACTGTTTCAATCTCTCGAGACTGATCCAAACTGCCTTGGAATCAGGGCTCGAGTAATTGTCTGGCGTGTACTTCAGTTTACTTATCACAATCCAGTCAAGCTGTGAACTTGGTGAATATGCAGCAATCAACACTAGCACAAAACTAGGCAGTGAGTGTCCAGGATGCCTCAGTGATACAAGTATAATAAAATGCAGCTAAATATCATGACCACCCCCGTGAGTCTCCAAACAATCTCTTGCCCTGTCAGGCTAGAGCTGAGGCTCCAGCAGTGTGGCTTTGTCAAGTAGGCAGTGCCAGTGAAAACGGGAGCTAGCTGTTATTGCATGTCAGCCAGTTTCTATCTTGTTCACTCCTGAGCAATTTCTTACTCCCCTCCATGCTCCCTTCTCCTCATCAACCCTCTTTGCCCCGATGCATGATTGCTACGTCTCGCCTTTCCCTACATTACACAACATCGTCACTGGAATTTCTCCCTCAAATCAAAGATGGCAAGCAACCACACTGCTCCTGCAGATTTCTTCCCTTTTCAATACGAACCTCTGGTCGATCCGAAAAACTACATCCGGCTTCTCAAGGTCACCTGAAACTTAGCCCCAGAAGGTCAGACACCATTTCTCGAGTGCCAGATGAAGTCTGTCGCACGCAAGGACACCGAACAAAGTGGATACAACGCCATTTCCTATACCTGGGGGGACCTGAACCAAACAACCCAAATTACAGTCAACGGATACCTGCTGAAGGTCACTCAGAACTGCAATACCGCGTTGAGGCAGGCATGGGGCTACGACCAAGAGGCCTGGTACTGGATTGACTCCGTGTGCATAGATCAACTTCACCCAGGGGAGAAGGGACATCAAGTCTCACTCATGGGCCAGACCTATTCCGAAGCCAAGATTGTTCTTGCGTGTGTCGGGGATCAGGCTGATGGGAGCGACATCATCTTTCGGTTCGCAAACGACAATAGAATTGCCCTGTCTCAGTTTTCCGAGCATCAGAACGATATCTCATATCGCTTTTCTGACGATATTGAAGCTGCCCTATCCGAACTCGATTACGAAGACGTCACTAGAACACGACGACTGCTGTCATTCACGGAAGAGTGCTATCCAGGACCCGAGACTTCGATGTTCAAGGAGCATCTCCAAGACTCAATCGCCTGTTGTACTTTTCGCTCACAGTTTCTGGACCAGGAGTGGGAAGAGAGATATCGATCCCTCTGTATCCGCTCGGAAACAAGCTCTAAAAAGCTATGGAGTTTTTGGCGGCAATTTAGGGCATTCATGCGCCGGCCTTATTTCCGACGACTATGGGTATACCAAGAGCAACATCTCGGCAGGCACGTCACCTTTTCCTGCGGGAATGACACTGTTCCTGCCTCCACGTTGGAAAGAATGGCCGAGGTGCAACGTGAATTTCTCCGCAACGGCTGGTTGACATACACCGTGTGCAAAAATGTGTTCCGGAATAGCAGCGATTACAATGGAGACTATGACCGCTTGCGTTCTACCGCTGAGGAAGAGGTGCACGACGAACGTGACCTGTTCACAAGAACTGAATTCCTTCTCGTGGCCAGCGCATCCGACGGAAACGCTAGGAAGAGCCTAATCGAGTTGTTAAGGGAAGTTCGATCGTCCGACTTACAATGTCAGTACACGAGAGACAAGTGCTTCGGGGTTTTGGCCATGGTCGACTGGGAGGGAGAAGCACCTCTCATGCCGGATTATGAAAATGACGATTTCGAGGTCGTTGTGGAGGTGTTGGAGGTGATGCAGAGAAGGAAAACTTGCGCCTTGACCATCCCAACCTTAATTGGTACGAGAAGGTGGAAGAAGTCGGCGAGATACTCGAAGTGTTCGACACTAAGATTTCCTCCTCAAAAAGGTCGTTCAGCTTGGGATTCATCAGGGCGTTAGAACAACGCAGAGAAACACCGCCGATTTCTCTACCCCCAAAGGTCGGCCCCAACACAGAACACCTGGAGCATCAGGTTTTCGGGATATCTCGCTCAAAAGATTAATGCATGCTGGTCTCTATGCGGAAGCTGGGAGCCATTGTTGAAGATTTACCAATATCCGGACTATCACGCGATCATTGATCAAGATGCGAGCTCGAACTTGCTCTTGCCTCGAGCGGCGCAGGATGGAGACTGGTGTCTTTTCAAGACCAGAGCTTATGTCGAGTCGCCTTTCGATTACGGACTCATGCTTGTTGTTCGAGAGCTGCCTGGCACCGACACGTTAAAGATTGTGGGCCATGGATTATGGACCGGTGGACAACCTGAAACGGCGAAGAAGTATCCATTTCGAGCCTACCTTGGTGTTCAAGATACCCTTGCTATGATGGGCTTCAACAAGTTTCTTAGAAGGAAGAAGTATCTGATATCGGAAAACAGTGAAGTCTTGACTGAAGAATTGGCTGTTTTTATGGAGGCGGTCGTTTTTAAACGTCACGGCTCTACATTGGTCAAGAGAGACGAAGAGACTGAAGAGAGCAACGATGATTGGGAACTTTTCTTCTAGCTGGTGAATCGAGTGTGCTTCTGCTTGGCATACACGGCATCTCATGCTATCAATTATAATGGTGAGCACATGCATAAACCCCCCCCCCCCCCTCTCCCCCCGTCTTGCCACCCCACCTTCTTGTCCAAGCCCAGTCTCTTTCCTTTATTCAGCCTACAGCAGGCTCTCACCCAGTGCACACCTGACCAGGCTGCAGCCGGCCCGGACGGTCTCGTTGGCGCCGACATCGTTCTCGCCAGCGACCAGCTTGGGGTTGACCTCGACCAGATCCATGGCGACCAGGTTGCCGGTCTCGTGGACGCACTCGGCGATGTAATCGCCCTCGCGAAGGGTGAGGCCGCCGCGGACGGGGGTGCCTGTAGAGGGGGCCCACATGGGGTCGAGAGCATCGACGTCAAAGGAGAGGTGGATAGGTGTGTCGTTCCCGATGTGTGCGAGGGCCATCTCCATGACGCGGCCAATTCCGTGCCTTTTTTTTCCCCTGTTAGCATCTCCATGGTCTCTCTTCCTCTCTCCAGAGAGGGACCAACGTACCGGTCGATATCAAACATGCTGAAAGCACGGATACCGTTCTCCCTCAGGATCCTCTTCTCGCCTGCATCGACGTCCCGCAGGCCAATGTACACCAGCTTCCGCAGCGACAACCTGTTCTCCTCCTGCAGCCAGCCAAAGTACTCCTCCTTATCCTCACGCGCCAGGCCCGTGAGGAAAGCGACAGGCATGCCGTGAACGTTGCCGGACCCGCTCGTCTCGGGTGTGTTGATGTCGGCGTGCGCGTCGACCCAGATGACGGCGACCTCGCGACCCAGCCTCTCGCGTATGGCGCGCGCCGTGCCGCCGACGGTGCCAATGGCGATGGAGTGGTCACCACCTAGGGTGAGGACGAGGCGGCCTTGGCTAGCGTGGCTATAGACCTGGTCGGCAATGCGGCGGGTCACGGCAGAGACGGCACGAGGGTTCTTCATGCCGCGGTAGGGAGGATCTTCGCCGGCGGCGGGGACGAGGTCGGTGTAGAGGTGTACGGTGTCGTCGCCATGGAGGCGGTAGCCCAGTTCATCGCGGAGCTGGGTGAGGAGGCCGGACTCGATCAGGGCGGAGGGGGCAGCATCGACACCGGGTTTGCACTTTAGTTGGAAGAAGAGAAGAATAATGTTAGATCTCTCGGGGTTCAAGAAAAGTGGCAGGAGTGACGAGAAGGCAGGGCAAGTAGGCAGGGAAGAAAGAAAGAGAACACAAAACATACCTGACCACCCGAGAAGCCCACAGCGACGATGCCCAAGTCCTCCGGGTTGGAGAGGAACTTGGACTGGATCATGCTCGTGTTCATGCCCTTGTTGTAGTGACCATAGGTCTGCTGCGACATGCTTGCCTTGCGCTTCTTGCTACCGTTGGTGTCGTTGACATCGCCGGCGGGGACGGAAGCGGAGACGCTCCTGTTCTCAAGGGTAGACGGCGCCATTGTGGTGGTCGTTAAAGTGGTTTCGATACTGGCTAGACTTGTCTTCGTTTTTCTTGTCTTTGTTCTCCCTTGGGCGGATGATAGTTGACCGACTCGGGATTGTTCCCCTTGCTTTCTCTTCCGTTTTAGGAAAGAAGTGAAATAAACAAAAGAGAGAGAAAGAAGAAGATTCTTCAAGGTGGAAAGTAAGAGAAGAAATGCCCTGTTCCGAGACCAATTCCCCCCACGAAGACCCTTAACAAGCGGTGACGGTGAAAGAAGAAAAGGATTCCTTCTCTCTCGGCTGGTCCGTTCGTTCCCTTTTTTCGAAACCCGTTAAGTATGACGACGTTAGTTCAAGCGGCGGCAGGCAAGGTTGCAGGCAATTCTCTTTGGCTTGTGAAAGTGTTTCTCCGTTGTGACAGTCTATAACCTTTTTCTTTTTTTGGTTCGAGTTAGAAACACTTCAGGGTTAAAAAGGGTAGAGACGGTAAAAAGAAACTCACGAGGTAAAAAAAAAAAAAAAAAAAAGATATTATCAAACCCAAAAATCTAAAACCATTTCACCCGCCAAAACCATCACAACCAAGCCATCCACTGCCCTTTAAATAGTCCGCCCTTCCTTTCGGCCTCGGAGCTACGTATCAGGAGGACACCGCCTCCCTCAGCGCTATGCCGTAAGAATAACACATAATTACACCAACAAAACGAACCCTCGGAGACAAGAGACGGGAGGGAAGAGTGAGAAGGGGAGGGGGGTGGCTTCGCTTTTACCTTTGGGGGGCCCCATGTGGGCTTGGGGCTGGAGACGGTCAAACAGTCTGAGAAGATTTCTTGATCATGGTGTTTTTCTTGTTCCCCTAAAAGCAGGAATAGGCATCACCTGCGCTTAGGGGTCGAAAGAGGGTCCTGGCGACGGCGCCAACATGGGCGTCTAGGTCATGAGGGACCCACACGGATCGCTTTTGGTTTCTCCATCAGCCCAAGGAGCCAAAGGCCAAGCAAGCCAGCACATACTATACGACAAGGGGGACAGGGCCAGGGTTGCAGTGCGTGCGGTATTTCAAGCAGACCCGACCATCGCTTGCCGAGCCCAGGTTTGGGGAGGTCACACGGCAGTTGCATGCATTGTATTACAGGAGACAAAAAGAAAGAAGAAGAAAGAGAACAAGAAGAACCTGTGTGAGGAGCTGTGGGCAAGGACGAGGAACATTCATCACCTTTTGTTGGCCGTCACTTCCTTCTCTCTGGCCTTCTGCCTCCCTCTCCTTCCCCCCTTTGTCCATCATCACCCTGGTCCTAACACTTTTCCACCGTCATTCGCAGCTCTCGTGATAAGATAGGTAGATACCACTCCCTGGGTGGGATCCCACCAATGCCAGAGGCAGGACCACCCACACTACTGTCTTCCCCCCAAGAGCCGCGGCCAGCCGCCAGCCGGTGTCGGCTCCTCAAAGAGGTCGGCTCCGCCAAAAGCAGTAATATAGTACATGGTACAGCTCACGTACGTAGCATTGAGACGAGATGCACGTGGGGTATTGACGTGGTGGGCGGATGAATGGATGCATGGATCTTCTGAATTTCTCATCTCATCTCAGAGAAGAGAGTGTAAGCAATGGAAAGGCCAACAAACCACTGACAAGACAACGACAAAAACCGATCAAATAGGAGGATGTATATAATGTGAATAATGCATTATTTCCATTTAATAATATCACGTCGATCCAAAAGATATACCATACAGGAATACCTATGCACGTATGCTACTGTCATGCGCGTGTGCATAAGTTGTTGTGTGTGGCTTTCGACCTGTGCGAGAGTAAGAGAGACAGACCATGGCTAATTCGACTGACCCCCTCCGTCCTCAAACTCCCCCAAGCCTCATACCGCTTTTGCTCATCCAGTCATTCCGAAAAGAAGATGGAAACACATCCTCTCAAAAGACAACAGGAATTAAAAAGAGAAGAAGAAAGAAGAAAAGACGCCTTCTTCCTTTGCCTAGGGAGATCTTGCCCACCCCCCAAAGAAAAACCTGTGCCCAGCGCCCTGAACACCGTAGAACCCTCTTTCGATAATCCCAGCTCAACTTAAACTGTTGTAAGCGATTCGTACAATTATATAAATGACTGTGACTGCCTCTCTTATTGCGGGCAAAGACTGGACGGAGGGTGTTGCCCGAGGAGGTCCTGAACGGGGATAGCAATCATGTCTCGCAAGGGTCCAGATCATTCTTCATCCCTTCATTCCGGATGCGGACGCGTGTGTGTGCGTATGTGGTTTTCGTACCGTAGCCAGAACCATTTATGCAGTCAGGTCGCCCACCCATCCCATCTTCTCCCTCCTCTCGTCGCTCACTCGTGCGTACTCGAGCAGCAGCCGCAGGACATAGATCTGCATGTCCTCGCGTCGTAAGACTTTCTCAGCCCACGCCTTCCCGTCGCTCGCAATCTTCTCGGCTGCCGCGTCGTGCGCGGGCCTCTCGGCGCCGTAGCCTAGAAAGTACTCCATGATGCCGAACCAGTCGCTGTACCGGTTGTCCATGGGCACAAAGTGCTTCCACGCCACCAGCCGCGAGTCGTGCCACTCGCGGTATACCGTCGCCTTGATCGGCAGGCTCGTCGACCGCAGGAACCCAAGGTACCGGCCAGAGAACGAGTTGCCGTCGATGTCGGGGAGGTACTTCCAGTCGAACTGCTCCGCCAGCCGGATGCCCTCCTGCACGTTGAAGTGCGGCGATGTGTAGTGGCACTGCCCGCCCGCCTCCTCCTGCTCGCACATGAGGTCCACAAACGCCACGTCCGACCAGTTGCCCACCCACTCGCCCAGCTTCGTCTTGGGGCTGTCCGCCGATACGGGCCGCTGCGCCGCCAGCCCGTATGTCGGTGAGGGAAGCTCGAAGTTGACGGGCTTCTCTGTCCAGTCCTCGGCGCGCTCGATCTTGGTCGCATTGTTCATGGCTACGAACCGGTGCCGCTGGAACGCCTTCCAGTTGTTGGGCCGGTTCTTGCCTCCCGTCGCGACTCCGCGCCAGACCACCCCGTCCTTTTTAAGCGGCCAGTCCACGCCCGTATCGCCGCCCGCCGTGAACCTCTCCTCCTCGTTCCAGTACATGGGCGCCGGCAGGAGGATCTCGTTGTTGACAGACAGCTTCGACCCGCCGAACATGGGGAAGAGCGTCCTGGTGGCCGACACCGTGAGCGGCTCGATGAACATGCCGTTCAGGCCCTGCAGGTCGGGTTGGTGGCAGATGCTGGTCGACATGGTGTAGTTGGAAACGAAGCCCTTGTACATGTGAGGCTCGGCGAATGAGTGCGTAAAGGTCGGTGGGTGGTCAAAATCGGTCATGTTCTCTGCGTTCCGCGTAGGGCTTTCAGGGGCGCATCCTCGCTGCGCTACCCCCCAGTATGGTTCTGGCAGGAGACATACCATATCAGTATCTCAAAAGGCCCTAGACCAAAAGAAAGTCGAGGGAAGAAACAAAATCAAAGGAGATCCCTCTTCGTCGGTAGGTCTATGCACTTACTTGTTCCCTCCCAGTTCTTTTCCGGCAGCTCCACGTCACGCTCACGGCCCTGGCCCGGCGGAGCCAACACTTCGAAGTTGTTGATGGCGTCCTTGGCCGGGACCATACCCCTTGCGGCGGCCGCCTTGTTCATGTACTCGTTCATCTTCTCCCAGGGCACCACCAGCCTCGGCTCGTCCATGGCATTGAGCGCAATGTCCATGTCGGGCAGCAGGTGCTGGATCGTCTGGACCAGGCTCAGCCAGATCTGCGTCCAAAACCAGTCGCTCCCCGCGCTGGCCACGCCCGACCGCACATTGATGGTCATCTCGTAGTCCCAAGCGCCCTTGCGGATCTCGCCGGCCGGGAGCGCCCAGAAGGGCTCCAGGTCGTGGTAAATTTGGTCCCAGAAGGACTCGACCATGACGGCATTGCGCTCCTGTGCATATTTGTACCACTGGTCGAAACCTGGCGGGGGGTGGCGGCCCCTCTTCTTGCGGTAGGCGGCGGCGGCCTCGGCGAGCGAGTGGGACTCCCCGGCGAGGGTGTCTTGGAATTCCTTCTGCGCGTTCTCGATGAGGCGGTCGATGGGGTGGTTGTTTTTGCCTGTGGCTTGCTTGGGCGTCTCGCTGTCGGCGCCGCCCGGCCTCGTTCCTGAGAGGTCGATTATGGGTTCCTGCTGGGGCAGTGTGGGCTGGTTGACTTCGTGCTGCTGCTTGGCAGTGTATTCAGACGGGGTCTCGCCCGTCTTGCCGGCGGGACTCTGCTGCTTAAGTTGGCCATTCTCGTCGTGCTCGGGCCTGCTGGCCTGTGGGGCAGGGCGGGCGAGGTCGACACCTGGTGCTGGAGTCGGGGGTTCGCGGGCAGGTTTGAGGTAGTAGAAGAGGGTGATGATCAAGAAGGCAGGTATTAGATAGCGCAGGATGGCTGAGGGTCGCCGTGGAGGGAACGCTGGCGAGCGCATCTTGTGCGGAATCACGCTTCCCCAGCGCATGGGAACATGCTCAGTGCTTAGCGGACGGGGAAGAGGTGCTTGGTCGGTAGGTCGAGAGAGACAGACAGATGCAAAGAGAGAGAAATGGAGGACCCAAGATCGTAAGATTGGCCTATAGGTAAAGGAGAATCTCTGTGCCTATTGTAATTGGTGGTCTGGCCGTGGTGGGAAGGTTTGGTGCCGTCGCAGTCGCAGTCAGCGTCAGCGTCAGCGTCAGCATCAGCATCTAGCACAGCAGGAATCCGAGGAAGTGGTGAAAGTTCTGCAATGGCAGGGGCAGCGGGTAGGAGACGTAGAAAGAATGAGGACAAGAAGCACTCTCGTCGGCAGGAGGTTGAGCGTTGCGACAGGTCAAGTTTGTGGTAGATTCGCCGACATACGCAATAATGACCGAACAGGAAAGAAAGGAACCGTCTATGGAGAGCAAAGAGGAAAATGAATGATCAGATTGCTCAGTGACCTGTGCCCTCGACACCAGCGATTGGGAGAGAGGGACTCATGCGTGCGTGCGTGCGTGCAAGTGCGGGTGTGGATATGTGTTCGTTTTGTAGGAGGCCTTGTTTTTGGTGATCAGTGGGCACCGGGGAGCAAAAAAGAAGTGAGTTCACGCACACACACACACACCAGGAAGCTGTAGCATAGTAGCATGGTCTTAGGCAAGGCCCACAGTGGTTCGCCAACAGTGGAACTCCACTGGCGATCGACCCTGCCAACCTGCTCAACCAAGCCATTCTAGAACCTCCGCTGGGGGCATCCACACCCCCGTAGGACTTGGTCTATTCTGGGTTGGGAGGGGCCTAGGTGGTCCTTGTCTTGCTTGCCTGGAGGGCCGGCTGTGTGTTACTGCTGACATCTGCAGGCAGGCAGCCGTTGGTTGATTGATTGCTTGCTTGATTGATCGCCAACCATCTTCGATACGGTGGACAGGGTTAAGCCCACCTGAGGTTGTACTGTAACCCCTCTGTCGCTTAGGCTTTAGCCGTCATTGAACCCGGAACCACCCTCAAGGCTAGGCTTGTTGCCCCTGAACTATCCCCTTAACCTTTTAGTCTCTCCTCTTCTACCCGCTGACATTTACCCTCTACCCTCTAGAGGCTTTATAGCAGCACGTGTAAACTTATCTGTGGGCGCCAGGCTACCCGCTAAACATTAGCGCCCGTCTTCTGAGACTGAACTGTCTCAACCGTCATTAAAGAACAGCTCGAGAATTGAAAACCTCGAATCGCGTGGCTGTGAAACCTCCAGAAACAAGATTGACGAGAAGAGTCGTAAAATGCTGATCTGATTCAAGCCACTCCCGCTTCCCAGGTTCTGTGACCTGGGGAAATGGCTTTGACACAGAGTTATGACTGGCCGGACCATTAGTCATCGTCACGAGCTCAATTTGCTAACCATCCGCACTGATGATATAAATCACATTGTGGTACAACAAGCTCTTGCGAAATGATTTCTTGCCTTCGCTATAGAGGCGGAGATATATCCAGGAATGCCCAACATACGAATTACGAAATGACTCGGAAACACAGGGAGCTGCCGAGAAGCTCGTCAGCCCTGGAGAGACTGCAAATCCTCCTCATGCGGTCAGCATCGTATTCATCCTCATAACTCCGAGGCGAGGTCAGGGGTTTCACCTGTTAATGTCTTTATTTCTCCTTTTTTCTTCTTATTTTTCTTTTTTCCCTTACTTTTTTCAACCCTTTTTTTTCTTTCTTTTCCCTCTCTTTCTTTTCCGAGCTCCCCAGGCTCCCTGAGCACACGCTGCGGGACGAGAGGGAACTCATTCTTCTTCCTATTTGTAAGTTGGGAGGAGCGGATCGCAGGGCCTGTAAGGCGGGGCAGAGTTTGGGAATGGCTTCCTCGGTCCACGCTGAGGCACGATATTAAGGAGACTTCTACAGCCATGTCAATTACTATTGGATGCTAAGTAGTATGCAGTCATCTAGCCTAGGTTTCACGGCACGCTGAATACTTCTACTCGTGCCAACTTTGGGTCAGGGCAGGTATTGTAAACAAGAGGCACATGCATCAGAGCCAAAATATGATGACTGCACGTTGGCATGAGTAGCATTGTTGGCTGTCTGTAATTTCTACATACAGATGTCATCTCTCCTAGAAGTTATCGGCACTTGCCAGGCCCATCAAGTCAACAGTCTCATCCTCAGCAATCGACAATGCCTCCTCGCCTGCCGCCCGCTCATCCGCCAGGCGGCCCACCAAGTCAGCGTACGACGGCCTAAACGGCCACTTCATAAACGCCTCCAGAATTTCTACCATCTGGAGCTGGTTCAGCACGCGCACGGTGATCGCCATCGAGCCTTTCAGAGGGATCCCCCCCTTGGCCGGGTCCGCCACCGACGGTACGTTGTCTATAATCCCATCATACGTGCCGGGCCACACCTGGTCGAGTTGCTTGCGCAGTGTCGCGCTGCGTGTCCACAGGAGGGTGCTTAGCAACAGGTCAAAAATATCGCCCGAGTTGCTGCTGCCCGGCCCTGCAGCGCGAAGGAGCGGGCTGGGCGCCTTGGGTTGGATATCGAGCAGCGCACAGGGTACGTTCGGGAAGAAGTCGGTTGCGTCAACAGTGAGGGGCTCCCAGGGACGGCGGTCCCAGCTGAGGATACTGCCCAACTCTGCGGGCTGCCGTATGAGGTGCAGTTGGTCGCGGGTGTGGCAGACTTGGCCGTGCATCTGGCTGGACAGCTTCTGGAGACGTTCGTCAAAGTCTGCCTCCTTCTCCTTCGCTCTTGCGAGCTTTTTCTCACGCGCCTTCGGCGTGGTCGCCCGCGCCGCCTCGCCATACGCATCCATGATTTCGTCGAACTGACGAACCCAGTCAAAGATTCTGACCTCCTCCCGGTCTTGCCTAGAGTGATAGTGCTTCAGCCGCTGCAACCTCGTCGACTGTGCGCTATCCTCCTCCAGTCTGCCCTTCTCTTGTAAATCCAGCAGCTTCCGATGTTCCACCGAGGTGGTCTTGTCGCGTATATTCTTGATCTCCATCAGGGAGATGGGCTCGTTCAGAGGGAGCTGAAGCTCCTCGAGCATCTTTACGATTTGCGTCTTCCGTCCCGGTGGTGTCTCGAAACCGCCCTCGCGCATCCTGAGCAGGGTCTGTCTCGCACTCTCAAGGTCTATCTGGTCATTCCTGATCCTGTCGGTTTTCTTGACTGACACACCTGCCTCCACGACGTGATCGGTGCAGCAAACCTCGGCAATATACTCGGTCGTTAGCTCACCCTGGATGGCTAATTTGTTCCTATTAGTTGTGGTCCGGGGCACTAATTGTGCTTTTTCATCGTCGGGTATCCAGATCAGCACGCGCACCTGACCGTACTTCTGGAAGAGGGTCGACGTGCGCATGCTCTGAATCAACTGATATACGACCAGACGAGAGACGGAGTCGAACACGGTGAACCTCCTCTTAGGGTACATGGAGAGATTCATCGTGACAAGAAGGGTGTCGTTGCGCGGGGGAGGTACTTTGGGGTCCTTGCTCGTCTCGACCTGATTCGGGAAGTTCTCAGGCGTCAGGATCTTGTTGAGCTCGTCCCACACGATGCCAGATTTGGGCAGGATACGGACGCCGTCTCTGTCAAGGAGTGGCTTGAGGAAGGGTTGGTAGAAGTCTGCATCGGGCTCTAACAGCAGGTGGGATCGCGGCTGGACGGCGTCGTGGAGGGCTCGGTCCCAGAGTCCAGAGCCTGGATAGACGGATATCAAATCGCATCCCTTGTGACGGCGGAAAGTAGGTTCGAGGTAGGTTGTGATGTCCTTGACAAGTCTTTCACTGACGACGTTGATCCTCGCCCTGTCAGCCTTTGGCTTTGCCGCCTCTCGCAATTCGGATTGTAGCTCAGCCTCCTTGGGTTTGTTCTCGCGCGCTTGAACGTCTGCCTTCCGTGATCTCCCTCTCTTCTTTGGTGCCTCTTTTGTGACGTCTGCAGGCGTTTTTTTTGGCGGCCGTCCCAGGCGCCGGGGCTCCTTCTTCGGCTTAGGAGAAGAGATTGTCCACACCTGAGACTCGAGGAGCTTCTGGGCCAATGAATGATCGGCGACATGGAACACATCTGGGCCACGTCTAACGCGAGGTGTCGGTTCAGCTTCGTCGCCATGTTGTATCGATTCAGGCCTCGAGGGGTCCCATTGGCGAAGATATGTGCGAATCGCCGTCGCCTTCGCTATCGGCGTTGTCGCTGTCGCAATGGTGATCAGGCAGGCTGAAGGCCGCCAAGGGGAGGAGAAAAGAGCTCGTTCATAGTGACGAGCTAGGTTGAACATGAAGGAAGGACAAGTAAGGGGCAAGGAGGGGTAGAGCTATATATCAAAGAAGTTTAGACAAGGAGCAACGGCGCATTTTGACGGATCGCCTCTCCAAATTATCAAGCTGTAGACATCGATCAGGGCGGGATTAAAAAAAAATAAAAAAAAATGGGCCGGCAGAATATTAGGACAATCCAACAAATCGATGTCATATCGAAGATACCGCCTGCCGTTTTTGTTAGCGCCGCTCCCTGGCCATAACGGCCAGCCGCTGCCAGCTGGTTCGTGCCCGCCCCGAATCACTCATCAACATCAACTATGTCCTTTCCTTCCACGCATCCAGGCAGATTTCTCCCTTGTGCATTTTCATATTTCTTTTCTCTTCCGTAAAGAGACACTTATGACTTGGCCCCTTCGACCTCCTTATCGGCTTCTACATTTCGGCGAAACTGATAAGGTGGACGAGCATACGCAAAAGGCTCTCTTGATGAAGGCCACGAGACTCATATTGGGGCTCAGTAATGTTCTCTCCCTGTGGTGAATATCAAAAAAATGAATGTTCAGCAAGGCTTCTTACTATTGATTACGTACTCTAGGGACTGATCGTCTATACACGGCATTCTGTACCGCAAGGCCTGCTATGTCCATGGTATTGAACCTCTTCCTCCTGCTCTTCCAGACCTTTCACCCAGCCAGCATATTACGTCGAATGATCGTCGAGGAACTCATTGCAATGGACTGAGGCTCGTTATTTCTCGTTTTCCATCCCAAGCAACAGCCTCTGGAGAAGGTGGACTCGGTGTATCAAGGGATGAGAACGAGTTCGACAGTGGACTCACAGGTGGACCCAATAGCAGCTTTGTCAAGCCATTTCCTCCACCAAGGTTGGGCATCATCAATTGCGCAGGAGAACCTGACTCCAGCTGATCGTGTGTTTCCGTCTGTACCGTGGACAAGTCCCCAGATAGGACGCCGCTCTTTTGCTGCTCCATTGCTGTCTTCCACACCTTTCGAAGGACCCTGATGAGTCTGTATTTGGCGCCGTATATCGGTGCGAGCAACTTCTTGGTCGCTCCCTGGCTTGCTTTGTTGAGAACAGCCTCAGGATCAGCGTCATCGACATCGAAACCTAATAGATATGTCCATCTCCGCCACAAGTGGCATCTGTTGGCTGTGAAAAGCCCGAGGAGCTCTGCTTGTGGCAAGAAATACCTGCACTGTCTCGGGCAGAGCAGGTGGAAGACCAGATTGTCCACTACGTATCGCAGGAGGGGATATGATGCCATGGCCGCCTTCCTCTGATCTTCGGCATGTTGGAGCCGCTGGTCCGTCTCTTCAGGCATGTCCTGGCCCAGGTGGTTGAGCTCTGCCATGCTCAGGTAGCTCAGACACGCACGGAGGAGCCAGTACTGGCTGTTGTCGATCAAAGTCTCTGTCGAGGAGATCCTAGCCTGCTGCTTATCTGGCAAGGGTGAAAGCGACTGGAATCCTCTACCCTTTCGGAAGAATTGCAGGACGGTGGTGTGAGCTGGTCGGAGATACTTCCGGCCAAGCGGGTCGTTCGATATCCTGCTGCCTGGGCCGCCTGCAGACTCCAACTTGAGCAGGCCCTGAGAGATTCGCTGTATCCATCTCCAGAATAGCACAGGCGAGTCCATCGGAATCCCAGCACCCATCTCATGATCTTCGGCGGTTTTCATGTCCTCCATAGACAGGGGCGGCTCGATGTTCAGAACCGAGATGGGATTCCACTCTTTGCGCCCGTCACGCTGCCGTATGGCAAGGATCAGCCTCATCGCATCAAGCAGCTCATTGAGCCGCAATGGCTCTGCTGCCAAGATGACCCATTGCATCACCATGAAGGCCTGGGCTTGTTCTGTGGGGCTTAAGCGACTCAGTTTCCAGGCATACAAGTCGTCCAGCTTTGCAACCGCGGTTGGTGCAATGTCGTCCAGCATGCCCATGATCACCTCTCCTGACACGCCGCCCTCGCTCGCCTCGTTGACGATGGCGGTCACCATCTCTGCCCACAGCTGCACGCCTCCAGACTTGTCGGCCATCTTAGCGGCGATCGCCTCCCGCTCGCCCACGTCCGCAGCGAGCCGCGTGTCGATGTAGACCTTGATCTCGTCGGCGCTGTACTCGGGTATTGAGATGGGGAGCAGACCACTGTTGCTGCTGAAGCCGGATCTTGCCATGGCAAGTAAGCTTCCCTCGCCGTTGGCCATGGTCGTTGGTGGGACTGAAGTCTTGGCGCCGCTCAGGACTACACAACACGCCCAGCGTCTGATCCCACAGGTCTTGTCCTTGCCGTTTACGCTTTGTCTTCCTCCGTGTCGTCCTCAAACACCGTATCCTGTCTATCGTTGGACTGCTTCAGCTCGGGGGAGATATCTCGTAGCGGTGATTGAACCGCCCCCGGTTGCACTTGTCGATTTCCCGGGAGTCTCTGCACTCTGGGCCCGACAATCGTAAATACACTATGTTGCCAAGGGGTTTGTTTGTAAGTTTTGTTGGGCGGCGGGATGTTGGTTTTCAAGACATGCATGCTCACTTTGGAATCCATTGAACATGATATGGGAAGTGGTGTTTCGGGTCTTTTTGAGTGGCAGCAGCGGTGTCCACTCCAGGTGGCCGGATGGCTCTCATGTTTCTCCGGCCGCATGAAGTTTCGAAGGACTGCCATGGGCCCTGCGCCTGTGAAGCTACGACGAAATGTTACGCGGCGCCCAGGCAGGGATTCTCTTCTGCTGGAAAGTGGATGGAAGGGCCAGCGTTACCTTAAGTCGTAGTCTAGGGTGCTCGTGTTTCAGGATGCAGAACCAGCTTTTGCAGCGTGGTAAGAGGTAGGCTCGATAGCCTTGTAGCGAGGCGCGGACATCGGATGACCCTGAACTAGGGGCCCGGTTTTCCCGGCTTAGCCCCCGGGAGGGTTTGTATTGGCGCGCAACATCGGGGTCGCCGCGATGAAACCAAATTTGGAAGCTTGTATAATTTTGAGAGGAGCCATGGCGAGATCCTGCGGGCTGTCAAAGCAATCAATTCCGACACCTTCCTCCAGTCTTCATCTGCGACATGAGGGGACTGATGCTGCCGGGCTTCTACTTTGAGCACATTTGAAAAAAAGGCACTCAACACGGTGAGAACAGATCACATGTGTGGTGCGCAGGTTTTCTGAATAAACGATTCACTTTCGATTGATTCCATACCGCATTTACCAGTTCGAAAGCTCGTGAGATCCTTTTCACTATCTCTGTGCTAGTATGAGAACGCCATCTAAAGTACATAGTCTGGACTAAAGCAGCATATCTCTTGTCACAACCATCCAATTCAGTAGCAGTCGCCGTGACAGTCGAGGATGAATGAGACACAGATGGCATGGATGTTTGGGAAGTACGGGCCGAAAAAGCTTTGGCGAAAGATACCATCTTCCACAGCATCTCACAAGACTATTCGCAAACTTTTCACATCGCCCTGACCCCGTCGACCACGTTGGACTTCGCAACCCAGATACGTACCATGTACACGGTGCAGGCCAATATTATGTCTGTGTTCGAGACCGTCCAAGTCCTCGAGGGCCAAACGATCGTAAACCTCGTCGTGATCACCGTCGAAGATGAGACAGTCCAGTGCCGGATTTTACCTCATCCCTGTTTCGTTCTCTTGAAAGTTCTTGAAGACAAACACGCCCTGCTATAGCATGAAATCACGCGTCTCATGGCAGACCTAGGTGAGACTGGGCTGAGAGAGAGAGAGAGAGAGAGAGAGAGGATACTGCACACCAAAGATCCACCTTCCAGGGCCGTTAGGTTCTCCGGCAGGATGGATCGAAGTATGAGAGTAAGAGAACTCGCTAGTAAGACAATTGTTAGAAAATGTTGATAGGGAAACGCGATCGAGTAGATGAATAGTTTGAGAACCCACAGGCCAAGCCACTTACAAATTTCCAAGCAGTCAATGCTGGCTCAAGGCATCGTCACTTTGGCTGGGTGAGATGAGATTTAGTTGGCCTCATACTAAAATATATTGATACCCACTTCGATTGTGAATTACTGGCAAGACCACAGTCCCCCCCCCCCCCCCCCGGCAAATCAAGCAACACCATGAGCTGGATTTACGAGACTATGTTGGTGTATTCTCGGGGTCAACTTGGTTTTCCTTCCTAGCGGGCACTTGCGTCTTGCCTCTGAACGAAAGCTCCCTTGTATCATCAGCCACTGCTGCCATCTCAGGTTGACGGTCGTGTATAAACCCATCCCTTCTAGCAAGTTCCATGATATATCTTCTGTAGTGCCTGACCTGGGGATCAGCTCACATCCTTCTGCCGTTTGTATATACGTCATCCATGGCTTTTGGTCATTTCTGCCGCCTGGTGATGAGCATCGGCATGTCCCATTGGTAGACAAACCACGCATCATGGTACTTCCATTTATGGGATGTATCCTGCAGCTTGATCTTTTCGTGCAGAATGAGAAGTCAGTACTTGGGTACACCTCTAAGTCATGGCCCGTTTCTGGCTCAGCCTGAGGCCCAATAATAGAGGAAGTTGTGATCTCACATCAAAGACTGAATACAGCGTCGCAAACAACTTGAAGAGCTCCAGCTGCGCGAAGTAACGGCCCATGCACACACGGGAACCACCACCGAAGGTATGGTCTGCAACATCACGCATTCTTTTGTGCCGCACCTCAAACTCTGCCTCGTCCTCGTCATCTCTTCTGAGCCAACGGTCTGGATTGAAGTCATCCGCATCGGCACCGAACACGACACGGTCGCGGTTCGTCACTGCAGGGTTAACGCCCACTTTCGTTCCAGCAGGTATGAAACGTCCATCTGGAAGGGTCAAGCCACCCAGTGGGACGATCCGCTCAAAGATCATGGCTATACCAGGATTGATGCGTAAGGACTCTCTCATCACAGCATCTAGATATGGAAGACTCTTGATGCTAGACCACTGCGCAGGCAGTGCAAGACGTGCGCTGTCTAGTTCCGCAGTGAGTTTGTCGTGAGCATGTGGTGTCTTGGCTAGATAATACACAACTGCCCTCATCGTAGCGGAAGTTGTGTCACCGCCTGCCAGAACGTTGAGCATCAACCATGATACAATTTGGTTGTTGTCGACCTTGGGGTCTTGACATGTCTTTTTCCTATGTGGACGAGGAACGTCAGCTTCAGGACCACTACACGGTCTCACGGGCCTGGAAAACACCGACAGCTTAGTATACTTATCCAGATAGTGCTCTGCCGACGTTGACCTGTCTCCCTTGACTTCCAATTCGTGTTCATACTCAGCCACTACCTTGTAGGCATAAAAGATACCCGTTAATGTTGGCTTCGGTCCGATACGCATTATTGGATTCTTGTCGAGAAGTTTATCAACCCATGGAATTTGAGATATAGGCGCAAAGTAGTAGAGGCCCTTAGTGGAGTCACGGATCCTACACCAAGATACGCAGAGTTAGTGCCACGGCTCAGTACCAGGAATCATTGTTATCGGACTTTTCCAAATAGCCCAGGACTCACAAACTGTCCACGTCCCTCTCTTGGTCAAGAAAGCCATAATGTCGACCGAAGCTGATATTCGCCGTCACATCCCAGGCGAAATAGCCCAGCCAAACGTCCATCATGCAGACCTTGCCGGCATTCTCTCCGTCGACAAAATTGGTCTCCAGCTTTTGAATCAGCTTGCTGAGAGTCTCGTCGATGGCGGGCTCTTGCGCGAGAACCTTGGTCCTGGTCATGAGACTTATGTGAGAAGGGTCTTTGCCCTGAAGCCGCAGATAACGGATCTTCCGAGTGCTCACATGGTCCACAGACTGCGAATTGGTCTCATGTGCTTGTCATGCCAGACATTGTCATCCGTATTGAAGATGTTGGAAATTATTTGCCCGTCAATGAGAGCGTCGTCTGGTGATTTATTTTTATGTTAATGCAATCATAAAAGATCAGACATTACTGACCCGTGGATGAGGAAGGTCATACTGGCCCGATACATGTTGGACTGTACGACATGTATGTCAGTATTTTGGTCGAACATTGGAGAGAATCGACTTGATTGGGGAACATGCTTTCACCCAAGGGTCTTTGGTGGTGTAAATTGTTCGTATGAGGTCCGGATTCCCAATGCTGATAGCACGGGGCCCGATTCTGACAGCCGTAGCATCGTATTTGCGATGCCACTTCAGATGTGTTGTATCGATGTCGCCCTTCGCGGACCTGTTTCAATGACGAAGATTACTAATCACCATCTGATCTTCCCAATAAATAATTGGGTTTTCTGAGCAGCCGGGTTGGCAACCGGGAATAGAAAAGCTGGAAATTCGTGATTCCCCAGGCGCCGAGGAGACCTCGCAACTCTCTACACATACGCACACAGAGAGAGGACGTGTGTGTTGCTTGTTGAAGAAACGTACCATAGGGCCCGCCAAAGGTCAGTAAATTTGGCAGCAAATGGCCCAGGGAAGTCCCGGAGCGGGGAAAAGAGGAGTTCCCAACCGATCCTTAGAGCGACCAGGAGAAATAGCCCTGAGGCGACGCCCATATCACGAGTAACATCAGTAAGATCCATGGCATTTCGCAGAGTGTAACTTATAACCTAATGCATTTGAGGCAGGGCGTGAAGAACCTCGAAAGTGATCCGTCGTGGTTGAAGGATTGGCATATGCGAGAGGGGTAGAGGACATAATGGAACCATAGGAATGTATCATGGCCGACCAATCGCCATCGCATGATGCATAAGCTGCAGGCCAGACTAATTTCACAGGGTGCAAAGAGAGATGGGGTCCTTAGGGACTCATCTTGATAAGCCAAATTCGATTGCATGTGAGACCACACGGTGAACTCTATCTTGGATGGTAACGGACTCGATTGTGATACTGTAATCAATGGCTGATGCAACTAGGGATCGGCAGGATTGCATCTCGAGCTCTACTCAGGCTTCTAAATCCGTTAGAATCAGCTGAACAAGAGATGCAGCAGTACGGCGCTCAATTGCAGGCTCCAGACCGCATGGAATTTTTGATGCGCGTGCATAGTCTGGTTCATGAACGGAATACACGTGGGCTTATCGTCGGACCAGGTGGCTGGAGACAGGCCGAGAATATAAAGTTGACAGCAGGCATGAGCATTCTGTCGTTACTGGAAAGAGGTTGGGAAGACGGGGATTTTGCTTTTCTTCAGTTGATATTCCATGATTTCTCCAGGTGATTGAATTGAATCCGTTCGGTGCCCAGTAAGTCACCAGCCCGTGAGTGTCTGGCAGGTAAGAATCTGTCCTGCTTTCCCTACATGGCTCAACCAGCCTGGACATGGCTGATTTTTTTTGATTTAGTGTTTCTCTGTAGCGCAGCCCGTCAATGGAGCCTGTTACATAACTCCAACCACCAGTTGTTAGATTCCACGGTAGTATGTTTTTAAAGAACCCAACTCAAGATTGCAGTGGTAAATAGAGCGTATAGTGAGGTTATGTGTCGAGATAACCCGACCTCCACTGTTCCTGGCTCGTTAGGGTTAGGAGTTGAATGATTACGTAATTGACGAGCAAGTGACACAACGGCGTTGGGGTCGACGCGCATGATGATGGATCGCCACCTTCCTTACAACGAATCTTTCTTTTTTCAATAATCAGAACTCATGAGCCTGCTACTATAGCATCTCTTGCCCACGATGGCATTCTGGGTCAACTCGGCCATCAGAGTCCTTCTAGTCTGCGAGGTACGTGCCGCGGATCCATAAAAACGGTCTCCAAGAGAACTATCAACGCCCCCCCCCCCCCTCATGACCCAAGAATGTGCTGTGGAATGGAAACCGAACGGCCTGCTGACTGTTTCTGTATAATCACTAGAACTACATAGTTGCACAGGTTCGTCTCAAGGTCCTGGTGATTTCCAGTCCTCATCCTGTCTAACTCCCTGTGCCCAGATTCTACGCAGCCCTGGCTTCCACAACGTGGTCCGTCGGATCCACCGGAGAGTTCAGGATCGCAAGTACGGCCGTGATCCCCACGAGCCATTACGGCCAGGCGAGGCGACAGGTAGGCTTATCCCACGATTATGCTGTATACCACTCAAGAGACATGCTGATGGGCTATTTCCCTTTGGAAAATGTAGATCTCCCCGAGTCGAGCAGCAATGGCTTCCTGAAGCACTTCATCCAGGAGCTCCGCAACCAGTTTCGCGGCACGCCGACAAATCCTCCGCCGCCCCCAGGCCCTCCACGCCACCCACGCAGATGATTACGCAGACTTATTATGGAACGAAATGATTAGAAAGAAGCGAAGCAAATATGAAGCCCAAGACGGGGCCGGCTCTACGACGCAACCGAATGCACGTAACCAGCGTACATGGCGTATCAGGGGGTCTTCAAGGCAAAGAGACAATGTTCTGCTCGGGACGCGGTCCTGTTCACCTACATCAGTGCGCCCTCCTTCGCGAGTTGAGCCACTCTCGTAGTCTTGCTCCGAGGAGGAAGGGACTGGAGAGCGAGAGAGCCCGTCCGGTTCTGGAAGTGGCCAGCATCTGACTTTGCATCGAGCGACGGTCAATGCGTCACGAAAACATATGTGCATATTAATCTGTATCTTAGGACTGCTCATGTACGCAGGGAAACAAGAACGGATTTGATCAGATTACACTCAACCTCAATACCACCTTCCCCAATCTCCAGACTTGCTCAGCCTGTCTGGCCACGTTTCTTCCACACCTCAGTTACAGGATCTCCTTCATTCTCCACGCACACCCAGTCTCCCATACCATAGGACTCTGGCGCGACTCTACAGCCTCTGCCGCCACCGCCGACGATGAGATTTCCAGGCCGGTAATTCTTGTCCTCCCTCATCCGACGAATCACGCTGCCGTGTACCCGTACATTGTCTGGAATGTCTCGGACTTCGCCGCATGGTAGTGGCCACCGAATTGGTTTCCACGTGCCGTCTGGCTGAAGATCCATCCGTCGAAACGGCATATACTCCATGAATCTCCAACTCAGCACCGTCATGAAATTCAGACCGCAGTCGAAGCTGAGGGAGTCATGAATGCGGGCCACATGGGCTCTGTTCATCATCTCGTGGAAGGCAGAGCGCGGGTTCTCTCCAGCCGTGGCCGCGTTATTGCCATCCGCATTCTGACCCTCTGCATCCTCCTCGCGCCCTTGCGCCCGGGGAGCCGCGTTGATGGAGGAGATGAGGATGTCAGGGACTGTCAGGTGCTCTGTGTGCCTTCCAAGAGAACCAGCAGTCGCTTTGTAGTCGGCCACGGCCTGGTAGCAACCCATGGCGATGACTTTCTCTGTATCGAACGAGAGACCAGCCTTGGCTGCCTCCCGTACCATCCACACTAACGGCACATGGCTGGTGCTCTTTGTCCCTTCCTCAACCTGCCACCCACCCCCGACATCGCCGTGGCCGCCTGCGAACCAGACCTCGTCAATGTCTTGTTCCATCTCATTCTCAGACTCGGAATCCTCTTCACCACTGTTCAAGGGTCCAGCTTGGGAGTACTCGGAGGTTGTGTCCACTGTATGCAGAGTGGCTCGAGACTTTGAGCGGGAGCGCCTGCGAAACGGTGTGGGATCATGTGGCCCGCCCATCTCATCCGGCATTGGGATCATGAGTTTCCCGATTTGCGAGAGCTTGCGTTCCCCATCCTCATCTTGGGTGGTCTCGGGTCTTCGCTCTGGCTGCTCTGTACTGCCGTTTGCCACCGTGGACCGACGACGATACCTGTCCTGTACTCCGTGCACCATTTGGCCGATGGGGTCATGGAGATTGTGATGGTGAGAACCGTGGTGGCGCTTTTTAGACTTCGACTCGGTCTGGTATAACAAGTCTTGACGAAACTTGGCACGACGCTCATCGATGCTCACGGCATGCCGGATGACCTTGGCTGAGCTCCTGGCGGTGTAGGGGAACTTGTTGCGCTCCATCCAGGCCGTCTCGAACCTTGGTACGCTGTTGACGGTATCAAATAGCCCAAGAAACCGGATTCGTCTCACCGGCCGGCTGAAGGTTTCACGGAAGCCCTTCATGTATTCGTACATCTCGCGTTTCTTCTTCTGGGCCTCCTCGTCGTCTCCGCATGCGTTTCGGCGGCACTGCCACTGAGAAAACGCCTTCCATGCAAAGACTACCATCTCCTCGTTGCCGTGCGACAGCAAGCCGACATAGTCCAGCATCTCCGCCAGGAAGCGGGCAATGTACGAGCCCCTGCTGAAGCCGAAAATATAGACCTCGTCCCCGGGGCAATAGAAGCGCATCAGGAAACGATAACCGCCAACGACATGATGGTCGAAAGAAGTACCTACTGCGCTGTCTTTCGCCTTCATGTACCATGACTTGATTCGTGCACGCCGACTTGTGTGTGTGAGCGAGTTGGACACTACGTATGTGCCTATGCCAGCTGTTTTTGGAACACCAGAACTGTCAGTGGTCCGTCAGAAAAAGCATTCATGCCTGGTGCAAGTGCCACTCACGTTGATAGTAGTGATCTGTCTGAAGTGTCAGTCTGCAATCGAGCATCCACGCAGGGTCACGAGCTCTGGACTTACACTGATCGCTCGCAGTGCGGTCGAGCATCCTGAATATCTTGAGGATGTTGGAGTCGCTCTCATCACCATGAAACTTGTTCCCCGTTCCGTCAAAGCATAGGACCAACTTCCGATGGTTGTGTTTCTTGCGCTGAGCCATGCCAGCGTTCGATCCCATGTTTGCAAAGTCTCTAGGGGTTTTGAAGCTGGATCCTTTGCTGAATGTACGAGCAGAGAGGAACTCTGGGTGGGGAAAGTCGAAATTGGGAGGGATTTCGTGGGCGTATGGCACAAAAAAGGGGTTTTGTGATCCCATTTGCACCTGCCACGCACCTATATCGTCCGCATGGTTGGCTCTCGCAGCCATCTCAGCGATTGGCTCCTGATGAAGCTCTTTGGCCTCAGCTTCGTAGCCCAATCTACCGAGATTAGCGTGGGACAAAGGATGGGCATGTTGCACAGGTCTATTGATACACCGCATAGGAATAAGCACGCACTATTTCCATTGCATACAATTAAACTACTACCAACAATTTCTCGGGGCCAATTTCTCGGGGACCTGCCTGCACTATCGATCAGTCCAACCCCAACTTCTTTGCTCATAACATCTTCGGCAGGCTGACAGCCTCCTTTCTTTTCTTTTTCTGTGGACTATTGTCAGCGCACGTTCCTGAAATCCTGAATGACTGGCTTCGATTTTGTAGACATATGATCACGGCGATGCGCCACGCCATTGGCAAGCTCTTGGGATCGTCTTTCCAAGGCGACATCGAATACTAGCTCAGCTGAAATTGGGTCTTAGGGATGGGTCAGGAAAAGAAAAGACCGCCATGGCTCTGGTATAAGCAGAGGGGAGGGGGGTTGGATGGGAGGCACGTGTCTGAAACTGGATTCGTCTGGATTGTCGTCACCATGTCTCGGGCAAATTATTCCAAGCCACAATGCTTTCATTCGCATCTGCGGTGTTCAAACTGCACGGCAAGATGACAAATTATGTTGTACTCGTTCAGTTCTAACGTGTTCTTTCATTTCGTTGCGTTATACAACAAGATGTGTCGGGTACCGTCGCCGCAGATCGCATGTGCAATCCCCCGGTGGCTTTTCAGAGCGTACCAGGGGGCAATAGTCTGGATAATTTTGCTGCAGGTGAGACCACCCAGACTCCACCGACCTTCTATCAACAGCAACCGAGGCGCTGCTTTCCTCAGCTGAGGGGCGGATGGTGTACACTACTTCTGCGCCTTGTCAGCAGCCTTGTGATGGCCCGGCCTACATCGGGAATATCATCATCACCAATGATCTCCAGCAACGCCAAAGTGCCACTTTATCTGGGCTTTCTGGTTGGTTCGATGGACTTTCTTGGGCAGCAACTCAGCTGTGTGGATGCGCCTTTTCATATTGGTTCTGACTGCAACGTCGCCGACGAGGTGATTCGGTTGCATGACTATCAATTTGTCATGGTGTGTGCGCATTGTGATCAGCGGCTGGCTACATCTAAACGTTGCCTGAGTCGCATACTGAGAAAAGCATCCCTGGTCTCTCGCAGCCATTTCACAACAACTCCGCGCAACAATGACAAGCGGAGCACGTGAAACATTGATTCCCATATTCAGCTGTCCACAATCGCTGGCGGCCGCCACTTAAATCATCTTTGATCCGTGAGGGGTGGCAACACAGGACAAGTTGATTATTGTTGTTTTCCAAAGTGCTGGCATTGGCATGTTAGACCAAGAGAACGGGCTTCCCGTTCTTTTTCACGTTGTTTTACAGTAGCAGGTCGGGTATTACCTCACAGCATAGGCCCCGTACTACATTTCTACATCAAACCTTTCCTCAGCCGTGCCGACCACTCGTTCGAGTTGAGAGCTCCTTTACGCCTCAACATATTTGTCTCTGCTTTGCTTCTACTCGTCTGACCAGAATCGAGTCGTCATCCCCCTTCATATCTTGTTGCTAGACTTGTGACTTCTGTAAGAAAGACTCAAGAGGCAGCATGGCGTCACACACAACGTCTACGAATGGGACCAACGATGTTGGTCCCAACACCAACGGTGTTCATGGGGTCAACGGCTTGGACCGTCTTGCGCAGACCAATTCGTCTGGACCAAAGAAATCAGACACCAGCAGACCAGGGCCACTTCCACCTCTATCAACAGCGTCGCCGCGATTGACTCCCAAAGCGGACCGCGCAGGCATCACAGATGCCCTCGACCAGTTTGCTCAGCTCGTTCATGCGCCGCGAAGGCCTATGCCTACGCAGAATGGAGTTGGTACAGGAAGTGCAAAGAGGTGGCAGACGGGGTTTAGGGTGGACTTGAAGTATATCAGCTGGAAAGGTATCAAACAATGCAACTTGCTTGCCACCATTAGATAGACAGCCGCTGACTCCTATCACAGATGTCAAGACGTTCATTGCACTGATCAAGAGCAAGCTCAAGGGCAACGAGCCCATGGATGACCACACAATGCTCATGGAGCGCGTCATCCAGCTCGTGGCCGGTCTTCCAACCAAGTCTCGCAACCGGGTCCTGCTGACGGACCAGTTCATTGACGAGCTATGGGACAGCCTGGATCATCCTGTCCTCAGTTACATCGGAGAGAAGTATATGTATCGAAGAGCCGATGGATCCAATAACAATCCACTATTTCCACAAATGGGTGCAGCAGGGACCACATATGCGCGTTCTGTTCGGCCGACTATTATGCCTCCTGGTGCGCTGCCCGACCCGGCGCTCATCTTTGACACAGTGATGAAGCGATCGAGTGAGGGCTATAGGAAGCATCCGAACAACGTTTCCAGCATTTTGTGGTACTGGGCGACCATAATCATCCATGATCTGTTCTGGACAGACCCCAAAGACATGACCAAGACGAATACGTCTTCGTACTTGGATCTCTCGCCGCTGTACGGCAGCAACCAGGATATGCAGAACACGATTCGCACCTTTCAGGATGGTAAACTTAAGCCCGACTCGTATGCGGACAAGCGTCTCGGCGGAATGCCACCTGGTGTATCCGTGCTGCTGGTCATGTTCAATCGATTCCACAATCACGTAGCTGAGCATCTGGCGGCCATCAATGAAGGTGGCCGGTTCACGCCGCCTCCTGGGCAGCGCCCTGGTCTGTTCAGCCCCTTTCCCATTGGAGGACCCGACAACGAAAAGCAGCGCGAGAGTGACGAGGCATGGAAGAAGTACGATGAGGACCTCTTCCAGACGGCTCGACTCGTGACCTCGGGTCTATACATTAACATCACACTGGTCGACTATGTTCGCAATATTGTCAATCTGAACCGCTGCGATACGACGTGGACTCTGGATCCTCGTCAGGAGATGGGCCGTGACGCTGGCACAGCTGCTGGAGCGGCCTCTGGCACCGGCAACGTGGTGTCAGCTGAGTTCAATCTTTGTTACCGGTGGCACAGCTGCATCTCGGAGAAGGACGATAAATGGATCCAGGAGCTATTTGCCAACCTCATTGGAAAGTCTTCTACCGAGGTCACACTCCAAGATATGATCATGGGCTTCGCCAACTTCGACAGGAAAACCCCCGACGACCCTGCTCAGAGAACCTTTGGTGATTTTCAGCGTGATCCGAAGACGGGCAAGTACAGCGATGATGACCTGGTTGAGTGCATCACATCATCGATTGAGGACTGTGCCGGTGCCTTTGGTGCACGCAACGTACCTCTCTCCATGAGACCTGTTGAGATTCTGGGCATTCTGCAAGGCCGAAAATGGCATGTGGCTGGCCTGAATGAATTCCGAAGGCACTTTGGCCTCAAGCCGTACGACACCTTTGAGGAGCTCAACTCCGATCCTGAGGTGGCAAGCTGTCTGAGGCATCTGTACGAGCATCCCGACTTTGTGGAGCTCTACCCAGGCCTTGTGGCCGAAGAGGCAAAGGAACCAATGGTTCCGGGCGTGGGCATTGCGCCGACCTACACCATCTCGCGCGTGGTACTGAGCGATGCTGTCTGCCTCGTGCGCGGCGACAGATACTACACAACCGACTACAGTGCCCGCGCCCTGACAAACTGGGGCTACAACGAGGTGCAGTACGATCTGAGTGTGAACCACGGCTGCTGCTTTTCCAAACTCTTCCTCCGCGCATTCCCCAATCACTTCAAGACCAACTCTGTCTACGCGCATTACCCCATGGTCATTCCACCGGAGAACCACCGCATCTTGACCTCCCTCAACCGCGCCGAGCTGTTTACCTGGGAGCGTCCTGCCTTTTCACCTCCACCCGTAGTAGGTGCCAGACACACAGAAGCTCAATATAGAGACATGTGGTGCGAGACAACCAATGCTCTCACGGGCAACTCAGGTGCTACGCTGTCGCCTAACGAGGCATATGTATCTGGAGAAGGTTGGGAAGATGCGGTCACGACTTCTTATGCGCAATTGATGGATGAGCTACTGCGTGAGAAGAGTTATGAGCTGGTAACTACCCACTTTGTCGATATAATCAGAGATGTGGGCAATTTGGCTGGCGTAAGTAAACACCGACTACACATAGTATATCGCAGAAGTATATGTTCTAATGATCGTTCATATTCCAGGTTCACTTCGTCTCCCGTCTGTTCAGCTTGCCTGTCAAGACCTCCTCTAACCCTAAGGGCATCTACACCGCAGACGAGCTACATGCTGTGCTGACGCTCATCTACTTGACCACATACCTTGACAGCGATGCAGTGAAGGCCTTCCCACTTCGACAGGCCGCCAAGACGGTGGCTGTTCAGCTCGGCGAGCTGACTGAGACAGCCGTCAGCAACATAACTGGTTGGTTTGGTACTGGAAAGACGCATGACTCTTGGGCTGCTTATGGCACAGACTTCATCAAGAATCTCTCCAAGAGTGGTCTAAGTTCTTCTGATATTGCGTGGAGCCAGATCCTGCCAGCTTCCGCCACGACCGTATCCGCACAAGGTGCAATGGTAAGCTGCGGTCCTCCTTTTTCTTCTTCTTCTTCTTCTTCTTCCTTTTCTCCTCCACTCATATGGAAATGAGCGACTTGCTAACACTAAGCAGTTCGCCCAAGCCGTCGACTTTTATCTTTTTCCAGAGAATAAGTCTCATCTCCTTCAGATCCAACAGCTGGCACGCGAAGATCCTTCAGATGAGACAGACGCGCGGCTTCTGGGTTATGCCTTGGAAGCAGTTCGCCTGTCTGCAACCCCGGGAGGAGGTAAAGGACGCGACTCTGGAGATGCAGGCAGCCATGTGCTTGTCGAAGTGGTAGGTCTGAAACAAGCTATCAATCTCTCACTGGATATAGTAGTGCTAATACCATGATGTTCGTCTGTCTTACAGCCCTCTCTACACTCCAACCTAGCTGGGAAAATCAACCCCGACCGTCCCATTGAGAGCTATATACTCCCTGGACCCGAGAATGACACTTGTCTGGGAAAGGCGGTCATATACCTCGCACTGACAGAGATGTTCCGCGCCGTGTTCCGGCTGGACAACCTCCGACGTGCACCGGGGCCGCAGGGCGAGCTTAAGAAGATCAGCACGAGCAGCGAGCCATTTGGCATGTACCTGACGGAGGACTGGTGCAGTGTTTCTCCGTTGCCTTGGTCGATGAAGGTGTGTTGGGGCTGAGGAGGACGCGCTGTCGTTCTTTTCATTCACTCTGAGGGTTATCCTGAGCATCTTTCTGTGGGCACATTAGTTTGGTCGACGAGAAGATTCGCTAGAGTACTTGAACTGCTTGCTCATTGTATTCGAGATTACCGTTGACAAGATTGCATCACACTGGACCAAAATAGTGATTATAGTGTTTCATCTTATCTTCTTCTCGTATAAGATGTGTTATTAAGCAAAGCGCAGAAGAGTATTTCGAATACTCTGCTGAGTATCTCGGCTTCCGCGTCATTGCTCTGCTTTTACTTGATGTTCTCGCTCTCCAAGCCAACTTCCGCGTACTGGAAGTTTCAGAGCCTTACCTAACCCACTACTACCTATACACGCACCCACCATGCGTATAGTTGACCAGGGGCGTCACCTTGAATATGAGTACTCAGATTTGCACTTTTCAAAATGACATATTGGTTGAACTACATGCAAGCTTTCTGACCGCCCCAGCCATCACCAGGTGCTATTATCCGCTTTTTACCGCTGCGCTGTATCGATGACAACAGCTGAAGCACAAATCTAGGTTCCTGATTCGCGTTCAATTCCTGACTATTGTCCACTTGGGATGATCTCTGTGGACCCGGGGAACAAATGATGGCTGCATGCATGCTCCACCGCCAAGCGATAACGCGTGCGGTAAGGAAAAGGACAGCGGATCCTCGAAGCAGAATTCTTCTCTCGGTGAGCAGTAGCAGAAAAGAGAGAGAGAGAGAGAGGATGGGGGTCTTCTCGTGGCCAGGGGTCGTTTTCTCCATGTGTCTACCCGCGGCACTTGTCGTGTGCCCATGACAGCAAGCAGCACAGCCTCAATGAGCAGCGCTTGACAAACGATCTAATACTACTGTGACTTGATTGTCATGCCCCGGGTTAAACCCTGAGAATTAACGGCAATATAGTAATAGACAGCCAGGGAAGACCCCGTTGCTGGAAGGCGGTGAGCAGGTTCAGGAGGAGGAGGAGGAGGAGGACAAGGCTACAGCGGCCCGACGACGACGACGAAAACGACGACGATGAAGTGTCCTCACCGGTCCGACCTCTTCCTGCACGACACCAACACGCTCCAGGGCGACATCCTGCTGCGCGAAGGCGCCTCGCATCTCAAATTCCAAGAGTATGCCATTTTTGCTAAGGATCCAGATATCGACTGTGCGAGCACTATTCACTCTGGCGACACGGACAACGACCGCCCTTTTCTTAGGCACATTCCTCAGCACATCACGTCCAAGGACGGGAGCAGAGGAGATGAGCTATTCCACCAGGCTCTGAGGGATGACTACGCTGTCGACGTCGATGGTGGCTGGAGCCCTAGGCTTAAATCGTCGCACCTCTTGCAGGGCAGAGTGCGGCAGGTGATATGCCATCGACGGCCGAATATCAAGTCTAGCGAGGACCTCGACCTGGATGGCTTGTACCTGACGGCAGAGGACTACGCCGCCATGGACCTCCACCCGGCGACACTGCAGTACGTCAGGAGGAGGGCGGTCGAGTCGACGTTCTGGGACCGCCACCACGAGAAACTCAGCATCATCCTGTCCTTCCCGACAGACCCACAGGCTCCCTACGACTTTCTCTCCATGACATACATCGTGACAGACCGCACAACCACCACCCTCATCCGTCAGTCGTCCTTTGTCGAGCCTCACCAGAACAACAGCAACAGCAACGGAGGTGGCGGTGGCGGCGACGACCTGGAGCAGTACGACACGCGCATGCAGGCGTGCAAGTCGCACTGGGCCCACCCCCTTGTCATTCCCGTCATGCTGCTGCAGGTGCAGTTCGCCAGCACCGAGAGGGCCGTGGCAGAGAACCACAGCGAGGTCCTGGCTGTCGAGCGCGACGTGAGCAACATGGCTGGGTTCGACGCCATCGACGAGCGCGCGCGGCAGCGGGATGTTGGGCTCCAGAAGACGCCCTCCATCACGCCGGCACGCCGTCAAGGCTCGGGACATAGCAGGAGTGGGAGCACCAGCCAGGGTCAAGGGGTGCCGGTGTACAAAAAGTCTACAGAGCTGATGAAGAATGCGCACGATGTGCTGAAGAAGTCGATTCGGCTGCTGAACACTCTGGAGTGGTTCGAGCGCACGTGCCATGTCCTCCTCGCCGCGGGGGACGAGCTGGATGATGTCAGGCAGGGTCCAGACAATGCCACACCGAGCGGTGCTGCGTTTCCTGTTCCGTTGTCGGCTCGTGGCAAAGTCAAGACGGGCCTGCTGCGGGCTAGAATCTCGGATGACCCGCTGGCTGGGCACTGGCACGAGATCAGGCAGTACCTCGAGGGTCTCTTGCAGTTGTGCCAGTCTCTCAAGACGGACAGGACCATTCTTGAGATGCGATGTAAAGCCCTGGTTGATATTGTGAGTAGAGTACTTTGTTTCACTTCCTGCATGGACTTCTCTGCGCAATCTTTGACTATCCATACCTCTTGACTGACTCTCCATATCAGATATACAGCAAAATAGCCCAGGAGGACAACAACCTCAACGCACGCATGGCTGTAGCATCCTCAAGAGACTCGTCCTCCATGAAAGCGCTGGCCATCATCACAGCTGTCTTCCTCCCAGGCGAATTCATGAGTTCTCTGTTTGGAATGGGCATCTTCGACTGGGACGGCAGCTCCGTCGTGGGCATTGACTTTTGGTGGTACTGGGCCATCACCGTCCCACTGACCCTCCTCATCCTCATCCTCTGGCGTGCCTGGTGGGTGGGCCAGGACCGCTACTTCAGGAAGCACCTGTCCAAGGACCTGAGCGAGGAGCGCTACTGGACCGACGACCGCAGGCCCAGGCAGCTCGAGACCAGTTACCTTTACGACTTCCTTTACATGTCGGTGAGGAAGGGCGAAGCCACCACATCTGAGACGGAGCCCGCCATGTCGTTCCTGTCGACGAGCAGATCTAACTCGAGCGATGATGCAACGACATCCAAGTGGTTGGGAAGACGGTCTAGGAACGAGAATGGTTTGATTTCTCCGCCAACGTTTCGGCTGCGCCAACTTGCCACGGAGGATGATGCTCGTCTTGATGAGCACCGCAATGGGATCGTGTGAACAGTAGAAAAAAAGGATATTTCCCCCCTTTACTTTCGGCGTTTGGCTCGTTGCGAGGTATAATACTTGTTGCTGGCTCTTTCAATAACGAGTTACGAGACATGAGACATGCAGGCTGCGTTCTTACATCGGGGAGACCTGAATTTACATAGCATTTAGCATAGCGAGGCATCACATGTTACGTGTTTGTACTTACTAAGTAGAATGATTTGATGAATCATGACACCTTTATATACGACCAGATGAGAATGAGATTGTGTTGTCCCGAGGTTCATGTTCACGTAATAATCAATACTGCTGAAGTGATGTTCGAAAATGCTCAAGTCAGAATGCTGATTGATTTTGGATTTAGAAGCAAGATCATCAAACAACAATAATAAAGATTATAAGGCTTTTTTTTTTTTTTTTTAGTTGTGGGTTTGTTGGTCAATCCTCGATGCTTTCTCTGTTGAGAATTGCCATTTTGAATTATGTAGATGTTAAGAGAGACTAGAATTTCCCAAATGACGCCTCATCCCACCTGCAATTTAATCTTCTTTACGACTCTTGTGTGTAGGTTCTGAAATTGGTAGGAAGGTAAGGGCAAAGGCTGGCTAAGGTTGCAATAGAGCAGATTTCGTGCGGTCTGAGCCAAGTGCGGCTAAGATAGTATACATAAGTTGTTTTACATACTTAGACAGTAGACTAGCTGAGCGGTTCATCGTAGCAGCCAGTCAGTTGTATGGCAACAGTATATCATTCATGTCCTCTAGGATCATCACTCAGTAGACATGGTAAGAAGTAGGAAAATACAAGTCATCATTATGTGATCATCACTTGGACCAGTAAGTAAGTGAGCAAAGTAATGTGAAGTTCAAGACTCAGAATGTCTTGTTGAAATGCAGTCGCTATTAACATGATGTCTAAGTGTACAAATGAATTTCTTTCCTCTTGTAATAATATCATCACATAATCTATTCCTCCTCGTCATCCAGCTCAATCTCCTTGCCGGTACCCTCGTACAGCATCAAGGAGGCAATCGAGCCACCCACGCTGACAAGGGCCACAGCCCACCAGCTGAAGGCGACCATGCCCCAGTCCAAGCCCATGCCGTACCACCAGCCGCCCACGATGGGTCCAACAGTCCTAAACCCAGCAGACACGGACTGTCCGATGCCGTGGATAGTACCCAGCACAGAAGGGTGCGGGCTGCAGTTGTTGAGCAGGATGATGCTGGCGGGCAGTGTCATGGTGCGCGCAGAGGTGTGCAGGAACAGGATCATGACGATGGCGAACCAGAGGGCGGTAGACACCGACGTGGTGCCGTCCTCGTTCTGGGTCTGTGGGAGGGTGGCGAGGAAGGGCGCGAGCAGGTAGGCCACGGGGAAGATGACGAGGAAGTACCGGAAGCTGCGCAGGGTTCCCAGGCGGGCGTGCATGGGCGGGTACATGACGACCTGCAGCAGCATGCCCAGGACGCCGAGGATGGAGGTGGCGTTGCCAACCGTAGAAGCAGGCATGCCCAGGCCTCCTGCGAACCAGAGCAAGTTGCGCTTGCCCAGAGCACGGCCCTCGACGACGGGAATGGTCTCGACAGAGGGGGAGACGAAGCCAGGGCGAGGGGTGGACAGGAAGAGGGTCCAGATGTTGGTGAAGGCGCCCAGGTGGAAGTCGTAAAAGGCCTGGCTGAGGAGGGTGAAGATGACGTTCTTGGTCCACAGGCGCGAGAAGGGGAGGGTCTTTCTCTTCTTGCCAGGGAGGGCAGCGGGCATCGCGGGTCTGCCGCTCTTCTCGCTCATCTGCATCGACTCGAGCTGGTCGTAGCCGCTGCGGTCGTGGTAGACGTAGTCGCTGGGCCTGCGCAGGATAAAACACTTGACGCGGGCCGCATAGTCCAGACCGATATCGTAGGTGCCCTTCTTGGACTTGGAAGTTTCCTCCAGGCCAAAGAGGACAGCCAGAAACACGGCGAAGAGGGCGGCAGCGTTGGCGATCGAAGGCAGCGCGAAGGGGTATTTCTCAATCAGCGTGCTGTGGAAGGGAGCACCTGGTGCGAACCACGCAGGGAGGGTCACAGCCGGGTCCGCAAGCCAGCCTCCGAGAATGGGGCCCAAGATACCAGCGACGTTGAAGCTCATTGGCAGGATGAGGAAAGCCCTGGACTGGTACTTCCTCTCGACGGTGATCTCAGAGATCATGGTCCGGATGATGCCGACAAGGCCGTTGACGCAGCCTGCGACAACTCTCCAGAACATGGCGGTGGCAAATGAGTTGGAGAAGCCATACCCGAAACAGGCAATCGCCGTTCCGAGGGTTCCGATCAGGAGCACCATCTTGCGGCCTCCGTAGATCTTGGGAGAGTCGGCCACCTTGCCCCAGAAAATGGCTGTGAGAACTTGAGCACCGGTGAAGCCTCCTGTCAGGAGACCAGCCTGTGCTGAGATCTTGGCATCAGACATGACTGCATCTAAACAGACACTGTTAGTGAAAAAATGACAACAATAAAAGTGGGATTTTCTGGGTAGTAAAACATACCTGAGCCGGCCTCTAGTATCTGCTGTTCAGCCATGTGTCGCAGCTGGTAAAAGATGTACGCCTGCAGGGTGGCAACCTGAAGAAAGTCGACCATGCGGCAGAGGAACAGGATCAGAAGCTGGCCCTTGTGAGGCAGAGACATCCAGGTGACATGTTCTGGTGCAGCCTTCTTGGGCGCCTCTGGTGCTGCTTCCTCGTCCCTCGGCAGAAAGGGTGCGGATGATGAGTATCCTTTTGTGAATTCGTCATCGTCATCGCTGTGGTAGGCCCTCTCGCGGTCTGAACTGTTCCTGGGATCAAAGGCTGTTATGGACGAGGCGCATGAGGCAAGACCACTTCTTGATCCATCCTGGTTGATGAACTGTTCATAGTCGCCAGCCTCCTTCTCATTCAGGTCGTCCATTATGTCGAACTGACTTGGTGGTGATAATGAGGTGGCTTGTTGTTGTTGTGGTTGTGATGGCTGAGAGGCCGTTGTCTGGGAGTTGGTGTATGCCATGTTTGGCTGTGGCCGGTTGGTGGGAGCCCGCTCCTCCAACACAGGAACAGGTTGGTGATGATGAGAAGAAAAGAGGGAAAAAAAGGAAAGTCGGCAACGCTTCTCTCTGGCCTTCCTTCCAAGTACTGTGACGTCGTGTCTCTGTGAGGGCTATACCAGATCTGGGTATTGGATCCGGAGAAGATAACGACTATGGAGCGAGAAGGGTGGGTTAGACAAGAGTGAGATCGAGTCAAAAGGATATAAAATAAAATATGGCTTGATAAGAAGGTAGAGCAAGGGACAAAAAAAGGCAGATGCGAGTGAGTGGCAGTGAAGAAGAGTAAAAGTATCTTGGTAAAGCAAATGATGGGATGCCGGAGTCCTCAACGGCGAAAAAGGTCTGACGAAACAAAACAAGAAAGAACTAAAAAAAAAATAAAAGGTGGTTGGACATGCGGTTTAATGATACAAAAAATAAGAGAACCTTTTGAGAGGGAAGAGAAGAGACACAGAGGAAAGTGGAGGAGGAGGTGGAGGCGGAGGGGACAAGAGGGAAACTTGCTGGGAATGGGTCCCTTGTAACTCGGAGGACGACGACGACAATTACTAGACGAACAGATTTGCGCGTACTGACCTGATGAGCCACAGCAGCGGGTGGAAATAATTGTTGAGCGGCACACTCAATCTCTATTCCCTGATCCCTTGCCGCCGCCCCTCTTCTCGTTCCTGCTGACCTTGCCTTGTTTGAATGCAGAGAGCCACAAGGACGCCGACGACGAAAGTCAGTTCACGCGCGCAGGGGTGATGAATGGGGCCTGCAGGGTAGCTGGGGACAAGGATATCTCAGACGCCCCCCGTCCTGCAGGCGATCGTCGTTCCGTCAAATCACTTGGGTTTCCCTCTCCCCGGCCCTCTCGGAGGTACCAGTAGGCTGAAAGTCTCTCCTCCTTTTTTTCTTTCTTTTCTTGTCCCTGCTCGTCTCGGTCGTCGGTCCCACTACCCAGAGTGTGCCCTCCCCACCGATCCCCGATAGATTGATGGGTGTGGATGAGTGGCACGCCCTCCCTTTCTCCGCAAAAATATGCGATCCTAATTAAGACGAGGACGATGCTATGGTACGTACTGGTCCATGATACCCTGTGTATATGTGTGTATGTGTGCGTGTGTCTGTGTTGTGTAAGATATTATGTGTGGAACGTAGAGTGTATGGTTTACAGTAAATAAAGAAGCAGAAAAAGGTAAGGATGAAAAAGACTAAGGGGCGTTGTCGTAATGATATGGGTACCGTCCTGTGGAGTGAACGAAGCCACCAAATTACCCATTATTCAAGAAACACTTTTGGAACCACGAGAAGGAGGACATGGAACTGATACGACGAAAAGAAAAGAAGAGCAGAGGCAGATGGGCGTCAATAGTGGTGCTGGGAGGTAATGATAATCATGGTCTTTTCCCTCATCAGTCATCAACAACTAAAAGTGCTCTCTGATCTGTCTGAGCTTGCCAATCGTGCAGTCAGCCTGTCGAGAGTGTGTTACAGGTCGACCCCTAGAAGGGACGTTGGGCCTGCGACCATTGGCCACCCCTTACGCAGAGGGTACGTACTCAGCGTACTATAGTGTAGGAGAGATGGTAAGTAGACCTTCTGAGCATAGGCCCTGGGGGTCGCATGGCTTAGTGGCATTACGCGTCTTTTGCAGGTGGGGGCTTTTTTCTGGGGCCCGTCTGCCCTTTTCTTCCTACCGGCCCGCAACATGCTCTGCACGATGACGAAGAGCGAGCACCAGCCACCCAGCCCTGTTTTTTTCTTCTTCCTCTTTCTCTGTTTGTACTGATGGAGTGTACATAGTAGTGGCTACTATGATCTTCGTGCTCCATGTTGCCAGCGATCCCGTCCCCCACAAGCCTCGGGGTTCGCCAGATTGTGTTCCTGCACCTGATGTTCCGCAAACCTGGATCTGGTCTGGCCGGAGGGTTCCTAAAGCAGAGCAGCAGCATCATCATCATCTGGCTTTGTCGCACGCTTCTTGTTCCTCTTTTTCATCCCAAGCAAGCGCAGTGCATTACATAGTAGTTGCAATGACCTGATGACGCACGCAAACCAAGGTCAGGCCAGGCTGGTGGTAAGACAGTTTGTCAGAGGGTTCCGTCCCTTTCTTGCGTTCATTCTTTTCTTCCGTCTTTTCTTTCCTTCAACGCCAGGATCGTCTGGCATCGCTGCAGAGTGTTACAGATTATGGCAGCACTACATACACACCATCACACCACAAGGCTACACTATCATAGTACAAGCAGTGGATTAATTTACTATGTGTTAGTGTCCGTCCTGACATGATGAGGCTTGCTGCGTACACCCTTGCCCTGGCTGTAGCCCACTTTTTCTTCTTCTCGTCTTCTTCTTCTTCCCTTCCGATCCTCATTCTAAATCCCCGAAGCCCACCTTTCTGGCCCCTTCTCCTCCTCGATAGTACTATGGTACATGGTAGTCGCGTGTAAGGGGTTGATGAAAGGTCCAGACGGCCTCCCGGGAGTCGGTATTACCCACTTGATCGGTACGCGGTACTCGGTTGAGACAGCGGCAGTGGGACAGCCGTTTCACCTTAGGCGCCCCGTGGCCAGCCAGCCAGCCCTGCAGGCCCTCGGTAAGCCCCATGCCATGCTATGCTATGCCATGCATACATGCATGGGGTAGGCTACTTGATACTGATGATCGACAGTCTTGCATATAGCATCGCGGATGTCGGTCTCCGGTGAAGATGATGACTGGCGGTCTAATATCTGTATGTTATTTCTTGCAATCTCTATCCCATGTGATCTTCCACCAGCTCTCGAAAGGAGAAATGAAGGGAGAGGGATTTTTGTACAAGACAATCAGTTGAGCAAGACAGCAGCACAGTAGACAGGACAGTATTTCAAACGGTCCTCTTTGTTCTCACCTGGTCTTTTTTGTATTTGACTCAGGTGATATGAGGAAGTCTTGAAACCCTAACAAAGCTGGTCCGGTAGTGGGTTTGGTCGGAGCTCCGATCCCTACGCTGGACTCGCCCGAGGAATGAAAGAATCTTCTACGTCGTACTGGTGTCAGAAGAAGAGGAAAAAAGAGAATACCCACTAAAGAAAGTAAAAAAAGAAGAAGAAAAATCAAATCAGTACATCCATGGCTGGTTGTGCTATGAGCTGACGCTCTCAACACGAGACAACTTGCCTGTTGGCTCCAACCGCCCGGTGCCTTGTCTGGTCTAGATGAGGAGAGGAGGCTCAAAGCATCCCCTCCCCCATGCTTCTTCCCCTCCCCTCACCTTTCGAAGATGGCCAGAGCCTCCCAAGCGAAATGAGGAAGGGGAGCAACTGCCGCTGCCCTCCCTCTCGTTTGGATAATTTACCGAATCCCTGGGGAAAATATCACCGTCTCAGCCGGAGATGCAGGTCGGGCCTCGGTGTCCAGGATGTGATGGGACAGCACCTACGGAAGCCGGACGCGTGTACAGAGACGGCAAGTGTGGTGTCCCAGGGGGGTTCTTTTAGTACGAAGAGAGCCCTGTAGTGGCAACAAGTGCCCTGGAGTCAGTGATGTCTAGGTTTTTGACATGACAGACGGGCTCCCCTTCTGTCTTTGTGTTGTTCTTCCCGTGCCGCCCCGTGCCCGGTTTGTGTTACTGTTCTATACCAACTCTATACAACTATAAGTGTGCTTTGGTAGTACAGACGCGTAACTGTCCCGATCCACAACGCCACCAGCTAAGCCCAGAAGGATATAAAAAGTATACTGTCGTCACCAGGCTCATGCGGGGCCGCCCGCGCCCAACTGGCCCTCTGAGCTACTATGGGGACTGCACAGGCGCCCCTCAGTTTCTTCAACGGGGGAGGGATCGTCCTTGATCATCGCCTGTCTGCTGCAGATGGTAATGCATGTCGTCTGAACTCTCCTCACAGCCAACAGGCTAAAACGCCTATGCTGCTGCTAGAAATAACCACGCCGCAGAACACAGAGATGACACCCGAGATTACGTAGACCCCTGGTCTCTCTCCTCAGGTCCCTGGTCGGCTTCCTGGTCAGCGGGAAGCATCCCACCGGTAGTGGCAGCCGACCCAGGAGTTCTCAGGGCCAGTCAACTCTGGAGAAAGGCGGCCAGAGTGCGTGGATCGCTCTTTTTTGGTAGGATCGCCACAGCGCTCCCAAAAACGGTCGATGGGCCTTTCTCTTACTTGCCTTCTGGTACTGGCCTCTCCACACACACTTACACACCCTGGCCCGTTTGTTTCAACTGTCGCCTCTCCTTGGCGCGCTCGTTTCGACTCGTTACTTACAGCTCCTTTTCTATGAAACATTCGTAATTCTCCAGAAACGCGGAGGGAACCTGAGATTCTACCGTACTATGGTACACCTGCGAGCGCCTTTCCTCCATTCGGGAGGCGATTTGTACCATGATAAAGCCGATCACAATACTGCGCACAATCATTGGTTGGTCACCACTATGGGCGCATGAACGTTCACGTCGCTTCTCGGTGTAGATCCTGTTCTGTGTTTCCACCCTGTGATCGATCACATCCAGTTGCAATTTATTCCCATGTAGCACCAAAGGTCTTGGCAAGAAAAGCTTGGCGCTACCGTGACGGCGCATTAGAGGTTTGTTGAGAGAGCATGACTGTCCTCCTTGGAGCGCCCGTCCGACTTCCGGGTGCCAACTTGGGAGGTTCGCTGCACAGGGGGGGCTCCACGCCTACCCAACAATGCGGCTCCTTGGCTATTCCCATCCAAACCCCTAGCATCCTAATCAAGATGAAATTGATGACAAGTTGCGCCTAGTGTTCTCGACCAACCGCGACCTATTGCGGTTGTGGCTAGATGGGATCGACGTCGCACCGCCCAAGCGTCAACCAGAGCTCCAAGGATCGGGGGACTAAACCAACGAGCCAACGAACGACCGAACGACGACGACAACGACATCTTCCAAGCCTCGCCTGGTTGGGAAGGATGAAGAATGCAGTCAACCCCCCAGCCAGGAGAGGAGAGCCTGCCAGCCAGCCACACATGGGCGCATCTGGCTCTTGCTCTGTGCAAATGATCGAGCCTCCGTGCGCCACCATAAATCAATAGGAAACAAAGTCTCCACCCTGATCAGCTTGGATATTAGCCACTCAGGAGGAGGGGCCGAGCTTTGCTTGCAAGTTGTCGCTACTGCTGCTATAGCCGCTCCACTTCTGCTCTGTGTTTTTTTTTGTTTTTTTCTTCTTCCTCTTTGCTTGTTCATTCTCGTCCTATAGTTCTGTACATTCGTACCATTTTCATTTTACCATAATACAATAGTACGCGCGACTAAATCAGCCGCCCCTCGCCCTCTTTGGCCCTGAAAGCTGCCCGGCCCGGCGTCCGTCACTCTTACTTCCGTCACCTTTCCTCCCCACTCCTTGTTTCTGTTTGCGGGCCTGAAATTCAAACCCATCATCAATTGTGACAGGTTACTCTACGCCACAGTTTGAATGAGTAGCCATCGGTTCGTGCTGTCATGTTGTTTCCTTTTGTTTCCCTCTTGTTCTTTTTTTGGTTTCCCTTGCGCATCCCAAAACTTGTCTGTTACTTGGTAGTACGTAGTAGTTGAATGTGGCGTTGCATTTTCCATACTTCGTCACTAGGCCGGTTTCGTTTTCCACATTTCATCTCCATGCGAGATTCCGTCACACCCTTTCCCTTCCACCTGGTATCGCCCTGGCCTTTTTCCCCACACAAAATCACAGACTCCTCAACCCCTAGTTGATAGTCAGGGATGACCAGGGAGGGAGGGGGACGAGGAGGGAGAAAAGGGGACAAGGAAGAGACGGGCCTGGCCCTGCCACAGGGTGCGCACTTACTCATGTACCAAAGTACCCTCCTCCTGTCAGTCAGTCTCCTGAGAGGCGAAGGCAATAACCCTGACGGCCCGTCCAGGACCTGAGCGTGTATACGTACGCACCCTTGTCAGTTTCCTGCGTGGGTGAGTACGTACCCTTCACTTTCGAGAGGCCCCATCTGTCACCTTAGCCCCGTAGCTCATACATCCTGGTGGTTCATGATCTTTATTTCTGGCCGTCGACCGCCTCTCTGTTTTGGCCGTCTTGAAGGTCTTATTTTTCTTTTTCTCTTGTCTCTCTATTATCTTCTCCTTTCCATCTTCATCTTCAAGTCGTCAGGCTACTACACCAACCGTGACCAAGGACGAACCAAGCCCGTTCCTTTTACACCTACACATATCCTTCCTTGACGAGCGCACACACACACACACACACACACACACCACTCGTTATATTTTATTCCCAGAAAATAATACGCTCGTCATCCTTTCCTGTCAAACACTACACTTTGGAAGAAAAAGAAAAAAGGATACCCATTTGTAATTTCCAAGCAACCCTGCAGTCGTCGAATCAGCAAAAAACCAAAACAAACCAACGCACCACCCAAGATGTCGGCCATCGAGAAGCCCCAGATGTTCCCCTGCTACGCAGACACATACACTCGCAAGCCCATCACAGATGTCTTCACCAATGACACGGATTTCGACAAGCGCAAGCAGACCAGGACTGTTCCCATGAAGGTTCTGCTGCTGGCGACTGGAAGAACAGGCACAGCTTGTATGTTTGAGCCCTCACATAACAACACATCGGGTCATTACGCACAGAAAAGATATAAAAAAAAACTGACATCTGATACTAGCTATGCGTGCGGCCATGAGGCACCTGGGCTACGTCGAGACCTACCACATGATGTGCGCCTCGATCGAGAACCCCCCCGACGCCCTGCTGTGGCACGACGCCCTGGTGGCCAAGTACTTCCCCGAGCGCTCTCCACTGCCCGAGGGCACCATCCGCACCCGCGAGTTCTGGGACCAGCTGCTGGGCAACTGCCAGGCCGTGTGCGACTGGCCTGCGTGCGCCTTTGCCGAGGAGCTGATCGAGGTGTACCCCGAGGCCAAGGTGGTCCTGACGGGCCGCGACGTCGACAGCTGGCACAAGTCGACGCTGCCGACCGTCTTCTGGCGGGCGACGGACCACGAGCTGGCGGCGCTCAGCAACAAGATCCTCCCCTTTGGCCTGTCCGGGTCGTGGGCCGCGCAGATGTACTACCCGATGCTCAAGATGTTCTTCGACACCTTCTTCGAGGGCGACTTTGCCAACCGCGGCAAGGACATCTACCGCCGCCACTACGCCAACGTGGTCAAGCTGGCCACCGAGGACGGCAAGAAGCCCGAGAGGCTGCTCGAGTTCCGCGTCCAGGAGGGCTGGGAGCCCCTGTGCGCGTTCCTGGGCGAGTGTGTGCCCAAGGCTCAGAAGTTCCCCAACGTCAACGACAGCAGCGACTTTGTCCGCCGCTCCCGCAGAAGGAACCGCATGCAGATGCTCAACGTCGGCCTTCGCCTGCTCATGTGGTGGGTCGTTGTCGGCTTCGTGTGCTACATGCTGATGGGCATGCTCACCATCTAACCCATCCGATTGGTGTGTGAGGGTTTGGGATAAAAGACCCGAATCCTTGTTGACGAAATGAGACTTACCGAAAATGGGGATAGTGATGTGATCATGGTGGTTGGATCGGGGTTTTTTTTTCCTTTTCTTTCTCTGGCACATATCGGTTATATCGGTGATATCATATTGGTTTCTGGGCATGTACATGCACTGTACATATCATCATCATTCTTGGGCGTTTATCTTTTTTCTGGGCTAGATGGTTTGGGACGGTTTTCACGGTTCGGATGCCTGACCTGGTGCTTGGGCAAAAGCATTTCATTCAACAACTTGCATTCACTATTTACAATACCTATTCCCATTTGATTACAAAATAGTTACAAAATTTCATGTGGCCTGTGCATCCTCATCATAATTCTTGCTGGTGCAAATATGGATTCCAGGTTTTCCTTCTTCGAGTGCAAGACTGAGAAGGAGGAAAAGAAAAAAAAGAGGCCCAGCCCTGATAAGCAGCCGGTTGTCCAGTGCTTGTCGTGGTGTGGCCCCATCCCACGCGCGACAAGGTTTACTGCTTCGCGATCGATGTCATCGCCCACCTCTTGCCTATCTACAGAAAGAAAGCCCCTCCCCCTCTCTCCTTTCCAGTTCCCCTCCTGTTTATCATGAGTTCGGTTCACCAAACCCAACACTGGCCGCCGACTCCCGACAGCCGTTTCGAAATGGAAGAGTTGCAGCGGGGCATCGAATTGTGGGGATCGCCGAGTGCTAAACCCGCATCGGGGGGGAGCTGACGCGGCCCCAGCAATCGTCGATCTCTTTCTCTCTTCTGTGTCACTTTTTTTTTTCTCTTTTCGTTCTTGCCTCCCTATTCTGGAGTAGGAGAGGAAAGAAAGAGGGGAGAGGAGGAGGGGAGAGTGGCTGGAGGGGAAACGGAGGGAGGGGTGAGTGTATCGTCCTTGACTCTCTCTGTGTGTGTGTGTATACTTCTGCTTACTATTTTCTGCCCTTCTTCTCATCAAGCCATATTTCATGTTCCGGCCTCCTTGATTGTCTCAGACCCAAATTGGTGCCCACTGTTCGGGCTGTCAGGCCGCTTTGGATCTGATAAAGGCCCAGTCCCACAAGAGACGGTCATCACGGTCCGGCCGACATCTCTCTCAGCGCATCCCCACTCACACACCGTTTCCCAGCCTGTCACCCTCATCCCAGGCCCCAGCGCAACCCATCCAAAGCCGATCGGTCGGGTAAGATGGCACGGTGAATTACCCTGGCCCACGGCGGCGGGCGGTAAGATGCCAAGGCGGGCATCTCACAAGCTACCACATGAAATCCCAGGCGCGCAAAAATGGCTGTGTGACGTGAGACGGGGTCGAGAGAAGGGGGAACATGGCCGGCCTTCCAGGGTCTGCCGTCAACCCCGAGTATTTTGTGCTTCACGTGTGCTGCCCCTTTCAGGAAGCTCTTTGGCCGTTGGCTTTTGCCACCGAGTACCGAGGAATCTTGTCGGCGTGTCTCTATTAGAGTTTGATGCTCCTTTCTGTGTCTTGGCTCTATATGGATGAACTCCTTCCTCTCTATATCCGCCTTGGCCCTGGAGATGAAGGGGATGGATGTCCAGTCTGGGCATTGTCGCGCTGGTCTTCCTTCAGACGATTCATCTGTCTTGGCGGGAGATCATGTTTCCTCCAATTCAACGCGAGCAAATGTCAGGACGGAATTGATAGCTGGGTTTCATTTTGGAGACAAATCGGCGCACTGAAGCCTTGAGAAGTTCATTAAACACTCTCATATCAATTCTGTAGACACGAAAACATGCCACACCTGCTATGCTTGATTTTTGGTAGGGATGGATACCTGTTCGGGCCTCATATACATGTCACTTCATGTTTGTCCACCACCAAGGCTTTTTTGATTTTAGTATGGGTGCCCTGCGTCGCCTAAATTGCAGTGGCATGATAGAAGCTCGAGACTGTCCGTGTCGGGACGGACGATTTCTAGTTGCCACAAACCTAGAGTGAACACATGCCTAAGCAGCCAATGACCGTTATATTTATTGCACTTGTCCATCTTAGCATAAACTCAATACCTCATTATTCTGAACTATGTTCTGACCATCTATATGAAGCATTAAGAATTGCATATACAGTATTCACAATGGTTGAGCTGGACCTTGAGGGTACTTCACAATGTTGACAAAACAGCCGAACCAGTCGACGTTGATACCAATTTGTAAGGTCCCATGGATGCAGACCCAAGTCAACTCGTACTGTGATAGATGTAATATGATTCATTGTTTCATGGCTATTTCAAGAATGCCTATTGACACCATCTCGAGTTGGTTTTATTCTCCCCCTCTATACGAGGCTGGGGCCGAGATCCACAATAGCCTCTTGAAGCCTTGGATGATCACCAAAAAGGTGATGTTCCACCTTCTGTACCCGAACGGGTCTGTATATTGCTTCCAGACATAGGAATCGCTAACCCAAGCCCCACCAGAACTGCGTAACAATTGCTACGCAGTCGATGTGTGGTTGTTGATTATGAGGATTCGGATATGATCTCGAAGCCGACAACAAATCGAGGAATCTCGTATCGGCTACACCGACACCCGTCGTGTTGAACAGCCAGGGGCAATTCGACGAGATACTAGAATAGAATACTGGATCATCCAGTCTATTGCTGCCACGCGGCACGCTCGTGTTGAAGCGCCGTCATCGACTCATCAAGTGATCAGTATCGCAATCCAACACAGATCGTCAGATACGCAGCGGGGGCATCTTGACATGCATCGGAGCCGTTGCTACCATCCATTGACGGCCAACTCAAATGATGAAACTCTTCGAATAGATCCTGATGCAATGAAACATACCCAGCAGCCCTATGGGGCCACCGACTGGGTTGTTGCGCAGCAGTGCAACACACAGCTGCATCGGCAGCCACTGGAGATTGCGTGATGCAGGCATTGGGCCCCTCCAGTGACAGATGAGGTGCCATGATAGGGCAACGATGGCCCCAAGGCCTGCAAGACAAGTGCACGTACTCTGCGCGCAGACAGATCCCTCCAACGTCCTCTCTCCATTGTTTCCCTGACTTGCGAAGATGTTACAGCCCAGCAAGGGGCGGCAATGACGTGATTGAGGTTGTCTTGTTTCCTTCTCGTACCGACTTCCGGTCTCCAATTTGGAAAGATGAACATGCGAGCCAAGGTGTCAAAAGTGGATGGGGACAGCGTCGCTTTTCGGAACACGACCCCACACTTCGATCATGATTTATTAATATTCAATGTTCCGATGGTGGCGTCGTATCCTTCAGCCTGGGACGGGAAGGAATGTGCGTTCGCACCAGGATCCAAAACGCCTTCGAGACAGATGGCCCCCCTGCTCCAGTGCTTGTGGGTTTGATTTCTTGTCTGACAATACCAGTGCGCTGAGTCTGATATTTTGTATCACTACATATTGGACACTGCCTCCTGTGATAACATGTAAGAAAACGATGGCCTATACGGATTCTGGAGATATTCTCAATTTCCGAAATACACGCTGGAACTCCGTCCGTATCGTACAATTTAGAGAGGGGTTGCAGATGGCAAAGAAATTGTTGATCTCAGTGCGAGAGCGGAATTACTCTCGTCTATCAATGAATGTAGATGTAGCAGCCGTGCATACCGTTCTTGTTTCATCTCAAGCCAGGGCGGATATTCGTTACCACTGCAGAATATCGTTTGAAAATAGCTGCCCAACGCAAGCCAGTCAGTAGAAAATACGAGACTGTTTTGCTGACGATCCATTCAGACTGCTTTTGTGTAGGACGGACGGATGAAAACACTCAGAGCGCAATAATGCTCAACCATATCCTCGTGCTACGAGTTATACCTACTTAACGCTCGCAGATAGGTGACGGTGGGGTTCTTCTTCCTTGTAAGAGATTGTTTGTGTTATTCAAGGCAGGTTTGATTTCTTGCCTAATCGCGCAAGTGTAAAACTTGAAGCATATACGTTGTACATAAGTGAATACATCTTAGTTGTTGTGAACCTTTTGTGTAATTACATAGAGTATAGCCGCACCATACATTGAGCTGCTACTAACCCATCGATGGCCTCATCCTCTGATCAGACACCTTGTAGCACTGAGCTTGCCGCCGTTGGAACCTAATGTACGGTGTTTACATAGCCCAGTTAGCCTTTCATCAAATCTCCTTACAACATCAACTCGACAGCGGCCAATCGTGATGAGATGTATATTCCTCTGACAAGCATGATGCGCCTTTTGAGACATGACATTATCATTTCCTATGCCAAAGAACCATGACTAGGCTCCCTTTGGTCATATATGTACTCGGAAAGAAGCCAGGAGAGAGCCACGATATATGCCAAGAGCAAATGCATATGATCATGTTCTCCAAGCTCAGAGCGCAATCCTGAAATGCGTTGAGCATTACTAATTACAGTTTTCATGAAAGATTGGATAGATTGGTCAACTCATGTTTGTTATCGGCCTCGCAATGTATTTTGCAGTCGTTCCGAGGGCCGCACTGCAGGGCCTTATGCACGAGGCAGTTAGTAGTGAACGCAATATCCAAGATCGAAACTTGGATCTCGGCTCGCAACGTCTCCCACAGCAAGGAGTACATCGATATTCATGCCTAACGCACTGAGGTATCATAATGTCTTCCGTCTGGCCATGTATAGAACTTCTTACGTTAATAGTCATCAATAGTGATATTGAGATTTTTCACTCCCTCTTACAAGGAGATACCTGTTGTAACAACCTGTCGATAACGATGGACTGAGAAGTAAAGCTCGAGGCCTCACAGACAACATATTTCTCTCTCGATCTTCTCCACATGACAATGTGACAGAAGGTGAAGTGCAGCATTTCCCCCTCTCCACCTATCCTCTAACTTTTGTGTTTGTATAGCCGATTTATATTCTCAAAACTCCTCGTGACTATTTGCTCAAATAACACTCAAGGTCTTCATGCGAAGCAATCGTCACCTGATCAAAATCCCTCGCGTTCCCTTTCCAGGAATCCTCACAGATTCCAAGCACCTCAAAACCATCAACAATGATTTCCGGGCGGGATGGGCCCTTGGCTTCTGTTGAAGAGAGCTCTCCTCCATTATAGGGCTCATGAGTGATTTTGCCACGATATCGAATCTCGTTCAGGCGATACGCAAATACGAAATCCGACGTTCTTCCAACAGATTCGGCATGTGATGACTTCGATCCCAGTCCAGCCCCAGCACCGACTGGATCAATCCCTGTGTTCAAGCTGACCTGTGCAGACCCAGAAAGTCGAGCCTCAGCCTCATTGCTACGTGAGATCCTGGCGCCGCTCACAATGCGGACGCCCGTGACCATGTACACTCGCATGCTGAAAGACCACTTCTTGAGGCTTGCCGGCACATCGCCATGACCCATAGCTGCTCGGACATAATCGAGTGATGGTGTCATTGTTATGCTATCGAGCTTGTCGAAATGCCAGCTGAAGCTCTTCGATCGTGTAGAGACGGCCTCGGTGTTTGTCGAAACTAGGTAGAAACTTGCCCAAGCATCAAAATGCGCGGCGAGCTCGTCGTTCACTCGCACGTCAAGGTCTTCACAAGAAGTATGCTCAACGATTAATCCTTGGGGGAGAGGCAGCGGTCCAGCCGGCTGCAGTGCGTGAGATGGATACTTCGGCTTGGCAAGGATCTGGCCAAGTTGAAGGCTTCCTCCAGGTTGATAGTCACAGGACTTGGTCAAGATCCACCTCTTCGATCTTGCCATGGTAAATACATTCCACGTTGCCAAGGGAGAAATAAATAAGGACAAACCCAGGCAGTAGACGAACGTGCTCAATGAATGGGATAGTAAATGTGATTCCGGAAGATTGAGTTCCTTCACGAGCTTACGTTCGCGCAATAAAAGTATGCAAGGGGATCTAGAATACACGGTAGAAGACACTTGTACTGCACCACACTAAGGAGCGTCAACGAAATGGGCTGCCTCCTGTTCAGCTCCAGTGAGTCTAACAGTGGCGGTGACCCTGGTCCAGCTGTAAGCCCATGCTGCGTGAACAAGTGAGATATCTGGTCGCCCAATAGTGTCCTCCACGTGAGAAGATTGGGACTAGGCTCATGTATTGATGTGTTGTTGCTGACACATATCTGGCGCGCATAATCGTAATGGCTACATGATTGGACTGGATGGTACAGCCTGAACTCAAGCCTACTCGAACCTTCTAAACTTACCTTTCAGAGCTCCCATGATTTCCCTGGCAATATCCGTCATATCCGCTTTCAATAGCAGCCTCCAAGGCTTAATGAAATTGTAGCCACATCCTCCCTTCTTATGCGTCATGCATTTCCAGATCACCATCCGCATATCATCGGTCTTCTGGAGTTTGGTCTTCATCTTGTTCCAACTCTTCAGTTCGTCGTCCCTTAAGGTAAGGCCGTTGTATCGAGAAAAGTCCAAAATCAAGGCGGCAATACCTGCAGCAATGATAGTGGCGGATGAAGTCCCATCCAAGATTTTGTAGGGCTGATTGGAATTGTGACTCTGCAGAAGCAGTGGCCAGGAAGCCTTGATACCTTCACCCACTGCACTGAGATTTGCCTGACCATCAATGCCTTCTGGACTGAAGTTTGACTTCATGTCTGCAGCCGAAGATGAATTGACACATATAACGTGCTCTGATGCGCGGGCTGGAAACCCGACTGGCTCACTCTCGAGGGCGGTGTTGTTGGATGCTGCAGCGAGTATGAGCACCTCTTTCTGTTTCTGAACGGCGTCCATAGCATCTTCAATCTCGGCTTGGTCGTTGGTGAAAGCGAAACACATGGTGATGATATCCACGTCCCACACCTTAACGGCATAGCGGATAGCCCTATATATGTTAGTAATGTGGACCTTTCTCTGGGCACAGTTGTGTAACTGTCGTACCTTCGCGATAACAGAAGCCGGCTTGGCCTCTTCATCTTGATTCAATGTATGGAGATCCTTGAAAACCCTTGTCGGATACACTCTTGTAAAGGGCGCTGTTCTCAGCAGCGTGTGACACATATGCGTCCCATGTCCATCAAGGTCCACGACGCCATGTTTGTTTCCTTGGTCATAGAGATCAATACCAGCGTGCAGTTGGCCGTTCCGCAGGTAATCTTCAAATTCAGGATGTGTCAGATCAACGCCTGTATCAAGAAGAGCAATCCTAACGAGGCTCTTCAATTCGTCATCGTCGACATCTGGGCTCCCAGTGTCGCTCAATTTTCTTCCTCGGCGTGAGTTCAGGACTGTGTGGACATCATCCAGCTTCTTGAACCAACGATCCGTCTCAGGGGTCCTATAATTTCTCAGATTGTGCGATAAAACGAAGAATGTAGAACAGTGTTGCTTACCTCTCTGCAGCTGCTGTAGAAGCATACCCATTTGTCAGGAGGTGCTTGATATCAACTGGAATGTGTTGTCGTCGAGGAAGGGATGTTTGCTGAGATTTCGAGGGTCCGGGTTCTTGCTCAACGATTGGGGAAAAGGGACAGATATTCCTTTGAGTGCGGTAGACGGCCTTGAACTGAGCATGTGTGCACTTGCTTGAGCTGCTTGTGCCTATAGCATTTGTGTTTCCGATCTGGTAGATCTGATTCCAAGGGACCTGAGCACATATATTGTAGTCCTTCTCTAGTTCTCTTACGATGTTTTCGTAGAGAAATGTGAGAAATGCTGGATCGTATAACGAGGCTGCTTCTCGTCCGCCTGGGTAAAGCTCGATTGAATCATTACCAAGGCAAAAGCTAATGGCCTTGCAAATCCCGCTTCCTGGACCAATATACTTTCTGATGCTCTCAAGGATGTGCCTGGCTCGGGTGAGCGGTGTGATTCCCGTTTCAGGAGTGGCCCGTTTCAGCCGGTGCTTCTCAATATCAGCTATTAGTATTCCCAGAGCTTTTATTATAGGAAACGCATGTGCGAACTGGCTGTGTGATTTGCGGACCGAAGGAGTCAGGGAACTGAAGTAAGTTGGTATGAAGACCTGGGTGAGCGAGGAATCAAGAAGATGAGAGCGGCCATCATCTCGACTGCGACGGCAAGACAAAAAGATAGTATCCAGAGATAGCGCATCCTCGTTTGGCATCCATGGGCCATCGGTCAGGATCAAAACTGCTCTTGCGACCAGTATCTCGACCTTCATAGCCATGGCGAAATTAAATTTTGAATCCGAACAGAGGGCTCTGAGGGAAACGATATCGAAACTTTGTGAACGGTCGCTGATCACGTGAAGTCGATCCCGAGACCTGCGAGCTTCGTTGCCGTGGTACCAAAGTCTGCTGGTACCATCGAAGAGAAGCGATAAGCAGAAATCTTGCACATCGTCGCTGGAGATCTGGCAGATGCACTCATCGGGTTGAATCCTGTTTCTGGTCAGCTTCATTACGTTCGCATCTCTTGAGAGGGAACCGCAAGAATAGCATCCATTGAAACTTACTATCCTTCGTTTGCCGCGTATTGGAATTCGCAGAGTTGGTCAATACCATTTCCTTCGAGTGCAAGGAAGAAGTCTTCCATCGGTTCATTGGAAAGGAGCCAACGGGAATCCAGTTCGACAAAGGCTTTCTCGCATGAGCCCAGAGTGAATTTGTTGCCAGGCTCTCTTGCCTGGTATTGATGTTCCTGACATGGCCAATGGCGATGCAATGTCGCGTGCAACTTATTGATTAGCTGCTTGATACTTTCAGTATCCTGCCGCAAATGCAAAGCCGGAGGAGGATCGCTAGTTGAGTCGGTATCTTCAAAGGTCTCTGTGTCGCCGTCTTCAGGTTCCTCATCGTTCAGGCTATTGACTGCTTCCAGAAAGGGAAGCAATCTTCTCAGGCGGTCCGCTCTGTTGGGCTTAATAGCTGCTTCTATTGAAAAGGTCGGAGACGTCTGATAGAGTTCTACCGCTTTTGGTAGCAGAAGGTTCGATGTATCGCGGCCAATGTTGCTCCTAGGGAAACTACCGATAACCATGTGGTCGAAGACATCTTCGAATTTCGTTATCAGCGGGCCCAACCTCTCTTCTGCTGTTGGGTCTCCTGGTGGCACCTCGTTTCTCCTGAGGATGCCTGACAACTCGGTGTGGAGCACGCTCAGGTGAAATAGAATATTGTTGAAATCTTTATGGCTAAGTTCTGCTTTGATGGCTCGTGCTTTGTCAGAGTGTTTCGACCGTAGACTACTGGAAAGGGCTTCCGTGATAATGTGGAGTGCATGCACATTGCTCCATGCCATGTTACCAGGCTATGGTGTCATCTGTACGCCTCTAAAATTAGAAAGTGAGCGAGAATAGAGCAGAGCGGAGCTGAAAATAAGATGAGATGGAAGGCCCTGTCTACAGATTCAAGCATGATGACCGTATGGTAGCTTTGAGGTATGATCCTTCAATTACGAGCTCAGAATTCTTCCTTGAGGCGGGGAACATAATGTGAGGTGACGTTCAGGCAAACCCAAGCTATTCACGTGATTTGCTGACAGTATTACCCCTCTTTGCTGAAGTGACCCCGATCATGATGTTATCTCTGTCATGTCATGTTTTTCATACCTTATATGTTGCTGGTTTTTCATCGATTGTTATGCTTCTCCCGTCATGGATACTCATGCTCCAAGCTCGGGCTTTGATATCTCCACTTTGACGAAGGATTGCTCCAATCTCCTGGAAGAATGGACTGGTATGGCCAAATCAAGATCTGAAGCAGAGTTCGAAGTTGCTTCGAGCATCAGATTTCGGTTCAATTTATGGGCTCAAAACAATGCAGCATTGTCACGAGGGCTTGACTCGATGGACCAGCGGTTAAGGAAAGCACCTGTGCTGCGATGCAAGATTATAGACTTACTTGAGGACTTTGCTTCTAGCCTGCGAGGTTAGTCAAATCAAGACCAAAGTTCTTCCTTGGAACACACGCTGAGCACAACCGGCTAGCACGGAAAGGTCCGTCAGGAAGTGCAGCCTCACAGATTGTATCAGATAGCGACTTCAATCTTTCACTGGACCGACTACCTCGATTATCTAGGGCCATCAGACGGTCTGGTATCTCACGCAGGCTTACGAGGCTTCTCAATACATCGAGGAAGATCAGGGTGAGATAGCCAAAGCAACATCAGCCGAGTTCGAACGACTTGTGCGTCATTACTTTGACTGGAAAATAAAGGACGGTGGCTATGAAGCCCTCAAAGACAGTCCACTCAAAGAGCGTCTCGTAAAGACCATCAGTCTTCGACAGAATTATTTCGAATATCTCACCTCACAGCGAGCTTCCCGAAAAGTTGTCTCGTTAAGACCCTCCCACGAAATTTCTGACAGCTCCATGTCACGGATCAAGAGTGAAACGTCGATATCAAATTCGACATCTTATGATCCGGCACGTGAAAGAGAATTCACATCACAAGTAGCGACCCTCTCTGATTCTGAGGTTCAACCTAGCTTGAGTTATCATTACGCTGAGGCTCAAATGGAAACGTCTGTGGTCGATCTGCCACGACGACCGCTTGTGCCCGACGAGCAGACGAAGATTATGGAGTGCCCATACTGTTATCTTGTTTGTCCGGTTCATGAATTCACTGAACAACATTGGGTGTAAGTCTGCCATATTACCGAGGCAGCAAAATGTCTGATACTGACGAACATGCTGATAGGACCCATATTGTTTCAGATTTGATGCCGTTCATCTGCATAATCACACCGTGCAAGGAACCACGCGACATGTATCGCACAATGGAAACATGGATGTCACACATGATGAAGAACCACGCCCAAGACCTATGGACCTGCGTCCATCGAGATCACACATCAGACATGGGCTTCTCTTCAGAGCCTGAATTCCGCCAACACATGCTTAAGATGCATAAGGAAGAAGTGGCTGAAGAGGACATAGACGAAGTTGTCCAGGAATGTCATACTCGAATCTCACCCTTCAATTCCATTCAAAAATGCCCAATATGCGGCGACACCAGCTTCGGTGACAACCAGGATGTCCAGGGCCATATTGCATCGCATCTTGTGTGGTTCTCTCAAATCTCGGTGTCCGGTCACATTATTCCGGAAAGCTTCAATCTGGAACATGACTTAAAGGCCCACGAGTCCCGAAGCACACTATTTGTGGTTCCAAATAGTGACAATTCGGCAGAGATAGCATCGATACTTGAAGCAAATGCAGATGAAGACACTGAGGAGGTCTTTCAAGCTGAAGAGCTTTCTGGCGACATTAGCGGACCCGCTCCTGACCTTGGTCCACATGATACCCAGACTTGGAAAGAAGTAACGGCGAAAACGTTGCATTCAGACTATAATCTAGCTGATGATAATGTGATTCAAACGTTGTTCTCGGCTCAGAAGCCCGATCTCCAGATGGAGCCAATCGAGGAAGACTCTACCATGGTTGGGCCAGCTGAGACTACCACTCCGACAAAGTCAGCCGTTTCCATGGCTCCTCGCCCGGAGGCAGAAATCACCTGGGACGCTGCACCTGTATGGGATCCCTACGCACAGAAATACTATTGGGAGGGTGTACGGCTTGAAGGTTCGCTCTTTTATGACCTTTCTCATTTTTTCCTTCCCTTTCTCATCATCCTCTTCCCGTGAGCAACCTTTCTTTCATCTGACTATCACCATTAGGCCGAAAGAGAGTACGGAAATACGCAAGACTTTCGACAAATTTTGACGCAAACGGCAACCCGCTACCAGACATGAGGCCTCCTTCCATGGGTGCTTCTGGTGTGTCCTCAATTCCAACTGTTCAGGATCAAAGTGATGTGAGGCCGAGAAAGGCACCGCATCTCATGGGAGATCAGGCCTCCAAAGAATATTCAGACCTTGGTAAGCTCGAATCAGTGTGTAGCGGTAGTATTCTCGTTAATTAGACTGCAGGATTCGAGCTCCAACCACATACGAAGTTCAAACCTGGACAGGAAAGATACCATTGGCAAAGTGATACCTGATATGCGCTTTTTCGCTTACTTGAACTTCGTTAGATTATCAAAGTCAAGTGGAGTGAACAGAAAGGCGCGCAGCGGAGCTCCTCCGCACATGTAAACAATCTGCCGGCAGATCAACAGAAGGAATTCCGGATGGTATCTCGCCTCTTCATTATCTTTAAAGATTATGAGGCTCACTGTACCTGCGTGTAAATTGCAGACTTCCTTCTTGGGCATAAATGACATGATACTGACCGCACGACGCAGTCCTATCTATACATATGAAGACCAAGGATGTACGAAACGGGGTGGTAAACCGGGGGAACACGGTATCATATACGTGGACTCGCCTGATAATTTTCCATTGCCGTTGCCGGGGGAGCCTCAACTTGGCTTCTCCCCTGTTCGTGGTGTCGTGTCGACAGTCGGCGCACAACTGATAAACAGTGCCTCGAGGGTGAACTATGCAAAGGTTGATACTGTCGAGCACCACGCCCAAATCGATATCATTGGGTCAATCTTTCTAGAAGACTGGAATGTTGTAAAAAATGCAGTAAGGAGTTTCTTTGAATGAATGAGGGTGTGGAGGCGGGAGGTATTCTGGTTGTGGTCATGAGTGTGCTCGCAAGATATGGAGTTGAGCCTCAGCCTGTTCTTTTCAGAAAGTGTGGCAGAAGATGGGAAAGAATCCGAATAAGATGACTACCAGGAGCACATGATCTGCCAATTGTGTAAAAGGCACGCCGCCCCTGGCCAAGGTATCGCTTTAGTGGCATGCTGCACATAACCCACGATGTGGCCACAGCTTCTTGTGATAGCTGCTCAATCTCCATGATTGCTGATATCAAATGTAATCATGTCAACATCAATCACCCTTATTGGATCCAGAGACATCTAAGAGGGTTTGTGATGGTGGTCTTGTCCACTTTTCTTTGATTATGAAGTGCTGCTAACCAGTCTACCTTGAGGAGGGTAATGCATTGAATTGCACCAACTGATAACCACACCTTAATCACACAATATCCTTCAAGGTCAGCCAAAGAGACTGACCTCTTGTCCCCCATCCATCCACAAGGAACAAATGGCTGACATTGCTCATAACATAGGTACTTCAAGACAAATATATATAAGTTTATGGGCACAGCGCTTTGCTGTGGCACTAATCGATTCTATGGTTTTTCTCTCTTGTCTTGATACTGAGTCTGAAATGGTCATCCTCGCACTGTTCCCTGTTGCTCAAGATGAAAACTCATCACTGCCTGGCCTTCCTTATCTCTGGAGTATGATTCCCGGTTCTCCTTTAGCCTATCAACCGAAAGCAGAGAAATTCCAAGTCCTGCTAATATTTTCTTTCGGCACGGATTGATAGAAATCATCCTTCAATGTTTGCAGGGTAAATTTTCACTCGGTGGGCCAGGATGCCAGGATGTCAGCGGGAGGGCCCGGAGGCTTGATCCCGGACTTGTTACCTCCACCCAAGCAAAGTGACAAGGACTAACCCTGGGCTTGTCATCTTGGGCTGAAGGGGTAACCTTGGTCGCTTTGGGGTTGTGGGCTGGTGAAACGAGACATGAATAAAGTACTTATGTTTGTTTTCTTTCTTCCTCAATCTGAGCATCCATCCAGAATGTGATGAGAAGAACAGGAATGTCAGGTCAGGGCGGGCTCATCTGAGCAAAGATGAAGTGTCTAAAGCTGCAGAAGATCCAGACAACAGACTCGGCAGAATGAGGTCGAATGCTATTGTAGTCTGGTACATGCTGCTATGAAAAGAGGTGGCGGGGGATTGCGTATAAAAATGACGACGAGGCCAAGTACCAACCATGATACTTTTTGCCCAGTGCACATGCAAAACAGTAGACTAAATACTTACTTATTGTAAGTGCATGCAGCGTAGTGTTCCTGCTAACCATAGTGTATGACAGCAGGAAATAGGCCGTCTCAATTTTTGGGAGGTGCGCTAATTCTCTGGCCGCTGAAAGGAAAGCAAAGGTTGGTAGGCTCGTAAACACGAGGTGAGGCCATGACCGACCAGCCACCAAGATGATGCAAGCCTCAGACCCTCCCCCGACCACCGACTTTTTTCTTTGGGCTCTCGTACAGAAACAGACGAGACAAGGCAATGCGATTGATGATCATAGCTTCATTCACTTCTTTTTCCTCCCTTCTGTTTCTTTTTATCTTGTTTTTGTGACAAGTCTGGGTCTCCACTCCCGCGTAGCACAGCACGGACGAGAAAGAAAGAAAGTGGGCGTGTATTCTGCTCTTCTTTTACTTTTTTTTCTTTCTTTCCTCTTTGCCCCAATTTTTTGCCTCAGTACTTGAGCTTTACTTTTTCTCTGAAGACCCCCACCACCATCAAAAACCCCACTACCAAACACGCCCCCTGGCAAATGATGAGCTCACCGCCCAGACCCCGCGTGCGACGTGAGAGGGACCGTTTTGAAGAGCTCGAGGCGAGGTCCAGCAGAGAGAGCCAGCGAGGACTTGCCCCAGCTGTGCAGATGCCCCCTGCAGTGCTGCCATCGTCAACAACAAAAACAACGCCAACAACATCCTATCGTCACCATCTCCACCAACATCGCCCTCACCACCATCGAGACAATAGCAACACTACCTCTTGCTCGTCTGGCTCACCGCCCTCGTCTGCCGGCTCGGATAAATCCCAGCAGGACTCGCCCACTGTTTCTTCTTCCTCCCCTGCATATCCAAATTACTACGATTACTCCGAAGGCGCTGACGTCGTCGCCACCAAGAATAATACTGCCGCCCAGCCGCAGGCGCCACAACGGCAGAAGCAGCAGCAGCAGCAAAACTCACCAAGACGGAAGCCGATCAACATGGCCATGCAGGTTCCCATCCCACCACAACAGCCACTGCAGCACCGATTGGTCGATCATCCCGCCGGCGGCTCCTCTCGCCCGCGCTCCTCGTCGACTTCAGCGGGTCCTGGCTCTACTGGTGCCGCCCACGCTGCTGTCCCTGTCAACCTGACACAAGCTGGAGGCACTCGAGGACTTGCTCCTCCTCCTCCTCACATGAACTTCAACAGTAACAATCACTCCAACAGTTCGACCAGACCTTCTTCTGGAACAACTACATCGACATCCACCTCGTCATCATCAACAGCACCTGCAGCAGCTGCAGCAGCAACAGCTCGTGACCACCAGCCTCCTTCCTACGCTGCTGGTATGATGGAGAGCAAGCCACAGCCCCGCTCGCCTGCAGACGACCTCTTTCCCCCCAACAAGGTCGACCTCGACGCTGCCCGCTACCGTCAATCCCAACAACAGCAGCAGCAGCAGCAGCAGCAGCAATCTCAATCTCGTCGCGAGCGTCCCACCCCACCGTCCAAGGACCCTCGCGACAACAACAGACGCCCTTCCCAACAGTCCAACGGCCGCCCCTCGTCCAACACCATGGCTGCAGGCGGTGCTGTCCACCACGGCCACCCTCCTCCCTTCTCTCCCGGCGGTGGTGGTGGACGCCCCGTCTCACCCGACTCCTCTCTCCTGGCGACGCCCACCGGCCTAGGTCTGGGCCCTGGCATCCAGCGCATGCCGACCCCGAGCCTGGCCAGCTCGGTCCTGCAGCCCCTCGACGCAAAGGTAGCCGAGTACGGCGCCCTGATGGCCGAAGCCCAGGCCGAGACCGTCCGCCTCGACGAGGAGATGCGCGCCCTGCAGGAGCACCAGCGCGAGGCCGAGCAGCGGTTTCTCGAGGCCAAGGCCAAGCACGATGACTACCGACGGCAGTACGCTGACGTCGAGAGGGCGCTGCGTGGGGACCTTAGCGGCGTGGGTGGTAGCAGCGGTGCTCTGGCGAATGGAGCCGGAGGAAGAGGCGGTCAGTATGGCAGTGGTAGGGACCGTGGCGGACGGGATGGAGGAGGTGGGTTTCATGACGATGAGGATGGTGGTGATGGACGTGTTCCTCCTGTGCCGTCGATGCCCAACCTGCACCATTATGGCCAGGGCAGCGGCAGCGGCAATCTCCTTCGCGGCAACAACCCGCACCCGGGCATGCAGAGCCAGAGGACCGTCAGCTACCAGAGCGATGACGGCGAAGGGCGTCCTGGCTCCAAGAGAGGTCGCTGGAGCAAACTGTTTGGTGTCTGACGGCGATTGGCCTTGCAACGGGCCATATATTGCTTCAGTGGCGGCGGTGCTGCAGAGTACGAACAAAGCGGAAGAACAAAATGGGGGGATGGAATGAATGAATGAATGGATGGATTGGATAGGGGTAGGATTGGCTTTGGAGGGGCGTTCTTGAGGGGCTCAATTTATTTATAATATGGTGACGGATGTTGATGTGGAGGAAGAGGACTTGCACATGGACAACGATATCATGACCAAGGAATACAGGTTCCCCTTTTCTTACTTTTGTCTCTTCTTCTTTTCCATACATGGTAAGGCATGGACGAAAAGGGTTCAAGGATGGATAATTATGATACAAGTTGCACGACGAGATGGGGAAAGGGAACGGGATGCAGGACGTATCAATGGACAAGGCTTGGCTATGAATACAGAATGATGGGGTGGATAAGATGGAAGACTAATGAAGGACAGACATGAACGTATTTATGCATGGGTATCATATTTTCTCACGACCGTAATATAATTATTCCCTTTACCTTTCTATACCGCCCTTGAACCAACCCATCTTATACTTCCAAACTCCCGTTTCAGCGCTCCCTCCCAGCCCTGACGACCTAAACTTCATTAACTTATCATTCTACCCTTTTAACATACATTACTCCCATTACATCACATCTTCACATCCACTCGGCTAAAATAATCATCAGCCAAGTCCCTCGGTCTTGGCTCGTCATCCAACCCATACTGCCCCAAAGTAGGCGAATCCCGCGGCCTCAACAGCTCACCAAGTCCTCCTCCTCCTCCTCCCCCCCTCCTCCCCTGCATCTGCTGCTCGCTCCTCCCATCGCTGCCATCATCGTCTCCACGATTCTCCATCGTCGGAGTCGTTGTCGGCGTCGTTATTCCCATTATCCCTTCGACATACCGCACCATATTGCCCGCACTGTACGTGGACGACCGTGGCGTCGAGACATAGCTTGGGCGCGCCGACGACGCCGCCCCTTCTTCTTCTTCAAGGGTCGTTAGCTTTCCGAAGGGGGCGTGGGAGTGGCCTGGATACATGCCCGTCATCATCGTCAGCGCTGGAGGCGGCGGCGGCGGCGGCGGCGGCGGCGGCGCTGATGTGACTGGTGATCTCTGCGGGGTAGCCAGGGTCACTTGGTCGCTTTGCCAGCTGTTGTTGCTGCTTCTTCCGCCTCCTGTGCTGGGGCTCATGAAGCCGCGTGTATTCGCCGTCACGGGTGGTGTCATGGTCGCGTACGTATTGTACCAGTAACCGCCGCCAGGAAGCAGATAGTCCATAGACTCCCCGCTTCCTCCATAGTACCGCTGTTGCTGTTGCTGCTGCTGCCGTTGCTGCTGCTGCTGCTGCTGCTGCTTTCGTTGTTGGTCCATGGCCACACCTCCCACTCCACTATAGAAGGAAAGTTCATCCTTCATCGAAAGAGCAGCATCAGGTATATCGACCAGTCCAACCAATCCATGTCTACTCAACGGCCTGGCAGGGCGCACTGGCGGCGGCGGGGGTGGCAAAGGAGCGGGAGTCTGGTTAGGCATTATGTCTTTGGACATCATCATATCATCGTCATCGTTCTGCCGCTGTATGAGGTGGAACTCCTTGGGCGAGGAGCGGCCTCGGTCGTAAGCTGGGAGTAAGAGGCGGAGGGCTGGCAAGGAGGAGGCGAGGATGGTTAGGGTTGGGTCTATCACCGCCGTGAGGAGGATGTGTATGTTCTGAGCTGAAGGGAGGGAGGAAAACAGAAAATTGAAAGGATTTCAGGTTAGCTATGGTAACATTCTTCTTCTTCGTTCCCACTCCTGTGCTTTATTGGGCTTGGAGGACTGCTTACTCGTAAAGTTGGCGTCTGTCAGGAACGAGATTTCAACGGCTGTTGCGATGGCGCCTGCAGCGGCCCTGAGTGATGAATAATAAACAATATCAGTCTTCATGATTTGCGTGGTTTGAATCACTATTCAATCAACCAGGTAGTACTCACATCAGGCCTAGAGCCACCAAGACACTCGCGCCCACCTTCTCACCGCGATGAAGGCTGCTCGACCACACGAGCATGACACCAACGACAACCAGTGCCAGGTCGCAAAATGCAAAGTATGCTGAGGCGAGGCCCAGGGTAAGCTTGTCTGTTGCCCTCATTTTCCAAGAAAAAGTATATATATGGACATATATGAAAGTTCGAAGAGAGAAGGAGAGTATAGCAAAGGACTGCTTACCTTGTGCGCTGATTTGGATTGCGCTATCGACCCTTCTGGGCCAACACGTCCCATTGGCACTATCATTCCATGCTCCGAAAACCGGCTTACACCTCATCCAGTGCGCCAGAGTGGTGCCGATAGCCTCCATGTTGACGGAAGCGATCACCACACCCAGGGCCCATAGTGCGCGCCGCTTCCTCCCGAGCCCCAGGAGCGAGATCCCCAGCGCAGACTTGCTCCACGCCGCGGTTGTGAGGGCGAGGGTGCGAGCAACATTGTCGAGGAGGAGCAGTGACGAGGAGGAATACGACAGGGAGTTGATTGCCTGCGTCGTCGTTCCCAGCCCAAGGGCAAGCTCGAGGGATGAGGTGGTAGAGTAGAAGACGACAAGGACCTTTTGCAGTGTATTCGTGTCAGGGTTAGTGCCAACTTTCTCCCTTCCTTGAAGCTGTGCGTGTGCGGGTGTCCATAATAATTATTCAGGAGTGTACGTCGAAGGAGGAAGGCAGACTGCCTGCATACCCATGTGATAGCAAGAAATACATCGTCGGCTACCAAGCCAACCCTTCTGTACCATATTGCAAAGAAGCGCAGGGCAAGGAAAATGCCCGCCACGATCGTCAAGGCCCACGTGACGATGTGTGTGAGGAGGACGGCCTGACCCTCAGTAAGGCCTCGTAGAACTAGTCTGGATGGAGTTGTCGTTGTCTGCGCAGCGGAGGACAAGAAAGAGTAGAAGGACATTCCAGTCCACGGTGGGACCATGTTGGCGCACCTAAACCACTTGTCCAGGCAAGATGGGTTGAGACTCACGAAACGAAGGAGCCTGTCCGTTCAAGATATTACTCAAGATGGGCTGCTGGTTGGGTTGGTTAGTATGACCGCGTCTTACCGAAGAAAGGAACCAGACCGCCCCAAATGGGATTCCCAGTGGGATGGGCGGTGGTGGTATAATTATCAGGGGAGGGCGTGGTGTGTTCATCTTCCTTCTTCCTCCCCTCCTTGCTGAAAAAATAAAATGAAAAAGGTTGACGGCGGCTGCAAAGAATTTAGCTAGCCCTTGTCTATCATATATCACATAAAAATCATGGATGCCCAACTCGACCTGCAAGAAGCAAGCTGCAAGAAGCAAGCTGCAAGGTAGGACCGCATCGTGCATGGATTGTTCAGCCTCGAGCCGGGGGGACACAGAGATGCATGCATGAGCATATTTCCACAAAGCCCGCAGAGGTAAGTTGCAAACAAAGAATTTCTTCTGTCCATTTTCCTTTCCCCCTTCCTTTCCCTAGACCCGTCTCTTAGGCTCGTGGGGGTGGGAGGGGGGGGGAGGGGAGGGGAAGGAAATAAGGGAAGAGCTGAAGAAGACGACAACATCCAAGGACCGGGATACTTCAAATTCTCATTGCGCGACTCGACCGGCATGGGTCTCGATCGTATGTCGTGCGACAATCATCTCTCACGCCAGCGAGGGTCCAAGGAGACCCCAACATGAGCCTCCTCGTCATCTTCATGGGACAACCCTAGGCTAGAATAGACTAAAAGAAGGGCCTGGCGCCCTCCTCCCTTTTCTTGGCTGCCTCAGGCATATGCAGGTCACTGACCAGCTACATTGAATAATAACACACACGGACTATTAAGCACTCCTGCAGGCGGCACTTCTCGTGGACCCCCTCCTCCTCCTCTGGGCTGGGGCGGTGGGGGGGCGAAAAGACCCGTTGACTTTCCAGAAAGGTAGACGGCAACGAGCGGGCTTTGAACATGTGCCGGATGATGTGATGTGGGAGACAGAGGACCCGAGTAGCAGATAAATAGCTTCCTGTGGCAAGGGGGGAAGGGGGCCATTACTCTTTTTGTCTTGATTTATGGGCCGTCATTCGGGGGCCGGCCAGATCCGCATGAGGTGTGTAAACTGGCGCCTGGAGGACAACCTTTGAAGCACACATTTTCTTTCTTTCTCTCTCATTCCATCAAGGAGGGGCCGGGATCTTCTGTCGTAATGCTAGGCCGTTGCTTAGGTTTAACGGTTTGCAGACTCGGTACCAGACTTTGTGATGGGGCCGGATGTATACAGTTCATCAGTATAAAACGGGTACGTGTTTGGGAACGGGCGATCCAGGCATGCATGTTCGGATGAGATGTCCACTTAACCCAACGCCCCCTCCCAGTGAACAAATCTTTCCTTCCTACCTGTGCTCTGGTAGGACCACAGGGGGGGATACCGTCCTAATCTCAGATCCTAGATCTGTCACAAGAGACGAATTCCTCCGTCGGGAAGCGTCAAAAGCGCGGTGCGCCTAGAGAGCTTGTTGGCTTGGTGGCTCATGCGAAGGGAGTTTCACAGTACGGATGACACATGCTCTAGAAATGCCAGAAAAAGCAGATACCACCAAAAATGCGGGCAGAGCCAGGGACCATTCCCTGCCCCAACTGGGAGATCGATCGAGATCCGCAATTAGCCGCCTGTAACAATTTGTCTTGCAGGCTTGGAAACCAGCGCATATGCATTCGAGCCAGCAATATGGGGCAGAATGCTGAGCATGGAGCCTGTGGCTCTTGGACATTGACAGATGTGAGCGCTGGAACATTTGATGAAGGTTGGTACGTACAGGACTAAGTATCGTGTGCTGCGCGATGTATCAATTCCCGCGGGCGATTCCGCCAATCTCACTACGCTACATGGCTATAAGATCCTCAAATATTGCATGAGGCCCCATCCACTTGCAGCACCCCATTTTCGTTGTACATTTGCATGCATTACTACATGCATCTACCATAGTAGGTGGTATGACAAGCCGGGAATGATCCGCGGCCTATCAAAAAGGAATATCGTAGATTGATTTTTTTTTTTTTCTCTTTCTGATTCTCGCTGGATACCAAGTACTATGGTATGATGGGTAATATTGGGCGTCCCGGTCAGGTTCTGTGGAGCTTCTTTCGTAGCGACCCACCAGTATCTGAGTGACAAGACACCCATCGAGGAGGTACAGGTGCACTCAAGACGCACGGGCCAGAAGATACTCAGCTAGCAGTACGAAACCACAGTACAATTCTGCCGTCCGATGCACGTTCGCGGCGTCAGCAGAGACTCCATGAGAGTTGCCGCGTGGGCTCCCTCTTAAAGCCGTATCGTACAACCGTGTATATATTGTGGCTTGACCTGGCCGTGGTCAATGACGACAGAATGGCATGTCGATTCGACGCCTCTCGGCTCACATTGGTCATCAGACGAAAATGAGAAGAGAAAGAAGATCCTTTGACTGGGGGAGGGAGAGTTATCTTTCCAGGCACGGACGGGCATCAATGTACACTATTTTGGCGTCTTTGGGGTCACTCCGTCTATTCAGAAGCTGCATTGAGGACTGCCCGTGAAATGCCTTAGCGATCTGCTTAGCAGTGACTGTCCTAGATAAGATGCGAGCGTTTCACGACAGGCAATTTCATACGTCCCGTTTGCCTGCACGGATATCTTGTACTTTTGGGGGGTCACACCTGCAGGGCCATTTTGTCTTCTTTCTCGGGTGCAGAGGCCCTTATCTCGTACTCTCCATGTTGCCGCCTGCAGAATATTGTAGTATGCAAGTATCCACTCACATCTTTCTTGCTTTTGGTGGATTTTCTAAAAGGCCACCTCGGCTTGTGGGTGGCATGTCTCAAGTTTGGGGACAATTGATTAGTATAACAGGGAGAGCTACGTGCATGTAACATGATATTCACCCGAGTCATAGGTACACAACGGTATCCCGTGCATGTAAAGTACGTTATTACCAATCATCATAAGAGCACGTGCAAAACCCGGACTGTCTCGTGTGACCTACCGTGTTTCAATCGTAGTCATTGCTGTAAAAGGTAACAAGATCGTCACTAGCCTGCAAACTGTGGCCTTTGCACTATGGTTTTCGATCAGCGAGGGCCATAGAATAGGGATGTTAAGGAGCTAAATGGCACACATGATCAGAGTATTTGGAAGGAAATTGTGAGTGATTCATAATCCGATCTTGTTATGCCCTAGTGAAGCTGATATTGGTTCAAAAGACCTAAACTGATGCATCGCGAAATTGAGAACATATAACGTAACGTCCTCCGTCATTCCTGTTTTCAATATATGAGTAATTACTTAGTTTTCATCTAGGATTGTCATTTTAGCAGCACATCCTGTCAACGTCTCCTACTTTGACGCAACAATTTGACTATTGAAGGAAAATATTTTGGAGGCAGAGAATCTGTAAAGCAACTTATTAATGTCTATTACTATGGAAACGGACTGTACATATGTAAAAGCAGCCACACGGAAGATGTGAATAGTGTAATCATGGCCAAAGCTATACTGTTGGCATGATGTTCCGGATGCTTCTCAACACGGGAAATTTGGTCTGCTCTGAGCCCGAGGTCCCAACCCAATGCTACCTAGGTAATGGTAATCACTTTCTCCGGTATCATTTCTTGGCTCGAGACGTCGAATCATTTTTCGTATTGTTAAGCGATTCAGACATTTCGAAACATGGAAATGAAGGAATGGAAAGCCACTCGTGTTGAACATGTCACTATGTGGGAGGGCATGTGAACAGCCGGAAGAAGCAGCCATCTAAATTATGCAAAGAACCATCTGCACATAACTTTCCACAAATTAGATGAGCAGATGCCTTGCAATTATTTTGCTGCTTCATTTTCCTTGATCGACGCACAATACATGCTTTCTGAGGCACCTGAATCACCCAAATTCTCCTCATGTTCATTACAACAAGGTTGTCAAAGTTGGTATGAAGGCTCTACACGTGCTCAATGCCTTCTCGTCCATCAATTCCAATCTATTTGCATCTGGACAGATCTGGATACTGGCTATCTTGACCATCTACTGAGGATGTTCACGTCATCTTGATCCAGCTCATAGGGTCTGGGCTAATTATGGAGAAATGAGGGAAGGCGATTACGCCAAGCAACGCATCGCGGTCTGAATCTGTCAGAATCCCCGAGTGCTGTGCCGCCAGTAGCTCTTTTGGACTTAAATTCCATTGGCATTACTGATCAACAGAAGGCATCATCCAATACCTGGACGACAAATGTAAGGGCGAGCGATGTTGTTGCAGGCCGTACGCGGGGGCTGTGCATTTGTTTGTTGGGCCCCCACTGCAGCCCCTGCCAGGCCTCCAACTGTAGCAACTCAGCTTTTTCTGTAGCAGGTTCCACATTTGCTTCGCCTCTGCGCCTCAACACAGCAAACTGTTGGTTCTTTAGCACCGCATCTCGTTCAATAGGAAAGCCGTTCGTTGGACATCGTGACACGTCTCGCAGTATCCTGATGCAAGCAGTCCAAGGTTCGCAATCCTTTAATCATGCATAGTCCTAGTAATATTTAATATTCCGTGGCTCAATCGAAACTCTGTCCTCTTTCATCTCCTCAATCTAGAGCACCAGATCGCTATCAGCAACGACTCTACCAAGAATCCACGATGTCCGCTCTTCACCCTGTGAACCCGCCTGTAGGGCGCTTGGATTTTGTCAACGCTCAACAAGAGACGACGATCATTCTCAAGGAGAAAGTGTTATCACTCACCGGTGATGCTTTCGACATCAAGGTCGATCCACGGAATGGACGAGATCCCTATCCCGTCTTGAAAGTCGACCGTAAGTAGTGACACCCACATGCGATAGGACAAGTGGTTACCATTTTCCCGGAGTATCGCCTTCAGTGGAAACTTAGCTTGCATCCATGTCCCTCGAAGTCAGTCTGACATTCAACAGCCAGTTTACTCACGAGCAAGAGGGCTTTCTTTGACATGACGGGCAACCATCTATTCGACCTCAAGAAGGAACACCTCCATCTTGTCCACGAGTACATGAAGCTCATCGACGTGAACGGCGAGAAGTTCTGCGAGATCAAGAAGAACTTGAAAGGTATGCCTGACGATGATTGCCCTACAAACAAACAAATGCTGACAACGGAGACAGTCGGCTTCGGGAGCAAGTTCACCATAACATTCACGCAGCCGGGCGGTGCAGAGCAGGTTCTTGTGATGGAAGGGAACTGGCGCGACTCGGTGGCCGAGATCAAGCGCGAGGGCAGCGGTGAGGTGTGTGCTGTCGTGCACCGCAAGTCCGCCTTCAAGAGTCTGAGCACCTTTTTGTTTGATCAGAATACGTACAGCGTCACAGTTGCGCCGGGAGTCGACTACGCCGCTATTGCCGCGGTGTGTATCGTCTTTGATGAGTGGGAGAATGATGCGCTGTGATGTTGGGGTGGAGGTGCAGGCTTTTGGGTTGATAGCGTGTGTTTATTGGGCAAGCAGATGTTTCTGTCTATTGTCTTTGATCTTTTCTGCTACAGTATGGTGAGAAAGTCGGAACTTTGTCTCGCAATATTGTAGACATTGTTCTAGAGACTAGCAGGTCGTTATCGAGAGTGCTTCGTATTGAACCATGCTACAAGCTTCGTCCGAAATCAGCCATATAAGAAACGAGAAAGTGTTGATGTTGAGGAGGATCCAATACCAACCTGAATGCCCTCCGGCTACCTCCGACCGCTCTTACATGGTCATGTCTTCCTATCTTTCCCTCTTTGCTTTGGTGCTTGGGCATTCCTGAGCGGTCTAGACCACCTCCTTTTCGACCGCCCCCCAGTGCTGCCGGCTGCTCTCCTTTTGGTCTTGTGTGCATGGTGCGCCGCATTACACACCCTACACCAGTACGAGCCCTTCAGCCTTACCGAGGCAAGTATGCACACCATTTTGACACCAGCTCTAGCACGAGTAACACATCCTGATTGTGTAGGACCACTGTCCCTTGTATTCATATACTACATAGTATAAATTATGTTACCAAGATTGCTCCCAGGATCATGGAGATCACTTCTGCCGCCCCACAAATCCAGACATACACCTCTCCAGACATTCTTCGAGTTGGCGATAACCTAACCCATATCAGAGTCAAATGAGTCTTTTACCATTACAATATGATCATTTTGGGATTGCGTACTGCACCTCTGTTTATTGCGCTGATTTTTTTTATTTTTGTTTGCTCGTTTTTTTTTCTCCCGCACGGGATGGTGGGCGCTTTGGCTAAGAACTTTAGACTCCATGGCTAAGCTGGATTAAGGTCCCTCCGTGAAGGTGGCTTTCCAATGGTAGTCTTTTTTCCCCTTCTTTTTCTTTCTCCCAATACCTCCCTTTTCTCTTTTCTTCTTTCCTTTTTTTCCTACTAGGAACACAAAATGGGACTTGTATCCCGTCAATTATATGTAAAAATAGGTCGAAAGCAATGACCACGCACCCAATTGTTCTATCAGTCTTTTCCTCCCCTTTTCTCTGTGCCTGTCTAGAATGTGTGGGGATGTAAGATGCAAGGAGAAGTGCAGCATAAGCCAATCCCACCCGCGCTCTCACGACACTTGTCAATTTGGCCAGTAAAGCAACCATTCAAATTTCACCATCACAACATCACGCCACACGATGGGTCCCTTTGGCTTAACCGTGAGCTTCCAATGGTTCCGTATCTCGGCGGAGGAAAGAGGAAAAAAAGGGGAGCGACTCGAGGGGTCTCGGATGGACTTGGCCAGATCCGGGGCGCGTACCCAGATTTGACGCTGTCGTGAACGAGTCTTACAGGGCACACCAAGCCTGTTTGGTGTAAGCGGTGCCCTGGAAAGGAAACGTGGGGGATGCGCCATCGCAAGACTAGCGGGCGAAGAACACGCCCTGCGGCTGAGATGGGGCGGAACTAAGTAATGAAATTACCATCAGGCCAATGCTCATTGTGAGGCTTTTGGTTATCCGAGGTTGCAGACATCTTTTCTCTTATTCACTCCTTTTCATCTTTCTTGCTTGAACCGGCAGCGGCAAAAGGGGGGGAATCTTTAGCTGCGGTTGTGTCTCTCATGACTTGCTGCAATTTGGTAGAAGATGATCTTAGTGGATGACCCCAAAAGGACAGGATCTGAATGTCACATAAGGAAGCTTAATATTCTCCGAAATAGTATTAACGCTGGTGCCTATGGGTGGGTCGTTGATAAGGAGAAGACTGCTATGAAAAGAGGTCGCGATGCAACCTCGACGAGGGATGCTAGGGGAGATTAACATTGTCAAATATTAAAATGGGTCCATTACACATGTGCAGGGCTTGGCTCTGGACCGGGGGGGAGGGGGGGGGGACGGGTCCCAAAGAGGAGGAGGAACACGATGAACCCGCCCTCCTTCTTATAATATTACCATCTCACCTCGTCTTCCCTTTGTTTTTGCTTCTCTCGCTCGCTCTCTTTTTTCCCTTCGACAGCCAGGTTCAGGTTCAAGAGACCAAGTAATCCCTCACGCTCGTTCCGTGTGTGTTGTTCCACAGCACTTCCACTCATTCGTCCTCTCCCTATCTTTTTCTTACGACGCTCACTCGTTTTCTTTTTTTTTTTTTAAAAAAAAAAAATTAATCATCATGCGTACCTCATCTCTCGCCCTCCTCGCCCTCAGCGGCGCCGCCCAGCTGGCCTCCGCCGTCCAGTTCCTCAACCCGGCCGAGAACGCGACCCTGACCAAGGGCTCGACCTACGACCTGGAGTGGTCCACCGTCGACACCGACCCGACCACCCTGAGCGTCTACCTGGTCAACTTTGTCAACTGGCCTCCCTACTACCAGGAGCTCGACCTCGATGTTGACACCAGCGCCGGCGAGGCCTCTGTCCGCATTCCCTGCGATGTTGACTCCGCGTATGGGTACCAGTTGTAAGTTCCAAACCAACCAAAGGGGGAAAAAGGAAAGGAAAAAAGAAAGAAGAAAAAAAAAAAAAACAAGAAGCTTCAAGATCGAACATGCATTGATAAAATCAAAATTTAGCAACGCCATCAACGGCACCAACGTCTACGTGATCTACGCTCAGACCCCCAAGTTCTCCATCGGCGGCGCCAGCTGCGTCGACCCGGTGACCACGTCGTCCGTCTGCGCGGCCGCTCCCACCGCGACGGTGACCGTCACGGTGCGTGGCAACTCTTCCTCTTCATCATCTTCCGCCACCGCTACCGGTGGTGCTGCTGCCCTGAACTATGCCTCTTCTGCTTCTGTCACCACCACCACCACGGCTGCCGGTTTCTCCGGCACCTGCCCCTCGACCATCGGTTGGAAGGGCGACTACGGCCACCCAGTCACGCTGACCAGCGTCCCCCACGCAGACCGTGGTGTAGCGACCCACGTCCCCACCGCTCCCGGCGCCCAGGGTGGAAATGGCAAGGGCGAGGGCTACCACTGGACCACCAAGACGGTGCCCAACGTTGCTGCCGCCGCGACCGAGACCAGCACGCATGCTGAGGCCGCCAGCTCCGGCAAGGGCAAGGATCTGACCGGTGCGAAGGCTGTCGGCGGCTCCAAGGGATCTTCTTCCGGCTGCCCCAAGAGCAAGCCCGCCAGAAAGAGACACTCGGACAACGGCCACGCCCACCCTTTCCCTCGCAGCGTCAGGAAGGCGTAAGAGACACGAGATGGACCTGTAAAGAAATGTAAAAGAGTTGGGTCTCTTTTGAGCGGTGGTGGTAGGAGGAGGCCTGTGCTGTGGCTGTTGCAGTGGCACCTGTTGGGTAACATGGCAGCGTTTAATAGTACTTAATTTCGCATGTTTTGCACTGCTTTGCGGGAGGACTCGGTCTGCCCTCTGTTCTTGATTTCGTGACCAGCAGTCTTGTCAGATAAAAGGAAGGGAAAAGAAGACGAATAATCTTAATTCGTATGATATGATGTTCTTTGGCCCAGTGCTTTGCTTTTGTTTCCCCCCCTGGCAAACTGTGAGGTGTAAACGAACACCCTGTCGTCCTCGTTATCCAATACCAATACACTGCAGATTGCGTCAACAGGATCGCCTTCAGGAGTAAAGCAAATCAAGCCGTCTGAGTGACTGTGTGCATTAAACAAGAAAAGAAGAAGAAGAAACCCACAGACCAAATCACGAAAGGTATCATACAGTAGCACTCTCCACCCTCCTTCGCCGACCACCCACAAAACGCCGAGGCTTTCGCCCATGATCAGAAACAAATGAAACCAATCTTCTCCCCCACGATGCTGCTGGCTTCGCTAGAGAGGACACCAGTCTTATCCTGTCCCCAAGCACAGATTCTCCGACAGGCTCCATCGCAGGCGACGAACCTCTTCAGTCGCCAGCCGCCGAGGCCGACCGTGAGGCTGCGGGGCTCTTTTTGCCTAGCGACAGCGCCGCCTGCAGCTTGCGGTGCTTCTCGCGCTTCGCCTCTCTCATCTGCGCCTCCCGCGCGATTTCCTCTAGATCTAACAGTCGCCGACTTGCTTCTGTCCGGTCCAGCATCCGACCCTCGCGCTCCGCCTTAAGTTTGCCCTCGAGGTCTTTCAGCCGGTGCATCCACTTGATGTCTGCGTCGGATGGCGCTCCTGGGGACAGCAGCGGCACTGCGCCTGCGGATGCTGGACCCGGGTCGTAGTCACGTGCGTAGTCTTTTGAATTCGACAGCGTGACGGCTTCGTTCTCTGTGTGTGCGCGCGAGATGGTTGAGGGTCGACTGGCATCGCGGCGGACCGAGGAAGAAGACGACGCCGTCATAGCCGGCCCGTACGTCCGACTGGTCTGGCGGCTGGAGCGCGACCGTTCCGAAGATCCAGAAGGCCGATCGCGCGGTCCGGTTGGGATGGCTGGGCTGGGGCTGCCACCATCAAAGTTCCTATCACCACGGGGCTCCAGACTTGCCTCCTGTGCTGCACGCGCGCGCACCTCGTTCGCAGTTCGCAGGGTTGCATTGTCCACCTGCAGCTGTCTGTTCACATCTTCAAGCTTCACTATCCGCTGGCGCAGGTTGTCAACAAGAGCCTGCGCCGCCACGCCACCGCCCCCTATCGAGCCCGTGGCAATACCGTTCCGCACAATCGACTCGAGCTTATCAAGCTTCTTCATGCGTTTATCAAGGGTCTCCTCCAGGTGTTGATACTCCTTCCACAATTCGCGCTCGATGCTCCTTGCGCGGTCTTGGAACTTGCCCATGATGGACTCGATGGTCCTCACAGCAGCCAGCAGATTCTTGCTGAAGCCGGGCAGCATGGTGGCCACAGCCTCTAGTGAGGGCAGTGCGCGCCCACTGATGAGGCTGTTGTCGTGCGCCCAGTCGGTACCACAGAGGGTCGACAGCCTTGTCCATAGCACCAGGAGGAGGCTGTTTCGCTCGTTCAGTTGCTCCTTGAGCGTCGACTCCAGCTTGGCAAGCCGTTGCTTGTCTCTGCTCTTGGACGATTCTAGCTCCTTGATGCGCAGCTCAGCAGTGGACATGTTGCCGTGGATGTGAAGCTGCGTCTTCTGGTATGTATCGAGCTCATGCTTCGTGGTACGATGAAGCTGCTTCTCCTTGTCGAACATCTCAGCCAGCCGACGGGCCTCCAGAGCGGAGGTCTCGAGGAGCTCGTCCCGGTGTTTCAGCAGGCGCTCCTTGTCGTTGAGAGCCGTCCGGGTGGTGTCGAGCTCGCGGCACGTCCTCTCAAGGTCATGCTGAAGCTTGGAGATGTCACGAAGGAAAGTGGACTTGGTGCCGTTGAGATCTCCAAGCGCCTCTCTGAGGTTGTTCTCCAGCTCTTGCAGCCGCTCCTTCCACTCAGCTGCCTCGATCTCCTGCTTAGAGAGGCTCTTGCGCAGCTTCCTGGACTCGTCCTTGGCCACCGTCAGCTCTCTGTTGAGCTGGTTGACCACCTGCTGGACCTCCTCCTTCTCCTGGTTGGTGACAATCTCGTGTTGCTGTCTCTCATTCTGCATCTGTGCCTCCAGCTCCTTGGTTTTGTCCTTCTCCTCTCGGAGGACAACCTCGAGTTGTGCCACCTGGCCGACAAGGTCGCCGATCTTGAGTTTGTCGCCTTCCTGCTCCTCGCGCAAGAAGGCGATCTCACCCTGGTTGGATTCTTGCTGCACACTGAGACGGGATACTTTGTCGTTGGCCGCCATGAGCTTCTCCTCCAGGTCCTCGAGCTCGGTATTGCTCTGCGTTAGCTCTTCCTCGAGCTGTTTGATCCGCCTGAGCTGGGCCTCTTGGGTGTCCTCGAACCGGATCATGTCGTCACTCAGCCGGCGCATCTCTTCCTGCAGGGCTTCTTGATTCTCGCTGCGCTCGACAAGCTCCTGATTGAGCCGAGCGATCTCCGCGTCTCGCTGTTCAGCCTCTGCTTCGAGGTGGTCAATCTCGTCCTGCGCCTCCGTCCGCAGATTGTTGAATTCTTGGTCCATGCCGGAGTTCTCCTGAAGCAGCTCATCCCGCTCTTGCTGCAAAGCCATAAGGTCATTCTGGGTGGCTTCGAGGTCTTCTTGCAGCTGCAGGGCGGCCGTCTCCACTTCTTTCCTGGCTTCCAGCTCGGCCTCGTATTCCTCGACGTAGGCGTTGAGCTCCTGTTGCAGGTCCTGGTTCTGCATCTTGACCGCACTGAGCTTGTCGCGAAGCTCGGCCAGCTTGTTCTCGAGCTCCTCCCGTTCGGGATCCTCGTCGAGAGTCGCTGTGCGGGTAGCCTGGCTCCCTCGAGATGGCGGCCGGTCATGCACGCCAGAACGAGAGGCGGAACGATCCAGAATGCTGTCAAGAGTCGAGCTTGCCGTACCACTGCGGCGCTGTGCCATCTTCAGGTCCTCAATTTCTTGGTATAACCTTTCCTTCTCTCGGTTTCTCGAGGTCAGCATGGACGTCTGTGCACCGACTTCGCGCCTCAGCTCCGCGTTTTCATGCCTGAGCTGCTCGCTTTCGCGGCGCAGCTCTTCCACCAGAGTGACGCTGACACTCATAGTGCCTGTCACCTCTGACTCTGACATCCTCGATCTTGACCTCGACGGCGATTCAGGCCTAGGCTTCCTTGTGATGTTGTAGATGTTGGTAGTATGCTGTAGACCAGTGCCGGCCGAGTTACCGGTCGAGCTCATCGTACCATTCGTGAGCTCTTGCTTCAGGCGAAAGACCTCGTCGCGCAGTCTCTTGTTCTCGTCGCCCATCCTCTGGTTGTCCTCTTCTGCCTGCTCTCGGCGCCCAGACTCCTGGGAGTACAGCTCCCTCCACACCTCTGTCTCGTCGTCTTGACCAAGCGAGTCTCCTATGCGGCCCGCATTGACGGCCTGAAGATTCTTGACAACCTCTGCCATGCGCCTCTTTTCTGCCTCCTTGTTCAGGCTTTCTTGCCTCAAACGCTCAATCTCGGAGACGTACTCGTCGACCCGCTCACGTAGATAGAGAAGCTCCTCCTCATTTGCAGCATTCTGCTCGTAGTCTTCTGCCGTCTGACCAGCCGAGGACGCCCCGCTTTTAGCTGTACCGGGTCGTTCGTCCTCGTCCTTGAGCTTTCTCTCCAGCTCCTTCACGCGGCGGCGCAGGACTTTGTTGTCGCGCTGCAGGACCGCTAGGCTTGTCTTGAGCTCCACATTCTCCGAGATCATTTCCTTAATACCTTCTTCGGAGAGCTTGTCAAGGCGATCGCTCAAGAACATGACCTTTAGCTTCAGGTCAAAGTTCTCCTTGGAGAGCCGTTCTATTGTGCTGCTTTGTTCCTTAAGTGTGAGGTTTCGGCCGGTGCGAGTGGTGCTGGCGCTGGCACTGAGGTTCACCTCTGACATCTTCCGCCTGGGCGTCACAAGGCCACTCTTTGTCCTGTACTCCCTGGCCAGCGACTCAGGCACCTGGACGTTCCTAACGTGTCTCGCGATCACTGTGTCGGTCGGTTCGGTCAGAGCCTGTTTCGGAGCTCTGGGCGTCTTCAGCTGGTCTCCAAAACGAACGCCCTCGTCCTCAGTCAACGGCTCCAGCGGCTCCAGCGGCTCCATGCCTATGCGCCCAGTCGAGTCCTCGCGAAAGTCCGACACCATGCTGCCCATGCTGATCTGGCGTGTGATCATATTGCTTACGCTGCTATTCCGCGACATGCTCATCGCCGGCACGGCTCCACCAGACTGTAGGGCGTAATCTGCACGAAGGTCCGCTGTGCCGACGGTAGCGTCACTTTCGGTGTCCCCAGCGGCGAAGTCGGAGTCGGAAGATCGCTGGCTCGACATGCGACTGCGCAGGTACTTGGGACGCTGGCCGCCCTTGAGGGCGTTGCCAGGCGTACTGCCAGCGTCCACGCTGATCTTGGGTATGCTCCTCTCCGCGGTCCTCTGTGATGACGGGTGTTTTGAAGCTGTGGATGCCGTGCCAGCTTGCAAGAAGTAATCATCCGCAGCTGCACTATCCCCTGAGCCATCGTGACCAGCCTCGTCCTTAGCGTTGCTGTGTCTCGACATGGCTCTTGAGACGGTGCGTGCAGTGGCAGCGCCAGTTGGCGAGGAGGAAAACCCTTCGAGCGCAGAGGTGTTGCTCGACACATGTGACTGGTCTTCTTGTTGTTGTTGCCGCCCAGCAAAAGATGCTTCTTCTCCTCTCATGAAAGGACTCTTGTTCACGTTTTCGCGCCGCGGGGCAACCGTAGGCAGGGATGGCTCGTCATGTTGGACTGGGTGGGACGTGGGGCCGGTGGATTTGATCGAGGAAGGAGGGCCTGACTTAGGAGGCTTAGAGGGAGAATCGAAAACGAAGGTGTCGTCGAAGCCGAGCGAGTTGATGGTAGGGAGCGGAGAGAGCGGGGTGGTGAAGCTTGATTCCATGTCCTGGAGGCGCTTCCGAACCATGTGTGCTGTGTAGGAGTCGTTGGGATCTCTTGCGGGCAGTTCGCTGTGCCCTTCGGCATAACTGGGCTCTCCTGGCGAGAGTGCCTGTTGGTCACCGCTTGTTCTTTCTTGAGCCGACTGCTGTTGTGAGACCACCGGCGGCCTCAAGTCTGGAATAGTATCTGCACTGAATGCGGTCTGTGGCGCTGTTCGTATCTCATGGGTTGGCGTGGGGATGTCGTCCAGATCGTCGTCGTGCTCCTCTCCTGAAGATCCGGGCCAGTCTTCCTCGTTGGGGGATTCATCGTCTGGTACTCGGTATGCAGTCGATGGGCGCGACAATTCGCGCCCAACATGCTCGTGGTCGAGGTCGTCGCCTGAGGTGCTACTAGCTACTGTTGTGCCCGAGGATGAAGGGGGGAGAGGTCTCGAGGCAGCTATGGCAGCCACATCACTGCTGCCGCTGTCGTCCTCCATTTTGTGTGATTCACCTTCCGTGGTCTACCTCCTGCAGCAGGCCTTGTGCATGTGTCCCGTCGCCCCCCCTTGCGCGCGTGGCGCCGTCTCGTCTGGGGCGGACCCTTGCGATGGGCTCAATTCCGTCTGCTGCGCATTCGCGTCGAGGAGGGGGTGGGGAGATCTCTGCACGACACAAGACCTTGAGAAACGGCGTACTTCAGGCAAGACCGTGTGTCCTCAAGTCAAGGGTGAGCTCTGCCTTCTCTCTTCCTCTGCACTCCTCTGCCAGCCAGAGCTTCCTTTCTTGTTCAGGGGCGATGCGACGACGGTGTCGGTGAATGAGAACTCGCTGTACTCGATAGTGTATCTGTAGAAGATGTCCGATATACGTGTTACTGCACGTGGAGGGTAGTATTGTATGGTATCTGTTATTGAGGTCATCGAGTCCTCGCGTTGTTTCGTCCAATCAATGCTGTTGACATGACCAGTCAAGATCGATGCAGCTGGGGAGGTGCTGTGGTTGGATTGGCGCAGCACATGCCTACGACCATACTAAATCACACCCTAGTACTATAGTACAGTACCATCGGCTAGCATATTGTACCAATGCAGCTTGACGTTGTGATTACATAAACCGCGCTTGCTATGATGGTAGTCAGTGCATTGCCCCTAGCAGGGGTCTGCTTTCATCCAGGGACCACCGCTAAAAGGGCCCTGAGGGTGTCAGGGGCAACACCCCACCTGCTGCACGACTACCCACTGTCTCTATGCTGCTGATCAGCAAGGGGTCCGGACCCCGAGCGAAGTACTGCTGTACCGCAGCAAAAGTACAGAAGGAAGAGATGCTGAACCTTTTACTGGACAGGGAACGGTGGTGCTACTCAGTACATTATTTACTCGATCGTATCCCTCACTGCAATTCTGTAGAGCATTAAATCTATGATGCAGTCTGTGCTAGTGCTCTGTGAGAGCCAATGCTTCAATACTCCAAGCTAGCGATGCTCTTTCCCTCTCCCCCTTCCTTGTTGCCCTGGCTTGCGGAGCCGCCTACATCTCCAACCCACAATCAAACTCAAGGACTTCTCCGAGCTATTCATGCAGCCATATGAAGAATACTTTAGCAATTATCTGCTTGCTACAGGGACAATAACCATTTGATGAAAAGTACTTTGAAGGGGAAGATGGAGACAGAATAGGTCCCACCACAATGTTTGCAAGATGAGTACTCAAAATTTTGCAGACTCTCCGTCAAGACCGAAGGCCCCGGCGGTCAGAATGAAATTGCTGTTGATGCATCTGCACCTCGTCAGCTAAACTCGCAATGCTGGATTCGAGTTTAATTTCCGGTCCAGATTGTATGTACATTGCGAAGCTGAAAAGAATGACTTGAAATTAGTCTTTGGAAGCAATCAGAACGGAAGTGGCAACTGAATATGTATTTTGTAAAGGCTTGACAATTGAGTTGGTCACCAATAATTCAGACTTCGAGGTCATTGCAAATAATAAACATTGCCCATACAGCGAAAAGAAGCCGATATTGACATGCTTGTTGTGGATCTGTACTTGCGTATTTCTTCACGTCAGTGTTTTGCTGTAGGTGCTAAAACGCTGCCAATTACACAGTCAAATCGCCAGGGACTGTAAAATTGTAATATTCGCAACCAATTCGATTTTGAGAAACTTCCAGCTCTGCAGGAGCCCAGCATTAAACCCACATAATCTTCAACAAGATACAGTAGGATGGGTCACCCCTTCGTTGTGCTGTATATGCTATTTAGCCGGAAGTGGGGTCGAAAGATAGATGGTCTTTACTGCCAGGCATATGTCTCTCGTCTTGCATCACCGGGCAAGCACTCATCTGGTCGTTCCTGTAATCAATGGCTAATTCGTCCTCCTGATCAAAAAACAGCAGGCTCATAATTGACCTACATTCAATACCAACAATATCACAATGAAGGTGCGACCAGCCCAGGGATTCAGCCGCCTCCCTCGCCACACAGCAGTCGTGGCAATCCAGGAGCAGCAGCACTCTGATAACAATACCATCCCCGACACAATCACCAAGCCATGGTCCCTTCTATCCCAGAAAACATATGTCTTTGTGAATATCAACATCATCGACGCTGCAGCTGGCAGAGTGCTCCCAAATCAGACCGTGCGCATCGCAGGCGGCAAGATCACCTCCATTGATGCCAGCATCAGTAATAGAGAAGGTGGAGGCGAGGCCGATGATGCCGTCAATAGCATCGACTGCGCCGGCAGATACTACCTCTGCCCGGGGCTCATCGACGCCCACGTCCACTTGACCTCAGTCCCTGGCGAGTCTGACCTGCGCTCGTCCATGTCCGTCCCGAACGCTGTCTCCCTCCTCCGCCAGCCCTTCCAGGCCGGAGCCATGCTGGCCCGCGGCTACACTACGGCCCGCGACTGCGGCGGTGCCACTCTTGCCCTTAAGGAGGCCATTGCCGACGGCGTGTTCCCGGGCCCGCGGCTGTTCATCGCAGGCCGCGCCCTCAGTCAGACGGGCGGTCACGGCGACCGGAGAGGTGCTCATGACACCACCATCACAGGTGGAGGTGGCGGTTGCTGTGGAGGCGGCTCCTCGGAAGGCCTCAGCCTCGTCGTCGACGGTGTGCCCTCGGTGCTCCATGCGGCGCGCGATCAGCTCCGCCAGGGCGCCGACTTCCTCAAGCTCATGGCGGGCGGGGGCGTCGCATCCCCAACAGACAGGCTGGCGGGCGTGCAGCTGACAGCGGAGGAGATCCGCGCCGCAGCGGAGGTGGCGACGTTGTTCGGCGAGACCTTTGCGACCGCGCACGCGTACACACCAAAAGTGATCCGGCATGCCGTCGAAAACGGGGTCCGGGGCATCGAGCACGGCAACTTTCTTGATCAGGAGACGGCGCGGTTTCTGGCGGATAATGGGGTCTTCCTTACGCCGACGCTGATTGCGTACAAGGCCATGGCCGACCCGAAGTATGCTGCTTTCCTGCCGGCTGAGAACCGCGCAAAGAACGAGATGGTGTTGAAGGAGGGCTTCAAAAGCCTCAAGCTGGCATACGAGGCTGGCGTGACAATGTGCCTGGGCAGCGACCTGCTGAGTTTCCTGGGCGTGGAGCAGCTTGGCGAATTTGGGCTGAGAGCCCAGGTGCTGCCTTGCGAGGAGGTCTTGCGGCATGCTACTGTCAACCCAGCCAGGATGCTGGGGCAGCAGGACAGGCTGGGACAGGTGAAGGAGGGATTCGTGTCTGACCTTTTAGTGTTGAATGCGAACCCGTTGGAGGATATCACTATTTTCGAAAAGCCTGACCGCCATCTTATGGCAGTGATCAAGGAGGGCAGGGTGTATAACAGCAGGTGGTCTAAACTGCCCACGGATGTTTATGCCCGGCCAGAATTGATAGAATAATTCCTGGTTTTTATTTGACAATTTGTCGATAGTGAATACAAATACATATCTATCTTCTCCACCAAAATAACCGCAAATCTTCTTTGCCGCTCGCCTTTTTTTTTGGAAACAAATACAATTTCTAGACAAACAGGTTAACGATTCGAATAATATCATATCTGTGTGAGGGCAAAAAGATTGCATTGCTGTGCGCTGAAGAAGAAAAGAGAAAGGAAGAAAGACGCCACGAGGCCAGGTATCTGAGGCTATCAACAGGTCTGGCTGTTGGCTGGCTGGGGCCGTGCACCACTGGCCCTCGCACAATATCTCTCGCCAGCAAGTGATTGGTATCCAAGAAATTACACCAACACGGTCGCATTGCGCGCTAATAGGGTACAGTTGACAGGCAGAGTAATCGAAGGATACGTGCCACTCTCCATAGCCTTGGAGCTGCAGTTGTAAATAGGGGACAACATCATGATCTGGCCGATAGTTGAGTCGTAATCTTCCGCCAAGTTTTTGTACACGCCCCACGAGAAGGAGTAAGGCTGGAGAACACATTGAGACGGAGCGCACTGTTGAATAAGTTTTGAGGATGCAGTTCTTACTGCAATGCACATCATAGGACAATACAGGGGAAAACGAGAGGGGGACGACCCTTACCTGAGGAACCTTGAGAAACTGGCCCACCGCGAGCTCGACAGAGGTGTTGATGGTCCCAGAAGAACCATTTTTAGCCATAACGATAGCCAAAACATCCATGCCCAGCCGCAGAGCAATCTTTTCATATTCCCCTTGAGAGTATAGTTTGTTACTGAGTGAGACGAACAGGAAAGGGTGTTGCAAAGGGTGGGAGGTACGAGATGGCTCGGGTTTCTGTAGAGATTGTGGTCACGATCTCGGTGCAGCCGATCTTTGTGGCAATGTGCTGCGTGTAACACCTGGGCAACTCATCACATATCGCGTTGCAGAATGGAGAAATAGTCTTGTACCCTTGAGTACAGAGATACCGCAGTGTTCCCTGTCCAGATCTCCCGCCCATTATAGCCATGTCTCCGTTCTCTAGTGCCAACACCAGCCGGTAACTGTCGTGGTTATAACCAGGGAATAGTGGATGTATTTGTTTACGATCATGTGCAAGCAATATGTATGCTCCTGTTGACTAGAGCCGATATCTATGCATGGAGGAGGGAGAAGTTGTGCTTAAGCCCCCACCCCCCCACAAAATCCAGGAGGGAAGTACTTTCGAGTGTTGGCACCCTCTTGTTTCCACCCCCCATTTTGCCTCCATTTCGTTACGATCAATACTGTGTATTGGTATTGTACACCAACGTGAAATCAAAGCGCATCAGTGCTAAGTAACGACCCAGGAACGAGATGGCATGCCACTGCAAATGGTCGAGACGGAAGAGGTATTCTCGTATAGCCATGATAGTCAGGAATTCGAACAGACACGCATAACGCTGGTTCACTGTCTTGCATGTATATCATGTAGGATATAGGTGGCACTCAGACAATCGAAGAAGTATGGTACCAACGTTCCACATGTGACGACAATTCAGAGAGGGCGGACGAGTCAGTCTCAGGTTCCAAGGTTATCGGTCGAAGGGAACAATAGTTGGATCCTTGTCTGGGTCTGATGGGCGTCCTTTTGGACGACGTCCCGAATCTGATGCTGCACGAATAAAGCTTACCTTGAGGATAAGAGCATTCGAACATGCGTATGGTATCACAGCTATAATTATCCATCGTAGTAAGGATACTGGAGGTGACCTCGGGAGAAGGTCCAACAGGACCCCTCCCCCTCCACAAAAAACAGGGGTCCGAGCAGACGATGACGTACTGTAGCTGCTGAGACACAAGGATCCGAGGGCCAAAAGCCAAGCTGCCATGATTATTGTACCAAAGTAGACACCAGCAACCAGGATAAGCCCCCTCGAACGGTTGGCTTGTTTTGTTTTCGTTCTCCTCTTCGCATTTGATCCCTCTGCCAAGCCTTTCACAGTCCTGCTTAGACCCCTGAGCGGCTTTGAGTGGCTGTTACATTTCGTGGTAACCTTATCCGGGGTTCAGCTGGCAGTGATGTAATGAGGCCAGCTACGAAGGCTCTCCTCCCCCCTCCACCCCTCGTACAAGACCCCTCTTTCGAATATATAAATCCATTCCCTTGGCAATCTCTTAGCTTTCTACATCTTCCCAAGACCCATTCACTCCTCATCAATCACATCATATCGCATTTTTTCAAAGCATCAAATCACCATCATCACCACCATCAACAATGGATCAAATCAAGAACGCCATGAACTCCGTCAGCAACTCCGGCGGCTCCGGAGCTGCTCCCCCTCAGCAGGCTGGTGCGGAAAAGGAAGATTACCTTGACAAGGGTGAGTTTTTCTCTTCTCCCCCCTCTTGCCTTGTTATCATTCTTTTGAATCCGTAAGGGAAAGAACAGCAATGACTAACAGTCCTACGTTCATGCTCATAGCCTTTGACTTCGGCGCCAAGAAGTCCGGCCACACCGTTGACCGCAACACCTCCGAGAAAATCACCGACGGTGCCCGTGAGATGTTTGAGAAGGCGACGGGCAAGCAGGTCAACTCCAAGTTCTCCAACTAAACCAACCGGCTTGGAAAATCCTGATGGACAACTACCTACCTACGTGCCTACCTAAATTTACGTGGGCAATCCGGCGTTATAATACGTAATTGAGACCGGCCGGGGGGGGGGGGGAGGACAGTAGTAGAAGCTTGATACCATAATGAATTACAAAGTCAAAGTCAAAATATTTATGTTGCTGTTGAATGTTTGATGTGAATTATACGGTCATGTTCCAATCCAATCGGCACTATGTATGACATCGTGACCCATAACCCCGTAACAGGCTTCAAAATCGTGGAAAGCTATGATACATCGTGCCCACTGGCCAGCCCCTTGGTATCGCTCCTGTTATCATGCCCATATATCGGTCGTGCAACCTCGCTCTCTCTTGAGACCACAGTCAACCATACGCCTCCTGAAAAAGAGGAAAAAAAAACACCCAGTCATGCTTCCAACCTCAATCAATGGCCATCTTCATAAACTTGTACGTATTGAATTGAAATCCCCCCAACGGCATATCTTCAAGAAAGAAAGTTAAAAAACACAGCAGACTCTTGACAGGGACCAACAACAAGTTGGCGGTCAGCGGTCCATAGCAAACACCTGGTACGCCATGATCATGATCCATAGGAGGAATATCGAACCGACCAGCCCCAGCGCGAAAACGGCCTGCCAGCCCTGGCAGATGCTCTTCTGCTCCAGCCAAGCCAGCGTCTGGAGGGACTGGCCAGTCGGGTTCGTGTTGAATACCTGGGTATTGCACGAAGAGCTCACGCCGTTGGGGCCCCAGAGCTCCACCGAGACAACGATCAGGCCGACTAGCCACAGCACAAAGAGCATAAATCCGCCGATCATTACGATGGAAGGGAGGAGACGGCGTTGGAAGATGAGCCAGAGCATTAACCATATGAAGATGATCACGATGGCGGAGACGGTTATGTAGTAGGGGAAGTACCTGCAAAGTGAGAGAAGAGGAATTAGAATACGCTGGATGGAGATTGAAAGAGAGGGGGAGAGAGAAAGAGGCATTGGGAGGGGTCTGCTTACCATGGTACTCCGAGCCGTAGTTGTTGTTGCGTTTGTATGAAGCTCGCAAAGATACCGAGAATGGCGGACGATGCGACCAGCATGAATAGCATCCACACGTTGAGCTGAATTGCGGGCCAGTGGTACTTGTGCAGGCGCTCAACGCGCCGCTCGTAGACGACATCGCTCTCTGATGTTTCTGTCGTAGCCATCTTGATCGGAGGAATATATGTGCGTCCGTCTGGGTGCGTAATTCACGACGGTACAGCCACGCTCAAACCGCAGTCGGGTACCCAAGATATGATGTACTGCTTCCACCTCGAGGTACGGTAGAGTAATGATGGGAGTTCTGGGCAGGTAGGGGGAGGTCGAAGCAGGTTTCGATTCACGACCAGCAAGGCCCGCGTACTGAAGAGAGGCGCCGGCGGCTCGTCGGGCTTCGACTGCGAGGTTGGGCGTTGAGACGGTGCCGGGGTGAGGGCTTTCAGGTGACGCCTTATTACAGCGGCGTTCAGCCAGGCGGCCACGAGGGTCGCGACGGAGGTCGGTCCGTGGCACGAGTGGGGCGGACGAATAGACGGGGTTCGCCTCTTCTCTAAACGCAAAACAAGGCGAAGAGATCGATTCGCGACTGAGTGGTAGGTGTTTGGTTTTGGTGTTTGTTCGTTTGATTAGTATTGCCGGTAGCACTGCGATATGGAAGCAAGGGAAGGCCGAGTCCTCGAGAAAGGCATGACGCGAGAAAAGACAAAGAGAGAGAGTGTGTGTGAATGTGCGTCGATACTGCGTCGCAATGCTGTGATCGTTGAGGATGGAAGAGGATTGACGCAATTCAAATCAGGATGGAAGCATGCACTGAACGACGAGACGAAAGAGCACAGGCCCCAGCCCAGCCCCCCCGTCGTCAACAGCGCAGGCGCGTCTCTGTACTACAGCCAGAATCCAGGCTCTACTTTTGGGTGGCTGGGTACTAGAGCCTAGTACCGGGGCATGGGGTGATGGTTCCTGTTTTCAGGGCGGGGGCTACCGGGGGGGGGGGGGTGGTGCAGGGAGTTAAATACAGCGCACGCTGGCATGGATAGGGTCGGTGATGGAATTATTTTTAGCGCTGCCGACATTCCGCTGGGCTTATGAGCTAAGCTGGAAGGAGAACTGGATAAGAATATCAACGAAGAGATTGAACATGCACTCGAGTATAACATAGAATGGGAAAAGAAGGAAAAAGGAAAGGGGGAAAGGAAAATAAGAAAAGAACATAGTTGTCATGGCATGCTTGTTTGTCTGCAGACCTGCGAAATTGTGGCCCTGAGATAATCTTGAACCGCAGGGTTGGCTACAAAGTACTTACCCACAGACCAACCGACGTACTCAGGTACTTAATTACGCAGTAGGAAAATGTAGCATATACGTTGGGGTCCTGTGGAAGGCACGATTCTCATGTCACAGGCTGGCGAACACAGGAATACTGTCATTGATGGCAACTGCCAGCCGTTGCTATTCCTTTCCAACCCCCCCCCCCCCACCGGCCTTCCTCCCTCGGCCATGGACCTTGAAGCTTCGTTCCCTTCTCAGACTCTAGACCGTCTATCATAATGTACTTCCAGATCACCACACGAGGAGTCCCAGTCCATGTCCAGCAAATGTCCAAGCCCAAGCTGCTGCTAATGACAGCAAAGGCGTATCCTCATGCAAAAACTAGTAATCGCCTCTCTATCCGACCACAAACACCGTCGAGTCCTCGATCGCGCTCTTGATTTGGTCTGCGGGTGGAATGGAGTCAGTCAGCCAGCCAAACCAGTACAAAGCATCAAAGACCGCGCGCAAAGATACCAGACTTACCCCTCATCCCTCCCAATGCCTCAGACGACATGGCATAGTTCGACAATGTGGCGTAAATACTCGTCAGCCCCTGCTGCAGCCTGATGAGAAGGTTCTTGACAGCCGCAGGCCTTGGATCAATTTGCTGCTGGTTCTGCTGTTGATGTGCTCCGACTCCGCCTACACTGAGCCTCATCGCCTCACTACCACCAAGACCCACCGTGGCCCCTCCTACTCCCTCGACTACCCCAGGAGCGGCATTCGGAGAATACAGTGCCCGAGTCTTCTGGTGAACCATAAGCAGCGCATAAGCACACTGCATAGCACAGCACGCAAAAGAAGGCATCGTACGTGGACACACCGTCCCCGACGTCGGCGACAGGAACACAGGCGGGCCTTGCGGCTGCTGTGCGCCTGTAGGAATCGGGTACGGGAGCTCCTCAAACGCGCGAGAAATATCGAGCGCGCACTTGAGGCAGGTTCGGGCGGACTGGTGGCTGCTGAAGGGAAAGGGATTAGTTGCTGGGTAGGGTGGTGACGGCTGTTGTTGTTGTTGTTGTTGTTGTTGTTGGGTGGTGGTGACAGTAGCGGTGGTGATAGTGGTACCGTCTGAAGAGGTTGGAGACAACCCTGCTGAAAGCGAGCTGCCACTCGGCGTGGTCACAGTTCCAGTCGTGCTCGCCGCGTAGGGCGTGACGAAAGTACTGCAGGAGCACGCAGGCCACTGTCGTGGCTCGTCGCCGCCACTGTTGCTACTGCTGCTGCTCGAGTTGAAGGGCTTCAAATCGCAGTGTTTGCGCGAGAAGACAGGAATGTCAAAGAAGGCACAATAGCGGTGGACTTTGATCCTTGCACTGGTGTGGTAGTGACGTATGTCAGTCTTACCTGCGAGACACTGGGGCCCTGTGTGGCTGGCTCGGTGGCAAGGGAGGACAATACAACTATCTCGAGGCACATACCTATTCAGCTTGATGGATGCCATGCACCTCAGCGACCGGGCCACAACCCCCTCGGCGGGATCGACAGGTGATGTCGTCGTGGACGGCAGCAGCCAGCCTTCGCTACGGGCTAGGAGCGGCGCGAGGAGGGCTTCAAGCTCTCTCATCCTCTCAAAGATGGGTTTCATGTCGGCGTTCTCTTTGAGAGCCTTGTTGAGCTCTATGACAAACTGCGTCGCGGCTAGGATTGCACGCTGGGCTTGCATGAAGACAGTGAACGCCTATGAAGGAAGGATTGGTGAGTTTATTTGTGTCTCTATGGTTGCCCAAAGATGTCTGCACTGGGGACTGCTCACCTCAGGATCGGCGAGAAAGGTTGGGAACTCGGCCGTGTAGCTGGGCGAGAGCACCAGGAACGATGGTTTCTGCTGCAGCCTGTCAGGGTCAAGATCATGCGCGCGCTGTTGCTGAGACAAGATCTCACCGTGTTGCTGACGATGGAGCCCTGCGCGACGCACACGTACTAAGAGAGGAAAAAAGAAAAGCAGAGGAGAGTTAGTTTCGTATGGCAGGGCGAAAGCAACGAGTGGTAGGGCCGACATACACTCATCCACCAGGCTCGCCGTCTCGCCTCAGTGAACTCGTCCCGCACCGTACACGAGTGCAGAGACAGGTCCATCGCAGACATGAGCGCCTGCCCCGCCCGGTTCTGCATCTTCTTGAGGTTCCCACGCTGTGCATACTCGTAGATGCTCAGCACGCACAGAGCCACAATCCTCTCGAGCTCCAGGGGAACCTGTGGGTGCAGTGGCCTCCGAAAAGGCTGTTTGGGCTCTTCGCTGAGCGCCCTGGGGGGTTCGATGGACGAATCCGGGATCTCCTCGTCGCTCTCAATGGTCTCGAAGGCAGACTGGGCGAGGAACTGGGCGTACTTCCTCCGGAACAGCTGCGACTCGTGCGTCTGGGGGTGAGGATCCTCGGGGCACGGTATGAGGGCGAGGACGGCCGAGATGGCAAGCGTCACGGCCGAGGAAGGCTCGTAGGCCCCCTCGAAGAGGTCGAGTTGGTCTTGCAAACGGGGCACAGGCCGATCAACAGGAATGCTAAACGGCGGCGGTAGGATCGGGAGGAAAGGGTGTATGAAGACGTAGTACGCTTCAAGTCTGGTGGAGGCGGTCAGCCAGGCATCATCCCAGAACGACACCTTTGGGGCCGGGTTTTCTCACATTGCTGCGTCGCTCTGGTAGGTTCTCACCATGGGCGCGACATGAGCCGGCGTCTCCGTCCCGGAAACATCCGACGCAAAGCCGCCGCCGCCGCCGACAGTGGGGTCCATGCCGTTCAGAAACAGGCTGTCGAAGATGAAGTCGCTGTCCGGGACCCAGTCTTGGAGCTGCTTCAGGCCGGCTCCCGGGTCGATGTAGTCCTGTATCGATATGGCTGTTTCCAAGCCAGTCTGTCAACACAGTCTTCGGGGAATCCCATCCCAAAGGATAGAGCGGGCTGCCAGAAGAACTCACGAGCCCGGGGTGCATCAGCTGGTTCCTGTGACAACACGGTGAAGACGTCGCTGGGTATTTGGTTCGGGTCTTCGTCCGTCACGTCCGTCACGTCCATCTCTGGCCGTGGCTTCTTCCGGGGTCGTGGGCCGCCCCGCCGACTGGGGAGGTAGACACATTCTCGGTTTCTATTCTGACACTGCAAAAAGGGAGAGATACAGTGGAGGAGAGAGATACACTTAGAGATGACCAACTTGGATGGAATGGATTGATGAGTGAAAAAGGGGGAAGAAGGAGGACACACCCTCTACCTAGGAGGTAAGGAGGGCCCTTTATGTGTGTGTGTGTGTGTGTGTGTGTGTGTGTGTGTGTATAGAGGCTCACGTACAGTTGCACATGGTTTCCCGCCATCGCAGCGGGTCCGAGCAGCTCGGCTTCACACATCATCGTCAGCAGCCGCGGCAGTACCAACAACAAAACAAGACAGGATTCGTCTCTCTCTCTACTCTTTCTCCTCCCTTTGTACGCACACGCACATCTCGAGTGAGGGAAGAGAGAGACGAGGGATTGGCGAGTGGGACGGGGGTCGATGGACCGAATCTTAGTCAGATGGGCATCGGCAACATCAACAGGTCTGCATGTGAGAAGGCGGCGCAGGAACCACACGTGTTGATGTGACATGACGTACCAGGAAAGACAGGCCGACTTGACGGGGGGCGCAGCAAACTTCCTCTTGCTCACTCCACCGTGTCCACCTGCACCCGGGGCCGGAGCGGATTCCGGAGGCACGCTCGGCGCAGCAGGCCCCGTCATGGCTGATAAGGCCGTCGGGGCGGATAGCTTGAGCACGATTGTTAGTGTTGGGAGAGCCGACGGGTGGCGACGAGCGGCCCAAGTGGGCTTAGAAGGGGATGAATGTTACAGGCCGTGGACGGCGCTGTTCCGGAAGCTGACTTGGAGAGAGAGAGGAGATTTTTGTCGGAGGCTCTGAACAGGTGGCAAAGTGGGTCGACGGCATGGATGGTAATAGACGGAGAAAAGTGAGACGGGATCAAGAAATTATAGATGAGCAGCGAGATTCACAGCAGAGCAAGTAGGAGATAAGATAGACAGACAGAGACGGCTGAGTAATGGATCCTTTCTCATACAAGGTTCGGGGGGGGCGGGAGTGAAGGGAAAACACTCATCATTATTACAGTTACTCACAAAGTGTTTTCTTGTCCCCTGTCTGTCTAATGTGATAGTATGTGTGCTGTACAGAATAGCACCAATACCAGCCAAGAAGAATCAAATGCAGACACCACACCACCAGCGCGCAGAAAGAGAGGACCAATTGGCTACGACCAATCCTCAGCTCATCGGAAAGGCCCTGTTCCGGCTGTGGCTGGCGGAGGTATCTTGAACCGCCAGTACCGACTCAGCGCTGCTCCAGTGGGGCCACGACAGTATTCCACAGCGCCTCTCACTCGTAAATTACAGTAGGAAACCCCCTGACTGCGAATTGCTTTTGCTGTGCAAGTAGTCACTGTACATGAAGGTCAGGGGGGTTTAGGATAGCGTCCGTTCCCTATCTATATGAGAGGGATCATAAGTACTACATATGAACCATGGGAGCCATTGAGGTCAAGGCGTTTCTTCTGTCTCAAGTTCCTCGGTTATACAGCCCACATCCACCTCCTTGTTCCCGCCAAGTCGATGTTACATGGCGCTCTTTCAGCGCGCGGTGATCCATCTCGTGTGCACACCCACCCACACGAGTGAGATTTTACTGCTGTAACATGCATGATTTGGGTGCAGCAAACCGCGAGAGGACGGGCACCGGTTCTTTCTTCGCTGCATCACACTGTGTGATGTAACTGTAGTCTGCTTGGGCATACAGGATAAAGGTTTTAGTGTTCGTATTGAGTCCGTTCAATTTACATGCTACAAATAGAGTAATGACAACCATAACTATAAGACGAGGAGGAAATATGATCAGTTAACCCCCCCCCCCCGGGGGGGCTACTCTGACGCCTTGTTTTTGCCCTGTTCACGAGTGGGGGTTGCTGGTTAATTACAGTACTGCCGTAGTACTCCATGTAAGCACATCCTGAGCGCTCGCATCCTCCCACTATAGAGCACCAGACCGTTTTTCTTTTCTTTTCTTGGTGGTCGTACCACTGTGTCGCCTATTCACATGAACATGGCATATTTTACAAGATGATGAGTTTGCGCACATGATCATGATGGGCACCTAATCATATCGATAATTGTCAAGATGGCGAAACAGTACCCAAGAAAGTATACATTGCAAGCGACTTGGGTCGAGGTGTAGATGAAGGCTATATTATCTGTTCCATTGCGATGCAAAAGTGATGTGAGTAAAGAATCAAGCAAGGGTGAGCAAAACCTAATGAAATACATCAAAACTTATTGTCTCAAGGGATGCATTCACCCTTCATTGGAATGAATTCACCGACCACCTACACACTTCATTCGATAAACAAATGACCTTCAGTTCATACATGGGCTTGCTGACACAACCATGCAGGTACTCCATATTCATCATTGTAACGGTTAGCATGTATACAACGGCTGACCAACCCCCGGTAGCCCAATGTCGCCGAAGGGGGTTGGTTGTAAAGCCATCTTACGAATTGCTTCCTCATCATATCTTTTAGATCCGACCCTTGATTGCTTTCTCCCCCTCACTCACACACACCTTTACGCCCATTCTGCAGTCTCTCTCTCTCTCTCCAGCCCGCCCTCCCACCTCAAGCTTTCTGAAACGAGAACACAAGTCCTACTGGTATCATCTTGTGTAGTCCACAGTACAAGCAAGTCACAACATCGTAGGATCATCTCTCGTCACGGCAGCCCCCCCACACACACACAAAAAAAAAAAAAAAAAAAAAAAGGGAACCCATCACCACCATTACCACCACGACGACGAGAACTTGCTGTCGGCTCGGAAACCCGGCTATCATGCACAACGGCACCACCAACACCGGCGACGCCGTGGCCCCCGCCCCAGACAATGCCACGCTGCACCTCCCACGAATCCTCTGCCTGCACGGCGGCGGCACCAACCCACAGATCTTCTACATGCAGTGCCGGGCCATCTCGCACCACCTCAAGTCGCAGTTCCGCATGGTCTACCCGTGCGCGCCCTTCGCCTCCACACCGGGACCCGACGTGCTCAGCGTCTTTGCCGAGTACGGACCGTTCAAGCGCTGGCTGATGACGCCCGGCCCCAACGCTGTGGAGGAGTATCCCAAGGAGACCTGGGCGGCCATCGAGAGGCAGATCGGGGACGCCATGGACGCCGACGACAGGCTGGGCGCGACGGGCGAGTGGGTCGCCGTGCTGGGCTTCAGCCAGGGCGGGCGGGTCGCGGCCAGCATCCTGCTGCGGCAGCAGGAAAAGCCAGAGAGCCTGGGCCGCCTGCGCAGGTCCGAGAAGGGGTTCCGGTTCGGGGTCTTGATGGCTGGACGGGGCCCGCTGCTGCAGTACGATCCAGACAGGGCCTCGTGGCTGGACAAGGACGAGAGGTTTGACTACGAGAGTAATGACAGCGCCGGGAGGATCCTTCGTATACCGACGATTCATGTGCACGGCATGCAGGACCCGGGCTTGGGCTATCACCAGATCCTGCTGGAGGAGTGGTGCGATCCGAAGGCCACGACGCTGATCGAGTGGGAGGGGGATCACCGCTTGCCCATCAAGACGACCGATGTGAGGCCTGTGGTGGACAGGATCAGGGCTGCAGCCTCTCGTACGGGGGTTCAGTTCAAAGCGGTAGAAGGCCAGTGATGGCTTGTTGTGACTGGGCCAATATTAGAGACGCTTTCCAAGAAGAGAGAGAGAGAGAGAGAGAGAGAGAGAGAGAGAGAGAGAGAATATAAAAGGATGGCAAAGACACAGGTTCAACACTTTTGAGGAAGCATTTACAGACCATACAGAGAATAGTATTTAGAAGCAGCACAGTAACAGTATAGAAATCTCTCAGATCAGTGTTAAGTTGTGTGGACTTGCACAACGGAAGTTGTGGTCAGGTTTATACAGCGGCAAATCCTTCCATCATACACAGCCAGAAAGCCCTCCCTTCTTTCTCGGTTAGAATGGGGTTGAGAGAGAACAAAAAGTAGTACAAATTGATACGTGATGTTGTTGGCTCATTACTAATTTGACTTCACCAAGAAACGTCGCGGATAAACGGAGAAAATGATACTTCAACTGCTCGCTCCCCGCTTTCGTCATTTACTGCCACCTCAACAACGTATTGCTCCTCGACAATTCAACCACACGACATAAACCAAAGACCAGTCCCATCTCATTCGCGCATCATGGCCTCGTTTCCAACACTGCCACTGCCGGAAGACATACGACAGCGCCACATCGACCTTACAACCGAACCCACATGCGGGTTGAACATATTTGTCCTCGAAGCCGGAGATGCAAGCCACCCCCTGATTCTGCTGTTCCACGGATACCCAGAACTAGCCTACACCTGGCGCAAGGTTCTCCTCCCACTCGCATCAAAAGGCTTCCACGTTGTCGCCCCGGACTCGCGCGGTTATGGGCGCACCACAGGCTGGGACACGAGCTCCTACGCCCACGTTGACCTGTCCAAATTCACCCAGATGCAGCTCATTCTGGACAACATCGCGCTCATGAGGGCACTAGGTCATGAAGAGGCAGCCCTCGTGGTTGGCCACGACTTTGGCGCGACGGCTGCGAGTGCCTGCAGCCTGACGAGGCCGGATCTGTTCAAGGCTGCCGTCTTTGTGAGCCACGTTCCGACGGGGTCAGTCAGCCTGCCAGATCTGGGTCGCAGCTACACTGGTGTAGGAAAGCAGGCCGAGAGGGGCCGAGAAGACATCCATACAGCACTTGCGCGCCGCGAGAGGCCTCTTATGCATTATCAGTGGTACAACAGCACAGCTCGAGCGGCAGAGGACTGGAAAAATCCCTCACAGGGTCTCAAGGCGTTTCTCCGAGGCTATGTCCATCTGAAAAGCCACGTCTGGAAGGGAAACGAGGTCGATATTGGCCCCTTGAGAGCTTGGATAGCCGATCAGCTCGCGCGCATGCCAGGCTACTACATCATGCCACTGGGCGCAACGATGCCCGAGGTAGTAGAGGCTGATATGAAGGACGAGGATACGACGCTGACGGAGTCCTTCCTCAGCGATGCAGAGCTCGACGTGTACGTGCAGGAGTTCACGCGGACGGGGTTCCAGGGCATGTTGAACTGGTATCGAAGCGCGACGAGCCCCCAGAATGTCAACTCGCAGATGGCCGTCTTTGCGGGCTTGAACTTTCAGGTACCAGTGACTTATATTGGTGGCGTGGCTGACTGGGGTAATTACCAGCGTCCTGGTGCGCTTGAGGCGCTTCAGAGTGGCAAGACTGCGAGTGATTATAGGGGCACGAGGATCTTGCCTGGTGCAGGCCACTGGCCTCAGGTTGAGCTTCCTAATGCTTTGTGTGATGAGATTGTGAAGTTTTTGGCTGGCCAATGAATTAGCCATACTTCTGTATGTGTGCTGGTACAGAAGAACAAGGGACAATGCATGTACCATTGGCTCTTCTTAAATGCCATCAGAAATGTGACACAGGAAGGTATATAATCCGCATGCTGTGCACCTATTGCTCTCAATCTGCGAATCCCAGTCTCATTTCTTATTTACAGAAACCACCACCTACCTACATACTACCTGGAATAGGGCTGACCTTCATCATACTCGCTCGTGTAAGTCAAAGGCACCGCAGGATACTCGTCTGAGCCAAATGTTGAGTTCAGCATCACATCACCAACAACGCTCCCATCCTCAAGACGCGTCCACGTCTCGGTAGCATTCCCAAGAGTCTCCAGGCTGACGAGGATCTGGCGTGATCCCCTTGTCCACGACCCATAGCCTCCATACCCCGTGTGGCGACTGAAGCAAAGATCCAGCCCGTTCCCCGTGAGGCCCATAACCGCAAGATCCTCATCCCACTGGAAACACCAATCATTACCGTGGTCATGCCCACTGAACACGGCAATGAGGTTCTCGGTCTCCAGCAGGGCCTGCATGAACGGCACGTCCTGGCCGTCATATGTGTACACGGTCTCGGAAGAGCCCTCGCCGGACTGCACGCCTTGCTGCGACAGGGGCACATCGGCGTTGATGCCTGGTTCCTGCGTTGCATCGACGCCCGCGTCCTGGAAGGCGAGGAAAGCATCCACGGGGATGTGGACGAAGGCGAGGGAGGGTAGAGATGTTCCATACAGAGTGGTGAGCTGGGCCCTTGTTTCTTCGAACCACGAGACCACGCTGCTGCCGACCCAGTTTGGCTGGCTCACACTTGTGCCGTCCGCAGCGAGTTCTTGGTAGTAATTACTGAGGAGAAGGCTGTCAGTGGGACTCGTAGTGGCATGGAGGAGAGTCTTTGGGCCCACGTACCCGCCTCGACTATCAAAGAACCACAGGATCATGGCCGGAGTGACGGAGGTGTCGTTGTCGGCATAGACGGGAAGGTAGTAGTTTGAGATACCAGAGTCGTTGGCTTGTACCATGTTACCAGTCAAGCTATTTGCATACGTCTTTTCTCTGTCATAGATCTCTGTCCTGGACAGGTTGAAATCTGAGTCGTGATCTGTGAAGTAATTAGTTGATATTCTGTCAGTGGATCCAAACACGAAGACGAGAAGGATTAATAAAAGGATGTCGCTGTCTTACTGCCGTAAGTTGATGCCCACGGCAGACCTGCTTCTACCAGCGGCGCAACTATCTCATCCACATAGTCGGTCGAGTTTTCCTTGAATGTGTTCTCGCCGGTGATCAAGTCTCCATTGAGAATGACAAGCTGAGGCGTCTCGTTGTCCAACACGGTCTGCATCACCTCCAGGGTGTCGACATCCTGCAATGGTCCCCAGTCTGTATCCTCAGCTTCACCAAAGTGCAAGTCTTCAAAGATGGTGATTTGGAAAGTGCCGGCATCTGTGAATTGCAGGGCGGGCCAAGTAGCCGCGGCGCGTTGTGATAGGAGACTCATGAGTGCCAAAGATCGTGCGCCGCTGACGACCACCATTTTTGTTTCTACTGAACTGGATGAAGGGCGGCGCCTCTAAGCTGATACACAAGGTGTCACAACAGGTTTGGACGGTGAGTTCAAAGTTTTTTGTAGCCGTGTTCGTGTGTTGACTCGATTGTAGCTCGTGTAAGGTTGGCGTCGCACCCAATCAGTCACGCTGCAGCAAACACGTTGTGACGTTGGTTTAAATGAGGGGTGGAGCCATACATCGACCTGCCCCAACCAGTATTCCAGTAGCTCCGAGTAACCTAGGCATAATTCATTTCATATAAGTCATATGCTCCTTACTTAATTAGTGATACAATTGTACCCCGCAAAGTAAACAGTATGTCTTGAGTTGCTGGCGAGAAGTCCATTTGGCTATAATGGTAACAACCTATCATTATCGTAGGCTGGGCTGGTGTGACATCCTCCAATTCAGAGCTCACTTGAGTACAATTGAATGTAAGAGGTAATGAATTATATGTGCTTAGCCCAGGTCTACTATATTTAAATTACGATTCATCCATGAGGGAGAATTGACTGGGCCTTGCCAACCTGTAATGGACCCCACATCAACAGTCACCTCAATTATATGAGCAATGGAATCAGAAAAGATAACCATGAAGCACTCAGTTGTCTCTTACGCCCATGTTCATGTCAGCATCGGTGTAACACCACAAGACCGGCCGGAACCGCCCATAATTATTTACAATCCATATTTTCTGTCCGCATTTGCATCAATGGCATGTCTTCGGAGGCAGTGGTGTTGGCAATTACCCCAACGGTCTTTGGTGACCAAAGACCGGTCAGGCTGTCCCAGATACCGAGTCTCAGCCGCCCGAGAGCAATCACCGATGTGCGCTGCAACCAGTCTCACCCGTAACACCTAGCGGTTATCGAGGCCTATGAGAATTACCAAAACCCGATCGTGGGGTCTGTTGCATCTATGATGATTCGATATGAGTAATCGGTGTTGCCCAAATAGTATTGATATGCACACGAGTCGGTGCTGGGCGCTTGCTCGATTAGTATTGGTTACCAGATCCCGATGCAGTCTTGTGTGCTCCAGCGACAAAGTCACGATGACGGAGAAGAAACAGTCTGTGTGTTCGTAATTAGATGATGAAGTGTGTTTGTATAAAGTTCAATCAGTCGACCAGCAAAAAGGGGGGAGAAGTCAAATCGAAACAGAAACAAGCAATTCGACACACTTCTCGAGCCTCCACAGAGCTTTCGAGAGACCACCGTTCGCCTTCTCAGTTTCAACGTAACTGCAGCTTAGCTCTAGCAAGATGACAATCACCAAGTACAAAGCGGCGGCTGTCACGTCTGAGCCAGGAGTAGGTCATCTCTGCGACAACGACTACTGCGCGGAGGATCTTGCGAGCGCTGACAAGCCATCACAGTGGTTCGACCTCGAAGCCAGTGTACAGAAGACCATCAACTTCATCAATGAAGCAGGCAAAGCAGGTTGCAAGCTGGTGGCGTTTCCTGAAGTTTGTAAGTAAATTCTCTTCAAAGACATTCAAAGATAGCAAGAGGGAAAAGAAGGAAAAGAGAGGGGGAGAACGAAGAGAAAGGACAACTTTCAGTCAGACTTACATGGGTCATAATGCATAGGGATTCCTGGGTACCCTTACTGGATGTGGAAAGTCAACTATCTCCAGAGCCTCCCCATGCTGAAAAAGTATCGCGAGAGCTCTCTTCCCGTCGACTCGGAGGAGTTCCGCTGCATCCGAAGGGCGGCCCGCGACAACCAAATTTACGTCTCACTTGGTTTCTCCGAGATTGATCACGCCACACTCTACCTAGCCCAGGCCCTGATTGATCCCGAGGGCAACGTGATCAACCACCGTCGCAAGGTTAAGCCAACCCATGTCGAAAAGCTTGTTTACGGTGATGGGTCAGGGGATACGTTCTTGTCCGTCACGGAGACCGGGATTGGACGCCTGGGCCAGCTCAACTGCTGGGAGAACATGAACCCCTTCCTCAAGGCACTGAACGTCTCCGCCGGTGAACAGATCCATGTTGCTGCTTGGCCTGTCTACCCTGGCGTCGAGCGCCAGGTTGCGCCCGACCCTGCCACAAACTATGCGGATACTGCGTCAAATTTAGTCACCCCTGCCTATGCCGTCGAGACAGGGACATGGACCCTGGCCCCGTTCCAACGGCTCAGCGTCGAGGGTCTCAGAAAGACGACCCCCGACGGCGTGGAGCCCGAGACGGACCCGTCTCCTTACAATGGCCACGCGCGCATCTATCGCCCTGACGGAAGCCTGGTCGTGAAGCCGGACAAGGATTTTGACGGGCTCCTCTTTGTCGACATCGATCTCGATGAAACCCACCTGACCAAGGTCCTCGCTGATTTTGCAGGGCACTACATGCGTCCCGACCTCATCCGTCTGCTGGTGGACACCAGGCGCAAGGAGCTGATCACTGAGGCGGACCCTGATGGAGGCATCGCGACGTATTCCACTGCCCATCGTCTTGGCCTCGACAGACCGCTGGATGCCAAGCCTGATAACGATTTTCAGGGTGTTGCGGGCAGGAAGAATAAGCAGCAGCGCCAATACGGCACTGCCGGCACAGGCAAGGCTATCTCGGATCTGTAAAGGTGTGTGTGTGTGTGTGTGTGTGTGTGTGTGTGTGTGTGTGTGTGTGTGTGTGTGTGTGTGTGTCTGTTGGTGCGTCTGAAAGGAAGACAGTCACATGCTTTGACGATCACTTTACTTTGCCGGAAACTCTCCGCAGGTGGTACTAAATTAGCTTTCTGTCGTCACTGCACAGAGAAAGTAACAGTCCATTTCGACTGGGGTCTGGACCGCTGTTGGTGCCTTAGTGTCTTGTTAGGCGTATTTCGCGCACATTGGTTACGTCTTGTGGAGCACTTCGCATGGTCGATGACCCCACTGATACTGTTACTTGGGGGCGCAGATGCTGGAATCTTACATTACGACTGTCGAGATACTTACTATGTCGCAGTATATAGGGTACTATAGCACATGAAAAAGTGCTAAGATACACCGAGTATGCAATAAGCTTGAAACCCAAGAACCACCTTCTTCTCTGTACATAGTATATTTCCACAATCATACAGCTACTCTTTCCTCTTCCCAACTCTCTTTTCCTCATGCAACAAGGGAGCAATAAATGCAACGTAAAAATGTCAAGTCTCTGACGAACGAGGTTCAAGAATCCGGAGAGGAGCCTTGGTATTTCTGGAGAAGCCAAACCTCACTGGTGCAGGTGACCTTATCTATGCAAGGGGAAAAAAAAGGTAGGATGACCAAACATAGAATGATTTCTCTTCACATATAGACTCTAGTATCTATTAATCTTGTCATCCCAAACACCTATATCCTTCTTAAGTCGTCATATCAATAAATCTCGGCTCTCCATAATTTTTCTTGCCTGGACTGACCCCATTTTCTTGCAGCGGGCGCACAGTTCCTTGCTTCAGGCACGCAGGAGGAACAAGAAACCATGGTTTGCTGCTCCTCATCCCAGTTGCCATGGGCTTTTCAGATTGTCATCAGGCATCAGACTCGCTCGTATCCCCTGTGTGCCCTCTGTCAGGCACCCGCACCTTGGCCTTGTGATTTGTAACATCGCACGCTGCCTGTTGGTTTCTCGTTAAGCGCGTAAAACGCTCTCCAAACCAGAAATCCCTACTGTCTGCCAGAGGCTCTTCAATCTCGCGAAACTCATCCCCCAGCACCTGAATCACCCGACCATTCCAGCGATCCGCAACATCCAGAGCCTCTTCCGTGTCCAGACCGTAGACATCAACACGCCGGGTCTGCGACGCTGTTGCCGAGTAGAGGAGGGCGAGAGCAACGGTCTCGGGGGTGCTCAGGGGCAGCTCGTTACGCATCCAGGCTATGACAGGCCGGAAGGGAACCATTCTCGTGACGGTAGCCCCTGGAGTTACCCCATTGATGGTGATATTGTCTTTCTCGAGAACATGGCGCAAGACCCTCACGAGGCCAAGTTGCTGTCGGCCAGTAGTTAGCATAATTGCCTTTCTCTTGGGATCAACAAGAGAGCGGGGGAGAGCTAGAACGCAATAAACTCACTCCTGTCCAAGCTAAAGAGGCAACCTTGACCAGCGGGTCTGCCCAGTACCCAGCTGAGCCTCCTGTGATGACAATGCTTCCCTGAACATTGTGCTTCTTCATCTGATGATGAGCCAGCTTGACAGTGTTCAGCACAGCCCGGATGTCGACATCGATTACCTGGTAGCTCTGGGTTGGTTCTAGTAAACGGCCGTCCTCGTCAAACTCATCATCGAGAAAGTTGTGCCCCACGTCTGAGATGCCCGCGTTGGCAAAGACCAAATCCACATGGCCGATACTGTCAAAGGCGTCACGTAGGGCGGCCCAGTTCGTGACGTCGAGCTGGTGGATGTGGAAGTTTTCCCACTCCTCCCAGTCGTCTGCATCCTCATCGTTGGGCTCGCTGATATCAATGTTGTGGACCTTGGCGCCTTTTTCCAGCAAGAGCTTGACGGTGGCTAAGCCAATGCCCGATGAGCCTCCTAATCGTACACAACACAGCGTGTCAGCTTTCGGCACTTCCTTCATCCCAGCCTGCATAGTAAGGTCGCCTTAGTGATGATCAAGAGTGGACATGACTCGGCTCCGCTCGGGATTATGATACGTCAGAGGTGATATAGAGTTCGGTCAACTCACCGGTAATGATAGCGACTTTCCCTTCCAGAGATGGAATCGTTTCCGAGGTGATCTGGAGAGCCATAGTTGAGGATGGATGAGGGTGGTTCGAGGTGTGATTAAACAACCGATGGCATTGCAGCAGATCTCCCTCGACAAAGCATGGGGATGGGGATATATTGGCTTGCGAACCACCTCATTATATCAGACCCTGTCAAACGCCCTCCCTTCCTTCTCGTCGAACCACCCGCGGAGCCGTGATGGCGATTCCTGAACCTAATACTTACTCGTCTATACTGGAAGGAATGTGATCAATCTTCTTGCCAGGGTAAAAAAAAAAAAAAGACAAACAAAATGACCGCAATAAGTGGAGTTGGCCTTTAACAGGATTCCAGTACCAAAGTAGCCACCATTTGTTAAGCGGTTTAACTTTCGGTTTTCAGTTCCTCTTCGCACAAGGTGAGGCCGGAAGGCCGCCTGGTCAGGGGCTCAGACAAACTCTGACCGACAATGCTTGCCCCTCTCTGTTTTCCCCTCCCCTGGACATCACTGCCCAGCCAAGCGAGTATCCCTCTCTGTCTCGAACGGTCCAGAATGGGGATGATCACTAGTAGGAAGGTATCAAGGAGGGCCATGCCCAGGTGGGCCCGCTTCCTCCTGCCAGTCCAGTGGCAATACCTAGTCCAAGTCCGCTGTCCGTCTTTACCCGGAGGATTCTACCTTTTTAGGGTCGAATTGGATGCATGAAGACAAGCAGAAACTTTGGTCGAGCCCAACGCAAGGCATGCTCACGATCCATCCGATAATACAGTGGTCATCTGCCGCTGGGAAGCACGGATACGGTGTAGTAACGATGCATCAAGAGCGGGGGGGCAAGAGCCCATAGATATTCAGCTCAAGGACATACCAAACAAGGAAAGACGCGACAGGTGGAAAGAAAGACTAGAAACTATCGTTCCCTCTTGCAGATACCGTCCGTGTTGCAGCCCCGGAGTCTTTGACCGCAGACCGCAAAGGAGACATCGCCTGATCATGCCAACATATTTTCCCAGTCTGCAGACTAAGCCCTTCGTCCAATGATAACGACGCGGAGAGAACCCCCTTTTCGAAAGGACCCAGAATGTGCTGGCCAGCGAGACCCACCCCAAACCAGCGGGGTTGGCTTGCCAAGACTAGGTTAGCCTATACGAACACGGCCTGGATGCTGCGGTGAAGGGTCCCCCAGGAGCCACGAGGTATGATGAGATGTGATAACCACGCGCTTCTTGCCGTAGTGTTATGGGGTATCTTCTGAGCATCGTTGGCCAGGCTCGGCGGGGCCACCTCTCCTCCTCCCCCAGTGGCGACTCACCGAGGTCAGCTCCTGCACAGCGTACAAGAAAAACCTGGCAAGAACAATAGCGATCATATACGGGTCAACCACTGCCCTTGTCATGTTGTATCATGTGGTCATGGATAGTATGATTAGTTCTCGTATCAGTGCCTCAAGGAGCTTCTCACCGTACCTTTATATCCTTTTACATCGAATCCTCCGAGGTCCATCAGCCATCCTGAACAAGAAATCCTTGAGAGGAGGCACGTAACTTGCCCCTCTCCATGGCGGGAACCCATATGGCGCAATAGTCTCTTCGGGTACTACTACAATGCTATTGTTCTGCATGCGTAGCACGAGGGATAGTGGAGAAGAAACCTCGCGCCGTCACGGTGTACCGCTTCGGGAGGAGTGGATCTCGCCAGGTCCAGGGACTGAGACACCAACGGTGTGGGTACACCGAGGAGTCCGACTCCCTCCTCCCCCTCTTTATTGTGACTACCCACGTATCATGAACGTGGCCATCAGCAGCCCATGTCGTCTTTGACAGCCAAAATGACAGGTCTCGGTACTCGCCTGCTGTTTCGGGCCATCCCCGTATGGCTTGCTGCCCGGACCCGGCTCCACGCTGTTATAACCGATATTGACTATTAGGACCGTAGGCCTCTGGGATTCGCTGGATTTGTTTTGCTCCACTGGGTATGTGGGTAGAACGAGAGAATACAACAGTACTAGATTCTATGGTACTGCTTCCCGCATGACACGCAGATGGTCGTCTAACAAGTGTAAGGTCCTAAGCTTCAGAGGTCCATCCATGGCCTGTTTGTGAAACACGGGCGTTTTGAAATACAAAGAGGCGTATATTGGCCCAAAGTATATCCCGTCAAAAAGGTCTATTTTTGTAATTCCTTTACGAGACACAACACAACTGCTACAGGACAATTTTCCGCACTATCTAGGTTGTGGAAAAAAGAGGAAGAGGGCTAATCTCCACTAGCGAGTCTAATAAGATGAAGGAGGGGAAACTGACTTTCGAGGCATTTAACGCGGTATACTTTTCAACTGATAACATGTTAAAATGTGAGCATCGGTTGGCTAGTCACAATGAGAGGAAGAACATCTGATGGTATGGAGCCATCAACAGCCAATCAGCAGATGCATACGAGCATTCCAGGATGATGAGTCTGCGGTATTACAGCAAGCGACGGCAAGTTGCTCGGCCACGGGCGTCCCAACAGGACGGTTCGCCCCAGTCCGGTCCACAGTGGTCGGCCCGTCGGCAGCTCAATATATACTCTGAGCTGTTGGACGGTAGACGAGAACAAGGTTGAAAGCACATGCTGTTGGTCCTGTAGGTGCTGGCCATTGCACTTTGTATTTCTCTGTCCCTCTCCTCTCCTCTCCTCTCCTCCTCCTCTCCTCCTCCTCTCCTCCTCCTCTCCTCCTCCTCTCCTCCTCTGTCTTTACTTTCTCTCTCTCTACCTCTCATTCCTAAATCATCCAATGTCTCCACTCATCATGGGCCAGTTTCCTTCCGCTCCATACGTCTCGCAGCTTGTCAGCGTTGTAGCGTCACACAATGAGTCACACAATGAGTCACACAATGAGCCGGACAAGCCTCGAACCCTTCCAGATGTGCCAAAGCCAGAGGAATCAAAGACTCTAGAATCGGAACTTCGAACGGTCATCATCAAGTTTCTCAAAGACATCGGTTACAAGACCCCCCCTCGGATTAAGAATGACGCTCTCTGGAAAACAATGCTCGAAAGAGCCAAGGAGACTGGAGTTGATCTTACAAGCCCGCATTCCCGGCGTTGTTTTGAAGTTGGCTTCACTTACGCAGCTGTAAGTTTAGCCTCATTACCCTCCGCCTACTCGTTGTCCTCTCCTTTTCTCTTCCAGTCTTTCCATCCTCCTCTCTGCCTCCTGCCTCCATTATAACTAACATGTATGCACAGGTATGTTATCCTAGCCTACCTCTCGGAGCACAAGTATACGCGGGCCTCCACACATGGCTTGGCACTCAAATCGACGACCTGCCTATGAAGGAACATGTGCGCGAGTTTCAACAACGTTTTTACAACGGTGAAAAGCAGCTCAATCTCGTTCTTGAGGGATATGCCAGCGTTCTGCGATCGACCTATGATGTGTGGGACAATGTTACCGCCAACTTCATTATCATATCATCCCTCGCCTTCATCAATTGCAATGTGTTGGAAGAGAGACCAGAGTTCCAGGCCATGGTGCCTACCAAGGGTGGACGCCGCTGGCCTCATTACTTCCGGGACAGAGAAGGGGTGCCGGACGCCTATTCATACTTCACTTTCCCAAAGGCTACCCATCCAGACATAGGCATGTTCCTTGAGGCCATACCGGATATAGGTCGGGTCCTGAATCTTTGCAATGATGTTCTTTCGTAAGTTTTGCCATCCTGTACGACAGACCATACCGTTGACCACTTCCACTAACGACATCATCAGATTCTATAAGGAAGAGAAGGCTGGAGTTACCCTGAATTACATCCACCAGAGAGCCAATTACGAAGGTAGAGATGTTATCTCTGTCATCAAGGATGCTGCCGAGGAGTGTCTGGAGGCACAGAGACGGATTGAAATAGTCCTCGATGGCCGTGAGCCGTACAGGTCAGCTTGGATGGACCACTTGCAAGGTTACATCCACATGCACAAGACAACAAAGCGGTACAGACTCAACGAGATCGACCTGGCAGAGGAAAAGAGCTGCAAGGTCCGTTGGGGCGCCATGGCCGTATCAGTTGACCTTGGGCGGCCTCAACAGCAACCTTCCGACGAACTCGGTGGTCTCTATACTCTGTCTAGTCAACATACGACTGATGCAGAAGCGGTTCAAAGCTAACGGGGCTTGAGGAAGCTCTCCGAAATCTTCTTTACACACTTTCCTTGTAACAAAGGGATCTCCCGGCGTTGGATATCTTGTTTATGAGCACACACTACCAGATTGTCTTTCCCCTCGCATGACGATACCAAGCGCTCCCACAACACATGCCTAATGACTCAATTCATGACAACACATCTTCTTCCTCGCCAGAATGACAATGTTATATCTCATTAGCGTCGTTTACCATTCGGTCTATATCACATTAGCATAGCATCTCCCTAGCATTAGCTTTTCCAACCATTCATCTTGTCAGCTTTCAACTCTCATGTATAGCTCTGATCCCAAACTTGATTAGACAATTGATGATCCACCAAGTACAAACAATACAGATGAACATCCTCCCACACCCTTGAGAGAAAATGAGAAGCATTATGACCCTAAAAAAGTCTGATTACGCACTGATAATGACTGCTAGGATGTGAAATCTATCCTGAGCACCATGATATGTAGTCTACTGCTGACATAAGGCTGCCAAAACCAGGCTGTCTGCCGGCGCTATGCATTCTTGTGTAACGTCGGAGAGCCAACATTTACGGCCGGCAGACGTCACTCTGCACGCCTTTTTTCACGTGATCAAACGTTCAGAAGGCCACCTGCGAAATGGTCAAGGAATTCATCAAGGAATCCTAGGAGCAATCCGAGCACAAAGAGTGTTGACATAGAACTGCGTGGCTTTGCTACACATTCTCGTCATTACCCGCATTTCACAGGACTTTTGCACCATGGACTCTGAACAGTGGGTGAAAGCTTTATCGCTTGGTGTAGCCCCTTGCGGCGGCCTTGAGATGTCGTTGACATGTAGTCTCAAGGACAACTATACGTCCTTCCAAGATCTGTAGTATGGCTAGGGTGCCCAGGAACCTCGAGCTGATTGAGTCGGCAAAGCAAGTCATAAGCATCGATTGCCCTTGGTGATACTGTGGGCAGTATTGCCAATAACCTGAAGACTGGAAAGCCTAGTTCAGGATCTGTCTCAAGCTCTGCACTCTCTCGCCCCAGCTAGCGCTTATAGAACCCAAGCGTAACAATATGCTTACAACATATTGAAATTTTCAAGAACGTCAAGATTTGCTCAGCTAATGTAGAGGTGTCAGATAGCTTGCCGGCGTGAATAGATGATGGTGTAGTTGGAGCAGGTGCATGAACGATGCCGAGAGGTTGAGGTGGCAGTTGTGGTAGTGATACTGGCTAATATGATATGGAACAGACGGAATACCACCACTTCGGTTTTGGGATGATTTGATCACCGGAGATCAAAGTCGAAGTCTTCGTGTCATAGTAACTTACAACAAACAGGAGGATCGTTTCGTGAACAGTACTGATTGTAACAAAGGCAAAAGAGAAGATGGGATAGAGCGGTGACTTGGGCTCTTGGAACGTGAGGAGAACTGTGTGCACGCTTTACGCCACTTATGGGATGGCTTGCCCAACTGCATATTATTCACGAGGCTGAACCAAACGCGTAGAAAAGACGATCGAATGAGAAAACACCAAAAAATCTATGTTGAGACGATAGATAGAAACATACGCTTCAGTTGAGAATAGACCTTGATTTTCTGAATGTGTTTCACTATTCAACATCACTAAGATTGGTCATCAAGTGCATGTTGTTTCGAAATCGCGTTGGCAGTGATCCAGTGGAACCTGGACTGGCGTGAGTGAGGCATAAATATGTGCTAGAGAATGTTGAAAGGTTTAGCCACGTTACCAGTGCGCAGATAGAAAATAACAATACTAAATGAAAAAAGTTTCTGCTCGTGCGCAATGAGCTTAAAAAGGGAAAGGGGACTGATGAAATTGGCTTTGAGCTTATGCTCGAATGTGCTATAATAGACGATTATCGTGTCAGGCGTCCCCATGGCATTTATCTTGGATAAATTGAGGAATGAACAGATAGGTGGGCGTATCTCCAAGATTGCAGGTCACATAATTACCTCTTATGTTGGCATATTGCTGTGTTATTATCTTTACTTGGATCTCTTGTATGAAAATGTCCGGAATCTCATCATCTAGTTGATCACGTACCAGTTACAAGTATGATAGCTCTACCTTGGCAGCCAAATGGGAAGACCCAAATCGGTTATTTGAGAAGCTGTAGAACCCGTAGTACCATTGCAAGCAACTCATTAATCTGGATAAAATTCAGGCATGGATCTATGTAGAAATTCCTCCGCGCACTATTTGATCTTGAGCACGTCGATGCCAAGAGAACAGAATTTTCGTAGAGATGAAACCTGAGCTTGCCCTTGATGACCTGGAAATAAGCGCATCGAAACATATCAAGATGATCATCAGGGGTCTTTTTCGGGCTTGAGTAAAAAATTAATTCTGATGCGATCATACGAATATCATAGAGTGTACAGACAGAGATGGATGTTGATCTCCTTCCGTTTCGGTTCTATCCGTTCCGAGAGGCTGTCAGCACAAAATCTTACCGAATCAGATCATGAATACTTATGTTGCAAGGAAAGATGTGAGTTGAACACACGGCGTAGTTGCCAAGAGGAATTCCACCAGAGGAGCAAGACTGAGCTCACCTCGTCGTAGTATCGACTACTTGAAGAACCCACGAGGCAGGTTTTTGAGTCCGCAAGAATGTACAGTGCAAGCACTTGAGAGATTTGAGTGTCCTTTGATGACTTCATACGTGGGGCAAGATCACCAGCTCGTTTCTCGTCGGATCGTACGATATTTCGATCAGCGTACTGCAACATTTTGCCGACATATCATGACTTGTTAAGTACAAGGATGCTGCGGACTGGACAAGGCTTTGCTCGGATTCAAATGGTCCAGCATTCAAGACGGACTGGGAGAGGTCACAGTAGATGAGATCTTGACGCAATGATAGAGAAGCGTAGAGAATCAAACATTAATGAATATTACTTTATCTTCGTCTGCGAATAGTATCATGATTGATGAGACCTAAAACATTTAAAAAGGCAGTAAATAGTAGATCACATCTCTTAGAAGGATCGCATCGTATTTAATCGGTTGAGAAGTCCCATCGCTTATGCATTTTGATAGTCATGTCTAACAAATTATGTAACATGGAAGTGAACCAATATCCATCGTTTTTCCTCCCGGTCCTATGTACAATTTTCCATAATTCAAGTCCAGATTTACAGCGCCGTGTACAGGCAAGAGTCGGGGGTCTCAGCCTTGGTAGCCCGGACCGAGATGCCTGTGCAGTTCAGGTTGCCAGCTGGGTTAGCCACACCAGCATCCACCCAGATGGTGTAGGCGCCATTCAGCCAAGGGCAAGCAATGAAGGACAAATTGTTGTAGGTCAGGTCGTTGTAAGCATCGAGGGCAAAGCCGGTCTGTGAGCCCGGAGCGGGCTGAGCACCGGTGGTGTAGCCGATAATGCCCTGGCCCATGCCGGAGGCGTCGACGAAGGCCTGTTGGTAGGGTGCCGAGGTGCTGTAGAGGTTGAGGGAGGCGTCCTCGCCCAGGAAGAAGGTGGCGAAGTTGGACTCGGTGTCGCACTCAGCGCCCTGTGCGGTAAGGCCGACAAAGAAGGTGTTGTTGGCGGCCTGGAAGCTCTGCAGGTGGACGGGAGAGCCCGAACGGAGGGCAGTGAGGCCGAAGGCGTCGCCGACCGCAATGGTGTCGCGAACCTTGACCTGAGGAGCAGCGGCAGCGGCGCCGACGAGAGAGAGAAGGGCGAGCATGTTGGACTGCATGTTGGATAGTTTTTTTTTGAGGGTGGTGATGGTGGAAACACGAGAAGAGTGTCGATGAAGATTTGTTTAGTGGGGTGATGAGAGAGAAGTCTGGAGTTGTTTGATGAGGATGATAATGATAGTCGCATGGAATATCATGAGCAGACAACAAGCTTATACTTATACTAATCCATCCTTCATCTCGAAGGCAAACCATCTCGTAACTTCTCTTGGCACACGTCTAAATCACCCTTTTCTCAACGAGGCTAGGTCCCTAGGCTGTACACGGTGCCTGTGCAGTGCCGATGAATCCATGACGATCATTCTGGACACTCAAAAACAACACGGGCTTTGTTCGCCCCAAAGGCTCTGCCCAACAAAAGCCCACCAGACATGTCAGCCGCAGAGGAGACTTGCTAGCCCTTCCGAACCTATCACGCCTCGGAAACGGTCCTCTGCTGTCTTCTTTGCAGCCCCAAAAAATGAAGCTTGTTTCCTCCCGCACGGTTAACTGGAATAAGGTTCGGACGGAGTTGCCGTTTCTCCTGATTTTCTCCGCCGGTGGGTCTCTCCGCTTTGCTCAGCCCAACGGCCAAGGCCTGCAGCCGACAAATACGGGATGATCGCCCATCCCAAGCGGTTCTTGTGTTACTAATTTGAGGTCGGACCAAAAAAAAAAAAAAAGAAAAGGTGGGCTAGCACAGAGAGGACTGACATGTGCCAAGCGCTTGATGGAAAGCGCTGCAACGTTCCGCTTGTGGCGGGCCAAACCAACGCAGCAATGTATCCGCTGCAGTGCCGAAATTACAACCAGAGAAACTTCAGGAGTCTTCTTGACAGGTTCACCGCCGCCACCTCCAGACATGAGGTTGTAGAATCTTCGATCCGATGTGCAGTGTCTTGCACACTGGCAGACAAGAGATGTGGTTCAAGATTCACAAATCACCCAGGTAGCCTCGGCGTCCTCATGTTAAGAAATCATTACGTCAAGCTGGGTCTCTCTTTGGAAGGCTCTGCCAGGGAGAAGCACATAGCCGTGTTCCAAGGATGTATGTTGCTTGAATTGGAATCTCGGCACCAATCACAGAAGTGGCATACGGCAGATCCAGGTAGATTAAGGCGCTCTCCGGCCCTAGCAAGGCCTTAGCAAGGCCTGACAAGGAACTCGAGGATTGAGAATTCATCGCAGGACGGAGGGTCCCCACAAAAGTAAGCCTTACATTCGTTTCCTGCACATACACGAAATTGCTGACTTGGAACAACCATAGCAACGTAGTTGATCAATGTATATACATGAAACAATATCGATTTGTTTACTCTAATAAGTGTAACCTGTTGCAACAAACCAGTCCAGGACGAACTGTTTCTTGGCAGCCGTGGCAATGGAGTCTGCGCCCCAGGAGTCACCCAGCCACATGGTCGTCCCGTCATTGCCACTCGCGGGCCAGTACGTCAGGTTCCCGCTGCTGCCGGTCCCGTTCCCGTTCGGGTTGCCATATTTGATGAAGTTGACCCAGTACTGCACCAACTGTGCCTGGACTGTATAGTCGCTCGAGGTCCAGCCGGCATCAGGGTAGTTGTACGGGATGTTATTGAACACGTATAGCTGCTCAGCGCCGTGGTAAGTGCCCTGGGTATTCGGCGCAACGAGGGAAGAGTCAATCGGTGGAGAGTGGTCGAAATAATAGGTGTAGACATTGGCACCGTTGCTGCTGTTCAAGCTGGCATATTCTTGGACGCTCGCGTCATTGGCAATGCCTGTATAAAAGTCTTGACCCCATTGCCTGTGATGTTGCAAACGCAAAGTTAGAACATGATCTGAGATCCTAAATTGGAGCAAGGGAAAAAAAACCACAACGGGGTTGCAAAGCTCACCAAGAAGACACTCGGCCGACGACTTGGAAGAAATCATTACTATTGTTGTTTGCCTGTGCGTCGGTCTCGCCTGGCCAGAGCTCGTAAAAGGTCGACGTCAGGTTCGTATTCGAGAAGAACTGGTCAAAGAACTGCTTGTAGCTTGCAACAGTGAGACCAGGATCTAGCATGGCGCCAGACTCATCGGCGTTGTTTCCAGTCAAGACCGGAACGTCTGCGTGTGCATTGTACTTGAGGCTGTCTATAAATAACACAAATGCCACGTTAGCCGTCAACTTTCAGTAACAGGGGGTAAGCAACGTGCGCCATCATTCCCATACGAACCTCCATATGTGTACTGCAACACGTATCCATCAAGGACTGGCCTGAACAGAGGCGGGTCCATAAAGGCACTCGACTGGTTGTACCACACTGTGTCATCAAAGGTTGTGTCGTCTTCAAGGTAGTACATCCCATCCCCTGAGAGAAGCTCCGCCACGGTGATCTGTCGCGCTTCCTCAATCGTGGTGGCGTTGAACTGTGCGATAAACTCTTGACCCTGGGCGAGGGCTGTGTCCATCGTTCGATACGAGGTCGCGAGGGAGCCCGTCAGCGGATCGAGGGGCGAGCGAGCACCGCTCTCAGGGATCGCACCTGCAATCATCCCAGAAGCAAGAGGGCTGTAAAACATGTCCAGCGCACATGACGATCCTGAGGACTGTCCGCCGACTGTAATCTTCTGAGGATCACCGCCAAAGTATTGAATCTGGTCGCGGACCCACTCGACAGAGGCAATCATGTCCATCACACCATAGTTGCCGCTGACGTTGTGTGGAGACTCTGCAGCCAGCTCAGGATGGGCGAGGTAGCCAAGAGGTCCTGTTCAATGAAAACACACAATATAGTGTCAGTAAATCACGAAACGTTCTCTCCTGCTTAATTACCCCGAGAACCAGAAGAGAAGGGACCTTCAAAGCTTACCCAGCCGGTCGTTGATAGTCACCACGACAATACCCTCAGCAGCAAGTCCCGAGCCGTCAAAGGTTATAACCTCGCCGCTGCCGTCCCAAAAGCGCCCACCATGCATCCAGAGAAACACTGGCTGCTTGGCGTCCAAGTCTAGATTCGACGTCCAGACGTTCAGATACAGGCAGTCTTCACTGACAGGCAGATACATGTTCGTCCAGATGCTCTGGTTGATATTGGAAAACGTTTGTATACATTGATTCCCAAAGGCCGTGGCGTTGAGGACTTCTGAGCCCCAGGGTGCGGGCTTGACGGGCGGCCGCCAGCGAAGGTCGCCCACGGGTGGCTCTGCATAGGGAATTCCCTTGAACGTCGAGACGCCCTCGCGGAACTCGGATGTGGCACCCATGATGTGGCCATAGCTGGTGCGTACTATGGGGTTTGCCGACGAGGAGACGACGTGTGGGACGAGGGCCAGGGCCGCGAGAGCAGCACCAGCGAGACGTGAGAAAGCCATGCTTTGAGATCTCGGTCGTCCTCTCAGATGGTCGACTTGAAAACTAACCAAGACGGCTCCATCATGCCTCTCGACACAGACTGTACGAAAGGACACGCGTCGTACTTAAATATATGAGGAAATCCGCAGTCACGCATACACAGCTCTATCGATGGATGTTCGGCACCCCCCACCACGGAACGCCGTCTTCTCCGAGGCGGTGGCATCATTCTTTTTTGCGTCTGTAATTGACGATCGGATTTGGATGAGGGAATTGCCGGCACAAAGAAGTTCTTCTCAGGTTTTTCACCGCTCCGCATATGCTATTCCCCGCAGTGCTGGAATTCCAGGGTTACATTCTTGAATAAAACCTTGTATGACTATGAATAAGATTCAGACGTCTTACGTCGTCGTGCGTTCTCGGCCGAGTCTAAGCCCGGGGATAAATCTAAAGGATTGACTTTTGGAAGTTTAACATCGTTACAGAGTTGCACAAGTTGTCATATTTAGCACAGGACAAGTAATGTATTATACAATTACAGTCTAATTACGGCATTGGCCGTCACCGTTGCTGGCATCGGACTTCAGAATTAAAGAGCAACGATTCAAACACCTGCATGAAGAGTAGGGGAGGGGGTGGTCATTCTGCTCCACTAAATCATCCGAACGCCTCCAACTCGGAAATGAGATCTCTCCACTTAACCCTGATCCTGATCCAACGTCTGTACTTGGCACTGCTCATCAGGTCAGTATCACAACATCTGTAGACGATATGGTGAGGAGCAGGTGATATCGAGCATTTCAAATGTGGAGCATGCGGGCATCTCGAGGGACCAGAATAAACGCGGACACAGAAAAACAAAATAAGAATGACGAGTCTCACCATGTTGTAGTAGACTCCCCTCCTAGCAAGGAGAAGAGCGTGAGTGCCTTGCTCAACGACCTCGCCTTTACACCCGAGAACAAAGATCACGTCTGCATCTTGAACGGTGGCCAGTCGATGTGCCACGACGACCATGGTCCGACTACCCTTGGTTGCTGCCAGGGCCGCCTGAACGCGCGCTTCAGTTTCACTGTCGAGACTACTTGTCGCCTCGTCGAGAAGCAACAAGCCAGTCTGGCGGATCAGCGCACGCGCGAGGGAGATGCGCTGCTTCTGTCCGCCAGACAACGCAAGACCTCCAGTACCAATATTGGTCTCGTACCCGTCGGGAAGAGAAACAATAAAGTCGTGGATGCCGGCAGCGAGCGCAGCTTGATGGACCTCCTTGTCGGTTATGAGACCCGCGCTGCTGTCATGGTCATTCTCTCGGCTGTGTACGCCCAGAGTGATGTTCTCGCGAATGGTACCGCTGAATAGGCTGGGTTCCTGAGCCACCAGCGAGATCCCCCGCCTGTAACTTTCCAGGTTCAAATTGGCAATGTCGATGCCATTGAGTAGAACCTGGCCTTGTTGTGGCGCATAGAATCTTTCGATGAGCGATATCACAGTCGTTTTCCCCGATCCCGATGGTCCTACGATCGCCACGAATTGCCCTCTGCCGATCTTCAGACTGAGATCACTGAAGATCTGGGCAGAGCGTGTAGGGTATTGGAAGCTGACATTACGAAACTCGATATCGACTCCAGTTTTCTTGCTGTGCTCCACGGCCAGGCCCCAGCTATCGTTGTCAAAACCCGAGTCTTCGTCGTCTTCTCTGCTCGCCAGGATACGCTCAGCTGCCCTGGTCGCACTGGAGATATTGGGGCTCAGGCTGAGCCATTGACCTGTGCTTGTGCCGCCTTGCAGTACAGCGATATAGACGACCATGTATTGGAACGGGGAGTACTCGTGGTCACCCAGTAACTGACCGCCATACCACAACACGAAGGCCATGCAGAGCAAAGTGATACTCTCGCTCAACGAGAACAACATCACCGACACTGTGGCCTTGTGGAAAGCCTTCTTGATGTGTTCTAGCAGCATCTGCTCATATCTTTGGCAGATGCTGTCCTCCAGAGTGAGGCTCACGACCGTCCGGATCGACGCGATGCTTTCGCAAGCGAATCGAGCACTCTCGGCAAAAACGGCTTTGTTCATTTGGTCGAGGGCCATCTCGTACCGCATCCGGTAGATCATGGATCCCATAACAACTGGGAGAGTTGTCAGGAGCGCCACAAGCGTGAGCTTCCAGCCGAACACCATGGCTAGAGCAATGCATCCAAACAAGTTGATCGAAGATGTGATGACGGAGGCCATGTGGATCCCCACCAGCTCTTGCAACTGTGTAGGGTCTGTCGACAGCCGACTCGTCAAGGCCCCAACCGAGTTGTTCTTATCATTATCAAAGAATGATGCCGGTTTCTTCAACATATTGGCAAAGTACTCTTTCCGGTACGCCCTTGTAATGGCGAAACCCAGCTTGGTGGTAGACCAACCCAGAGCAACGTGGCCAAATCCGACACCAACGGCCAGAGCGGTCATCATGAGGACCCAGAAGTTGACGATCACTGAGAGATATGCATCCCAGAACGAGAAGAGAGACACGAGCTCTGCAAACAGGTAGGCCTGCAGCGGCGTGGCTGCACCGGCAGCGAGGGCGCCAAAGAGCATCACTGCGTACGCTTTCCAGCGGAAGGACTGTTCGTACAATACCGACCATAGCCTCCGCCATACCCCAAAAGATACTGGCTCACCGAGGACCTTCACGCGCCCTTCCACTATGTCCTTTTCATCCTCAGCATCGACTTTACCCGCGGAAGGCTTGCATATTTCTCTGTGTTGCATAACATGCGCTTCATCTTCTGACACGCATTCCGTGTCTGTCAAGGTTGTCGACGCCGGGCGCACTCCCTCAGCATCAGCTTCTTCCTCAGCTGTATCAAGATTTTGGGCGAGGACCAATCGAGAATAGACCCCGTCAGTTTCAGCCAGAAGACTTGTGTGCGTTCCCTGCTGCACCACCTGCCCCTTTCGCAGGACTACGATGTGGTCGGCCTTTTGTATGGAGCTCAGGCGATGAGCAATAACGATAGTGGTACGACCGCGACTAGCACGATCGAGAGCTGCCTGTACGATCTGCTCGCTTCGAACGTCAATGGCAGAGGTTGCTTCGTCGAGGATCAGAATACTTGGCTGTTTGACAATTGCACGGGCAATTGCTAGGCGCTGGCGCTGGCCACCAGAAAGCTTCGATCCGGACTGTCCAACAGTTGTTTGGTACCCCTAAAATTTGTCAATCAGCCTCTTTCCGATCGAATCGGGGTTTGTGCACCACCAAATACGATTCGAAATGTCATCACATACCTCTGGAAAACGTGAGATGAAATCATCCGCAAAGGCATCTCTGCATGCTTGTTCAATCATTCGGGTCTTCACGTCACTACTGGCGTGCTCCCAAGGAGTTCCCATGAGTCCGTACTCGACATTCTTGTAAATGGAAGTGTCAAAGAGTGCGCTGTCTTGCTGTACGAGCCCGATCTGGTTGCGCCACCATTTCGGGTCGATCTCGTTGAGTTTTCTCCCTGAGATGGCCACGAGCCCGTTTCTGAAGTGAAGAACCTGAAATTCGTGAGCAGACTGCGGTTTAACCTCCAGGTCTCCATGTTTGGTTGCACAAGGCGCTGTGAGGAACTTACAAAGGGATTGAGTATAGGATCCCCGTCGAATTCATACCATCTCTGGATAATCCCGACAAGAGTACTCTTTCCATGGCCTGAGGGCCCGACCAGGGCACTGCGCTACTCGCGTCAGGCTACTAAAGGACTTCTTGGGCCTACAAGAACTACTTACCTTCCCAGCGGGAAACGTCAGCGTCAAGTTATCAAGCACTTTGACGTCTGCTCGTGCTGGATAGGTGAAGTTGACATTTTCCAAAGTGATATCGCCGCATGGAGATACATCTTTTGACGTGCCGAGAACGGGCTTGGGAAACTTGATGATGGTGTGGAAGATGGCAATGGCGTCTGCTGCTTGAAATGCAGCGGCTATGGGTGTTGATAACTGGCTCAGGGACGTCGCCATCTGGATGTTGGAGAGGAGTACACTGGGTAGGAAAAGGTCAGTCTGTGCACAGCATGATCGTAAGTATCTGGGAACAGTTTACTGACACAATAAGAGGTTCCGGACTGGTGATCTCCAGAAGCATGTACATCTCGAAGGCTGCCCAAAACGCAAGTGCGAATGTTCTGAAAATCGTCATTGGGTTCAGTAATCAAGCCACCATGTTCGGCCATGGGAATATTCTCGAGTACTCACGCGTATACAAAAAAGTGTACTTGTTTAATATCAGCGTGCTGCCATTGCCAATTACTTCACTGCAGAAAACTTACTCAAACCATTCTGCAAAGCAACCAAAGAGCCCATCGTCTTGCCCCTACGATGACCCTCATCCACAATTTTTGCATACAAGCCTTCGATCTTATAGCTGGCGCCAAGGGCCGCAAGCACACGTGCTGCATTAGGTGTCAACCACTCGGAAGCAACATTGCTTGCTTTAATGTCTTGTTCCAGGACCGCGGCCACAATACTAGCGATCCGAGGCGTTACCAGAGTATAAACTGTGGCAATGCAAATGAACCCAAGGCTCGTCACAAGCGTCAAGTACCAGTCGTACATGAATGCAACGGCCAAGGATCCGATAATCATGGAGATTCCCGAAAAAATGTTGCCCATTCTCTCCGAGATGCCAAGCTGTAAATTGTTTGCCACTGTGGTAATGATAGACGCAGTTTGGCCTGTTGGCAACATATCCAACGTCGATATTGGCAGGCTAAAGAGCGAGCGCAGATACACTGTTCTGACGTTTGCTGAGATCCGCAGACTCGTCAAGCGTAGGCCAAGCTGTTGTCAAGCGTAGTTTCAGCAGGTGAATGTCTACTCCAGGGCCAGCAAAACAGCGAGGGAAGAAACCAACATTTGATGCATAGGTGAGAACAAACTTGACTAAAAAGACAAATGTGATGTTCTTTCTGCACGCAAGTGGTCAGTCGTCAGTGTCTCATTCCAGTTCATGAACGAATTGCATATCTTGACTTGATGTCAATCCATCTTGCAAGTACGGTGTCACAAGGACGTGCATACACTGTCTCGTTCACCCCTCGGAGAAACTCGGCCTCAGTCTCTTGAGAGCTTTGCTTGAAGAACTCAGTAAACGTTGCCGTAAGCTGCCCTGTAATCTATCATCAGTTCTCCGTGAGAATACATAGCTATTATAGCGAAAGGCATACCAAAAAGAATGTATGTCACAGGCATCGTAAGCCCAGCCGCGAAAGAAGCCAAACATGATGCTGCTGCGATAGCCCGGTCGGTCAGACTCGCGTACGAGAAAATCGCCTAATCATCGCCTTGTCAGTCTCGTCTTGGAAAATCTTGGTAAATTCGACAGCGAAAAAGGCAGGTATTTCCTACTATGAAATTGGTAAGGGCTGCCTTCTTCTCAGGTGAGAGCCCCAATAGACTCGCTCCATCAGTGCCATGATCTTCTGACATCGTCTCTAAACCAAACAGGGTATATGAAAAAACAAAATGAATATGCAAGAATCCTCATTGGGGTTGAGGAAACGGAGTCAAACAGTCAACAGAGGGATCATTGGTATAGCATTGATTAGCACCGGCGCACCTGAGCCTCGTTGGTTCAGCGAGACTTTCTGCTCACCGATTGGCCGCCACAATGTCTCGTGAGGCATCGACAGATTGATTGAGTCTTTCGGCGCCAATGTCCTGTATGGAGAGGATCGGCTTCAGCAATTCCGCCATGTCTATCATCACCTTTAGTCTGGAGTTCAACGTTTCATTCAAGAAGGGGGCTGTTTGAAGAGGCAAACCTTAACGGAAGGATGTAACAAGCCACGGGTTGTGGTCCAAGGCTGTATTTCGAACATGGGTGTCGATGAAGTGGATACCCAGATCTAGGCTTGTTTCCTGGCAGCCGCCTTGAATCGAGGGTAGGTGGGCTAGTGTTACAGCTTATACGGATACGAAGGTTCAACTTGGCGGCACGACTGTCAGGTCTCAGTTTGCTGTGCTTGCTCTGGTGCACAGACGACTAGATTGTTTACCCAAAATCCAGGCGCAGATCATCTGGGTTTAATCAAACCTTGTCGGAAGTCACACAAATACACCAACTTGATATGGGTATCGATCGTCTTTCTAGATTCGAAGGCTAGCCAGCTATCCTCTTGATGTTCCCTTCCCTCAATTTCTCCTTATCTGACCACGTGCTTGACTAGTGTCTGTGCGCCTAAATATTACCATCCTCCTGCATTTCAGCCACTGTCTCACAGATCACGTCGACAAGCTCCCGGATCGTCTCCTTATCTCTGGGCAGTGTGTGCCCTTTTGCATGATCAAACAGAACTGCTGTGTCCATATCGCATACATTGTAAAGAGCCATAGATCCATGTATGTATGGATCTAGTGAACCAACTGGTAGGGGGGAAAATCAGATTGGACAAACGACCCAAGATTGTCATACCATGAAACAGAAATGGAGAAACTTACCAATATGGAGCGTTCTTGTCTCGATTCTCTCATCGCTTTCATCCGCAAGGATGATGTCGTGTGTTCGAGGGTCTAGAGGTGGCCAGCCCGCAAAAAAGATGCCGTACTTGAAGAGAGGCTTCGTTCCCCATCGCTTTTGCTGCCGCTGTTGGTAGAGCAACATCGTTGCTGCCATGGTGGCACCCTCTGAGTATCCGACGACAGCATCAAAGGGCCCATGCTTTTTCACGATATCCAAGATGTACCTGATAGCATTATTGGTAGATCGATGCGCCGTTGCCACAGCAGTTGGTGTCCCAGCATCAGAGTCGGATTCGGAAGAGTCTTCGCATCCACGGAGCAACTCGCGCATGGTGTCCTCGGCGATCTCGCATTCGGGAAACTCGCGTATCCTCGACAGAACATCATCAGACTGACCCTTGCTGGCTGCTCCATCCGGCTCAATGAATCTGTAGTGAGGTGCTGGGCCGAAATAGTCTTCAAAACCTGGTGGTGGTACGGCTCGGCATGGACCATGGGCAAAATAAAAGGTTGAAGGTCGACCGTCGCCAACATCGCCAAGCTCTTTCAATATCGGCGCTACTCCATGTTAGTGAAGAATATTCGATTGCACGAGAGAAGAGCACCTTTGCCCATGAGATCGAAACGGACCCAGCTGGACTTGAAATTTCTGCGTTCGACATTAGCACGATGACCTTTCCGAGAAAATCATTGCTGAGCCTTTACTTACATCGGCACTGCCGTAGGCCCCATTCAAACAAAGAAATCTCATGATGACTTCTGACGTATTACTCCAATGTGATCGAGCAACAAGTTGTGATAGGAGAACATCCAGCGTCGACGAAAGAGGGGGTGTTGCAATCTGATAAACTTTACCAACACGCAGGTTCAGACTGATTTTGAGTTTAAAGAAAATCAGTATCCATTGCTTCTATCGTGCTCCCCAACAGCATCATCAGATCTACAAAGGGGCCCGGAGATTTGGTTCCAGCCGCTGTGCCTGAGTTAGGGCAAGATCGGACGATTGTTTGGAGGGGTCTCCTGGGTGTCAAGGCCAGTCGAGCTAAAGAGCTGATATCTGGTTCATTAGCCTAAACCAATTGTGCTACGATATTCACACGTGCCGACCTGCCGGAAACTCGACAGCGAGCAGGAGTGCTGCCCAATTGGCTTGTTCCAGAGTGAGACCCCCATCAGCCTTCACTTTAAACGTGAAACCTCTATCGACATAGCCCCCCGCGGCCCGTGACCTGGCACACATGGGCTGGTTTCCAAGCCAGCGCTCAGACTCGCCGTTCAAACTTTGTAGTGACGAGTCATGCCTGGAAACTATGTGTTGCAAGGCGTACGAAGATCGAAAACCCCAGAGAACGGAGGGTGAAGGGTTACATGTATTCACGGCCCGTTGCAGATTGTTTTCATCCATCAAGGGGTTATAGGAACGCACTAAGAGGATTGGTTCTCAATGTTCCTTTTCCTTGAGTGGACGTGAGGATGCACATGGCGTTAGCATGCTTTAATTAATAAGGAAGTGGTATTGCGATTGGATATTTTTTGAACCACGTGTGGTCTCTCGATATATTTGATCCCGGTGACTTTTCAACACCCAGCATCCTATTCACTTGAGACGATCACTTGAAGTGGAATTTCTGGTGTGGGACGCGCTCCCGAGATTACCTCTTCTCACCCAAAACTCTATGACGACGTTGCTGGTCAGCATCAAATAATCTGCCATGGCGCCAGCCGCCCTCTCCAGCTCCTCCTCCGGTGGATCATCACCAGCGACCAGCCCAGGGTTTGCATACCCCAATGGAGCAGAAGGTGGGTTCGTTGACGACGTGAACAACAGAAGCACTAGTACGATGTCCTCAGATCGCATACCGAGTATGGCAAGACAACAGCCTGTCGCCATTGTCGGCATGTCCTGTCGCCTTCCTGGAGGCGTCAGCAACCCCGTCGAGTTCTGGGAGTTATGTTCGAGAGCACGAAGCGGATTCATGGCTGGTGCTCCCAAGGAGCGCTTCAATCATGATGCTTTCTATCACCCCAACCCCGGGAGGACGGGTGCCTATCATTCCCAAGGCGGATATTTCCTCAATGAGGATCCGGCTGCATTTGATGCCCCGTTCTTCTCACTGACTGAGAAGGAGGCTGTCGCAAGTAAGTTGAAACATCACGTCTTACAATCTTCGATGACCGTCGCGTCGGGAAAACAGAGTAAACAAGTGCCAATGTTTGCTACGACGACACTTGCTGACAAGATTTGTTTTGTATAGTGGATCCACAGCAGAGACTGTTATTAGAGTGTACATTCGAGGCTCTGGAGAGTGCCGGCATACCAAAGCACTCGGTTGTTGGACAGCAAGTCGGAGTTTTCATTGGCGGTAGTCTGTCCGAGTATGAGACTCATCTATCGCGTGACTCGGACTCCATGCCGATGTATCAGTCAACAGGTCAGTATAACGGAGATGACAACCTATGTAGGCCATGCCCAGTGTTGACACTCAGACATAGGTTGCGCTCAAGCAATGCAGTCTAACAGATTATCACATTTCTTCGACCTGCGAGGGCCGAGTTTCACGCTTGATACAGCCTGCTCTTCCAGCTTAGTGGCGCTTCATGCGGCGTGTCAAAGTATACGGAACGGAGAATCTTGCATGGCTATCACCGGCGCTTGTCACTTGAACATGCTGCCGGATTCCTTCATTTCGTTCTCAACTGGCCGGTAAGTATCTGGAACCGCTACCACTTCAACGAATACAAATGGGACAACCAGACTAACCCTGACCTGGCGCTTTCTAGACTGCTATCCGATTCTGGCCGATCAATGGCCTTTGACGAGCGTGGCACCGGATTCGGTCGAGGCGAGGGCTGCGGCATCATCGTCTTGAAGCCTCTTGACCAAGCTATCAAGGACAAGGACGCTATCCGCGCTGTCATACTCGGGACAGGGATAAATCAAGATGGCAAAACTCCCGGTATCACGATGCCAAATGGCGATGCACAAGGTCAGTGACAACCGGGTCAAGGATGGAAAGCATATACAGCGTCTTCCAATTTAGTACTGACTATATATCACACTGCAGAGAGCCTGATCAAGCAAGTCTACGAGAGTGCAGGTCTGCATCCACGAGATTGCGGATTCGTCGAGGCACACGGCACGGGCACAAAGATAGGCGATCCCACCGAAGCAGGTGCCATCTATCGTGCGTTGGGAGAGGGGCGATCTGCCAGGGACCCGCTCTTCATTGGGTCCATCAAGTCGAACATCGGTCACCTCGAAGCGGCATCTGGCGTCGCCGCTGTCATCAAGGCCGCGCTGATGCTCGAGCGGAATTTCATCCTCCCGAATTATGACCTCAAGACGCCAAATAAGAAGATTCCGTGGAAAGAGTGGAACATGGCGGTGCCAAAATCTCAGCGTCCCTGGCCTAGGAACAAGAAATACGTCAGCGTAAACAACTTCGGTTTTGGCGGCACGAACGCACATGTCGTGCTTGGAAAGAGCCCGGCTCCTACCAAGAAGCTGCCCATGTCCAGGCGAGCTACCAAAGACAATTCGACCGAGAAGCCTCAGGTTGCGAGGAAACTGTTTGTTCTTTCTGGCAACGACAGACAATCCTTGGAAGCTACAATGGCGAGCTTGGTTGTCTACCTTGAACAAAGACCCGAGTAAGCATGATTCCTTCTCGACACATCGGTGATATCATTATTGCTTGTATCCTGTCTGACGAATTTGCGTCCAGAATATTCCAGTCTGATCTTCTCGAACATCTCTGCTATACATTGAGCAGAAAGTCTCTCCTCAAATGGCGAGTCGCTATCCCGGCTGGAACCTCATTCCAGCTCATCGAAGCACTCAACAGCAAGAACATAATCTCCACTCGGTCCACAACACCTGGTCAAGGCCAGCACCAAGATCTAAAGCTTGGCTTTGTCTTCACTGGCCAGGGTGCACAGTGGCATGCTATGGGTCGAGAGCTATATGGGCCAGGTGGTTTCCCGGCATACACAGCCTCCTTGGATCGGGCGGACAGATGTCTGAGAAAATTGGGCTCCCAGTGGTCCCTGATTGATGAGTTGATGCAAGAAGATGCGAAGGCATCGAAAGTCTCCGAGGCACACATCAGCCAGCCTAGTTGTACAGCGGTTCAACTGTGCCTTGTTGATCTCTTGCACTCATGGGGGATTCGGCCGAAAGCCGTGACAGGGCACTCAAGCGGTGAGATCGCTGCAGCCTATGCGGCGGGAATTATCACATTCGAGTCGGCCATGGCAATTGCCTACCACCGAGGAAGGATGATTCCAGCCCTAAAGTCTGATTTCCCTCGCCTGCAAGGTGCAATGATGGCGGTAGGTGGCTCGAAGGAGGAGTTTCAACCTCTCATTGATACCGTGAACTCAAAGCCTGAACTGGAAGAGAAGGGACAGGAGATCCGCATTGCCTGTTACAACAGTCCCACGAGCCTTACGATCTCAGGCGATGCAGAGGCTCTCACAGTTCTCGAACAAACCATCAAGGAGACACAGCCAGCTACCTTCAACAGACGACTTCAGGTGGACGTGGCCTATCACTCACACCACATGAATCTTGTGGCCAAGGAGTACAAATCCGCTTTACAGTCCCTCCCTATACCCAGACCAAGCCGGGTAGCGAAGTTCTACTCTTCACTCTACGGCCATCTTATTGATGGTTCCGGATGTGACGAAAATTATTGGGTCGATAATTTGACTCGTCCGGTACGGTTCAGCCAAGCACTCGAAGCTATGAACAGGGACTCTATGGAAAAAGAGGCATCTGTGAGCATGCTTGTTGAAATGGGCCCGCATTCCGCCCTCCAAGGCCCAGTCAAGCAAATTCTCCAAGCTGCAGGCCACTCAAAAGACATTGCCTATAGCTCAGTCTTGGTCCGCAACCGCAACGCTATTGAGACAGCCCTTCAGCTTGCTGGCGCCATTACCACCAATGGAGGCCTGTTGCACATAGATGCTGTCAACTCTCCCGCCGATAGCGGAGTCGATCGACCTACATTACTGACTGACCTACCGAGGTATTCATGGAACCATAAAACGAGGTACTGGCACGAATCACGCCTGTCGCGAATGCATAACCACCGAGGCTCGAAGTGTCATCGGAGTGAGCTGATCGGCCTCGAGGCCATCTACTCAACAAGCACGGACCCCATATGGCGCAATGTCATCTCTCTGGACGATCTACCATGGATAAGACATCATCGCATTCAGGGGACGGTTGTGTTTCCTCTCGCGGGATTCGTTTCCATGGGGGTTGTGGCCGTTGTACAGAAGACGGTCGATCAAAAGCACGCGAACAATATGGTGGAACTCAAGGATGTTGAGGTGCTCAAGCCGCTTGTTTTCTCATCAGATGTGGTTGACGGAAATGGCAGCATCGAGATGAGTACCTCACTCCACCGACGCTGTGACCCAATTTCGGGCGAGGAATGGCATGAGTTCAGGATATCCTCCTGGTCTGTCAACACAGAATGGACCCAGCATTGTGTCGGACTGGTGAGAACGGCACAGCAAGACACAGCGGCGAGCCATGCTCAACAGAACCTGATCAATGAAGCAACAGCTTCTACCCAAGAACAGAATGCTGCTCACATCGACGGTGAAGGTATAGCGGCCTTCTACTCAAAGTTGTCTGAAAATCTTGGTGTCGAATATGGTCCCTCCTTCCAGTGCATGCGGGATTGCACAAGTGCTGGTGACTTTTCTGTCGGAACAGTCTGCCAACCCGCAGGTTCGGAAGACCAGCGGAACCCCAGCACACCTGTGCTGCATCCGACCATACTCGAGTCCATCATTGACACGTACTGGCCAATTCTGTTCGGCGATCGCATGGCAGAGACGAACGACACAGTCTACCTTCCATCATCAATAGGACGCCTGACCATCGCTCTCAACACCACAGGCGAGACAACTGCAAACGATTTGCGGACCTATTCTATGGCCAAATTTGATGGTCAGGCCCCTCAAGCAACGAGTGTGAGCATACTCGCGACGGCACCGCAGGAGATTACAGGTTCTCTCTACCCGGTTGTCTCTATTGATGGGCTGGTCGTTTCGCCCATGTTGGACAACAGCCTGTCAAGAGCTGACGATGATGGTGACAGTGCTCGTCAGCTCTGCTACAAATACGAGTGGGAACCCCTTGAGAACCAGGACACACCGGCACCAACAGCACTCGCACCTGGTGTCATCATCTCGGGCGAGGATGGCACATTGTCACATTCGTTCGCAAGTGAATTGGTCAAAGTCCTCGAGAAGAACGTCTTTTCGGCCCGTCCTAGCATTGAGCCGGGGCTCTTCGAAGGAGCCACGGCACACACTTCCGAGCACGTCAAGGCAGTCATGTCCGACAAAACCTGCATCGTCCTCACAGAGATCGACCAGCCCTTCCTTGTCAACCCCACGGAGTCTCAGTTCAATGCTGTCAAGGCCCTTGCTGATAGCGCCAGCCGGATCTTGTGGGTGACTGGCGGATCATATATCGATTGTACCTCTCCCAGCTCCAATATAATCAGTGGTCTAAGCAGGACCATTCGTGCCGAGACGATGACTCCATTCGCACACTTGGACATCCAGGGGTCCCCAAGCAACACCATCAATCCTGAAGAAGTCTCGGAGATTATCTCCAACGTGACTCTGAGCGCATTCGGCATCTCAAACAAGAAGGAGAACGATATGGAGTTCGTTTACAGGTCTGGTAAAATCATGGTTCCTCGAGTCGTCAACGATGACAACATGGATCAGCTTGTTCAGCAGTTCACCAACCCTCAAGCTTTGACAGAGCAGTCCTACGCTGAAGGAACATCTGGGAGCCGAGCGCTGAAATTGCAGTTTGAGATGACCAAGTCTTGTTACACCACTCGCGGCTCTGGTGCCAACAAGACCATTCAAGGTGTCCATATGATCGAGGATACCTCGGCAAAAGCTGTACCACTTGCAGATGACGAGGTTGAGTTCGAGGTCAAAGCCGTTGCTGCAAACAGACACGACGCATTTGCGGCACAGTCAGAAGCTCCGTCCACTCTGGCTGGCCTTGAGGCGTCCGGGATAGTGATCAGACTCGGAAGCGCAGTGACTGATCCTGCGATCCAAATAGGTCGTCCCATCGCCTGTCTGACCACTGCCGTGGACAAAAAGTCCCACGGTGCTTTTGCAAGTCTCGCGCGCGCCTCGGCCTGCATGACCATCCCTCTCTCCTCGGAAACAGTGTCAACAATGTCATTCGAGCAGGCTGCCACTTTGCCATTAGCATACTATACAGCTTACTACAGCCTCATGGACCAGGCACGTTTGGAACCAGGCCAAAGCGTGCTTATTACTCATGGTTCAGACCCCATTGGACAGGCCGCCATCTGCCTTGCGCTTCGGGCTGAGGCGGTCGTTTATGCTATCGTTGAGACTGTGGAGGAGAGAGAAAAGATTCTCAGCCAGTACTCCGGATCCATCGCTGAAGACCATGTTTTTGTACCTTACGGGAGCAAGAATATTTCCAGTGACTCTTCGGGTCATGAGATATACAACGCCCTCATGGCGACAACGCACAAGACTGGAGTTGACGTGATCTTGGATTCGAACACATCTAGAAGCCGCGAGCAGTCACACTTAAGCAAGCTTTGGAGGTCGTGTGTGTCCGATTTTGGCTGCCTCGTGCAAATTCAGGAACAAGACGCTTCACGACAGGAAAGCATCAGCCGAGGACAGAAACATCTCAGGTTCGAAGACATACAACCATCGTCCTTCCTCGACAATCTCAAGATGCCCCGGAACACTTCTCACATCACCATCGATATGCTCTCCTTGGGATATAGAAGACCCCAGGTTCTTGCACGCGTTGTTGCCAAGACAGCAAAACTCCTCCAACAGGGCAAGATCCAGCCGATCCATGGCGTGACTGCCGTGCCTTTCTCGCAAGCGCATGAGGCTCTCAACAGACTTGCGAAAGGTGAAGGTAGCTCAAAGACAGTTCTCGTGCCCACAGCCGACGACACGATCAGAGCGCCGCCACGGCACGATCCAACGCGCAGCAAGCTCCTTCAATCCGATGCCACTTACATTATCGTGGGTGGCACGGGCGGCTTAGGGCGGAGCATGGCCAAATGGATGATTAACCATGGTGCAGGTCATCTCGTGCTGCTATCAAGAGCCGGCAAGATGACACCAGCAGTAGAGGAACTCTCGGAAGAGGCGCAGGCAGTCGGTGCTCGCGTTCATGTTCGGCAATGCGACGTTACTGACGAGTCCAGCTTGACGTCGCTTCTGAGTTGGATCAGCACCGATGCTGCACTTCCACCAGTCAGGGGCGTCATACACAGCGCCATGGTCCTTCGCGATGTTCTGTTTGAGAAGATGACCCATGAAGAGTACATGACGGTCATCGACTCCAAAGTGAAAGGTGCTTGGAATCTACACAAAACCTTGGATGGAGTAGAAGGCACCGAGTCCCCGACTACAAATCAGCTGGACTTCTTCGTTGTCATGTCTTCGGTGTCCGCTGTTGTCGGAAATCGAGGCCAGGCCGCATACGCAGCTGCCAACACTTTCATGGACGGCCTTGTCCAGCACCGTCTGTCGAGAGGTCTGCCAGCAACATCACTTGCTCTGGCCGCCGTGTCCGATGCTGGCTATCTCGCCGACTCTGAAGGCGGCGCTGAGCGAGCAGCTGATGTTCTCCGAAACCTGGGAGGTGAGGTCGACAATACGATCTGCGATTCCGAGGTGCTAGCGCTACTGCAAGCGGCCGTGACAGGACAGACGGCTTCTTGTCAGCACCATGTCATCACCGGAGTAGGCGTTAGCAATGGCGGCGGAGGGAAAACAAAACCCAAGTCCTTACCTTTCTGGGCGCATGATAGCAAGTTTTCTCATCTGTATGTTCCAACAGATGCAGAAGACGAGGCCGGAAAAGACGTCATCTGTTCGCTGAGCCCTTCCCTCAGCCAGGCAGAGGCCGAGAACGTGGTCAGCCGCGGGCTTGTGGCGAAGATCGCACAAGTGCTCATGATGGAAGCCGAAGATCTTGATGTGACGAGGAGCCTGACGCACTATCCTCTCGACTCCCTGACGGCCATCGAGATCCGTAACTTCATTGCACGGGAATACGAGGCGAGCATGCAGGTGCTTGAGCTGCTGAGCAGCGGGAGCATTGAGACCTTGAGCAGCGCTGTCTGTAAGAAGTCAAAGCTCTGCCAGGTTTCGTCGTAGCAGTAATGGGTGGCCTCTCTATTAGGCACCATTAGATAAAGGAAAGGGAGGAGAGAGTGCGAGAGAATGAAAGTACAGAGTTAGACCCCAGGCCCGTGATTGTATATGGGAGGGGTCTGAGATATATGTTACATCTTTTTCAGCACACATATACCAATACCATTATTGCATTGCACAATCTCAGTGGATCAGCAATACTGGTTTCCGCTAGCATTTTTTGAGAATCTTCTGCAAGTTTCACCACCGGCCCCTCGAGCGTTTTAGTCTATTGTATTCCTGTATTATGACGCGAGTTCGAAGTAATTCATGCCCTCCGACTCCTCTTCATCGAAACATTTCATGAGACGGCGAGGTACTGCCCAGATGTGATCTTCTCCAAGTTGATAAACTTCTCGTCAAGTGTCCTGATTGTGCTCTGCGACTCCCTCGTCTTGACCGACTCCGTACCGCCCGCTTTGTTCCAGTACGGGTCTGGGTTTGTTGACTGACTCTGATTGTTGTTGCTACTGTTATACAAGGTATGCTGATCCGCGTCTACGTTCTGGCAGAGGGGATCCTGGTCCAGCTGCCACACTCGCATGCTGGCATTGTTGTTGTTTTGCGAGGCGACTCCACAGTTGAAGTTGCGCTCAAGACAGCCCGGGCATATATTCCAGTTGGGATCACGGGACCTGAGATACCTGCGCGCGATCCAGTCGAAGATCTTCCAGAAGGCAGAGATGAGCACGATGTCCGACACCATCACGGAGACGATCATGGATCCGGTGTCCTTTTGGCGAGGCACAGAGCAGATGTACTGCACGCTGAACTGCGCCGGGGTGCCTTGCAGCTCTGATGAGCCCAGGATGGAGAGGTTGCCGTTGCTAATGGCCTCGCTCCCACTGGCATCATTTATGGCAGCCTGTAAGTACTGCGTCGCGGTCTCATTCAAAAATGCGTTGCTGTCATCAAAGGCCAGATCCCACATGACGGCGGAGTAGTATGATTTCGCGAAAGCGTCGAGGAGCATTGAGACATCTCGCGGCTCGCCCTGCGCGAGGGGGAAAGGAGTGTCCGTGTTATTGTTTGAGGATGAGACAAGACTTTCACTCGCTCCAGGGCTCAAGATCGACACTGTGAAGAAGTCGTCGGAAGTGATGTCTGAGATATCTGAAGTCTGCAGAGCTTTTGAAAGGAGGCGTGTTAGATTATGAGCTGTTGATGAACGTACCCACATTAAAAAGGACAGTGTAACTAACCTAGAGTTGTCCCAGTATAGCCGGCGGTGCTGTTCATAGCTTGAATAGCATCCAACAGTACAGTATAGCTTTGTTTCCTAAACAGGTTTCGTATCGTCAGCCATGGATCTCAGAAGAGAAAACAGGTTTTATCCCTGCCTCGAAAGAACTGACATGAAGTTGTATACTAGATATTGACTCAAACTGGAACGCTGTTCAAACAGAAACTCGGTACCACTGAATGACTGTTGCACCGTGATGTTCACACGTTGGTCTGTCTCAATATAGCAATATACCGGTCCAGTCTACGCAAACGTTAGCCTCTTCCTTTAGCCTATGTGGATCACAAGCACACCACATCTCTGAACAGGAGACTAACCTGAATCTGAAGTACAGCTGAGCTCGGTTCTTGTCCAGACGTGAAGATAACCTGCATGTGGCCCATCGAGCAGTCACGCAATGTATTGTTCATGTAGGTTGTAATGCCAAGGGACTGTGCGGTAAGACCAGCGTAGACAGCGGCCTCGTCCGGCATCAGGGTCGTGTTCATGCTGGTGACGGTGTAACTGGCTGTCTCCTGGTTTGAGGTGTAGTAAGGGCTTCCTATTGAGATACCGGGTGATTGGCACGAGAACTGGGCGGTGCTGATCCAGGACCAAGGCGCATCCATGTACCAATGGTGCTGATGTAGGGTCGAGTTCGGGTCTGTCGTGTAGACGACCTTCTGAGTGTACCCATCTGCTGCTATATTCATGAATGTGAAGAAGACCGCTGCTACTACGGCCATCCCGGTGAAGAGAGGTGTGAACCAGCGGAAGGGATATGGCCGCTCAAGAGGGTATCGAAACCACGATTCATGGTGCGATGCCATGGCTGACGGTCATTACTGGGATCGCAGTTATAGGATTGATCTATGTTCTGGCGGGTTTTTCTCATTACAAGCGATGAATCAGATTGAGGGTCGTGCTTCTGTGCCAGAGGCGAGAGGACCCATGGTTTGTATTTAATTCATTACTGCTCAGGCTGACTGACTAACTAAGTTGGCCGACATATTGATTATACTTTTTTAGTATGGATGGCGCCCTCGGGACGGTGAGACCCACGCCGCCATTCAGATGATAGGGCGTGCTCAACTCTTCTGGAGGAGCTCCCTTCGATAACCTGCGTCTTGTGTCTTGCATGCCATTGGCCCTATCCTGCTGACATGGTTCTGTGGATAAGCTCAACCAAAGTCTGCCCTGCGCGCTGCCCCTCAGCAAAAGCCGTGGACCAATCAACGTATACCCCAGCTACATCTGGCCCCCAAGATTCCAATCCCCTCCACAGAGTCACACAGCAAGTGTCATGTCTAGGTCTGACGTGCCGCCCTGCTGAAATCCTTCGACCATCACTAACAGACGTGTCCTTTCCTCATCCATCTAGCTCCATCCCAGCTTCGCAATCCCGATGCCTTGAAAGGAAACCGGGTTGACTATATATGCACGCAAAGTCTTTCTTTAGTAACTCTTCATGCACGAGTGCTAAGAAGGGTGGGAAGCGCGGGCAAACCGGTGCCGCTGCAGCGTTAAAAGTGTGTTCCAAGTGCCGGGGAAAGTAGGTCAGTCTCTTCAAGGCTGAGGAATGTGCCTTGGTGCCTCAAGCGTCACCTCGGATGACTGATCACCGGCGGGCGGGTGTGTGCGGATGAACTCACAACCCAGAGACCCCGAGTTCAGCCAACCCGTCAGCGCAACATAAAGTATGTAATCATGGCGGACTCATCTTGATGATCGGCATTTTCATGGCTGAGAATACAGGTAGTCTCGCGCATGTTCTAGGAGTAGTAAGTGTTCGCTAATGCAGCTCATTAGAGGAAGAGAATTGTGACTTTCTTACATAGCTGCATTTCGCCATGTCTGACCTGGTTCAGTCTTTCATGTGTTTGAGATGTGAGATGTGATGCTTTCGACTTATTCATAGCCAAGATACATGTTACCCGTCTTGAAAGTGCATGATTGTTGGATCGCGAACTTTGAAGGTGCCACCCTTGTCTTGTCATATTGGAAATAGTAGTTAGTACTATTCTTAAGGCCTCAGAACGATTAACCGTCTTCATCGAGCAGTGTAAGTGAATAGGCTATATGGTGCGCGGTTTGCACGGTGGCAATAAGTCGCTGCACACCTAGTACATACGTCCTCACCCCGCATCCGTAGCCGACCAACGTACCGAGGATAACGTGTCCCGATAAATGGGTTTAACCGCTAGATATCACCATCAGGATGCTGTAATTATATTTACGAATTAATAAAAAGAGAGAATTACCCAGTCTTCTATATTGTCGTCGCCCCTCGCTTCGACGAGACCTCTCAAGATGACAACGTCTGAGCACACTGCTGCCCTGCTTCGGTATCTCTCAGATGACCTCACAGGCGACACTGTTCCCGAGGAAGTATGGCGCCGGATTGAGGACCTGTTCCTCGACTGGCTTGCTTCAGCACTCGCCGCCGCCGAGACTCACCCGATCCCGACCTTTGGAAACATAGCGAGGCAGATGGGACCGAGTGATGGCTCGGCACAGATCCTCGCCAGCGACACCAGGTCGAGCCCTTACTGGGCTGCCTGGGTGAATGCAGCCTCGAGTCATACCCTAGAGCAGGATGACCTGCACAATAGCAGCGTGATGCATCCCGCGACGTAAGCAAAAGCCATCACCACAACCTCCTTTTTGCTGATTTTTTTTTTTCACTCTTCTATTCGATTGCCGCCATCTCCCGCAAGTCACACCTGACGGCAAATTCGACGCCTAACTAATTGTATGGCAACAGTGTCATCTTCCCGGCCGTCCTAGCAGCTGCTCAAGACAATAATCTGTCCGGTTCCGACCTCCTCTTGGCCAGTATCGCCGGCTACGAGGCTGGAATCCGCATCGCCGAGTCCCTGGGCCGGTCCCATTATCGCATCTTCCACACCACAGCCACCGTCGGCACAGTAGCAGCCGCACTGGCCGTCGCCAAACTCCTCGGCCTCGGCTACGACCAGGTGGTCTCTGTCCTGGGCACGGCGGGCACGCAGACCAGTGGGCTATGGGAGTTCATGCGCAGCGGTGCCGGGGACAGCAAACAGCTGCACTGCGCACACGCCGCCTCAAACGGCCTTCTGAGCGCGTACATGGTGCGCGACGGGCTGAAGGGCGCGCAGGACGTCATCGAGGGCGGCGCAGGCCTGATGAAGGGAATGTCGGGCCCGGACGCGGATGGAACGAGGCTGAGTGACCGTCTGGGTGCGAGGTGGGCTGTCCTCGAGACAAGCTTCAAGTTTCATGCCTGCTGCCGGCATACGCATCCTGCTGCTGATGCACTGCTTGATGCCATCGCAGGGAACGGCATTAGGGACGCTATGGTGGAGATAGAGAGGATCACGGCGCATGTGCATCAGGGCGCAGTGGATGTGCTCGGTCCAGTCGACGCTTCCTCCTCGCCGCCAAAGACGGTACATGCGGCCAAATTCAGCATGAAGTCGACGCTTTCTCTCATCGCGTTGAAGGGAAGCGCGAGCCTCTTGGACTTTGAGAAGTTTGCTCTTACGGATCCAGATGTGCTGCAGTTCAGGGAACGCATTAGCATGGTCTTGGATGGTGAGGTCGATTTGGCGTACCCGAAGCGGTGGCTCGGCAGGGTGGAGGTCAAGCTGGCCGATGGTCGGGTTGTTTGGGGTACTTGCGACGAGCCAAAGGGTGACCCAGGCAATACTCTCACAAGGAGCGAGCTAGAAGACAAGTTCAGGAGGCTCAACGCGTATGGGAAGGGCGTTGATAGTCGGGCACAGCATGTAATCGAGTGGTGTTGGTCCCTACGAGCGCAGCCGACTTGCTTGCTTCCCAGTCTTAGTAGCGAAGAAGGCAACAGATCGAAGCAGTAACCATTGTGGCAAGAACTTGCATTATTGCCAGTAAACTCCGAATTGCATACTTAATTCTATGGAGCCAACTCTTCACAAACGTCCTCAATTCTGAGTCTCCTCAGGAGAGAGACAGTGTGCAATAAAGCGCTCGTGAAAAGGTGCTGTGGCTGAAAGCAATTCCATACGTTTACCGCTCGCTACCCGAACTTTCATTCAGCACATGTATACATAACAAATGCCGCCCGTGACGAATAGTGATCATGATAGATACTTGAGGACCTAACTACGCAGGGCCAAATAGTCACTCCGCATCGTTGAAACTGGAGTCATCTTAATATCTGAACCAGACAATGATAAGGCACCAAACTAAAGAACGGAGTCCTGCGACCTATGACATAGTAACTAGGAGAATGATGGGTTAAATAGCAAGATTAACGAAAGCGGTTTAAGCTTACAAGTGTTTAGATGATGGTTATTCCTAATTCTGCCGGCCTGCGCCGGTCGGGACATAATAATATAGCTTTTATTTTTAACCCTCAATCCGCTGACAACGGCGGTGTAGAGTGGTCTACTGACTACTTTCCCCGAGTGTATACTTATCAAGTCAATCACCACCCTCCACGTAGGATTTACGTAGTATTATGGACGGGAATTGGGGAGTTTCTAAGCCGGCTTTATCAGAATCCTTCTAAATTTAACTCCGTGTACAACTTCATTAGCCTACGTACAAATACGAATATTCCCGTGAACTGCGGCCCAAACATCTCGCCGCTTTGTATCCCGATGGCCAGGATTTGTCAGCACTTCTGAAACCTTGTCCTGTAATCTCTCGGTTACTGCTGACGTAGGAGGATAAAGCTCAGACAGATGGCATTGGCTCGGGTAATTACTTTGTCATCGCGCTCAGACCTGCAGAAGTTCCCCTTAGGGAGGTTGGGCTGACTCCCGGAGGACTGACGTAAACGTCAAACGACGACAATATTAACATGTGAAGCATCTAGTAATGATTATAAGTATGCCCTCGACTCGGTGCGTCGAAACCTCTTGAAACTCCTCTTCACAGAAACGAATATCATTGATACTCTAGTATAATCCAACCAAGGACTCTTGAAACCCTTTCAACCCAAGCAACACCACGTCACCAAAAAAAATGGCCGCCAAGCACACCCTGTACGATGCCTATTTCCCTTTGATTTTCAAGGCCCTCAGTACCGCCGACTATATCCTTGACAAGGCCCAGGCACACGCCAAGGAGAACGGTCTCGACCCTGATGTTGACTACATCAATGCGAAGTTGTATGAGGACATGTATCCTCTGGGCAAGCAGATTCAGACTCGTACATAGCCCTTCCATCCTGCGTACCCAACCCCCAGCGTTTCGTTTCGGGGATGGATTCTAACTTGAGGACAGTGTCAAGGGTGGTCCAGAGATCGATCTTCCACTTGACAGGCCTTGGACCCGGGGACTGGGGTGAAGAGGGGAAGACCTTTGCGGAGCTACACGCCCGCATACAGAAGACCCGAGACCTAGTAAAGCAGGTCAAGCCGGAACAGATCAATGACAGAGAGGATGAAGAGTTGGAACTGTATGTTACCCATTGCCTACCTTCTCACGCTCTCTCTCCGCTTTCAAAGATGTCTTGCACCGAGGCTGACACGCAGACGAAACAGGTTCAAGCCTGGTACCCAAGATAAGGCAACTGTCGGCGACTGGGTGTCAACTTATCTTACGGCGAACCTGTTCTTCCACACTGTCACTGCCTACAACATCCTCCGAATGAAGGGTGTGCCTCTGGGCAAGTTGGACTATCTTAGCCAATTCTTAAATGAGTAAATTTCGAGCACGGGTTATTCGTAGTCTGGCACCTCTTGACGAAGTGAGAACGAGGAGGAGGATCTAGAGAGGTTGCGTCTGTACCCACCTGGAGTCCTTGTAGAGGTTGAGTAGAGAGTGTTGAGTTTAGACTAGGAACAGCTTCTATACCAATAGACTGATACCCACCAAATCTGTCATTAGGAGAAAATCTCACGGTAGATATCTTATGTAACAACACCCCCCCCCCCCCGGTAGCTCATTTTATCAGTCAGGACTAACATCAGTCCCCTTTCAACCTCGTTGCGCTACCGTCCACTGGCTACCCTCGTTCAGTACATTTGTATCCCAGTCACAATTCGTTGGCGTTGTCCTTTCATCCTCCATCTCTTTTCTGCCCCATCAAGACGTGTTGAACCCTATTACCAGATATCAAGCCGAGGTCATCCTACCTTATCTTGTCACTTTGTCATCATTCTGGCCATTGCATAGACCACGTCTGCGGATAGCCCATTTCGAGGTTCGCCTCCAAAGCCGCATCCACGGCGTCCAAATCAAAGCCTGGATCAAAATGTATGAAAAGATCAATATCTGAAATGTCGTCCCATGGCGGCGGCGGCGGCGAATAGTCGCTTTTCTCAGCCTGCTGTTGGTATTGGACCGCAGGAGCTTCGTCAACCGTCGTCGGTGTCGGCTCTGTCGGTGTCTGGGCGTTATTGGTCTCGCCCAATGTGAAGACAGTCGAGGGAGGGTCCTCGGTTGGATCCTCACTATCCAGGCTTGCTGGGCCTGAGCTTATGTCCTCATGGCGTTGCACCTCCACCGCTCCGCCCATCTCACCCTCCTCAGCGCCAGGTCTGTTCTGAACTTCGAGTCTTGTCGCCTGGCGCGGCGTTGTAGCTCTCGTCCCGGCCACCGTACTCCCTGTGGCTGCTGGCCCGTTCGAGTTGGCAAGCCCCTTGGCCGTCTTGTCCATTTCGTTTAATATAGCGATGCCCAGGCCCGCGTTCAATCTTGCGTTGGTGTACACCTCGCCCAGCGAATGCAGCAAACCGACAACCTCTACGAAGCGTGCCTTTGCTCTCAACCTGTACATGGATATTTTGGAGTAGCGCATCTTCAGGTACATGACGCTCAATGACAGTGCGACCGCGTACGGGACAAAGGGGAGGATGTAGATGCTGTCGGAAGAGGAAGAGGATGAGGGCTGGTGAGACAGGGATGACACGACCGAATCAACGATGCGGTCGGCTGACAGAGAGCGACGGGCGTTGACGTTGGGGTGCGGGATGGCGGCGTTGGATGCGTCTGGGAGGGAGGTCCTGGGGTGCGGGTGCCGTCGACAAGATAATATAGAGACGGCATGGTAGAAGACCTCTATGGTGGCTTCGAGACCACCGAGACCACCGTCAGCCTTTCCTCGTCATTTACAGTACTTTTATAGAACAACTCACCAAGTATGGAAGACGGCATTTTCTCAGCACCGGCCTCAAGAATCATAATCTCAAACACGGGAAGATCTACCGAATCCACGCCCTCATATCGGGGACGATATAGAGAGATCACCCTGTTAAGTACCTCCGCCACTTTGAGGAATAATTTGAAGGCAGGCCGCTCCTGTCGTTCAATACAAACGTCCACGTCTCGGTCGATGTCGCGCTCATGCAAAAGACAAGCCCGTCCGTGAAACGCAGCATTGATGCGATCGAACGCCCAGAGCAGACAGAACAGTCTTTCTGCGTCGGAATCATCAGAGCCCTTGCCATAGCCTCGGAGGTGTATACCAAGAGTTTGCGCATAGTGCACGGCTTGACTGAAGATCAAGGGGGACACGTCTCTGTCGGAAGCATGGCGGGGCTGGTAGAACAGAAACATGAAAAGCAAGACGCGGATACGGTCCACACGGTCAGTCAATACATCCGCGTCGAGGGAGGCAAATATGGCCTTTGCTAGGCGGTGATGAAACTCGGAAGGGGTTAGGAGCGGACCACCGTCGTCAACAAGGTGTAGATGACTTCGCGCTCCAGGTTCTAGGCCGGCGGCTAGGGAGATGGCCTGTTTGAAAACACTGTGTCGCACGGATGGTGCATGTACGTCTTTGGTTGCGCCAATGTCGGAATCGTTGAGTATAGGCAGGACAGGGTGGATCTGCTCACAGTAGATCCGGTGGAGATGCTGGTAATCTGAGGTTGGAGGGCATATTGCCAGATCCCCCTCGCCTGCATTGGTAATGCTGCGGTTATGTGGTCTTCGTAGACGGCCACCAAGAGGTAGAATGACCTGAACATGCTTTTTAGCCGCATTTGAGGTATCAAGAGCCGCAGTCTGCCCATCTGAGCTCGGAGGTAAGTGCCGCATCCAGGTCCCAATTTCTGAGTGAAGTCGATGGAGTGACGGCTGCCTAGGATTTTGCCCATCGCCAGCATGAATAAAGACGCTTTCCGGCAGCAAGTCGCCAACGAACCGTGAAGTGGACAGCTCAAGCAGCTGCGAGGCTACCGATGCCTCGATGCCCGGCGAGGTCGTCTTACAAGAAGCTGACGGGCCGGCTGAGCACGATCTATTTTGTGGCTGCGATTGTTGCGCCGATTCTGGCTTTTGCGATATTTCTCGGTGATTAGTCGAGATGGAGCTTGCATGTCTACATCCATGAGGACATTTCTTCTGAATATAATATCAGTGATAGTTCATGAATAACGCTGGAAAACATATGCCAGAAAACGGACCTTTTTCTTCCGGCAAGCCTCACAGGCTTGCTGAACCTGGCGGCGTTTCACAGGCAAGCCATCCTCATCTGAGGCCACAAATCTGACTGGGCGTTTCTGGCCGGAAGGAGTTGATGTTAATTTGGGCGTTTCCGAAAGATCCATCGTGGTATCTGTTACCGAGGCGGCAGAGCCGGTGCCGGAGTTGCAGATCGTATGACCGATGCCCCAGTCGGCCTCACCAAAGGCAAGAAAAGACACAGGCAAGAAAACGTCGGCATGTCAAGGCTCACAAAGTCGGTTAAAGATCTATCCAGTCCCAAACTCTTTGCCATAGAGCACTCCTTCAGGAGAGAAACCCTATTGCGAGACGTGAGGTGAAAAGGTCGTAAAGATACGAAGTCGGAGTCATGCCATTTATAGTATCTCCGTCCCATATATAAGCCACAGCACGCTATGCTTAAAACGGGTATTCCGTTGATCTATGGGTCCGGGAAGATCATTTGTCCAAAGACTGACTGCACATTGGGGACGCTCAATCAAGATTCTGTATGAATGACTGTATTAGTAACTTTCTTGAGACGGTAGTTCCGCTCTCGTATCCTTGATTTCCATCTGTATAAAGACGAACGCCACCACCGAATACGATTACTAGGTATACTAAATATTATAATGACCTTATCCAACATTCGTCTATGAGTTTTGCTTCATGTGCCAATAAAAGAAAATCCATTTTTGAGTCTATCCTGGCTGTATGATATTGTCCCGAGCCGATGATCCGAGCCACAATAAGACGAGCTGTCCGCCCATCATGGACACTCGTCAGCAGCCAAAAGCGCACAGTCGCCATGGGCGCGATGGCAGCCGCCTCACAATCCAAGCGAGAAGGTGATATATCAGACTCCTTCGCATCTCTAGCCGGCATCAAGGACGAACCCCTCCCGGATCAGTTTCGGCTGCTCAAGCTGTCGCTGGTTGAGGGACACGAGGACAAAATCAAGACGAGCTGGAATGCGCTGCTCGAGCGGCTCAGGGTCGAGAACGACATCGTCGCCGAGCAGGGGTCCAATGTCATCCCCGAGCTGCACTTTGATCGGCTTCAGGACGACCTTAGCACCATCCGGGAGGAGATAAAGAAGCGTGGCGCTGTGGTTATCAGAGGCGTCATCCCGGAGCAGGAGGCTCGAGGATACAAATTTGAGCTGGACGAGTATATCCGCAAGAATCCACATACAAAGGGTAATTACTGGTTATTTTCTAACATAGCACTGTCTTTGACTGAACTTTTGACGGTCTGCACCCATGCTCATGCACTGATGTCTAGGATTCCCGGCGCACGATCCTCAAGTTTGGGAATTGTACTGGTCAGCGCCCCAGCTGCGCGCCCGCACACATCCCAACTTCATGGTCCTGCAAAAGGCGCTCATGAGATCAACATGGAATACATCCGACCCAAGATCTCTCATATCCATCTCCAACCCCATATCCTACGCCGATCGCCTGCGCATACGACAGCCAGGGGACGCAACTTTCGCACTTGGTCCGCACGTAGACGGTGGAAGCGTGGAGAGATGGATGCCTGAGGGATACGGTCTTGGTGGTACGTATGATGCCATATTTCGAGGGGATTGGGAATCGCAGTACGACCCATGGGACGCTAGCACGAGGGTCAATGCGGTGAACGATCTATACAATGGCTTGGGAGCCTGCAGTGCGTTCAGAGCGTTTCAGGGATGGATGAGTATCAGCAAGGCTGGGCCAAAGGAGGGAACGTTGTTGGTAAACCCACTCCTGAAACTGGCTACATCATATGCACTGCTGCGGCCCTTCTTCCAGCCGAGAAACATTGTAGATTTGGAGAAGGCAAAGCCAGGGAGTCTGGCAAGGGCGAGATTCTTAGCACCTGAGAATTGGGAGTTTACCAGCGGGGACAAGATGACAAGCGAGATACCAGGGGCGACTCCTGGGTACGGCATGGAGTTTCCTAAGCTGGCCATGCATCCTCACCTCGAGCTAGACAGGACGATGGTCCATGTGCCTCATATCAAGCCTGGGGACTATGTGGCATGGCACTGCGATAGTAAGTTAAGTTACTCACAGACGAAATTGGATCACGTGGCGTGGCTGACAAAAAGAAACCAACCACAGCAATCCATGCTGTTGACTTTGAGCACAAAGGCAAACGAGACTCAAGCGTGCTCTATATTCCCATTTGCCCAGCCACCGAGATCAACGCCAACTACGTCGTACAGATGAGGGACGCATGGACCAAAGGCACTCCTGGGCCTGATTTTCCCGGCGGCAAGGGTGAGTCTGAGCATGTGGACCGGCCAGACGAGAGCTTTCTCAGGTCCGTGGCTGGAGAGGATGGGCCAGCCTCTGTCGGTCTCGAGCCACTGGTTGAGCCTGTCGATGGCAGCGAGGGGGAGAAGGAAGTCATTCGAAGAGTAAACAAGATCTTGGGCTTCTGAACACGTCACCAAACATAAGTAGGCTGAAGTACTCGTTCGTCCCAGACTGTTTTCCGGGGTCTTGTAACATTGACACTCTGAAACACCGTGATGCGCTTACTTGCTACAATTCCTCCTCTTTCAAGCTTTGGAACATCAGCAGCTCACTGTTCATTATATGAAACTACTCCTTTGCATCCCCATCCCCAGTAAAGGCCAACACCCTGTTGTCTCACGATGATGCGGCGTGTGAGGATCGACTGGGCAAATTCAAGGATGGGCACGGCTCAATCTCGGCGGCCGCAAGCGCAGACATGGCATTCGAGCCCGTACTGTTGCTTCCATCTGGCCAGCTTCTGCACCGTTCCTGCGATTCTTCCTTTGGTGTCTCCTTGCACCCAGAGTCAAGTCTGAACTCGTCCTGTGACTGAACCGAGTTCGAAGCCCGACAGGCTGTGCTTGGCATCGAATAGCGGACATCTTGAGTTTTTGAGCTTAACTGGCCTAGTGAGAAATGTCTCTCCATTCCTTTCCCCCCTTCCCTACACCGTGGCGCTGGAGTGAGCCCAGTGCCATATCTCCAAGTAATAGTGCTCGAGGGGCTCATCGTGGATTCGTACGTCGTCAAGCACCCCAAGCTGGCACTACGTGCACGCTGCGCATTTGACCGACTGAGTCTCGTTTGTACTGGAGCTGGGGGATCTGGCAGAAGCGGTATGTCGTAGTTGGTCTGGATAATCGGAGGCTGCGTTGGTCGCACCAGTCTGGCCCTCGTTCTCCAGGAATCCTTGTGGGTATCATGATAAGATGACGGCGTGACTGGGTTCAAGCGTATTGGGCCTTGGTTCCGGACCCAGCTGACGTCGGTATGGCTCCTTTTGCGATTTTTATTCGTGCCGAAGAGCATTGCATTGGGCGTGAGGGCTCGGCGTTGATATAGTCGAGAAAAGAAACAGATGCCACCGGTCACGACAAGAAAAAAAGAAATCGAAGCAGCTATATTCACATTGGACAGTTAGACCTGCGTGTTCAATATGATATTGGCGTTTCGCAACAAGCGAGAATTATTACCTGTTAATCCCACAACAGCCCCAGCTGATGTTCTTGCTTGATAACCGATATCAGTCGTTAAAGGCGAGGCAGACGATCCCAAGGTAGCAATATCCAGTGCAGGGGTATTGGTTGAGGTCGTGGATATGACGAGACAATGCGAATTGGACGTGCGCGGAGCTGTGGGTATGGTTGTAGAAGCTACTTCTGGTAGTAAAATAGCGGTCTTTGGCAGCGCAATTAAAGGTGGTGTGGCTATGTTTGAATCATCGGTCAGCTAAATACACTTCTCACATCTTGTTTCTCTGAGACGTCTTCCCGTCAGTCACTGCCTTCAGTCCTAAATACTCACCTTGCCCTTGAGCCCCATAATCATCGTAATCATTATTGTCGTCGTCCTCGGAACAATCACCATCATCAGGCCGGATCAGTGGAGAAGAGGCACGGCTGGGAACTTCATCCACTCTGCGCTGGACAGTATTTGGCTGCATTCTTCGCAGATTGCTGACTCTGCGGAAACTTCTCCCTCGCGTCTTCAAGTCCATCACAACAGTGCTTCCGGGTGTTTTCCCGGGCCGCCACAACAGTCAAAACACAAAAGACTCGCTGGGTGGAGAGGTGACAGATCCTGTGTGGAATCTGAATCACGAGAATGTCGTGTGAAAGGGAAGGGATTGGCTTTATACAGATGCAAGCAAATAAGGATAGAAGAGAACAAGATATGAAGATGGAGAACCAGTGTTGCGACGAGTTCCATTCCGGATATGCTGCTACCGGAACGAAATGAGTCCTTGTTGCTGATCAGCTTTTTCCAAACCCTCGACCAAGAACTGAGGGCTGTGATCTCCTCATCAACTTCAGTCTCCGGGTCAAGAGGCACTGCAAACCACCAAGGGAGTCCTTGGCTCGTTGTTTCCCCGCTCTTGTGTCAGAAGCTATAGCTAGCTGTCGAGATGAGGTGCAGGTCCACTGTACGCACTGTCAACCTGAGTTTAGTGGTACTAGGCTCAGGGTGATCATATTCATAAGATAATCCCCTTTTCAAGAAGAGAGGATTCTGAATGTTAGCTCGTCTTGCACATAATGGCTTCCCGATCTATGCAGGTCCTCAGGACAAGATGCTGCTAAGCATTACTACATGGAAATTGTCTGAGCTCAGCTCTTGTCTAAGCCCCTCTTTCGTTTGAGTTTCCATAGAATGTCATTGGCGCCGTGATCTAACCCCATGCAACATCTACCGTATGTGACGTCGGAACCAGGACTGGAAAAGGCTTCTGATCTCCGTCAGGTTGACCCGAGATTCCAAGGACGAGACGTCATGATAGCAAGAAACATCTTTGTTTGGACAGATATGACAAGTCTCTACGCGCGGGAGCAGGCATCTAGTTCCCGGGGCAAAAGGGCCGGCATAAAGTGTAAGCACATAGCCACGGGACTTGGGCAGCAGCATGAATCCAGCCTGCATCTATCAGGCGATCACACATAACCATTGGCTCCGAGTCGTTCGTGTCCTGGAACCGACAGCACGGTACACCTATTACATGGTACTCTGTGGGTGTGACTAGGATCAAAGGAGCGAGGGGTTACGTTCCCTGCCTCGAAGGAGTTTGACACACGATAAGGATAGACTACGGTAGGTCAAGCATAATTATCAAGTTTGCTTTCTTGGAGCCATGGTACAGCAACTTAGTGCACATCGGTGCTTTTCTGCATGGCAACCTCGAACTCTCTTAGAGCCTCCACCCTCTGTGGATAGCATTGAAGCGCAGTGCAGTATTATTCGCTCGGCACCGTTAGGTTGAGGCCATACAATCTCTAGCTTTCAACGAGATCTCTCCTGTGGAAGCTAGATCAACAAGGAAAGCCCCTCTCATGGGTTGACCCTAGAGCGTCATATTCGGTGGCTGTCCGTATGGCGAAGAAACTGGACAGCATTGGCAGCAAACTATGCTCGAGCAACTCGGCACGACCACTACGCTTCATGATCAAGATTACATGGAGGGACGGAGTCAAGCGATTCCGCGCCTCAAGTGTCACCATAGTAAATATATCCGTTCAAAGTGTCTGAACAGGGCACGAGAGCCCAGCAAAATCATCTGCACAATGTTGTGATTGAATGAGCCACAGCAGCTGGCGGCGGCCCACCAGGCTCTTGTCATGCTAAGAGAGCATCGCGCCAAACTTAATGAGGTGAAATGTAGCGAAATCTGGTGCAGCGGAAACAACTGGCTAGCTGGATCGAGGAAACAACCGATCCAAATCGGCGTCAGATCTTAAACGAACCAGGGTTGCAACAATCGAAGTGCCCACCCTCCCTGCTCCAGTCCCAAGTTCCTGAGGCGTCTTGACTGCCGTAGACAAAAGAGAATTTGCGGGCGACTATTTTTGACAGGGACCGAATTTTTTTCATGGATTTTCTGATTCTCTACACTCGAGAAATGGAAGCAGTCCGAACAAGGCAGAACATAAGTTGCTTCAGATCATGTTGAAGGTGACAATGAAATCTCTGGTCTCTCATACTTCAATCATCCTTAATCTTCTAGTCTAATACGACCTGAGAGAAAGGGAAGAAACAAATAAAATTCAAAAAAGGAATCTGGTAGTAAGCTGATTTCCGGCGAGAAGAACGCTGTGGGGGGACGGACGCCTCACACGTGCTGAAACATAAAGGTCTGAGCGCAACCTTGGGGGAAAGAAAGAAGAAGAAGAAAAACAAAAAAAATAAAAAATAAAAAAAATAAAGCCCGACTACAACTTCTACTGCCCCCATTTGCCCATCATGTACAGATGTAAGCATGTCTCCTCCGCACCATCACCTTTTGAAGACAGTTTCGTGCAAGAGCACCAGTCTTTCATTTAGCTCTGCACTGATTAGCCATGCGCTGCTGTTGGCAGTATAGGCATGCGGGGGTCTCGATACAACTTCATGAGGGAATGATTTCATTCGTTGTGACGTAGTCTCCAATTCCCCGATAATCATCACACAGCTTTTGGTTCTAGAGAATTTAACTCCTTCGGGGATCAGCGCGACTGTAGACTATATCCTGATTCCAGGCTCGTCTTCCACCAAGTGTGCAGTCGCCAAAAAGGGCATAGACCATACCAATCACCGATCTAGTAACGCCGCATGTCATCGGCGATAGGCTTGTAGGTGGCTGCGGTCTTGACTGCGGTCTTAGACGTGTTAGCCACGACAGCAATCTTCGGGAATAATGGGAAATATGGATGTTGACAAACGAGAATGCAAAGTCATTGAGTTTTGCTTGATGTTATATAGCTTCAGGAAACGTCCAGATTAATCATTGTGTGAAGCATCGAGGAAGCCATCCCATTTCTATCAGTGATCTCAACCTAATCCAGAATCCCAAAAAAAACCTCGACAAACACTTAATTTCGACTGTCTAATCAAAATGTCTACGCCAGTCTGGCTGATCACAGGTGCCTCAGCAGGCTTCGGGCTGATCCTGTCCCTGCGTGCCCTGAAAGCAGGCCACAGGGTCATCGGCAGCGTTCGCAGCAGGACACGCTCTAGTGACGCGGTCAAGTCTATTGAAGGGGCCGGCGGGGTAATCATCGAGATGGACATGACGGAGCCACAGGCCAGCATCGTGAAGAAGGTGCAGGATGCGGAAGCCATCTATGGGCGGATCGATGTCCTGATCAACAACGCCGGATACAGCCTTCTAGGGCCGATCGCGCAGATGACGTAGGTGATGGACTGTAACAATAAACAAAAGCAGGCAGATCAACATGCTGACGAGATTTTCGCTCACAGAGAAAACGAGGTCCGACGTCAATTCGAGACAAACGTGTTCGGGTCCCTGCACACCATCCAGGGCGTCCTCCCCGGCATGCGCTCTCGTAAGACCGGGACGATTGTCAACATCTCCAGCTCGGCGGGTCAAGACGCGCTGGTGACAGGCGGCATCTACAGCGCCAGCAAGTTCGCGCTGGAAGCGATCAGCGAGTCATTGGCGCGCGAGGAGGTCGAGTTCGGCATTTCGGTCCTGATCGTCGAGCCGGGCCCCTTCCGCACAAACTTCCTGGGCGCCTTTGTGGCCAACGAGAAGGGCATCGGGCAGGACACACCCAGCGGGCTGTTGAGCAAGGCGATGGCAGGGTGGAAGGCTGCGGACGGCAAGCAGCCTGGAGATCCGGAGAAGGGGTCCGAGGTGATCTTCCAGGTGGTGTCGGGCGAGGGCGAGGCTGGGGCGCTGAAGGGCAAGATCCTGCGGCTGCCGCTTGGGAAGAGCTGTGTGGCTCGGATTGAGGAGAAGCTGAAGAGTGTGAGGAGCGATGTCGAGGCTTCGAGGGAAGTGGCCTACAGTGCGGACTTTTAAGTTTTTGTTCAGACATCAGATGTTAATCGTGGTGTGGAGGATGCATTTTTGAATGGATGCGTAATTAAGATGAAGGGAAACAATCAGAGCAACTTGCAGTGATATATCGACCTAGATTAATTGGAGGAAAGGCCCCAGTGCCGTATGAGATGAGCGGCCAAATCTGTTCATCTACAGGTCACGGAGCTCAGACGTTTAGTCTATTGTTTGTATTTCGTTCTTAAATGAGTCTAACACCTCTTAGAGGACAAAGCCGTCAAACCATATTTATTATGCCTCGAGTGTATTCGTGTACCTAAATCACAGTTCCGGTTTCAGGACGTGGTCAGGCTCTGTGCACGAGCTACTTACACTGGACGCGATCGGAGTGCTTGTTTACCCCAGCCAGGCCAGCCTAATTACGTGGGCGGCTATGAAAGGTCAATTCACATGTCACATCACAAGGCAGTCTGGCAGACTCTGTCAGCACTGCATCCTATGAAACTGATCTTACCTGTGTTGCCGCAGAAATAATAATCGACCGACATGGGCCACCCGTTGCCACGTCACCTTGGGGTTGAAAATGAACAACAAATGTTTTCTGTTTTCGATTTTATTTTTCAATGCCCATTGGAAGGACAGCAGATCATCGACCGAAATGAGGTTTTTGTTGGTTGCAGGAAATTGCCAGCTTGCCCAATTGACCCAGGGGTCTTGAATGTTTTTTTGTTTTTGCTGCGCGTCGCGGTAATAATTTAATTAGTTAATGCGGGGCTTCCTCTTTGGTGCTTGTGCTTGACTCTTACAAGGAGAAATGCCATGACAGAGGAGGGTTAAAAGAAAAAAAGAAAGCGGACAAGAAGAGAGGGAAGAGGGACGAGACAAAAAAAAAAAAAAAAAGAAAAAAAAAGAAAGAAAATCGAGGCGCAAACAAGACTTTCTTCACCTCAATTGACCGTGAAAGAAAGACTGAACGAACGAGAACAGGAAGACAATGACAAGACAACAACTCGATAGGCTAGGCAAAAACAGTCGATACGCCAACACATCAATGCAACGATTGGCTGACGGGCGCAAGTTGTCATGTGGATCCAACACGCTAAGCGAAAAACAGCAAAAAGTAAACAACAAGAGTACTCCAGTTTTCGCGACTTGTTATTGTCCTCACTCCGATTGCACCCCTGACACAACATTCACCCCCTCGTCCACTCTTCAAAAGCGTTCCCCCTTCTCCCCCCCCCCCCCAGCACAAGATATTCATTTATTAATACGGAGGAATCCGTGAATGACCCTCCCCCTCAACCCACCCCCTTCTAGAAAATGTATTTTTTTCTTCTTCTTTCTTTTCTTCTGTCAAACCCTAAATCCCTCTTCTTATTTCATCCTTTGCTCCTCATTTCTTGTAAATATTACAGTCAGTCAGTACACTTGCAGTAATTAGAGACTTAGGCCAAAATTCATCTTCAATTTATATTACCATCCATCTTTATTCACTCTGTACACTCTGTACTCGGTCAATCGATTCGAACCCTGTCCCGCTGTTCTGTTCTTTTTCCTGTCCACAATGCTGGAACAAGAAGATCTTCCCCTTGCACTGCGGCGTCCTCGTCGAAGCGGTGTGGGCAGCAGAAGCAGCAGCAGCAATAGGGCCCTTCATCTGGACCGACCCACTGAGCCCCAGACCCCTCATCGCCTGCCCCAGACGCCCAGCCGCGAGAGCAAGAAGCGAGTTCGCTTCTCGGATTCGGGCTCAACCGGAGAGGCCGTGCCGAAAAGTGACTCAGTCTCATCATCATCATCATCATCATCATCATCACCAGCCTCGACGGGCCTGACACCGTTCATGTGCCGTACGAAGCTGAGTAACTGCAGCAGTCCTGAGAATGGGCGCAAGAGGCGTCGTCATTCAGGGCCTGCCACCGTCCTGAGCCAACCTCATGATGATGACCACAAAATCTTCACACCCGACCGCGACACCGCGTATTACAGCGGCCAGGTCACATTCCTACCCATGCGACAAGTCTTGGACGGCCGCGTCAAGAGGAGGATTAGACGCAACGGCCTGAGCGAGGAGATGAATGTCATCAGTGCCGAGAAACGACGCAAGGTACTGCAGGACAAGGCAGAGATGGACTCACTCCGAGCCGCTCTCGCCACAAAGGACGCCGAGATTCGACGCCTTTCTGGTGTGACGGTGGTTGTGTCTGCTGGTGCTGGTGCTGACGAGGATGGCGACGACGAGGAGGAGGAGGAGGAGGGGGAAAGCATCGACGACCTCAAGAGACAGGTCGAGCATCTTCGACGCGCCCTCAAGAGCCCTGCACCGTCAAACAGCGACCTCAGCGACAGCACACAGGTCGACTGGAGCAGCGCCATGACAGGAGGAGGTCACTATTCATCTTCTGGTGGTGTTGGCACGAACAACGTCGACTATGACGATAATAACAACTGCCTGGCGATGAACATTGATTTTGAGGACGATGCCGACCACTTTTTCGACGAGAGCTCCATCGCCCAGCTGGCCTGCAGCACGCCCACAAGACGGCGCGCAGACATCAGAAACTCCATTCCCACTCCACCTTCAACCAGCCCCATCATGCGCCTCATCATGCCGCCCATGCGTCAGCTCTTCACCCCGCCCTCGTCTCACAAGTCCGTACAGGTGCAGATGCCAGACGAGGCAGGCCGAGAGGCCGCGCAGGAGGAGCTCGCCTCCCTGCAGCTCGAAGTCAAGAAGCTCACATCCATCCTCGAGACATACGAGGCCATGACCTGCCGCCTGGCCGACAAACTCGCCCCCTTCAGCCCCGAGGACGGCTCCGCAGCCGAAGCGATTCTAGGCTCGCGCTCGCCAACCATCAAGGTCGAAGCGCGACTGAACCAGCTCCTCCGCGCATTCCGAGACCGCACGGCAGCCCTGGCCAAAGTAGACACGTCGCTCGACAGCCTAGGCATCCGGGGCAGCGACGCGCCTCAGGCCATCGCCTCTCTCGCGGCGGCGTTCCGGTCGGCCCGGCTGGAGCTGGAGTACCTGGAGCCAGGCGAGAGCACGCTGCCGCTCTCCGCGTCGGGCGCGGCCGTGCTGGACCTGCTGCTCGCGCGGCTCCGGGAGCTGGCGAGGGAGAGGCTGGAGCATGCCGACACCATCGACGAGTTCCAGGCCGTGGAGGTGTCGCTCCGCAGACAGCTCGGCGCGCGCGTCGGAGCCATGGATGATATGCGGCAGGAGATCAGCACGCTGAAGGGGAAGGTGAAGCTGAGGAACGTGCGGATCCAGGAGCTCGAGGCCGGCATGGACAGGCTGAGGGGGTCGGTGAAGTCGTACACGCGGGACATTGCAGACTTGGAGACGCTGGCGCAGCGGCTGGAGGGGGATTTGGATGCGGCGAACAAGAGCCTGCAGGAGGCTGAAGAGCTTCGCGAGGCACATGAGGAAGAACATGGCGAGGCTCTGGCGGAGAAGGACTCGACCATCTCGGTGCTGGAGAGGAAGTTGGGGCTTGTACTTGAGCAGACTGCAGGGCTGCGGGAGGAGTTGGCGAACTTGCAGAGGCAACATGATGAGCTGCAGGCCAGACACGAGGGAGAACGGGGCAGTGTTGATCAACGAAAAGGATCAGGACTGGAAGGAATGGATACAGAGGTATTCACGCTGAGGACCGAAGTGGACAAGGCCAATAAGGCATTACAGAAAGCGCAGGCCACGGTTCATCAGCTTCGCATCGAGAACAAAGAGATTAAATAGGCGAAGCATAATTTGCAGCAAAAAATCCAAAAAAAATCAACCAGACTTATTCAGTGCATGATGAACGAACAGTCACTCGTCTCTGATGAGTGGTGCCTTTCTTTGCGACTTGTAAAATGAGTATTGAAAGGCTCTCCCTGAGCTGCGAACATGTTTTGCAATGCCTGTTTAACTTTTCGACACCGAGAATGAAGGAAAAGTTGAGAGCCGCGCCCGTTAGCCTTGAGCCGTTGAGGTCCAATAGGGTCTTGCTCGCCTGATATCAGAGGACTGAAAATATGAGTAGCGAAATATGCAATCGCCTCTTTTCAGTATGGTGGTACATGAATAACAGCCCTTCAAACCGCCGAACATCTCATCTCTGGAGGAACAATCTCTGAAGTGATGATTAAGAAGACGGTCCAAGATTCCGCTGCAAGATCTCAAAAGCCAACCGCATAAAAGTTTCCTGGTCGATCACAGCACCAAACCTAAAAGAAAATTAGCACTCAGAAACGAGCAAACCCCCTTCAAAATGCAATCCATCACCATCTCACGAGAAACTCACCCATGACATTTAATCGTATCCCGCAAAAGCTGCGCCAGCGTCTGAAGGCTCTGCAGCTCAAACATGCCAAACTGCTGCTGCGAGCGCAGGAAGTCCCAGGCCTGCACAGGCGTGACCTCGCGGTCAGAGGAGCAGAGCGCCTTCGAGAGCCTCAAGAGGTTGTCCAGCATCGTGGCCGGGAGCGCGTGGTAGTCTAGACATTCTGCTGGCACGGGGGATGTGACACAGGTGGGAGATGATACGGCGCAGACTTGGGAAGAGAGGGTGAGTGCGTGGCCGGAGGGGTCGTCTGGTTTGTCGGGGTTACCGTGGAGATGGTCGAGGCAGGGCTTTTCAAGTCTGAATGGGAATGTTGAGTTAAGTTTCCAAATAAATAGGATGTAAAGAAAGTGTAATGAGTAACTTACGACAACACAAACTCCACTCCCAAGCCGACATGATCAACGTCGGCAACACACACTACTTTCTGCTGCAGAGGTGGGCTCAGCCCCGAGTCGACAGTAGTGGAGTCGGAGAATATGCTCGGCGAAGCAGGAAGAGGTTTGTTGGCATTGGCATGATGAGGAAAGCCGATCAGGTCAGCACTTTGAGGAGAAGACACGGCCACTGGCAGGTCAGACGGAACGGTTCCGCCGTGCTGCTGCAGCAATCCCACCAGGGTCTGAACGGCGGCGTTGAGGCGCTCGTTCTGCCTCAGCAGCTCTGTCTCGCGGGCTCGGCTCTCCGCCACGGCTTTTTCTAGGTCTTTGACATATCTCTCCTTGCGCTCACGATATGTTCTGCGTTGTTTGAAAGATGGCAGTCAGCATATGGCCCCCCCCTTTTTTTCTTCTTTTCTTCCAATGGGGGCTGTGATGATGATCATGGTTTCTTAAACTTTTTTGCAAGGGAAAGTAACGACATGGGACCAGAAATACTTGATAAACACCATCTTACTTACTGCTGTGCTTGCCTGAGCTGTTTGCGGCGCTTTTGAACGCGATCCTCCTTGGGAGCTGTGAGAGATAACAAGCCAATCAAATGTCAGCTTCCACGGACTTCGACTAGCGCCGCCACAATCCTTTTTGTAGGCATTACAATATTGATGAGAGAGAGAAAAGAACGGTGGAGGGGGGGGGGTGGTTAGGAGAGGTGGCCACACGCACCACCAGGGTTGAACATCCGGAAGATAGGATTAGGCATCTCGATGGATTTGCGCAGATAACAGGCAGTCGATTTGGGACTTTTTCAATTGACCCACCACAGATGAGCAACGATGGGACAGGTCACCTAAACGGACAAAGACTTTGGGAGGGATGACGCCTTTGGGTCACGGATCGTGTTGCGTGATGGGAGTCGCAGCGTTTGGAAAAATGATACAGCAGCAGTAAAACAGGTAGGGGGGCCTCACATGCAAAAGGGCAACCAGATGGAAGGATTTGACAGTCGAGTCATGCTCGGCACGGAAATCTTCAGGTGTCTTTCTCTATGGGGCTGAGCCGGAACGCCACGGATGACGTGAGACGGGGTTCGATCCAACCAAACAAGACCTGGGGCCAACGGCTTCATACGGACCGTGGGGACCGAATTTTGATAAGAGTCTGAATAAGGGACACACGGATAGTGAGCCCGGTCAGCGAAGATTAGTACGTATTGGGCAAAATAATCGAGGGATCAAAGGTGTTGGCCTCGAGATGAACTCTTCACCGACGTATCTGACTAATGAATATTATTATCTTTTGTTGTCGGGACATTATAAACAAAATTGTCTTTTCTGGCGATGGCGCAGACTGCCAGAAACCAAACCCTTGCTCGTGCATGAACGAGGACAAGAGAGGAGGAGGAGGAAGAAGAAGAAGAAGAAAGAAAGCGGGTCCAAGGGTGTGGCGTTCCCCAAGCCCGTTGGTCTCAAAGAGGAAATACTGATTAGTATAACATCCACACGTAACGTCGTTACATCGGTGTGGTAGCACAGGGCATGCTTAGACGTGAATTAGGGGTCCAGATTTGTCTCCAATCAGATGCAGCAGTGCCTGTGTTCCCCTAGATGTCCTTGAAATTGCACATCATCACCCTTATACCCAAATTGGAGATTCTGATCATATCAACAGTCAACACAACAGGAAAATTGTATAATGATGATCTCCAACATAACATGACAAATGATGTATCGATCCGAGCATATTGAAAAGGTTCATTACGAAGGCATTTGTGATGTAAGAAGGCAGATATTTAATAGATAGCCCTTTGGTCTCACGGACTATAAACATGTCCGTTCGTCCACCTAAGTCTAGTAATACATCAATCAGACCAAACTTCTTATTATATACAGGAACATTAGGTCACTATTTTATAGACCAGCATCTGTCAAAGTTGATCTGATTGGTTTAAACACCCCATCTTCACACCCTATACCCTATCGTCATCATGTACGCACTCCCCACCGTTGTGGCCCTCATGGGACTACTCCTCCCAGTCTCTGCGGCCCCGTCCTCCACCAGGTCCTGCGGCGGCAAAGGAGGCCACACAGGGGGTGGTTCTGCTGCCGGAGCCAAGGCCATCTACGTGCTAGACAACCAGGCCAAGAACGCAGTCATCGCCGTGCCCGTCGGGGCTGATGGCTTTCTCGACACAGCAGCCGGGTCGACCACGCTGACGGGCGGCGCGGGGGCCAGCGCCATCAACGCCGCAACCAACGAGTCGGCTGGGCCAGATGCCCTCTTCAGCCAGTCTGCACTGGCAGTCTCTGGGAATGTACGTTGGCAACACTCAAAACAAAGCACCACATCATCCTTCCACCCGAGCCCATCTCACTAACACTCCAAACCAGACCCTCTTCGCCGTCAATCCAGGCTCCAACTCCCTATCCATGTTCACCATCGACCCCCGAGACGCCACCAAGCTCACCCTCCTAGGCCAGCCCGTCCCCCTGCCCGGCGACTTCCCCAACACCGTCGCCGTCTCGGCCCAGAACAAGCTCGCCTGCGTCGGCCTGACGGGCGCCAGCGCCGGCATCTCCTGCGTCTCGTTCGACGCCTCGTCCGGGTGCAGCGAGGCAGACGACCTGCGCGCCCTCGACCTGGGCCAGACCACGCCGCCTGTGGGGCCCACCAACACCGTGTCGCAGGTCTTCTTCTCGGCGGACGAGAGCACATTGTTCGCCACGGTCAAGGGTAATCCGGCAGTGAACAACACGGGGTTCCTCGCCTCGTATGCCATAACAAGCAACAATACCGCCGGCCCCTCGGTGGCCGCCACAGGCCAGCAGAGTTCACCCCCGAACACGGCGATGCTGTTCGGAGCCGCGACGATCCCGGGTTCCACCACGAGCCTCTTCATCGCAGACCCGTCCTTCGGCGCAGCAGTGATTGGGGTGCAGCAACAGGAGAGCACCAAAGGTACGGGCCAGACCGTCCTCAGCACCAGCGCCGAGGCAGTGGTTCCAGGCCAAAAGGCCATCTGCTGGCTGACCATCAGTCCGGCGACGGGGACGGCGTTTCTGGCGGACGGAGGGCTCGACAGGCTCGTGGAGGTGTCGCCGGGGAACGCGACGATCCTGGGAGAGATTGACCTAAGTGCGAATGGGGACCCGGGCCTGATTGACATTGGGGCGGCGGGGGTGTTTCTGTATGCACTGAGCCCTGGGAACGGGACGACGGATGCAGCTGTGACGGTGGTGAGCACGAAGACGATGAGCCAGGTACAGCATGCTGATCTGAGTGGGCTGGGTGGGAGCAAGTCTGCGCAGGGGATTGCGATTTTGACCTGAGAAACAGAGCTAGGAATAAATTTGCATGAATACGTGGAGGATCGAAAAAAGCTAAAGGCTTAGTATTCTTCCTTTGAGGATTATAACTCTTATTTTGATTCATTAAAATTCTATTCATGTGGGGCTAACCCATTGATCCATGGACCATGAGGCTTCATTCTTTTACTCCCCATCCCACATGCCTCTCTTGCCCACAAACGTCCCATTCCCCACGGCCGGGTCCGTATAAATGGTCAAGACATCTGTCGAGTTATCATATTCCGATGCGGTATCACACACCTCAGAATAGTTCCCAAACATGTCAGCCCTCTGTTGGAGGAATTGCTCAAAAGTCGCCCTCGAGCACGTTGTGCCAGGCCCGTCACCACAGTCCGGCAGTTGCTGTGGCGCATTGTTCACCAGTGCCCGGTAATAATCACCGTCGTCGAACCCATAGCTCCCGCTGCAGTTCAGCCTCTCCACCGCGATGTTGGTCATAAAGGGAAGGACATGGCTGCTCCGCCACGCCCGGCGGTGGTTGATGGTGTCCTCAGGCATCGTGTCGTTCACATTGGCGGGCCCCGATGACCCGCTAAAGGCCGAGTTGTTGAACAGGCCCATAGCCACGAGCACCATGGGCGGCAGCTCGCGGTGCGTGAAGCTCACATAGAGGTCCTGTTGCGCATCTTCAGCCATGAGCAGGTCGGCAGTAGCCCGCACCCACGGCATGCCCACGGCTCCTGCGACAGGGCTGCCGTAGCCAACGTTGTAATGGTATTGGAGGTCGGCAGTGTATTCCCAGCCGAGCCAGTCGTCAGGTCCAAAGAGCTCCAGGTTGCAAAAGGGCGAAGACCCTCGAATGACCGTCTCGTACCCGCACATTTCCATCATGCCGTAGATGTCGTCAGCAGTAAAGTTAAAGCTGGGCGCTGCAGCATTCAGACGTGCCCTGACGGGCCCTGTGAACTTGTCTAGGTACACTCCAGACTGGTCACTGCCCGCGCTGCCATCGTACAACGGACAGCTTGAATACGGCGTAAGGGTGTCGGCACCGCCCTCGTCCGACTCGTACACAGACACCAGGCCAATAGAGTTATCACCCCCGGCCGGCTCAAACCCCCGGATTAAAGCCTTGGCCGACTCGTACGTGCGCTCGGCAGAACTGGCCCAGATGCGTGGCGGCAGGGCCAGTTTGTCGCCGTACCGAAAACTAAGGCTGACACCTAGCTGGGCGGCCTCGAGCTTGCCCACGCGGGTGAGGAGCTCCTCCTCGGCGGTGGTGACAGGTGGCGTCCACGAGGAGAGGAAGCTGAGGGCTGGGGCCGTACTAGTCCAGTCGATGGAGGAGGTGAGGTTCTGAAATTTTTCCACAAAGGGCGAGAGGTACTCCTCGTAATCGTAGTCGTTGGCGTAGATGGCGGCGTGGCGGACAAGGTAAGCGGCACGGACGGGCGAGCAGCCTTGAGGGGTGGAAGGGTCTGTTGGTGGGTCAAGAGGTTCGAAGTAAGGAGCCACGCCGGCGAGGTGCTCGAGAGGATTGAAGGTGTAGCTGCTGTAGAGGGGCACAGCGGCGTGGACGGTCTGGAAGAGTGAAAGAAGGACGATGGCGCCAGCAGCAGCAGCAGCAGTGCTACTGCCGAGGGAACAATCTCTCGTCATGGTGGATGAAATTATCGAGATGATTACCTCATTAAGTCGTCCTCAACGAAAAGAGGGAAGGAGGAACGGAGGGCAGCAAGGTTCAACAACAACAAGTGGAAGGAACCATGGACTGTTTTTATAACTGTGCCCGACTGAACAACTGAACAACTGGAGCTTCAGAATATAAGGCGAAAATGATGTTGCAGTCTCCACTGAACAGCAAACGACGTTGTGCAAGCCAGTTCATCCACTGCCCGTTGTCACTCACTAAATGTGGCTGGATATTATTTTCATGACGACATACAGTCCAAAAGGCTCCAGGAAGGAGCCCAGTGGGAACTGCCGGCATTGGCTAGCCAAAGGGTCCACAGCCAAGATGATCACTATTCAAGCTCATTAAGCCTTCTTCATCCCGGCTGAGTCGTCTTGGCATCTCGTCACCGCGGAAGGCCCGTGAACTCCCAGACCACAGAGCCCACACCGCCATAATAATTCTTGTCCGTCCGTGAGACTGCTGTGTTGTCCAAATGGTGCATCGATTGGTTTGTCATTTCTGCCTGGGCCCGAGTTGCAGGGTCTCGAGGAGCTGGCGCGCTGACAACGCGTTGAAATGGTCGCACAAATTTGCCCTCGTACACCAGCTGACAACTCCTCATCGAGATGAACGTCCCAGCTCACTGATATCAAATGCTCCGTAGAAACCTCTCCTCTGTCACTGTGGCGTCTTAGAGGCATTTACATGTTCAAAACTTGTTGTGCATTGCCCAAGAGCTCCGCTATGGCCGTCCGTTGTCAAGGACATTTTTATGAGCCTCTGTACATGTGGCCCATCTGAACGAACCAGTTTGACAAAGTCTTCCAGGCGGGAAATAGTGCTTTCATGTTCAGCAGATTGGATGCTGTCCAAAATACACATCACCTACGGCGGTGCTGGCGAAAATAACACCTCAAATTATAAGGATGTGCAACAGCTACACTTCCAACACTCCCATCAAGACATTGAAGGGGGGTTTTTTTCTCTCTTTTTTTTTAAAAAAAAATTCTTTTCCCCCCGCTGAGTGTCTCCAAGGACTCAAATTCGGGCAGCACTAGGCGGAGGAGCTGACACGTGATAGAGTAGAACAGACCTAATTACTGCTTTGACTTCCTGTTGTGCTCTCCATACGAAGTTATAGCTCACTTTAAGAAACAACGAAAGGTACGATATACTGGCATTCATACATACACCAGCAAGTCTCATCATGCCACGACAGACAGACCAGACTGGTGGGACGACGCCTTCCGACACATTAGGCTTGAGTCTGGTGTTTTGGCCCATTTCTTGAGTTTGGGCGCAACCTCGTTGGGAAGAAAGATACTGGCGGGTTGACCTTGCAACATGCTTTTGATCTCGCCTCTTCCGTCTTTGAAGAACTATGCTGGTGCGAGGTTACTTAAGCTGCTTGGTCTCACCGTGCCTGTGTATAAAGAACTCCAGACTCTATGTTGCAAATCGTCCTTGGTACTTACTGCACTTCTGACCCTGCTATCTGTAGGGAAAATATAGGTATAGCCAGTTCTGAGAGACCTGGCGATCGCCATTATTCCCCAATACTATCTTCCAGCAACAGAAATTTGCACTGTCCATTTGAGTTTGGCATTCCATTCGGAAGGTATTCACTACATGTGTCTCAAACTAAGTGCATCGGGTGTGTATTACAAGAAAGCATAGAAATCTTCAAACGAAGTTAGTCTTACTTCCATCTGTAATACCTTAAACATATGCTTCTCACCACTTATCCACTAGCCAAACATTGAAGGAAGAGAAAAGAGAAAACGGTCCCAGCGACTGTAAGTGTTACTGCTGTGTACCAAGAGCATGCACTCAAGTGCTTGAAAGTGCTGAGACTCATAGTGTTTACTGTACTGTAATAATAGTTCAATGGTAGGGCTAACCACAATAGGCAGCTAGCGATAGCAGGGTTCCCACTGCCAGGTCCCGCCCCGCTAACCAAAAAAATTTGGGGGACTAAGTCGTGACTTTTTCTTTTTCTTTTCTTCGTCCTCTTCCCTGCATCCTTTTCTGCGCCATAACCGCCCCCCTTCCACCCCTTTCACCCTCCCACGATCTATAGGACGGGGAAGTGGATCTTAAAAAATGGCCTCAAAGATCAGTGAGACCCACCACACGGGTGGTCCTCAGCGGTAGTCCATCCTGTGACCATCCCCTCGTCCTCATCCTCGTCCTCGTCCACCATCACCACCTCCTTCTCCCACGCTGTGTCCTTCTCGTGCTCTCGTGTGTTCCGGTGCCCTTAGCCCCCCACCCTTCTCATCAGATGAGTCCTGTCCACTCCGTGCTGGCGCCAACGAGCAGCCTTCCTCCTCTGCGAAATCCGGACCCCGAGAGAGTCAACGAGGACACCATCACGTCCGCTCTGCGCAATCTGACCGACATCTACTGCCCTCTTCCTCGCGCTGCTGCCTTCAACAAACCCTCCCTGTCCTCCAAACGAGCAGTTTACCTGACTGCGCCTGCCACTAGTGGGATCGCAACACCCGTGCCTGTCGACTCTGGCTATGCCTCTGGCGAGGAGGAAGACGAGAAGGAGGAGGAGGATAAACAGGGACAACAGGATCAGCATGGATGTGACATTGCCGACACGGACGCCATTGCAAACCTTCGTAGCGACACCTTTGAGCGGGAGTTTGCCGTGCGCTGGCTGACGACCTTTGTGGCGCGCGCTGAGGAGCTCCTATGCGATGCCGACGACGACACCAGGCAGAGACTGATCGATGATGCCTCATATATACTGGCCTCCTTCAGCAATGCCTCGGACGCAGACGAGGACGAAGAGGCGGGTGCCATGGTCAGGGACTTTCAGTTCTGGCTGAAGCCGCAAAAGGAGGGCGAGGAAGAGCACGAGGACGAGAGCGCATCCATCAAGGTTCGGCTGACGGACGGGACGCCGGCTGTTGGTTCAGATCACACCGATGTGGGTCTGCAGAGCTGGGGCGCGTCCATCGTCGTGTCCGAGCTGCTGTGCTCTGGGCCCCAGCGGTTCGATCTGTCTGTCGACGCCCTGGGCGCCGCGCCGCGGATCATCGAGCTGGGCGCTGGCACAGGTCTCGTAGGCATCACCATGGCCAAGCTGCTCCCACGCCTGGGCATGGCGGGTGCAGAGGTCATCGCCACTGACTACCACCCAGCCGTGCTAGCTAACCTCAGGGACAATATCGCCATGAATTTCCCTCCCAGTAGCAGCAGTGATGCCAGCGACGAGGACAAGGAGTATCCTGTCCAGACCTGCCTGCTCGACTGGTCGGTCCCCCGCCTCGAGGCGCCGCTGCTAGACAGGCCCGCGGACATGCTAATCGCGACAGACGTCGTCTATGCCCCTCAGCACGCGACCTGGCTGCGTGACTGCGCGGCGCGATTGCTGGCACCCCATGGTGTCTTTTGGCTCGTCGCGTCGGTGCGGCCCAACGGCAGGTTCGAGGGCGTCACCGACACTGTCGAGTCTGCCTTTGCGGATAGCGAGCTGTGTCCGAGGTCGGACGACGGGCGGAGGGTATTCCGTATCCTAGACAAGGTTGGCATCGAGAAGCGCAAGGGCATTGGGCGGGCGGACGAGGTTGGGTACCGGATGTTCAGGATCGGTTGGGTCGAGGTGGAGGCGGCCGCGATGAACGAAGAGGAGGAGACATCATCGTCATGAAAGTGCGTAGATGGGAAGGATGGAAAAGAAGAAGAGCGGATCACGTGAATTATGAATCGAGGAGAAAGAAAGACGACTAGACCTAGAGACGATACCCGCAAGACTTTACATATATTCGATAGACGTACAGTATTACACGATAGACTAGACTAGAGAAGAGAGAGAATAGACATGCACAGACGGTTCTTGGGGCATAACAGATGGCAGAATGACAAGACAAAGAGTTCGTAGTAATTTCGTGGTCTATGAGAACATGAACTGGATCGAAGGTGGACTGATTGATGCAGGGATGTGGGCCTCCTTTCCCCTTCTCTATCATTGATTTGTTCATATTTACGGGCCAAACCACCCACGAAACATCAACAGCCGTTCTCAGTTTCCACCAGGCTTGACTTACAATAGCTTTTGCACTTTGGTCATCTTAATACCGGCGATGTCAGTAGCCTCCACTGCAAAAAGCCAGCGGCATGAGGGCTGGGCCGATGACCCACGACTCAACCCCCATCATGGCTAGCAGGCTGAGGCAGAGGGAGAAGCCTCATGGTGGGGCAACTTGAACCTATCAGCATCTTGTCTCAATGCTACTGTACCTACTATAGAAACGAGCAGCGGCTTCTAATTTCAGTTGCATTTGCAGTACTGCTGCGGGTTCGCCAAGTGCCGCCCGGCGCCGCCCACCCGCTGCAGTGCCAGACGCTGTCCCCCCCCCCCCCCTTTTGCCGATGCTACTCTATACGTCACCGTCTGCATTCGTTCCTGTTTTTACCCCTCCAGAGCTCTCCCTCTCCATGGTCATTTCTTTTGCATAGGACATGTCCATCTGCCGTGCTCCTTGGTTCTGGCCCAACCAATGCTGTGCTCCTGGTCGTCCACGCCTTGGACTGGACGTATCTCGTTTGACGTTCGTATCCCCCTCTCGTGTTGCCTATTCTTCCGTTTTGTCCAGTCCAGCACTGCCGGCTTTCACGTTCACCCCCTCTTCGGCATGGTGGTCCCTGGTGGCGCCTCGCCTCGCCCCGACCCGTGAGGAGGATCTTGCTGTCGTGCTCCAGCTTTTGCCATCCTGCCATCTTGGCAGACTTGGTCATGGCAGGCCCCCTTCTCTTGGTTGTAGTGCTGAGCTAGTCTGGAAGAACGGCACCGGGAGGCAAGGAAGCATGACAATCTTTATGCACCAGGGAGACCAGTAAGAATGCACATGAGCCACGTTCCTGATCCAGTGGTCGCCATACTTTGCTTGCTTGTCTGCTTGCTTTAAACCCCCTTCCTTGTACCTGTGATAGTAGACCCACCTTATTGCAGCACCCAGGCACAGCCCAGATTTGCAGCGCGCGCGGCTTCGTGCATGTGATGCCTTGTTTCAGGCCTGCCATTGCATACAACTCTTCTTTTCGGACCCAATTCTGCCCCCGCTCATTATCAGGTTGAACCATCGAGTGATAGTGACTGGATGTCTCATGCGCGAAAGGGAGGGAGGGGTCCACCACCACCACATACCTCCCCTTCGTTCCTTGCTCTACCGTTCAGCTATCTCGTATCCATAGTACCGTAGTAAGCGTGTGTGACGACTGCTGCAGCGGAGGGACTTGTGATGTCACTGTTTTCCATTGCAGATGGTGCTTGCCTGAACTGCCGGCCGTCTTCTGATGGGTCCGTTTTCTATAAAGCGGTGGAAGCTGCGTTGCATGTAGAAGCTTCTTGTCTGATCTTAACGCGACTCATCAACCTCTACTCCTCCCCCGCCCTCTTCTAAAATTACCGAAACAGCACCAGCAAGGCAGTCACAACTGCACTACGAAAACACACTCGAAAGCTACAGATTGGCACACCATAGGAACACAAAAAGAAATTCAAGATGGGTATCTCCGACTACGGATTGTGGAAGTGCACGCCCACCAGCTGGAACGGCACAGGTACGCAGCCACTGCCCAGACTCTCTCTTCCTCCAGAACACTGCTGCTATCCTTCCTCTATTTCTCCCTCTTTTTCTCTCCTCGCTGCCCACCTGCCCTGCTGCTTACTACTGTTGCTGTTTGCTGACATCGCATTGTTCTTTTTCCTACAGCCGACACGGATCATGGCCACCTCGAGTTCACCGACGCCGACAAGGGCACATACGAGGCCGACGTCAACATCATGTCCTCGGACACAGACAAGCGCCTTGTTTACTGGTTTGTCTCCAACTTTGACGCTAAGCAGCCGTCCACGACCTCTCTCTCGCAGCTCAGCGAGGGCTTCAGCACACAGAAGGGCAGCAGCTCGCTTGCCCTAGACTTTTTGCGCGAGGGTTTTCTTGACCCCAGCGCGGGCACGCTGGTCTCGCACGACCCCAAGGACCCCACCGAGAAGGGCGATATCCTGTCATACCTCGACCCCATCATGAACCAGGCCGTCCAGGAGAAGGCGACCATGTACCTCTGGGGCAGCCACTACCAGGACAGCAGCACCAGCCAGGGCATACACGACATTCATATGAACCAGGGCAACGCGGGTAGTTTCGAGGACGAGAACGGCACGTACCAGGATGGTGGCATCGTCATCCAATTCGCCAATGGCACGTGGCAGGGCATCTTTTTGGCCTTTGCGACCCAGACCCTCAAGACAGACGACAAGGGCGACCCCGAGGGCGAGACCTTCGCACAGGCGCTGGGCGGCGGCTCGACAAGCACCACGTCCACCTCGGAGGCCAGGACGTCTCACCCAACCAAGGGCCAGGTGGGCATCGAGGCCGCCATCGTCAACCCGCGTGGGCCGGACCGGGATGCGCCCGAGGGGAAGAGGGAGACGGTGTACATACAGAACAAGAGCAACACAACGCAGAGCCTGGAGGGCTGGACGATCGAGAACAAGAACGGCGAGGCAGAGAAGCTGGGGAGTGGCGTGCAGCTGGCTGCGCACACCAAGAAGGGGTTCGAGGTGCCCGAGGCGCCGCTGTCGAACTCAGGCGGCAAGATTGTGCTGAAAGATGCAAAGGGCACGACGGTGAGCGAGGTCAGCTATACCGAGAAAGAGGCGCGCAAGGAGGGACGGCTGCTGTACTTTGCCAACTGAAGGGAGTGGAATTGAGGTCGAATCGAGGGTGGACCTGGCGTGTTGAAATCATGCAGGGAATCAAACAAGCATAATCACTTATGATCTGATGGGCTTTCCGATTGAAATATGATTATTAGGCCATGAGCGGACCTTTACTCAATTCATCATCATACTGCCGGCGGTTTGAGATGTCGTCACCAGGAAGATTTCTTATCCTGGGTCCTCGAGTGCCTGGAAGCATGTACTGTGCTATGCTCCTAGTTGGCTAAGACACGGACCGCACGCACCATCTCTCAGCGCCCATCCGTCCATGATTAGACGCGACGCGGATGTATGCTGTGCACGGTCTCACAGCATTTGTACATGCAGGCAGAACAATAACTGTTCTTAGCTTGGAACCAGACTGTCGGGTGCTTGTTGATTCTCTCCACACGTGATTGATGGGGCGTTCGTTGACGTCGCGTGTCTCACGGTGGCTTTTTAGCGAAATCAAGAAACAAGATGGGTGCTCTGTGCTTATCGTTGGCTGCTAAACTTGATCCGAAATAGCGCTGGGTAAGCAAGCAAGCCAACGCCCGGGGAATTTCCTGTAGCCCGCCCCTGAATCATTCGGAACGAGGAGGACGGAGGTGCTGAGGAAGCGAGGTCATTTTTGCAAGCGAAATGTCTGAGGCTTGTTCATTCCGAGTAGCAAGTGACACGATATATTCACGTCTGAATTGCTTCTTGTCAGTATATATGAATAGTTCGTCGGTCAACCTTGGAATCTCACACCATGGTAGAAATCGTCAGTGCAAAATGTCAAGTCACCGTCCAATCTCGGCCAGTCTGGGGTAAACAAGACTGCAAGAGCAAGCAATGGCCCCTTGGAGCATGATCTACAGAAGGAACCCCCGTTCTGAAATCTCTCGTTCCGGCCTAGCAGGACAGAGAGCCCCCCCCCCCCCTTGTCGCTGGGTTTTGATAAAAAGCTGAAACTGTGTTTTGGGGCCGTCGCCTGGCGAAATTGCGATTCCCCAAAAGAAGCTTTGACCATGACCAGAATACAAACAAAAGAGCGAGGAAAAGAGGCATGAGACGGATGGGATGGGAAATTAAACAAGACACGGTTCCCCCCTGACATAATTTATTGTGGGCAGCAGTTATGAATTGATTGCATTGCTCCTTCCCTGCAGTGCACATCGCTCTCTCCCTCCTGTTCTCTTTCGCTCCTTCTCTCCCTTCTCCTGACTTTAGCCCCCAAAACAAGTTTGAGAAAAGGAAACCCCCCTTCAAACATCCTCACCACCAACCGACCATAGCAACAACCTGCTTCAGTATTATCGACTGGAATGTACGCTCATTTCTTTCCAGCGCACTGAAGCATCTCTTCTGTTATAGTGATTTTGCATTCCCCCTTTCACTCTCTTTTTTTCTTTCTCTATCGCACATTTGACCCACACTCACTCGAAAAACTCGCTCGCTCGCCTCCCTTCTGTGTCTGGACACGAACAGAGGAATAGAGAGAAACCATTTAACACTCATTGGCCTTTCTTATTTTGTTTTGATAGTCTCTGAATCTCTCTCTATCACCAATCCCACACGAAACGGAAGACGAAGAAAGATTGAAAGTGAAATCTCGACGCGAACAACCCGGTGACGAACGAGACAGGTAGACGCTGCATGTCGAGATATCCTTGAACACGTCATTATAAAAAGAATAGACGAGACACAAAAACGACCTGTCCAAAATGCCGGGCCCAGCAGTAACAACAAGACTTCGGTCCCGGTCCTCGGTGGACCACATCTTTGATCTTGTCGAGAACCTCGAGGAAGATCAACTTCAAGACCTTCTCCTCCAGATCAACAGCACGGGCGACAACATCCAGGTAGCCAAGGGCGTCGAGCTCTTCGAGGAGGAGCAGAAGCGCCGCCGCCAACTTGACGCAAAGACCCTCCGGCCGACTCCGTCCTTCCTCGACCAGCCCCATGAGCCCCTCGACTGGCCGCGCCAGAAGCCCAGGCCCGTCAGCGGCTCCCAGTGGCGCGGGAACATGCGCATCGTGTCGACGCCCTATACCAATGTTAAGCGACACCAGACAGAACCTATCAGCCCGCCCTTGACGGCCAGCCCGCCTGCTAGCCCACCTCTGAGCCCGCCCGGGAATGCCCTAGCCTACAGTAGCCCCAGGAGGAGTGTTACGGCGCCGTTGCTCAAGACGGAGGTGGCTAGGGTCGAGGTTCACCCCATCGTTACGCTGGACAGCCCTGTCAGCCCACCACGGAGCACCGAGGCCGACGACGATGATGATGACGACGATGACGACGCGAGTCACTATGAAGAGGAGGAAGAGACAATGCGTCCTGCGCCCTCGGAGTTTGCCTCGTTCAGCTTTGGTCTGGACCATTCCGCCGTAGAAATACAACAAGAGGAAGAACAGCGACAAGACCATCCCGTTAGTCCCCGCCACGCCGCCGCCGCCGTTCCATCATCGCAGCCGCGCGACTTCAGCAGGATAAACACGACTCCACTCGCCTCCTTCCACCACCAACCCAAGTCCCTCGATGCCTTCCACGACCTACCTCGTCCCAATACGTCCATTGGCACCGATGCTGCCGCGGCTTCCTCCTTCTTCCGCCCCCGCGCGTTCCGCCGCATCAGCAGACCCACATTCTTGTCGCCCGTCAACGTGTCAGCACCCGACGAGCTGGCACAGAAGCTCTCTGCGTACCTCAAGGGCGAGATCCCTTCGCCACCACCAGCGGCATCGCAGGCGCGGCAGCAGCAGCAGCAGCAGGTGGCGATGAGCAGGCCTGGCGAGACTGTGTCGCCGCTGGAGGAGATGCTCAAGGAGCCGCTCACCCCTCGGAGTCGATTTGTGTTTGGGCGGGTGGAGAGGGAAGTGCCGAACGTCAGCGGCATCTTTGAGGTTCTCACGGAGGGTTGAGAAATATTCTAGAAGAGGAGGAGCAAGAGGAGGAAGGAGATGCAGCATACAATAGTGAAAGAGAGCACATGAGGAGGGAGAAAGGGCGCAGACGACAGAGCACGGAGAGGAGAGAGAAAACGACTTTGGCCTGGACTGGTCTCTGAAAAGTCTCCCCATTTTCGTCAATACTTATGACCTTCTTAATTACTTTTTTTTACTTCTTAAGCATTGCATTGCACGGCGTTGGAGAGCGGTGTTTATCTTTTACCAGCCCCGTCAGTGTTGCGCCGTGCCGAGCGGGTTTCGATTTTCAATTCATTGCATTTCTCTTCTTTGGGGCTGAAGAGAGGGATTTCTCTTTGCTCTCTCCTCTGTGTGTATGTTTTCTGTTCGCTATGTCGAGACTCAAATGGTTGGACGTCAACGTCTTGTGAGAAGACTGAGAAAGCAGGGAACAGGAAGATTCGATGGTAGATGAGTCGTGTAGATTTCTTAGGTTTCTTTCTATATTTAGCCTGCCTGCAGACAGGCTCGAATTGAGCGGCCGAAGTGGTCTGACATTCATGTATAGGGAAATTTTATTTGTCTGGTCTTGTCAACGTCGTCCCGCCATGCAGGCGACTGTACATAGTATGCGGTGTCCTTCAGACCTGCTCAGCCTGGCGAGCCTGGTTTCCTTTGAATCACTGTGGTATCACAATATATATACGAACAATCAGCTTCCTTTCCACCCTCTCATCATTACAACTCCTGGCCTTTGGCTTCCAGAGTCGGCAGCCCTGTACAAGACTCGGGCGCATTCACAGGGTTACACCTCGCGGTCCTCCCTCCCTCGAGCGCCACAACATAGTCCACATTATACCTCGCACTCATCCCCCACGCAGGCCAGTCTGTAGACACAACCTGGGCCCCGCTCCGCAGCGCTGCGTCCCTCATCCCAGTGACATTCTTGCCCACGACCGTCTCGATAGGGATGTCGGCCCTCGTGCGCACCCAATATCCTCTCGCCACATCCTCTCGTATCGTCGCGACGACGTCTCCCTTGGTCGCATCGTTGAGCTTTCGGAACGCGCAGTCAGCCTCGCCCGGTGCAGACTGCGTGAACACCACCCTGCCCTCGAGACTAGGCCTGCCTTCCACGGACGCATTGCGCACCAGCCCGAGGGTCTTGGGCCCGTCGTCCATGAGGAAGAAGATGCGGCCCCGCGCCGAGTCCAGATCAGGCCACCCGTGCGCAAGGATAGACTCCTCCAGGGTCAGGCCATCGCGGCGCAGGTCGTCCGGCACGATGAGCTCGTCCCTGGAGGAGAAGACAGACCGCAGCTCGGCGTCCAGGTCGGCAAGCAGGGCGGTGTCGTTCCAGGAGAAGGACCTCGCGCCGCCCAGGTAGCCCAGGTGGGAGTTGACCGTCTTGAACTCGAGCATGACGGAGATGGGCACGTGGTGCCGGTGCGCCCTCGACCACGCCCGGAGGCCCTCGAGACAGCCCACGAGGGTGTAGCAGGTCGTGCCGACGTCCTTGTCGGCGACGTGCATCACCTTGGACCCGGGCTGCTTCATCTCGTCCTCTGGCGGGTACGCCACGCCCGACAGGCGGCGGATCACGGGGTGGGCGTAGTTGCCGCCGTCCGGGTCGGCCCAGATGTCGAGCTCGAAGCTGCGCACGCCCTGGTGCTCGGCCTGGACGGCCAGGGCGGCGTGCGAGTAGTAGTAGTTCTCGGGCCCGCCGAGCAGCCGGGCGTGCCAGGTTCGCTCGGCGGAGGAGATCTCGCGGTGGTAGCTGTTGTGGGTGCCGATGACCTGGATCTGGTTCATGCGTAGCTTGTCGGGGGACCATGTTAGGTTGTTTTTGGTGTAGGGTGGGGCGGTGGGTGTGGTTTCTGGGCCGCCGAAGAGGGAGAGAAGGCCTGGCATGTGTGTGGTCAGCTTCAAACGCACACACGCACAGAGAGAGAGAGAAAGAGAGGTGTCCATGAATGGTCGTCGCCGCCGTAGTTACGGCTTCAGCTCTCTTCAGAACTTGCCTTGGTAGAGCGAGGCCCAGAAGCCCGCGGCCTGTACCACACGCTGAATTTTTGAGTGTCAGCAGCGTTTGGAATACAATATCGCGTAAGGTGCTCAGAGAGAGAGAGAGAGATACACACCATAGTTGCAGAGGTAGCACGTTATGGCGGCTATTCAACCCAGTCGACCTTGATTACCAGTGAAGTTGATGATTCAATACGGCTCTTCGAAAGCTCACAGCAATAACGAAGAGCCAGTAAATACAAATGAATGCCAACTGATTTCCTTTGTTGACGGTAGAAACAGGTTCGATTCCAGGGTGTTCAATGAAGCCCCTCCTCAATGTTGGCTAGCCATAATTACTCCTCTTTTCTTTCCTTCGGTGTCGCAATAATGAGCTGAAACATGCAGAGCGCTTGAGATGCACGGGACGTCTTGTTGCAGAGCACGTGGGGTGTGTTAGTGTGCCCATGAAATACTACACTCACTTCCCCAACAAGTAAGTATTCCCGGTTATCACCTCGCATCACAGTCTTTTCCCGCAGCTGAACCAAAATAGTTGACAGCCGGCGTCGAATGGAGTGAGGAGAAAGCAGTTATACAAGATAAGAAACAATACTCAAATGAAGTTTGGAAAATCCTTGGTGGTATGAATATAACCAGGGAATCGTAGCCAATGATTCGATATTCCTCCCCCTCTTTTTTTCAGGCACAGAAAGAATGTGGAGTCCCGCGCCAAACTCGGGTATGCTAGTACTTATTCGCAATTCGAGATGGATATGAGTAAATGCTACGTGGTCAATAGCAGAGGCGAATATCAAGTTCATGGCTCAAGAAAAACAACCGGTGGAAACCAGCGGGCAAAGCGCCACCAGAGTATTGATTGGCAGTGAACAAGCCTATTGCCGCCCAGCGCTGGTGTCTCAACACTGGACGCCCAGAAGCGAAATCCCCAATGCTTCGCAATTTTCTTATCATTTAGTGCGAGATGACAAAGTTCTGATGGGTAGTTTCACAAGTCCAAGACAAGCTTTCCACTCTGCTCTTCTACTTTGTTGAACATCTTTCGTCGTCTTTCTTTTGCCGTCGTGTTTTCCACGAAACGCATGCCTCCGGTGTTCCAACAAAACTCCTGTCAAAGCGTATGCACCTCACTTCCTAGCCAAAGCTGCTTCGCCATACTGAACAATTTGCAAGGCCCCTTTATATTTGCTACTTATAAGCTAAGCAGGAGCCTTGTTATGTTGTTTCGCTATGTTTTCACTTAGCTGCCTACAATAATGAAGAGGATCAAAGAACTTCAAACCTTGAGAGGGGTCAGACGACTATGGTAGATGAATATGCTGTATATGCTCCCAAAAACCTTTTGTCTATCGCGCTTCAATGCACCAGCACACTGCCCTGGAGCACCCATTTGCTTTGCCCATCCGTGTTAAACAACTCCCCGTCCATGATGCCATGACAATAACAGCAGCCTACAAAGTCAAAATCTTCCCCGCTTTTCAGGCCTTCCGACTGCCGAATCGTAAAAGGCATTTTTCCCCCGTCGAATATCCACACCTGATCTCCTATCTCGGTTTCCAGATGGCCCAAGCCCATCATCCCGCTCTCCGTGATGAAGAAGGTCTGGTTGCAGACATACCTGCTCCAAAACGCAGCAAGACCATTGATGAGTCCGTGTCCCGTCCGCACGAAATTCGAAATATCGGCCAAATCTTGCTCGTTGGGCGGTCTCTCCGTCCATTGGTTTCCGTCTCGGACCCGGTCGCTCACCATGACCCTATAGAAGGCCTCTTCAAACTGCTCTCCTGACAATCCATTGGCCAATCCCTCGTGATACTTGCGTGCCATGCTCATCCAAGATCGCATCGTGCTCGCAATTTTCTCAAGCACGACATTATCCGCTGGAATGGTATTTTGGTGTGGTAGCTTGGTACCGATCATCTCGATCGTGCCAGCTAAAACACCAGTCAGTCCTAGAGTCTGCATTGGACGCTCCGCGTCTGCTGCTGCTGCTGCTGCATCATGGAGGGCCTTTTTGTCCAGTTCTCGCCCGGCACAGGCGTCGTAACTCCTGTACCCCCAGTATCGATAAAATGCATCGACCTGGTAAGGTATGGTGCAGTCCATGTCGCAGGCCCACCGCGGCACACCCTCGGTCCCTTTCCCTGGAGGCGCTCGTGGTTCAATCACCAGAGGAAACAAACCCCGCGCATGTAAGATCATGTCCAAGGTGAAGGCGCTGTATACCTGCACCGTGGGTGTCGTGTAGTCGCATCGGTCCGTATAGTACAGCTCCATGCCGCGCGGCAGCAGCCCCAGCAGCCCAAACACCTTGTCCCGTGGCTCGGTGGCCTGGCGCCCGCGCCATTTTGCGGTGGTCGCGACTGGGGTGTCGCGTTGTTGGTGGGCCGAGTCGATCCAGATCACATTGCAAAACAAGTGTCCCAGGATGTCTCTAATGTCCTGGGCTGCCTTGGGCGGAGCCTTGGAAAGCAAATCCCACATGGCTTGGGCGGGGTTGTCCGAGGTGCCGGTCCAAGCATAGGCGCAGTGAGCGAGTGTATCCCATGGTAATTGCAGCGGACCCCAGAGGAACACCTTGTTGGCCGGCAGGATTGATTCTTGGACGGTCCAGATGCGGTTCCACCACGGATGGGTGCCAACGCTGATACTCTTCAACGCTTGGATAGGACCGTGGAAAGCCGAGGCAGAAGCCAGACAAGGCGGGACGGGAAGGGTCTTGTAAGCTATCGAGTTGAGCGCGTCGATGATGGCTTCTGCATCAGCCTGGGGAACCGTGGGGTTGATTTCGTCTACCCAGATGAGGCACTGGCTGCAGTTGGTGTAGATCTCGCGCATGAGACGGATTTGAACGGCTTTTTCGGTCAAATTGTCCTGGTCGATGCAAAGCTGGTCGATCCAGATCGTTCTCTGTTTGTCTTCCAGTCGTACACGCAACAGCGCCGCGTGGAGTTTGGTAGTCACAAACGTCTGTTGGTTGTCTAACGTGACAACACGTTTGGCTTCGGGGTCGCCCCATCGATAGGACAGTACCTCGTATACTGGCTTATCGGACAGAGCTACGACGCGGGTTTCGCAGTGAATAGGGGCGCTTGCGCCATCACTACCGTACGGTAGGATGTCCAGGAGTCGTATCTCGTCGTTCAAAAGCATGTTCGCAGGAGAGAAGCCACACTCAAGAGGGAGGTTGGGTGGGCAAATTGATCAACTCCCGGAAGGATTCAGAAAATTCTTGGTGTCAACTCATCAGAGTGGAGCTTCGCTGCAGTACACGTCGTTGGTGGCATTTTCGACATGGGTCCGAGATAAAGGACCTTACAGCCCAGCGCGCCCAGCAAGATTCCCCGCCATTCTTCCCTGTCAGACTAGACCCCAGAGTCGGCGGCTTTAAACGGTAAGTCAAAAGAAAAATCATGTTTGTATTAGAAGCGAAAGTTAAGTGCATTGTTGATGGTGTAGTTATCGTTGACCGGCGGCCATCAATCGTCAGGCCGCGCGATAGTGGTGCTGCAAAGGTAGCTGATATAGAGCGACATCAATTTTTGATCTGGAAATTGCGACCATATCTTTGGCTCTCAGCTTGGCTGGTCCTTTGGGATGTATGGAGTAGCTGTCATCAGAATAGGAGAGTCCCTTGTGTCCCCAGCACCATAAGAGGCATGATGAGCCTCTTACATGACAACGCAGTAAGAGTAGCCGTTGACTCCCATGGAGGAGTTGGCAGTAGTCTTGGTGGGGGCCATTCTGATTGTTTTGACTGGAAGCTGAGAAGCTAAAGTTAAATAAGATCTGTTGATAGGATGATGTTGTTGGTGATGACGAGAAGCTAGGATGGTTTGATGGAGCGGGAAACTAGAGATATTCATATGGGAAATGTCGAGCGCTTGGCCACTGAGCTCCTCCAAGATCTTAATAAGATTTCAAATAGTAGCAAAGAAATTGAGGACACTGATCAAAGACTTTCGAAAGAAAAATCACAATCGGTCACTGCTGGAGTTTATGTTGGTGCAAAGGTCCCGGTGTGAGGCTGACAACCTTTGACCATGATAATATTGTGCTTGGCGACGAGATGTCTAGACGGTCCATCTGACCCCAGTTGCAAAAGATTTGGAACTTTATTCTTGATGGCCAGTCTCCAGGTTGATTCTGGGACGTGGTAAGAATTTGGATTTTGCCAATAGAGGAGAAATTATGGACCTCTGATAGTGTTGAATAACGAACGTCTATTGAAGCTTATCCCTTCTATTCTATGTACTGACGAGGGTCGTATATGCCCTCTTTTATCCTCAACTAGGCCCTGAGGGCCTGACTCGCCTTGAGGGATATCTGAATCAGTCAATTCTCAAGGCGGCCGGAGGGCGGCACGGCGTGGCCGGCCTGGCCGAGGAATGGCCGGAGCGGCCTGAATAGTGGCTTACATCCAACACACCCCCATAAGGCCTATTTGCCGCTTCTTCAAGGCCCTTTCTCCGTATATACGGCATCGTGACCTTTCACCCCTTGGTGTTTTCAAACAGCTTCATCCGTTTCAGCATTTCAGCTTGTTTGTTGCCGTTGAGTGGCTTCGTAAGCCCATCAGCTAATTGGTGCTCTGTGGGCACCCATTCGATGCCAATGCGCTCGTCAGCCACCTCGTCCCTCACGAAGTGTTCCTCAAGGGGTATATGCCCTGTTCTTTGGTAGAATTCGGGATTCTTCGTCAATTTGACAGCCCCTAGGTTATTATACTTCGCTGTGAACTTCGATGGGATTCTCAACTCCGTGAGAAGGCCCTTGAACTACAAGCTCATCTGCATTCCCTTGCAAATAGCGTAATATTCAGCCTCTGTTATTGACAGCATTATGCGGCTTGTGCGCCTTGAATGCCAATCAATCATGCTGTTGCTTATTTGAACAACGAGGCTGTACGTTGAACAGCCCGTTGCCTTGTCTCCTTTCCAGGGATATAAGTAGTCTATTCTCGTAGCGTGCTGCCTTGTGGCTGAACGTCTCGTCGTCCCAGCGTACGTAGAGCAGGATCCCGTCCTTATTCCCGATCTCGAGCCCTAGATGCTTGGTGCGTTGGTAACAGCGATATCTGTGCTTGAGGAGTGCCTGGTGTTCAGACGACGGGTTGTAGCTGTACCTCGAGGTCACAGACAGTAGGAAGGCCATATCAGGCCTGGTTTGGGTTATTGAGTACATCAGGCGGCTGTTGCGTGATTGGTATTCTGTGATAGCCTTGCTGGAGGCCTGATCATCGTGTAGCCTGGCTAGGGCTAGTGATCCTGTGGCAAAGGGAATAGGCGATGGTCTCACATCCTCGTAGCTGCTTTCGAGAAGAGATCTCTCAGCGTACGCGTCCTGTGCGAGCCTGATAGTGCGTTGATGACGATCTCTGGTGATGGACACCCCCAGGAAGTAGTTGGCCTGGCCTAGATCCTTGAGCTCGAACCGTTTGGCTATTTGGCTGTTTTTCAGCGGTTAAATTGGCCTGTTGAGGGCTCGAGGTGTTGCTCGAGGTCTTTTCCTCTTGGCCTTTCTTTCCTCGCCATTTCTCCTTATCCTTTCGTTTTTCAGGGTGGATGATCCAGCAGTTCTCGGCTGAATGACCCTTGTGAGGACAGGTCCAATTGCTCGTCCTTTTGCCTCCCCTTTTGGGCCCTTGTTGGCTTGTAAGGTTGGCTATCTCGAGGATCCTCGAGTTCCTAACCTCGTTGATGTAATCAGCTTGAATTGCCTTAAGGGAAAAGGCTCCTGGGGCGCTGAGCTGCATCGTTTGTCGAATTCGAGCTACCCACTGAGGGTTTTCAGCCTGAATGCCCTGAATAAAGCTGACTTGGTACTCGACCTCGTCGACCTGGCGGCCTAGGAGGGTGAGGCGCTCTTTGAGGAGGTTGAATGCGTTGATATACTCGCTTGAGGTCTTGAATGCGTTGCTTTTGATGGACTGGAGATCCGCAAGGAGCTCCTGGTATTGAACAGGGCCTGTGCCTATTGCCCAGTCCCTGAGAGTGAGCCACTTGGTCACTGGGTCGGATATATGGCCGACGAGGCTTCTAGCCTCTTTGCCACACGAACGGTGGATCATACTATCGATGGCTGATAGCTGAATATCGCGATCCTCAGGTTCGACGAGGTTGATGGGAGTTGCCAGGGCCTCCTTTTCAGCCTCGGTCAGGTGTGTCTTCTTTTGGAGGGCTACGAAGAGAGGCTTCATCAAGTCGAACTTCTTATATTCGATGAAGAGCCTCTTCATTGAGAGCTCCCAGATAGTCCAGTTGCCCTGGGTAAGCCATTCCTCTTTGCTGAGGTGCCTCGAGATTGAGGAGGCTCCCTCCTTCCTTTCCTCGGTATCAGACATGGCTTCTTGTGTTGAGGAGGTTTTTCCTCCTTTTGCCTGGTCTTCAGGTTGGGCCAGGTCTTTTGTTGATAAGGCTGTGCTGTATTCACGCCCGGAGCGAGTACTCCTTATGTTGAGATCCTCTAGCTGATCAGGTATGGAGGATACGGTGTATGAGGATGTCGAGTGCCTCTATGCCTTCAGGGCTAGAGATCACGATCGTACTGATAATGTATTGAATAACGAACGTCTATTGAAGCATATCCCTTCTATTCTATGTACTGAAGAGGGTCGTATATGCCCTCTTTTATCCTCAACTAGGCCTGAGGGCCTGACTCGCCTTGAGGGATATCTGAATCAGTCAATTCTCAAGGCGGCCGGAGGGCGGCACGGCGTGGCCGGCCTGGCCGAGGAATGGCCGGAGCGGCCCGAATAGTGGCTTACATCCAACAGATAGTATTATGCCTAGTAATTATTGTGCACCGCTAGAGCGAGTTCCTCAAGGTATATTTTGTCAACGAGGAACAAAGCCCTTATTACACCTTTCAGAGTAAGCGTGACCCCTTAAGGACAGGCTTGTAGACGCAGAAAGCTATCAGCCCTCGTAGGGAATATTCCGGTGATCAAAAGCATGTATGTCTCTGGGACACCCGCCTGCATCTACACGGGTCCTGCAGGACCACATTCGACACATGATATTGGGTCGTCATGTTGGATCTTCACCTCGAAAAGTTCTGCAGTCGCAGTATGGCGAGTTTTTTGTGGTGTTTGTTTTTCTGTTACGTTGTCTAATAAAAAAAAATTTGAAGGTACGTTTCATGTTCCACGGAGACGCAAATGCACCTTGAAGATCGGAACTTTCAAGAAAGCGTGATATGAGGATCCTGCGTCGAGGTCTAGCCTTCCAAATAGCAACACAAAACAAAATAACCCGGCAAGTACCCTTTCGATAGAGTACGTGTATTTCCCAGAGTTCATCATATGATACGATATATGCGTTGTGGTAGTAATTCTAAAGAAGGTTAGTCCTCATTGCCAGTAGATCAGAATGGAATATCTTGAATCATTTACTTCGCACTATTGACTTATATTCCCAACTCTGAGGATACGAGGTACACATTTTTGCTGGTTGCCTCTGACCAGGGGCGTCGTCGTGGAGCGCCTCTGTCGCCTTTCCCTTGGAGCTGGGCCAGGCTGGCTGCGTCGTGCACCGCTTGTTGATTGGAGGGCTTACTTGAACATGACCCAGCACTCACCATAACTACCTAGCCAGTTTCAAGTACCCTTAATTGCCAATACGATTAATTATGCGAAAGCTTCGTAGAGTTCGACCCATGGAAAAGTTTATGTTCGTCTCTATATGTAATGACTCGAGAATAAATGAGAAACAAGCTTAAGGCCAAGGCATAATATGGGTCCAGAGAGGGAAGCCTCAAGGAGTCGTCCGATACAAGAGAATCCCATACTCTTGAAAGCTACAACCGAAAGCTTATTTTTATGATGGCCCAGGGCTTTCCATGGCTAGTTTCTAATAAGCTCCCTCCATTGTTTTTATGACTAGTTATGCGGAATCTCCGTAGCATCCGATTCATAAATATATTCGTCAACATGTATATATATATATATATATATATATATGTAATCACTCAGTCCTTCTCCTGAACAGCTCCCTAATAACATTGTCGCCCAAGAACTAAGTTTTGGATGATTGAAGCTGCCACCATGTCCGCACGCTCATTACTTGCTCTACTCGCCGCATCGGCACTTCCTAGCGTACAGAGCTTGGCCATTCGTCAGTCAGAGACCCCAGTATGGCTTACACTCCCACCTACGCCAGCATTACCGGCTCCAATCACGGAGGTAAAGACGCCAGTCGACGGCGTTGAGCTCTGGATGCAACAGTACAACGAAGAAGCCGGCAGTACTCCTATTGTCATGATCCATGGAGGCTTAGGATACTCGGCGTATTTCGGCGCCGTCATATCTCGCCTGATCGAGGGTGGTCACTATGTCATTGCCGTCGACCGCAGAGGCCACGGGAGAAGCACATTCAATTCCGCGGATGTGTTTACGTTCGACATGTTTGCACAAGATACCTTTCAGTTGCTTAGCCAGAAGGGTATCAGCAAATACAACATCGTCGGTTGGTCGGACGGAGCCGCCACAACGCTGGCGGCATTGCTGAACAGCACGATTGAAGCGCATATCGAGCGAGCCTTTGTCTTTGGAGGCTTCTCTGTACCCGAGGATACGAATGCGACATTCACCGACACCGCGATATATAGCGAGTTTGTATCGCGTTGCCAAACAGAATACAGCACGCTGCAGCCAACTGCCAACTTCACCGAATTTGCGACAAAGGTGGGGACGTTGGAAGCAACCCTTCCACAATGGACCGATGCAGACCTTGCAGAGATCAACGGCAGCAAAGTCACCATCGCAGGCGCAGAATATGAAGAGGCTGTCAATCGGGATGTTGCCCCACGGTTGAACAAGGCTATCATTGGAAGTAACCTGGTCATACTGAAGAATGTGAGCCATTTTGCGCCTCTGCAAGACCCTGACCAGTTCACAAAGGCCGTTGAAGACTTTCTACTAGTATAGAATTACCAGATGATTCATAGGATAGGAGTAAATAACAACACCATCTCGTGGTGGCCAGTGTGGTAGTCCTCCGGACTTAAATTGAAGTGGCTCCTGGGTCTTTTTTAAGTAAAGGGCATCACCATCTTTTGGGCTATTTAAGACACACAACAACAACAGGACAACTTCCCTTCTTTTCCAAGCTTGAGTCCCTCTGGACAGATCTGAAGCAGGGTCTTCACCCTGTTCTTGTGCCGTTGTGGCCTTCGTTGACTGTCGTTCTTTGTACAAGCACACTTATCAGTCAGGTCTACATTTATGCCTCTCGAATCTGCTATGCGGATCTGTCTCGTGTCAGATCGACGGGGCACTTGCCCGTAACTCTCTGACATCTTGCGTGCACAAGCACATTATATCGAGCCTGTAGACACAGAAGGACCCATTGACCAAGAGACAAATTAGGAAATCGACACCCACAGGAACTACTATGACGACTTCGCTGCCACGACTACGTACCCGAATAAAGGGGGGGAGGAAAAAAAAACCCCTGAGAATACAGGATCCCGCCCACCCAGGCTTTTCGTCTGAAGAGTAGCCTTGACTCGAAAATGAAAAACAGAGAAAAGATAGCAGACGGGAACAAGATTCTGACTGGCCGGCCCAGCCACGCCTGCTCCCCCGGATTAGTCTGCGCTGAAGCCAACACCCAGGGTCTTTCGCCGGCCGTAGGCGCCGGAACGAAACAGCCGTGCCTGGTGAACAGATACGACAGACCGTGACTTAGAATGAACAGGCCACTCAGCGCCTTTCAACCAGTGAACAGAGGAGCTTGCCCACAAGGGGTTAAGGCATCTGTTAGAAGCATCTTAATATACTCAGTTCTTGAGGTAGCACTGAAATCCGACATATGTTAAGGAATATATATAGTATGTGATAATCAGCAGACATCCGAAATTTGAAACTATTCATATTGCTATTTCTGCGCTCGCTGGTTTTACATATATCGATAAGCTCTTTGAGATATCTTTTTCAACAGTAGGCAGCGGGGAATTTGATCACAGAACTTGTCAGGAACGAGCATTGTTAGCAAGATGAGATTACTAACTGCATTTATGATGCAGAATGAGTTTGAAGCTAGCTCTAACAGTTCCAGAATACCCACATAGTGCTAAACTCTACTTACTTGATTGGCATACATACCAACTTCAGCAGCAAGTGTTAATACTACCTTCCTTTTCAGTCTAGTAGTTAATATAAACGAGATGATCGAGATGGAAGATACCAGCTTGTTAGTGCACAGACGGAGAGACAGAGGCAGGGAACGGCAAAACGGAAACGGAAAAAAGCCGACGCCGCCATGATTCGAACATGGGCCTCCGAAGAGAATAGATAACAAGGAATTCGAGAATTTCTAGTCTATCGCATTAGACCGCTCTGCCACGGCGCCTATGATTGGTATCTAAATCTGGCAGTTATTCTATATATATAGTTTACTGTCTGAAAAGCACTGAAATTTCGCCCAAAATCAAATCTGGTCATGAGCACAAGGGGTCTATACCTTATAGCCAAAGACGGTCCAGTTAATTCAGTTGAATGATGTCTGATACATACAAACAGTCAAATGTGATATTAGCCCGAATTGATTCAACCGTCTGTGGTAGAGAAACGCTGCATGTAGTGAACTGCTCGGACAGTTGTGAGGTTGTAACCGCTAGATAGTTCGACCTGGTGGCTTTTCCTCTTTTCTCTTTCCTCTTCAGCGCATTGCAATATGAGCCTTTTTGCCTTCGCATAACTTGACTCAGTAGCCAGTGTGGACTTTTCTCGGAGAAAGGAAGAAAGAAAGAAAGAAGAAGAAATTATTAGTGCATAGCACAATCATCGCACTATCAAACATATCGCCCTCAAACATATCGCACTCAAACACATCGCACTCAAATATATCGCACTGTCGTACTATGACACTATTGTACTATCGCACTTTCGCACTTACATGTCGCGCTATCAGAATTATCGCACTATCGTACCTACATCTGCAGGTAGTTTTTGACGGAACACCAGGACTATGCCACTGCTATTGACCTGTAAGCCTCGTATTCATCTTGTTTTGCGCAAATATGGACTATAACTACTTACCATTGTGCTAGTGTAGCTCAACATGGTATGCGACGGCCAGTGACTCATTGGCCCTTTCATGGCTAAAGCACTTGCTTCATTGCCTTTCTGTAGATAACTCCCACTTCTTCTTTCTCCTTTACATATTTTCTTTCGTTCTAGATCACGTCTGTGTATACGCTGATGGCTATTCAGCGGCGTCTGTCGGATCGGAAAATTCCTGCTGCCACCTGGGTCGGCATTGACGCTAGCAATAGATCTCTTGGTAATTATTGTTTCCACACTTCGCCACCCGGACAATGCCTACTCGTGAGACTGAATCATTATTTATTCTTCCATTATTTATATCTTGCTCCTTTGTAAAAATACACACAGTCAACTAATAATTCTAGCAGTGCTCATTACTCTTTTTGTATTATTTGTAAGTCAGCCAATAATGAGCATACAAAACAGCTGTCTGAAGTTTAATGATTAGTTGGCTTTAAGATAATTAAATGCTTTAGCATAAAAACTGGCTAACTTAGAATAATCCATTCTATGATTTCACCTGAATAATCTAGTTTATTTACATATCGCTCTCATTTCTCATCCAGATATTAGATTGTTGAATTCTTGATCGATCTTGTACACTTTTCATTTTTATTCATGAGGAGCATTTCTGGGAAATAAAGCCGGCGTGGAAGGAATAGAGGCGTTCAGCCAATTAATGTTTTTAGAGCTGGTAAGTTGTTGATTACTGGTTAAACGTTGTTAATATGCTCACTGTTAGCTGGTTAATAACCAGTAAAACACAGCAATGATGCTATATTGTGATGCTTGACTGTCTGTATGTTATCTTGGTACAGTACTTATTACATATATGACTCACTCATATTTTAGTATATTTCATTCAATCAGCACTCACATTTTATCGTAATAGGTCTGAGTTCAACCTGGATCCTTCGTGGTACAGCATGTACTGTCTAAGAGGGAAAATATGAAACATACATCCTGATAATTGTAATTTAAAATATACCGAGATGATCTCGTTCTTGCCTTAGTGACCTCAGCCCAAGTCCTTCTAGCATTATGCATCTGCTTGATACCAGATTCTTCGGCCGGAGTCCAAGTTTTATTGGGGAGACTGCTATTGTAATGGGGTTGTATGGAGGCAGGAGTGTCCTCTTGCTTCCGACTGCTCACAGGCAGGCTGCTCGGCTCTAGATTTGGATTAGTTGCCAGGAGATTTCCTCCAAAGGTGTTACAGACGATAGTACAAGGTAAGCAATCTCCAGTCGCAACATTGGAAACCTCCCATGTTTGTCTCGTCCAGTCTAGGTAGATGGATATGCGTTTTCTATCTATCTGTGTATATTGACCATGTCTTTCAAACTTATACTAGGAACTATCATTCTTTTGATGCTATCATCTAGGATGCCCACTGTACTGCCATATGTAGCTTTTCAGCCATGTTGTCCCATTCGCGTGTGAGGGGTGTACTATCTGAGGCCTTGCCCCGCGGCGGAACCACGCTAAGCGCCTCGAACAGCCCCACCCCGCCCTGCTTTCTTTTCCACACTGGCCGAGCACTCGAAGCCCAACATGGAGCAGCGGTCACATTTCTGACCAGGCCAGACTCGCCCGATGGGAGAACACTTTCCCTAGAATGTCAGACCAGGTGCTAATATCGAGAGAGTTCTTGTAATTACTTACGGCCTTCTTGTCCTTCCTGCAGAATGTGCACTTGCTGTAGTTCAAGCGACGTCGTTTGCGTTGAGGCTCCTCCTGGCGGTCCGCATCAGTCTCATGCTGGCGGCTTGCGTCAATCTCATGCCTCGAGGCTTCGCGAGAGGAACTCTCCGCCTGAGGCGACGGAAGCTGTTGTTGTTCTGCCGTCTGTGGCCCTTGGTGGTCGCTGGATGCGCTCTCCATATCCATTTGACTACCAAGTCTCTCTTTCATACGTTCCACCTCCCGCAAGTTACTCCTCAACTCAATTTCTCGATAAACCAAAGACTTGTAGCGTTCACGCCGCTGGATCCCTTGAAAAAATTGCAATAGCATCAGGAAGAATTGGACCATTGCAGTTCTATCCTTCTTGTCCACGAAGCTGTTCAGTCCGCCCTTGGCGACGAACGACGACAGCGTGGCCATAGCCGATCGCGCATCCTCCAGATTTGTTGATGCAGATGATGAAGTGATGGACGATCGCGCGTTATCGCTGCTGACCACAGGTGTGGCATGTGTCTCCTCATTGTCTTGAAGTTGCTTATCACTGTGATTCAAGAAGCCTGCGCTGCTGCTGTGATTCAGCGTACGGGGAGAGTTCTGCTGGTGTCGTATGGCAGGTTCGATTTCTGGTCCGTGATCAAGTGATTGTTGAGAGTTGTCCAAAGACATTGGGCTGAGGACAGGTGAAGGTGTGGCATTCGGACGCTCATTTTCGTCAACTGACGAACCCTGCTGCCTACGAGGTTCATGAGACAGCTGGAAAATAGTCTGGCCAGCGGACATTGTGAATTCAGGCCTGTCGCTGAAGTCCAGGTAGAAAAGCTGGTCAGAGAAAATAACAATCACAGAAAGGCCAACTTTTTTGATGGGGATGCGTGAATCTATGTCTGCGTAGGAAAGGAAAGCCTTTGTCGCGGTAGTTAATATTCATCAGTCAGGCTCGTAGTTTTGTAGGCCATAGACGTAGCTACCAGCCCCCGGCACGTGCAGTCAGCATTTACCAATGAGCTTTGGTTCTCGCAATAAACTACAGGGGTCTTTCGCACTGCCGCAAGATCCATCCTTCATACAACTCTCAATTATAATTTTCACACTTCGCTGCCCAAACAATACATGCCGTACCACACAGATCCAGGCTGAATCAGACCTGTTTTGATAAATCTATGCTAGCTTCGTGAATGAATATTAGAAAGTGAGCGACACCTGCCTATAATAAGTATTTTTGCACAAACGCCATGCGTAAATATGGGAGGAAATTACCAATTTCAGATGGCAAGTATGTACTAACCGGGTAGAAAAGTGTGAATATTATAATTATACTCTTGAGAATTGTGCAGTTTGAGCTGAAGTTGCTCTGTTGACCATGTCGTATTATAGCTCCCACACGATCGCGCTCGAGGGGTATTTAAGATGGGGTATAGGGCGTGCTGAGCTAGCCCCGGGCAGCGCAGCAAAACAAAGCCTGAAGCAGCAGCGAATTCAGAAGAGAATTTAATCAATATATCGCCTTCATACGCAAGCTGAACTTGGATAGTTGGGATCCGTGTCTCCTAGCATAGTACAGTATCTCTCTTCCGAGTCAGAATTTATCTTGCCTGTAGCGTTCTACTCCTGGTCCCGCCATTCTGCTGTCTAGTGCAAAGCACTGCTGAAAGTAAATGACGAAACTTTAAGATCCGATGTTACCAATGCATCATTGATGTTACAAAATAAGCAACGCTAGGGGGGGGGGGGCGGGAATAAGTGAAAACCTGGCATAATTAATCAGTACGTGATTTGGCAGAGCAGCTCTGCATTAAATTGGACTGTATTCAAAGCAATAGAACCGATTGCTACCAGACTTGGGGAACAGGAACTCTCCAAACTTGAATTTAGAGTGTATTAAGTTAACGGGGGTAGTTTCCGCCCATCCGTAGTTTCCGCCCACCCGGCCAGCCACACCACACATATACATATATATATATATTGATTATTTTCACATACTATTCACTCACCACGATGCATTCCTCTTCATCAGTAACTAATTCAACATCGTTCTCTTCATCCTAACTATCCTCATCTTGATTAGCTGCTATTTGAGCCCTCTGTATAGCCTCAATATTTGCAAACTTCGAATTTGAGCTCATATCAACCTTTCTTCTTTTAGTAAGTCGAAGCACCCCCTTGTGGACACCCCCCCTTGTGGACACCCCTGGCCAGCCACATCGCATATATATATATACATTGATTTATATACATTTCTCTTCCTAATCAGCTACCACGATACAGTCCTCCTCATCAGTAGGTAATTCGGCATCGCTCTCTTCATTTAGACTATCGTCATTCCTGTTGACTGCATTTTGAGCCTTCTGTATAGCCTCAATATCTGCAAACCTCGAATTTGAGCTTGTATCTACCTTCCTTCTTTTAGTTGGCCTTCTAGCCTCAGCCTGCTTTTTCAGTATCTCATTCTTTTCCAGGGCTCTAGCTAGTTCGACATCCCTCTCACTGAATGCTTTGCATATCTTCCTGAAAAGTATACGTTGTACTGGCAAAGATGAAAGCTGGTGCCGATTCTGCTATAGTTGATGATATATATCTCGAGCTTCGCAAGGCGTTGAAAAGATAACTGCCTGGCCTGAGGAGGCTTTCAGGGTATTCTGGGCTGCTTTTGATGCTGTTAACTTTGAATTTGCCTGAGTCTGGATGAACTGAGAGGTGTTCTCGAGGAGAAGAGGGCTGAGGAGTGGCTTGGAAGGTCTAACAGGCTATAAGCCTGAAGCATTCCATCCAGACTTGATATTCTGGCTCGAAAGGCCTTCCAAGCGAGCCTGATGATAGGTCTCGAGGAATATTCGCTTGCCAAAGACTGTTGAATCCTCCTACTGGCTTATAGAACTGACTTTTCGCCTGTACGCTCTCTTAAGAAACGAGAAGACCCCTAGATCGAGGGGCTGAAGTACGTGAGAGGTATGAGGAGGCAAGTAAATCAACAGGATGTTGTTTTGATAGCATTGCTACATAAACTCATCAGTTGTATGGCTGCTATGGCTATCCAGGACTAATAGTTGAGCCTCTGAGGGGTCTGCTGGCTTGCTGCCTGGAATGAAGATCTTTTTCAGCCATTCGAGAGCTACAGCATTATCAGTCCATCCATTGCTCGTAGCTGTGAACTGCTAGCCCTCAAATAACTCCAAGAAGAGAGGAAACTACTGCTATTGTACTGTTTGGCTCTTGAAGATCACTAGAGGGGAAAGATAGGTGCCTGTAGCAGAGATACACTCGAGGATCGAAGTCCAGGATCTCGACCCAGGCTCTTTTCGATGAATTGAACATGAAGAAGAGCCCCCAAGAACCAATCCGTTCTCTCCTTAGCTCTCAGCTATTCCAGCTTCATCCATATTCCATCTATTAGCTGGTTTGATAGCTTGGATTTGAGGAAGGTCGAAAAGACGAAACCAAGGCCTTATTACCTCTGTTGTAGCTCCATTGATTCGTTCAGAGGCAATCCGTTTATGCTTTCGTACCCTTATCTCTGGATTTCTCTTCAAAAAGCCCTCAGTCCATCTCTTCCCTAGCCCTCGAGTATCTTTCTGGACCTCCAGGATCCTCTGAGCAAAGTGCCTAAGCTCTGAGTGGCTTGGTGCAAGCCCTAGGCTTTCCTGAACAAGAATCCATTCAGCCAACTTCTTTTCCTGAGGAAAGGAGAGCTTTTGCTGATGTTGATGAGCTGTTTGATGCGATTCTCTTCCTGCCAGGCGATGAAGAAGAGTAGTCCTCGGGATCCCGTATTCGCGTGCGGCTCGTTTCTGAGACCAGCCTTTTTTAACAGCCTCGACGGCCTGGGCTACCTCAAACTCGGTATATGACTTCATTATTGTCGTATGAAGGCCCTGTAAAAAGATGAAGTTATTCGGATAAGAATTGGTTGAAAAGGTTATAAAAGTAAAGGTGGTGGAAATGGCGGTGTGGCTGGCCAGGGGTGTCCACAAGGGGGGGGTGTCCACAAGGGGGTGCTTCGACTTAAGCCTCCTATCCTTAGCTTGCATTTCCAATGCCTTATTTCTTTCCAAGGCTTTAGCAAACTCTATACCTCTCTTATCATAGGCCTTCTGTATCTTTCTGAATAGTAGGCGTTGCTCTGGTACTGATAAAAGACGGTTCCGATTCTCTTGTAGCTGTTGATATAGCTGTTAGCCTTTCGAGGAGTTAAAAAGAAAGCTTGCTGGCTTGAGGAGGCTTTGGGGGATAGCTGAGGTACTGTTGATCGTTCTGAGCCTTGAATTTGACTGCTTCTGAATGTGTAGTTGACTGTTCTCGAGGAGAAGAGGGCTGAGGAGTGGTTTGGATAGCCTGAGAGGCTATAAACCAGTTGCTGTGCACCCAGATCTGATATTCTGGCTCGAAAGCCCTTCCATACGAGCTTAGCGATAATACTCGAGGAATGCTCGCTTGCCAAAGGCTGTCAAATCCCCCTGTTGGCTCTCAAAACTGACTTTCTTCCTATAAGCTCTTTTGAGAGACGAAAAAACTCCAAGATCAAGAGGTTGAAGCACGTGAGAGGTATGAGGAGGCAAATAGATCAACAGGATATTGTTTTGATAGCATTGCTACATAAACTCCTCAGTTGTATGGCTGCCGTGGCCATCCAGGATCAATAGTCTGGCTTCCAAGGGGTCTGCTGGCTGGCTGCCTGGGATGAAGATCTTTTCCAGCCACTCGAGAGCTATTGCATTGTTTATCCATCCGTTTTGAGTAGCTGTATACTTCCAGCCATCAAAAGGCTGTAAGAGAAGAGGAAACCACTGCTGTTGTACTGTTTTTCCCTTGAAGATAACGAGAGGAAAGAAGTATGTGCTTATAGCTGAGATATACTCGAGAAACGAAGTCCAGGCTCTTGATCCAGGATCTTTCTTTTGGATTGAATGTGAGGAAGAGCTACTAAGAACTAATCCATTCTCTCCTTAGCCCTCTAATATTCCAGCCTCATCCATATTCCATCGATTAGCTGGCTTGATAGCTTGGACCTGAGGAAGATCGAAGAGATGAAACCAAGGCCGTATTACCTCTGTTGTTGCACCATTAGTTCGAGCTGAAGCAATCCTCCTAGTCCTTAGAACTCTTATCTCTGGATTTCTCTTCAAAAAAGCGCTAGTCCACTTGATTCCGAGGGCTTGATCATCGCCATGGATATGAAGAATCTTCTGAGCAAAGTACTTCAGCTCTGAATAGCTTGGTAGAAGTCCTAGACTTTCCTGAACGAGGATCCATTCAACCAACTTCCTTTCTTGAGGAATAGAAAGCCTTTGCTGGTTTTCGTAGGCTGTTTTATGCGGTATTGCTTCTTCTAGATGATCTCGGAGTGTGGTTCTTGGGATGCTCCATTGCCTCGAGGCTTTTCGTTGAGAGAGGCCATTTCTGACAGCGCTGACAGCCTGATCTAGCTCAAATTCAGAGTAAGGCTTCATGATCATCATATAAAGATTTTCTGAAAAGATGAAGTTGTTTGGAAGATAATTGACTGAATAAAAGCTATCAAACTAAAAGGGGTTGAAGAAGCGGTGTGGCTGGCCGGGGTGGGCGGAAACTACGGATGGGCGGAAACTACCCCCGTTAACTTAATAGGTGGTCTCCGAGTTCTTCTTCAAGGTCTCGAGGATGGTGTTGAGTATGGAAGGTTGACGAGATTTCAGGAGTGTTAACAGCGTTGCCGTCAACCTTATCAAAACGGCCAAAGGCCTATTATTTGCTTGAGGATTTCCAGAAACTAATAAAAATTAAGGTGAGAGTTGATCTACAGCGCTTGGCTCACACGCAATCCCAAGGGACTCATTTTCATACCCTGCCACCTGAGCAGTACATATTTTTGAGGTAAATTCACTGTTTGCCTTACCACTTTATTATGACAAATTTTCTGTTGAGAACATCTAATCACAATGAGGTATTGCTTGATTTCAAGATGTATTTGCTAGATTGGCATTTATTTATTGGAGTACTACCTGACTTCGATCTGGCATTTTGTGTAATGCAGTATGTTTTTGCTGGGGTGAGGAGGTGTGAAAATTAGTCCCTGGGGGTTGTCCATACCTAATAATGGCTAGTTAACAAAAACGGCGGTCGCAATGTCGAAATATCGCACTCAGTTTGAGTGCCTCCTTCAACATGTACGCTAGAGAATTTGTAACGAATTATGGGAGTCCTCCTACTTCCACACACATACAAATACCTTTATAAGGCCCAAGCAAAGACATTGCAGACCTTCGACAAGACTATCCTCTGCACAAATCTTCATGTTTAGTAGTGGCTGACAAGCATCCACTCGGTTCATAAATTTCAAAACTCTTGCATATACCTTTCTTCTTCACTCAATGTCTGCTTCATCTCAGTCCATGTCCAGCGACGCCAAAGCTACCATTGGTATTGGCGTTCCGTCTTTCGTCGCTGCCGTGCTTTCGCTCTTGGTCGTGTACCTCGCCTACATCAAATCACGACCGCGGAAAACCAGGCCAGCAAGGCCCACCAATGTGTCTCTGGCACTTTCAGGTTATGATACTTTGTCGTCGTCGCAAATGCCTAGGAGACCGGAACCGGTTCATTTGTCTCCTCTATGACCTCAGGAAAAGAAAACATCTTCACCAGTCCAACACCAAGAGTGCACACAAGGAAGGCAAGCTTCAAGACAGCGCAAGTACTTGGACAACAGCAACTGGCAGGGATATATGTAATCGTTGCCAAGGCTTCACCGAAACATCTCTGGGATAATGATCAAGGCGCCGACATGGTAGGCTTAACAATATTGAATCGCAACCAGTGCTCACATGATAGCGCTGACTCTTCTTTGCTATAGTTCAACACTGCTACATGGGGGCTGCCTACGGTTACGGCTCTACAGCATGACGTTTTCTTTGGAGGTTGAAATATGTCGCAAGAGGCTGGCAAAACATTCACGCAAACCTGTCGCATTCGAAAACAACGCGGATCATGACCCACTACCAAATTCACCACGATAGCGCGGGCAAACCCCACTGATTTGGAGGCTTGTCAACATACAAGTCAGCCGACACCCTCGTTACAACCTTTCTGTAGTAGAGAAATTTCTATTGTTTTCCACATCAAATAAATACGGTCCTCTTTGAAATTGATTGAACGGGACTGTTACACATGTTCAAGAGCTATCGCCTCTCAAATAATATCTACAGCGACTTGCTCAATGTCAGTCGGCCCGTTATGCTCGCAAATCGCATCAGATTGTGCGACCAGCTCTTGCGAAAGGCCCACAGATGACGTCTCGTTCCTCCGCAATCTTGGCCCCGGATTTTATTAGGCCTCTCCACATACATACACACACACACACATACATACACACACACACACACACACACACACACACACACACACAATGGAGCAGGCGAGTCTTGTGCCTGAGCGAGAGGGCCTTGAGAGGGCCTCGTGGGAAACATTCATCCACTTGTCTGCTCAAGCTGCCCCGGGACTGTCTGTTCGAGTAAGCCGAGCCTTGTCCTATTCGCTGCCATGGCGAATGAGAGAGCACACCCGACAGGAGCAATCTATATACTGTCAAAATAATGCTTTTGGGGGGGGGGGGGTAGAGCATGGAGAAAATCGGGATGGCAAGTTCCTGATATAAGTGATCATCTTGTAATAAATTGATTTACATCCCCCGAGTCGCATTGTATTCCAATCTTCGGGATCGTCTGTCTCTACTATGTGCCTAGTCAGGATCTTAACATGATTTCTAGAGTGTATCAATTTCTCAGAGCATAACATAAACTTTGCTCAAGCTAATTGACGCCCCACCGCCTGCCAGCCCAAGTCTGTTCTTTAAAATATTCACACAGATTCAATATCCTCCACTCGCCAGCATGAAGAAATATTTCGGTCTGCGGGGCTCGGCCCTCAACTGGGCTGTTGGCTTGATTGCTGGATGCGATTTCCTCTTTTCGGCTACGGTCAGTACCTCAACATTTTCTTGCTTAACCTGCCATCCTCTTCGCGTGCGCAAAAGTACTAACAATTTTGCAGATCAAGGTCTTTTTGGTGGCATTTTGAGTATGTGTATACACCGTCTCCGGTAGCATCCCATCCCAGCGATGTCTTGCCTTGGTAAAGGGCAAAGAGCTGGAACATCCCTCGCAAGCATGTCGCAATTCTGCCGGAACTCGATCTCGCCCCTCCCCCCCTCCCAACAAAAAAAATGAACCAAAGAAACCTTCACAGGCTCATAATTGTAATCTCTTCATAGCCATGCCCAATTTTCTCTCCCAGTTTCCAGAGATCAACCCGAACGCCGCCACCTCAGCAGAGGACTCATCCCACCGCTCCACTATTCAAGGCATCACAACAGCCGCCTACAACCTTAGGCTGCTTCGTCGGCGCCGTGATCACTATCTTCATCGGAAACCCCCTCGGCCGCAAACGCATGATTATGCTAGGCACGTCCATCATGATCATCGGCGCCGCCCTGCAGGCCTCGGCGACCACCCTGCCGCACCTCATCGCGGGCAGGTTCATCACGGGCCTGGGGAACAGCAGCAATACGTCCACGATCCCAACGTGGCAGTCCGAGACCTCACACGCGCACAGACGTGGCAAGCTGGTAATGATCGAGGGGGCGCTGATCTCGGGTGGTCTCGTATTGGATCGACCTGGGGTTGTCCTTCGCCCCTGGGTCGGTGGCCTGGCGATTCCCGTTTGCCTTCCAGATTGTGTTTTGCGTGTTCATCCTCAGTTTGATCTGGGGTCTGCCTGAGTCGCCGCGCTGGCTCATTCTCCGTGGGAGGGAGGACGAGGCTCGTGAGGTTCTGGCTGCCCTGAACGACAAGGAGGTTAACGACAAGATCATCGTGGCTGAGTTCGATGAGGTCAAGGACACGGTGATTGAGATGTCCAAGGGAACTTTCGCCGACTTGTTCACAATGGACAAGAACCGCAACCTACACCGCACTTTGCTCGCGTACACAAACCAGATGTTTCAACAAATCACGGTGAGCCTGATTTGCCATTTTTGTTTCTCTGCGTTATGCAAAGAAGTTTATAATAAAGTTGCGTTACTATACTGACACTGGGATGACATTTTCAGGGAATCAATCTCGTCACGTACTATCTCACAGTCATCTACAGCAACCTAGGCATGTCCCAGTTCCTCTCCCTCCTCCTAGCCGCGCTCAACGGCACAGAGTACTTCCTCGCCTCCTGGCCTGCAGTCTTCCTCGTCGAGCGCGTCGGCCGGCGCAAGCTGATGCTCTTCGGCGCCGTGGGCCAGGCGGCCACGATGGCGATTCTGGCGGGCGTGGACTCGCTGGGAAGCCGTGCAGGCGACATCGCCGTCGTCGTCTTTTTGTTGGTCTTCAACACCTTCTTCGCCGTCGGCTGGCTGGGCATGACCTGGCTGTACCCGGCCGAGATCGTGCGCCTGCGGATCCGCGCACCGGCCAACGCGCTGTCGACGTCAGCGAACTGGATTTTCAATTTCCTCGTCGTCAAGATCACGCCTGTGGCGTTTAACAACATCGGGTACCAGACGTATATCATCTTTGCGGTGATCAACGCGTTTATGGTGCCGAGTGTGTACTTCTTTTACCCAGAGACAGCATGCAGGAGCCTCGAGGAGATGGACGGCATCTTCCATAAGCTGAAGCCGGGCTGGAAGGGCGTTGTTGGCGCGGTGCATCAGGCTCGGGTGGAACCGAGAAGGTATGGGAAGAATGGAGAGGTGTTGATTGATTATTCGGACACAGAAGAGGGAAGAGTACATGGGCATGGGATTCAGAAGCAAGGAGAGTTCAGCAGTGATGAGAAAGCAAGGGCTTCTCACGGAGATGAAGGTGAGGGCGGGCTGATGGGTGCAGGCTACAGGTCCAAGGGCGTCATGGTGCAGCATGAGGGTTAGAGCTGTAGGAATTGCTTCTTTTGACTAGATGGATTTATTCCATCATACAAACTATCATTTTCCTAAGACGAAGTCATTCATTTGTTCAAGTTCGATGGTCTTGTCCGTCCCATCTTCAGCAGATGAGCATTCCCCGAAACATAAAGTGCACGGAACGAACGAGACCAGCTGAGACACGTATACTTACCACTAGTCAAAGTCGCATTTTCCAGACGATAGTTCGTGGGAGAATGTATGGTCCATCAACCCAAGTATGAAGCGATTGTGCCATGTGCTCGGCCATGTCTGTCGCAAACGCCGCATCGAGGGCGAGTTCATCAACCCCATAAGCCTGACGAATAAGCTAGGCTCGTACCAGAAGCTTCCGTCCATAATCTCATCCTTGAATTTTTTAATTTTTTTTTTCGTATTTTTTCTATTTCATTTATCTCGATCTCAAACCCTCGTCTCCGACTTTTCACAGGCCCAAGCCTTGCAGAAAGGCGACAAGGGCCTCCCCACCACCACTCTCAGCAGTGCCAGCCAGAAAGAACTTCAGCCCAAACAGGTCCGAAAATTCGTCCATCTCGCCATAATACGCCAGGTAGACCTCCTTGCCAAACTGGATGAATCCAGGCACGACCTGGTACCGACCAGCCACGGCCCAGGCCCTGGCGGCGTACATGGCACCATGCGCCGTGGCGGCAGTAAAGACCCCGTTGGTGCGGTCGATGGTCAGCTCGCCGCCCTTGACGCTGATCTTGTAGCCGAGATCGCGCAGCAGACGGGTCGACGAGACGATGCCGTTGGAGGGCGTAGGGTCAGACTGGCAGAGCCAAGCGTCGATGGGCATACACGCGAAACGGGGCAGGTCCTTGTACAGAGCCGCGTCGTAGGTGGCGGTAAGTTTCGACTGCAAGTCCTGGGCGAACTTGAGCTTGTCGTCTGGCGCGGGGCAGGTCTCATGGAGGTTTGTGCATGCGTTCTCGATGATAAAACGCTCGGCCAGCCCGGTGAGCCTGTCACGCTCCACCAGGGTTAGAATGGAGACTTTGCGCTCGGCCGCGCACAAGCGGCAGTCGCAGTTGAACAAGTAGTAGCTCATCTTGCGCTTGCGGTCGATAGTCGGTTCCGTACCCACGAAATAGGCCGTGGTGATCTCCTCGCCGGCCTTGATGTCCCTGGAGGCGCGCAGGATCATCATGTCGCCGATGAAGGCGCGGCCGGTGTTCTCGAGGCACGAGTGGTTCGCGTAGGAGGCGTGCAGCCAGATGCCCGTCGATCCCTGCACCTTGGAGCACGCGCTCTCGTCCGGGAGGCGGGTCTTCACCTGGGCGCAGACGAAGCCGTTGAACTGCGAGATGACCTCCACCTGGAAGATGTCGATGATGACGGTGTCGTCGACGATCCTGGCCTCCTTCTTCTTGTAGCTGGGGCCGGCGTATAGGTCCAGGTATTTGTTGGCCAGCTTGTGGTTCCATCGCAGCTTCTCGACCGTGCGGAACAGAAGGCGGGAGTGTGTGCCGAACGTCGAGAAGTGAGTGTTCGTGTCAACCAGGAGGTCCGACGTCTTGGAAGTGTTGGACTCCATGGCTGCGCAAAAGGCCTTCTCTACCATGACTATCTCGCCATGCTTGATATCCTTGGTTGCAAAGAGGCCACGGCCATGAGAGCCCGCCAGGTCAATCTTGGTGTTGCTCAGGAAAGATGCATGATCGAGTTCCGTGTGAGAAAAGGTCGGCGAAGCAGCCATCTCGACGAAGTCGTATTCGCCCTTTTCCTGCTCCAGAAGGCGCTTCTTGGTTCGATCCAGCTCCGCATGGACGTTCTCGTCCTCGATTCCGAGAGCCTCAGCCTGCTCGAAGAAAGATCTGGCCAGCGTGAACTCTGCCAGCTCATAATAAGCACGACCAGCTCGAAATAGAGACTTGAGGTTCAACGCCTTGGACTCTTCAGAGAGGTCCTTGCCAGGGATAATGGAAGCCGTGGCATCATCGACAGCAAGCTCAAAATGGCCCAGATGGATTCTGGCCTGGGCACGATTGCGGTACAGAGTGCGACGCAGATCATCTTGCCCCTCGTCATCAGACACCATTGCCAGGCCGTCGGAGTACAGGTTGACAGCAGCTTCCCAGTCCCCTTTTTTGAACGCGTCGTTGCCCTTGTCCTTCATGCGAGATGCTCGGACGGTGACACGCCCCACCTGCTGCCATGCTGATGGCACCATCTCGTGGCTAGGCTTCAGCAGCATGCAATCCGAGGGGTGGTCAACACGAACTATGGTGCTTCTATCAGAAGAGAGCTTGTAATATGGTTCCTTGACCGCGATGATGGCGCCTTTGGGCAGGATGTTGGTGGGAAATTCTGTTGTAGGCTGGTGGAACATCGAGAGACAGTCGACGTTCCCATGGATATCTTCAATCGCGTTCAGGATAGAGCCCGAGTAGATGGGCTCACAGAATACCTTGGCCAGGAGAACCCTTCCACGATGGTGAATCTCGAGCTTGAGTTCATCGAGAGTAATGGGCACGAGGCTGCTCAGGGGCTTGATGCATGGACGATACGATTCACCGATGAAGGTTGTTCGAAGGACTTCTCCCTCTGAGACTGAGGGCAGAAGGTTGCCTAGACGCAAATCGAGGGCCTTGAAGGTGTTTCTTTTGTCAGTATAGCTATCTTGAAAGAGACCTGATTCACTAAGGAATGTGCTGCTTGGTTGGACATACCATGGTGAAGAAACTCTCCTCCAGCTTGGCGCGTGACCGCTTCAACGCGTCAGTGGGTTTCTGACCCTTTCGGCTCCTGGCCTCCAGAAGGAGATTCCTCTGCTGTCGGTATACATTGGCATGGACTGACAGAGGATTGCAATAGTCCCAGAAATCAGTAAGACGATCCATTGATGAAGAGAGCTGTTGTGATTGGCAATAGAAGTGTGTCTGGTTGTGATGATGGTAATAGAGCGAAAGTCACGACGCGTGGTGAAGGGTAAAGGTGACGTTCAAAGAGAGCAAATCAAGCTGTAAAGGAAACAAATTTCCCAGAGATCAGATGAAATAGCTTTGTTGCCTACAGCTTGCACCACCTTAATGACAAACACCTGTCTCTAAGCTGCTGCACGTTGCAGGTCTCACGTTGCAGGTCTCCTGATGCAAAACAAAAGAATGCACATCCAATATCCCAGACTGGGGTTTTCTCAAGGGCCTAGAGCAGAGTTCATCCTGCTTTTTATCACATGTTTCTCACACATAATTTCAACAAAATCTTGATCTCTAGGTCAGATCTTTGTCAACTGATGGATTCAAGTGCTGGTCCTCCCTAAGCCTTCGACTATGCGTGCCACCTCAAGGCGAAAGACCATCTTACTACGCCTATACGCAAATGAGGGCCATACTTGAAGGCCCTCTTGGGTTCACCTTATGGCTTGATAAATTTTCAACCTGTCCATCCGTTCGTCTTTATCTACTTTCCCCCCCTAGCCTGGCGCAGTAACTCGAATTGTCCAGCCACGTGGGGCAGCCCACCAACGACGCTGTGTGAGGGCCGGAGTCAGCACGGCGACTGCGGTATCCTCAAACAGTCGTCGCTCCTCGTATACCGCATTCCTATTGAGAGCCAGGGTGAAGGGCATGTCGGGATTGCTGCCAGGAAATTGGCATCGACCTTGACGCCACGTGTTAGACAGAAGGATGTCATAGGAGACGATCTCCTCCCACTCCTGGGACGGCTCGCCATTGGTATAGCCTGTGCGATAGCCAGCCTGACAGTAACTAGAGATTAGCAGGGGCTGAGAGGATGGGGTGAAACCGGTCAGTAGATGCATAGATGGATGTGCGAACCTCGACGTGTGCTCCTTTACGGGTGATGACAAACGGTCGGATGTCTGTATGATGATTCTTTTTGATTACTGAGAGATCGCACCGGTGCACGAATGTGAACTCGCCGCTGATGCGGCAGTCTAGAAACTGGCGCAGAGCACTTGGACGGTACTGGTAGAGGACGGTGACGATGATGTCGGCCCCGCAGGCTGGGTCGAAGATGAACTCAGGCTTGGTAGGGTCGGGGAGCCCACCGAAAGACGCGGTGCCGAGAGCTCCAGAGACGTCAATGATGCCCGGAACGACGGTGCCGTCATTTTGGTCTGGTCCATAGTCAAGGTCATCTCCCATCTGGCGGGGTTTGCGCAGCTCTGGAAAATTGATGTCGTGGAAGAGTATAGCCTCCATGATATCTTGATAGTATTGCGTTGTCGTTCTTTTCTTGATTGTTCTCTAGGTAGCGTAAAAGAAGAGAAAATTGCGAGAAGATGGCCCTCCCTTGAGTGTCGCATCTGGAGATGGAAGGAGGGAGAATTTTGCTAGGAACTAAGGCATCTCTTTGAACTATTGGAAACAACCCTGAAAATGGCCCGAGGGAAAGTGAAAGTGAACCTCAAGGGGAAACTGCCCCTGCCTGAGGTGTCACTCTGTCTGGGTAGTCACGTCAAAGGCTAAGGAAAACGCCCCCTTGGTGGGGTATCGACCTCATCAGCTCCCCAGCACTGTGTTTTTGCAATCACAACAAGGAGTATGTATGACAACGGAGACTGTCTTAGGTATTCAAGTTGGTAAAGAAGACTCACCGGACCAAATGTTGGTTGGGTATCAATCATTGATTAGGTAAGTCTGAAAAACACAAGGGCTCTAATCACGATGATGTTGACCTCTACACAATCCTTTCTATCTAATGGTAGCACCTGTGGACTGTATGATGCAGGTACCCGTAAGGGGAGAGGGAGGAGAGGGGAGGGGCGAGCTTTGAGGCCAGACTGCCAACCTGTTTGAAGATACCAGACATTGAAATTCCCGTCTCAATGTCGATCATGTCGTTTTCTAAGTTCTTAGAGCAGGCTTATGCACAGGTATCTTTGTTCAATCGGGAATTCTTCTTGTACTCGGATCAGAATTTAAAAACCTACATTCTTATGCGAGGCCTTTACTTGGCCCTACTCCTGTTAGCATGAACCCCTTATATACTTCAGAGACTCGAAGTTCTTGATGCTCATATAACCAGTCTCCGCACTATTAGCATTCCTAGCTTTATTGGAGTTCTTCGGACTATTGGTGCCTAGATTTTGTGGCTTGTGGCTGGACAAATGCCGCTCACGTCAATGTAGAAGCTAGCCAATCAGGAAAGCATACTTGGGGCTTGATGCTGAGAACTAGCAAGTATCACATTCTGACTCCACTGAAGAGTGTCCTATTGCTTTGCAGTTTATACGGCTCCAACTTGCGTATATATTTCAACAATTAAGTATGGGTTAAACCGAGACTTATGCTCTTCAGAGCCTTTCCCTTCGAGCTCGCCTGTTATGATGCATCCAACACACAGAACAAGCGGGGCAAAACGCTAGATCAGGACATCATTTTGGAGCCAGGCGAAGGAATTCTTGGGGAGAGAGAAAAAAAAAGGTGCATGGAGAAGCCAAAGGCTACTTCCGAATCATCAATACCTATGGCCTGTCTTACGCAAAGAAGAAAAAGTTGTCAAGAACGAGGCTGAGCAAGTCAGTCAGCATGTTTTGTGTGTCACGAGTTGTAAATGTGTCAGCAGCGTTTGCTAGCGTCTTTCCCTTTGTACGAGAAGCATCAACATCAGCTCTGGCTCACCTTACGCTGACAATTTTGCGCGGGAAAAAAACACTCAACCTCCCTTCGAACCAAGGGCTCATCTTCGTCACATCATCGCGAGGATCATTTTCCGCCGTGCAGCTGGATCTTGCTACAGTTTACCCCCTCGAAGCCTATCACGCATACGATCTCTTGACCATGAGTGAGCCTCAAGAAAACACTGGCACGTCACCCAGCCCAGGAACCTCCATCCCACCAGAAGCAATCGCTCTTGCAGGACGCATGTACGACGCTGCCAGGCAGGGCAACGCTGAGCTACTACAACAGGCTATCACGGCCGGCCTGCCCCCGAACCTGACGAATGGAAAAGGCGATACTCTGGTATGACCGACAGCTTCTTGGACACCACCCCTTCTCCTGAGGCTTGACTCCATCGTCGGTAGCTACTTATGCTGATCTTTGTTCGCCAGCTCATGCTTGCCGCCTACCACGGCCATGCTGATCTCGTCCGCTTTCTCATAGACCATGGTGCGGATCCCAACAGGTTGAACGACCGCCATCAGAGCCCTATTGCAGGCGCCGTCTTCAAGAAAGAAGATGATGTCATCGAGGTGAGTAATGCAACTTTCCCGTTTGGCACTTTGAAAATGTAGGGTTAGGGGTGCAGAATAGCCCCTGCCTTTCACTCCCTGAGATCCTTCCTTTTCCTGGCTTCTTTTTGTCTCTTCTTCTTCTTGATTCTTTCACTTTCTTCTTTTCCTGTGTCGCAGGGAGACCAGAGTCAACCACTACGGCCACAGTCTCTGCACGCCGGCATCTAACCATGAATCCTAGGCTTTACTGGACGGAGGAGCAGATCCCGAGTACGGCATGCCCTCAGCGATGGAGTGCATTGCCATGTTCAAGCAAGAGGACACCTGGAAAGCCAAGTTTGAAGCAGCAGCTGGTCGAGGCAAGGCCGGCAAAGATGCCACTGGGAACACTCCATAGTCATAGACAGGAGGGGCAGAGAAATCGAGAAAAGAAAAAAACAACCGAGCGATAAACGTGCAGGAGTTGTTATGGGCAGGCAAGTACAGGCCATCTACGTACTTGGAAAAATTAATGATAGAAAGGTCGTATAGAAGATGGTGTTCGTGAACTGGACTTCGTAATCCAACCACTGACCCTATCATCGTTTCTTTCCCCGACAACCTTCATACGCGAGCAGGAGGATGTCGCTTCGACCTGAGGGGGCGCGAATCTTGTTCTGGAACTCGCTGCCCCTCCAGGAAATATTCCCTCGGGCACGGATAATCATGACTTCCATGCTACCGTATCGCAGAACATGTTACTACCGGTTGGGCGTTTCGAGCAGGGTGGCATCTAAGCTTCTTTTGAGTTATGCTTCTCGTCAAGTTCCGGTCCGAGGCCTGCTGCAGGGGGTGTCGGCCCCGGCGAAGGAGCCAGTGCACGGCGGTGCTTCCAACTTCCGCACAGGACGCGCGATCGACGACCTCACGAAGATCTTCCACCGGGGTCCCGAATAAGCATCTTGACTTTCCCCAGATTCAGAATCAGGGGGTTCGATGTTTCGGCCCCTCATAGACGGAGGTCCCTTCAGCGTCGTAGTGCATGCGGCTCCCTGTCTTCCGCTGCCCGCCACCTCCTGGCTTCAAGTCTGCATCTGAAACACCATCAGCCGCAGCGCAGACAGAACTGGCTGGGGGCATCTTGTAAGACCAGTGACCGCCACCACCAACTTTTACCACGGACCAACGAGCGAGGACAGCGATTCTTGTAGCTGGAAGGATCTTTGAGTCTGGCCAAGTACTTTGAACAGCAGTGTTGTATGTATGGTTGCAACTCGGCTGGCGACTGACTTCCGGAGCTGGATTACCCGTTCAAGGAGGCTTGCATCTCTCAGCACTAGCTTGCTGCTGCTCGAGAGAATCGGTCGTGGTCCCAGGGGCGCGGACAACCTCAAACACTGATTAACAAAAAATCAGGCCATTTCCCACAGACGTGCCGAGAAAGATCTACCAGCTCTACCCATATGGTTATTACCAGCGATACCCAGCTGGCTGACTGACGAACGCCGAAAACATTCACTCACTCAACTCACTCACTCACTTATCCGGCTGGGCTTCTGCTTGGACAACCGAAAGTTTGTCCGATTTACCACTGGACCTTTATTCATCCAAACCTTGAGCTCAGTTCTCACTTCTCGGATTTGAGTGTCAAAAACGGCAATTGTGAATTAAGACAGATATATTCCCAAGTAAGTCTCCACTGAACATTTCGTAAGGCTCAATCGTATGTTCCTCAGAAGACATCATCCCATTGACGCCAGATCCAAACTGCAGACTTTGGTATCATTATATTTAAGGGATATCATGTTGCCTACTTACAAGTGCCCCACCATTCCAACCATCCAGGAGCCGCCAAGTGAACAACCGCCCCTGGCAGACCTCGACCATGTGCTCGATGTCGCGACAGACCAGGCCAATGAGCCACCACCGCGCGTCACCACCGCCAGCACCACCACCACGCGGCTGACCTCGACGAAGCGCGATCATCTAGGTCGCAGCAGCTATTACCGCTCCGCCTCCCCTCAGCTGCACCACTTTCTCAAGGCCAACAACAGCCCAGCCGCCGAGAATGAACTCAGCAGGGCCAGCCACGGCCGTGGCTCGCCGTCGAGCCGGCGCCGATATTCCGCTGCGGACCTCGCTCTTCTGAAGAGCAGCTCAATTCGAGCCAACACGAGCCTTCCCCTTGATTGTGAGGGTTGGGGCTTGAAGCACCTCTCGCCTTCGAGTGCAGCAAACCAAGCCAGGATTCCGTCGATTCCTGCATTGCCTCGGTCTGCTGCCTCGCATCGGCGTGCTTCTTTGTCGACAATTCCCCATTCAAACGACAAGGACGACAAGGAAGATAGAATCGATTTGGGCAGAGAGGAGAGTATTGGCTCTGGCCATGATGTGGCCTCAATTCCGCCAGCAGGAGAGGACTGGCCTCGGGGGAGAGAAACAGAGAACACGGCGGCGGAGGGTATCAGCTCTGATACTATGCTGCCACCGTCGTTAGACCTGTTGAAGGCACTGATGACCACATCGTCGTCCTCACCTACAGCAAAGAGCAACTCTTCTTCTCGCTCTTCCACCTCATCCTCAAGCAGGCGACATAGCGTTGCCTCGTCCGAGAAAACAACAGACACAGATCTGAGCCTCGGCGAGGACCACGTGGGCGCTGTGGGTGGCGACGAGACACCCATCGCACCAGCAGCCACCCAACCTCCCGAGCGTCTCAGGGCACCGCTGGACAAACATCACAGCCACAGTCCTGAACGAGATCGCTACTATGGAACTCCAGAGATGCCTCGAGGCTCGGCAAAGCTACCACACATCTCGGCCCAAAACCTGACTCCACGAGTGCCGAACCAGACGCATCCCAAACACCTGCCTCGTGCTGAGAAGCTGCCACTCTCAGGCTACGAGCTGCTCGCCTCTACCATCTCTTCATCCTCCTCCTCCGCCGCGAATCAGCGCTGCCGGGCGAGTGCTTATCCCACCAGCGCATCCTTCGGTCCGCCCCACAAGCATGGCTCGAGGCGCAACAGTACGGCGAGTTTCGTCAGCGTCTTTCCAAGTGGTGGGACCGACGAGCAGGACCACGTGGCGATCAAGCCCATCTATCGCAGGTTCGAGGCGCTCAATCATAGACTTCTCCTGCACCTGCAGGACGAACTGGGTGAGTTGGAAGAGCAGCTGCACCGGCTCGACACTACAGACACGCAAACGCGGCGGGTGCAGAACCATATCCTGCCGGCTAGCCGGAGGGCCGAGTTCCTGGCTGGTGGAGAGCTGCAGTGGCACAAGACGGATATTTTGGACAAGATCGCCTTCAAGCTGGGGCAGTACAGTGAGTTGGACTCGGACTCTTTTGTCAAGGACAATTTTTTGAGAGAAAAATTGGTGACTTCTAGAAAAGCACATCACTGACACGTAAAAAACGCAGACCACGTCCTTACATCCTTCACGGCGACGCGCGATCTGCCTGCGCCCTCGCCCTCCGACATCGACGACTATCAGACTTACCTCGCCACACGCCAGCCCATCTCCGAGGACGAGACGCGCTTCCTCGACTCAGCCGAGGACCTTGTTACCCTCGCCGCTAGCGAGGAGTGCTCACCTATCAGCAGTAATGGCTCTCCGCATTCCTCTATGCACCACGAGACGAGACCTGCAGCCCAGGAGTACCTCCAGTCTTTACATCACAACACCACTAGTGAGGAGCCCACCGTTACGCCGATACCCGGCACAATGCACGGCAACTCATGGCTTGTCCGCCACAACCGCCTCTCGATAGGAAGCCGAAGCTCCTCCGGTATCGACAGCGCGACATCGATCAGCCCGAGGTCCACCACCAGGCCGCAACCTCTGGAGCCATTGATCGCATCCCATCCGTCCGTCCTCTCGACCCAGCAGTTGATGACCTCTGCTTCGCTCCCGCCGCAGCACCATCGAGGGGTGAGCCGTGGTGTCATGCAGGTTGACCCTAGTACGCTGACAACGGAGACAAGGAAGACGCCAGAGCCTGTTGTTCCTTCTCAAACGACATCTGATGCGGCGTTGACAATGGCCGGCGCGGTACTGTTGCCCATGTTGGGGTTCACAGTCATTCCTGGCTTCGTCGGTCGCATGGCTGTTGTCTTGCTTGTCGGCTTGTGGGCTTTCAACTCGATGGCTGTGCTTGGTGTATGGCGGGCTTTTGCTAGCCGTCAGGATATCGCTCGGGATGTTGGTGCTTATGTCGCTGTGATGGCTGTTGTTGCTGGATGTATGGGCTGAAGCGGTTGTGACAAGCTGCTAGGCTTCACACTAAGATCTATACTGGACAATTTTAGCTCATCAATGAATCTTGTAATTATAACGCATCTCATGAGTTCTCAAGCGTCCTTCTGCAAGGCACTGGGGCTACGGATGCAGAATTCGGTTGTCGTTTATTCTTGCAAAAAAGACTTGACAAGGATACTTGGAGAGAGAGAGAGAGAGAGAGGGAGCGATACTGCTGGTGACAATCAACATTGAAGAGCACAAGATTGATCTGGAGCCCTGTGCTGTCTTCCGAACCTGAACAAAACCTCAACCCCTCTCAATCTTGCTTCATCGCAAGCTGTGGCATTCCTTCGAAACCTGTGGAACTGAATTTCAAAAATCCGCTTTCCAATACCAAAGCGCGAGGCGCGAGCAAGTCGAATGTTATGACATAAGTCAAAGGGGGGGGTTTTGGGCCGGGGTAGTTTTGGGCCACCCTGGCCACCCTCGTCAAATACACACACCCATATATATATATACTGTTTATCTATTCTATTCACCCACCACGATGCAATCCTCCTCATCAGTAGGTAATTCGACATCGCTCTCTTCATTCAGACTATCCTCGTGGCGATTAGCTGCGTTTTGAGCTCTCTGTATATCCTTAATCCCTGCAAACTTCGAATTCGGATCCATATCAATCTTTCTTCTTTTACTAGGCCTCAGAGCCTCAATCTGCCTTTTCAACGCTTTATTTTCCTCCAATGCCTTGGCAAACTCGAGATCCCTCTCCCCATAAGCCTTTTTTATCTTCTTGAATAGCATACGGCAGCCTGGTTCCGTTCGAAGTTGTTGCTGATTCTCTAGCAGCTGATAGTATAGCTGTTTAGCCTTTCGAGGAGTTGAAAAGAGGACTGGCTGGCTTGAGGAGGCTTTTAGGGAAAGACGAGGTGCTGTTGATTGTGCTGAGCCTGAATTGGACTGGGTCTGACGGCTTGGTTGACTGTTCTTGAGAAGAAGAGGGCTCAAGAGGGCTTTTGAGGGTCTGAGAAGCCACAGACCAGTTGCTTTCCATCCAGATCTAATATTCTGGCTTGAAAGGCTTTCCAGTTGAGCCAGACGATAGTTGCTGAGGAATAAACGCTTGCCTGCAATAGTTGAATCGCCCCATTAGCCCATATTGCTGACTTTCTTTCTGTATGCCCGTTTGAGAGATGAAAAGACCCCTAGATCGAGGGGTTGAAGAACGTGAGAGGTATGAGGAGGCAAGTAAATAAGCAGGATATTATTTTGGAAGCAAAGCCACATAAACTCGTCCGTTTTATGGCTGCCATGGCTATCCAGGACTAACAGCCTGGCTTCTGAGGGGTCTGCTGGCTGGCTATGAGGAATGAAGATCTCTTTCAGCTATTCAACTGCTATTTTATCATTTGTCCATCCGTTTTGCGTAGCTGTAAACTTCTAATCATCAAAAGGCTCCAAATCAAGAGGAAACCACTGTTATTGTACCGTTTAGCCTTTGAAAATCACCAGAGGGAAGAGGTAGGCACCTGTAGCTGAGATACACTCGAGGAAAGAAGTCCAGGCTTTTGATCCAGGGTCTTTCCTTTGAATTGAATGCGAAGAGGAGCCTCCGAGAACTAATTCATTTGTTCCTTAGCCCTCCATCAGGCTAGCTTCATCCATATTCCATCTATTAGCTGGCTTAATAGCTTGGATATAAGGAAGATTGAAAAGACGAAACCAAAGCCGTATTACCTCTGTTGTAGCCCCATTCGTTCGTTCAGAGGCAATGCGGCGAGTCTTCCTGACCTTTATCTCTGGATTTCTCTTCAAAAAAGCCTGAGTCCATTGCATCCCGAGGGCCTGAGAGTCTCCCTGGACCTCGAGGATCTGCTGAGCAAAGTATTTGAGTTCTGAATAGCTTGGTAGAATGCCTAGGCTTTCTTGAATCAGGATCCATTCGGCTAGTCTTCTTTCCTGATCAATAGAGAGCCTTTGCTGGTTTTCGTGGGCTGTTTTATGCGATTCCCCTCCTTCTAGGCGAGCCTGAAGAGTACTCCTTGGAATACCCCATTCCCTCGAGGCTTGCCGCTGAGACTTGCCTTTTCTGACAGCCTCAACGGCCTGGGCTAGCTCAAACTCGGAATAGGGCTTCATAACAGTCAGATAAAGGTTTGCTGGAAAGATGAAGTTGTTTGGATCAAAATTGGTTGAGTAATAGCTATCAAACTAAAGGGGGTTGAAGAGGCGGTGAGGGTGGCCAGGGTGGCCCAAAACTACCCCGGCCCAAAACCCCCCCCTTTGACTTATGCTCATAGGAATTCCGTCTGCGATCACTATTCCAGCTTTTGTCATCCGCTGTTGTTTTTAGCGTATTTCCGAGCTGTTTTGTCATCGGACATAACGAAAACACTGGCGGGTATAAACTACTTCGCACTACGGTAAACCAGGTTTGCCGAAGTTACTAATTCGGGCAGGGCTGTTGTCCGAGCCAGGCCGGGCCCGATGTCTGACCATGGAGCCAGGCCGGGGCCGAAGACTATGAACGGGCTTGAATTTGAATGGCAATTGTGCTGAGGACATTGCGGAAGTAGGAGTCAACATTGTCTTGGTAGACCTGCTTTGCAATGATACTTCACTTGAAAGTCAGTGAACAAATGACGAGTATAAAGATGAATGAAATCCTCACGGTCTCTGTCAGTTTCATTTCGAAATTGTATGAGCACCAACAAAAGAAACCTTAGAACTCATATTTCCACAGACAAGCAACAATCAGCCTACTCTTAACATTATTATCAACACCACACTTACAATATACTACTCTCACCCAAGCTAACAATCATGTCGACAATGCAGCGTCTCGAAGCCACCAAGCAAGGAGGCCCCTTGACCCTCGTCACCATTCCCAAGCCCACCCCCAACGACCACGAAGTCCTCATCCGTACCAAAGCCGTCGGTCTCAACCCAGTCGACGGGAAATCCCTGTACTACGGCGTCGCCATCGAATCCTGGCCCGTCGTGCTGGGCCTGGAAATTGCAGGCGTCGTCGACTCGGTCGGCCCGGCTGTCACGAGTTTTCAGCCTGGGGACGAGGTGTTTGCCTGGTCGAGTCGGTTCGGACTCGGCGCCAAGGGCGCGGCCTTCCAGGAGTTTGTAGTGGCTTTGGATAGCAGCGTGGCCAAAAAACCTGCTTCGTTGACCTTGGAGGAGGCTGCCTCGATCCCGTGAGTTGGTCCCAACCCGCCTGAGTCTCGCTTCGTTCAAGTGATGCCCACCACCAGCTGACACATTGATGAATAATCCCAAAATAGGATCGGTTTCGTCACCGCTACATCAGCCATAGTTGTCGGCCTCGGAGTCCCCCTCCCAGGCCTGGGAACCACCAAGCTCGACCAAGCCACAGCCCCCAAATCCGTCCTCGTCCTCGGCGGCAGCTCCGCCGTCGGAGGCCACGCCATTCAGCTCCTGCGCAGGGCCCTCGGCACGTCTGCCACCATCGTCGCGACCAGCTCTCCGCAGCACCATGGCTTCCTGACCAAGGAGCTGGGCGCCTCAACCTGCATCGCCCGCGCCGACCAGAGCAACGTCGACATCCTCAAAGGAACCACCCCTGGAGGTGCCGGGTTCGATGCTGTCCTTGACTGTGTCGGGGCTGTGGTGGAGCAGCCGCAGATTCTCGAGGCGTTGCGGGCCGACGGGCCCAAGTTGTTCTCAGAGGTCGTCACGGGTCTTGCGGAGGTCTCTGTGCCGCAGGGGACGAAGCATGCCAAGGTGCTGGGGATGCAGGTGTTCCAGACGGACGGAGGGGCTGACGTAATATCGTATGCCACTAAACTGCTGGAGAGCGGGGAGCAGAAGTTGCCTGTTAAGATTGAGGTTGTGGGGACGGGCCTGGATGCTGTAGAGGGAGGAATCCAGAAGTTGATGAAGGGGGTTAGTAGAACCAAGATGGTTGTGACTATTTGAGAAAGGCGTGTCTTGGTTGACGCAATTCTGAGAATAAATAAATGCAAGTCACTCGTTAAGTAATTGTATGGAATGGTGATAGTGATGTACTGGAGCTTGTTTTATGATCGTTGAGGGTGAGTGAGTGTGTGTATTGTGGTCGTTGTGCAAGTGTTGATGAGACTGGAAGCCCGAGCCTTTCCAATCCTTCAAGATATATCGCTCAGATACAAAATCATTAGTTAGGGACCCAGGCCTTGGTGAACCACACAGTGAAATCTGACATATTCAAAGTCAGTTTGTCATCGGAGAGTTCTATCATTCCGAAACGCAGCCCCCATTCCAAGTTCCACCATCGTCACTTCGATGAGCTCTGGAGTTAACACTAAACCCGAGTATACCATAGACATTTTTTTCGTTGCACTGACTTGACAATTATTTACTAGATATTGAGCTGGGCTCTGTTATCGTAATTTCCCAGTCAATGTAGAATCTTTGCGAATCAGGGCCAAGGACGTGTCTCGTACATGTGCAATTTGACAACCAAGAAGGGCCTCAGATATAGATTCTGATAAGTAAAATCTTAAACGTGTAGATGATGTACAGCTTATTCCTGTAGATTCATGCTCCACCATCGTGTAAACGCCATCTGCAGTGATAGCACAGAGGTTGGACTTAAACGGCGATAGTGTCGGCTTAATTGCGGGTGAGTGTATGCCAAGCTGTTCGAGCCAGACTGAAATATATATATAAATGCAATAACTCTTCGGGTGAACGAGAAGCGAGTAGTAATTCTCTAAGCTAGGACAATTTAGGAAAACGAAGTAGCGTCGTTGTTGTCAATATTTCTCACCAGCCAAACTATTCTATCATACATACAAAGACATCCTTTCTCCAAATCTCACCATGACGACCAATCTCAGCCACTTGTCCCTCCCCCCAACCCTGAATCCCCCTCTTACCGGCCGCGAAGCTATAGTAGACGCCGCCTACAGAGTTCTCCTGGGCTTCGACACCAACGACCCCGAACTGTTCACCTCTGCCTTCGCCGAGGAGGCCACCTTTGACCTAAGCGGCAGAGTAACCCAAGGCCGTGATGCCATTCTATCCGACCTCTTTCACGACCGGGTCAGCAAGCTGGACACGATGCACTACTTGACCAATATACGCATCAACATCACGGATGGGGATACAAGGGCTCGCATGAGTGCTTCCATGTTGGCACAACATTGCTTCGGTGGCGAGGGAATGAAGGCTGACGGGGCGAAGTACTTGGCGGGCGGGCTGTGCGTGATCGAATTCGTAAAGGTGGAAGGGGAGGCTTTGTGGAAAGTCACGAGCTGGAAGATTCACGTTCACTGGGCGGATGGCGATTCGAGTGTTGTGAAATAAGGCTGTATCCATGGCTGTATCCATGGGAGGCAGTGTTGATGTTGCTGTTGTGGCTTGTCAAGCACATAAATTGTGATTGCAATGGCATAGGGACGCATTGAACGATGAAGAAGCTTGTAATCGTGCTAGTTTTCGTTGCCTTATTCTTTATCATAGGTATTCGTGCAAGTTTCAATGGCAGATGTATCCTAACCTATGTTCAACTATCAGTGAACGACCAGGGTGTGGAAATGGGTGAGATACATCCCCAGACACCGATCCCGTCAGGGCTGCTAGAGCTGCTGCATGTAAGCCAGTTGGTACCCAGTTGTAAGCGACTCAATCTTACCCAATATGTACTGTTACTTAATGAGAAATTGACAATGAGGCCGTGGAAGTGGAGGGGGCATAGCGAGGCCATAGCTGAGTAAGAACAGGAGCTAGAGTAGGAAAGAGAGAATTACTGATGATTAAGCACTATGTTGAACTTGCATAGTTGATAATTCAATGAGGTCGACGTTTTAGGAAACCAGGGCGAAGGGCAGCGCCCTCGGAAAGAGCCGGATGAATGCGACGCAAGCCAGCCAAATCAGGGCGTTCAATGTTTATTGCTTCAGTCTTCAGTTGCCAATAAAGAAAATCTATGCACAAGATCTATTGCATCTGACTCTCGCCTCATGTCATTGGCCACGATTCAAGAATCAGATTTTATCCCCCATCATCTTTTCCTTTTTTAACATGCCTTATAAGACTAGTTGGTGGCGTGCTGCAGTGTCGTTCATCACTGGTATAGTAAGGTTGCATCGTTTCACATAAACAAGCAGATCTGCACAGATTAACTGGATGAGGAAGGTGCTTACGTGCCCTTGATGCTTGTATACGCTATGCTTATGTGCGCATCAGGTAATTTAGAGAGGTAATGGATATGAAATACAAGACTCCAGATTTACCAAACGTCTTGTCGGCTACTCGTGCACTGACCCTACGAGCTCTCTGGGCAGCATGTTCTTCAGCACAGGCTCAAAGGTATGATAATATACTTGTAACATGACCTTGCTAGCAAGAGTATTGGCGGCCACAGCGGCGGCGCTCTTTGGAGCCCTCGTAAGCCTGCTGCTCCAACATCACCACGATATTCTTCTCTCCTCCTCGTCATCAATCCCACTCCCATCCTGGCTGGCGTCTCTCCTGACCCCGCACCCACAAGCCATTGAGCCTTTCACCTGCCAGCCGCACAGCTACACTACCGAGATCATCAGCGTCGACCCTCTCCTGATCTACATCCACGACTTCCTGGCCCCAGGCGAGATCCCTGCCCTCCTCGAGGCAGGCGAGCCCCTTTTCCAGCCCTCCGGCATCCACCGCAAGAGCGGCGGCAAGGCACATAACCAGGCGCGCACCTCGCACTCGGCCATCCTCCCCGTCGACCTCCCCGCAGCGCAGTGCGTGCGCAACCGCGCCGTGTCGTTTCTAGGCACGCTCCTGACGATCCCACAGGGCGACGACGTGCTACCCTTGCAGCTGGTGCGCTACGGGCCCGGGCAGCGGTTTGACGCGCACTTTGACTGGTTCAGCGCCGACCGCCTCCCCGAGCACAATGGCGTGCTGTGGAACCGCGTCGCGACGTTCCTGCCTGTGCTGGAGGACGACTGCACCGCGGGCGAGACGTGGTTCCCCAACGTGAGCGCGCCGGCCAAGGCGGTGGCGGAGTCTCGCGCGCGGGGCGGTGAGGCGCTGTGGAGGGTGCATGAGGACGGGGGCATTGCGGTGCGGCCTGTCAAGGGCAATGCGGTGTTCTGGGTGAATCTGCTTGCCAATGGGACGGGGGACGTGCGAACGAAACATGCTGGGCTGCCGGTCGATTCTGGGATCAAGACGGCTATGAACATTTGGCCTGCGAGGTTCTTTTCTTGAGACGCCATCTTCATGTTTCACGAGGTGATGGACTGGCTTCCTTGGGATGTACTCTCGATGAGAAAATTGAGTGAGGTGGAGCGGCATCCAGATAAGACGGTTTTGGTACGACAAGATTTGTGAGACTTTGAGGCGTTGATGAGATGAGGATATGCCTGCATGCCCTCTTTCTTGAGAATGAAGCAGCAATTGTGTACTTTGAGAAAGAGCGTCAAAAGAGGGGTTATGCTAGGTATCTGAATTTGTATATTAGTTTGAACAAGGCAGCAGGGCGGCATAATGCTGGACGGGAAGCTGTAGGCATCGACTGGGGTTTGGAGAGCAGGTCAAGCGTCCAGTGTACAGTGAAACCAGCCATGACTACCAGTCAAGTATTTCACAATTACTTCTTTACGCTGAGTTCGGGCTCTGTGCTTCACATTATATCCTTCATCCGACGTTAAGCGCAAAGACTTGAGTAAAATGGCCCGAACCGGAATCCTTGATGGTAGACCTCAAATTCACTTGAGTTAAAGATACGACAGGATGTTCTATGCAGGGCTGTTCTACAGAAGGAATGGAGGCAGAGAAACCAGTCAAGTCTAGTTTCCAAGGCTATCAACGAAACACAAACACATGACCACTCAGTGCTTTGCCTTAAGAGAAGGGAAATGATCACCAAAATTCCAGCATTAAAACGACTTGCTCATGAGGCTCGGGTACTCAAGTATGTTGAACATAAGTAGTGTGCAGGCATGTCAGGCCATCTGGACAGGAATCCAAGATATAACTCAAAATGTCAGAGAATAGGGATATCTGAAATGTGCTCAATATTCCTAGTCAGGCCTCTGCTTATTTAATTTTTTAGTTTTCTTTCTTCTTCTTCTTCTTCTTCTTCTTCTCTCTCACCTCTCTCTTCTTTAAAAGCAAGACAGGATCTGAAAAGAGTATCGGGGTTAGGGGGTTGTGTGTTCCACTTTTCCACGGCACTTAGCTTGAGTAAGTGTAAAAAGTCATTGGTTATTTGTACTGTAATCAACACTGTGTACTTGGTACATACAGACGCCTGCAGCCACCACCACTGAGGTTCCTTGCTTTTGGAACAACCGACATGCGAGTGTAAAAAGATCCATATGGCAATGCGCTGCAGAGGAAAAAGAGAAAAGAGGAAGAGCTCACGAGGCCGAACTATCTGAGGCTAACAACAGGCCTGGCTGTTGGGTAGCTGGCCGGCCGTGCAGGGCCCTCGCACGATCAATCAGACTGGCTGTTCTTTGATGCAATATGCAGCCATGTGACCAACGGAGGCTCACCAGAGGCCACCCAGACCCCTTCAGCTTGTAACTCTGACATGGTGGATGACAGAGACGGTCCTTCCCCCGCCCCTCAACCTGTTCCAGTGAAGCCATCCAGAACCGCATGTCTTTCGTCTACGATCAACGAAACCTGAGACAGTCTGCAAGCCTGCAGCTGAGCCTTATCAAACACCATGCCATTCGACCCTCTGCAGGACACCCATCTCGATGCTGACACGTACAAAGAGCTTCCTCCTGGTAATTTCATCCGTTACCTGGTGCTCTCGCCGGGCAGTGGCGCCGAGCCCCTCGCCTGCGAGCTCAAGGCCGCCAGCCTGGACGGCGAGCTGGACTTCGAGGCCATCTCGTACGTCTGGGGCAGTGAAGAGAAGACCGAAGAGATTTCTTGCAACGGCAGCACAAGAGAAATCACTGCGAACCTGGCCGCGGCTTTGAGACGAGTTCGGCATGCTTCCGAGACGCGGTCGCTATGGGCCGACTCAATTTGCATCGACTAGGGAAACTAGGTGGAGAAAAGCCACCAGGTCGCCCTTATGGGGCAGATCTACCCTCGTGCCCGCCGAGTTTTGATACATATTGTCGGTGATGACGACGGCGGCGGAGTTGCTGCAGAGACTTTCGTATCATGGCTAAATGAGATAATATGTGCGGACCTGAGCGGTATGAATCTAGCGGAAGGCCATGGATTCCAACCTCCGTCACACGACCTGGAAAAGCGTCTGAGCATGGACTCGAGGATAAAGTATATCTATACGCTTATCGGGCAGCCATGGTGGGAAAGGGGCTGGGTGATCCAAGAAGCAGCGTCGGCCACTGAGGCGGTTATATTTTGGGGTCCCAGGGCAGAGATCGACTATCACGCCTTGCTCCGATGTGCGATTTGGATGAACTGCCTTTGTCTTCATCTCTTTCAGCCCATTTATCTATCGCTGCATGGGATACTACACAACTTGAAATTCGAAAACGAAGTGTTGGCCTGCAACAGTCATACTGTATGAACCAATCTTTCCTGGAAATCCTCGACTTTGCTCGACTACTTCACCTCAAGGATCCTATTGACAGAGTCTATGCCTTTCAGTCTCTGCATGCAATGGGTACTACCACTTCCACGAAAGGGGTTTCCAATACGGATTTAATCTTGCAGCCGGACTATACAAAATCGGCAGAAGCGGGGTACACGGTCCTGGCACGCCATTACCTCGCAACCGGTGACCTGGATATTTTGCGCCATGTCCAACACGATAACAACACGCTTACCGACAAGAAAGCCCCGACATGGGTTCCTCGCTGGGATAAATTCCTATATTACAACGTCCAGGGAAGCAGCTATACAGGTCTCCTCGGTCGCCGGCAGAGTTGTGACTCCCCTGCAGCTGGAGCCTATGCAAGACCAACACTGGATCACGATGTCCTCGGCGTTCAAGGTGTCCTGTTCGATCGCATACAACATGTTCATGCGCCTCTTGGGATGCTGAATGTGCCGCCTCTCGTTGTGCCTTTCTGGCAACCTCTAAGCGAAGCCAATTTTGCTTCGGCTTATGAACCTGAGGATGTTCTGTTAGCTTATTTTTACACTCTCGTACAAGGCTGTTACTCTGGAGAATGGCCTACCTGGGTCAAGGCGACTGAGAAAGTCATCAAGCAGCTAGGAAGTTCTCAGACGGCCAGACTTGAAGGCGTGCAGGGGCTCCAGGCCTCGATGCATATGGGGACATCTGGTCGAGGGATTGCGTGCACGGCAAGAGGCTACCTAGGCAATGTCCCAGCAACAGTACAAGAGGGCGATTGGTGTTGCATTGTCTTCGGGGTGGGTCGCTACACCACTCATACTCCGCGAGGTAGTCGGAGAGTCAACCCCAGAACAGCGACGGTTTCGCCTTGTAGGATACGCGTGGGTAGCAGGCCGGCAAGTACAGGTAGACTCAAGAGGTAGCAGGTGGTTAACCATGCTTGGTACCGAAGAGAGTAAGGAGTGGGACGAATGGGACGTGGAGGAGCAGATGATATACATTGTTTGAGCTGGACATGAGGCCTCTTCTACCAAGGTAAGTATTCTTGACTCCCTCGGAATCCAATCTATCTTTAATGCTCGAAGATTGACCAGATTCTCGGACGCTGCAAACCTCTCAGATACGTTACGGCTCCAACGTCTTGGGTTGAGATACAATATCAATTCCAGAATCCATATCGTGAGTGTGATAACATGATAGCATTCAATGTTGGACCAAGTGAAGAAGAGAAGCTTTATTACTTTGCATACACATCATGAACTTTCCTACTCGACAGACAAACTGCTACCCATCAATGATCATCGTACCCATCTGCTAAACCACAGCCCCTACTCTTCTTCCTGTTTACTCAAGAGCAGCCACGGCTTCCCCCCAGCCCTCCTACAGCACACCTGCCTGGCCACCATCCTCATCGCTCTCCTCAAAGAGCCCAAGCCCCTCCACCTGGACCTTCCACGGCACCCAAGGATCATCCTCCTCCGTGCCTCCCACCTGCAAGAGCCGATTCTCCCACTCCATCTCATTCAGCCTACCATCCAGCCGATCCATCGCCGCATACCACAGCATGCGGTCCTTCTCGTGCTCCATCTCCGAGACCTGCTTCACCCGCCGCGCCTTGGCCTCCTGGCGCGCACGGTTCGCAGCAACCTCCTCCGCAGCCGCCTGAAGACGGGCGATGTAAGCACCATCCATCTCTCCCTTCTTGCGAGGCGGGTAGGCCGGGGCGTCCCTCTCCGCCATGCGCTCTGTCTTGTCGTGGCGGTACTCTCGGAAGATCTCGCACCACTCCCGCACGGCGTCGAGGAGTGCCTTTCGCGGCGGCGGCGGCGGCGGCGTAGCAGGCGACTTTCCTTTGCCCCTCAGCTCCTCCTCCTCCTCCTCCTCCTCCTCCTCCTCCCGGCCCTCGCCCTCGCCATGCTCCCTCACATACGCGTCAGCATACACCCCGACCACCTCCATAACCACGCCACCACGTAAAGCAGTAGCCAGCTCGCCATCCTCCCGCCTCAGCCCGTCCAGCACCGCGTCCCAGAAATGCTCCGTCTCCAGCTCAAACGAGGGAAAAAGCCGGTGTGTCCGCACAGCATGCCGAAAGACAAGGCCCACGCGGCGTGCGACGGTGGCCTGCCTGCCTGCGCGACCGGTACGGGTCTCAGCGCCCAGGGCGCGAGCAATGGTGGCGCGGAGGGTTGGGTGGAAGGGATTGGCGCCTTTGTTGCGGCCGCGGGTGGCGGGACGGCGGAAGGTGAAGTTGGGGAGGCGGAGGAGGGCGTCGAGCTTTTGAGGGCTTACGGAGGGGCTGCGGAATGGGGATGGTGTGGACGGGGTGGTGGGAGAGGTAGAGGTAGAGGAATTGGCCGAGCGTTGGCCTCGCTGAGGGGTGGTTGGTGGCATTTTTCGTAGATACGGAGCATCCACGCCCTATTTCTGGTTGTGAAGAGTGTGTGGGTTGAGATTGTACTTGAGGAAAAGGTGAGACCAGTATAGACCAAGTGTCAAGAGAGATGGCGGTTCAGCTCAGCGACGGGTCAGGTGCTCGTCAAGGAGTTCTGGACGTTCTGGAGCGTGGAGAGCTTGTTGGAGTCGCAATGCTGTGGCCTCTTCGAGCGAGACAAAACGTCTCCTGCAGTCTTGCGTGCGAAAAGAGTATCGTATCGAGAAGCTTGGTCAGGACTAGGAAGAGTTGGCCAGATGGCGAGAAGCGCTGAGAAGACGTTTTAAGCGTTAATGACATATGCAGAGAGATCCCTGAGGAGTCTATCCATCTAGACTTCCTATACTTTGTGTGCCACCAATGACTTACTTCGCGTTCGTATCAAAGATGGAACAAAGCTACATCGACGAGCGTGTACTGGGCGTGCGAGAAAGAAAGTCGAGCGTGTGTCAGAACAAAGTCATTGTCAGATGGCGTCTTCACAGGATAAAAAGAAAAGGAGAAGAGGAAAGAAGATCCAGGTCCAGGTATTGGCTTGAAAGGCCAGCCAGGTGAATACACCATCTCTCACGACAGACGACACATCACGACACCAAAGCCCCATCAATGGTCTTGCACTGACCACATTGACGTTTCGACCACAATGTAGCCCCGTCACGACACTGTAAGCCAGGAAGAGGTTCATAGCTCATGGCTCAATAGCTTCAGCCTACCAGCCATCTGACATGCAAGCTGCTCACCAACTGTCTTTGCTGGCAAGGCCAGAATCAATATTCTGAGATTAAATGAGATTCCTCACGCTACTGCCTGATATTGCGAACAACCTGATACTCTGTTTGCCAAAGCTGCTATTGTGTGATCCGATGATTCACTGGGATAAATCGGACATTGTGTTAGACAATGGTAGCCTTAGGATGCAGAGGCGAGCAGGGGAAAAATGTTGGAACCAAGTGTGTTCCCTGTCTACTTAGGCAGGCTGTGGCATTACTGGAGAGGAACCAGCTCGCCATGGTCAAGGTAGAAACATCAAAGAGAACGTCGAAAAAGTATACTTTACAGGATTCCTCGAGGAGGCAAGACACACCAGGCAAACAAGGATGCTTATAAGACCCTTGTATTTGATCTCAAGGTTCATATGTAGGGCATAACGCAGTCAATCGCTGTTCAGAGTACCACGCTGTGATAGTTGTCTTCTCGATCGGATTTGAAGTAGTATCTCTGATGGACCAGTTCCATCATTTTGTCCCAAAACTCCTTCGCTATGCTCTGTAAAGGCAGTACAACGAGAACGGCAAGCCAGTGCCGAACAAGAGTGCCCCGGGACCCGGCTTCAGCCCCCCAAGCACGTCCGCTTGTCAAAAACTGGAACAATCGGCTCAGTATGCTGCAACGTGCTGCAACGAGACAGCCCAATTCAATAGAAGGCGACAGTTCGTTACCAGTAACCATCACGGGATGTCCACTTTACTCTGGAAGCTCCGTGGAATCAAGGTGAGATGATGTGTTTCAGCCAGCCAAGGGTAGAAACACAACAACGCCTTGCCCTGGACAATCTAAGGCTTATCTTGACTGGCGGTCCGCGCCTGAGTTTGGACCGGTGCCTGAAAAAAGCCGGCTGCTACTTCCAAGAGTCGTAGAATTAACGACTGGGTTAGCCAGAAGATCAAGTTGATGCACCAGTCCAGCCCAAAGTCTAGGACACGTTATGCCCAAAGTCTAGGACACGTTATGCCCACCCTGCTACCATTTTCACTGCGTGAAGAAGCTGACCGAAAGTTGCAAAAATGAAAAACACCGTGGGAGTTCGGGCCAAAGTCCACGTAGCAAGAACGGGCCTGACACAAGTGTAAGGTAGGAGAGGACTCGAGGCGGGACCAAGTCGGAAAATTATTTCCTCGACTTTGTCCGTAAGTCCTCGACGGTAAAGTCCATCTGACTGGAGTGGTAGACATGCCCCGTAGGGTGTACGGCATCCGTGTACAGGTTGTCGAGGCTATGTGGATGGAATGTGGCGGACTGGGTGCAGCGCAGGATATGGTCCAGACCAGGTGGGTTGGTAAGACGGAAGATGCCGAAGCTGCAACACACTCTGTTAGCTAACTGATGTCCTGGTAAAGAATTGAATGCAGAGACGCCGCCCATTACTTACGAGGGCTCAGATCTAGGGGCGCAGACGATGGCAATGCTCTCGGGCATCATCACCTGGTAGCCCGACTGGGTGTGCATGTCTCTGGAGCTCATGAAGCAGGACTGCGTTGGGTGGGTGTGGATCCAACCGAACACCATCAAGTCTTCCTGCATGCAGAACTCCATGACCGCCTCCTCATTGTCCGTCTCGCACGTATCAGAGGTGCAGGTCTGCTGCGGGATGACCAAACAGCTGATGAACAAGGCATTGTTGACAGCGGTACCACACAAGATGCCACACATCTCCAGTCCCTTCCGGGTGTTTGGCCCTGCCAACCGGAGAAACTCATCACGGAGACCAGTGGGGAGAAAGATGGACCGGAGTGGGGTGCCGTTCTCGAGGTATGCGGCAGGCCGAAACGTGTATCGCTCACTTGCCTTGTCCGCCTTGTTGTCCATCTTGGGTGGTCGTTCTAGAGCCGTGACAGGCTCGGCTGATGGTGCTGGTGGGGCCTCGTACGGGCTATAGATGGGCTCCTTGCTGGGCCGTGGGGGGGCTGGCTCCAATCGATACGCAGAGGCAGATGGTAAGCCGTTATGTTTGGGTGGGCGAGCAGGCGGATGGACGACGGGGCGATGGTTATAGGTATCGTCCGCAAGGCTGTTCTCGTACTGGTGCGAGGAGGTTCTGGAGATGGACGGGTAGCTATACGATGGTGCTCGATCGTAGAAGTTGGAGGTGCTGGATTGAGAACGAATACCGTCTGGGCTAGGTGGCTGCCGGGCCTGGTCGGCCTGGTCGAGCCTGCGGCGCACGGCATCCATGTTGAGCCTGATGTCACCATCATCGACGCTTCTTTTCCTCGTTGCAGGCGCGTCCCAGTTATCCCATAGACCCGCGGTCCGCCTCTGTTGCTCCTCCTCTTCTGAGATTCCGGCCTGGCGGGTCGCCTTACGAGCCGCATCGCGCCGTCTGATCTCTCGGTTCGCCAGGTCTACCGCAAGTTCTTGATTGTCATCTGCATCCAATAGTTTGGCGCGGACTCTGGGGTTCCATGACAGTGCTGGATCCTTGGAAGCACGCTTCGCAAAGGAGGATTTCTCCCCATCCAGATGAGTTGAGGCATCCTGCTGAGTCTCATGGATCTTAACCCATTCATCGTATGCAGCTTTCAGCTGAGGGTTGAGCTCAGACAGGGTCTCGAGGACAGGTTTTGTTCTGGCTCTAAGGGCCTTCAAGGTATTCTTGCCCTCTGGGTCTTTGGCTTCAGGGTGTGTTGGAATGTATTTGATCACGAGGGTAGAGAATCGGTAGAGGAGGAGGTAGGCCTGGGCCAGGTTGCCATCTCGAACATATGCCTTGCCCTGTTAAAGCTTGTCAACAGAATGCACAGTAACTTCGATGAGCATGAAGGAGAATGACAGCCATCAGCAACGATGGGGGACATACCTGGCGGTGGAGTGAGTCTGCAGCGCGCAGCCAATGTTTGAAGGGGACATTGTTGCTGTACTTGAAATTGTTGGCCTCACTCGTGATCTCCTCAATGCTCAGGGGCCTGTCAGGCAGTGACCAGGTGGTGTTCATTTTGGCGATGCTGTGTTGTCTGGTGCAGAGCTACAGGAGGGCAGGCAGGACTTGTCGTGATGGCCTGTGGTAGCCTTGTGGTAGGCCCATGAAAGTGACGTCGTGTGCCCTCAGAAATGCAGGGGCGAGACCATGATGTGGGGGAGGCAGTCTTGCGGCACCTCTTGGAAGTCTGTACGATACAGTAAGGTCTGGTTGTGTAGGAGAATATCCTCCTGGTGGTGCTCGGGCAGTGAGGAGAGGTGCTGACGACAACACAAGGAAAATCTGGAGGGGTCTTTGCTTCTCTTGGCTGCAGTTTGTTTACGATTCGTATTCAAATGTCATGGCAGGCACCAATGGGCCTGGGTTCTTTAGGCTCCTGCAGGTCAGGCGCACATGGCAGCCGTCCAGAGGGTTAGCCTTCCCGGCTTTCGAACCCCACCATGGAGCAGCCCTGTCGAGCAAGCTGGCTTTGGCGGGGGAGCTTCTCACTCCAGGGGGCCTGATGATGACATAAGCAATCAAAGAACCTATCATTGCAAGCACTGTGACAAGTGCACTATAGTAGGTAGCCCCATCGTTGCAGCAGTACGTACCATGGTGAATGCCCTGAAATAGAGACTAAGGACCATGAGATGCTGGAACGTGGCTGGCTGAGAAGTACCCCTCTTTTCAAAATCGCACTCAACGTGTACTCCTCTTCGGGACCTTCTACTCATGAATAGCTTTCCTACTGTTAAGCTCGCTACTGTTTTAATTTAACTTACAGTCCCGTGTCCCAAGTATCTACGTGAGATAGAAAGAGGCCCAAGTACGACTAAACAAGTTTCAAGTGCCTGCTTGGTGTGTATGGAGGCTCTGCTCTGGGGCTTTAGCTGAGGGGTCACTTATTGAAGGCACACTGAAGACTACTACTGGTAGTGGCTTGATGACTCGCACATAAAACCCCAGGGTGGGTGACTGGCAGACTACCCCTTACCAGCTCTACCATTGCCACCCATCATCATAGACACAATACTAGGAGGCCAAGACCAGAGGAAGAGAAGGAAGTGAGAGAAAAATCTCAGCGAGACAAAGAGAAAAAAAGGCAAGGGGAGAAAAGTTTGATGCAGAGAAAAAGAAGAAAAGAAAAGAAAGGGCTTCGGACCCTCCGCTGGCTAGAACTTGCCGTCGCTAATCTCCGCCTCGGGATAAGCCGGAGCAGGAGCCCATCTCACCCATCACGTCTCACCCCGTGCACTAACACACCACCCGCCGTCATACTGGACCAACTCCTCAGCTGATTATCCTGACATGTTGTCGCAGGGTCGCACACCCCCCCAATCAACCCCCTTCCACCAATTGCCGGTCCCCACACACGACAGTCGGGCTAAGGGGCGAGTTAATGTTCCAGGCGCTATTGCACATCCACCTTACAGAAACCTTCCAAACCTTCCTGGCAGGTGGCCGTAGTCTTCCGATGGGGGCCCAAATTCCACGCCATCCCGTCTTCCCGCCTCGGACCGTGGTATTATCGTTGATGATGGGAACTTGTTGATTCCCGTTGATCCACCTTCCCTGGCCGCGGGCGAGGCTGTAAGGCTGAGTGAGGATTGGGTCTAGGATAAAAAGGTCGTGCTTCCTCGAGGTGTTCTTTCACTTGCGTCTTGTCGATAGCCAATATCAACTCTAGCATCTTCATTCACACCTGAATCCTACTACTGTCACTCGACCCTAGTCACCTACTACTCTTATACCTATTACTATACTACCAACTCACTGCCAAACTGTAACAAGTGTTTATCAAATTCAAAAAAACACTATCATGGCTGCCGATCTGGATGTTCAGTGTCGATGTAAGGACAACCCTCACGACCATCACCCTCACTTGTATATACTGCCTGCTCCCAGTGCCAGTACTAACTCTTCACTCCCGCCACAGCAATCATCGAAACCTCCTACCCTCTCTTCGTGATCCACACCAACCACGTCACCACCCTCCCAGACACAACCATCTTTGCCCTCTGCGAACAAGTCTACAACGCAGCCCTCGCCAACCTCTTCCCTCACTCCGCCACGCACGTTCCTACCCTGCGTGCCATCCTCGCCGCCACCTTCGACTCAGACCACCGCGCCTTTGTCCTCGACGACACCTCCTCCCCCGACACCCAGCGCATCCTCGCCGCCCTGGACGTCGACTCGCGCGGCTGTCTCTTCGCGCAGGCCATCGCTGGCATTGTCAGCGTCCTGCGCCCCATCGCCGCCTGCCTGCCCCCTCTCTCAGAGGAGGCCGTCGCCGCGAGGCTGCAGCATTTCGCAGAGAGCGACAAGAGGCGGGCCATGCTTGCGGCTGTGGAGACAAGCCCCGTGTGGTCGGACTGTTTCGAGAAGGCCCAGATTGGGCGGCTGATCATGCGCGCGGTCGGCCTGGAGGACGATGGTGGTGATGCGCTTATTGAGGGTATGGAGATGAAGAAGGACGCTGCGACGGCGACGGTGTCTGTGGTGGAGGTGGATGATATCTACAACGAGCCTGCGTTTAACGACGGGCCGCACCCAACACGGAACCTGGGTGTTCCTGATGTGTTTACGATCCTGGCGCTCAACTAAAGAAGAGGGGAAATCGGCGGGGGGTTGACGACCAAGACCGAGATATGTGTGTATATCTCTGGGTTGGTCGGCTGACCAGCCCGTGAAGAAGGATATACTTGGAAGGCGTGCACATTTCTGTTTTGGAATTGCAAGGGACATGGGGCGCATGGCACCAAGACCAGGCTGCATTTCATACATAGCGATGGGGTCTTTTTTCTTCTGTCCGGTCATGGACTCAAGGCGTCCGGGTTTGACCTTTACCTTAGGAGGAGGTGGGATCCTCTCAATGATATGAAATCTTTTCTTCTTCCCTCTTCCTCTTTCCTGCATATGTCTGTCCAATGTGCTCGGATGCTATGCCTGGCCCGTCTTGTTGGTAATGTGAGAACGCCGCGGACCGTATAGCTCTTCTCTTCTCCCAGAAAGGGACCCCGCCGGCAGTTAAGGGCGGTAGGTGCTCTTTTGCTGTCAGGTATCCTGTGTCCATCTCGCCATCCTCCCTCACTCAAGCCGTTGCCGCACCGGCAGGCGGCGCTGCACCAGCAGACTGGGCACTCGACTGAATCTTGATGATCTCGGCCTTGATGTTCTCGATCTTCTCCTGGACCTCTTTGATCTGAGCCTCCTGGCGATCACTATTCCCCGACGTCCCATCAGCACACTGTCAGGATTCAAGAGAAAAAAGAAGCATCAAAACTCACATCTCCTTCCCAATGAACTCCAGCCGCCCGTTCACTGTCCCCTCGGCCTCGACCTTGTCTTGCTTGAGCAGCACGGGTCCGACGAGCTTGTAGATCTCCTCGCCGTCCTTGAGCTTCTTGAACTCGCCTGACACGCCAAGGTTCTCTGTCTTCTGGGCCTCGAGTTTCTGGCGGGAGGCGATTGTCGTCTGCAGCTCTTTTGGGAGGGAGTTGAGATGGGTCAGCAGGGGGGTGGGCGTGTGAAGCATGGAGGGAGGACGTACCAGATTGGAGCTTTTGAAACTCTTCAGAGAGAGACTGCAGTTTCGCTTGTATCTCTGCCATCTTTTCTGGTCTCTATATTGTGTTACACACACCCACTAGATTCGACAGGTTATTTGGTTCGTACGAACTCGGTTCAGTGGTCCTCAGCTCTGGCACCCAAGGCTCTGAGCTCACTGCTGATCAGAGGTGAGAGTAGTGCAGCGAGACTATGAGGTCACTTGATGAGATGAAGGAAGGCAAAATATAAGTATGGTAATGGGAGAGAAGGTTGCAAGTGAAAAGAGTCGGTTGCTCTGTGTTGAGTTGAGTTGCGAATGAGCAGTAAAATCGAGCGTTCACTACAGTCCAGCCCAAAATTATGACCGGGGGCGGTAGATAGTGTGTACTTCCCTTAGGCGCACAGGACGTGATCTCGTACGAGATCTTACACGAGATTAAGTAGAGAACTTGTGACATAAAATTGACACCAGTAAGTAAAACTGATGGTTCTAAATTGATTTTCATAATATTGTATACATAAAAATTCTACGAGGCGATGTCAAGTTCAAGACATCTTTCCAGGCCAAGGCCAATATTACCCAGCCAGCCAGTGCACATATGTTTGGTGAAATTACTACAGCAAAGTTCCAGGGCCCAGGCCCAGGCCCGGGCCCAGGCAGGCAAAGAAGCATGGCAACGTCACTCCTCGACCCCGCCAAGCCAGATGGGAAAAGGTAGCGGCGCTTGCCAAGGCTGATAACACACCTTGCCTGCAGGTCAACAACGACCAAGGCACCTAAAGTGACGATACGGCCATACACTTCCTTTGCCCTCCTTTACCTCCCTCAACCACGAGCTCTACAGAAGGCAGCCAGCGTCAATTTGTACGACCATCGAGTCCATCACAGCAGCAGCCTCACTGGCACTACCAGCTCTGTGTTGCTATCTGCGAAGCCGACACAACACACGAACGATCACGGAGCCCGCTTCACCCCTCACTTGGACCGTCTATCTCCCCTCGATACAGACTGAACCACCCCGTCCTCAGACTCCTCGACCTCCTTGCAACCATGTCCAACACAGACTTCCTCTCCCGCGCCATCGAGCAGGTGCGAAAGGCGATCGAGGCCGACAATGCTGCCCAGTACGACAAGGCCTACCAGATGTACTACCAGTCACTCGAGCTCTTCATGCTGGCCTTGAAATGGGAGAAGAACCCAAAGTCCAAGGAGATGATCCGCCAGAAGACGGGCGAGTACATGGACCGCGCTGAGAAGCTGAAAGCTCACCTGTCCGACTCAGACGCCAAGCGCAAAAAGCCAGGCATGCTGGGCGCTAACGGCTCCAGCACCGGCGGCACAGGCAAGGGCAAAGGAGGCGATGGCGACGGCGATGGGGGCGGCGCTATCGATGAGGACTCCAAGAAGCTGAGGAGCGCCCTGGCCGGCGCCATCTTGCAAGATCGGCCCAACGTCAAGTGGGAGGACGTCGCAGGTCTCGAAGGGGCGAAAGAGGCCCTGAAGGAGGCCGTCCTGCTTCCCATCAAGTTCCCCCAGATGTTCCAGGGCAACAGGAAGCCGTGGAAGGGTATCCTGCTGTATGGGCCGCCGGGTACGGGAAAGAGTTATCTGGCCAAGGCGCTGGCGACCGAGGCCAAGAGCACGTTCTTCAGCGTGAGCAGCTCCGACCTGGTGAGCAAGTGGATGGGCGAGTCGGAAAGGTACGTCTTCTAACCACCTCCTCACATCCCATCCATCCTCGCCTCCCTCCCAAGGGCGCTGACGATGCTAATACTACGACATCAACAATTAGGCTCGTCAAGCAGCTCTTCAACATGGCCCGCGAGAACAAACCCTCCATCATCTTCATCGACGAGGTCGACGCCCTGTGCGGGCCCCGAGGCGAGGGTGAATCCGAGGCCTCGCGCCGTATAAAAACCGAAATGCTGGTGCAGATGGACGGCGTGGGCAAGGACTCGACTGGCGTCCTGGTGCTCGGCGCTACGAACATCCCCTGGCAGCTCGACGCCGCCATTCGCCGCCGCTTCCAGCGCCGCGTGCACATCTCTCTACCCGACACCGCCGCCAGGACGACCATGTTCAAAATCGCCGTGGGCGACACCAAGACGAGCCTCAAGAGCGAGGACTACCGCGAGCTGGCCAAGCTGAGCGAGGGCTACAGCGGCAGTGATATCGCCGTCGCTGTGCAGGATGCGCTGATGCAGCCCGTGCGAAAGATCCAGCAAGCGACGCACTTCAAGCCAGTATGTTCTACCGTTCTAATCTGTTCCATACCTTCCCCCCCCACCCCCCCAACCCTTCCTGAAGACGCTCGCCCTCTCATGGACTCAAACTGACACCCTATCTCTCTTCGGCAAGGTCACGGTGGACGGCGAGAAAAAGGTCACCCCTTGCTCCCCAGGCGAGCCCGACGCGATAGAGATGACATGGGAGGACGTCAGCACCGATGAGCTCCTTGAGCCTATCGTCGACTTCAAGGACTTTATCAAGTCCGTCAAGTCGTCAAGACCGACCGTCTCGCAGGAGGATCTGACAAGGAACGCGGAGTGGACAAACGAATTCGGCAGTGAGGGCGCATAGAAGAAGGGAAAGAAAAGCGGCAGGATCCCAAAAATAAGCAGGAGGGGGGAGGGGGTCAAACGGCGACCAACTGGGCATCAATCACAAAGTGTCGGGCGTGCGGCCAGTGGTGATATACGATACCTTATAACCTGACTGAAGCAAGCAAGCAGACTCAGGGCGTCAAGGCGTTTTCTTTTACTTTTTTATGTTACAATTTCTTTTATGCATAGGAACAGGATGAATGGGGTGGGTGGAAATGGAAGAGGGTAAGGATAGCTTTGCGCATAGTTGGGGGAAAAAGCGTCTTGTTTGTAGATACGCTGTGGAATGACAGTAGTTCTGAACCGTCTATGTCGTCCCCTTATTTGATTCTTTTAAAATTGATTCGGTTGAATCCTACCCAGGCACATGCACCAGCTCAGCAGATCAAAGAATGGACTTCAAGGTAGTGCCGCCTTTTCATTGCTTTTGCCTTCTATCATACGACCAGAGACCGACCTGGCCTCCAGTAATCATGACGATCTCAATGATCTGCCCTGGGTATGAAGACTGATGATGGTACACAAAAAACTTCGATCCCCTGCCTCCCCCAACTTCACGACACTCCCCGCAAAGGCATTCAATTGAATTGAGAAAAAAAGAAAAAGAAAGAGATCCAGGAACGCCGATGCCAAAGTTTTTTCACCCGCAACCCTCTTAACTCCAGCCAACAGAGACGGACGACGAAAATAAAAGAGGTGTGAGATAAGCGACGATAAATGAAGAAAGAGAGGGGCAAGGATGGCGTGGAGGAAGAGAGGCAGAAGAAGATTGAGGCAGCGCACACATTAGGCTTTGGTTTTCTTCTTCAAAGAGGAAGCCTTGCGCGCTTTGGCCTGGGTGGCCTTCTCCTTCTTGGCCATAGCCAAGTGTCTGTGTCTCTCAACCATCCGCTTCCTTCGGATCGGGGTGTCCTAAGCCTCGACCTTCTTGTCCTTCTTCTTCTTCTTCTCCTTCTTGTCGTCGTCACCCTTGTGCTTCTTCTTCTTCTTCTCGGCCTTGTCTTCTGCTGGCGCGGGCTCGTCGATGTCCATGGCGTCGGATTTCCTCTTCTTGTCCTTCTTGTCCTTCTTGCTCTTCTTGGCGCTGCTGCTGCCGTCCTCCTGCTTGCCAGGGTGCACATCAATCATCTCCGTATCGATGGCGAGATCATCGCCACCATCGCCCAGGATCGCCTTCATGGCGTTGCTCATGGCCTCCTCGTTCTTGATGGGCTTCTTTCCAGTGGCGTAGAACTCGAGGCGGTCCTCGAGCTGCTGCCGCAAGACCTCGCCGAAGCGCGCGGAGGGGTGCTCGGAAAAGTTGTCGATGCGCGAAGCGATGCTGCACTTGTTGGCAAGGTATCTCGAGATGCGGCCCTTGATCTTGGGACCAGCGCGTCCGATAAACGACGACTGGTAAATCAGACCGTACTTGGGGGTGGCACCCTTGGTCTTAAGGGCGCGGAAGAGAGCCTTCTCGGCACCAAGGATCTGGAGGGTAGAGGCTGGGTATTTGGCGAGGTTGGTCAGGGAGCCGGCGTGGGAGATAAGTCTGGCTGCCACGGGCGTGCCAAGAATGCACTGCAGGTTGGGCGCGACGTCGCCCATCTTGTCGTCCAGAGACTTGGACAGCGCCTTGCGGTAGTCTGCCATCTTGCTTACGGACTCGGCAAATGACTTGACCATGACCAGATCCGTGTCGGTGATGTCCATGCCCATCGACATCCTCGCTGCGTGGATGATATCCTCAGCCTTCTCGCCGTCGTCGTCCACCACAGCCGCGATGTCGTGCAGCTTTTCATCGTTCAGAGTCTTCTTGTTGCCAATGGCCAGCACCATTTTCGCGTAGGTAGCATTGTCCGACACGATCCTGATCAGCTCGGGGAAGTGCCAGCCGTACCACTCACGCACACGCATGCAGCCCTGGTTGATACCCTTGTCAAGAGCATCGAGCGTCGCAATGGCCTGGATAATGTGGTTGTCGTTCTTGTGGACGGAGAACTTGACCTTGGCGCGGGAGTAGGCGTGGCCCATACCCAGCTGCGCACGGCCCAGATCACCATCCTGCAGGCCCTTGAGGAGCTTCTCGGCATGCACACGGATCCCTCGCAGCAGGTCGGCGACCACCTCGCTCGTGTCGCTGGTCTCGCACTCAACACCCTTGAAGGTGGAGCTGATCTCTCCCGCCAATTTCTTATCTTGTACACCGAGAACGATCTTGGACTTGTGGCCGGATGTCTGCGGGAGGACGAGCTCGAGGACGGACCTGAGGGTGTCGGGCATGATACCCTCAGAGATCAAGTTGATGTTTTCTAAGGTCTGCGCTGCATTTCTGGAAGGGGGACATTGTGTCAACTGGGTGGAAACATTTTCATACGAATTCTCTGACGCCAGCAGTCAAACGTACTCGTATGGCTTGAAGCTCTCAAGCTTGACATATTTGCTGAAAGTTGCAAGGTCGCTCAACGAGTTTTGAACCTCCTTGAGCTGCAAGCCCACGCTGTCAGCCTGGTTGACCACCTTGAAGACAGCATAGCCAGCTGCAGACTCATAGAGTAGATAGTTGATGTTGGCCATCTTGTCGAATATCTCCTGGCAAGATGGTGATTCCAGCCGATAATTTGCTGCTGGAAATTCTGTTGGTAGGTTTATCGGCGCGGGATGTCAACTCGAGATTTTTTTTCTTTCTTTCCCTCTCCCACTCCTAGCCGTAGGAAGGAAATTTTGGAGTTGCAGGGGTGGAGCAAGGTTAGCACGGACCCCATGTTGAGGTGGGCATCCCTGTCCGGATATCCTGTATCTTCACCAGCTGGTAAGCAGCCGTCAGTAGCACCTGCCATCTGGTGGCGGGCTGCAGACGTCAGTAGAATTTGCCCCCCAAAGCTGCTGCATAGAGGACACAGCCCAGCAACTGGAGAGCTGGCTGTTAAAGGAGCTCCTCACTAACCCAGCCACATTCATTCATTCGTATTCACAGCATCAGAAGTGAGAGTTAGCAGCACAATGGCTAGGCACTGACCTCCAGGAGGGAGTCACTTCTTTTACCAAGAGCACCATGACAAGCTGAATTGTGGACGGCGCAAAAAGATGGCCCATCTTGCGCGCACACAGCATGTGCATCCGGTTGACATCATAGCATGAAACCAGGACACGTACAAGCCATTTTGTCTGTGTTTGCTGGCAGTCATGGAGTCTTCTTTTGCCTTCTGGTCACAACTGAGAACCTTGCCTCTCATATGACTGGACAGGAACCTGGTCTTGCTGTTACTCCTGTGTCTGCAACGTCACCAGAAGAAGCCAGCAACACAGTCAACGACCCCGCAGACGAGCTGAGCTGAGCAAGGGCAGCAGCGTTCCAGGTACATCAGGGTAGGAAAGAAACAATCCCATTTCTGAAAGGTGTTTGTAGTACAATCACATTGTACAGCGTTCTACAGGAGGATCAATCTACTATGTACTGTATTTTGCCTTCCTCTCAAGCAGATCCTTGGCATCTACCACCGCCCCCCTCTGACGCCCGTTCTTCATGGATCCGATGCAAAGCCCCTCTTATTGCTGAGCCACAATATCATCTCCACGTATGACACCCTCCCTACCAAGCGCGTCCACCTCTCTCGGAGTCTCAAATTCACCTTGCATACCGAAATATGCCACCTAGAGGCAGCCTACTCCCCTGGACAATTTTCTTTATAAGCTTCACAGTGTTCCTCTTCCTCACAAACGCCCAACCACAAGAACAACAACATCAACATCAAATCCCCATTCTACAATTTGAACATACTCTTGACGAATATCAATACGAAGGCATCGGTGACCCCCTCCGCCAACAACAGCTACAACAGCAATACATAATGACCGCCACCAGGAGCCCGCGTAGTGTCGTCTACTTTGTCAACTGGGCCATCTACGGCCGCAAGCACTTCCCCTGGGAGCTACCCGTCGAGAATCTCACACATGTTCTCTACGCCTTTGCCAACGTCCGCCCCGAGTCAGGCGAGGTTTACCTAACCGACTCGTGGGCAGACCAGGAGATACATTGGGACGGCGACAAGTGGGAGGACGGACACAAGCTGTACGGCTGCCTGAAGCAGCTCAACCTCCTCAAGCGCCGGAACCGCAATCTCAAGGTGCTGCTGTCCATTGGTGGGTGGACGTACAGCTCCAACTTCAAGGGCGGCGCAGGCTCCCCGCAGAATCGCGCCAACTTTGCCCGGTCGGCAGTTAAGCTGCTCAAGAATTATGGCTTCGACGGGCTCGACATCGACTGGGAGTACCCGTCCAACGCCCAGGAGGCCGCAGACTGGGTCGCCCTCCTCAAGGCCTGCCGCGAGGAGATGGACGCCTACGCCCACACCCTGCCCTCTTCTACCCACGGCCCTGGCGGGCGGCCTCACCACTTCGAGCTGACGGTCGCGTGCCCGGCGGGCCCACAGACCTACGAGAAGCTCGACCTGCGCGGTATGGACCGGTACCTGGACTTCTGGAACCTGATGGCCTACGACTATGCCGGTTCGTGGGATGCCAATGCTGGTCACCAGGCGAATCTGTATCCTGCCAGGAACAACTCACTCGCGACGCCCTTTAGCACCGCTCGCGCCCTGGAGTACTACACGCGGTTCGTGGACATGGACAAGATCGTTCTGGGCATGCCACTATACGGCCGCGCGTTTGAGAACACCGCCGGCATCGGCAAACCGTACAGCGGCATCGGCGAGGGGAGCTGGGAGAGAGGTGTATACGACTACAAGGCACTGCCGCTGCCGGGTGCGAGAGAGGTGCGGGATGGCGAGGCCGGGGCCAGCTACAGCTACGACGACAGCAAGAAGATGCTGGTCAGCTACGACACGCTGCCGATGGCCAGGGAAAAGGCCGAGTACATACGGAATCACCACCTGGGCGGGGCTATGTGGTGGGAAAGCTCGGGGGACAAGAAGGGCAACGAGAGCTTGATTGGAAATGTCGTGGATGTGTTTGGCGGGGCGAGAGGTTTGAGGTGGGAGGAGAACTGCATAGAGTATCCGGAGAGTGAATGGGAGAATCTGAGGAACGGGTTCCGGGAGTAGCTAGCATAAGTCAGGCAGACTTCTCTGGAAATTATTAACCACTTTTAATGCTGTTATCACCACCACTCCCTAAGCTGACATCAATACTCCTGTTCATGGCGAGAATAATCTGGCCTGACTGGGTATTGACTGGTGGTGCAGTCGTTCACATAGGTACAGATCGAGGCTGAGCCTGAATGAAAAAGGAAACCAGAAACAAAGTTCAAATTAGGCAAGGGTCGTAGAGAGATGACGAGCTGAGCAACACATCGGAACACATATTACGCACGAGAACACAGATGATGTTGAGACCTTGACCATCAAATTTTGGTATCCCATTTGCCGCCAGCCAGATAAAGAGACTTAGACGAGCCTATCAAATATCCCTTGACACATGATGACTTTCTCATGTCCTTTTGCCCAGTGATGTGAGCAGCCGTGAAAAACTTTTCCCATTTCCCATACTCCGTCCATCGTCAACCCAAATCGTGATTATTTGTCGAATTGTTTAGGAAGACTTCTCGAAGACGTAGGTCAGGTGGCAGCGACCGCAGTACTGACGGTCCTTGTGGGCAGCCATGAAGACACCAGCACCGCACTATTGCATTGAAGAGGTATGATTAGCACCCGAGAATAAATTCAGGGAAGTAATGTTTGAGTAGATAAAAGAGTGTGTGCTTACAGATTCGTTGGGGCACTCGCGGCGGAGGCGCTCGATCTTGCCGTCCGAGTCGACCTTGTAGTACTTGAGCACCGCCAGCTTGGTCTTCTTGCGCTTGTGCTTGATCTTCTTGGGGGTGGTGTACACCTTCTTCTTTCTCTTCTTGGCGCCACCACGCAGGCGCAGGACCAGGTGGAGGGTGGACTCCTTCTGGATGTTGTAGTCGGACAGGGTGCGGCCGTCCTCGAGCTGCTTGCCAGCAAAGATCAGGCGCTGCTGGTCTGGGGGAATGCCCTCCTTGTCCTGGATCTTGGCCTTGACATTGTCGATGGTGTCGGAGGACTCCACCTCAAGGGTGATAGTCTTACCCGTGAGGGTCTTGACGAAAATCTGCATGATGGGCTGTACCTGCTGGAAGGGAAGGAGGGAAGGTTAGAATGAGACGGCTTGCGGCGAGATGGAAAATATTGCAGTTCAGTAGTGGGTGGGTTTGTGATGTGGGGCGGGGAAGGGAACAAGGGCGTATCAGAGACTGAGAGCCAACAGAGACAGGGCAAAACAGATAATTAGTAGACCCGTCAATCAAGAGACTGGGACGACAATCTGCCTTTTACCTCGCCGTCTGCTCACTGCTTGTCTGTGCCTGACTGCTCCGAGGTGATGAAGGATCACAAAATTTGATGATGGTGGCGCCCACATTATCGCAAGCGACTGAAGGGCGCCGGGTATCATGAACGCAAAAAAACACAGGAAAGGGTATCAAATGTGCTGTGGAAAGGAGAGGAAGGGGAAAGCCGCGATGCCGTTGAACAACATCATCGTGGTCGAGACGTACCTAGGGTATTATCCCGTCATAAGCAAGCCTCGTGAAGATGTTCGTTGCTCGAAGGAAGAGACGGGGAAAGAAATTCGCAGGTGCTGTCGATTTTTGGTTTGAAGTTTTGGGAGTCCTGGGGCTAGCGGGCTGGGGTGAGCAGGGGTCTGTGCACACCATTCACGTGACCTCACAGAAATTTTGGAAAGGGCGTGGCTCTTAGTGGCTGACAAAGGAAGCACTGGAGTGGAGCTCACCACTGTATCGACCATTTTTCTCGAGCCAGGCGAACTTTCAAACCTCCTCTTCAACGACACTCTGTACGATTCCTGATCAATCCACCCGTCGTCAAAATGCCTAAGAAGGTACGAATATAATACCCTCTTGATGATACATTCACTCGACGGTGGCCCAGCTTCGGAGTCTGCTCCTTGCTGGTTTGAAGGCGGCTCGCGCTGCTCTCTTGTCGCCCGTGGCTGTCGTCGCCATCACCGTCGACTGAACCATTCCCACGCCCAAGCAAATTTCACTGACCCAATTCTCCTCTATAGAGAAAGAATAACGGCCGCAACAAGAAGGGCCGCGGCCACACCAAGCCCATCCGCTGCAGCAACTGCTCGCGATGCACGCCCAAGGATAAGGCCATCAAGAGATTCACCATCCGCAACATGGTCGAGTCTGCTGCTATCCGTATGACGACTTCCTCGCCTCTCCTTGCCATTTTTTCACCCTTCTCTCCTTACCGGCCAATGCTAACAACATTTTCTTATTTACTAGGTGACATCTCTGACGCCTCGGTCTTCGCCGAGTACACCGTCCCCAAGATGTACCTCAAGCTGCAGTACTGTGTCTCTTGCGCCATTCACGGCAAGATTGTCCGGTACGTTTGTCCCCGATGGAGGACAACTGTGTCTGGTCAGGCGTTGCTGTCTACCTGCCTTCATGGCGGTCAGCTCGCCTGGTCGACACGGGTGGCTGAGAAGAACCTTGGCGGCACATTCTCCATCTCCCACCCTCTCCGTCACCGAATAGCCTCCGCTGACAAGATTCCACCTGTAGTGTCCGCTCCCGCGTGGGTCGTCGCAACCGTGCTCCTCCTCCCCGTGTCCGTTACAACAAGGACGGCAAGAAGGTCACTCCTACTCAGGGTGCTAAGACCTCGTAAGAGAGATCGGTGCCTCGTCAGCCTTGAGAAAAAAGATGACCGTGGAAGCTGTTACGACTTGTCTGGGAATTTCGGGATACCAAAAGGATCGGCATGGGCTCACCGGCGTTCGGGTTTACTGAAGTCCATAGTCGCTGAATCGACGACAATGATCACAAGTCAACATTTTCCGAATCTTGTTCAGGGATACCTTTTCTTCGTTGTGAAATCCTCCTGTGTTGCCGTAAATCGCATGATCAGTTATCCTCTGGAGGATGACACATTCCCCAGGCCATCAGATTTTTGTTGTTTGATGCAAAGAACTATATGCTTTCCAGTGGGATAAATACTCGATTGTGCTGTCTTGCAGTACAAGAAATTAAATGTAGCGCCACCTGCCCCCCCGACTTGGACCACTCATTCCACCCGCACTATCTCAAACAGCAGCCTCCTCGTCCTCGGATCATCCCACGACCTTTTCCCATCATTGACGCTCAGCCCTTCATCCAGCTCCGCCTTAACCTCCCACCTCGTCCCCGTCCTGCTCTCCACGTCTTTTACAAGCCTCTGGAAGCTCTGCACATTATGTTTCCACGTCGTCCTGTCTCCACCTCTAGGAGCCAGCGTCCGAGTTTCCACTCCATCTACATTTCCCGTCGCCTGCCCAATGATCAACACACCATTCTTGTCCTTTAACAAGCTGATGGCGTTTTTGAAGGCGGTCACCTGTTCCTCCCAGCTGAACAGGTGTAGAATCATGCCCAGCTGAACGACCTCGAGTCTCGCCTGGAACTGCGCCAACGGACTTGCCTCCCCACCAAGGGGCGCGAGGATGTCGGCCTGGACCATCCTGACGCCATTGCCGCCACTGCCGCCATCCACCTGAGACGAGTAGGAATCGCGGAAGAGCTCATAACCCAGCTCGATGAAGGTACCTGACAGCTCAGCGCCAGCAACGGTTGCGGGCGGGGCGCCGTCGTAAATCAATTTGCGAATGTCCTGGCCCAGACAGGCACCCACGTCCAGGAAGAGCGGGGTGCCTGAGTTTTTGTCGGTGGCGGTGAGAATGGATAGCAGGCGGGCGTAAAGGTCGCCTGGTCGTTGCGAGAGATTAAGTTCGAGGAAGCGGAACTGGCCTAGACATGGATAAGGGTGGACGGCCCAGGCACGGTTACGCTGAGGTTGGAGGATTAGAAGAAGCACATGGGTAGTGGAAGCAAGACGAGATGCTGAATTTCACACCTCAGGAGCAGCTGCCACCAGGATGAGAGGGGCTTACTTACCACACGGATGACATGTTCTTCAACCTCCTCGGGCAGGATATGGCTGTACTCCACCAGCAACGTACGAAAGGCTTGGGGCACGACGGTTGTCTCTTCAAACCACAGATGAGTGCGTGCGGCTGATGCAGCCGGTGGTGCAAAGGACGAAGATTGTTGCTGCTGTGCTGCATCGCTAGCGCTCTGATCAGGTCGTTGACTCATCATGATCGGTTCTCGTATTGCAATAATGGTTCAGGCAGGAAGAAACAGTGGATCATTTTACTGTGAAAAGATGACACTGCTAGTATTACAAGGTGCTCCTTCAACGCCTAATTCATCACAGTCTTCGTTGACGACATTGCACGGGATCATGCATGAACTCTGAGGAAGAGGAGGGGAAAAAGAATCTCCCGTTACGCCCTGAAAGCGTTATGCGCATTCAGCTGCTATAACCACTGCATAAGTTTACAACAAATACAGCTGATGTACAAATAAAATACCATAGTATGTAAGTAAATGTCTTGGAGGTAATTATCCTCTCCATGTAATACAATTCCCTTTTCGCTCTCAACACCATCCTGGTTTTCGATGACAATAGTATGTACAATGTCGAACCCACTAGATACCCAGATGTAACAAAAGAGAAGGAAAAGAATGAATGAAAATGAAAGACAGACACTGTGAGTGCTTAAACTCTTTCTCGCCCACTCAACTCAAGCCCTCCCCTTCGACTGCGGCCTCAACGCACCAGCCTCGTACTCAGCCCATCGTCCCCTGATGAACTGCCGCACGCTTCTCCCCCAAAAGGCGATTGGAATCGCCAACAGCCCGATCAAAAGAATGCCCACGCCGATAAACACATTCACAGCCAGCAGGCCCCATGACTCATCCCACATCGGCAGCACGGCCGTGATGCTCCAGCTCGCCATGTAGCTCACGCCCCCGACGACAGCGATCGCAGGGGCGGCCAGCTGTGGCAGCGACTCGGTCACCCAGATGGTGTTGGCGATGCTCCCGCTGATGAAGCTGAACGAGTTGAGCCCGTAGGCGACATGGTACACAACAGCGGGCCAGTGCCTCTCGGCCGCGAACCCAAAGAGGAAGACGCTGGCGGCGCCCGTCGTGACGGGGAGCACAAAGGCGGGCAGGTAGAACTCGGCGTGCCGCACGCCACGGTTGCGCAGGGTCAGGCGCTTCATGATGTTGTTGAGCATGTAGTAGCTCGCAGGCAGCGCGAGCAAGGACGTCAGCCCCGTGGTGAAGTTGACGCGGCCCACTTCCTCGGGCGACAGGTTGTAGGGTGCTGCGGCCATGACGACGGGGAACCCTGTGCCGATGGACATCATGCCGCCAAAGTTGATGGCGTTGAGCAGCGCCACCCAGAAGACGAGCGGGTTCGCGAGGCACAGGAAGATCTGCACCACGCAGACGGCGGCTGCTTTGGGGTTGGCGATGCTGCGGCGCCAGAGCCTGAATGGTGACACGCGCCACCCGGACTGGAGGGTGTTCTCGTCGGCTGGGAGCGTGTCCTCGATCAGGGCGGCGGTTGTGTTGTCGTCGTCGCGACCGGGCACGTCGAACCAGTCGTCGTAGATCTTGACCTTCTCGGTGCCGGACTGCACGAGCACGCGCCCGTCAAAGGCGATGGGAGGTCGTTGGAAGTAAGTCTCTGGAACAAAGAACAAGATGACCACGGCGATGATGGCGGCAGGGATCGAGGCTGCCTTGAACAAGGGTCGCCACTCCGAGGCTGTGTCCATCAACATGGGAAGAAACCCCAAAGATGAGACGGCCAGGGAGCCACCGCAGGCCCAGAAGGTAGCGAGGGCGATAGGCCGCTCATCTATGAAGGTCAGGTCGATGATTTGGAGGAGGGTCTGTAATGAATCGAGTTTAGTAACAAGCTTGAGGTCTCTCACATACAGACACATAACACGGTATTTCCTTACAGTGCTGAGTGTAGCGCCACTTGCAAAGCCGATAACGCAAATGGAAGCAAGGAGCTGGTGGAAGCTCTGTGAGAACCCAGCGCCCAGGCAGCCGCTGGTGAGCATGAACGAGGACGCAAAGATCACAGGTCGCCTGCCGAATGCCACGCAGAGTGGGATCCAAAGGAAGAAGCTCACGCCCATCGTCAACGTCGGGCTCGAGGCCAGATTGATAATGGAGAAAGGGTACAGGTCCTGTGATTCATTGCCAATGGTTAGCCCTTGTGTGTGTGTGTGTGTGTGTGTGTATGTATTTGTATGTGTGTGGGGACTCTATCTTGTCTTTCTTTGGACTTGGAACTGGGATGCTTACCTTCTCATCAAAGTCCTTGGCAAAAGCCTTGTAAAGATTGCCGGGGGTCTCAATGAGGAACATGGACAGAGCAGAGTGTAAAAGCAAAATCACGACGATAAAGATCCGGCGCCGCTTTGCCCAGCTGAGCGGGTCATTTGGTGATTCGCTCGCGATGGGTAGGCTCAGCATACGGCCATTGGAGGCGATGAGAAAGACACTGCCCGCCAGGTCCATGGACAGGTGCTTGGATCGTCCGCCCGTGGCAGTCATTTCGCCCTTGTTTTCGACGTCCATATCAACGGCGCTCCAGCCATCGTCTCCGTCGTAGAGAGCTTGCTCGTGAGCAGCCATCTGGGCGTCGACCTGTGCCATAACGGGCAGTAGTGCTGGTTAGAGCAAGTTGTATTGCGTTCGTATATCCGTCTGGTGGGGTCAGACAGAAGGTGGTAGAGAAGAGTAAGGCTAGAGGGAATGTATGATCACGGAGATCGAGGCGTCAGAGGTGATGATGAGAAAGTCAGCTCCTATCGTGTGCGGGAACGTCAGTGACAGCACGATGCTGATGATGGTGATGGTGAAGAACAAAAGAGTCTCAATTCACATAATGACTGGATGGGGAGTTGATGGATTTTATCCTCGAACTGAACAAATCGCTTCCTGATACCATCCCATTAATACTGAACGCATCAATGAAGATGAATTCTCTTTTCCTCTCTGTCACTCTTTTCAAAGTTGGGTTCGCAAGTGTTGATAGTTCATTTCCATGCCCGTCTGAATATCATGCGGCGCGATTGCGTATGTAATAATCATTTGGCTTTCTTGGCCTTTCAGGCCGTTGTGTCAGTGGCATTCCCGGAAGCCATTGACGTCGAATCAGAATTTCGGATTGCGACAAGGCCCCAGGAACACCACCACCAGTCCAACTGGTGAGTAGGGAGCTTAGTAGTACTTAGACTCTCTGTGATTGTCTTGGCCGTCCAGAAGTAGGCATTGTTATTGGGCTGCAATCAACAAACAGGGAGAGGGAGAACAGAGTTTGGCTCCTGGCAAACCTTATAGTACTCTCGCGTGCACAAATCCAGGGCAAAGATCGTGTAAGTAGTCTAGGGCCTTCCCGTTCCCCAGCCCGGGCGGATGAAACCGTTGCCAGCTATTCCCAAAGTGTACCCTAGAGAGACATGGCTGTCGAGCGGCATCTGTCATTAAGCTTTGCCTACGGTTTCAGGCCCAGAAAACTTGTCCCAAATTCCCAGAGCCTAGACCAGCGAAGACCAAGCAAAGCGACATCAAGTCCAGCTGCAGTCGCACGGGAAGCTGGATCGCAACAGAGATGAGAACGTGACCGGAGCCGAAAACCTTTGGCGAGCTTGTTCACCCGTGTTGTACTCGCCCATAGTTTGCAAAGTGTTCGAAGGAGTATCAAGTCCACACGAAACGACGCTTCGTTCCATTGCCTTTCTTGACAAATTCCAAATTTCTTGCTTTCATGAGGTCTTTGTTCGCGTTTCTAATTCAAACGGGCACAACCCCCACACTTTTCCTCGCACATGCTTGTGCTGGGCGTGCGGACCGAGATGAACAGGTCCACTTCCTCCACGTGGTAATTTTCCAAGGAGGACGCATACTTTACCTCAAAGAAGGGCAGAGCAGAATCACTACGTATGCTTTCTGTGCACTCATGAGTGGGATTTGAGTCACGGGATCTCTTGAGGTCCACCTTCGGAGAATAACGAACCTGATCAGTATGACAGCTGTTAAGTCAATGATGATATGTGACCAACATAGAGAGATATCTTTCCTGGGTGCTCGTAGTTTTACCATAATAGTATGTATGTCTTCCAAGAAACCGCAGAGAGAGAGCGGGTGTGCATGCTCTGAATGGTCTGTGTTCAAACGTAGGCCTGATGCCTCCTGAAAGTCTTTCCGCCCCATCAGAACGCTAAAGACGCGTGGTCGGAATCACCCGCGGAACACCGCGCTCTACGCTCTACTGCAAGCTTTACCTTTTGCATCGTCGCATTCGCAAAGGAATCCGCATGCTCCTCCTCTAGGTGCCCGACTCTGGGAACGAAGCATTAATGGTAATATCACGGATAAGAAGAACTCTAGCCAAGAGCAGGCTGCATATTGAGATCGACACCAATCTCTACAGGGCAAATCACATACTGAGCTCTGCCAGCCCACTCTTTTATGGAAGCTACTAGGCCTGAGGCTGACGACTGCAAGCAAACTTTATTTCATTGTTCAAAACAAGTTCCAAACATAGAGGCCCCTAAACCCTCTCCCGTGTGATGACACCCTTTGAGCTGCAGCAAGGGTTGTAAGCTCTGTGGGGATAAGGCGACGAATCGAAAAGGTTGCCTAATATAGAAATATGAAACCGGTCAGTCATACTTTGAGATGCTTTCCTGGACTACGTGAAAAGAACTGCAGAACCACCTTATGTTTGTGCACCCTGCTCCTCTTCATATTACACATACACAAGGCAGATTAATGCCTGCAAGCATTTTGCCCTCGCATGAGGAGGAACATGGTCTTGTGCAAATGATGTACCCTAGACAAGTAGCTACATGAATGTAAGGAAGTATTTATTTCATTGTCTTTACTATTACATGCTACATCGTATTGAGTAGGCGAAAGGATCAAGAGGCAGGACCAAGACAAAGGATTGCCACTGTAATCTCGACATAGTTTCCCGTCCAGCGATACCCCAATGTAAGGGGAGATATCATCCAGTGTGTGTTCATCCCATCGACAGATCCAAGGCCAAGCCAACATTGGCCGGGTCAGCAGCAGACCGAAAGTTAACCACCATAGATCGGTAGCATACTTTCAGGAACAACATCCCGCGTGATGACCCAACCATGTGTTGAGTTTCGTGTCGTAGTGTTCGGTTCATCGTGCTGGACATCCGGGATCGAGAACCGGCTGGAAGTTCAAGCCGGCAGGGAGAAGCTGCTCTTCGTGGAAAGCGATAGGTGGACAGTACTTTGCCGTCCCATATCGAATTATGCCTGGCAGGTTGAGTATGCATTGTAACAGTGATCAGCGATGCGTTCGCATCGACCGTGCCCCTTCGCTTTCCTGCAGGGCCATCTGTGATGCTAGTAGTCCCTGGTTCTCTACTGATACCACCATCATCATCTCCGACGTTCGAAGGCACCCACTAACAGACAGGAGTTTGCCCCTCCCCCTCCCCCCCCCTTTTTTTTTTTTTTTCATACGTGGGGAGGGGGCCCAGCACCCTTCTCGCCTGTAAACCTATGTCTGTCCACGACGAGGCATGCCCCGCTCATTGTTGTGAGGATCTCCGCCGCGGTCCCGCCACAGCTTAGAGCTGACGGCCTGGGCCGTCTTGCCCAGAGCCTCAGCAATCTCGTTGTCCGACTGCCCGTTCTGGCGCATCTCACGTGCCGTCGTCAGATCCTGGGCCGTCCACCGCGATGGACGTGGACGACCCTCTCGACCGCTGGCTCTTCGACGAGACCGCCTTCCTCGTTGGCTGGCGCCTCCTTGCTGCACTGCCTGTGCGGGACCAGAAGCCACGCCAGGGTTGTTGTTGTTGCTCTGGGCACTGATATTATTGTTATTGTTGTCTTGTGCTGCGGCGGCCGGGGCGGGCACGACGGCGTGGGCGACAGGGTTGGGTCCAGGATTGGCAACAGGCGGCGTGAAGAAAGCCGCTGGATGATGATGATGGTACATAACGCCCGGGGCGTTGTACATGGCGAAGGGGTTCGCAGCAACACACTGGGGGCAATTGTGTGCGGCTCCCGGCTGTGCGTTATAGAAGGCAGCCGGTGCGTTGTTGAAGACACCGGCCACGTTCGGGTTGAATGATGCTGCAGCAGGCCATTGCGGCAAGGGCTGGTGCAAGAAGTTATCGAACAAGCCTAGGGGATGAGGAGGGATGTTGTATCGATGGTACCCCTCGAACGGCTGCTGGGGCACAACAGGCACCTGGTTGCCTTCTTGTTGGCTCGGAGGCCGGGACTGGGTGGAGGCTACACGAGCCGCTGGGTGCGTGGACGTAGAGCGCTGTGGGCTGGCGACCACCTCGGACTTGTCCTGCTCGTTGGACGTGTTCGAACGTTTATCGGGTTGGGACATTCTTATAGCTCGGCTAGAGCTACTAGTAGTGGGTAGTCGTCTTTGTACTACAAGCATGTTAGCAAAGTGCGGGATATAAACGCCTTATTGTGCTATTGGACAATTGAGGTCTTCTGTAGTGGAAAGATTGGATAATGAGGAGAGGATTGTGGGCTGAAGGCATTATAGAGCCAGGATATTGTGTAAATGAAAGTTTTGCGCTGTTGCAAAGAGCCATATTGGCAAGTGTCCTTGAAACACCATGTTGAGCTGTGTGTAAAGGGTTGAGTTTTTTGGCCTGCAGCTTTTACACAAGACCCGTTGCGGTATTGAACTTGTTGGCAAATTGAAGGGCATCTTGATACGCCGCCTCATTCGAAAGTAACATATGAATCGCCAAGGCTAGGAGGATGGCAAGGGAATAATGATAGAGTGGATGGACTCACTGGTGCTTGGAGATTTCAGTTGCTCCTCTTGTAGAGATGGTTGGTTGGTACTGACGCAAATCAACCAAGATGTCTGGAGGGAAGAAACAGACAGGACTGCTATTTAGCTGGACTTGAGACTGCATTATGTAGTTTTGGGCTTGTGTGAATGGTATCATTATCTGTAATAGAAGGCTGCTGAATCACTATCTTGTGGCCCTACCAAAGCAAAGGGCGTGGACTATCTAGAGTAAATGATGTGTGCTTTTCATAGTGAAGAGACTCGGAATGTTCCCCTTGGTCAACGTCTCTCGGCTTATCATTTGTCAGTTTCTCGCTGTTCTCTACGGAATCCGAGCTGAGGCCTAAACGTGAGGCTTTCTCAGACCTCGAGAAAGGGTCATGGTAGTAAAGACGGGCTCGGGAAGACTACAGTGAAGGTAGCTGGTATTGATAGAGCAGGTAGCATAGCTAACACGTGGTTCCAGCTTCTGCCTAAGGTTCATAGCACCCAAGAGAAGGATTATAGCTATTGTGATGTGGGAAGAAGGCATCATTCCTTTCCAACAACCCCTTATACTACCAGCTGCAAAGAAATGCCAACTTTCATCACAGAAGACACCCTCATGATACCCTCTACTCAAAGTGTAAAGTTGAAGAAACGCAAGATTATGAAACAGCTAAAAGGAGTGACCACTCCCAGCTGACTGGAAATGATGGTGGTCTATATAGACAACAACTAGACAGGACTCGCACAAAGATTATAATAGTCTGGTGTGAAGGAGAAGGCAGTTGACCAGTCTTTGGAATACTCAAGATGTTGGCAAACAGGTGCTGGTAGAAGATGCCAGGACGAGAGGAGGGTCGACAGAACACTTCATTAGGAACAGAGACTCATTGTCTATACTATGCTACCTAGAAATTGTTGCACTAATCTATTGAATTGGGTAGGGCAGGCAGGCAGGCAGCTCCACACTAAGTAGACTCTGCACCATCTCGTGTTTGTGGACCCTCTTCAGTCACACCAGGCCCAAGGCATGTAGGTTCACGCTGATACAACTCGACCAACAAAAACTTGATCAGAATTATCTTTTTATTGAGAACATTAAACCTAATACTAGCTCATCTTGTGGTTTGTTATTGTACCCTTGCCTTGCCTGCTGTTGTTTCCAATGGAACCCGGGGTATCTGTATGCTGACAAAACAAAAGAAAAAGGAAAAACGGCAGAGAAAAACAAGGTCGGTACAAGGAAGCAAGAGACGAAAGAAACCATGGCAAGAATCTAGCTTCAATGGGCCGGAACACTCGGCGACCAGAAAAGACCAAGACCAGGCATGTTCTCAATCTTCGGAGGCACAAGAGGCCCACCTTGAGCTCGTAGACATCTACGCATGGATAGCCTCCTGGACATGGGGGTACACCTGCACCATCTGGTGGTACAGGTCTGGGTGGTCCCTGATCATGACTTCTGGGTCCCACGCCATAGCGACAAAGATGGTATCGATGCCGCTGCTCAGCGGGGTGGTGAAGATGTTGCAGATCTGGAGGCCGATCAGGAAGGCAAAGGCGCAGATGACGACAGTGAAGTCACCGTTGGAGTTGTACGCGGGCTTGGTGAACTCGAGATAGAGGAAGGAAAGCAAAGCAGTGGCGAAGCCGATGAACAAGGAGCCGAAAGAGAAGACGGGCCCGATGAGGCACTCGTTGATGAGGGCGTCAATGCCACGGTCCTTGATCATCCTGTTGGAGTGTTCAATGATGTTAGCCCATCTGTGGAGAGAGAAAAAGAAAGAAAGACAAAGAAAGAAAGAAAAAAAAAGAAAGGGGGGGGGGCGTATAGGACGCCAGAGTGTGTGAACGAACCTCCAAGTATCCTTGGCCGATTGGAAGTATGGCCGACCATAGAGGGCAATGTGCGAGAAGGCATATCTGTTGACGAACTCGATCACCCACTGCAGACAGCCGAGAATGCAGGTCAGGAAGCAGGACAAGACAAAGGCAACAATGTCTCCCTGTTGGGCCGCATCGTTCCTAGCCGACTGGGCCAGCAACTTGAGGAAGTTGACGATGGCGACAATGAGGCTGCCCAGGCTGATGGAACCGAAGCTGTAGGTCAGGGATCGACGCAGGGCGCCCCTGGTGACACCGGTTGGGTATTGGCGCGAGTTGTAGTACCAACTGCCGTATATGCCCGCAATGGTCGTGTGGATAGTGTTCTTGATCCACTCACTGAACCAGAAGGAGGTAAAGGTGATGAAGACGACGAGGCCGGTGACGGTGGCGTAGCTGCAGGAGCTGGAGGTGCAGGACGGGTTGTTGTCGCTGGGGGACCACTTGACGTAGATGGCGACGAAGGTGATGGCGAACCAGATGGAGTAGAGAGCGCCAATCAGACCACCGACGAGGCTGACCATGTAGACGTGGCCGTGGTGGTTGGCGACGTGGATGGAGGTGCGTAACATCAGAGCGCTGAAGGGGATGCGCCTCCGCCAGCTCCAGAAGGCGAACATCATGAAGACGACAAAGACGAGGAAGATGATGCCGCCGACATATTGTTTCTTGATGACCATGTAGATGGCGGCGACCAGGCCCCAGACAATATTGAGGATGCCGGTGATCCAGATGATCTGCTTGGGCGCGATGCGGATCAAAAAGACGTAGCCAATGCTGAAGACGACCGCGACGGCGAGGCAGAAGAGAAAGAGAATGATAGTGTTTGTATTGATCGTGAGGACGTCGGAGTCGTAGATGCTAGTACCGTTGGAGCTTCGAGTGGTCGCTGCGAGGAAGAAGTCATGGTCAGCAGAACGACCTAATCAGGAGGAACAACAGCAGCAGCAACAGGAGGAGGAGGAGGAGGAGGAGGAGGAGGGGCAGCATTCTTACCGTAGCCGCGGAGGGCGATGCCAGAGACGACAGTGAACCCGGCCATAAAGACCAGGAACAAGATGCCTGCCCATACATCGTTGTACTTGGGCCGCTCGATCTTGAATGCCTGGTCAAAGGGCACTTTCTGGTCGTTGCCGTATTCGAAACCCTGATGTGGTCCCTGCGGATCGACAGCAGTGTAGGCGCCATTTGTGGGAGGAGGATATTGCTGGTATTCCGGAGCCGGATTGGGGGGGTATTGCTGCTGCATTTTGACGTCGACGCGTCAAGGACGACTGATCGTGATGATGATGGTGGGCGCTTCGTCGCGAGGAGAAGATAGTTGTTCTTGACGCGATTCTTGTCGAGCTGGATGAGTTGCTTGTTGGAGGGGATAGTCTAGAAATTGAATCGAAAAGGAAGAACAGAAGAAAGAAAGTTAAATTGAGAAGGGGTTATTTCTTTTGGACCAATTAATGTGACCTCACTTAGAACAGACCACGATTGACCAACCTAGGCCTTGACCAGACCAGACCAGCGACCAGAAAAATTGAGGTGGAGGAGGAAAAGCGAGCACACAAATAGTAGCTGGGAAAGGGGAAAACAGAAGCAGCGAGTCTCATGATGATCAAAAGAGAAAAGAAGGCGCATAGCTGGGGTTCAGCTTTCTCTGAACCTGGCAAACATGCATGCTCAATTGCATGGAGCAATCGAGGCTAGCAGGGGCCTGAATGGGAGAGGGCCCCCACCCAACCGTCCAACCTTAATTCCTTTAGTGGTAGGGCTAAGCCTGAGACGGGGTCCTGAGGTGTGCTGTGGTTGGTCCCATGTGCCACAGCTGAGTCTGGCATTGGTGTTGGCCGGCGGTCTGGGGCCGGGTTTTAGGGTATGTGTAGTGGGGTTTAGGGGGGGGGGCCTCCAGCACCAACAGCCCATCCTTTACCATCTCTACTGCACAACTATGACAACAACAACACACCGCTGTCAGCACTTGAAGAATTGACTGCCGACACGGCCACAGGAACGGTCTGACACACTGGCTCGAACACATGTGATACAGATACCATTTCTCTTTGCTGTCAGTCTCATATAATATGATCTCATTTCAATTATTCAGTCTTGGCGCATCTGGTCGAGCCCCATTCCCTCTTCTTTTTCTTGTATATGAGATCACAGCACCAGGAACAACTTATCAAAGACATGGTTCCCTCGTCCCCCTTCCTTCAGACGCTGGGCTGTGGCTGTGCTACAAGTCATTCGAGGTGCTGATCCAACATAACAACAGAAGCTAATAACAGACACATAATCTGACTTCTGATTCGCTGTCTCGTGCGGTCCTCCACAACAGTTCTTCTGCATAGTGCTCAGCCGCGCCCGTTGGAACCAGGAACCTCTCCGCCTCGCACCAACTCCGATCCTTCGCAACTCCTAGATAATTGCTACACCTCGCTGCTGTGCCAAAGGACATGGTCTGTTAGAATCCTTTGTCGGTGCAATTCCAACAACGTGGTCCAGCTCCGAAGTAAGCGGGCCCTCCGGGTGTATTTCTCGGAGTGGATCAAGAAGACATCGTGCGGGACCTGGAGCCCACATGGCCTCGTCAGACTTTGCGCACACACACAGAAATACGCACATTGCTGTACAGTTTATGAGACGTTCAAATTTGTCAGGGTTTCCAACAGCGTGAATGGTTTAGTGGTAAAATCCATCGTTGCCATCTTGTCCTCGTTACGAGGACAGTTGATTCGATGGGCCCCCGGTTCGATTCCGGGTTCACGCATTTTTGAGCTGCAACCTCACGATGATGAGACAGGCCTGCGTTTAAACGCATAGTAGTGACTTGGTCTTCCTTTTTAACCCGAACGAGATCTTCAGTAGTACTTGAGCTTACCCGACAGATCGATACGCAAGCGTGAAAAGGGGTTATTATGTTTGGCATGGGAGGAGACGGATGGGGATCACGGTCGAGGCGAATTTGGTCACAGGATAATAGCACAGCGTAGAGGTGTCCCATAGCAGACCATACTTACTCAGATCTCAAATTTAGGTGACCGCAGGACACTTGATTCTCACTAGAGTAGTGCCTAAGGTGTGCTACATTCGCATGTTGGGCCTGTCATGTGAGGCCCAGAAAACAGTCCCTTGTGGTTGGTTATGGGCCTTTCGAGGCTAAAAGTATAGCACTCTTATACTGGAAAATAGACCGCCTCCCTCTCGACATGTCATCGCAGCATTACAGTTTGCTTGTCGTCTCCGGAGACTTGACCTCTACGAGAAGTTTTCCTATTCAAAAGTAAGCCCAACCACTTTAAATCAAGAACGAGGAATATAGAGGGGTAAAACGAATAGAAAGAAACTGCTCACCTGTGTTTCCACCCTTGAATAGGTCCACCAGCGACTTCTCGGCAACCTTCAGCCCGCCCTTGACGATAGTCTCCTGTCTCTTGATCTTGCCCTCGGCCAGCCACTGCGCGAGCTGCCTGCGGGCCACCGGGTACTGCTTGGCGTGGTCGAAGACGATGAAACCCTCCATGCGGATGCGCTGCGTGATGACCTTGGAAATTTGCTAGAAAGATAAACAAGACAGAGAGTCCTCAGTGATTAGCCACTCTGGGGAAAACAGCCAAGAGAGAACGTAAAAGTCAAACAGAAAAGGCAGCAAAGAAAAGAAGGTGTGCTTGCCCTTGGACCCTTGGGATCAGGCGAGTTGTACTGGCTGATAGCACCACACATGACGAATCGTGCATCCTTTGCCGCCCTCGCCAGCGCCATGTCGAGGATATCACCGCCCACTGGAGCAAGGGAAAGAAGGAAAAGAAAGAAAAAAGAGTCAGCCAGGTGAACACACAAAAGCACACACACACATACAGCGATCCGAACTCCAGACCATCTAGGAGGCAGAGCAACTAACCATTGTCCCAGTACACATCAATGTACTTCGGTGTGGCCTCCTTGAACTTCTTCTTAAACTCCGGGTCTCGATAGTTCAAGCACACATCAAAGCCGACCTCCCTCTCCAGCCACCTGCACTTGTCCTCGCTCCCCGCAATCCCAATCACCTTGGCACCCGCAATCTTGGCCATCTGCCCCGCCACCGACCCTGTCGCCCCAGCTGCGCCGCTGATCACCACCGTCTCGCCCGCCTTGGGCTTTCCGATGGTGGTCATGCCGAAATACGCCGTCAAGCCCGTCAAGCCCAGCACGCCCTGGAGATCCGTCAGGCCCACACCCTTGCCCAGCTGCTCCTCCTTGCCAGCGCTGCCACCCATAATCTCCGACACCGTCTCGAACTCCTTTGGGCCAGCGACGGCAACCTCTTGCCACCCAGTCATGGCGACGACATAGTCGCCGGCCTTGGCGCGGTCGGACTTGGAGGCGAGCACACGCCCGATGACGGAGCCGCGCATGACGGCGCCGAGCTGGACTGGGGGCACGTAGGAGCGGGCATCATCTAGCCAGCTGCGCATGGCAGGATCGAGGGAGAGATAGAGCGTCTCGAGGAGAATCTGGCCGTCCTTGAGGGTGGAGGGGGCAGGGATGGGGGTTTGTTTCTGGTGGAAGGTTTGGCCTGGGATGACTGGGCCCTTGGGCCGCTCGGCCAGGACTATGGAGAGGGACTGGTTGGACATTTTTGTGTGGTGGATGAGGAGTGCGTGAAGATGGCAAATGATATTGAAGGAGGAGGAGAAAGAAGGATCACTATAAGGAACGAAGAGAGGACATTGGAGTTTGAGTCTAGGCCACGGTCAGGGAAGGACGAAGGTGAGCCGAGGCACTCGGCCAAGTATCCACTTCCGGCGCCGAAGTCAAACACAGGCCAGAATAGTATTGCTAGCAAGACAAGACAGTGAATCGTTCACTTCTATTACAATAAATTCATGAGAGCAAGAAGTCAAATATGTATAAAAACCAGTCTATACTGTAGTTTGTCTATCATTCTCCACTTCCTGCCTAAGTTATATGCAACCCATTCTCCACGAATGAAGAATAATTCAAAGGGAAGGGGGGCAAAAAGTGTCACGACGACCATAATAACAAGGATAATGCAAAGAGGAAAACAAAAAAAGAAGGAGAAAGAGTCACAGCTTGTGTAACTTCTACCCAGAATCTTCCCTCTCCAATATCTCCCTCACCCTCTCCACCGCCTCCTTTTCTCCATCCTCCAGCGGCCGATCCACATTCACCAGGACCACATCCTCCTCCTCCACCCCAGGCCTCTCCAGGCTCAGAAACTGCGAGTGCACCAGATTTTCCCCGGCAAAGTGGCCCTTCCGCCGCCTCGCCCTGTCCATCAGAACCTCCTCCGGCGCGTCCAGGTACACAAACCGCACTCGCAGGTTTGGGCTCTGCGCCGACCCCTGGCGCAGCACGTCGCGGTATTGTCGTTTCAGCGCCGAGCAGGTGATGGCCAGGTGCAGGGTCTTCTTGTCCTCTCCTGCGCCGGTCGGGTGGTAGGTCTCGTGGTCGCGGAGGGCGAAGAGCCAGCCCTTGCGGTCGTCGTCCGTGAGAGGCTCGCCGCGGTGCATCTTTTCGATGTTGGCGCGGGGGTGGAACTGAATCACGAGAAAAGTGAGTAAGTGGAGGTGGCTCGTGGTGGAGGATAAGACTCTTGGTCTCCTTTGTTTTCCCGACGAGCCATGACAGGAGAGAGAAAAGATGAGAAGTGCGTACATCGTCACCTTCTAGGAAGGTCAAGTGCAGCCTATCGGCTACGTATTTTGCTATCGTTGACTTCCCACATGCTGTTGGCCCGGTAAAGAAGAAAACGTATCGTGGACGCTCTTCGGTTGGTTTTGACTTGTCTGCCATGGTGTCGTAAGCTAGGCGAGGCTTGTATGTGTCTAGATTGCTCTTGAAGAAGGCGAGCGTGCACTTGTATGATTGGAGGATTTCAATAGACAACACCAGCAGCAACGAAATACGTCTTACCAACAGAAGAAAAAGAAGTCTGTCTCGAAACTAGAAGGGGAATCTGGGCCAGGATTCAATCATGAACCATGACGTCGAGCCGAGAGGACCGAGAGGCAGGTGGACCCTAGAGCAGCATGGTAAGGTTAGCGCGATCCCCTCTAGAAAAGACAAGCTAAAAAAAAAAGAGGAATGGAAAACAAGAGACATGGATGAAAATGGACGGTTTTCACAACCCTACTGGTTGTTGGTATAAAGTGAAGCCTACTTTATTATAGTTTGTGGAAGCCTCTGTCAGGAGATTTCCTTTGATTGCCAGTTCACTTAATTCAGGGAAATACCCATAACTCATCACCACATAACTTCAACAATAAAAGGATGCAATGATAAAAGGATTAGTTGTCTCCGAGCAAAGAGCGTGCAACATTGAGAAAATGAACTATATTGATAGACAGAGTAGCGAGATTCACCAAGGCCATACATTAAATCATGAGTAGAAGAAGCGTATAAAACACGCGATCCGAATGATCACGTATGATCCCTTCAACACGTTTGTCAGCCTGTTCCTATACTGATCCAACAATTTGATCACATCGAGCTGAATACAATTTCGTAGAACAAGAGACTTCCAAGTATGCCTTTCGGAGAGGAAGACTAAAGTCATGAAAATGTTCTCAGGAAAGGGTAAACTGTTGCGTGGTCTCCCGGCCACCGTCAAAAGACAACAAAATACTACCCAACCTCAGTGAAAAGCAAACCTTTATTGGTCTTGTTCCTAGCATCAAGCTACCACCTACCATCCTCACCCCCTAAACTTCTTGCTCGCCTCATCAAAACTCATCCCCTTGACAATCGCCTCCATCATCTGATCATCCGCCTCGACCGACGCCTTCATCAGCGGCAGCGCCTCCTCGGCCAGCTCCCTCGGAAGCACCACTACGCCGTTCAGGTCGCCTACGAGATAATCCCCGGGCCGCACCTCCATCTCCTGCTCATCCGTCGCCAACCTGACAGGAACACCCACGCCCACCACCTTGAGCAGCTCCTGCGGCGGCGCAGTGCCCACGTCCCGCCCAAACACAGGATACCCCATCGCCCGCTGCTCCTGCAGATCGCGAAACCGCCCATCAATCACGCTCCCCACCGCCCCGCGGCCACGAGCGCGCGCCGTCATCAGGCCGCCGTAGATGGCATTTGGGGTGCGCGCAGGGCACGACACGAAGACGACTGCTCCGGCGGGGACGCCGTCGATGTAGTGCGCGCCTGCGAGTTTCGGGGCTGGGTCTGAGAGCGGCGCGTACTGGACAGTGTAGGCGGGGCCGACGATGCGGGTGTCGCCGGCCTGTCGGTCTGGGGACCACAGGGTTAGGCCGGAGAGGAAGCCGCCGTTGCGGTATTTGAGCTTGATCAGGGCGTTGGAGACGTCGCAGGTCGTGAAGTTCTTGAGCTGCTCGACGATGGGGTCGGGCGTGGAAGTCATGGTCGATATGGTTGCTGAGTGGATGTGAAGCAAGTGGGTGAGTGGTTTTGGAAGGGTACGAGGTCGATAGAGTAGCCTTGTTAGCATTGTCTGTCTGATAATCGTATATTAGGTGAGAGAGGAAGGTCAGTACCAAGGCTGATACTCTCTCTCTTACTCTAAATGCAAACACATGCTGTTGAGGTCTGCCGAGGATAATCATTGGAAAGCCGAGAACCGGCTCCGGAGGCCCGTAGGCAGATAAGTCTTGGATGGATCGCCAACACTCCCTACCAGACTAGGCCTGGTCAACTTTTGAAATCAAAAGGCCTCATCGGAATAGGGCTTTCTCAGTGTCTTGCGAAACTTGATTTGCAAGTCAACACTGATACTGAGGACACCCTTATACGACGAGTTGAATTGGATCTGGATGAGCAACAATATGACATAACCTGCAACAATGAATTGACAGGCACTAGTAGTTTTTTAATTTATATTTTTCTTGATCTTACTCTGATTTTTTTTCTCCAAAGGAGAAATGCAAAGAAAAAAAAAAAGAATGCAAACCTAGCAATTGGTAGACATCATACAACTACGACCACCGCCAGTTGTGATGTCGGGGACGTAGAGTCTAGCCGGAGTTTAAATGATCTTTGGCTTATCCTGTTGAAAACCTCCACGACTGAGAATTTCACATATTACGGCGATTCAGACGAGTCGAGAATAATGGTCCACAAGCAGCAACGGCCCCATCAAAAGACGCCAATCACTTGATATTAAAACACCTAATTGCAGCTACGGCGCTCAGTACTCCAAACCAAACTGATACCCCTCACTTCCTTCCCTCCGCTGCGATCCATCGATCTACGAGCTGGTGACGGTGACGGTGCTGGTGCCAGAGCTCTCATATCCCTCCGTCGCCACAATCTGGTACGCGCCCTCGGTGAAAGAGCCAAGGGTCAGGCCCAGCGACGCCCACGCATCAAAGTGGTTGGCGGTGGTGACGGTGCCGCTGCTGCGCAGGTCCTGGCGGATGCTCCAGTACTGGCTGAAGGTCTCGCCGTCGCCCTCGATGGAGGCGGCATCCGTGCGGGTCGTCTGGTACACGTCGTACGTGGAGCCATCTGAGTCCAGCGTGCCCACGTAGGTCAGCTGGGCCGATGGGTCGTAGTCGCCGTAGTTCTCGAGGATGTAGTACTCGACCAGCGGGCTGGTGGTCCAGCCGTACACGGAGAGGTAGGCATTGCCGTCGGGGCTGAAGTCGGCCTCGAAGGAGATGGACCTGGAAGAGTTATCGTCAGTATTGACTTTCTTTTTGTCTACAGATGAAAAAGAAAGAGACTTTCTTACCTGTCAGATCCTTCCTCCCAGCCCTTACCGGCGACAAAGTCGATGCTGCTCGACTCCCAGGTCACAGTGTACTCGCCGTCGTCTCCATTCTCATAGTCCACGCCGGTGTCCTCCTCGGTCCAGAACGAGTAGTAGTAACCTCCGCTGGTGCCAGTGGAGCTGGAGGTCAGACGCTTGTGGAGCGACTCGCGCTGTTGTGGGACGACGGCCGAGGCACTGACAATGGCAGAGCCGGCCAGGATGAGGGAAAGAATGGCAACCATTTTGAAAGAAGAGTGTTGTTTATGTGTGTATGTGGAGAGAGAAAAATTGTATATATACAGTGTGTACAGCAAGCTGTTTGGTGGTTGGAAATATGTCAACGAAAGCGAGACCTGATGCTCGGTGAAAGGAACGGAGAGAAAAACTGGAGGATGGACGATCACAAACAAAATCATTGAAACAAACTAGAAGAAACATTCGTCTTATGTATAATCGTCCATAAACAACATGGAAGCCCCTTTCCCAAGTTTTCCCTCAACCGTATTTGGTCTTTTCGGACCCTGATCCTTAAACAGCCCGCCCGGCAGTGGTTACAAATTTACGAAATCCATTTCCCTATGATGCATAATGGCCCAACACGGGCGCATGGCCAACGTACTCTCTCGCCGTTTCGGCAGCTGGGGCGGGTACGTGACCGGGGTTTTTACGATCCACCAACCATTCTTCCGACGACAGCGAGATGAGACGGACGCGAGGTTGAAGGGAAGGGCTTTTTGTGCTCACCCCTGCTTGTGGGGATGTGAGAAAAGGATATGTGAGACCCATTATATTCCCGATCGGGTGGATCATCCGCGGGATGATCATCCGGGAGGTCGATGGGAAATACTATGTACAGCTGACTCTCCTGGAGACATGAGAATGATCTGTCAGAGTGAGTAACGAAATATAAACACATGATGCGAATATTCTGTCTGCTGCAGGGCAGGATGAAGTTCAATCACGAACGTTGTGGCGCCATAGAATGAGCATGTACTATGTGCTTTATGTACGACACAAGAGTACGGCATTCTTGGATTGCAAAGGGGTAAAGAGGAGGCTGAGTCTGTAGAAGGACAGGTATGCAGTGTTTGGCGCTATTAATATTTGTTTCAAGAAGTCGACGGGAACAATTTGACAAGCAAGGGGAACCCGTCCCACCATCCCCCGATACTTCGGCATAAACGTCCGATGACGACACAAATGACTGTTCATGCATGATAAAAAAGGGGAAGGGGAATAAAGACGGGATACTTCGTGGCACTGGCAAATTCAGTTCATCATGACTTCTGCACGATATTTCTCTGTAAGTATCGTGTCGCTTGAATTGTCATTGTGACTGGCGACTGTCTACGATAGCCAGCCTTCGGCAAAATTGGTAATGAGTAAGATAGCGTAACAAGATGACTGCGTAGAGAGCTTGCTGTAAGGAAGTTTGCCTAAATTGTGCAACCAACAGATGGACAAACAATTGTTTTCTCAAAATACTATAAATCAACTGCGCAGCCAGCTTTGAGCCTGGTCTAATTCGAGCAAAGCAATCTCTACTGCACATAGCCTTACAGCCAAAACTTGCTATAATAATGTCTTGTTCTGATTCTACCAGGTCTGCTGCCGAGAGCGATACAGAGTGGACTCTCATCGATGAGTCCGAAGGAGACGAAGATATAGTTTCGCTTCCGAGATCAGAGCATAACTCGAGCCCGACATCCACAGAAAGTGCAGCCTCAGACCAGGAAGCAGGCAGGTGTGCACACTGTCACCCCGACTTGTCATGGCTCCAAGCACAGATCTTAATCAAAACGATGGCGGCAGGTCAGGGATGACAAGTTGAGAAATTCGCTCGAGGAGCTGATGATGCTGGCTGAGATCATGAGCAGGACGGAGCAGGCACTCGCTAGGGAGAGAGACGACGACGACGACGACGACGATGACGAGGAGGAGGAGGAGGAGGAGAAGGAGGAGCAGTCTAGCTACAGAGAAGAACAGGCTGGTAATAGGGATTCAGGCAAGTAGATCCAGCCAAAGTAACTAAAAGATACATGCATGCAGATTCATATGTATGTCAAGACATCAGTGCTAGCTTTCATTATGAATAAAAATTACGGCGCTATGAACAATGGCATGGACCAGAGGGGCACAGCGGTGATTACTCATGACGCCAGGCAGGTCACAAGGTTGCCCAGCTTATCAAGAACAGTCTGCTGCTCTGTGGCGCTTCCATCCGTCTTGTCACTGCACGTGCCCACGCTGATGGTCACGTAGCAACCCCCGGTGTCCATAACACTGGTCTCAGTCGGCAGCCAGGTGTCGCCACAAGTCTCGATATCCGCCGTCGAAAGTGCAGAGGGCGTGTTGATGCGCGTGAGGATGTACTCAAAGTCACTGGCAGCCGTGCAGTTGCCCTCGACCTCGGCCATGTTGACGTTCAGGAAGACGCCGTCGGGCAAATACGGCGCACCGGCCTCGAGGATGGTGTTGGTCACGCTCAGGGCCAGCTCGGCATACAGCGTGCTCCGCAGGGGCACAGGCGTCGTGTTCCAGGGCAGGTTGCCCGTCGTGAGGCCGCTGAAGGCAATGCCAGGTATGCCCTGGTCGACGGCATAACACGCGGCGCCCACGGTGCCCGAGAACTCGACCTGGATGAAGCCGAGGTTGGAGCCCACGTTGGGACCCGACACGGCGAGGTCGGGCACAGTGCCGTTGCCCCAGATGCCCGGGCCGAACTCGTTGATGCCGTACTCCATCGACGTGGCCGGGTACGAGTTGACCCAGTTCAGGCGTGTGTCGCTGGCGTTGGTGCCCGTCGGCGTCAAGGTGCCTGCTGGACAGCTGTCGTATTCACATGCCAGTATGCGGTCTGTGGGAGGTAGGTTGAGTGAGCCTGTGTGTGTAAAGAGAACAGTGTTAGCCTGAAGTTTCTCATCTTTATGTTCTTCTATGTAGACATATAATAAACATCGACATATATATGTGTGTATACATATATATGAACAGATGTACATATAATATCAGACGACATATAAGTCCTCTCTCCGGCCGTTTTGGGGTCACGTACTCTTGGCAGACTCGTCACTCGCCGGAGACGAGACGACGGCGTCATGGCCATCTGCAATCAAGGCATAATGAAATGAACGCAGATACAGTTCTGCCCAACCGTCGTCGTTGGCCTGGATAATTTTGGCCGCCTCGCTGCCACCGACTGCCAGCGCAGCAACAGATGCTGTTTTGAGGAACGAGTGGAGACCCATATCGACTTTGGGGTATGGGAGGTGTTACTGAGGGAAAAGGAGTGTGTGGAGGAGGTTGAAGGGGTCCCAAAAGGATCAAGGAGTGACACGACAGTTGAGAGTAAACGCAACAGTCAACCGTCTAAATAAAAATAAAAAATAAAAAAAAAGGAGCGGACAGACAAAAAGAGATCCCCTTCCTCTCCTCTTCTAAACTTCCTCCTACCCCAGATCACATCGTGGGGGACCTCTACGATATTTGAATAAATGCCTTTCGGCCGATTGAAGATCACAATGGCAACTCCATCCATTGGCAGGCCGCCATGCCGGATTGTGGCTTTTACTACTGTTGGTCTCCTCTCAGCTGCGACGGCCACATGCCCGGGATGCAGTGGACCAAACCCCCTACAGGCGCGCCCCTCTTGTGCGGCTTGCGACCTCCAATTACCGTCAGCGCCAATCATGAGGTGTCGCTAGCTCTGTGGCGTGCCCCTCCGTCTCGAGACCAAATCTCTCAGGTGGGCCCTGCAGCGGATCGGTACCTGAAAGGAGCATGATAGCGTTGCATCGACGGCTGGCTGGGGGGCCGCCTGGCCTGTCATGCGACCTGCCTTTCCAGGCTCGGAGTGCGCCCATGATTGGGCAGTTGGCGAACAGTGTGAAACCTGGTGGTGAAGATGAAGAGGGAGCCTATTGATCAACTAGTAATTTGAGGCTCAAGCGATGATTCAGGCGACAATGCTGAAGCCTTGCCGTCTTTTCTTTGTCGGGGCGTTCTCTTTCGGTCTTCTCTAGTATGAATCTTCAATATTCCCCTCTGTATGTCTCGGCATGGTCTGACTCGCGGTGGACGAATCAAACCTCGATAATCGCGCACCGTCTTTCTCAACGGTCCGGAGGCCAAGGAAAAGTTTAAATCCAGACTCCACTGCAGCAAGCAGTGACAACATCATGATCCCAAAGTATTATACCAAGGCAAGGTCGTTGTTGGCAAATGTAATTGTAACAAAAGCCACGTGCGTTCATCATGAGATTCGACTGGTGTTCTTTCAGGTCAACTGAGGTATACTATAATGTAATAGTTTTGCATGCATCTCCGACTTCGATTAGGCTGGCGGGCCCTTAAGATGACGGAAACCTTACAGGGTAGAGGCATTGGTTGGACATGTGACAGGCTGCATCTCCGTGGACGGGCTACTGATTACCTGAATCTTCACACCGTTTCGAACATTTTAGTTCCGGGCCCTAAGTCCACAAGTGTGGATTCAATTCATATTTCATGTATACTCTAATACTTGCATTTTCTTCACCCAAACGGCAGCTTGTTTGTCTGCTTACTTAAGTACCGGAGAGTCCTCCATCGTGAGTCTGTGGATAGCAGCCCTTCAGTGCGAATGTCCTCATTCACTCACGCTCTTTATCAACCCTCTTCACCGTCACAGCATTGATGAGGAGTGTTCAGCTGTGGTTTGCATATCAAGAGTTTTATCAACATACTACTGTTACCTTGCAATATTGTATTTTTCAAATACTATGGGCCAACAATGTCTTGGATGGGTTGTTGTTGGATTCAGGCATATCAGATTGAGCTGAGGCTTGGTCGAGGATGATATACACTGATCAACCCCGGATTGCCGTGCCCGGCATGATAATGTGCCCTCCTCAAAACGTACCAAAATCTCATCATCAGTCTTCCAAGTGTCACAAGGCCAGCCCGAAAGAAGCCCAATGACTGGTTGATAAAGTTATTGGATCGATGTTGAAACACCACGATCTGCTCACCCTCTCTTATAATTCATTTATCATGGTGTGCTCTCTTGGCTGTCTGTGGCCAGTTCCTCTTTCTCGTAGAACTCTGGATGTTGAGCTCAGGTGTTGGCTCCTCAGCCTCGCAGGCCTGTGGCATGACGTTATACTGCTAGCTGATATCATCCTGAGACTGTCTCGGATACGATTGGCAGCTCTCATGGATATCACCATCATCACTCTGATCTGCCCAGTCCTCCTCAATCTTATTATTGTTCGAAGCCAGGGTGCTCCTCGTGAAGAGTCGGTCCTCGCATGGACGTGTGGGCTTGTACAGCGGAACCCCAAATGTGGCGCGGTAGCTCCGTTCGACGACATTGTCCCATCAAGCGATCCTCGCTAGCGAGTCTTTCTTCGATGCTGGATCAGCTCCTTCTTCCCCACGGTGATGGTGTCTAAAATCTCTTGTATTCGTTTGTCCACGTCACTGCTCCCTTCCTCTCCGCCCACAGACTGCTCTAAAGTTTTTGTAATGTTGGACACCATCGCTTGGACGGTGGTCCCTCGTCGCTCGAGGTTTGGTTTTCCTCTGCGCAATGTCGATCGTGAGGCCACGGAGCTCCAACACATCCTGAGGGCCATAAAGGAGTCTCTGAAGAGATGATTGGGACCCTCTCAAATAAAAGTATGTTCTACTGTGTTCTGACATTGTGTGCCGAAGCGTTGCAATGACTTTATATACTTGTACGATTCTGCTATGAGTCTTGTTGTGATCACATGTTAATTACATTGATGACTATTACTACAAGAACTTGTTGCACAACTAGGCTTAGCTTCTGGAGGGCTGAAGACACTACACTGCCCTAGCTCACTGCTTTATGACTTGTAAACTTGACGTAGTATGCAGAGTCCAGCCTATTAGCCAGTCACATTGGTTGATTTGACTTGTATTACATACCAGGTTTATATTTGCATGTGGGTAGAATGTATCGAGTTTACAAGGAAAGGTCAGTGTAAACATAGTGTTCAAGCTTGACTTCACTAATTTGTAACGTTTCTGCATAGATTGATTAATTGCCTCACATATAGTCAGCTGTTGAATTAACATGCATCTCCCCTTGCTTTGGTCGTTTAACTAGTTCAAGACCAAGTAAGTACACAAGATCCAAAGCTAGGACACATTATTGTTCAAATATGCATCGATTCAACTCATGTTTGTGCTAGGATGAGACCAAGATCAGCACAGGCCTCATGACACTTACTTTGAAGCCACGGAGAGTGCAATATAACACCAATACTATCAAGATCATATACCATGAAGGTGTCATTGAGGCACTGCTATGTGCAAACTATCAAGTCATTGATGTCTTGATTCAGTCTAATCGCTTTAATTATGTAATTCATTGAAACAAGGCTTAGTTGGGCCTGTGTCATGATACAGCATCACCCTGCTGATGTAGTTGATGATGGGCCCCTCTGTTGGCTGGACTGGTCAGATTCTCCTCACTGCCCAGGCTCTCCTGCAGCTCCATGCTGGCCTCATCCTTCCACTCCTCACCCTCATCCAGCCTCTCATAGCCTTCTGCCTTCTGTCCCCTCCGGCGCCGGGCACACGTCCACCACACAATAGCGCCACACACGGCGACCAGAAACACACCAATCAGGCTGATGATCATGACAAACAACGGCGCTAGTCCGCCCACGCTCCACGCAGGCACCTCGAGGAAATCAGTGGTCCCCAGGCGCTCACCGCCCTCACTGAGCGCCACAACACGGATCATACTGTTGGCAGCGGCCTTGGGCAGGTCGATGACGGTCTCGAAGCCGTCTTTAAACGCTTGGGCGAGCACATCGACCGTCTTCTCGCTCTCATCGAGGGCCTCGACCTGCCACCTCTCGACCTCGGTCGCCCCGTTCCAGCTGACATAGACCTTGTTGCCCACGACGGCGACGCTGGGCGGATAGCTGGGCATGCCCGTCCACTCTCCTCGAAACACACGATACGAGCTGACAGGAGAGAACTCGAACGCAGCCTCTGCACCAAACCGCCCGTCACACAGGACCTCGCCGTCGGGGGCAAACTCGGTGAAGGCGCCGCTGCTGCCCCAGCCGACCATGTAGTTTCCGTTGTCGAGGTGTTGGGTGTTGCCCTGGGACTCGGGCTTGATGTGGTTGGGGTGCTCGAGCAGGTGGCGGAGGCGGGCGGTCCTGTTGTGCAGGTTGAGTTCGACGACGCGCCCGCCGCTGGGGCCGTAGGGGTCGCCGATGCGGTGGTAGTGGTTGTCGAAGAAGGAGAGGATGGTCTTGTCCTCGTCGACCCAGCGCGCGTGGTGCTGCCATGCGAAATCGGTCGCCAGCCCGTCCGAGAGGTCCTCGAAGTCGTTGACCCGGCCCGCGCCCAGGGTCCAGAGCACCTCGCCCGTCGTGCCGTCGATGTAGCTGATGCCCCAGGTGTTGCGCGCCGAGATGAGATAGTTGCCCGAGGCGTCCTTCTCCACGCTGTTGAGGTGGAAATAGTCAAAGGCAGAGTCCTCGTCGTCGCCGCAGCCGGCGAACCTGGCCCTGGGATCGATCAAGCAGTTGTTCTGGACTTCCATGGTCGTATTGATGGGGAAGTGGTCGACCGAGGACCACTGGAACAGCACCTCGCCCGTCTCGATGTCGAGTTCCTGGAAATAACAGTCCTCGACCCAGCCGTGCTCCGGACCGCCGACGTTTCTGAGGTCGTAAGGGATAGGAATCGTCGTGATGATCAGCGCAGTATCGTCTTCTGTGATCTGGAACTCGTGCATGTCGGCATGAGGAAATCCATTGGGTCGCACCCGGTAGCGAATATTATACGACTCGTCCAGCATGTACCAGTACCCTTCTGACTGGTTTCCATCCGCACCGTCCATCTGGTACGTCAGGAACCTCTCGCCGCGGTACACCTGCGGGCGCACATCGTTCTGGTCAGTCTGCGACTCGTCTGTGTTGCGCCAGACAAGCTCGCCCTGTGCGTCGAGAATCACGGCGCCGGGCTCGTCGACCTCGTGGCCGCGCCACCCAAAAAAGACATAATCCTGGCTGCACCGCGCATCCCACCGCGGGAAGTCGAGATACGGAACGCGCGGCTCAAAGGACTCGAGGTGTGTCGACGGCGCAAGACCGTACAACCCAAGGCCGTACCACGACAGATGGCGGTGCAGGTGAAGACGGCTCAGGACGTTTGCCCACAGCTCTGACGCGCCCATCCAAAGCCCTGCTACAGCCGCCAGCACCACTGTGATGCGAAAGGCTGTCGAGTTAAGGATGCGCAGGTATCTCCGAGCACCGGCGGAGGGCTGCCAACCGCCTTCGGAATACATTGTTCGGGAGGGGGGCGTTGTTGGGATGTGAAGTAAGTAGTTCTTTGGCCTACTACTTTACATACTTGCAGCATCGAAACCAAAAGGAAAGAGAGCGAAAGATTAAAAAACGCAAGCACAAAGTGACGATCCCCAAAAAAAAAAACTGACAGGACCCTCCCCCCCTTTTCCTTCGTCTCCTCTTCTTGTCTTGGTACCTCTTGGAAAAGGCGATGACTTCGGCGCATAAAACTGGGGACTCACGAATCGCAATCTTTCTTCTCCCCTTTTCCCCTGATCTGAAGTATCCCATCCCACCCTCCATCAGTGGAGCAGGAATCCGGTAAAGATATGGACGATCCACGACCCAAACCAAGTAGAAGGCGACGCAGCGTTGAGAATCCGACGGGGTGGAGACCATCCGAGCCTGCCTGGGCCAATCAAGAGGCTCAGCCTTCTATCCTTGATCCACATTACGCGTAACCACTCGTCGGAGGGTGCCGAGACAGCCACTATTTTAAAAGTGAAAAGGCAACGGGGATAGGGCGTTGCTCGCCTCCCACTATTACCGAACCGAACAGCCCGCCCAGCTAGCGAGCCAGCAAAGCACCTGGCACGGACAGTGACAGGTTGACAGGGTTGGTCGCGAGATCGGTTGATGACGACAAAGTTTGGAAGACCAAGGGCAGTTCTGATGTTCTGATGATACAGTAACCCTCCTTCCAAAAAAGGGGTCATGTTTCTTCGCACAAATACATCATTAGTTCTCGCTTGCATGGCAATGATGAATCATGGTACATGTAGGTAAGCTGTGCCACAGGAAGATGCTGACCGATGTGTTGAGGCGGTTAGTATTTTCGGTGTTTGCTTGGTCCAATACGAAACCCCCAAAGATTGCCAAGTGTGCACAAAGATACGCCACTTATCTTGGCCTGCCTTTAGCGAACCTCTTTCTCTTTTGGTCTCGGGCTTTCACATCATGGTCTCGTGGTACGATACAATCATGTACAGTACCTGTATCGGCCCAAGTCTCCCGTCTCTACCTATCTGATTTCGAGTCCATGAGGCCATCAGATCTCTTTTTTCTGCTTGCACCAGGGAAGAAATTAATGGGTGGAAGAGACAGACAGACAGACCTGCGCCCGAGTGGACCAGGGAGCCTGTCATGCCTGTGTAATTACGACAGAGGGAACAACGAAGATAGTCAAGGCCTAATTGCAATGCAACCCACCCACCACCCGCCTGCAGTTCGGCCTATTCCCTTCCCGTCCCCCCCGGAAATAAGGCCTGGGGCAAAATACTGTATGACAAGCGAACCAGTCAATTGTGTGATGGAGGGGTCAGGTGTCGATATCCAACGCTTGGCGTCTGGTCAGAAATGAAGAAAGATAGGCTCGCTCGGACGTTTCCAAGTTCATCACCGCTATCATATCTCACTTTTTCTTTTGGCCTGTTAAGTTTGGTGAGGGCTCCACAGAATTCTACCTTTCTCGAGCCAAATCAATTCCCTAGCTTCTCTGGACAAGCCGCAAAATGTCATGTGTTGATTAATTAACAACCCTTCATCTTCTTCTATCCCTAGTTAACTTTTCAAGGGGAAAAATCAGATTGAGGACACGAGATTCCTGAACTCGATAAGTGTAAGAAGACTGTACAGAATCATAATGTTATTGTCTCCCCAGCCTCCTCTCCTCTCATCGATGTTGACTCTAGAAAAGAGTTACAAAAGGAAGACAAAAATACCGTGCAGCTGGCGATGATGTCGTCTATCTTGAACGTTGCTGAAGATCTCGCACCCAAACGCTAGTTAACATCCACTCGCTCTCCCTCTTCCTCTTCTTCCTCTTCTTCCTCCTCTTCCTGCTCTTCCTCCTCTTCCTCCTCTTCCTCCTCTTCCTCCTCTTCCTCCTCTTCCTCCTCTTCCCCCCCCCCCCCTCTCTCCTTATAGATGCTATGTACGACTCGTAGTACCAAAAGTATCGACCCTTAGACAAGTCTTTGAAAGGCTCAATGATAGCCATACCTTTGTCGACACTGGCGACGTCGGGTCTTATCCATCATGGGTGGTTACAGGAGTGGTGACGTGTTCGTCAGCACCGACTGACCCCTAGGGAACCGCCCGAGGTGCGTTCTCACCGCTGTCCTCATCGTATGCGCCTAGCTCTGACGATGTTCCGCAACCCAATTGGACGACACGAGTGACTTTGTCATTAGAATACTCGTAGCCGCCAGCGCCACCGGGCCCGCGGCGGACTGGGTGGAGGATCACAGGCCTCATCAACAGCACCACTGGGATTGACGCACCCACAAAGAGACTGAAGATCCAGAGACGTCTGTGCATCAAATTCGGCGCAGCTGTACTAAGGATTTGCTCAGCTCCTCGGGCGGTACCCTGGATTGCCAGAGCCCGTCACCCCGCCGTCTAGGTTTCCAGGATCAGATCGTGTGACTAACAGGTAGTTCCATGTTGTCCATGGTCCCGTGGAACAAAGAGACCGCATTGGTTGAAAAGTCGACTACGTCAAATAGCCGGTCATTGGTATAGCGCAGATGCGTCTGTCCATGTGCCCAAAGATACTTAGCAGTGTCTCGCTCCCATCATAATCTGCCGAAATATAGGCTAAAGGATAAGTTGATGGAATGGGTTGGGGTTGCGCGTGTATTTCCGCCTTCCGACTCCGTTGATTCAGGTTGGTAGACGGGCTAGTCAGGCTGGAAGGGCTTCTCCAGCCAGCATAGTCTGAGCGGGCTGTGTCGACGACAGCACCAAGAGAGCAGAGTCGATATATTAAACCGGCCCGTCCCAATATCCCGATTGGGCCAACAGAACAGAGTCGATAGGCAGAATATCTAGAAGCCGAGTAGGTCGTCCACGTCATAGCTGCCCATCACTTGCTGAGACCGGTCAAAATAGAGGGCAGGCTCAGGAGATATATATAGGGGAGAACAGCTGTTCTCCAATGAGACGGAGAATTTTGATTGCCCTGTCTCATCACGTGGCCATCAGCATTCAGCACTACTGGTTGGAGTCTTTGCTCTATGCATGCCTGCAAGGGAGTGCTGTGTGCTCACCATGACTGGAAATAGTGTCTTTGCCGAGAAGCCCTAGTGGTGGAAATTAGAGAGCCCTGGGCAAAGGCAATATTGCTTGTGATGATGACATCACCATGGTCGGCACAGACATCGTTGATATGATCTTGTGCACAATGAACTGCTGAGCCATGACAGTGTTTGTTGCGGTGAGGCTGTTGATGTTCCCGCCGGAGGCACCTCTGACATCTGCAACCAGATTTGCCTTGTTGGTTGTCTCATCTAGGATGATCTTATCCCCCGCGAGCTTAGGATCTTCTTTGGATCGTTGATAAGCTCGCCCACGCCATGGTTTGGCACACAAGCCTGAGAGATGATTTCAAACAGCATTGTCCCGACATTTGACGTAGTTGATGTCATCAAGAGGCTCGAGCTGTTCGTCGGCTGCTGATTTTGCAACCTGATGGTCTAGTCAGTCTTGTAGTCCGTTATCATCTTGTCAGCAGGGAGATTAAGGAGCTCACTCGAAGATGCAGGACTCGACTCTCCGATGTGATGGTAATAGCTGTCAGACCCACTTGGTGGACTGCAGAAATATCAGGCCCAGCGAAGCCTGCATATTCAGGGATCCTCATAATAACCCTGTAGGACGGTCTATGAAGTCGATGGTGTCATTGGGTCGACAAGGAGAAGAACAATCAGTAGCAGATTAAAATAGCAGACAAGGATGGTCATCTCAGCATCATGGCTGGAGTGGCCATGATGCCCTCGATGAGAATAAGGACCATCAATGCTGTGGAGTAGCACGTTGATTGGAGTGTTGATTTGGTTGGTATCCAGGAATGTCGTTTGATTAGGAATGACCGGACTGCGGCGCTACGTTATATAGTTTGCAGAGGTGTGAATCGCACTTGTGAATTCAGATAACTCCACTTTGAATCCACTGTTCTCGAACTTCATCGAACTTTCCTTGCTATAGCTTCACTTCCTAGAGCACCACTTTCCCAGGCACTCACTGTTAACCTCACAAGATGCCACCTTGCATGAAAAACTCACTTGTCTCAAAGTCGATAGTGAAAGCTCTAGAATTGAAGGCCCTCTCATGACTTGATGGATCTTGTGTCTTAGAATGTACAATTTCCCCTTGGGCGAGGCAGGTGAAGACTACTTGTCACTCTGACAATAAATGCACAAATGACCATTTCATTGTTTGATCAATTCGGCTACAATCAGTGGTTCACATTAGCAATATATTGATGATAAAATTTGAATCATAGATTGGGCGCCATTTACATTCACTTTATATACTATACTGGGGTGGGTATAGGGAGTTTGCTTCCTTGATCTATGTCGCCATCAAACGTGATGCTATCGTCCGAACAGCTCGTAAAACGAACAAGAGGAGAGGCTTAATACTAGCAGTGACAAATTTGTGGACTGAGCCATGCAATGCAAAGGAAATCTAGTATTACAATGCAGCTCAGCAGCCAAATAATGAGAGAAGATGCATAGAAAATCGCCTTGAAGCACAATGAAAAGTACCAAAATGCAAAGAGAAAGATGAACATCCTCTAGAATCAGCTTGCCTCCTCCTTCTCTCCCCCCCCCCCCCCCTCTTACAAGGGCTGTACTCAAGGACCACAACACAACTCATTGGTCACACGGGCTCGGCTTGACCCGAATCTAGCACTCGCCTACTCCTCCTCTTCTTCCTCACGGTTGATCGACAAGGCCTGCTCTAGCGTCATAGCTGTCTTTGCATATTTTGCAGGTGGTCTCTCATCATCGATAATGTACAAGACCTTGGCCGGGTTGCCAACAGCGACACAGCGCGCCGGCACATCTCTAGTAACGACACTGCCCGCCCCAATCGTCGAATACTCTCCGATAGTCACCCCTGGTCTGGATAAAGGACAGAATAGATGGTCAGCGTCTAGAGTTCGCCACGTGCGAAGAGACATTGGGGACAAGTCCTTACAGAATTGTGCTGCCAGCTCCAATCCAGGCGCCGTCGCCTATTTGGACCTTGGCGCCCCAGCTGCCCGCCACGCCGGTCTCGAGCTCATTACGCTCCTCGTACTTGACGGAGTGGCCGACGCCGATGATGTTGACATTGGGGCCGATTTGACATCGTTCACCGATGACAATGTCCGCGACGGGCGTGTCCATGATGAAGCAATTTCTGTTGATGAAGGTTGTCGGACCGATGCGAACTCGGAGGCCGTAGTCCATGTAGATGGGCATCTTTACGTAAGGAAACGTAGGACGAGGGATACTTTCTGCAGACGAGGATGCGTCTCCTTCTTTTCTCTTGCTAAAGGCATCTGACATGGCAATGGCTCCCGTGGCGCTGACCTCTGTCTTCCGGTCTGGATCCACGATACTGTAATATCATGTCAGAGGCAGATTTTATAATTCCTGTTTTTTCTTTCTTCTTTCCTTTCAGATACATACCTCATCCATTTTGTGAAACGCTCTTCGGTTGAGGCATCCTCCGCCATCTTGTTGTACTCGACACAGGCGCTGGTACACCGCGATCTAGCAGCCCGGAAATCATTACGGCCGGCCATGTAGGCGACCCGTTCTGCAGGATTGGGCTTGGTCATGATGTTGTCAGGAGGACTCAGGGTCGTGAGGTCACAGGCTTTGTTCTTCCCACGGCCATCGCAAGAAGCGTCTCCAACGCTGAGCACGTCGATCAGGGTCGATGTGTCCCACGTATAATCTTCTTCGCCCATATTGATGGAGAAGCTGATTTCAACGGAAGGAAGGGAGAGAATGGAAAAGATGCTTTTAAATCTTTTCAAGAGAAGGGCCTTTCGAAGGGAAGAGAAACGATGATGAGCAAGAGTTGATGAGGTAGAGTTAATGGATTGGGGAGTGGAAAAAGAGGATGGCTCGACGCGGCGTATTAAACTTGCAGAAAGGGCTCGTTGGCTCGCTAGGATAAGCGAACATACTACTCGCCAGAGTCCTTGGTCGGCATGCAGTCACTCTTGATCAGCGGACCGGTGAGGAAGTACGATGGGGTCAAAGACACCTGTGTATGTCAGGGTAGCGTGCCCGAAGTGACCTGGTGCTCCATAGGCAATCAGGATCTCTGCGGCGCTTTGGGTCTGAGAACTTACTTATTCCCGCCGAAGTGCAACCTCAAAGACCCTGTTGGCAGTAGTGATATGCACTCTTTTGGAGGAGTTTGTGGCTTACAAAAGGGCTGTATATAGATGATACTTGCTTGGTTTGTTATTAAGACTAGTTGGCTGGGGCATGTGTGTTCGCTAAGAAGTCGATGCAGTGCTAGAAGCCGGGACAACGTGTCCCTCGGCCCAGTCTTTTCACAACGGACAAGAGACGTATCACAACGCACCAAAAAGCAAGCCGTTGCTTTTTCTTGTCATAACTCCGTCACTGGTGCGGGACGCCGTTTAGACCATTGCCAAAACAGCTTCTCGCCGTGACGTGAGCGGCTGCACCTAGCGACAGTGCAGCTGACTGCCTCTATGCAGAGAGGGTACATAGTTTATGTTGAATACGAAGTGCGGGATCCTCCACAGCCGGAAAGACTCGGCAAAAGTTGCTACACAGAGAGGCCGATCCAATGGCTCGAAATAGCAGCATTCGACGAGGGACAGTGTCGATGATGGGCGTTTGTGCAGTGTGACCTGCCCAAACAACTAATATCACCGTCCAGGATCAACTTGGGTGTGTAAAGTTGGTTTTTCCAACTTCATTGACGCGGTGCAAGTAAAATGTACTAACCATGAGAAAGTACCTCTTAGCACTTCTTGGATACTTGAAGTAGTTAGGTAGCATACCTCAGGGAGTGGATGGTGCACTGGCTAACAAACAAGGACAATAAACACCCCCCCCCCCCGCCCCCGGGCAGAGGTAACTAGTCAACTTTGTCCCAAGTACGTACTCAAGTAGACAGCCACACTTATGCTGGCCCTTGAGCACAAGCAATGATGACTTGTTCCAACGTCTGGTTCTCTTCCGCGAGTTCCGTCCAAATGACAATGAATTACTTTTTCCTGCCGGGACTGGCCAACATAAGCAGTAGGGTTGCATCGTTGGTGCCGGAAGGCCTTCCGCTGAGGCGCGCTGTGCATTAGTGCTGGGATCTCGATATGAGCCTTGCAATATTGGGATGTACCTGCATATTTGCTGGTCGACGGACATATCTTGGTCCCTTCAGGAGATTTAGAATGCTACTGAGCACACCGGGCAGGCTGAGCGTATTGCGTCAACTGACCCCACAATAATTTTTCAGCCACTCATTTTCATGTATCATAAGAAATGCGATCTATCACATCTTGTGCATTGGCTTTTTGTACATAGCGGTAGACCACGCCTCGTTGGCCTTGGCATGGCTTGCATATTGTGGGTGGGTGTAGAAGGCACTCTAGGGGCTGTACAAATGGTAGAAGGGAAGATGATTCTTCAATTAATCTATCTCAAGGCACGCTTGCCAATTGCCTTCTATATAGAAGGCAATTAGCACTAGTCCCAACTGAGCTAGCGTACCTGGCGACTCACTGCCTTTCCATTGAATGGCCCAGGCCAGTGAGTCAGGGTGGCCACCCAGGCCTCATTCACCTAAGGCCCCTATGGCCACTGCCACAAGTGCCGGCCACGGAAAAACGTTCCTGCTGTCCTCAGCAGCTATCTAGGGGTCACGTGTCCACGTGTCAGTCTCGCGCTTCTTCGGAGGCCAGGAGAGGTCTCAGGGCCCTGTTTTCCATCCTTTTCAGGCTCAGGGAGGCCTCCAGACGCGTTGTCAGACGCGTCAATGTTGACAGCCGGGGAGGCTGTGCCCTTGGCAGGCCGACCTCGCTTCCTCCGTGCTGGCACGGCTTCTCCATCCTCATTGCCGTCAGGCAACAGTTTCTTGGAAGGCCGGCCGCGCTTTCTCTTCACGGGGTCAGCTGGGCTGTCTTTCACGAGGATTTCTGTAGCCTTGTCGGGGTGTGCGCGTTCGTATTCCTCGATGAGGCCAGGGCACTTAAGGCTTCTCAAATCCTTCCAGCGATCGTGCCGCGAGGACCATCCCTTCCATCGCACCAGATATCGCACTGTATTCTTGCCACCTCGTCGCTCGATCTTCTTGTCTACGATGCGATCGACTTCGTAGTAGTCCTCATCAGGTCCAATTGAGTCATCGCTGTCTTCGTTGTGCTCGATCGGGCCAGGCTCAGGTAGCTGGCGGTTGAAGGGGTCGTCGGTAGGCTTGTACCGACTCAGGTACTGAATGCTGACCACTGGGTGTACTTGAACGTCAGCATCACGGTCACCAGTTTTGAAGTCAAGTTCATAAGCCAAAGGTGACACTTTTCTGATGATCGTAAAAGGGCCTTCGCGAAGAGCCTGTGTCTTGTTGGCCTGGCGCAGCAGTGGCTTGTATGCCTTGCCAAGTTTTAGCCAGACTTTGTCGCCCTTCTCGTATTCTTCGTGTCGGTGTTTGGCATCGTACGTGCGTTTGTTGTCTGCTGCGACGATGTCCATAGCCAGTTGCGCGTCTTTTCGCAGGTGTTCACGCATAAAGCGTATCTCGGACAGTTGTTTGGTGATGTTGACTAATCGGTCGGACGGTGACTGGATCTTGAATCCGAACAGAAACTCGTGAGGGCTCGCGTCAATGGAGCGTTGGTGTGAGTTGTTCAGATTCCACTGCAAAGAGGGAATTAGGTCTATCCAAACCTCGTCAGGGTGTTCAGCAGCGTGGTATCTGATAGCCAGCTCGACATCCTGATTCTTTCGTTCAGCTGCTCCATCAGCCTGAGGGTGGTGTGCTGTAGTCATCTGTAGACGCGTGCCAAAGGCCTTCCATAGGCCCGTCCAGTAGTCTGAGGTGAACTTGGCGTCGCGGTCAGAGATAATCGCTCGAGGGCATGCCCAGTCGCTCAACAGCAGCTGTCTGCCCAGGACAGCTCCCCATTGCTTGGCTGAGTAGGTTGAGTGGCCTGGAATCAGTAGAGTCCTCTTGGAGGTCTTGCAAGTGACGGGCATCAGCGAGTTGTAGGCTTTGGAGCCTTTTACCTGCCACGGGGTGCCTGTTGATTCGACTGAGGGCAATCCAAGGATGAAGTCGAGGGAGATCGTATGCATAGGTTCAGAGGGGGCCTGAATCGGTTGGAGTAAACCTGCTGGCTTCTGGTTTTGCTTCTTCTGAGCGCCACACTCGTGGCAGTGATCGACATACTGTGAGACAAGCAGTCGCTTCTTCCTGAAGTGAAGACCATCCAACTCGGCCATCATGCGGTCTCTGCCAAAGTGGTGCTTATCGTCGTGTGCGTCGCGCAGAAGTTCCTGCACCAGAGGTCGTGGGACGACAAGGCGTTCTTTTCCATCATTGTCGTAGTTGTACAACAGTTGGTCCTTCAGGCGGAATGGGTGGCCGGGCTTAGAAGCAGAGACAATGTCCTCATTGTTTACCAAGGTAGGAGGCTTCTTTCCGGCTGAACCGACCTTTGTCAGGTCTGTGATGATGTTCCCATAGACTGTATCCTCCTTGTATCCTCGCCAGAAGCGCTGTCGCATATCCTCAGACATTTGTGCTTCCGACAAGACAAGGAAGACTGTGGGTAGATCATCAACTACCGTGTCGAGAGTGGCTGGTTCGTCGCTCCGTCGCGCCTCCGCATCTCCTGTTGCAGACAGCCTTGACAAGGCATCAGGGACATAGTTGAGCTTCCCAGCCAGGTGGTGAATGTCGAACTGGTACTGGCTGAGGTAGATGGAGGCGTTGACAAGACGTCGGTTAGCACGGTCTGTAGACGAGGTGTCAAGGCGCGTTTGGGTAACGATGCCACGCGTGGCGTCGTGATCTGTGAGGACAACTACAGGCTGCGCTTGGTTTGATTGAATCAGCTTGCGCAGGCGTTTCGTTGCCCAGACCAGACACGCAACCTCTTGCTCAGAGGGACCGTAGTTCATTTCAGCTTTCGTCAAGCAGCGGCTGAGGAACATTACTGGTTTGATAGCGTGCGAGGGGATCGGCTTGCCAGGTTGCCAGATATAGTCTTCCTTCAACTGAAAGACCATCACGCCAAATCCTCGTTGCAAGCATCCATCTACTTGGATAAACAGCTTCTGCAATGGTTCCATATGGTACAAGCGCATCTTTCTGCAGATAGTGTTCTGTAGGTCCTCGAAAGCTATCTTTTCAGCGTCTGTTGGCTCGTAGTATGTGCGACGTGTATAAGCTTGACGCTGCGACTTCTTCCCAGGTGTGATTTTTCCAAGCTTACGGCCTTCAGCCA